GGGTATATTTATAATCAACTTGTCTCTTGTATATAATCGTTCTAGATAATGCATAATGATCTTATGCAGACAGATCTAGATATATAGTGATATCATACAGTAGCTGTTTAATCGGTGGTTGCTTGATTGTACGATGTCATTAACCGTAGTGATGATATAGATCGTATACTGTTGTAAACGTCTTACTTAATGTCATTAACCGCAGTAATGATGGTATAGCATAAAGCTTATAGAGATTCAGCTATCTTGTATAGGCCTTATGAATCTGGCTTGATATGCTGCATGACGGTTTAGGTATCTTGCCCTATATCTCACACCAAATATCTCACATCTACCCTACTAGAATCACATAACCTATATACTAATCTAATTTAATTCAATTCCTTCTATCCTCTACTATTTAGGTTAGCTGCCCTACCCTCCCCTTATTACTAACTATAGATTCTTTAATGGTATCTTCTGCTAAATCTTAATCTGATTTACCCTAATCGCACTAACCCTCTATACTATCTACTAATCTACTAGTTCGCACGTTCTAATCACCACCACTACTATTAATTCGTACCTACTAAACCCGTGAGCTTAGAAAGAAGGCCCTCTAGAGATTTGCTACTAAATATAGCTATACCCTAGTAGTAAAGCGATTAGATTACTAGCGGGTTAACCTCTCTTGCTCTTGCTAGCTAGACCCTACTAAGAGAGGACCTTCGTCGGTCGTACCTGCTAAATCGCGAGAGATTAATAAGATTAGAACTAATTACCTATTTCGGATTCAACTTTAGCTACGGAAGGATAGGAAAAATATTAATCTAGATCGGCATAAGGTTGTAGTTAAATATAGTGAACATAATTATAGGCCTATACTATAAACCCTTTTAGTTAAACTACGGCAAGAAGAGAGGAAGGAAAAGGAAGAGCGACTCCTTAATTACTTCCTTCAAGGCTAGAAAACTATAGGGATTTAGATAATTTTAAAGGCTAAGGAGAGTCTTCTGAACTTAAACGACCTCTATAACTACCGTGTAAAGGCCAGAAAAATTTTCCTTTATAGCCGTACATCAATTAAGGCTATAATTGAGGGCCTATCTAGATAGATTACCTACTATAAATTAGATAGTATCTAGCAACTAAGTAGAATCCTCTTTATCTCGTAGTAAGGCCTTGAGTTTCTTCGTATTTATCCAAATTTACTATAGATAGATGCAAAATATAAGACAAATCGGTAAGAGATAAGAGATAAGTAAGAGATTACTAAGAGATAGCTAACTTATTTAGATATAATATACTATTAATTAATATTATTAGATAAACCTTAACAAGACGAACCTTCTACGTAGCCCTTTGCTTTATGAGTAATAAGAAGGAGTCGTTATATCTTTAGACACTTTAGACTCTTTATATACAGCTTATATAGGTAAAGATTTAAGCCCTACGTGTTATCTTCTCCGACGACGTAGACGCTCTTCTAAATACGTATAGGGAGGTCTTTAAGGCTACAACTTATATACTCTATCTCTAGTATATCATAAAGAATATTAAAACACGCGTTCGGCTAATAATTGTAAAGCAATTACTCCTAGAAGACCTTCCTAATTTAGAATACTAAAAGAAGACTATTAGTAAATAGCGGTCTACGAAGGCTAGATTTATATAAATTGTCCTCGAGCCTACTAGAGAGGGGATAGAAGCAAGAAAGGCCTCTTTTCTAGAAGCCCTAAGCGACCTAATCTACTAATTAGTAGCCGAATATATCTAAAACTAGTAGTTTAGTGATAGGGCAAAGCAATTTATACGGTGTTATCTTAACGGAATTCTCTATTACGATGAGCTTACTTCCTCTCGCGTAGAAGGCGCCTATATAAAGATTAAGCATGAACTTCGAACCTTAACCGGTGATATTCTTGCGGTAATACAGGGAATCTCTTAAGTCGTTTCCTTCACAAATTAGCAGGCTTCTAGCTTAATTAAATCCTAGATTTATCGGCTACCTATCTCTCTTTAAGTCCTATTATTCCGCGATATCCTTAGCCGGGTCTCAACAATCGCAATTCGGAAGGTATATAACGCCTAGGTGAACTATATCTAATCAGAGAAGGCACTACCCCCTTACACCTAATACTATACAAGATCTCTTAGTCTTCTATATAATTATATAATTAAAGATCTTATAGATAGTAGTAAGTCCCTTCTCCTATCCTATTTTAACTAATAATACTAGCTTCGCCTACTAAATTAGGCAATTTAGATTAATTAGTAGCGAATTAGAAGGATTAGAAGGATTAATAAACCGAGTCGGGTAAAGGGGATTAGACGGCCGAAGCTACTAGAGACTATTAAGCGCTAGTAAAGATAGGGGAGGAGGAATTTCACCGGTCGGAAGTTTAGGGGAAAGCGAAGTCGAGGTACCTACGTTTCTATAGATAAAACCATAGGAATTGTGGTACTACCGCCTTCAAAGAGAACTAATACTTCGACAAGGCGAATTCTATTATACTAGGAGACAGAACTTCGGCAAGGGCGTAGGGCTAGCCGCGGTCGTAAGGCTAAGGAAGTGGTAGTAACAGAGAAGTAGTTGAAGAAAAGGGTAAGGTAGATTAGTAGGTTCCGAATTAGCCCTTGGCTAATTAGGAAGGCCTAGAAGGATTTGAATTGAATTGAATTAAATTAGATTGGTATATAGGTCATGTGATTCTAGTAGGGTAGACGAGAGGCTATATGATAATCCTAGTAGTTAGTAGGAGATAGAAAGAGAAGGAGGAAAGATGCGTGAGTATAAGAAGGAAGGGGGTGGTTAAATTCGTAATTAATGGCCGTAACAGGCTTGGCAGAAATCAGGCGAATTCAGGCAGAAATCAGGCACTACCTGGTGCGGCCCAAATTCCTACCTGGTGCCAGCAGTGGCACCCTAGATTTATAAGTATTAGATATAGGGTAAGATACCTAAGCTATTAGGTTAGTATATCAAGCTAGATTCATAAGGCCTATACCAAGGCAAGAACGATATTCTGAATCTATATAAGCTTTATACTATTATATCATCATTATCTAATCGGATAATCAGACATAAACAGACGTATTATAGTTATACGATCTATATTATTATTACGATTAAATTACATCGTATAATCAAGTAACTATATATTAAACAGCTACTATATAAAATCATTATATATCTAGATCTATCTACATAATATTATTATATATATCTAGATCTATCTAGATTAATTATATACAAGAAACAGGTTTGATAAGTTTGCATAAACTATTAATTATAAATATACCCTACTTTCTCTACCAAGATCTTATTATTATGTTCATGCACATTATTAATATTCATAAAGAACAAGACGATTCAATACAATCGACCAAGCTTTAGTCCTACTTCACTTTTCTCTCATCTTGATCTATTCTAAGCCGAATTGAACTTATCCTTCCTATTTAATCAAGAGGAAGAAAGATCAATTTATCTTATTTAATTTTCTTCCTCTCTACCAACCTACGCAGTAGATCGCTTGCTCATATATACGCTATAGCTATCGAATATAAGATAGCGCTTTTTACCCCTTTTTAACTAGTCGGAAGTAGTAGTAGCTCTAATAAAATAGCTTAGCTAGGCTAGAGCTAATTTATTAGAAATCTAGCCGTTTAGTAATAGTATAGTACTAGTTTTGCTTAGTAGATTTTCACTACTATAGAACTAGGCCTCTATAAAGTTTTAACTAGAGCTTTTAAATATAAAGAGCGGGTCTATAAGCTAGCTATCCGTAGTAATATACTTAACCGTAGTAATAGTTTTACCCCTTTCTCCTTCGGCTAGGTTAGGGCAAGATAATTTAGCTCTAATAATATTTCGGGCACGCCCTTAACTAGGTTAAAAGCTATATTTATCGAAGTTATATACTAGCCGGGCGGGGACGTTATAGAGGAGTTTTTCAAGTAGGTCGTACTAGTGCTAAAGAAGGCCTGTATCCTTAGCTTAGATTCGCTTTAGTTCCTTAGTCTTCTGCTTTACTAGGGCTAGATTTAGGTGCTCTAGTAGGCGTACTTTAAAGCGATACGCCTATATCTTGCTAACCTGTCTCTTCTAGTCCGCCCGCTCTAGTATACGATTTGCCTACGCTTATATAAGCCCTATAGTAGGTAGTAGATTCTACGTATATATTTGGACTATCTAATTAGTCAAGGCCTTCTCCTAGTATAGCTGTAGAGTATGCTTCTTCGATTTAGTAGGGGTAATTAGCGATTTGGCCTTTTTAACGCGACTGAAGAGTGTAGGGTATGACACGTTGAATTCACGCGCAATCTTCGCTAAATTCGGCTTTTTTTCAGCTATAGCGGCTGCGAAGGCTTCGGCTATACGAGATTGGTCAAAATTAGAAGATTTAGGCATGTTGGGTGGTTGAGATAGCCGATTGTAGAGGATATGTAGAAATCTATGAAGAACGGGTTTCTATGAAGAATGCGTGGCGCACCCAAAGCGGGAAGCGGTTTGGGTGGGCAGTAAGGCACGGATACGGGGCTTACCTTACCATCACTTTCAGATGCTCAAAGTACTTTTGACATGCTAATGAACGTATCTTGCCTCCCCCCGGCCGCAGGTCTTATCAGAGTTCTCTTAGTCTTGGACTGTCCAAGACATAAAGCGCCGTTTCCTGTGCGCCGCCACAGATACTTACCGTCAACCTCGGCGGCTGCATGCAAGTACAATATTCTTGAAACTGGTGTCACCACTTACACCCTTTTTTGATTTTCAAAACTGAACACCAAGATCTACGAATCTGTATCAAGAATGGTTCCGGAATATTGATGTTCCTGTATCGTCACCCTTGTGGAATTTTAAGTTACCTGTTCCGATGTCCGCCTAGATGACTAACGCAAATGCATCACGCCACACAAAAAGACGTCATAGTAGTCCGGTTCAGAAAACATTCCTTTTCAGATGCAGTTCTCAACGCATGCTTGGAAACAATCTCCGGAAAACATAGGGCTAATCTCACAAAATGCAGCCAGGAGGCAGCGGACCATATCCAGAGGTAGGATCTTCCCCTACGCTGCCTGGAAGCAAAGGTGCTGACACCATTTCCTCAATAGCTCTCTGAAAGTGAGAAACGTCACTTCAGTAAGTACGGAAAGCTGCTGCGTGGAGGTTTACTCAGCCAAAAATCCAAGGTAAAGTTACTTTGAATATTCTCTATCACGACACGTGCTAACTAACAACCGGAAGGAACGGACCTACTTTGACTCTGGCGATTATGCTCTTTCAGCCGCTGATCGTGTGACCGACAACGGTGCTATTCAAACAGGAAAAGCGCATCCTCATCGGGACAGCATTTCCCATCCTTATGCCCCTATCCCAGCCGCTAGCAATGTTGACAAGGATGCCATCGAAGATTTGCATAGGAAAAGTGCGAGTCCCGAAGAGAGTCCTCTCCTCCAGCAAACCAATATTGAACATGCAGAACCCCTAATCAAGAAGCGACAGGATGATCCTGCCCCTCAAGAAGGTTGAATTTCAAAGCACAGCATTCTATAGGTATTATACGCCGTCTGGTTATGGAATCTTCCTTGATTACCGAAAAAAGCTCTTGAAACTGTGGGGCTTATGTACTTTCTCTCGGGAAAATAGCGTCCCTTGGCATTAGTGTTTAAGAAGCTATCAGATAGTGTAATTGGTGATAACGATTTTTGGAAGCAGAATGCAGATTTTCCACTCGTGTGTGAAGGCTGCTTGACTAAATCCGAATGATGGAAATGCGTATTGTTCTTCACAAACACGGATTTGTGTTTCCGGCTATCTCCTGCAGAAGCTACTCAATATAAGATTCAACTGACGCAGCACCAGTTGGGACTTTTGAAACCCGAGACAAAATAAAACCGTCTTAAATATAAGCCAGCATCTCTGGTAGCGTGGTCATAATGAATATTAGCCAATCGGGTCAACCAGTTCGCATATATACATGTTTATCACATCCGGATACATCAACAACAACCAGATGATACGAACGAAACTCGAATGTTTATGATGGTATAAATCAGTTATTAAGCAGCTTCTCTAGCATTGTAGGGGGCGGTCAGAACAAATATTGACGACCTATCAAGGAGTTCCCTGTCGAAATGAAGGCTGACATCAAGAACCCTTGGCCAACGTACGAAGATTCCGATCAATGATTTCACGCCTTCCTCCAGCGGTGCGTATATACCCTTTCAAGGCTATTTCGCATATTTCGCTAAGCTCGAAAGGCACTACCTGCTTACTATTTTTCGCGCGGCTCGCCAACGAGCCAGAACAAGGGGCAAGATGAGTGATAATCTCCCCTATCGTCTGTTGTATCCCGATGTCCTGGAGTCGAGTCCAACCAAGAACGACTGGCCGACCCCTGGGTACACACAGCCTTCTTCGTTTGGCTTCTCAGCTAATACTGACCCAATACCGGGGGCCTGTGAAGATTCCCTAATGCCTAACCTAGGCGGGTCTATGAATAAAGTTGCTATCCCCCGAACCTCTCGCCGCGAGAACTGGGCCAGAAGAAGCCGCGTTAATCGGGCATGTCAAAAATGCCAAGATCAAAAGGCCAAATGCAGTGGTCACCACCCCTCATGCCACCGCTGCCAGGCTGCTGCCGGGGTTCCGTGTTCCTATAGCGACCGGAAGCGTGAAAGGATACTCAAGTGCCTTGTTGAAGCATCGCTAGAAAACTCGCTATATTCTAAATCTCTATAAGCTTTATGCTATTATATCATCATTATCCAATCAGATAATCAGGCATAGACAGACGCATTATAGTCATACGATCTACATCATCATTACGATTAAATTACATCGTACAATCAAGCAATTACAAACTAAATGGCTACTGCATGGAATCACTATACATCTAGATCTATCTGTATAATATCATTATATGCATCTAGATCTATATGTATAAGATCACTATACATCTAGAATGCATCTAGATCTATCTAGATTAATCATATACAAGAAACAAGTTTGATAAATTTGCATAAAATATTGATTATAAATATGCCCTACTTTCTCTACCAAGATCTAATAATCATGTTCAATACATAAAGAAAGAACAAGACGATTCAATACAATCAACCAAGCTTCAGTCCTACTTTACTTTTCTCTCATCTTGATCTATTCTAAGCCGAATTGAACTTATCCTTCCTATTCAATCAAGAAGAAGAAAGATCAATCGATCTTGTTCAATTATCATCAACCTTCTTCCTCTCCTATCTACCTACGCAGCATCTCGCTTGCTCACACACCCTTATATCGTAATTATCTTAACCTCTATTAAAATTAACGATTCGATCGATTCTACTAGAATATAGTCTTTATAAACGCCGTACGAGGAAGCGAATCCCTTTATCTGTTCTTAGTACACAAAACCGATATCGATTTGCTTTAAAATATCGAGGATTTCGCGCGTAGGATACGTAGATCTTTTCTGATAAATGCTCCGTTTAAAGACACTCTAAATTAACCGGTTCTAGTAGCGAATATATCTAGCGATTTTAGTCTAAAGTATATAGGCGTAATCTAGTAAACCTAATCCCTTACATACGCGATATTCCGTAGATAGTATAGGGTGCTATATAGCTTAGTAGTCGATCTAAATTAGTGATTATAGAAAGCGATAAAGAAGCATCTCGGTAAGGATATATAGCGAATTCCTATATCGCTACGCTCGACGAGGGTCTTATACCGATCTATATACCTAGAACTATCTTTCAACAAGATAACGCATCGATTTATACGTCTAATATAGTAAAAGACTAGTTTAAAACACATAGAATTGAAGTACCCGATTAGCCTGCACACTCGCCTGATATGAACCCGATTGAACCGGTCTGGGGTAAGTTAAAAATCAAATTATTTAGCATATTTCTAGAGCTAATTGGTATGGGAAGATGTAAGGAGGATTGGTAGTATTTTATAGAGTATTTGAAAGCTGCTTGGAATGCATTAGATCAGGGCAAGATTGATAGCCTGATTCTTAGCATGCCTAGGCGTATAGCTGTATTACGCAAAGCAAAGGGGTGGTATACTAAATATTAGCTAATTCTAGTGAAATCGATTGAATTTGCTATATTTTGATTATATTATTACAGGGATCAGCTAGGTGGTTGATGTAGAAATATATATTTGAGGATATAATATAGAAAGTGGTGAAATTACATAATCGCGGGTGTAGGGAAACTTATTAATAGGGGGTGTAGTATTCAACAGGCAACCTAGGCCGAGACAGCGGCTAGAGAGGCAGGAGAGCTACTAGTGAAGCAGCCCAGGATTAGTTATATTCCCCTCCCGACTCCTCAATTACGGTGACCTAAGCAAGGTTGGCTATACTATAGGGGGTTTACCGGTCAGTTTGAATTCTAGTATTGATGAGCAACTATGAAGTAGGCGTCGGTTCCCAGGAATCAGTCGGCCTGAGTATCTCTAAGTTATAGTAGAAGCGTTAGAACAAAGGCAGTAGTATATTCTGAATAACGATAGTTACTAATATCCTGTATCATCGTTATAGTATCCCTTCTAGTCGAGGCCTCTTTCTCTCAAGTACGTCAAGTCTACGACTATTTAGCGTAGCGCTAATTACGCTCTTTATCCGTTGTCTAAGATCGAGTGGTCGAGGCAAACCGGCTATAGAGAGTCCTGTCGCTGGTCAATCGGTCTTGAGAATAGCGGCCTACGACTGGTTTAATGACAATTCACAAAATTAGATTAAACGCCGAGGTCGCAGTATTGGGAAACCCGGGTAATTGTTGATTGTATGTATAGTTCTTGTTTGTCTTGAGGAATTTGAAATGCCCAAAGTGCTAAAGTACGTTGTCATAGTGCTCGTGAAACTAGGTGCACGTTGTGTGGAGAAGTTCCTATGTTAATACTACGCTCTTAAATCCCTCCGGTAGCGTGTGGGTGATGATTCGTTCCAATAACTCTGTTGGCAATTGCATAAGGACCATGATTATCGAGATTGCACCACCAAGACGCCTGTCAAAACCGAAATTGGCGAAGTGTGGTTGATGTAGTGCAAGAATAGAATACCCTTTGGCAAGAGCCGAACGACCTGCAACCAGTCAGTGTCACTATACCGACAGTGACGGGGCAAACGAGTGAACCGTAACCCGTATAAGGTTAAACGGAGTCGATGCCTCGGGCAGTCCCAATGGACCAGTTGACCAGAGACGCGTATTATGGTAGGAATTGTGTGCCAAGATCTGTCGATCAAGTATAACTTGCTACATGAAAAGTTACGTTCTTCATCAATAGAATGAGAGAGAGCGTGCAGCCATCAACATCTACATGATGCCTGCGGAACCGGGCATCAACATACTTGTAAACAGGGAATCTTTACCTGAATCAATTGAGATCTACGAGCATCTCGCGAATCCCCAGTATCTGATTTCGTGGGATACGTGATGTATGAACGTAGTTATCGAGGGTACTCATGTAAGCACATCTGAGAACTTGACATCGCACACATGGCAGCTTAAGCCAAGACCTCCAATTTAACTGGCCAAGGTTTCATGTGAGGCTAGCAACGACTAACCGGGGCTAACAACAGAAACAGAGGAGGCCAGTAAGCTCGGATAGATTCCGAGAACGCCTGTCTTACTACAAGTGGTTGTTTTTAGAACGGAAGATGGAAACACACCACGCCACATTGGCAGTCGTGTAGAAAACAAGGACGGCGAGGATTGACTACGTGAGTTCCAACACAAGATACACAAGAGAAAGAGTCGAATCGTTGCAAACTAATTTGAATTTTTGGCTGTCCTGGTTTTGACTGGTCACCTACCGGGACAACCGAACCCCCGTGTGGGTGTTGCAAACTCTGTCATACATGTCATGAACTTTTTTGTTTTCCTATGATCAGAAGACAACAATTGCCATGATTGACCAGTATTTGACACCCCTTCAAGATCCAAAGAACAAACACCCTTCTTTAAACAGTCTCGAGGATCTGCTCCTTGAACTCCCGCTCAACCTTCTGGCCCTTGTCATCGGTAGCCGACTCGCCGTGCAGGGCAAGCAGAGCACCCAGGTCGAACTTGGGGGACTTGAGAAGCTTGACCTTGCGGATGTGGACCTGTAACGAGTTCCATCATTAGAAATTGACACAAACACAACCACCAATATCGGTTGGCAAAGAATTGCCTGAGAGGTAGCGACTTACGTTCTGCAGGGGGTAGATGCCCTGAGTGGACTTCTCGATCTCACGGCCAATCACCTCGGGGATGAGCTTGTGGGTGAGCTGGGACAGAGTGCAGCTGGCGGCCTCACGCTGAATGATCTCAGTCATCTTCTTGCGGATGGCGCGAATTTGAGACGAGCGGGCGTAGGTGGTCTTCTTGATCTGGTTGGGGCGTCTCTTGGTGAAGGCAATGGCGAACAGGCGGAGGAGGTAGTCGTCAGTGGTCTTCACGGTGATGTTGGCCTCGATCAAAGACTGCCACTTGCGGACCAGGGAGCGCAGCTTGTCGGTGGTGAAATCCAGACCGTGGAAGTTGGTCAGGCAGTTCTTGCCCTGGATCTCGTCGACGCGGAGCTTGACCTTGCGGAAGGAGTGGTCCTCATCGTTCTGGAGGTCGGCGAGGGAGACCTCGAAGATACGGCCCTTCAGGGAGTCGTTGGCGTTCTTCAGACCGCTGGTGCGGTTGACGAGAGTCTTGCCGACACTTCAAAGAATTCATTAGTAAACTAAGTCCATACCGGAGGGGAAGATCATCTCTGATGAAGGGAGGAGGGGAAAAGGCGGGAGAATCCTACTCGCGGGTCTGGAAGGTCGAGGGGGCCTGGTAAACGAGAGAGAGGACAGTCAGCGGTGTGACTCGAATCGAAGTCGTTGATGGACAGGACCAACCTTGACGGAGTACTCGTCCTTACGGGTGAAGGGGTCGACGGTTCTCTTCTTGATACCCTTCTTGCCCTTCGACAAGCGCTTGTTCCTGGAAGGCGAGACAGGTTAGCACATTCGTTCAACGTGGATCATCACGCTGGGACCGTGTGGAATTTGAATAAAAGTCCAAGTCCCAGGTGAAGAGAGACGGTGCCAATGAGCAATGGGGAAGGAAGCGCATACTTTCCAACAGCCATATTTGCGAGTCGGGTCTATCTGAGTGTTGTAAAAAAGACAGACGAAGGGTATCGCTCCACGGCGCTCGGAGGGTTTCGAGATTCACGCTGCACTAGTCGACGGGAGGGTTGGAAAACCAAAACCCACAGAAAATTCGGCTAAGCGAGCCAACGCGGGCCCTACTGCTGACATAACGCCTGCCCACGTGATATCCACGATGCCCTCTCAGCCCAGGCAGGTTGATCCACTTACATAATCAGACCAAATATCACGTGATGTATCCAGCAGTCAGTTAACCAACCTACTTCCAGTTAGCAGGTACTGTACGCAGTACCATAGACTATCATAGCACTAGCATGTTGATGACCCAGTCTACGAATTCCAAGATTGGCACTGAACCAAAGATAGCCCTTTGAATCAAAAATTTACCAAGTATATATGTTAGATTCTTGATTATAATCTCCCACTTAAAAATTATTTGACAAAAGGTGTACCTATGAAGTATTGCTGATGTTCATTTTTGGGCCAAGCGGAAGACCCGTTCTTCCGCCTTCCCAATCTCCGCACGAGCCACCCCCTCACTACAGGACAAGGCTCTCCGCGGGCGAAACCGTCCTCTTTGCGACTCGATCTCTTCAATCTCCGCCCTCAAGTCTCCCTCTTTCCGCGCCAGGAGTATGGTACGTTTTGCTATAGCTGGCTGTGGGTTGCTACTACCTTTACTGCTTGAACTATAACTACATACTCGAATTTTACTCCTCCACTACCCTGTCTCCGAGCCACGGATGCTAACAACCAATTTGCGTCACAGGGAAAGCGCAAGAAGTCAAGCCGACAGCCCCAGGGGCCCCGAAAGGTGCGAAACCTATCCTACATAACCTGTTCTTCCCGATCACAACGGAAACTAATCCACCGACAATAGCGGGAACCTCTTGCAACCACTTTCGCCTGTCTCTTCTGTAACCACGAGAACTCGGTCGTCGTCAAACTCGATAAGAAACTGGGCCTAGGTGACCTCTCTTGTAAGGTGTGCGGTCAAAAGTTCCAGACCGGCATCAACTGTGAGTCCGCGTTCTTCTCATGAGTGCGAGTACCTTCTAATCGCTCCTGGCAATTTTCAACCAGATCTGTCTGCCGCCGTGGACGTGTACTCGGACTGGGTGGATGCATGTGACGCCGTGGCCAAGGACACGGCCAACCAGTATGATGGCGCCGTGGGATCGATAGGCAATAGCAAGTCTGATGCTCTGGCCAATGCTGGCCATGGAGATGCCTACGAGGACGACGACGACTATTGATTAGGATACGGCGGCAAGGGAAGAAGGGGCGAATGGCGCACAGGCATGATATTAATTCGACGAGTTTTATTCCATATTCACCTACGGTAGAATACTTCAAAAACAAAATTTTCGTTCACTACAATGGGCTCTGTCTTTATGTGTGCTCCATGATTTCACCAACGCTGAGGACTGCTCCTTTGGGAATGGAGTCGAAAAAGCCGCTCTCTAGGAATTCTGGATATGAGCCTGAGATCGGCTTTCTCGAGTCCGATAAGGCGACCGGAAATCCCCTGATGAAGCGTGCGCCTGCAATGAACGAAGTTCAGTCTATCTCCGGCCAGCCCCCAGGATGTGCCAACCACCAAGGGACCGGAGTCTTTAATACTCCGCGTGGTCCCTGAGAGGTGAGTTTGGCAAGCCCTATAGGGTATAATATCTGTCGCCGAAGTCACCCAAGCCAGGAATGATATACCTATTGACCAAGTTAGTTATCGTTTCATCTGCAACAAAGGAAGGGATGGATACTTCTTGTCATCTAGCCCCTGGTCAATGAAAGAAGTGACCACGCGGAGTTTAGGGAATCTCTCCGCAAACTCGGCAACGCCCGAGGGGCTTGCGATCAGATTCAAGAACAAGATTCGGTGCTCGGGAACCCCCTTTTGCTTCAAGACCTCTACGGCCAAGGTCGCAGAACCTCCTATAAAGCAGCGTTAGTAAGGCTTTCGGGAGGACTCGTCGGTCTGTACGTACCAGTTGCGAACATGGGATCTAAGAGGAGAACCCAGCGATCGGCAATATCGGCAGGAAGCTTCTCGTAGAAAAGCTTGGGCATGCAAGTCTCTTCATCTCGTTGGATCAGGATCTTTCCAATGCGGACAGACCGGCAACAGTCCCGTAGGCCTTGCTCCATGGCCTCCCCCGCTCTCATGATGGAGACACCGCAAATCTTTCCTTCGAACTTGACGCCCAGATAGGCCCGGTCGACTGGAGTAGTGACAGACTGCTCGACCACGGGAAGATGATTCAGTCCTTCCTCCACCAAGAGTCGAATGATTCGATTGGAATAGAAAATAAAGTCGGCACGTGCTGTCCGCTTATCTCTGATCATTCTGTAGGTGCGTTGGGGGGTCAGTGGTTCTGCTCGTGCGCCAAGCTGGAGAATTCTCACGTCAAGAGAGCAATCAGTTGAGGTGTCTGTGCGAGCACATGGACATTCTCGTAGGACACCTCCTTAGAAACCGTTGCCGTGGGTTTCTCGCCATCTGGGCGGTAGATGGGACCGACTCCCTGGGCTGGAGACGGAGTGGGGTCTTTGCTCGACATCGGGGATAGGAAGAAGAAGGCGAATGAGAGCACAAATTATATTGGAGGGTTAGTTTTAAAATAATGGGGCGAGGTAGAGGGGAAGTTGAAGTGAGTTAGTAAATAATGAGGGTTGCCTCGCCCATGTGAGGAGCACGCGAGGAGAAAGACAGGCGGAGGAAGCGGGGGAGGACTTTTTCTCTTATCTCGTATCGTCTTGCAGAGGCTTGGCTTTGCGTGTGCTCCGCACTTTCTTCGGAAGCTCAGACCTTATCGCGCCGTGAATTGGAGTCTGCATCATTCCCCGCTGAATAAGCTGTCGCAACCTAACTAGGTCCAGGGCTCCCTCAGTCCTTCACCATCTCCGCCACTTCAACCCACCATACACCGACTCTGGAAACCAGGCGTGACTATTGTGTCCTTCGCGCGATTACTCGCAGGCCATCCCTGAAGTCGCTATCTCCCTGTGAGGGTATTCCGTCCTGAGTTGCGCCGTTCACAGCTGCTTGCTTGTCTGGATGGGCTAACCTGCCGTCACCTACCTGCCCTCGCTTTTGCGACTCCATCCAGTTCTCAGAATGTGCGTGTCTTCGGTGAAGATCAATCCCTAGGGAACTTATCGAGGGACCTGACTTCGACCTTTTGAATTGCTGTGCACGCCCGTGCTCGCCGTTCCCGCATCCCCCTCCTTCCTCTCGAATGAATTGCGAAGCCTTCGCAACCTGTTCTAGACCGCAGAAATGGAACATTCGCGTTCGCGAAGCCGACGGCTTGTGACCTACGGCTCTTCTGTGAATAATCAGCCTCGTTCAAAAACGGCCTCTGTCCGCGCCTCGGCGGCCAAGGGATCGTTAGACCCGCCTAGTAAGATGCGCTCGTCGCATTCGTCAACAAATGAACAATCTGGAAGCGTGAATCGCAACAAACAAGCAAGACCGTCGGAGACAGCGCAGGCGCTAGAGATCTCGGGGACGTCACGCCCAGCTGAAAAGGATAGCATTTATGACCTTCCGTCATCAGATGAGGAGGACCTGGACTTGACAATGCGGCGAAAACGCCGGCGGTATGGTGTTGATACGAATGGGAATGCCGGATTATCCGGCAACTCTCTTGCCGTACGACCTCCGCCTGATTCTAAAGCCAAAAGGAGACCACAAGAAGTTTCGATCAAATCAAAGCCTGCGAGTTCGCCCACCAAGGTCGATTCACCTCGCGAAACGAGACACGCGTCAGGCCGTGGAGCCCCGCGACCACAACAAAGTGCCAAAATATCAACTGAAACGCCGAAGAAGCCCATTGCAGACTCGTCAATGGATCTTTTCCACAAGACTGGACCGACTCGCCTCCTCTCTCTCGACACGAGCGTACAATCGAGCTCGCCCAAGGCAAAGCAAGCCTCGCCTGGAGGCGTACTCTCTAGACTAAGAATTGAACCGGACTCCCCGAGCCCTCGACTACATACAAGCACTCTAAGTGGAACTACAACACCCACACGAAGGAGACTGATCGACTCACTGGGTACACGAGCACAATCAGAAGATATATCATCAAGCCCTGCGGCCGTTAGCCAACCACCGTCTCCTTTTACACCTCAGAGTCCTAGCCGGCCAAAGGCCCTCCCTCCACCAAGTAGGCGCGCGGACGGTCAGGCGACAGACCTAAGCCAGGAATCTACCGTCACAGTTTCACCGCATCTAACCGGCTCTAGAGTCACATATGCCCGCCAACGTTCGTTTTTAGACGATCTTTGCATGGAAGATGGCGTGCTTGGGCAGAATATGACAGCCAGTGTTGAGCAAGATAGCCTGTCAGCTTCACAATCCCGAAGATTCGATGACCTCCCCCGTACTCGCCTTTTTGAAATCGAAGAGGTAAACAATGATGACGGGTCTGTTCGAAGTATTCATGAGCTTCGTCGAGCCGGGGGGAATGCTCGTTACCGAGGTGCAATTGAGTCCATCTTTGAGGACATGGAAGATCCTCATGTGTCAACTTCTGGTCGATGTAATTCTTTCGTTCAACTCTGCGACAAGTTGCTCGACTCCAAACAAGCACGTCAATTTGTCGAGTGCAACTTTGAGAGAAGGCTTGTCGATTGCCTCTCCGTGAACCTGGACACGGTGTCTGCTACTCTGGCTTTGTGCGTGTTTGGGTTAGCCTCATTAGGTCGATCTCTGCCCTATGTTCTTGCAGCTGCTGCATGGCCAAAGTTGCTGGAAGTACTGCCGTCCTTGATCGGGGCCCAGGATGATCTAAGTGCGATAGTTCGCGTTCGAAACAGCAACTTGTCCAAGGCTGCCCAAAGATCGGTGCAAAATATCGCACCCCGAATCCACGCGGCCTTGTTTGCTGACGCATCTGTACCGACGATGTCTCCTTGCATTTTGGCACTACACTGTTTGAAGGTGACCAACTTAGCATTCCAGGCCAAAGGTGAAATACCTGATGGCCTGCCTGCTCCTGTGCTGAGCCAGCTCGTCAACATTCTCGTATCCGAAAGCTCCCATCTTCAAGAGCAGCCGACGATAATTGATGAGGAGAGATTACATGTGTTGATATTAGGGCTCTCGATCCTTGAGGCTCATATCACATCCGCAGATCCAGCGCAACAAGAACAGCGTGATGCCCTGGGGGTTCTCTCGGACATGCACCGCTTGCTTCGACTAGATAACGAGGAGGGTCCAATACGCCAACAAGTTCAGACGCTCTATCTTCGAGTAATCCTGAATGTCACCAATAGCAACCCAACGCTTTGTGACAAATTTGCAACCGCAGCCATGGTTGAAGAGCTAGCCACGATCGTGATGGCCAGATTTGATGATCTGAGCGAGGATACCCTCGCACAAGAGAACAACTCTCTCGATACCGTGATTCTAGCGCTGGGGGCTCTGATCAACCTGGTCGAACAGAGTGAGGCGTCGCGTACCATTTTCCTCGATTCTGGTGGTGTTTCAGAATCCATTCTTGATCAGCTCTTACGCCTCTTCTTGGCTCATGTTGATTCGATATCCAAGGTATGAGCGTGTTCGACTCTCGTACTGACTCTGAAACATAGCTGACTAAGGTTTCTTTTTTTCCAGGCTCATTCGGTCCTGGAAGTACATCACAATGTCACCGTGGGATACTTGGCTGTTCTTCTCCTGGCACTTTGCCTACACACGGGCGCTCGCATGCGGATCAAGGAGTCCCTCCATCCCAATGGACTAACTATCATCATGTCTACTGTAAATGAGTTTTTGCAGTACCACCAGAAGATTGAACAGGAACTTCACTCTACACAGTCGAAGAAAGAGGCCAGTGGATTTTTGGTCCGGCTTCAGGACCTTATCGATGAGATTCAACGCATTGATAACGAATAAGAGAAGCACCAGACGCTCTGGTATATTTGGTACGTCCAGTCTGGGTTCGATGTACATAAATGGTTGGTCATTGTCGTGGGGTTTGTTTTTTTGTTTTTTGTGCTTATCGGAAATCGGGCGGGTGGCATGGAATATAATAGGCATTTATGAATGATACCCTTTTCAAAAAACAGAAGCGATATTTTGCAACTCATCCAGGACAGTTTCATGAAAATCTGGTCTGAGTAATGATGATCAGGTATAGATACCAGACCACCGGGTTTTGCTCTTACTTCGTATGCCTCGGAAGACGGCAGATGGCATGAGATATCTAATCATCTGTTTGCAGCGTTTGCAGTTGGAGCTCCATGTTGCTTCAAGGAACTTTGCCACCCGCGACCGCAGTGACCGCACTCCTCCTTTCTCAGCAAGCGCTCGTTCTTCAATTCTACTTATCTAGCCATCTCCAATTGTTCTGTCTTATTACCCCTAATCCTCCCTCCCACCCCCCATCTTAATACAGCACAATCCGCCGCCCTTCCCTCAAGATGCCTGCCGCGCCTAAGCAGAGAAAGATCGCGATCGTCGGTAGCCGCTCCGTGGGTATGTGATCCCACCATCCTCTGGGCTCCGAACATCATCTTCGTATCGTCGTTGTCTCACGCCTCTTCCCTGACTTTTAGGCAAGTCTTCTCTCACGGTCCGCTTTGTCGAACAACATTTTGTGGAGAGCTACTACCCCACAATCGAGAATACCTTCAGCCGGATTATCAAGCATAATGGCCAGGACTACGCAACTGAGATCGTGGATACCGCAGGACAGGTAGGAAACTCCCTTGGTACTGTTTGCACGCTCAACTCGCTAACTGCCGTTTCTTCTCTCATGACAGGACGAGTACAGTATCTTGAATTCGAAGCATTTCATTGGTATCCATGGCTATATCATTGTGTACTCGGTCACGTCACGCCAGTCCTTTGAGATGGTGAGAGTGATTCGAGATAAGGTCCTGAATCACCTGGTACTACTTCCGGATGCCCATGCAACCCGCTCAGTCCATCTGGAAATTTTCTAACCGTTCGCTTTCTAATAGGGCGCCGACCAGGTACCATTGGTCGTGGTGGGAAACAAGAGCGATCTGAAGGGTGACCAACGACAGGTGACTCTTGATGAAGGCCGGCAACTGGCGGAAGAGTTCAACTGTGGTTTCACCGAGGCCAGTGCCTTCCTCGACTTTAATGTCGCTAAAGCATTCGATCTGATCATCGGAGAGATTGAGAAGTCTCAAAACCCATCACAACCCGCTGGGAACAACAAATGTACGGTGATGTAATCTCGCTCTTACACCACTAATTTTCCTCTTTCTATTCGCGATAGCGGGAGAAAGAGGGGAGGAGATGCCTTGATACGTGTGCGGGTCTTGAAATGATCGGAATGCGTCCGACTTTGCTGTCTTCACTCAAACCAATCCGCCCAGGAGGACGACGAGTTTCCCGATGACATATTACTCAGGGTCTTGTCTGAACTATGACATCCTGGTGTTGGAATGTCTCTCTTGCTATCCGTTCTTCTCCCTCTTCCTCTGCTTGTCCAGGGTCTTTCTCTTGTAAAGTGGGATCGACCTAGCACATTCTCCCACCCTCAATCCCTGCCATTTGTTCTGTCGGGACGGTTTATTCAAGGTTGCTTTCTCTGTGTCTTTTTGGATTTGTGGCATGCTCAGACTTGATTGCATGGATTGTGGTTTTTTAATCATCTGGCTTTTGTCTTTCTTTACGTACTTTATGGGCGAGGGAATCTGGATTTGGGTACTCAGCGAGCATAGAATAATCAAGTGGCCCCCGCAGGCCTTACCTGGAAATTTTGGTGCTTTTGTGTGAATCATACAAGCTCAAACGGAACCAACATCGGAATTATTAGCAGTGATCTCAATAGTTGGGAGAACCGATACCTAAGGGCCTCCATTATATGCTCGTGGAGGGGACCTGAAACTTTTTGTGAAACGGTGGATTAAGTAATGCCCCCGCGGGCGCGCGCACTTTGGGATTTTACCCCTCCACAACTGAAGCGGCCTTTTGACTCACTCGCTCTAGCCCTCCATTCCCTCCCTCGCTCTTCAACCATGCTCGACCTCAATGATTTCATCACCGAGCGCGGTGGCAACCCGAACAAGATCAAGGAAAGCCAGCGCAAACGATTCGCTCCCGAGGAAGCTGTCGATGAAGTGATCGCGTTGTACGAGGAGGCTCGGAAAGGTAGGCTGGCGCATGCCAAAAGGGGCCAGGCTACCTGCCAGATCGCTAACGTGGCTCAAACTAGCTCGGTATGAGGTGACTCAGTTTGGCTCGCAGCTCAACCCGCTGCTTAAGCAAATTGGAATGAAGAAGAAGGTATTGCCTCCCCACTTGCTCTGTTGATCATTCCGCTGCTCTTTTGGGCAGAGTGAAGAGGCCGAGTGAACCATTGCTCATACTATATGCTTCTACAGAACAAGGAGGATGCGAGCGATCTGATGGCGCAAAAGGCGGACCTCGAGAAGCGCAAGAAGGAGGCTGAGGATGCCGCTGTTCAGAAGGAATTGGAACGGGACCGCAAGATTCGCAGTATTGGAAATTACGTCCACGAGTCCGTGCCCGTGAGCAACAATGAGGTAAATACTCATCGGGATGTGTACCGAATGTTAAATATTGCCCAGACTGACCCGCAAACCTTCGCTAGGATAACAACGAGGTCATCAAGACCTGGACTCCTACGGACGCTGTCATGGAACGCCCCAACTGCCTTTCTCACCACGAGGTTCTGACTCGCTTGGATGGATATGATCCGGAACGAGGTGTCAAGATCGTCGGTCACCGCGGATATTGTTTGACCGGATACGGCCTGTTCCTCAACCTGGCCCTCGTCAACTACGGCCTGGAGTTCCTCTTCAACAAGGGATACACGCCCAACCAACCCCCGCAATTCATGCTCAAGGACCTCATGGCCAAGACGGCCCAGCTTGAGCAGTTCGACGAGGAACTCTACAAGGTCACAGAGAGCGAGGACAATTCTACGGACAAGTACCTCATTGCTACCTCGGAGCAGCCCTTGTCCGCGCTCCACGACAGCGAGTGGCTGCAGGAGAAGGATCTCCCCATCAAGTAAGGGTTCATTCTACTGCTTTCCTAATCAGAGTCGAGAACTGACGAAGGGGGCACATGTAGATATGCTGGATACAGTACGTGCTACCGAAAGGAAGCCGGTGCTCACGGAAAGGATGCATGGGGTATCTTCCGTGTCCACCAATTCGAGAAGGTGAGATCCGAACTTTCTCTTGACCCTTTCCATTTTGACTTGCTCACAACCAGTGTAGATTGAGCAGTTTGTCCTGACCAAACCGGAGGATTCTTGGCAAGCCTTTGAGGACATGATGGCCACTTCTGAGGAGTTCTACCAGTCCTTGAAGCTCCCCTTCCACGTCGTTGCTATCGTTTCCGGTGCATTGAACAATGCTGCTTCCAAGAAGTACGACTTGGAGGCATGGTTCCCATTCCAGCAAGAATACAAGGAGCTTGTGTCATGCTCCAACTGCCTTGACTACCAGTCTCGTGCCTTGGAGATCCGCTTCGGTGTCAAGAAGGCGACCGACCTGAAGAAGACCTATGTGCACGCCCTGAACGCGACTCTGTGTGCCACCGAGCGCACCCTGTGCTGTATTCTGGAGAACTACCAGAGAGAAGATGTAAGTAAATGCAGCAAATACTGCTCTCTACCCTGCCTTCCCCGCAAGTTGGGCCCAGTTGATGTATCATCCATGCTAATCCATCGTAATAGGGTATTGAGGTTCCGGAAGTGCTACGCAAGTACATCCCTGGCGCACCGGAATTCCTTCCTTACGTCAAGGAGCTCCCCAAGAGCTCTACTTCCCAGCAAAAGGCGGCCAAGGCCAAGCAGTCGACCAAGCCCGCCGCCGGTGCTGAGGATGCTGCCAGGAAGATGCAGGACCTGAAGGTCTAAAGGGGAGAAGGGACAGGCCACAAGAAATTCTTTTCCCCTTCCGAAGTTTCAAGCGTCAAATGATACCATGGAAATGAACATGTAAAAGCTTATATATGGCTGGCTGTGTATTGGTAGATCTCGGGTACCATGCGTCGAAGAGGAGGCTCTCTCCTAGAGATGTATCTTATAGACTCCAACAGGAACATAATACCAGTGGATCTAGAACATAGATCCCGATGCGCGCGTGAGACGTGCGATAATATCCGCGCTGGGATGTGTGCAACAAGAGAAAGTACCAGGTACATCTAGGAAATATTTATGTTTAGATACTTGCTTGCTCTATATGGTTCTGGGGATATTTCGTATCATCAGACCTATTTGTTCTCTTAGCTTATCATCCAACGTAACGGTAGCGAACAATCCATAGAATACAGTACTTCTCGTAGCCACTCTAGGTGGATATAGTGCGCTCCTTTGCTATAGCTAGGCTTCAAATTAATGAATCGAGCCTCGAGATAACCATGACACGAGAATTCTGTATAGGCAGGCATTACAAGATACACAATATCGCAGTATGTATGATATACTAGATGCATATGCTTCCCTTCGCTCCGCAATTAATCCGAATGGAAGGTGTTTTGATCGCCGACTGGGCCCCACTACAGGACTACTTATCCGGGAGTCCTTACTCTCGTTACTTACTACTGTCAGTCGGACTTCGTGTACTGCCAAGTTCTGACTGCTGCACTCGGCTTGCCGGTGGGCATGGTTGATGACATAATCATTCCATGTGCTTAGGTTCCACCCTCTCGTGGTACGGTAGTGAACTAACGTGGTAGGATGTACAGAGTAGTTCATAGGTAAGCTCATGATCTTACTCAATTGAATTACTCCAACACACGATTGTATTCAGCTCTACGCCAATCAAGTTGCACGAGTAGTATTACTCTGTATGGAGTTTCTACCGGTAGGCTGGCGGCAAAAAGAAAAAAGAAAGGAAAAAACCCTAAAAAAAAAAAAGTCGGCCCCGCGATTTGCCCCTCCATCAATCACGACATCACGACCTTCGTGACTCACGGGCGGAGATGCTCCGGATCGTAGTAGAGAAAAAAAAAATAGAATGAGGGTTTTAGGAGACAGACTAAATTGAACCCAATTAACCAATCCAAACACCGAATCGCCGAATTCCAACCCAATTTGCCCATCCGTCATTGGTCTAAGGAACTGCTGCTTTCGTGACGGTCCGATTCCGGAGACACCCTGAACTTTTCTGAAGGGCTTAGCTAATTTGGTGGACGGACCTGACCACTCATCCAGCCAGTTACTCATCCCACTCGGTGATTCATAGCTCGTTATTCCTCACGACCTCGTCATCTCATCGTTTTGACTACTGTCTCTTCTTCTCTTCTTTATTACTCCCTCCTAACCCCCCCCCAATTCCTGACCACCTCACCTGGTTATTCATTCATCGCCGATCTCCCACACATCCGCCATGACGTCGGCAAGAGATATTCGTCCTCGCACGGACGACCTGGCTGCTCAGGCTCAGTACCTCTCGACCTCACCCTCTGCCTCTTTCCACTCCCCCTCCAGCCACGGCTCTGCCCTGACGAGGACGGTTCCTGTGGTCAATGCCAAGCACTTGAAGCCCTTCGCCACTGAGGATATCAAAGTTTTGCTATTGGAGAATGTCAACCAGGCCGGCCGGGATATTCTGAAGCAGCAAGGCTACCAAGTCGAATTCCTCAAATCCTCTCTCCCGGAGGACCAGCTGATTGAGAAGATTCGGTAGGTCTTTTCTCGAGTGTGTGAACGAGCATGCCACGAAGGAATCCCTACTAATATCCGCATAGTGACGTTCATGTGATCGGTATCCGCTCCAAGACCAAGCTCTCCGCTCGGGTCCTTAAGGAAGCTAAGAACTTGATCGTGATCGGGTGCTTCTGTATCGGTACCAACCAGGTGGACCTCCAGTATGCCGCCGAACACGGTATTGCCGTCTTCAACTCCCCCTTCAGCAACTCCCGCAGTGTCGCCGAGCTGGTCATTGCCGAGATCATTTGCCTTGCTCGCCAATTGGGCGACCGCTCCAACGAGATGCACAATGGTACCTGGAACAAGGTCAGCAACAAGTGCTGGGAGATTCGTGGAAAGACACTCGGTATGTGGACCCCGTTTTCTCCTCGGGGTGGTTTCAGAGCCATGATCGAGTTATGAGGTGCCTTGACCTGTTCGAAATTAACGCCTTCTTCTATAGGTATTGTCGGATATGGTCACATTGGCGCTCAGCTCTCAGTATTGGCAGAGTCTATGGGCATGTCCGTCATTTTCTACGACGTTCTTAACCTTATGGCTCTGGGTACTGCCCGTCAGGTCAACACTTTGGAGGAACTCCTGCGCGAGGCCGATTTCATCACCTGCCACGTGCCCGAGCTTCCCGAGACTAAGGGCATGATCGGCCAGAAGCAGTTTGAACAGATGAAGGCCGGCAGCTACCTGATCAATGCCAGCCGTGGTACCGTCGTCGATATTCCCGCGCTCATCGAGGCTATGCGCAGCGGCAAGGTTGCCGGTGCCGCTCTTGATGTGTACCCCAACGAGCCCGCTGGAAATGGCGACTACTTCAACAACGATCTCAACTCCTGGGGTGCTGATCTGCGCTCGCTGAAGAACTTGATCTTGACTCCTCACATTGGAGGATCTACCGAAGAGGCCCAGAGCGCCATTGGTGTTGAGGTTGCCACGGCTCTGACCCGATACGTCAACGAGGGTTCCACCCTGGGTGCCGTCAACTTGCCCGAGGTTGCCCTCCGTTCCTTGACCATTGATGAGCCCAGCCACGCCCGTGTGGTTTACATTCACAAGAACATTCCCGGTGTGTTGCGCAAGGTCAACGAAATTCTTGGCGACCACAACGTCGACAAGCAAATGACCGATAGCAGAGGCGACGTAAGTACCCGTATTTCGCAGCAGCGAGAAAGTCCTGCGATGAGCCAGCCGCTAATCAAGTTTTTACCAGGTTGCCTATCTGATGGCTGATATTAGCGATGTCAGCTCCACACAGATCAAGGAATTGTACCAGAGCCTTGAGAGCCTTTCTTGTAAGATCAGTCCCTACCGAGTTTTGCTCGTCTATTTCCTCCGTGCACGACCATGCTAACTCGACTCACAGCTCGAATCATGACCCGCATCCTGTACTAGACGGCGCATCCCAAAAAAAGATACGCGCTATTGTAATCAACTTGACATGTTTGGAATCTACTTGGTGATTCAAATCTTACGATTTTAAAGGAGGGACCCTTTCAACGAGGTCCCTCAAGGACTGTTCTTTGCAAATACCTTCTGTCTTTTTCGTTCTATATTTCTCCCGGCGACGGTGTCGTGTTTTGATTCATGTGACCAAAATCTACAGTGGCAACCTCAAAAGTTTTGAAACCAGCGACTTGATATAGAAAAGTGTTGCACTACTGGATCTCATTTAGAATGATTCTTTGCCGTAGTTTTAAAGGCGCTATGCATATGTTAGTCGAATTTCATTCGAGAGCTTCGACTTGTCGAGATACCTGTGTGCGAGATACATGGTCATGTTCTGACAGCTTTTGTTTATCGGAGGTTAGATTAAAGTCATAGCATGAAACACATTTGATTTTGGATATTTGAGAATCTAAGGATTCAAGAGCATGGCAACATGCAGGCTAGTCGTTAGAATGTAATGTATTCGTGACTGCCTCGGCTCGATTGCGGCCTTGATAATTGTCACGAAAGACTGACTCCTCGGTCGAGTCCCTCGGAAAGGAGGGATAGAAGGAGGGTGAAGGATGTTGAGGTAAGAAGGTAGAGACGATGAGGGGAAGTGAGGGAGGAAAGGGCGAATTAGTAAAATCGAAGATTCACCTTTGTGAACATCTTCATCCTCGGCCTGGATCTCTGTAACCAGGACTCCGACTCCTTCTCCGAGGCGGTTCACGGCGATAGTCACGTCGGCTCCCCCCACGCCAATCCTGATTTGATTGATTGTAATCCCCAGATTCTCGTCCACGTTCGTGAGAGCCGCCCCCGTAGCTAGGGACGTACGAGTCGAGATTGTGGCTGCTCTGTGGGATTCTACCACCGGGACGACCCTGGCCTTGGTTGAACCGATCTCGGCGCTGGTCATCTCGCCCGTCGGATCTGCCGCTCTGTGCTCCCTCCCACGGCGGAGGACCTGTAGACATTGGCGGCCGCGGAGGGAGCCCGCCCTCTCGCTGAGGCGGGAAGGGCCCGCGTCGGTGGGGAACACTTGGGGGCCCGTTAGGGCGACCACCGCGGGCGGCTCCCGGGATCCGACTGTGATTGCTGTTGCGGGAGTCTGGCCGAGATCCGGGCCCGGTCCATCCTCCATTGGATGCGGGATCGGTGGATCCCATTGCAGGGGCTGGAGGCATAGGAGCGCGTTGGTCTCGGAACTTCTTGCGGTCGAGCTCGTGAGAATCTTGGTAATGGGGGATCTCGCCAGGATTTGCGGGAAGGGGAGGTGTGGTGAAGTATGGATGTTTTAAAGCATCAATGGCGTTGATGCGTTTGCGCCAGTCCAGCTTGAGAAGCTCTGTCAGGAGCGAGACCGCCACGGGGCTTTGGCTGTTGTATTGTCAGTATTTTTCCCGCCACAAGAACATCTAGATTCCGTTGCATGTTCGGAGTGACTCACTCTTTAAATACCTGGGCAAGGTTGCCAGGTTTCTGGCCAAAGCTCTTCACCCCGTCGCATCCTGGGAGCGAGCTCCATCCGGGCATGTTCTCCTCGGTAGGGGTTCCCACCAAGGAAAAGATGAGTTGAGTTTGATTCAAATCGCTGCTACCTGAGAGAATCGGTTTTCCCTTGAACATCTCACCAAAGACACACCTGCACCGATCAGATATTTGCATGAGCACGCATAACGTTAAGAAAGAAGCACAACAGAAGAAGCTTACCCAACTCCCCACATGTCGATGGCTGATGTATACCGACGAAGTTGAAGAAGCAACTCCGGTGGGCGGTACCATCGCGTAACAACCAGGGCAGTGTATTCTCTTTTAGCCTCCCCGCCGCCCTTTCCAGCTTGCGGAGGAGGCTCATCGAAGGGTCGTGCCAAACCAAAATCGGCAATTTGAAGGATGCCCCCATTACTAATTAATAGGTTGGCAGCTAGCACATAGTGCTGGATTAGCTGAGTTCGAAAGTAGACGACCTCCATTATCACACACCTTTCATATCTCGGTGTAGGATTTGATTCTGTGTGGTACATTAGTTCAGTGTTCTTCCGTTTGAAATCTTGACAGACTTCGTACCGCATGCAAGTATCGCAGGCCTTCTAGCAACTGATAAAGATAACACTTGATCTGAGGCTCGGTGAAGTGGACGGTGGGGTTTTCCAGAAGACCTGATAGATCATGTTCCATGTACGGCGTGACCATGTACATGCTGGGCTTTTTCGTCCCTCGCCTGGAGCTATTGTCAGAGACTAGCTTCGGCAGATAATATGACGAATGTGGTCTTACCTTTGCTCCTTTCAATCGCCATCTCCTTGAGTTGCAAGATATTGACATGAGAAAGCGCTTTTAGGAGTTTGATTTCACGGATAGCTGTAATCGGAAACTATGAAACATGAGATTAGTGACGACCGTGCGGACAACAAAAGCAGACCACTTACTCCTTCCTTCTCGTGATGCATGAGAATCTTCTTCAAGGCCACAATCGAGTTGTCCTTCTTTGATCTCGCTTTGTAGACCTCACTGCTCGCCGGTCAACAACTTTATTGCTTGAAAGATATTCAGCGGCAGACATACCCAAAGGTTCCCTCGCCAAGTTTGCCTATAAATTCAAAGTCTCGAATATTTGAACAGCCAGGAAACCGAGGTTCGCCCTGGCTATCTTTCTCAAGTGACACGAGAGACATCTTGTCACCGCGGCCCTTGAACGACCAACAAGGACAGGACTTGGAGTGGCTGCAAGCTGTGATGTTTGTCTGTATCGAAGGAGGAGACGTGACCGGTGGTTCGACAGTGTCAATCGTCTTTCGTTGAACGGGCAAGCGCGGACTGGCAGAATGTGTTGGTGGAGTCTAGTAGATCGAGTCTTAAGGACTTTCTCGGGGCGAGTTGAAACAGGAGTTGTGATAAAGAGTTGACAAAGTTGAGTTCGTAGCAGTCGGTTCGAAGATTCCAGAGGAAGAGGAAGAGGCAAGCAGCAAGACTTCACATCGCGGGAGGTGTAATGCGGCGTCGTCTAAGACAGGCTATTCAAGGGCCTCGGTCAACAAGGTCGTCGCAGAAGCAGGCAGCGCAGGCAGGCTAGTCGCTGTAAGATCAGTGTAAATTGCGCGAGAACAAGCAATCCCAAGGCACCCCAAGCGGTAGTAAATGAAGTTTGCCAATAGGCAACGATCTCAAAAAAGTCCGCGACTCGAGGCGACTGGAAAACGGCCGCTTGCCGTCACTGGTCACGTGATTAAATGACTTGAACCTCCGCCGAAGACCCGCTTTCTCGACTCTCTCCTCAGCAATCTGCCCCCGTTCGTGAAGGAACCACTTGCACGACACACACAGTGAGAGACCCCGAATCCCGTCAAGCAGACTTTCAATTGTACTGACCCAATTCGTTCAGTCATGGCAGGCAAGGCACACCACCCTATCCACGTCCACCCGGTCCGACCGCTCTACCGCTTCACGGCAACTGCTCTGAGCGCCAGCATGTGGTTCTTCGTATGACTCCCAGCGCCGCCCCATTCTGAAATATATGGAGATGCTAACTCTGATTCCTACCATGTAGCTCATGTACCGCGCCAAGAAGGACGGCCCGGCTCTGCTGGGCTGGAAGCACCCATGGGACCACTAGACGAACGAAGTCTGTGTGCCTCGAAACCCCTCCATTATCCTACAATACCATGCTCAATTTATGTGAAATCGGAATCGATCCATTAGAGCGCACTATCATGTTTTTATTTTCATCTGGAGAGTCCTTGGGCTAGATCGGGCTCGGGGGTCAGTTGAAATGTATTATACCAGTTCCGTTGGGAGACAATGCGACACTGATAGAGTGCAAAAGAGAACCGCTCTATCTATCTATATTTCTCGTTTTCATTATAAGTACAGTTCTTATACCACCTGACCGCTGAAGGTCACAGGCGCAACTGCTCTAGCAGAACTTTGTACTGGCGGCGCTTTTTGCGGTAATTGGGCTGCAGGCGAGCGCGGATTTGGCCAATCATGCGAGCCAGGCGAGGGAAAGCTATGGTCTCAGCCGTCAAAGCAAGAGCAAATGCCCCGAGCGCCAATGCCACAGCCCAGCTGCGGAAGCCATCTGACATGAAGGTCAACTCCATCACGCTCGCAACCCACTCAGAGGGACGGAAGAGCATGTAACCCGCAATTCCAAGGTCGATAATAATGGTACACAGATAAGGAGCTTGTCGCCGAGACAGTCATTAGCATTAGGGTCTTGGAGAATAGAACTGTAGGATTTGCTCACCATTTTGGGTCATTGGCTGCCGGAATGGTGGTCCAACGCTGAGGACAACGCTGGTCAGGATGTACTGGAAGCAAGAAAAGAGGAACAGGGCTGTATTCTGCGAGTTCACAATATTGCTCTTTTCCACGTCAAGCTGTGGAGGTAGGTACCTGGATGATATGAATTATTAGTGTTTCCAACGTTTTGACACGGATTGTCAACGGCCACTTACCAAGGTTGCAATTGGACAGTCTTAAAGATGACGAGTTGACCAAGGACCACCATGCCGATCTGCCCCAATAATGGTGTAAGAACTTTTCGTGAGACGAGATCCGCCGTGGGTCGTTTGCGAGAAAGAGTAGGATATGGACCGGACCAACCCACTGCATCATTGTCAGATTACGTGCAAGGAAAACCCAAAATATAAGTTTGCAACTCACTAAAGATGGCGATGGGCATGATGAGAGCAAGGTCGATAAAGAGGAACTAAATGCCGAGTCAGTGACCTTCTGGGGGAGTCTCGTCTATCTCATCTACATGCTGAGACCGGTTGTGCACTCACCTGGAAGTCACCAAGGTTGGACCCCGACGTATAGAGGAAGCTGACCGTGGAGAACTGGATGGCCGAGTAGAGACTCATGAACTTGAAACAGCAGAAGCTAGTCACCAAGGCAGCCCGTCCCTCACTTTACCAAAGAGTCAATACCTTGTCTTCAAGAATAATGATGCTGAGTAACTTACCGGATCAATTTTGGCACGCAAGAAATGTCGAATTGCCGACTTGTGAATGGCGCAGCCACGGAGGCTTCAGCATCCGACAGAGAAATGCCAACGTCTGCGGCTTTAAGAGCACCACAGTCATTTGCACCGTCTCCACAGAAACCACAGCAGTAATCAATGGACTGGAGCTTTTCGACCAGTTCGTGCTTTTCATCGGGTGACATCCGGGCAAAAACTTTGCCGATTACCAGCATCTGGCGGCTTGATTAGAGAGTCTCAAGATAGACTGTGAAATCCCAGGACGACTTACCCTGCTGAGCACATCCTCGTTGCCAAAGTCAATCATCCAGCGGAACACATCACCCGTGACAGCAATACAGTAATTACGCTCGTGCAAGGCAATTCCAGGAATGGAAACATCGCTTTCTGCGGTGGTCTCCGTGGGCTATACGGGAGGTTAGTTGCGGGTAATCATAATGGAAGAGACACTCCATACCAAAAGCGTTCTCGGATCCAGCGTGAGATCCGGGTCATCCACACTTTCCCAGCAAAGAGAAGTTTTGGTATCGAGGCCCGGATCTTGAGCACTCTGTTAGCCCATAGATGATTCATGAATCAGGGAATTTTGGACTTACCTTCGACAAAATTGGGGATAAAACATTGCTCGTTAGGACCAATCATCTTGCATTCGCGAGCAACGCTGACAGCAGTCAAGATGTTGTCGCCTGTGCACATGACATTCCGAATGCCAGCCTGGTTGAGCTCAGAAATCACCTTGGTCGTGGTGCTCTTCAACTTATTCTCAAAGATGATAAAGCCTGCGAATTCCAAGTTGCTCTCAGCTTCAGTGCGTGTCAACTTTTGCACTTTCATCCAGCTTAGTTTGCGCTCGTATCTTGTAGCACAAGCAATCACGCGGTATCCCTTGTGGGTGTAGTAATTCAACAGCTCATCGTAATCGGAAGGAACTGCAGTGACGAGTAAGACGGGGTAATGACGAATAAGGGGATATGGAAGACTGACGGGACTCGGGAATACAGATATCCTTGATACTCTCAGGTGCGCCTTTGACAAAGAAATTTACACCATTATCCCCAAACTGTCGGACAACCACACTGGCACGGCGGAGCTGCGAGACAAATTCGAAGTTTCGAAGAACTCCGAGTTCGACGGGAATCTGCAACGGGTATCAAAGATCAGCGAAAATCACGCTGAGGTTTTAAGAGAATAAAACTTACGTTTGGCCCATTAGGTTGGCTGTCGCCTCCGTGAGTCACTGGGGGCTTCGCAACAGATGGAATGATAGTGTCAAACTTGGGGCTTGTTTGCTCAGAAGCATGGCCGCCACCCTCCTCGTAGGACCATCCACTAAATTGGAACATCTTTACATCAAGAGGGTCACCAAGGAGTTCGCCATCCACAACTCGAAGAGAGTGACATGTCGCCATGGTATAGACAATCTTCCGCTGCTTTTCAAGATCGAATGGAGAATTCGCGTTTGGCGGAGGAAGTAGAATGCCGGAAGATGTCTCAGACAAAAGCTCGGAGAATCTATACCAATTTAACCACTGCTGATCGTACGCCTCTCGAGTCAAGGACTAACCTGTGGTTTTTGCCAACCGTGCGCGCACCAAGAACATCTAGGCCATCCTCCGTGAGAGTGCCAGTCTTATCGAAACAGACCATATCTAGTTTTCCACCAACATTGACCCTATATCGAAGATTTATTAGTAAAAAAGGTAGAAGAAAGTCAGCTTTTCGGATTCCACTCACTTTTGCGGGCTGATGCAGAAGATTGATTGCTTCTTCAGACGCGAAAGAGCAAAATTTGTGCCAATGGTGAGAGTCGCAGGGAGAGCGGGTGGAACGACAATCGTAATCAAATCAAGTGCTCGGACGATGATCAGGTGCCAAGCAAGCTGCCTTTATTTAGTGACCACGCAAATGACAGCTTCTCTTTGAGATCGTAAACTTACCCCAAGTCGGACGAAGTTGATAAAAGACGCAATGAAGCCAAGAAGGGCGACCACCCCCATCACGGCAATATAGCGGAACGAATCTCGGTAAAACTTGAAGCCCGAGGGTTTCGGGAAAAGCATTGAGCGAACCAGTGCACCTTTAGTCGTCAAGAACCCTGTTCTAACGACGACTGCCAAGGCAACAGCTTCATCGTCATCTACATTCTGGGGTCGCCGAGCACGAATGACCTTTGTCCCACTGAAGAGGAAGTGCTTGGCAACATTGGGGTGAATAGAGGGGGCACTAAGATCGAGGTACTTGAGAGCCTCGTCGGTGAGTGGCGTCTTGGACACGGGAACCGACTCGCCTGTTTTGTCTGTCAGTGTTTCTCGCTGAGATAGGTATTGCGCCAAGGGTTACTGACCAGTGAGCATGCTTTCATTCACAATACAATCGCCCGACAACAAGATACAATCACACGGGACTTGGTTCAATGAGGGATCAGAGAATTCAAAGACATCTCCAGGTACCAGATCCTGGGAGGAAACAGATCTCCCTGCAGTTGAGATTGAGAATTAGCATGAATGTGGTGACGAATCGGAAAGTCCAGAGGTAACCTACAAAATCCATTCCTGAGAACACGCACATCGCAGTCGAACAAGGAGATCTCTCTCAGGCGACGCATAGTCTAAACACCAGGTCAGTCGGTAAAGGTACAGTACAGGGTAAGCATAGAAACATACCGATCTTGTCTCCAACACGGTGGTACCGATGCTGAAAACAGAGATAAGGAAGATGCACACGGCGTAGTAGTAATATTCATCCATGGACCATAGCAACAGACTGGCAACTTGGAACATGTAGAATGGATGAAAGGCCTGGTTGAGTGTTAGATTAGAAAAAAAAAAAATATGAATATATTGTTAGAATCAAGAATACATACCTCATCAACCAAGAGCTGAGGAACAGTCTTCTGTTGAATATCAATGACATTCTGACCAAATATCTGCTCCCTGCTATCACGCTCGTCGGCATCGAGACCTCCTCTCATGACCTTCGCATTGGTCCAGGAGGGATCCTTCCAGCCGCTGATCAACGCAAACTTGTCTTCGATCGGATGATAGCAGAAGCGCATATGCCTGTAGTCAAGAAACCGCAGATTGGCCATCGTTGGGTCGGTGTCTTCATCGTAGACATGACCCGGTGGGTCTACGAATATTGTTGACAACGGGCGCCCATAAGATTGGTTATCAATCTGGTGAATTGTGAACTGGTTCCATTGATCCTGGTTGGAAATTAGCACATGCGATTTTGTCGTGAAGATGGTGGAAGATGTTTCTCACTTCAATTGCGATCCATTGACATCTTGCCAACTGTGTTGCCTTTCCAATCAGTCTAACTCGCCAACGTGGGAGCCATCGAAATAGTAGATAGGCAAGTCCGCCAGTGAGGAGGCACAGGGTCAGGTAGATGGCATATCCACCCGGGCTCGTCGAGAATCCAGCAAAGACAGCTGTGAGGTCCTCCGAGGCAATATATACTTTCTGATTAAGCCTACCGCCCGTCCTCCTGTCTCGGCCATAGGAACTTGCGGAGATAAACCGAGAGAGTAGAGGATGCTCGACCGAGTCTCGAGAGAGTCTCTTGGAAACGAACGAGTCTCGGTGGGACTCGAGATCTGCTCCATCTAGACCATCTGGCGATGCTACCTCGATATCGCTGCCCACATCCACCGCGTCTTCATTGGACCATTCTGCAAAGTCCTCCTCGTCCTGGAAGTAAGTAAAACTCACCGTGGACCCACCTCGGGCACGGCGATGCGAAAACGAGACAACACTTGATGGGATACTTTCGGAGATGGGGCCGTCAAAAACCTGTTCCGACCATCGTCAATTGAGTTGACTATTTCGTTTGGAGTATATTAAAGAGGCATACCTCGTTCCGGGCCATTTCAACGTCAGACACCACGCTCATACTAGAGAGACGATCAGCAATCGCGGTTTGCATAATTTTGACCAGAGTCTACAACCTGCTCCTCAGAGAGTCCCGCCGGCGGCTAGGTCGAGGTATGGAGAGATCCATAGGATCCGTCCCCATCGGGGACTGCGGGCGGCTGCCCATCGTGTTGGATAGTTCAGTCGCTAGGTTTCCGATATTTGGTATCTGGTTTCTGGGTGGAGTTGATCGCGTGTGGTAGGGTTTCAGACGTCGAGGACCGGCCAGGGGACAGCTATTGAGCTTCACTGGTGATTATGTGATGGCCGCCGTCAGTAAACACATAGCCACCTCACACGAGAGCTTCAAATTCACATGCGCCAAAAAATGAAGACCGTGGGAAAGCTCATCGGGTCTAGCGAGGGGAGGCGACTTCCCCGACCCTCCAGTGACACGCCCTTATCACCATGTGACCTGATAAGCCAGAGCCTGGTGTATGGCCTCAGGCGAACATCAGCAGGCATTCTTATGTACCTCGTCTGGTCCTTGACATTTTTGACATTTTACGGGCTACAGCGCTATGGTTTGTCGAAGTCGATAGATACTATTTGGTGAGAACCGGGAATTAGAATTTGGTGAATCCGGTAGGTAGACATGTCACCATGAAATAGTTCAATTCTACGCAATGTCGGTATACTTGCCTAATCTTGACGACTTTTGATGACAGATCTTTCATATTTATACATCGACTTGGCAGTAGTTCCGTTCCATATCCTTCCGTCGTTGGATCGCATCTACCCGAGCCTCGCGTTGATAGGCCGTTTGCATATATATTCTCCGGACCAAGTCATCATTTGAGGGACTACATTCTATGTACTACCGGCAAATCCAGTCTCCACCGAGCCGATGGACGACACCCGAGCCATGTTTCTAAATATAAAAGATCAAGGATTGACGGGTCGAGGTCCTGCGTGCGATGGTTCAAGGGCAGGAATGGCTGAGCCTTCGATCTGGACCACCACTCAACTCCGGATAGTTCTCAGTGTGAATTACTGTACTACTGTACGAGTCATGTACTGACTCCACATCGTGTTCCGCACAGAAAGGAAAAGGGGACCCGAGTACAGTAATACTGTACAGTATCTTCTTTTGCTTTTTCATGTCTGTTTTGCCCCCCTTTGCTCGAGTGATTTTCCTCTGGTCAAGACGCCACCGAGAGGGGAATTGGCTCTGTAATAGACTGGTTCCACTCTCGACAGGAGAACCAAGAAACAGAAGAAGATACATATCTGCACCATTATCAGTCGTACCATGACCAACCTATGATATAGAGGCTCAGCCAAATCGTCAAGCACAAAACGTTCCAGAACTTTGTTGGGAGCGCGAAGGACCCTCAACCAAGAAGCGCGTCCCGCCAAGGCCCCTCCGGCCACCGGCGCTAAGGAATTCCCACCTAATCCCACCATCTTCCAGACTCGCCCCCTCCCTCAAAACGCCCGTATCAATTTCTTCCCCTCCCTTCCTTTCTCCAACCTCCTCTTCTACCCTCCCCCCCTCCCTCAACCATACCCCCCCCCCGTCACCATGTCTGAGCCCATCAGGAATAAGAAGCCCGACTTCCCGGTCGCTCCGTAAGGATTTCCCCTGCCCTTCTGGTGCCTGCTTATCGGCAATGAGAGAAAAAAAAAAAACAACTGACCCAGCTCCGAAAATTTCAGGACCCCGCAAAACACGCCAGCCAACAATGCCCCCATCTCATCCCACGCTCAGCAGCCTGGCGTGTCCAGCATCAAGGAAGGTAGGTAGCTGCTGAATTTGACGGCCCTCGTACACCCCTCCCTCATTTCTACGGTCGCGTTCCTGACCGCTGTTTCCACAGAACCCTTGGATAGCGCGACTGCCGCCTCTCTCTTCGCCCGGAACCCGGCTTTGATCAACATGATCCAGGGCAAGCTTGGCCAGCTCGTCGGCCGCTCATCTGGCTACATCGAGTCTCTTCCTCCCGTCGTCCGCCGCCGTGTGGCCGGTCTGAAGGGTATCCAGAAGGAGCACGCCAAGCTGGAGGCTCAGTTCCAGGAGGAGGTCCTGGAGCTCGAGAAGAAGTACTTTGGAAAATTCACCCCTCTGTACGAGCGCCGTGCCACTATTGTGAACGGTGGTGTCGAGCCTACCGAGGATGAGGTCGAGGCCGGAAAGGAGGACGAAGAGGAGGATGAGGAGGAGACCAAGGAGGCTGAGGAGAAGAAGGAGGAGGAGGGTGAGCCCACGACCGGTATCCCCGAGTTCTGGCTCTCCGCCATGAAGAACCAGATCTCCCTCGCCGAGATGATCACCGAGCGCGACGAGGAGGCTCTTAAGCAGCTCACCGACATTCGCATGGAGTACCTCGACCGACCTGGATTCCGTCTCATCTTCGAATTTGCCGAGAACGAGTTCTTCACCAACAAGACCATCACCAAGACCTACTACTACAAGGACGAGAACGGCTACGGTGGCGATTTCATCTACGACCACGCCGAGGGCTCCAAGATCGACTGGAAGGATGACAAGGATCTGACTATCCGCCAGGAGAGCAAGAAGCAGCGCAACAAGAGTAAGTGCCGGGCCCCTTTTGCAAAATTCTTCCCACCCACGCATTGCCTACTGCTCCCCCACAGGGGGCTTCAAAAATCATGACACTAATTCTTCGCTTCCACACAGACACCAAGCAGACCCGCGTTGTCAAGATCAGTGTGCCCACCGAGTCATTCTTCAACTTCTTCTCCCCCCTCAACCACCTGCCGATGATGACGAGTCTGTGGCTAGCGACATCGAGGAGCGCCTGGAGCTGGACTACCAGCTGGGTGAGGATATCAAGGAGAAGCTGATTCCCCGTGCGATTGACTGGTTCACCGGCGAGGCTCTGCAATTCGAGGAGCTGGGTGAGGACATCGATCCTGATGAGTTTGAGGATGAGGACGATGAAGATGAGGATGAGGATGAGGATGATGACGAGGATGAGCGAGGATCAGACCGGGATCTGGATGACGACTCGGACGAAGAGGTAAGACGAACCCCCCCCTTTAAAAACATAATTCAACGCCATTTAAATTTACTGACTTAATTCTTTTTTCTACTTTCAGGATGGTACCTCCAAGCCCAAGAAGGAGGCTGCCGAGTGCAAGCAAAACTAGAACTTCCCCGGAAAAAAAGTGACTGGCCATCGAGCGGAGCAGCTCACTGACATGCTTCATGGACTTCCTTGTGATTGACGTTATTGCTATGTTTCCTTTTTTCTCTCTGTCTCTCTCCTCACTGATGCTCTTTCCCCCCTCTCTTGCACTGCGTGAACTTGACCTGTCTACCTAATATTTCTCCAATCAATTGACATAATCAGTGTGTGTAATATCTTACCCCTTTGGCCAAAGAGACTAGGGGAACAGGCGTTGTGATCGTTTCTTGGGCGCTGGTAATAGACATGGGTCACTAGTGATAGCTGATCCGCATCCCGATCTCTTAGAGCTCTGGTGCTTTCTGTGAGTAATTATATAGTGTTAAATCTTTGCATTGATAGTGTCTATCCCAATGTGGTACGATATGTATTGACAACATGACCGGGCAGCCGATGATGTCGTCGTCGATGATGTCGTGCGTGGGTCCGGACCTCAAACAAACAGTCCATCTATAGATTCAGAATCCGGGGTAAAGGTCCGGAACAGTCCGTACGGGGAAATAAGAGATCATCAGATCTGTCTGATGATCTATCGTCTTCGAATGTTCTGCAGATATGTTTGGTCCTGCTATCTTGGGTAGTCTACATGTAGGTAAACATGAGATATGATATAGAACCACCAATTCAGCCACAGTTACATCGGTGGCCTGGCCTGTACTGTGAGCCTATTTGTAATTCCTTCCATAGTCATTGTCCCCATAGTAAGGGCCTCTCTCTGCACAAATCTCTCATCAATCATCATCGTTCCCACCGTGCTGGGACCCCAACCCGCACAGAACGGAGGGCGGTGACTGACAACTGTGGGGGTGTGGCGCGGCACCCCCAAGTTAGTCCCGAAAGCTCCCTTCAGGGGCTCTGGCTGTCTCTCGCTAAATGGGCCAGCTGTTAGTTACTCTGGACCTCGATCGCGCTTTTCTTTCTCACCTGCCCTCCTAGACTCTGAACAACCCTCGCTTTTAGAGACTCCTTTTCCTTTCTCTTTCCTTTCTTTCGGATCATGAGTGGATGAGGGGTTGCCGTGAGACTCTCTGTCTTCCGACCGCTCATTCGTGATTGATTTGCCCTTTTATTTCCCCATCCCTATTTGGATACCCGCCTCGCCAACACCGACATTCTTCCGGAATCCCCCTACCCACATCGACCTCCTCCCCTGTGCGATCAAATCAAGCCCACTTGCTTGATCAGATCTCATCATGGCGCACATCTACGAGGTCGGCACACGGGCCTGGCAGCCCGACCCGACGGAGGGATGGGTCGCATCTGAGGTGAAAGAGAAACTGGTGGATGGTGATAAGGTTCAGTTGGTGTTTGAGTTGGAGAATGGCGAGGTGCGTTACCGGTCTTCATATCAGTGACAGCTGGAAGGAGCTTTGTCGATAATTTCAGAGTAATGGGGAAATGCTGACTTGGCGAGAATAAAAACAGACCAAAACTGTCGAGACCACCCAAGCTGAGCTGCAGGTCGACAACAACTCCAACCTCCCACCACTGATGAACCCGGCTATGCTGGAAGCGAGCGAGGATTTGACGAATCTGTCCCACCTCAATGAGCCTGCTGGTGGGTTCCACCCAAGGAAAAACATGTGTTGCTCCCGTGGCTTCAACTGACAGCTTTGTGCAGTCCTCCAGGCCATCAAGCTCCGCTATGCGCAGAAAGAGATATATACGTACAGTGGTATCGTCCTGATTGCGACCAATCCATTCGCACGAGTCGACTCGCTCTATGTCCCGCAGATGGTGCAGATTTATGCCGGGAAGCAGCGCGCTTCCCAGGCGCCTCACTTGTTCGCCATCGCCGAGGAGGCCTTTGCGTAAGAACCGCCTGTTCTGTTTGATGGGGTTTTTGACCCGGATCTGCTTGCTGACATGGTATTTCTTTGGAATACAGTGACATGCTTCGCGATGAAAAGAACCAGACGATCGTGGTCTCCGGTGAATCGGGTGCTGGTAAGACCGTGAGCGCCAAGTACATCATGCGCTACTTTGCGACTCGCGAGTCCGCCGATCAGCCCGGGAAATACAGCACGAGTCGCGCAGTTGCCACCACCGAGACCGAAGAGCAGATTCTGGCGACCAACCCGGTCATGGAAGCCTTCGGTAACGCCAAAACGACTCGAAACGATAACTCCTCCCGATTCGGAAAGTACATCGAGATCATGTTTGACGAGCGGACGAACATTATTGGCGCAAAGATTCGGACATACCTGCTTGAGCGATCCAGACTTGTCTTCCAGCCACTCAAGGAGCGGAATTACCATATCTTCTACCAGCTCGTGGCGGGTGCCACCGACGAAGAGAGACAGGATCTTGGTCTGTTGCCTATTGAAGAGTTTGAATATCTCAACCAGGGTGGCACGCCAATCATCGACGGCGTGGATGATAAGGATGAGTTTGATGCGACGAGGAAATCCCTGGCTACCATCGGTGTGTCGGCATCGCACCAGACCGAAATCTTCCGTATCCTGGCAGCGCTACTGCACCTGGGTAATGTGAAGATCACGGCCACTCGTACAGACTCCTCTCTTTCACCATCAGAGCCGTCCCTCGTGCGTGTATGCGAAATGCTCGGGATCGACGCCAATGAGTTTGCCAAGTGGATTGTTAAGAAGCAGCTGATCACTCGTGGCGAGAAGATCACCTCCAATCTCACCCAACAGCAGGCCGTTGTGGTTCGGGATTCGGTTGCTAAATTCATCTACTCCAGCCTCTTTGACTGGCTAGTGGACACGATTAACCGCGGGTTGGCTAAGGATGAGGTTATTGAACGAGTCAAGACCTTCATTGGTGTTTTGGATATCTACGGTTTCGAGCACTTTGCCAAGAATTCCTTCGAACAGTTCTGCATCAACTACGCGAACGAGAAGTTGCAGCAGGAATTCAACCAGCACGTGTTCAAGCTCGAGCAAGAGGAATATGTGCGAGAGGAGATTGATTGGACATTCATCGATTTCTCCGACAACCAGCCTTGCATTGATCTGATTGAGGCCAAGCTTGGAATCTTGTCCCTTCTGGATGAAGAGTCTAGACTTCCCATGGGATCCGATGAGCAATTTGTCACCAAGCTTCACCACCACTTCGCAGCCGATAAGCAAAAGTTCTACAAGAAGCCTCGCTTCGGCAAGTCCGCTTTCACCGTTTGCCACTATGCCATTGATGTCACCTACGAGTCGGATGGCTTCATCGAGAAGAACCGAGACACCGTTCCTGACGAGCACATGGAGGTGCTTCGTAACTCGTCCAACAGCTTCATCAAGGAGATTCTGGAAACCGCCGCCGCCGTCCGCGAGAAAGACTCGGCTGCGGTTTCGTCCAAGGCCGTGGCCGCGGCGCCCGGGCGCCGTATCGGTGTCGCTGTCAACCGCAAGCCCACGCTGGGTGGAATCTTCAAGTCCTCGCTGATCGAGCTGATGAACACCATCAATTCTACGGATGTGCACTACATTCGGTGTATCAAGCCCAACGAAGCCAAGGAGGCTTGGAAATTCGAGGGCCCCATGGTTCTGAGCCAGTTGCGAGCCTGTGGTGTGTTGGAGACTGTCCGAATCAGTACGGCTGGTTACCCCACCCGTTGGACATACGAGGAGTTTGCCATTCGCTACTACATGCTTTGCCATTCTTCGCAGTGGACGTCTGAGATCCGAGACATGTGCCATGCTATTTTGCGCAAGGCTCTCGGCGATGCGAACCACCAGAAGCAGGACAAGTATCAGCTTGGTTTGACGAAGATATTCTTCCGGGCTGGTATGCTTGCCTTCCTGGAGAACCTGCGGACCTCGCGCTTGAACGAGTGTGCCATTATGATCCAGAAGAACCTGCGCTGCAAGTACTACAGACGCCGCTATCTGGAGGCTCGTGAGTCTATTCTCACCACTCAGGCGTTCATCCGAGGATTCCTGGCTCGCCAGCGCGCCCAGGAGATCCGCCGGAATAAGGCCGCAACCACGATCCAGAGAGTCTGGCGTGGTTCCAAGGAGAGGAAACGCTACACCGAGATTCGGAACAATGTTATTCTGTTCCAGTCTGTTATGAAGGGTTTCCTCTGCCGTCGCAACATCATGGACTCGATCAATGGCAACGCAGCCAAGGTCATTCAGCGTGCTTTCCGTTCGTGGCGCCAATTGCGAGCCTGGCGTCAATACCGTCAGAAGGTTATCATTGTTCAGAACTTGTGGAGAGGAAAGCAAGCTCGAAAGGCTTACAAGACGCTGCGTGAAGAGGCCCGCGATCTCAAGCAAATTTCCTACAAGCTGGAGAACAAGGTCGTGGAGCTCACTCAGATCTTGCAGACATTGAAGCTTGAGAACAAGTCCTTGGCCTCGCAACTGGACAACTACGAAACTCAACTGAAGTCATGGCGTGCCCGGCATAACGCGCTTGAGGCACGTGCAAAGGAGCTCCAGGCAGAGGCCAACCAGGCCGGTATCACTGCAGCTCGATTGGAAGCCGTTGAGGAAGAGTTGAGCAAGATGCATCAAACCCAGTCCGATAACCAAGCTACCATTAAGCGCATGCAGGAGGAGGAGCGGGTCACCCGTGACACACTCCGCAGCCAGACCGAGGAATTGGAGCGTCTCAAGGTTCTTAATGCCGAGGCCGAGGCCGAGAAAGCTACTCTTCGGCAACGGGTTGGGGAGCTTGAGGAGGAGCTGGAAGTTGCCAAGCGATCGATGCCTGTCAACGGCGTTAATGGCGACATGCAGAATGGCGCTGCTGTACCTACACCTGCCAGCGGTCTGATCAACCTCGTTGCGACCAAGAAGCCCAAGCCACAACGGCGCAGTGCGGGTGCAGAGAGAGTTGGGACGGATCGATTCAGCGGTGCATACAACCCACGCCCTGTTTCTATGGCGATTCCCGGACCTACCGCTACCAGGTCTACTGCTGCCATTTCTCCTGGTCTGGACTCAGTGGAAGCGGAACTCGAGCACTTGCTTGCTGAAGAGGATGAACTGAACGATGAGGTCGCGATGGGTCTGATCCGTAACTTGAAGATTCCTCTGCCAAGCTCGACTCCTCCTCCAACCGAGAAGGAGGTTCTCTTCCCTGCGTACTTGATCAACCTGGTCACTTCGGAGATGTGGAACAATGGATTTGTCAAGGAGTCCGAGCGTTTCTTGGCCAATGTGATGCAGTCTATCCAGCAGGAGGTGATGCAGCACGATGGCGAGGATGCGATCAACCCCGGAGCCTTCTGGCTTTCTAACGTCCACGAGATGTTATCGTTTGTTTTCTTGGCTGAGGATTGGTACGAGGCGCAAAAGACGGACAACTACGAGTATGACCGCCTGCTGGAGATTGTGAAGCATGACCTGGAGAGCTTGGAGTTCAACATCTACCACACATGGATGAAGGTGTTGAAGAAGAAGCTGTATAAGATGATTGTGCCCGCGATTATCGAGTCCCAGTCTCTGCCTGGGTTCGTCACCAGCGAAACAAACCGCTTCCTCGGCAAATTGCTTCCCTCGAACAACAACCCGGCTTACAGCATGGACAACCTGCTGAGCCTTCTGAATGGGGTGTACCGGGCCATGAAGGCGTTTTACATTGAGGACACCATCATCACGCAGACCGTCACCGAGCTTCTGAAGCTGGTGGGTGTCACCGCATTCAACGATCTTCTCATGCGGCGAAACTTCCTATCGTGGAAGCGTGGTCTTCAGATCAACTACAACATTACTCGGATTGAGGAATGGTGCAAGAGCCATGATATGCCCGAAGGAACGCTGCAGTTGGAGCACTTAATGGTATGCGCCGTTGATTTTTCAGCTCGACTGTAGGGGTACAGGCTAACATTTCAATAGCAAGCGACCAAGCTTCTTCAACTGAAGAAGGCCACCTTGAATGATATCGAGATCATTCAAGATATCTGCTGGATGTAAGCCAAATCCCCAATCACTCTCATGACGTCGTTGGTAGTATACTGATCTATTTCTCTTCCAAGGCTCTCCCCGAACCAAATCCAGAAGCTCCTGAACCAGTACCTGGTGGCCGACTACGAGCAACCCATCAATGGCGAGATCATGAAGGCCGTTGCCTCGCGTGTCACTGAGAAGAGCGACGTGCTTCTTCTGAGCCCCGTGGACATGGAGGACAGTGGCCCCTACGAGATCGCCGAGCCCCGTGTGATCACGGCTTTGGAGACCTATACCCCATCTTGTAAGTGATGCGATAAAATACGCATACTATTGCGTCCTGTTCCCCTTTTTTTTGCTTGCATGTACTAACCATGGCTTTTCTAGGGCTCCAAACGCCACGACTGAAACGATTGGCTGAGATTGTATCTGCGCAAGCGATTGCCCAGCAGGATAAGCTTGGGATAGATAACGGGGTGTTGGAGGAGTAGGTTGTGTGTGTATATTAGACATGTTCTCCTTCATATGTTCTGTGAGCTACGGATTACGATCAGTGTGAGATTTTTCACCCACGACCTTGATTTGATGCCCGGGCAGATGCCCGGTTTTGAAATACAGTGATGCATTGTTTGTTGTCTAAAGACTAAAGAAAAGAGCCTTTTTTTTTCTTTCCATCTAAGTTGCAGATGTTGCATCAGAATAGATCTTATATACCCTACCACTTCATGATATATGGTGCTCTAGTCATAGTTGAGTTAATTGCTTCGACTTGGCGTGGAGCGGTGTCGCTCGCCGTGGGGGAAGTTTGTTCGGAGTTGGTTGATCGGTGGAGCACCACCGCAAGGAAAGTCTTCTATTCCACAACCACAACCACCACTTCACCCCTCCAACAACTAAGCCGTCCACAACCCGCCATCATGACCTTGACAAAGATCAACTTCATCACAGGCAACAAGAACAAGCTCATCGAGGTGCGCGCCATTCTCGGCAGCGTCATCGAGGTTGACAACCAGGCCGTGGATGTCCCCGAAATCCAGGGCACCATTGAAGAGATCGCCAAGGAGAAGGCACGCCGTGCTGCGGAAGCGGTAAGCTAATATTATAATATTGAATGACTCCGCCAGTGTTTTCATGAAAAGATCACCAACTAACAGTCAATCTCAAGATCAATGGCCCAGCTCTGATGGAGGACACCGCTCTGGAATTCCACGCGCTCAAGGGTCTGCCTGGACCATACATGTATGAAAGCGCTCATGGCGGGATTGAATTTCCCTGCAAATTCTGAGTTAGACTGACGACGGTCTAGCAAATCTTTCATGGAATCCCTCGGCCATGAGGGTCTGAACAAGATGCTTGATGGATTCGATGACCGAGGTGCAGAGGCAGTGTGCACTTTTGCTTTTTGTCGGGGGCCTGGTGAGGAGCCTCTCATCTTCCAGGGGCGGACTGCGGTGAGTTCTACTATCGTATTGGGATTCTGATCTGGGGGCCTTGAATCTAATGAGATATCACAGGGAACTATTGTGCGGCCGCGAGGCCCAACGCACTTCGGTACGTTTCTATCAATTCTGGAGACATAGCCAGAGCAACTAGGCTACAAGTGTATTCGTCGTACTTGTACTGACGCAGTCTTCCAGGCTGGGACCCAATCTTCGAGTATGAAGGCAAGACATACGCAGAAATGGATAAGGAGGCAAAGGTAAGCGCTTTTTCAGCCCTCTATGATTATACCAGTACCAGTACCGGCACGGGCATGCAGAAAGATCCAAGAAATCAAATCACTAACGCCCCTTGGCCCCGTCTCGTTCCAGAACCGGATTTCTCACCGGTACAAGGCGTTGGTCAAGTTCCAGCAGTGGTTGGCAGAAGGCCAGCAGTAAGGGGCGCTGGGTATGGGTATATATATAGAGCGAGTCCTCGCAACCGACTCAAAGATTTAAACGAGGCCCTTCACAGACATAGAATAAAGAGAAAGATCTTCCCAATCGTATGCTTCCACGCGTTCATTCTGCATCCTCGGCATGTTGTTTCTTCCAGTTCTCGACCCACTGCGCGATCCGGACACAGTTGCTATCGACGTCGCCATCCTTTTCGCTGTTGAGTTCCACGACGATCTCTTCGTCATAGGCTTCACGGGCTTCTTCCATCAAAACGCCGAAGATCTCGGCGTCGAGATTCTCTTGTAGCTTATCTTCGTGGTATCCTCTAGAACAGCGCATTCTGTGTTAGAACCACGCTTAGTTTGTTTGCATGAAGGGTAGTATTTACCTCGAGCTTAACCGGTCATACAGGATAGAAGTCTCCGGGCATCGAATAACCACGACAAGGTCGATCCAGGACTTGGGGAAGAGGTCGCAAGCATGCCAATCGATCAGATATCCACCCTGTAGCACTTCATCCTCAATAGCATCGAGCAACTAGACGAGAGAACCCAATTAGTACACGACGCGACAATGCGACAGCAACAAGTACCACCCCGCGCAACCCCACCAAAGAAGAGAAAAAAAAATGTGAGGGGAAAAGACGAGCCCAGCGCATCGCAGCAAAATACACATCGCACGTCTCCAAAGAAAGCAGAACAACCGACATACCTTATCCTCATCGACAACCCAACTCTTCCGCTCCTCATCGTACTCCTCGAAGCAATCACGTTCCTTGGCGATCTGATTGACGGACAGGTGCTTGAGTCCGGTATCTTGGGCGAGTTGTTCGCAGTGTACGGTCTTACCGACGCCGGGGGTGCCGGTGATGATCACATTCGGGGAGGTGCGCATGCTTTGTGAGGTGATTTGGATCCTTGGAAAAAGGCGAATCGAGACTGGAAGAGCTGCTGGTGGGGGTTTAGCGATTGAGACAAAAGCGCTTCTTCCCCGGATGGAAATTATCTCGGATTAATGTTGGTTCCGCTTATCTCTTATCGGGTAGCTATACAACAAGATAGAAAGGAGTACATTAAAATCATTATGTATATATGGTCATTAAGAGGAAGACGAAATGGCCAAATGAATTTAAATGTACTGTTATCATGCTCAGGCTTATATTTTTGAAAAGGATGTAATGCAATGCATCGTACCATCATGTCGAGGTCGTATCGGGCGAGGCGGTTCCCAGCACTGGAATTAATCTGCGCCAAACAGCAATTAGTGTATCATTCGACAAGCGCATAATCACTCTACTCACTTGAGAAGCTCAAAAAGCTTGTACTTTTGCAAATACTTAGTGCCCCTCCGATAGGCCTTGAGTAGGCGAATTGGATTGTCGCACTTCGCGGACGTGCCAATCAGGCGGTGCATCGCTGGTGCTGTCTTGAACATGGGATCAAACACCAGTAGGTTCGCGCTGCTGTCGTCGCGGATCTCAAATCCCACAATGGTCATTGAGTGGCCTGTTCCGATTAGAGATGAGTGTTGTAGGGCTCTCCGGTCGGGGAAGCGGACGTACCTTGATGTTGGAAATAGATGGGAGGAAGGTCGGTCTTGAAGACCTTTGTTTTCTCGTCGTCTAGCGAGCATGCCGAGCGGAAGTAACTCGCTACCTCCATGTAGAGTTTATCGTAAGCTAGCATGCCTTCGCTCGCAGTCAGACTACTGGCATCGCATCTGTGCCGAGTTAGTTTCGTAGATCTTGGGCCGAGTATTGCAAATATGCACTTACGGGATTCCGAGACTCTGGAACAGAGCTTGTGCCTGTCATATATTAGTATGAGGCAAGCATTCTTCATGAACGAGTGATGACTGACCTCGGGAGTTCCAATAAATTTCCTTGTCCCTTTGATACCTCCTGTCTCGGTCCTGCCCGAGCTGTTAAATCCCATATCCCAAGCCTGTTCGATTAAATCCTGGAGATCCAGAATCGACGGTACACCATGGGGAAAGTGTGTATAACCCGTATTTTGCGTCTTCGTAATATATGACACAAGCATCTGAATATTTCGATACCCACAGAATCCACCTTCTCGGGAAAGCTTGCAGATATGGCGAACCTTGGGGTTGCAGAGAAAAGCTCTTTGCACAGTCTTGTCTTGCTCGCATAGTTTCGCAATAACCGGGATGAGGTGGTCAGTCTCGTTTTCCACTGTGGTGTGCCTTGCTAGATTCCCGTCTGATGTGATCTGGGTCTGCTTTGAGGTTCGGCCACCTTTTTCCAGCATGTGCTTCAGCCACGAGGGCATCTTTTTCTCATTGGCATGAGGACCCAGTTCCGCACGCTGATCATGGAGTTAGTACATCCCTTGGGTAGACTCGGTAAATGGTAGCTCAACATACCCCAAGCCGCATTGCACCATCCTGTCCCCGAGTCCGCGGTGGACTCTTTGCTCGGGCTGGTTTGGCATTATTATTCCTGCGTGCAAAGTCGCGATCTGCGCCCCTTTTGCCACCTTGGAGGGCTCCTTGTAGATCAAGCTTGTCTTCCTGGTCTAGAGGCAAGTCATAATCATCAGGACTGGAGGCGTCTGCGTTGTATTGAGGCGAGTCTGCCCCAATCTCATCGAATGCCATGCCCTCCGCCAGATGAAGATCCAAATGCGTCGACAGCTCAGCCACTGTCACTGTCTCACCACACCCACGTGGGCAATCAACATATTTCTCTGTAGAGTCCTCATCTGTCGGCAACGGCGACGGAGACCGCCTGTTCTCCCACTCATGAAAATCGGGCGTGAGACTTTGCGGGGCACCGTTCTCTGGGTGACAGTGCTCGATGTGCATCTCCAGGAAGCTGGCATCCGCATCTGAAAAGGGACAGAATGGGCATGTTAGAAGATCGGAGCCGTCCATGTTTTCTGTGTTGCGCCTCTATCGTTGGCAGTTTAACGGGATGGTCGTTTAGGCGGCCGGGACTAGAAGTGAAGCAGAACGCTAAAACCACGTCGGGAGCCTGCAGGGCAACAGATGTGCCAAGCAATCGCAGCTGATTACCTCAACGAGGAGCCCGAGGTAATTCAGGACAATATGTCTGGAGAAATGGCCACTGCTTACCTTTAATTCTCCAGAATTTTGATGAGCGGTCCCTGAAATGTGGTGGTTTGTGGATGAGACCCACATAGCCTCGCCGCTGAGTCGCCTGGTGCCTGAATATATGGGGTGAATACTATGGCTAACCAGCTACCCATCATTTGTATGGTTGAATTATAGGTTCCTTTGTATGAGTCTAGGTTATGGGCTCTTTTCTACGACACATTTCAATTCGGCAATTGCCCACCATGCCGGTCGCACCGCATATGTAGAGTCCATAACGAAACTGGAGATATATATATCCGCGACTCGGATTCCATCACCACAAAGAGAAGTCGAATGGAGCCTCTACCAAAAGGTACCAGTGGACTCCAAGACAAAAGGGCACCCTTATTCAGAAATAATAAATAAGAAGTGCGAGCATAGGGCTATCCCGAGTGACATTATATTATGTACAGTTCTCCCAGTAAGCCCGCCTGGCGGACCATCCGATTGAAATGGGCTACTGCCAGCATTGCAAAGCGATGCATAATTGGGGGAACTAAATACCAGATCGCTACACCTCTCAGATTCTTTGACTGCCTTGAGTCTGAACCACTGACTGGGCTGTTCTTTACCATATATATGCCGTTGGACTGCGTTGACTAAATCGCTCCAGCTGACGCTGACTTATTTTCTGCAGAGCTATAATGTATATTAACCATTACAGTGGCCGTATGTAAACATCAATGGAGTGGTAGTATAGATGTTACATGTGGCTTGGGTACCCCTCTAATGCAAAATATACAGCTACAACAATATTATATTATGCATCTTCGCATGGACTGTTTAGGAATCTCCACCTTTCTTGGAAATTCCGAGACTATTGCTGTGAGCTCTTATTCCTTCTCCAATCTCAAAAGTGTGTTCAATATTCTCAGAACATTAATGGTGTCGACTATGGTGGTAACAAAGGTGGACAGTAATAATAACAATGTATCGTGGATAAGGTTGTTTGCAGCAGGAGGCACATGCCAAGAAAAGCTAAATATTTACAATCGTCCTGCAAATGTCCAATGCAATGGAATGGACTCTTCCGGGTGGCGATCAACAGGAAAAGAGATTTTCCATGAGTAATCCGGGCTTAGTCATGGAACAAAACCCCTGAATAACTAGGTAACTAGTTAACTAGATAGATATTTAATTATATACATAACATAGATTAATGTTTAGATGGTTTTCTATCGTGTGTAACCAGGAGGATAGTAGTAGTACAGTAGGACTGGACTGCCAACCAGTGCGTCATTTTTATTGAGCATAGGTAGGTATTCTTGTACTTGCTTATCGCGGGGCAGGCGATGGCGTGATTGTCATTGGACACGGTCATTGGGTGGTTCCGGGTAGGCGGTCAATCATTGGCGGGGGTCCCTCCGACATCGCGTGTGTGCCTGGACTCGCCGGCAGAATGTGGGACGAGAAAAAAAAAGTCAATGGACTCTGACTGACGGAGGAGAGTTGAGTCACCGCAAAAAAAAAGAGAATAACGCCGCAGCCGGCCCACTCCTCCGCTTTCGCCTTCCCCTCTCCCCAATTCCTCTCTTTACATGTTGTGATTTTCCATCTCACTCTCCTTGGAATTTCTGGCCATGACTTCCTTCGAAGCTGACCGTCCGGCTGTCGGTGCCGTGCATAGCAATTGGGTCGTCCAAAAGTTCGGCGGCACCAGCGTTGGCAAGTTTGCTTTGAACATCATTGAGCAAGTGGTCCAGTACGTTGACCTCTCCACCCGCCGCTCTCCCTTCCAATGATCGAATCAATCCATCAAAAATAACCAAAAATATACTGACGATGGATTACGGTATTCTACAGACCCAGCCTCATTGGCAACAGAGTTGCTGTTGTATGCTCCGCAAGAAGTAGTTCGACAAAGGCAGAGGGTACTACCAACCGGTGAGTCATCTCGACATGCATATGCTCTCAATTCTCGAACATCATGCTATTTGATAGCATGCACCCATCATCTTCTAACACCGTCCGAATATAGGTTACTGCGGGCAGCCCGGGATGCAGAGAACTCCAACTCCCGACAATACAAGACCTTCGTCGAGGCTGTACGGCATGAGCATGCCCAAGTGGCCCAGGAACAGATCCAATCAGTGGAGCTAAGGGATCAAGTGGTGGCCGATATTAATGCAGAATGTGAACGAGTCCTGAAGGTCCTCGAGGCCGCCCAGACATTGGGGGAGATCAGTGCTCGCTGCGTGGACAAGGTGATAAGCGCCGGCGAGAAGCTCAGCTGCCGGCTCATGGCCGCATTCCTGCAAGATCGTGGGGTTGACTCACAGTACATTGATCTTGCCGATGTGATTGATTTCCCCATCGGCGCCCACGGCCTCGATCAGGACTTCTACAACTCCCTGGCAGCGGCCCTGGGCAAGCTGGTCGGGGGTTGCGGGCACCGAGTGCCTGTGATCACTGGTTACTTCGGTACCATCCCCGGTGGTCTGCTGGATCAGGTCGGCCGTGGCTATACCGATCTCTGTGCCGCCCTCGTCGCCGTCGGAACCCATGCCAAGGAACTTCAGGTGTGGAAGGAAGTGGACGGTATCTTCACGGCGGATCCACGCAAAGTTCCTACGGCCCGACTCCTCCCTGCCATCACCCCCGCCGAAGCAGCCGAATTGACCTTCTATGGATCCGAGGTGATTCACCCCTTCACTATGGAGCAGGTGATCCGTGCCAAGATTCCCATCCGCATCAAGAACGTGATGAATCCCAAGAACCGCGGCACTGTCATTTTCCCCGATTCCACCGCCGAGCTGGAGCGCACGACGCCCGGCCACGATCCCCGCCTTTTCCGCACCCGGAGCCCGAGCTTCATGCAAAAGCCGAAGCGGCCGACTGCCGTGACCATCAAGCACAAGATCCTGGTGATCAACGTACACTCGAACAAGCGGTCATTGTCACACGGCTTCTTTGCGGGCATTTTCTCTGTGCTGGACAAGTGGCGTCTGTCCATTGATCTGATCTCGACCAGTGAGGTTCACGTGTCGATGGCCCTTCACTCGGAAATGCCTTTGCTGAATGGCAACGGGCGGGATGAGTATCAAGTGATCGACGACGATCTGAAGGGCGCTCTGAATGACTTGACCAGATACGGAACGGTAGACATCATCCCTGAAATGGCTATTCTCAGCTTGGTCGGCAAGCAGATGAAGAATATGATCGGTGTCGCAGGGCGTATGTTCACTACCCTGGGGGAGAACAATGTGAACATTGAGATGATTTCACAAGGTAAGACATTCATTGTCGATCCCAACTTCCCAACCCCCTCCTCCCTCCCCCTTCTCACGTACATACGAGTCCCAACTCTCGAACGAAAGAAAGAAAGCTAACTGATGGGCTGTCTTTGCCCCCCCCCCTCCTGCAGGTGCAAGTGAAATCAACATCTCCTGCGTCATTGAAGAGCGTGACGCCGACCGCGCTCTCAACATCATCCACACCAGCATGTTCACCTTCTTGGATTAGAGTTCCTAGGAGTTGTTGAGCAACCGCATTGTCGTTTGAGATATCCCTTGGGCCTGTTTTCCTTTTTCTCTCTTTTCTCCTGTTTCGCCCTCTTTTTTTGATGGAATGCTTTTGTGATAGAGAAAAGTGGGTGTGCATTTCATCCTTCGCGCTCTTGATTGAGGGCCTCGGGGGCGCTTAAGCATTATTCTTGTCGTGATTTTTGTATTCTGCATGGGCTCGGCGTTATTCGTTCTTATGTGCCATGTCCAACACTTCTGAGTTTTTCTTAATTAGAGTATAGACCGAGGGATACCGGGGTCCCTGTGTCATGGGTGGATGGAGGGACGATTTGAGGGTGGTTTTCTCCGTATCGGTTAATGCAGAGCATCTACACCGTACGTTGTACATGAATTTACATGATCTTCCCCCCAAAATGCAAGGGCAGTTTCTCTGCCAATTTGAATATATTTACTACTATGACATCTAGTATTGTATACTATCGTGCATACTACCCAATTGCATGCACGACGAGATATAAGATTTCATCGTTGCTGCAGGGCCAAGCTCACGCACATGCGGATCATCGATTTGCCCTCTCGAGCGATCTCCAGCAGGTACTGTACGGGGGAGGCATTATTCGATACTATAGGTATTATTATTGGACAGTATTGGCATCTTCCTCGCAGAGAGATAGACTCACAAGCCAAGCCAAGCCTCAACAGCCAGGGCGTTGAAGGGCGCACCGAGCCCATAGGCTGGCCAGAGCAAGGGATGATCCGACGCAACCGCTGTCTCAGAGTTACATCCGCATTCCAGTGGAGGGGGCCAATGGAGTGGCCGGGATGAGGGGCCGTTAAGAATAAGAGCCGGAATATGACGCGTTGTAGAGTACTGGATACAGTCACAGTAGAGTATGTATAGGACTGTAGATTGCAGACTGGGTGGTGGACTATGTGGGTAGTTTCGAGGGTGAGTCTAGACCTTGGGGTGTATCTCTAGAAAGGATAGTAAGGTATAAAGTACAGACTACTGATATTATAGGTAGTTATAGCGTATAGATCCTTGGTATCGGAGCTAATAAAGGTAAATGATATAGGGAATAGTACTCCGTAGTGAAAGTACATCTGTGTATGGAGGACAGTATGCTTATGAGAATCTCTGGTACAGGCCAACTCCGATCCCAGTGGAGCCCTTCTGCAGGGCCCAGCACGACAAGGGAGCCACATAACTCCCAGATGACCAATGGGACCAACCACTAGCTCCCTCTTGAAGCTGGTTTAGCTCCTCCAAGATTACCAAGATTGAGCGTTGGACCAGTCGGGCTTGTCGATCGGCGCCCTGCGAATGCCTGCGAGCAAGGAGCCCCAATCCCTTCGTACGCCTGCCAAACGCATGTATTGTCACGCTGTGACCGTACTGCACATCCCAAATCCCATACTACGACGCGTGACGCGACCGCGTCCATACCATACCTGACAATCTCTCCCCACTGGTCAGTACAGTATCTCGACACCCTCACCTTCGACCTTCTCTCCTCCTCCTCCACCAAACCCCCCACCTCGAAAGGGCCCGATCCTCGTGCCTCGTCTTCCCTTACTACTTCTTCACTAACGCCTGCGAACTTGATCTCCAAGAAAGAAGGATCAAAAAGAGGGGAGACAAAAGGACGCGCCTTCCAGCTCCCCTTCTTCAAACCCTCTCCCCGCTGCTGCCTTTCCCCCCAACCAACTCTCCATCCCATCTCCAAACTCCTCCGTCGCAACCTCTTTTCCCTCCACCTAACTTCCCTGGAGACTCCTCTATTCTCAAACCATCCAATCTATCCTGATCTCAATCACCACCAGTTGACAGATCATCGGAGGATATCGAGCTTCTTCACAGCTATCCTCTCGTGGTGATTTCCACTTGCCAGACTCCATCAATCCGCTGATTCGTCTTCCGAGATTGGACGTGTCGTTTCTTAGCGCCTGGTGGCCCAACGCTTGCAATCACAACTAGTTTCACTGCATCACAGCCTGAGGCTACTGACTTGACCTCCTATCTCTGACCTACCATTGGCTCAACGTGAATTCTCTTCCTCCCGTCTCATCTTCCGTTGGGCGACATTGCCGTCGGCTGTTGTTCCTGCCGGCTGCCAACTGTTGCTGTCACTCCAAGTCGCGCCACCCACACTGTTTATCGACGCGTCATATGGTCCCCTGTGGTGACTGGTGACGTCCTAGCCTCGTTCCCGACTATTCAGAGCATGGGATCGACGCGTCCTGCGCTCGGCGCACACCATTATCCCCCGGCATTGGGCCCATCTGCCCAAGCCTCCATCAAGTCACAGCCCCATCTTCACCCCTCACCGCTACCACTCCAGCCTATTATCGAGAACCCATTGCTTCCACCCGCTGGCACGCACAGGCCATCACCGACCAAAGGACTGTCCACCCAGGGCTCACATCCCGGGCGAAAACTCGGTTTCGTTCCTATCACTGCCCCAAACCCTCCCATGTTCACCACCGACTCCCCTACCAAGAAGCCGCCTTTCCCCATCTACACCCAGTCCTCCATGCCGCCGCAATCGGCTCTCTTCACCACCTTTCCCAGCATCAACCTTGAGGCCTCCAAGGAGAACCACCACCCCGAGGACTCGGCTCATGGTAGCTTTGCCGACTTCCCTGAACCGTCCTATGAATCCAAGGCTCCCATAAAGCGCACCCTGATGGAAGCTGCTCCGCTCAAGGAGCGCCCTATGAAGAAGCAAAAGTGCGAAGACGCGCCGGTCCACCAACTGCCTGAGCCAGATCAGATGCCGACGATTGAGGATGACGGCACCAAGCCGCCATACAGCTACGCGACTCTGATTGGCATGTCCATCTTGCGCGCGCCCAACCGACGGTTGACCCTGGCTCAGATCTACAAGTGGATTTCCGACACCTTTTCCTACTACAAGAACAGCGACGCGGGCTGGCAGAACAGTATTCGACACAACCTCAGTCTCAACAAAGCCTTCATCAAGCAGGAGCGGCCCAAGGATGACCCCGGTAAGGGTAACTACTGGGCTATCGAGCCTGGTATGGAGGCGCAGTTCCTAAAGGACAAGCAAGTGCGACGCGCCACTATGTCCAGTCTTCCTATTCCCGCCGTTCCACAAAGAGAAATCGTTCCCCAGCCGCAAAGCGCAAGCACTACAACTTGGATGGTACCACCTCCGCCTACGCGACAGCCTCCCCCGCCCAAGGTCTCGGTCCGAAACGAGGATTTGTCCTCCGATGCGACTTTGCCGGCATCTGATCCGGCATTGCAAGAAGACACTGGTGATGAAGCTCCTCCCCCCCGACGCAACGCCACGCGCCCGTCCGCTCTTCGCCGCTGCAGGCCATCCGATCCTCACCACCCATCGCCCCTCCTCGTTTCTCTCGTCCAGGCACCCCTCCTACTCCTACTCATCAAGCCGGCCCTACGCCGGCTCAGCCCAAGCGGAAGCGCAAGTCCATTTCGATGAATGATAGTGGTTATTTCTCGTCATTGGAGTCTTCTGCCCTTCGGCCCAATAAGGCCGGTCATATTCTGACCTCTGACCTGGACATTGAGCCTCCACGTATCAAACGTGGCCGTGCCGAGGAAGAGATTGCGCGCATTCGCAGCTCGTCTCACGATATCAGCCCTGGCCAACCGGCTTCTCGCAAAGACGGCCGGACTTTAGTTGGCTCTTCTCCTCTTCGAGGCGAGTATGTGAGCATGCTCCCGCCACCCTTGACGCCAATTATCAAGTTCAAGAAGCCAGCTAAGCCTCCGCCATCGGTGTCGCCTAATACCAACCTCCGCAATCATCGCCGCAAGATTCAACAAATGGTCAACTCGCCTATCAAGCAACTGGGTATCGTTGATGATGAGCTCCCGTGGAGTCCTGCCTTCAACCTTGAAGTGGATACTCTAACCCCTGCGGATCACTTCCACACCACCTTTGACGTTTTTGCCGATGCAAGTGCGGATGCGTGCATCTCTTCCGCAGCATTTGGTTCTCCCGAGAAGCGTTCGACAAAGCGTGCGCGTATGGATTCTGGAAGCCATGCGCTTATCGACATTAGCAACTCGACTATCAATAGTCGACTGAGCATGCCTTCGCTCGCCCGGTCCAAGTCATCTATCTTCCCAGAGTCCCCATCCAAGATGTCGGACGGGACTCGCCTTGGGGATACCGGCCAAGATGATTTCTTCTCCTTTCACCTCTTCGATGAAACCAGTGACAGCCCCACCGAGGTGGACGGTGTTGATCTGTTGCAAGGTTTCCAGAAGATTGGTGGCTCGAGCAAGGATGACACATTGAAGCCAAAGACGCTTCATACGCGGCCTCATTTGAGTAACCGCAGCAACTCTACCATGTTTTAAATCCTCTTGTTTTTGCGTTTGTCTTTCTCTCCCTGTTTGTTTCGCTCTCGGGCAGGAATTGAAGCCCAGTTGGATTCCCCCTCATGTCGTTTGTGTTCTGCTTTGAAACAAAAATTGGTGTTGAGCTGTTTATGGTGTTTATTCGATAATTCGCTGGCCTGGCTGGCCTTGTGTCTATGCACTGCCACCTTTGGTGACCCTTACTGTCCTGTTATAGCCTGTCGGTGTTCTTGTTTCTCTATCACCCGTCCTTCTTTTTTTGCGTTTTGGGATCAAGGAGTTTGAGATGGACCTTGGGATGTCACCAAGCTTCGATGTCAGGCGATGTTTTGCCTTTTTCTGGGAGTTTCTTGAGGCTGCGCCCAGACGTGTCGGTTCTGACTTGTCCCGTTTGTCTTTTTTTTTTCCACTGTGCCCCCGAGATGGGCCTGACTACGACCTTAATGACGACGCCAAGATGTACATGAGCAAGCGATGTTTCATGATTCGGGATATCGGGGTTGGGATTTATTTTTCTGTTTCATCGGCTTTACTCGGTTTACAAGCTATCAAGGAGCAACTAGGGCTGGACTGGATACATGGAGGCGCTATTGATTAGTTTAGCAATTTGAACTTATTACATGTGTGCGTACACATTGGTCAAGGAATTTGAACCCATTCCACATAGTATATTACTTTCACTTCCCTTTGTAGGGTTTAAATTTGCGATGTCAAAGGGTATCTGATTGACCAAGTCGATCCAACTAAACCAAAACCATTAAAGACAGAGACATGGAATGCCATCAACGACAAATATGGATAATAAAACGAGTCAAAGAAAAGAAACACAATATGCAAGACCATGAACGCCCCAGACCAAAAACCCCAATTTTCAACCTAACCAATAAGTGCCAATAGTGCTCACAAACCATATCCAAGCCCGTGCAGTTTCAGACAAGGCCAAGCCGACCCTCGACCTTGAGGTAATATCGAGTCGAAAACGAATCAACTCTTCGCTCTGACTAGTCACTGCTAGAACAACCCCGGCATCCACAGCTGACACACTGAATCGTCTGATCCTCTTTCAACTGGGCCTTGGGCACGCGGCAGATGCAGGTGGAGTTGAAGTTTGTTTCTTTGGTTTGGACGCACCGGAGACAGCAGAGCTAGAAGGAAGGGAGGGGAAGAGTTAGCGAAGCAAGAACCAAAATAGAATGCGAAGATGATATTCAGAAGAACGTGGACTGTGGATTGTGGACTGTGGAATCTGGATTTTGTGCTTACCTTCTCGTAACCTTGTTTCTTCCATTTGGCGATTAGGTTTGCGTCGGCGTAGTTGTTCTTGAGGAGCCAGTCGTAGAGCTGCTTTGAAATGGCTTCCTTTTCGTAGTACAGGTCGTAGATGTATCGTGAGCCTGGGCCGTAAAAACATGAAATCAGTATGAATATGAATATGAGTATCAGACGCCAGGAAGGGACGGATAGATAGCTAGTTCAGCCGTTCGCGGAGGGGACTGGGACTTGGTGCAACACGTACGCTGGTGGCTGATCTGAAAAATAGGCCAGAGAACCTCGTACTTCTTCTTTCCCTCGTGAGAAGCGTTCTCCGCATCCTTCATCTTATTGCTAAACTCCAGCAGGGTATCTTCTATATCGTCGAAGCCTGCTGGTGGGGGTTTGCGATTGCGGGCATTGCGGATGGGAGGCATGGTGGGCGAGCGTGAGTTGGGCAAGCACAGAACGAGAGCAGGGTGAACGAAGGAAAGCCGAGGGCCCAAGAAACGAAACAAGAAGATGAGCGAGGCAGGTCTATCTCCAAATAAAAAGCGAGGTGTTGAGCGATGATCTCTTTTGGGCACAACTCGACCTTCCGCGTCATTTTTGTGCCGGGCTTGACCGCCTTCGATTTTGCGGCGCAGGGCAATTTCCGAGAAGGAACAGCTTCATGACTATTGAACCTCGAAGTGGTATCTCTACAACGCCCACTTCAATTCATACATTCACTTTTCTAACCCGACTCTTTATTTAATATTATTTGCCAGAATGGATCCCTCCCTCGATCTCTCCAAGCTCACCGAGGCCGACAAGGCCGATCTCCAGCAACAACTGGCCAACGAGCAGCAAAAGGCGACCATCCAGCAGAGTAAGTACCAAGCTACACCCGGCAAGCATGAACGCTTTATCTCCAGCAGAGCGACACCCTCCTAGCCATCCATACAAACCCAAATCCGAAAGTACACAGACTAATTCCTCCGTTATAGCCGTCCACTCCCTCAACGAGACCTGCTTCAAGAAGTGCACCACCGGCAAGAGCTTCACATCTGCAACCCTGGACCGCAGCGAGGAGACCTGCGCAGCGAACTGTGTTGATCGGTGGATGGATTCGCAGATGTTGATTCTGCAGAAGTTGGGTAGCATGCGTGGCCAGTAATTGTGCTCGTCACTTGCACTTTGGGGGGGGGGGTCTTGATACCATGGGCATGAACGTAGTTTGGGCCGGGGCCAGGGTTTCCGGCTTGGGCTTGGATTATGTTTTAAAATAATACGACTCGCATTTTGGAAGAAGATTGCTTCCTTGGGATGATGTGGACGGCAGCCGGTGGGACTACAGTACAACGGACTTGTGATATGACATGGTTTCTTGGACTGTCGGCAGTTGGTTGTCAGTGGGAAACTCTGGTTTATAGAGGTGGAATCAATCTCTTCTCTGGTGTTATTGAGAGGTGGGAATGTATGAGTCGCTTGTATACTAGAATCAAAGTGAATGGATCCTTTGTGCATACTTTTGTTCTTTTGATGCAATGTCCTTGTCGGGATCGTTGAGGACTGAGGGTTTCGGGTTAGAGGGAACCGAGTCGGGTAATGAGGTGATGAGATTGTGTAAGAGAGAGTAAGCGTTGAGATCAATCGTTGTCCCAATGCGATCTACCATGCATATAGTTGGGCTGGGCAAGGTATCCCTAGAGACCTAGCAATACTCCACCATCTACATAGCCCTCTAGCCTGTACTACTTGTACAAAGTATTCACGGTCACATCCCAGACTCCAAGTACGTCCTACGCAGGATACTTAGAGCTCACTGCTGCCCTATCACTCGTAGAACAAGAGAAAAGCATTTTAAATCGTGTCAAGAAATGTTTCTTTTTTGTATCATTCAGCCCTCGTTGCTGCACATAACAGCCAAGGAACTGGCTGGTATTGAGAATCACCACGGTGGAAAACAAAGTTCGCCTAAACCCAAAGAAATCAATTTCCTATTCCCCTTTTAGACGATGGCCAGCTTGGTGGCGGCAATGTCCAGAGCATCGACGTCGGGTGTGAGACGGGCGAAAGCCTTCTTGGAGCCGTCGGGGCTGTAAAAAAGAGAGTTAGCACGAATATTCTCTCGTAGATATCCAAGAAGGATTCGGATATGCGAATTATGCGAATCTTGCTTGACTGTAGAGGGGGTAATCATACCGGACGAGGGTGTTGACCTTGATGGTGTCAACGTCGTACAGCTTCTTAAGAGCCTGCTTGATCTGGCGCTTGTTGGCCTTGACATCGACGATGAAGACGAGGGTGTTGTTCTCCTCGATCTTCTTCATGGCGCTCTCGGTGTTGAGGGGGTACAGGATGATGTTGTGGGCATCCATGCGGGGGTCACGGGGGACCGAGACACGGGGGTACTTAGGGGACCGCGAGAGCTGCAGGGTCTTGGGGCGGTGGAAGGTGGTCGAGGTGCGGACCTTGCGGGCCTTGTGGAGCTAGACATGGCCAGGATACGTTAGCGATGTGGTCGTGGATGTGTATATTTCGAAAATTTGACCGCAGTCATGACCGAATATCGAAGATATTAGTCTGATTCGAGGATGTGAAAACGTACGGAAGAGCCCTTAACGACTGCCTTGGCGGCAGCGTTAGCCCGGGAGGCATTGCCTGTAGAAAGAAAAAAATCCCAGTCAGTTCTCGAGGATCTTGAAATATCGAAAATGTGACAATTTGTGGAAATTGCAAAATCGGTGCGGTCGAGAGGTGTCCCAGAGCGTTCAAAAAGAAATGCCAAATCGTCCAGTACGGTCGATATATTGTGTCCTCCGCGATTCCCATGATATCCCAGCTCGTCGTGCGCAGCGTCGTCCACGATGTGGGTTTTTGAAGCACAATATTTGTCCATCCACCTCTTTCTTCTCCGGAACACAAATTCTCGACCGCACAAAATTCACAAGATGGTCGAATGGAGGTAGGCGAGGTCATTCGAACGTACCTTGCTTGGTAGTAGGGGCCATGGCTGTCGTCCGCTGTCGTGGTGATTGTCGTCGCAGTGTCGAAGTTCGAACAATTTGGAGTGGCTTCGTTAAGCGAAAACCCTACCACTGTGTGGGTCAGGTGATCTCGGGCGGTGGCCTCGAAGCTTAGTCATGACATGGTTGAGTCAGCGGGGCTCCACCTCCGATCGTCCGCCTTTTTTTTTAACGGAAAGCCGGTTGTTTTTCACGATGGGGAACATTGAAACTCGATTATCATCGGTTTGGGGAAGTCATTCTCAATGCACAATTGTGGAGGCAACTATTCTTCTCCATGATGATAGTTTGAACTCTTTTTGACCGTCTTCCGCCTACTTCCTCACCACCATAATGGCTCCCAAGAGTCGATCTAAACGACCAAGCCTACTCTCCAAAGGCCGGCCACCAACTGTCAAACCCAAACAGGCAGCATTATCCTCCAAAGCCACCCGTACTCTCATCCGATCTCACCATCAACTCCTCAAGGCCAGAGCTCAGGCTGAAAAAGCCGGCGACGCAGCCAAATTGAGCAGCATTGATGCTCAAATCCAAGCCAATGGCGGACTCGACAGTTATCAAATTGCCAGCAAGCTCGGGCAATCCATGGACCGAGGCGGCGATTCCAGCAAACTACTGATTGAATGGATCAAGCCCCAGTTGAATCAATGGAATCCGAACTTGCCTAAACTGCGCGTTCTGGAGGTTGGAGCATTGAGCACGAAGAATGCTTGCTCGAGAACCCCGTCTTTGGATGTAACCCGGATCGACTTGAATTCCCAGGAACCGGGTATCCTCCAACAAGACTTTATGGAGCGGCCTTTACCGTGTTCAGACGAGGAGCGTTTTCATATTATCAGTCTATCTTTGGTTCTCAATTACGTGCCGGACGCGACGGGTCGAGGCGATATGCTTAAGCGCTGCGTCAAGTTCTTGACGTCTCAATGTCCCATCGCATTTGTGCCGACGCTCTTTTTCGTCTTGCCTGTGGCGTGCGTTGATAACTCGCGATACGTGACAGAGGAGAGACTGCTTGACATTCTATCCAGTCTGGGATTTGAGCTGGTTCAAAGCAAGCGAAGTAACAAGTTGATTTATCAACTATGGCATTATACGGGGCAATGTTCGCCGCGAAGTTTCAAAAAGGAGATGCTCAACCCGGGTGCTAAACGGAATAACTTCGCCATCATTCTGCGCGATGGGTGAACTACTCGCGATGCGGTCACAAAACACAACACATAACACCATGCATTTACAAAAGAACCAACCAATGCCGTGTAACTTCATGAACTGCGTCAGTCCTCCGAAATCATCTCGCGAGGCAGGAATGCCCAGATAGTTCCAATTGCCGCCAAAATGGTAGACGTGATGAGCAAGAACCAATCGAGGATGCGCTCACGTCGACTGATCTCATTCCCAAAGATCTTCAGATAGAAGGCGAGTGGGAAGATGATGCAAATGCTGAAACAAAGGAATGAACCGAGGAAGGCCATAATGCGGTCGAAGGAAGGGAAGATCACGGCCAACACGACAATCAGAGCCACGGTGAAGATGCGCACGGCGACTCGGATCAGCTTCTGGATCGCCTCACGTTGGCGATCACCAGTTACGGGTCCAATTCCAACACCGCAGAGGACTTCAAAGGTGGCCACTAAGGGACGGGCGCTGGATATGGAGTTAGCCAGTGAGTCTTGGAAATATTGCGGGAGTACCAAACTCACTTTAGAGGTACTTTGGTCAGGGGGATAATTGCGATGAAGATGATAATACAAACGGATATGGCCTGCGGATACTGATCTACCGTGAGGATATTAGCCGTGACTTCATCACGAACAATGTCTCCAAACATTAGCCAGCCAATAATGGCCATAGAGCAATCGAGAGAGAACTATTCAGACTTATCAGCGTTGGTCTTCCTCAGTAAATACTTTCCTCTCGTACCGTGAAAATGTATGTCACCCAGAGACTCTTCCCGTACTTCTTTGGGTGCCTCATGTCGCGGTAAATATTAGGAAAGACACCGTGTCCACCCCAAGGGGCTATTCTATCGTGTTAGCTCATTGAAGTCATGGGCATGCTGTAAAAAGCTTCTCTTACACATGATGAGACCAAAACTCAAAGGAAGGGTGGCCCAGTTTTCAGGGAAGAGGAATGTGCTTGCGGGTTGTCGAAGTGAGCCCGGACTATCTGGCTTAATCAAGCCATCGACACAGATAAGAATCACGACTATTCATAGTTAGCCTGACCTGGGTCGCCCTACGTATCGTACATCAGTCAGCATGTTCTACTCACTGGATGTGCAGGATACAATGCCCAGGATGCTAGTCACGCTGAGAAACCGCAGCGGCAAAAAGTTCAAGGGGATCAGCACCACACCACAGACAATTTTCCATTCTAGAATGCTCAGGCCCGGGACCAGTGCGTATAAGCTGTCTGCGAACAGCACCACTAGCGCGACACATGCACCGAGTAATTCCAAACAGAACAAAATACTCGTCACAAGACGAGCCTGCTGCCCAAAGCTGATGTAGGCCAGGTCGGCATAGGTCACCAGAGTCTTGTCCACGTCCAAGCACTTGGCCAAGATCTTGGCCGTGTACGAGGTGGTTACAGCCGAGAAGATGAGAAACAGCAGTCCTAGTACCCATCCGGCATGCTTCATTGCCAACGGCAGACTCAACAAGCCAATGCCGATCAACACGTTTACCGAGTTGAAGACCGTTTGAGGCACGGTAGACTGCCCGATGATGATATCCTCGTGTGTACCGTCCTCATGCTCCACATGCTTAAGAATCAACGGCTCCCGATCAGGGTCCCCAGCGCCATCCGCGAGGACCTGGTACTGCTCACGGTGGAATTGGATCGCATTGCGGCGGGCCGACTCGCTAACGCGCGAGGAGATGGTCCCGTACGAAGCGGCGAAACTTCTCTCAAACGACGAGGCCAGTAAACCCGCAGTCGGAGCACTCTTCCTGGGTCGTCCTGGCGCACTCAAGTCCTCCTGCTCAGACTCATCACCCTCGGAGTCCTCAGACAGCAGAGGCCGCTCGACGTCGGATTGGCGGCCCCACGACTGCGAGCTTCGAGAGCCATACTCTAGACCCGTCGCGATGGCGAGCTCGTCGTCCAAATCCGCGGATACAAAGGACGAGCGCCGGGGGATAACCTCGGGGAAACAGGCAGCTCTTTGCCACGAGCGGGCGAAGTTGTCGATACTATTAGGTCCACCGGCTTGGCGAATGCGTGAGAATGAGGAGGATCTAGCAACGGACGTTAGACCAGATCCGGGACAGTGTCAATTCACCCCCAAAGAATAGCTTTCGGGGCCATCAAGCGTACCTTTCTCTGCCCAGATGCTCCACATCGCCGATCGTGTTCCCATGACCGAGGTGTCCAGAGTCGTATGAGTTTGGCGCAGTAGCCGTGGGGATCCTTAATGAGCCAAAGCTCGACGGCTCTCCACGAGGATCGTCCGAATTTCCAGGAGCCATTCTCTGGCAGACCCCTGGATTTTACCTTGAAGAGATCCCAGTAGCCGTAGTGCGAGTCGCAGTCAATTTGCGGCGAGTGGACTCCGAAGGCGAAGATTGAACGACGTTTGGTTGGGTTGAGGGACGGAAATCGTAGCCGAATGGGTCTGGGTCTGGTCCGGACTGGGCGTGAGGCTCTGGTTGTGAGCCAAAACGACCAAGAAAGGAGTATGGTCTGTACAGGCACACTCGCGGGGGAAAATGGGAAAGATAAGAAGGAGAGGACAGGAACGGAGGAGACTAGAGAAGGAAGCTCCAAGCTCCGGTTAGTGTCTGGTAGTGTGGGGTGATAGCGTCCCAGCGCTGATAAGCGCTTTTTTACCTCGCGCCACAGTTTCGAGTATGTAATAGAGTGAAGCAGGAGCTAGACAGTGAGAATTATCTTCCATTTAGGCTTAGTGTTTCATATGTATATAGCTATACTAGAAGTGTTAGTTCACTAAGTACAGAGAGTATTTTGTATGTCTTCCTACTACTCGGATGGACTTGATACTTGATCACTCTCGAATGTAACTCGGGAAGGATTAGACGGGAAAAGAGGGGCAAATAGTAGTGGCTTGATTCTACGTACAGTAAGATGGGCAGTGGAAGGGGATAGTGCAATAAATGGAGAGATGTATACAAGATAAGAAAAGCCACAAGAAAACGGCGGCCATGCAGGTGCGGCACAAGTCTGTACTCTACAAATATGCATCAGTACATTCATAGTTGTAGGCAGTACGGAGTAGTAGTATACAGTACAGTACAGTACAGTACCGTCGTAGTACGTCAGTCTTCAGGTACTTCGACGATCAACGCACTAAACCCGTTTCAGAAGCCACCAGTTGGCTACTTCGCCAACCCTCCAAACGCTAAAACTGTGGACGGCTTACCTCAGCCCACCCAGAAAGAGAGCCCCTCGAGAGAAACCCCACGCCCGCGAAAAAGGAATTTTGCCAACGACGTCAAAGTCGAAAGTCCTCTCTCCACTACGTATATTTGGTGAGTCCGTTTTGCTTCCTGGTTCAGCCTGGTCCTGGCCACCGTGCTAACTTACCTCCTTTCACTCGCTTTCCAGGTATTAGGACTCTTGCCTTTGTTACCTCGGGTCTCATCCTTTTTTGACCCCGGTTAGGCGTCGACAGGCAAGGCCTCGGATACTCTCTTTTCGCCCCCGATCACCTTCGCCGCGCCCACCATGAGTTCCCAACAACAGCAGGGACAGGCCGGTGAGGCCGAGAAGAACATTGAGATCTGGAAGGTCAAGAAGCTGATCAAGCGTCTTGAATCCGCCCGCGGAAATGGTACCTCCATGATCTCTCTCATTATCCGTACGTCTCTCTCCCCGCCAATGCCTACATGTCGGGCTTCTTTTTGTCGAAAGAGATCATATCCCCGCTAACTCTCATATCCAGCTCCCAAGGATCAGATCTCTCGCGCCGCAAAGATGTTGGCTGAAGAATACGTATGCCTCCTCCCTCCCCATCCCCCTCCATTGTTCCATTCCCCGGGCAGCCCCGCCACTTCCCCGAAAATTTCGGAAACTAAATGCTCGAATAGGGTACTGCCTCCAACATCAAGTCTCGTGTGAACCGTCTGTCCGTCCTGTCCGCTATTACCTCCACCCAGCAGCGTCTCAAGTTGTACAACAAGGTCCCTCCGAATGGCCTGGTCGTCTACTGTGGTGAAATTATCACTGCGGAAGGAAAGGAGCGCAAGATTAACATCGACTTCGAGCCCTTCAAGCCCATCAACACCTCGCTCTACCTGTGTGACAACAAGTTCCACACTGAGGCTCTGAGCGAGCTGCTCGAGTCGGACCAGAAGTTCGGTTTCATCATCATGGACGGTAACGGTGCGCTCTTCGGTACCCTTAGCGGTAACACTCGTGAGATTCTGCAGCGTCTGTCTGTCGATCTTCCCAAGAAGCACGTAAGTCTATCTCATCTGCTATTGGGATTCATTTCTCCAGCGGTATCCTTCTTTCCCTCTTCATAATCGCTCACGTGCCTTTTCTCTCATATAGGGTCGTGGTGGTCAATCCGCGTTGCGTTTCGCCCGTCTGCGTGAGGAAAAGCGTCACAACTACGTTCGTAAGATTGCCGAGTTGGCTGTCCAGAACTACATCACCAACGACAAGGTGAACGTCGCCGGTCTGGTCCTGGCTGGTTCTGCCGACTTCAAGAACGACCTGAACCAGTCCGATATGTTCGACCAGCGTCTGCAGACCAAGGTCATCAAGGTGGTCGATGTGTCCTACGGTGGCGAGAACGGCTTCAACCAGGCCATCGAGTTGGCAGCTGAGACTCTGAGCAGCGTCAAGTTCATCCAGGAGAAGAAGCTGATTGGCAAGTACTTCGAGGAGATCTCCCAGGATACCGGCAAGATCTGCTACGGTGTCGAGGATACCCTCAAGGCCCTGGAGCTCGGTGCTGCGGAGACTCTGATCGTGTTCGAGAACCTGGACGTCACTCGCTGGGTTCTGAAGGATTCCGCTGGTTCGGAGGTCATCGTGCACACCACCAAGGCGCAGGAGGTTAACCGTGAGCTGTTCCAGGACAAGGAGACCGGCGCTGAGATGGAAGTCATCGACTCGGGCTCTTTCCTGGAGTGGCTGGCGGAGGCCTACAAGGACTTTGGTGCGGAGCTGGAGTTTGTTTCGGACCGGTCCAGTGAGGGTAACCAGTTCGTGAAGGGCTTCGGTGGTATCGGAGCCATTCTCCGTTACAAGGTCAACTTTGAACAGCTTGCGGATTATAGCGACGACGACGAGTTCTACGACGATTGACGGTTCGGCCACCTCGCAGAGAGCGAGGATGAACGCCCAGAAGCTCCCGAGGCGAGTCTTCTGACGGCTCGCCCCGTGGATCAAGCAAGCGACTCCGAGAATGGAACCCAGGAATCCGTAAAGGATACCACTAAACGCCCCGTTCCAAACTTCGTGAAGTTGCTAGGAGGTTAGTTTTGCGTCTTTCAACCACCTATCCGTGATATCATCTCTAACCTCCTTCACGCTTTATAGGGTCATCCAAGCTCCGTGACACGCTCACTGAGGCTACCTCGGTGTCTGAGACGAACGTGTGGTGTAAAATGCAATTTGAAAGGTTGGATGCGATTCTCTGCAACATTTGCTCGCCCATTGCTGCCTCTCTGTACCGCGCATAAGCGCGGATGGAGAGGGAACCCGTCAATTGCGCAAGTAATTGTTTTCTTGCTTCGGTCCATTTGTCGCCGTTGTTCCTGGATCGAACTTGGTTTGATCCGGGTCCTCGTTCTTGTTTTTTTTGTCACATTCGTTATTTTATGAGATAAACAGTAAACCCAAATGCACTCTATCCCTCTTATGCGTTTGCTGGACTTGGAAATGTACCAGCCTGGCCTGGCTTGTCTATTCATATCATCCTGCTGTTCTAGCTAGGTTTCTGCTCTTATACCTGGTATGGTGAGCAGGACGGGAATGTCCAACCCGAGTTTTGAGAACCTGAGGCATTCTTGCAAGGTCTTTCGCCAACTGTGGTGGCCCCGAAAAGTGTATTTGATTTATCAAAATATCAAGACATCAGGTTCAAGCACGCATTTTATCACCCTTTATATCATCACATCATCCCAAAATATACAACCGAAAAAATCGACAAATCACAGCAATGCATTTCACATGGAGAGCTGATCCTTCCAAGATCCCCAATCCCTACAAAACTCCGTCGCATGACGCAAATCTTCCAGGGCTTTGAGAACAGCCTCCTTGTTCTCGTCCGAAGGGGTTCGCCCGCACTCGACAAAGAAAATATATTGCCAAGCGCGCTTCAGGCTCGGTCTCGTGTTGATACTCGTAAGGTTCAGCCCGTGAGCCTTGAAAATGAGCAGTGCGTTAGCCAAAGCACCCGGTGAGGAATGGTCAATCGCGAAGGAGATCAAAGTCTTTTGCGTGCTTGCGGAGGATGACGTAGACGGCTGCTCGAATGCAAGTTGAGCGGTACGCTCAACACGAGTATTTCTAAGGATGAGGAAGCGGGTTGTGTTATCTGCACGATCCTCAATGTTCTCCTTCAATATGTCAACGCCGTGATGCTCTGCTGCGAATTTGCTGGCGATAGCCGCCGCTTGCTCGCCGGTCTCTTTTGAAACGATCTCCGCTCCTTTGGAGGTAGACGAGACATCTTGTCTCTCGACACCCTTGAAATGTTGTGACAGCAGATTATTACATTGGCCCCAGGCCTGTGGGTGTGTATATAGCTTGGTGATTGAGCCGTCGTAGCCAGCCCAACCGGACGGGTACGTGCCCTTGCGCACGAGCAGGCAGTGGTGCACGGTCAGGTAGTACTCCCCGCAAACCTCGACGTCCGTGTAGAGAGCGCTTCGATCTGCAAGGAGATCCAATGTCTGCACGACAGAGCCGTTGGTCGAGTTCTCGAACGGAATAACCGCATAGTCGGCAACTTGCTGCTGAACCGCCGTAAAGGCATCTGCGAAGGAGACGTGCGGAAGCAATTCGGCGTCCGTCCTTTCAAAGGACTCTGCTGCGGCCTGCAGGATCACGAAGCATTTGTTAGAGTCAACTTTCGGCCAATAGTGTGGGGTAAGACTGGGCGTAGAGTTTATGACTCGTACCTGATGCGAGAACGAGGCCAGCGGGCCTAGGAAGGCTACTTTCAAGCGATCGGCGGGCATTTTGGAAGTTAATGCTGGACAAGCTTGACAGGAGAGACCATGTTTGGAGCGAACGAACCGGACAATTAAGCCTACAGGTCTCCAGCAGCGCATTACGATCTGCGCCGAGCGGTGAGGGCATCCTCGTGCGGGACTGGTAACAAACAAGGCAAACTAGAGGGTTGACAGGCTCACTTGGAATTACGATGGTGAATTCTTTCTCAGCTTACGTCGACCTGTCGAATCTTCCTGGTCAACCCACCCAATATTTGCAAGATCTGCAAGATCTTAATAGAGATTAGCGGGTTGTAAGATATTTCGTTCCTATAAATGTTTTGGTAATCATGTAATTGATGAGGACTTTTCTATTTTGAAATCCTTCTTCTATGATTCGCTTACATAATCAGCCTTTCTTGAGCTGGTTTTATAAGTTAATAGTTAGTTAACTATCGGATAACTAACTATTCTCTACCACAGTAGTACACTAGTTATATCGATATTTAATTTCTACATCTTTACTCTTCTTATCAATTTAATTATGATATTATTTTACTAAGTTCAATAAAATACTCTTCTGGCCCATCTTGGTATTTGCATAGGTATATAAAAAGCTCGGAAGTAAGGGAGACGGGTAACTTAACAAAGCTGAGATCTTAGTCATAATATGATGGCCGGAAGCCGGAGAGGGTGGGCCGAGAAAAGTGCGGAGGGGTGAGCATTGGAGATCGCCTCGGGGGTTTCACATCTCTCCGCGTTAGAGTTGACGGCCAATTGGGCTGTTTGCTCTGATTAATTCTGCTGATGAAGACATCTTTGGCTCGGCCATCGCTCTTCGTGCGAGGAGGAGGGGCTGTCGCGCGGTATACATGTCGCGCTTACTCCTCCCTCGCGGAACGTCTGCAGCTTGAACTGACTACACGCAGGATTCCCTTGTTCTACGACTACTTGCACCCACAGCCCTCACATCTACTCAATCTCTCACTATGTGATCTCCTCCCTCAAACCGGGTCTACTCCGGTACATGCAAATACAACTCTCCCTTCAATAACGAATCCATCGCCGCTTCCTCTCGGCCATCACTTGATCTACTTCCCGCCGCAAGTCACCCTGTCGCAATTACTTCCAGATGGCACAGATATTCTACATACACCGGGCGACCCGTTCCACCGCCGGCTCTGGGCAGGTGGTAACCTGCGATTTCCCGCTCCGACTCCGCTCCTCAACGGCCAGCGGGCTGTGTGTATAGAATCCATCCGGAATGTGGCCGTGAAGGGCCGCGAGGGTGACGAAAAGGTGATCGTTACAATTGAGCGGCGCGTTGGCAGTGTGCCCGAGGGCGAAGATGAGGCCCAAACTCGGAACCGGATATGGACTGAGGACAAGGCACATGCAGGCGAGGCATCGGTGATTGAGAATCGAGATCTCATCTTCATGCGAACCAAGAGTGCGGCACAGATTGAGGCGGACCGATCGCACTTCGGGGAGCCTGGTCGGATCGTGAAAGGTATGTATACATACATTCTCCCCTGAGCAGGACTTTTCGATCTTTTCTATCTGGATTGTGTTCTCGCCATACTAACTCCCTTGTTTCAAATAACAGCTCCCCCCGGCGCAACGCTACGACACTCAATAGCTCCAAACAAATCCCTCCTCTTCCGCTTCTCGGCGCTGACATTCAACGCGCACTCTATCCACCTCGATAGGAACTATACCCAAAACGAAGAGGGGTACCCCAACCTTCTAGTTCACGGACCATTGACGTTAACACTGCTTCTGAGCGTGTTGGGGCGCCATTTCAGCGAGTTAGGCCTTCGGGTTGAACATATTGAATATAAGAATCTCGCGCCATTGTTTGTAGATGAGGTTTTGACTGTTTGTGGGAAGCCGAAGAAAGGTGGCGTTTGGGATGTTTGGATTGAAGGGCCTCGGGGTGGACTTGCTGTGCGCGGGACGGTGAGGACCTGTGTTGTATAATATTCTGAAAATAATATGATGATACCCTGATATATCTTTCTAAAGCTCTACTTGACTCGATTCCTTCCTGCTCTTTATTTCATTAGGGTTGGTCTCGCGATGGTTGTGTATCCTCTATTCGAATAGCATGGCTTGAAGAGGGTTGAGAGGGGTCGTAAAGGACGTTGACAAGACCAGATTGGAGACCTGGTCACTTGGTGAAGAAGCTCTTGGACATGTAATGTTTCTATCTGCTTTCGTAACGCTAATTCTGGCTGCGGGACATGCACAATATATGTCTGTACAAAGCGACTGGATGAGTGCCAGGGAATATTCAGAAAATAGCCGAGCTAGGTAAGGATTTACAAATTTACAGATGTACACTACAGCTGATCTTGATTTGTGAATTAACCCCCTGGTACAGTACATGTTTTGTCTAGTGTATTCTTTTGAGTCCCAGGGTCCCATCCGTGTCTCTGAGAGCCGCGCAGAGCCGCGCCAAGAACCGCGGGTGTCGGAGAAACCCCCTGCCGTAGCGGGTTTGTACACGTTTTTATTTCTTCCCACTTCCACCTCGCTCTTCCTTTCCTTCCTCTTACACCTCTCAATTCCCATCTCTAAAGCTCATAGCCTTCGGGTGTGATGACATGAGCTCTTTTTGATTCTTCTCCTAACCCATCATCTAGCACTCTATCACCCTCTCTGATCACTCCGGCGGAGATGGATGTCTTCTGGCGGGCACCTCCCGTGGCCAGGTACGCTCGTCGTTCTCGCCCCAAAGGCAGGTCCGGGGCGAAGACTAACGTGTCAATTCCAGGACACTCACTGCAGCGGCCCTCATCGAGTCACTGCTGTTCTGGGGTAGGCTCATCACGGGCAGATACATTTTCTTTGTCCCCCGCAAAATCTTCTGGCACCTACCTCCGCAGGTCTGGCGATTGGCAACCTGCTTCTTGCTGACTGGGCCGGACTTGGAGTTCGTCTTTGATCTGTACAATCTATGGCGCTACAGCAGTGCCCTTGAGAGTCAGTCGGGTCGCTTCTCCAAGCCTGGAGACTTCTTCATCTACATCCTGTTCGTAGGCACCGTCATTCTGGTAAGTGCCTTGCTTGCCCCCGTGGCCAGCTATTGTAGAGTTGTTGCTTTTCTTTTGTCTTGCGTTCATTACCCTGTCACCTCGCATATCTGCCCGCCCAGCCACATTCTAGCTGAAGCGGTTCCTGGAAGTGAGGAAGATTACCCCTGCATCCCGTGCAGTACCTCATTCGCAAAAAATCTAAATGGTACTGCATGCGGTGTGGGATTGGTGGGACTACCTATGAGATAACTGTCGTGATTCCATTCGCGAACGGTGGTTAAGGTGCCCTACATTCTACATATCCATCATCATCTTGTTACCTATACCTATCTATCATTCCCAAATATCAGTTTGATTCTTGCCATCCACTATCCACAATCCGGCTCTGCTTCCCATGGTAGCCAACTTCATCATTGCCCAGCATGCTAACCTTTTTGAAGCTTACCGCAGGCTTCTATATGGGCTATAGCTCTTTCCTTCCTGGTAAGCCCCCTCCCCTTTGATCCTGCCTACTGCGAGTATCTTGGGTATCTTCGTATAGCAGATGCTAAACCTCTGCAATTAGCCCTGATTATGGCCTTGGTCTGGACCTTCGCCCAGGATAAACGTGGCACCCGCGTGAGATTCTTCGTCATTGATATCCCAGTGATCTACTTGCCTGGTGCTATGTTGTGTATCACCATGGTGCGTGGTGGGTGGCCTGCGATGTTGTTGGAATTGACCGGTATTTTCGGTGCTCATCTCTACGACTTCATCACCCGCCTCTACCCGACCTTCGGAGGTGGCCGAAACTTCATCTCCACCCCCCGCTTCGTGCAGCGATTCTTCTACAAGAATACACCAAGGGCTGGATATCGTGGATATGGCACGGCTTATCATCAACCGGAACCATCCGCTTCGTCTGTCCCCCAGAGTCGGACCTCTGGTACTGACGCTGGAGACACTTGGGGTAGCTGGGGTTCTGGACGCAGACTCGGATAAGTCTATATTGCTCAATTGCTCCATGCAGCTTAGAAGGACCCAAGCAGCCCAGTCTTCTATTTCTCTATTCGTGTCCTCTCCAAAGCCTTACCTTGGGATGATCCTTACTGAGGGACGGTTCTCCCCATGACTTCTATCAAAATTTGTACAAATTAGCATTACAACTTGCCGAGTCTCTAGTAGTTCATAGCGGTATCAAATCTCATTATCATGCTATCACATCCTTCTATACTCTGAAAAAATTGTGTGAATACCATGGAATTCTGCAATCAACCAATTGGAACTATAGAAAAGTCTTGCCAGCCACCCAATCACGTGATCTCAAGCGGGCGCTAAACCTGATCGGGCACTGGAGCTGCCGCACTCGCAAAATTTCGTTCCGTCGAACAAATTTTTGGACCTCAACAGCATACTAACCACCAAGATGGCCGCCGTCAACAACATGGAGGTGGACTACACCATCAAGCCCGAGGCGCTCGTTCCGACTCAGTCCAGCGAGGACTGGCCCCTCCTGCTCAAGAACTACGAGAAACGTACGTGTGAAACTTTTTTTCGAGGGAGTGAAAAAACGGCATAGACCATGGATTACTGACCTTGAATCCTTTGCAGTGCTCGTTCGCACCGGCCACTTCACTCCTATCCCTGCCGGTGCTTCTCCTCTGAAGCGTGACCTCAAGTCCTATGTCAGCTCCGGTGTTATCAACCTGGACAAGCCCTCCAACCCTTCCTCCCACGAGGTTGTCGCGTGGATGAAGCGCATCCTCAGGTAAATCCTTCCTCAGAACCCATCGCTCCTCGCCAAATTCGACTAGGCCAATTGATTCTGACATATTCCCTCTTCATAGATCCGAGAAGACCGGTCACAGTGGTACTCTCGACCCCAAGGTCACTGGTTGCTTGATTGTCTGCATTGACCGTGCCACCCGTCTCGTCAAGTCCCAGCAGGGTGCCGGTAAGGAGTACGTGTGCGTGATCCGTCTGCACGACAAGATCCCCGGTGGCGAGGCTCAGTTCCGCCGCGCCCTGGAGACCCTCACTGGTGCTCTTTTCCAGCGTCCTCCCCTGATCTCGGCCGTCAAGCGTCAGCTCCGTATCCGTACCATCCACGAAAGCAAGCTGTACGAGTTCGACAATGAGCGCCACCTCGGTGTCTTCTGGGTCAGCTGTGAGGCTGGTACCTACATCCGTACTCTCTGTGTTCACCTGGGTCTGCTGCTCGGTGTTGGTGCTCACATGCAGGAGCTGCGCCGTGTCCGCAGTGGTGCTATGAGCGAGGAGAGCGGCATGGTTACTCTTCACGACGTCCTGGACGCCCAGTGGATCTATGACAACCAGCGTGACGAATCCTACCTCCGCCGTGTCATCAAGCCTCTGGAGAGCCTGCTCACCACCTACAAGCGTATTGTCGTCAAGGACAGCGCTGTTAACGCCGTCTGCTACGGTGCCAAGCTCATGATTCCTGGTCTCCTCCGTTTCGGTAGGTTTATCTTACTCGCATTCGTCACTATACGAAATACTAATCTGTTGATCTACAGAGTCCGGAATTGAGGTCAACGAGGAGGTCGTCCTCATGACTACCAAGGGTGAGGCCATTGCCATTGGTATCGCTCAGATGTCCACCGTCGAGCTCACCACCTGCGACCACGGTGTTGTCGCCAAGGTCAAGCGCTGCATCATGGAGCGTGACCTGTACCCCCGCCGCTGGGGTCTGGGCCCTATTGCCCTGGAGAAGAAGAAGCTCAAGTCCGCCGGCAAGCTCGACAAGTACGGTCGCGCTAACGAGGCCACCCCCTCCAAGTGGAAGAGCGAGTACAAGGACTACAACGCCCCTCTTGACGGCACCGAGGAGCACGCTGCTGCCGCTGCCCAGCCCGAGACCCCCGCCTCTGCTCCCGCCGAGGAGGCCGAGTCCCCCAACACCGAGGCTGAGGCCGAGGCTGATGACGACAAGAAGAAGCGCAAGCGCCACGAGGGCGAGACCGCCGAGGAGAAGGCTGAGCGCAAGCGCAAGAAGAAGGAGAAGAAGGAAAAGAAGGAGCGCCGAAAGTCCAAGCAGGCTGAGGACAGCGATGATAGCGACTAGATGTCCCCAGGAAGACCAATCACCCTCCCCGCCTGGTCTAATTCCTGTATCATATTTTCTGCTTTTACTTTCTTATTTGGAGTCTTGGGTCAAAAGGGAATCTGTCGGTTTGAAGATTTATAGTTGCTCGAATGTTATTCGAATCATACGTTTTGTTCCTGTAAAGCTTTTGTGTCCTTTGTGTTTGATAAGATCTATCAATTTTCAATCATTTCAATCCATAGAAGTGCCATTCCTCTTATTCTGTACGATATGGACTGTGGTTGTCCTGTTCCAATCAGGAGCATCTTTAGGCCTTGACGAAGAAGGGCTTGGAGACGCAGTTGACGTTAACCAAGAAATCCCGTAGATCTTGGTTTAACGAAGTGTGAAGTCTGACCTAGGGCAAAAGCAGGATGCTGGAGCCTTGTCAACCCTGTTTTCTGTGACTTAGATGAAGGCCCTCCAAACCCACCAGGTCCTCAAAATCATAGACGTGAAGGAAAGTCCACAGGGCAAGCGATCCGAGAGAAGAGATACCTTGATCATCGGACTGAGCTAAAAATGAAGGTACTCTAAAGACTCCTGGTCGCTCGATAAAAAAGGAGAGGTCCAAAAAGATAAAGGACAACCAAAATCCAAAAAAAAGAAACGTCAGCTACAGGGTTCGAACCTGTGCCCCCGAAGGGACTTGATGCCTAAACATGAAGGGGTTTCCCCCAGCCCTGACTTTGGGAGTCGGGAGGTTCAAGTCAAGCGCCTTAGACCACTCGGCCAAACTGACATATCAAACTCAATTTCCTCTAAACTGACTTGCGAGGTGTACCCACAAATGCCGATTTGGGTAATCTTTGTCTGTCCAATATTCTGCAGGGATACAAGCTATTTTCCGGGGCTCTGATGGTGGAGAGCCCTATAAAAGTCTGATAAGGAGGTAAAGATGTGTCCTCAGTTTAGTCCTCGCACTGGGAAATGCCATTGGCAGTATACGGCAAGGAATGAGTTGCTTGGGTACTGAGCCATTGGCCTTGCAGAGGTGCCACCCCCTACTCTATAGAGTTCGTGGAGTCATTTTGAAGTACACATTTACAACTCTATCAAAGTGTCAGGATAAGGTGATATCCCAAAATAGTGTCGATATGACTTTACGACTTACAGCAGGAGCACTCCGTATCGATAACCAAGTCGAGATCTCGTGACCAGACCCATCCGTTCTCTCCGCATTTCCCCCTCCGGCCCATCACCAGACCTTCTCCTAACCCCGACTTTCTGGCTAGGAAGAAGAGAGAGAAAGAGAGAAAGGAACCCTACGCCAAGCAGTGACCGACCATGGCTGCCGAGCTAACCTCTATAAAGCTCAACCCGGAAAGCCATCTGATCTTGGTAAGATCAAGCAACTCCGCAGCAAAGACGTCACTAGCTGATTACCCGCTCTGTACAGGACCAACCACTCCTCCGCCTTCCCCATGAACTAGCCCGACGCAACTTCAAGACTGTCCAACGGGTAGTCGAGCGAGAGAAAGAATATGTCCTTCCCGCGCTCAAAGAGGCAGCTAATGCCTCCTTATCCAATACCCACACTCCAGACCAGACACTAGCCGCGCTAGATGCTATGATATCCCGCATGCAAGGACTGAAACGGAAGATGCAGAGCCTCCAAGAGGAAGAGAAGAAGATCCAGACACAATCTCGGAAACGCATTCAGCACCTGGAGGCGCTGTACAATATTCCCAGCCTGGCGGATGTCAAGTATGACCAATGGTCGCGCGTGCGGCTGGATCGGTTGCTGGTGGACCATATGCTTCGGTCGGGATATTCCGAGAGTGCGAAACAGCTAGCAAAGGAGCGGGATATAGAGGGGCTGGTTGATCTCGAGGTCTTTACACAGTGCCAACGAGTCGTGGAGAGTTTGCACCGTGGAGAGACTAAAGAGGCGCTACAATGGTGTGGCGAGAACAAAGCGGCCCTTAAGAAAAGCCAGGTATGTAATCTTTCTTGCCTTTTTATTCCTGATGCAGCCGGAATGAGAGCCACTCTAATAACTCTAATAGCACAATCTTGAGTTCGAGCTCCGGCTACAACAGTATATTGAGATGGTCCGGACACAGGACCCATCGAAGAAAATCGATGCCATTAATCACGCTAGGAAGTATCTAGTCTCTAACCAAGACCCGGACAGCAAGGAAATCCAGCGGGCAGCAGGAATGCTGGTCTTCGCTCAGGACACTCGGGCCGAACCGTACAAGGTACGAAGTGTCCAGCTACCATACGGTAATCGAGCAACACTAACAACTCCCAGACGTTCTTCTCGCACGACCGGTGGAAGTTCCTCTCAGACCTTTTCATTCAAACACACCATGAGCTCTTATCCTTACCGTCGCAGCCACTACTCCACATAGCCCTGTCCGCTGGCTTATCTGCGCTCAAGACGCCACTGTGTCATTCCGCCTATACTTCCTCCAGCTCCAACTCCCAGTCTACGACGACATCCGTTTGTCCCATCTGCTCCACAGAATTGAACGAGCTGGCGCGTAGGATGCCCTATGCGCATCACTCGAAGAGTTACGTGGAAGGGGACCCGATCGTGCTGCCTAATGGTCGCGTCTATGGCAAGGCGCGGCTGTTGGATATCAGCAAGAACGTCGGGTCGGTCGAGTCGGGTAAAGTCAAAGACCCGACAACGGGTGAAGTCTTCGACGAGAGCGAAATGAAGAAAGTCTATATCATGTAAAGGAAGAGCAATCCTTGATTCTGCGATGGAGAAATCCCCATGACAATCTCGGTCGGAACATGACCCAGAAATGACTCGAATTGAAAGCGCAAATATCATCTTATTCCTATAGTCTTAGCAATTCCCAATTCACTCGCTATCACTATCCGCATCTCTAGCCCTCTTCCCCTTCTTCTTCCCACTTGGTTCTTCCCGCTTAAGCTCGAAAACATACATCCTAGCCAATCTATCCTCCCCACGCCATCCGCCTCGCCCACCATCTTTCCCTTCAACCTCACCCAGCGTCCTGGCATGCGAGTATCCCTCATACTCAGCCCAGGGGAACTTAAAGCTCGTAACAACCTGTAGTCCTGCGTGACGGGCCAAGTCCTTGATATTCCAGAGTGTATACGGTTCACCCTCAAATAGCGAGACGAGGATTTGACCGGGACCAGTGCGGACGGCTTTGCCTGAAGTCTGGGCATCGTTGTCGCCGTCTTCTTCTCCATCCTCCGAATCCTCGGAATCTTCATCATCGTCGTCCTCCCACTCCTCATCATCTTCATCCACAGGCACCGGTGCCGCAGAAAGTAGGGGCACACAGGCCTTGAAAAACGCCACCAGTAGTTCCTGATTCGCGCGCACCTGTCGATTAACATCTGTCGAGAGTCCACCCACGTGTGGGAAGTTGAAACAGATCACGTCCCATGGTCCGCTAGGCTGCGACGCTGGGCTAGACGCTTGAGATTGCGATTGAGATTGCTGGTGGAGCTTCCAGGCCGGGATTTTCGGCTCCTTGCGAGGAAAGCCGGTACGAATTTCTTTGCCGCCACCTGCTGGGGTACCGAGTTTGCGGGCGTCGACGGAGAAGAGGACTTTTGGAGTTGACTTTTGGGTGACTGTTGTTGTTGTTGAGGATGTTGATGTTGATGTGGCGGGTTGGGCATTGGATTCAGAGGTCTTGTCTTCCTCTGTATCTACAGCATTAGACTTAGACTTTGGCTTTGAAGAGTCTAAAATCTCTTGGATATGCTGCTCGGCTTGTGGATATTTGCTGAAGAGTGTCTCTTGCGAGTCGTAGCATGTAGCGCATAGTTTGCGGCATTTGTATTGCTTTGCTAGAGAGCGGGCGAAAGAGAAGTCGCCTAGAGAAATATTAGCAGCTGTACACAACGCAGGTCAAGATTTAAGAGTTCATGGGAAACAAGGGTTTCCAGGAATCAGCAAAGTACAAGCATGGATTCTTCCATGTCCTGTAGCTTGCTCCAATTCCCAATTCAAGGAGAAAAACCCTAGATGCACCACCCCCACAGACCATGAAGACCAATGAGATGCAAAACCCATATCATGTACAAAATGAAACAAGAGGAAAAGGCCAAAATCCTACAATCCAAGCAGCAAGAATAAGAAAAGACAACTTACCCTCCCCAATCAACAAAATGCGGTCTCCCTTCAAAAACGGCACAATCGGCCTCTGATTCGCCTGCAGCGATTGCTTATTCTGAATGCCCTCTTTACCAGCTCCAGCCTCAGCTCTACCAGCGGCAATACCGGGCTTAGAACTCTTATTCTTGCCCTGCGATGCTGGGCCAGGACCAGGCTTGGCTGGACCGCTAGGGCGGTGGGAGCGTGGTGGAGGACCACTCTTTTGCTTCTTGCGAGGCATGGAAGTATGAAAATCGATGATTATCAAGTTAAAGAGTGAATTGGTGCATAAAATGGCGTCGGAAAACAACAAGAAGTGGTGTGCAGCTTGGGAGTATACTCCAGAGAATGATAGACGAGGTGAAAAATGGGGCTGGCTTCCGGGCGATCAAAGTTCCGGACTTTTCTTCGGGGTTCCGACACCATGGCCATGTTCAGCATTATAATACTACAGCACAAGCTGGTTTTATGTGAATTGACAGTGATTAAAATGTTACATTTGCACAGTATTGAAGGAAAGACACGTTCTATTTCAACATGGCATAGCTATATACAGGAACAGGAAACCAAACCAGGCTATGCCCGCAAGAAACACACCGGAAAATTACTATAAGTCATACTGTAACCCAAGTGGGCAGAGTCTTCACTTGGCTTCCTCTTCTACTCTCCTCTTATCGAAAGAGAAGAGAGGGAAACACAAGATGGACGAGAAAGGGGTCGAATCGAAGGGCGGAAAGCAAAGAAAATGGAAAATCCACCAACACCGAAAGCACAGTATCGACCCTTCAACTCATAGAAAGCACGGGCATCGACAGCTGCAATGAAACGTGAATCATACACATGCAAGAAAGTAAGGCTTCCCTATTGTATGTTTAGGGAAGCAGTGATGCACGGGGTCCAGAGTCACTCTGAGTAGTCAATAGTCGACAAAGGGTGAGCTCTCCTGGACAAGAACGAGAACAAGAACAACAAGGAAAGGTCATTTCATCTCTTTTCTCTGCTTTTTTGGCGCAGCTCCTGTCATTGAACTTTTCTTATAGCCTGGATAGGCTTAAGAGCGCAGCGAGTCGCGCATGCTCTGGCTGCTGGCACTGACCAGAGGGTTGGAAGTAGGAAGAATGCCGGTCTTGGGCTTGGTGTTCTGCTTGATCTTGGCAACAGCGTAGACAATTCCGGACACGAAGCCGACAACGATGGCAGAGACACTGGGGAAGGTGACGGGAGCGTCGAAGAAGACCAGACCAGAAACAGCGATGGGGAGCTTGTTCAGGGCGCCAACCATGGAGTAAGTGGTGGAGGAGGTGACACGAACACACCAGGCGGAGGTGTACGAGATGAAGACGGAGGAGACACCAGTGATGATCATGGCGAAGAAGATGCCGTTGCGGTTGGCCTCGGGGAAGTTACGAGCCAGGTTGGCAGAGGACCAGTCCTCGACGAGCAGAGTAGCGACAATGAGGACGGGAATGGAGAGGAGGTTGTTATAGAACATGGCTGATTTGAACATTAGTATGACAACTCATTGTGCATCAAAGGACAAGGGGGTGCGTACTGTCAAAGTCCTTGAAGTTGGTCAACTTGATGCGCTTGCGCATGCCGAGCACATAGGCAGAGGTGCACAGGCAGTTAATCATCATCCAGACATAGCCAGCATTCAGAGTGGAAACCTTGCTGGTGGTATCGCCGCTGCTCTCAACGGCATGCTTAATGTCGGCCCAGGCGGCGATAATGGAGCTGAGAACCATCAGGCCGAAGGAAAAGAGAGTCATGTTGGTGACGGAGCCACCGAACCAGAGGACCTCACCATAGGCGATGAGGATGATGGTCAAGTTCTTGAAGATGGTGTAGACGGGGATGGAGAGGAACTGGAGAGCCTTGGAGCCGGTGTAGATCATGCCGATCAGCAGAAGGGTAATAGGGAACCCTATCAGGGGCGGAAAAAGACATGTCAGCTAAACTTCCTATGTCGCTCAAGATTGCAGAATGATCGAGATAAAAGGGAATGACATACACTTCCTAGCCTCGTCAGTGCTGAAGTCACGGTAGGTGATCAGACCCATGGACTTGCACGTTTGGATAGCAAAGATACAGACAATGGACTAAAAATGGATAGTTAGCTTGTGGGACAGGCAATTGCACCCCTCTATATATCAAGGTCGCCACATACCTGAATCATAAGCAATAAAAAGTTCAAGTTAAAGTCCAATCCCGACAGAACATACTTGTTCATCACGGTCATCAGAATAGAAGAGAAGCAATACGCCAGAACCGGCAGGGCAGGATTGTTCGATAGAGAGGAGGGCGGGGAGCTGGCAGCACGAGCCAAAGGAGGAGGCGGCGCTGCCTCGAATTCCTTGTTGCCCTGATCGAGCTTGTCCATCTCGACAGTGTAGTCGTCGGTCTTCTTGTCTTCGACCATGGTGGCGGAGTAGCCCCGAGGGGTGTGCGTGAGAGAGTGGTGGTGAAAGGGGGATAGAGTCTAGGGAGGACGCGGAGTAAAGCGAAAGGAAACGTCCGGAAATGAAGCGCAAGAAGCGACAAAGGGTCGACCGGTGAAGCGGAGTTGAGACAGTGGAGCGTACACGACGCGCAAAGGAGAAAACAGCCTCAAGGGGAGCAAATCTTTTGGCCGGAACCAGCCTGCTTACCTCAGCAGGAGGCTTGGGACGATGAGTCAGCCATTTCAAGGCGGCCGGAGGGTGCGACAGGTGGGACAGGTGGTTTGGGCCTGGTGCTAAGACTGTGCTACGACTGAATTAGTTTAGTGAGAAAAAGACTTGGTTTAAATTAGGGACTGCAATTTGGAAGATCAGCACTCAATTGGCCATCGCTAAGTAGCCATCTCAACTAAACTCGGCTAAAATCATGTCAAGACTAACAGTTCCCAGTAGGGTATCGTGAGTAAGGCACTCCAGTATGCTTGTATTGTTCCTTCATGGATTTTGGCTCAAAATTCTCAGCGATTTATCATCTGACTAATTATTGCTGCTTTCTTGAAGAATAGTTACTAAACATGGGCTATTACCTGATCGCTGCCGTCAGAGTCATGTACAATCACAGTGGCTTAGGCCTGCCTGTCGAAAGAACATAGATAAGCTCCATAAAATACGTCCAAGTCAAGAGAATAGATATCTTGAATAGATGCCTCATTAGGGACAGATGAGAGAGACGCCTTGAAGTGTGGCAGGGGAGGTTTCTCCATGAATCATATTATTTGGTCGATTGAGACAGTTCTTCAAGAACCTCAGCCTGTCGAGTCGCCCAATATTTTCTTTTTTCATACCAATTCCTGTCCACTGGACGGGGATAGTCGTATTTGTCCGGATTCTGATAGACCCATTCCACCCACGTAGAGTAAACTGAACTTTGTGGCACATAATCGCCAAATATAAACTGTTCTAATGTCCAAAATTTGTCTGTTACTTCTTCAAAACCAGACAAATCCTGTCCTCTTGTGCCATATGATCTCATCAAAGTGCTCGAAGTCATTCCGAAAATTTCGTCAACGGACATTGTTGCGGGGTCCCAAGATGTCCATGATTTCTGGCGTGTGACCGGACTGTCTGGGGTCCAAAAGTCGGCGATCAAGCTGAGCCAGCTTTCTTCGATTGACTCGTTTTCATGGCTGGAGGTTTCTTGCATTTTCTTGTCAAGATTCGCCACGAACTCTTCTTCTTCGTCGATAATCTCATCGACTGCTGCATCTCCCATATGCTCATGCGCACCGGTAGATTCTATGTTGCCGCAAACATGGGTCATATCAGCCAAATTGAATTCTCGCACACGTTTGAGCCCCAATACTTCCCTCTGTGCAATAGCCCGTCCTTGTATCTCATCAAGCATCAGAAGGAATTCCAGAATCCATATATATCCCATTGACAGCCCGTTTTGACGAAGCAATCGACGAAGTGGAGAACACCCATGAGGAGCACACGGGCAACGATAATTGTCATAGATCCAAATATCCGCCCTTTCATGAAGAAGTTCGGCGATGACGGCAAAGTCACGCGATAGTATCTTAAGTGAAGAAGATTCGAGAGATTTAGTACCTTTGGTGTGTGAAATAGGAACCCAATAGAAAATGCCACTCGTGAATGCTTTTTGCAATGCTGTTTCCCCTCTATTGTCTCGGTGATTGACGTTGCAGCCTCTGGCCACAATGTTCCTGGCCATATGACTCTGACAAGGGACGAGGGTCATCAGAGCAGTTTCCCCTTTGATGTTGCTCTGATCAATGCGTTGAAATCCTGCATTGAACAAAGCATCTATCCATTTTGAGTCTGGGGCACAATGCAGTAAAGTACTGCCGTCTTCGAACAGCATATGTTTGTCAACTCCCAAGTTGAGCATCTTCTCGAGAAGTCCAGTCCCGTAGACCTGGCTCCACCACCACGGCCTTTGAATCATTTCAATCATGAGATAATGCAATTCACTTTGTAAGAACGCATCTGAAAAAAGACCCGCTGTACGGAAGAATGCGAAAGAAGCCGTTGCCATGTCCCAGTTCTCCCAAACTAAGGCCCACTGCAGAAATTCCAGATGTCCTTCCTTCAATGGATTCGCTCCAGCCTTGAGGAGGAGAACCACGGACTCGATATACCCATAAGCTGCTGCGTAAACCAGAGGGCTGTTGCCATAAGAGTCGAATCCATCGAAGTCAATGACATCAAAGTCTGAATATGCCTTCAATAGCAGAGACAGCACATCTGGCCTCAGAACAGCGACATGAGCGGCTGTTTGACCGAGAACATTACTTCCTCGTAGGCACCCTGAATGCTCCAAAAATGCCGAGACATTGGGTGTGGATCCGCAAAGAAGACTGTCCATCAGAGGAGTTTGGCCCCAAACTCCTGAACACCAGTATTAGAAATAGAGCACCAATAGTGTTGAGGATATACTCAGAGCTTACCATAAGAGTTTTCTGAGCATTTCATAAGGAATTTGAGTAGAAAAGGGTCGCTGTCGCTGCCGGGCCTCATTGGAATTGAGAAAAATCCACAAGGTTGGGAGCCTCCTAGGCCAAGCCGAGTGTCACCGAGATCAGTGTAAGTAGTATCTATAGAGCAATCGTATCCAGATGCTAGCAATTCCTTCAGTATTTTCAAATGTATTCCAAAGCGATTCCAGCCAGCCACAAGTGACAGAAGTCTATACTCAACGGATTCTTAGTAACGGAGTTCCACACTACATGCTTGGTATCATTGACCTACGGTTTTTTGGCCGTCTTTGATGCGCCAGATTTGCAAAGGATGGTCACAAATTCAAGGACTGTGTTGGGACTTAATCTGAGATTGCCTAGAAGTCTCTATATCCTTGTCAGTAGATAGCACCTTGCAATATCAAAATTCCAACGTACCTCGAGCCATGTCGATCCGTTAGGGAAGATATCCAGCGGAGAGGCAACTCCTGTCTGAAACAATTTGACCAGCTTGTCACACGATGTTTGTACATCGGCTCTATAACGGTGGCATTTAAACACTAACTGGAATCCGGGTGAGGTGTTCTTGACAAGTTGTTGAAAATGAAGGCTAGGGCTGATCGAAAGCCCAGAATTCCCCCAGGAGAGATCCAAGTCTGCCTGGAAAGCCCAGAGAAAGCCGAACCTGGCGAGTCCAATAAAATAAGAGAGTCGCCGTTGCTTGTTATGCTTAATGTAATTGGGGAGACATTGGGAGGCAACTCGCGACTCGCTGTTATCGATTGAAATGCTTTGGGAGTCTCCCGCCATGGCAACAGAATTTATGCTCGTAGTTCTTTCCAGGGAAGACACATTCTCCAGTTGTTTCAACACTACTCTGGTGTTTACCATAGTGTGAGTTGAAGTAATGGAGTTTTGATAAAGCAGCAGCATCTTGATATAGCCCGATATCTTAGAGAAGATCTTTTCCAAGGTCTTTTCATCTTTCAAGCTTAAGATTGCCTTGCGAGTCTTTGTCAACTTGGAATCACCCAGTTTAGGTGTCAATTTTGTCATGAGATCGTCAAGGACAATCATTTGTGAGAAGCATTCATCAATCAGGATCTTTAGCGCGGCTGAAGTCTGGGGATTGAAATGGCCAAAGTCAATATGGAACTGGATTCGATGTAATGCGTCGATGAAAAGAGGCAAGTGGATTCCAATATCACGTAGTGTTTCCGGGGCTTCATCAACTCAGTGGATATAAAGGTTGACTCGCTCGAATACTCTGGTAGTAAAATCTACCAGCTGGATGACGGACGCAACAGCGCCTACCACGGCCAAGGCCTCCGCCATTTTGATAGTGATCGTTGCACCAAGATGGAAGCCTCGCCTCAATTTTGTGAAATTTGGGACAAGAAAGAGAAATCAGCAGCAAAGAGGAGAGGCCCAAAGAAGGGGTTGACAACGACGCCTCCCTCGGATTTGATGAGGCTGACCGCAAGGCGGGGCTGAAACTGGGCGATACGCTGCATTTTCGGAGGTTCGACATCCAACCAACGGCGCTTATTTTGCGCCAAATCAGGCCGCACCACATGGACATACATTGAGGCGGAGTATAGTGAGGAAGACTTGGAAGGCCAGTAGGGGCTAAGCAAACCGTTCCTTAGATACTCAGGTCAAAAATTTCAGCACTGCAATTTACTGTATCAGAGTCTGTTCGATGCTGGCTTGTGTTTGGTTCGCAGGCCTAAAGGACATAGACGGGTATTTAGCAGCAACAAAACGCTACGGTACTTGGTAGGCCGGTCAAATATTAGTAGGATCTCGCCTGTCTCACTTGCATATTCTCTCTTTCAAATATCAGGGCTATATAGAACGTATAAGAGCCGCCTTTCGTATAAGCCACCTTCTGCTGTGTCTAAATCTTGGAGATCAAATACCAAAACAAGGTGATCTAAAAATAGCTAGAAACGGCGATTTATCGAGAGCTTATGATGAGTGCGTATAACATATGTAGATAGAAAGGAAAACCAAATTAGGCCAAGTCCGTGAAACTTAGCAATGGTCACTATTAGAAACTGCCAATCGCCAAACAGTTTGGTCTGCATAGAAGAACTAATGCAATTAGCAAGAAGAAAGATAGCCAGGCATGAATAAGTATTAACTCAATTGACCGATGTTCAGTAAATAGGTGTATAATACTTCACTCAAAACTGTAGTACGCGGAGATGGAAACCACCAGGAGCTCCGCGGTGGAGCAGCCCCGTGCCCCTCGTCCAAATTAATTTGCAACTCCCAACCTTCCTCCAACCTCCAACTATCCCCTCAACTCGAGCACCTCCAATTGAACCACGACAAAAGCACTTGGATCAGTGCAAAGTCACATCCAATTGGCCACTTGAAATACCCACCTACTACCGCGGGGCCCAACTCCCTAAAAGCCAACCAAAAAAATGCCCACCGACTCCGACGACGAAGCCCTCTTCGCGGCCCTCGAAAACGAAGAAGACACCAGCTACCGCGACACCCGCATCCAACAACTAAACGCCGAATTCGCCTCTGCAAAGAACAACCGCAGCACCAACAACACAGCCAACACTCTCACCAGCGCCACCCTCACCCACAACGACACCTATCCCACCCTCTCATCCGACCAATCCGTGCTGGACCACACAACCTCCTCAACCCGCACGCTAATCCACTTCTACCATCCCGACTTCACACGCTGCGTGGTAATGGACCGCGCGCTATCGCAGCTCGCGGGGGCACACCACGAAGTGCGCTTTGCGCGGGTCGACGTGGGGAACACGCCCTTTTTGGTGGAGAAGTTGGGGATTCGGGTGTTGCCGTGTGTGATTGGGTTTAAGGATGGGGTTGCGGTTGAGCGGGTGGTTGGATTTGAGGGGTTAGGGGAGAGGGGGTTTGATGGCGGGGAGGGGTTTAGTGTTGGTGTTTTGGAGAGGAGGATGGTTGGGAAGGGGGTGTTTGTTGGTGTTAGGGTTGGGGGTGAGGGGGAGGAAGAAGAGGAGGAGAGTGGGAGTGAGGATGAGAGGGAGAGGAGGAGGGGGAATGGGAATGGGATTGGGGGGAGGAAGGGGAGGAGTATTCGGAGTGGGAAGATTAGGAGGGATGAGGAGGATGATGATGATGATTGGGATTGAGAGATTCACGAAAGGGTTGATTTGGGAAGTGGGATGGGAATATATAGACAGGACAGTCCTGGAGTTGACTCCTAATAATGGACAATAGGATATGTTGATATTGCCTACGACATACCTCCTGGATGATTTGATTTGATATAGAAACAGGACATGTATAGAGATACCAAAAAGAAATCAACAGACCTGCCACCATAAACAGTCTATTCTAAATGATTATACGAGAACTAGGACCAAAACCAGAACCAAACACCGAGCAGCCAGACCCTCGACCAAAGGGAAATGTATTGGAGTCAGACACTCAAAAAAACCGCAGAGCACTAATACTGACTGCATCATGATAGAATTACAGGCATATACCAATAAGGACAAAAAGAAGCAGAGGCTTAGAGACCATGAGCACAGAAGCCAGCTTGATGAAAAGTCCAAAGAGAAAGCAACACAGACAAAACACGAAGAAAAAAGCACAATGAATAGCTCAAGCTTAACCTCAATCCCCGTAAAGTTACAACAAATGCCGCAAAGCCACAGGATCAGAGAAGGAAAACAAAGGGAAAAAAGAAAACAGAGTAAAGTTCTATACACGAAGGAGAAACAGTGGCACATAGATCCAGAAGTTCGTTTCATCGACGCCTGCGTTGCCCTTGGATTGTGGAAAGAGAAAAGAAAAGAGCCCATCGAGGAAGCGAGAGATAAAAAAAGTGGTAGAGGTAGGTAAAGACACGGCGAGAAAGGAAGGAGAACAGCAATGAAAAAACATTTCCATCCAGCGCGAGTTCGAGTTCCAAACTCAAACTCTAAATGGCCACGTTCTTCATCTCTCCAAGAACCTCCGAATCAATGGCACTCGAGGGTTCCGCAGTCCCGTCACTCTTTTCGCTCTTCTCACTCTCAGGCAGCTTCGTCTCGCTCGTCTTCTCAGGGAATCCCTCGTTCTCCTTGTTGGAGATCTGCGGTGTAGCAACCTCCATCAAGTCTTCCGTCTGCTCTGCTTCCTTGCTGTGCTCCCGGGAATCCTCCGAGATCGTTGGACCAGCAGTGGCAGCGGGACTCGAGATTTCCTCCGTCACACGAGCCAGAGGGCTGGACACACCGAATGTCGTCTTGGGGCTTTGCGTCGAGCCCTTGGAGAACCGATGCGGCGAGCGGCCGCGCTCCTCGGCCCGAGTTGGGCTACCATATGGCGAATCCCGACTGCTGGATTTGCCGTTCGCATTAACACCCACACCGTTGGGACCACGTCGGCGCGGCGCCCGACGTCCGTACTTCTGGTCTGTCCGCCAGCGCAAGATCTCCAGATATGGTGGCTCGACATTTTGCGACTTGAACTCCCTCAGCTTCATCTCGTTGGTCTCCTCGTTGATAAAGGTCTTGCCGCTGCACAGATCTTCCGCGAAGATGGCCAAGAAGCCCGCCCACGACCGCGCAATGACGTATTTGCAGTCGTAGTCACGGCCAAAGATGATCACCTGGCCCCATTTGCCTGCAGGTCCGGGTGCCAAATCAATGGCGATGTGGTTGCCGCCCCAGTCGCGAGCGACTGGGATCCAGCCGGGGTGGGCATATGCCTTTTGCACGGCGCCCGGTGGTTGAGAGTCCTGGCGCTCGAGCAGTTCATTGCGCCACGCCCCTGGGTTGCTTTGTTGCTGGGCAGCAGCCGAGGACGAGCTTGCGGCAGAGCTAGAAATCGGCGCAGAAATGGGAGCATTGTGGCTCAAAAATTCCTCATTGACAGTCTTCCAGTTCCTCCGCTCCTGCACAATCTCCTCGCAATCCAGTAGCATGGAGCTAAAAAGAACACCCGTGGGCAGACCGGGCCGCTCCTGGCCATCGTGAATCATCAACGACTCGCGCAACTCCAAGGGCAGAGTGCAATCCAACTCGTGTTCCAATTCATTAATGTCGTTTTGCGTGCACCCTTCGCCGAGATTATCTAACAGTTCCTCATAGTTGTGCTCCAACCACCGCTCAATCTTGCGCCAGGAGTGAGCGACCGGGGGCGGAGGGGCGCGCCGTCATGGAAGCTTTGCATCTGGATCTCCGCCGGTCCATCGGCCTGCTCGTTGGAACCGCGTTTTTGAGAGGCAAGCGATCGCATACCCGGGGAATAGGGGCGGTTGGGCGAGCCCACTTCGGTTGGAGAGCCGTTCCATTCGGTGGCTTGTGCAGATGCCAAGCCCTTGGTTGGCTCGTCGTGGTAGGGGCTGGAGAGATCGGGGCGGGACTCGATCGCGCTGGTAGCAATGGAGGTGAGAGGTTGATGGCGACTTTGGCTCAGGGGGACGTGTCGACCAGTGCGATAGGGGGAATCGTGAGAGGCATGACGGTCATAGGAGGTCATGGTATGCCAGAAGGAGCGCCATGCCGAACCAAAACTAGAGAGCCAGGGGGAGTCAGCGGAGAAACGGGAGACATGAGAAGAGCAGCAGTAGGACGATGAGCGGAAAGAGAGGGTGTGTGAGAATAAAAGACGAGGAGAGGAGAGAAGAGGGGGACCTACGCGTTCGCCATGTTGTTAAGATGGGGAGGGGAGGCTATTGTCAGAAAGGACACAGGAGGACGGTCATTGGCGACCGAGTCTCCGATCGGATCAGCGAGAGTGAGGTGTGTGGGTTGGTCAAAGAGAAGATGAGTGTGGGATAAAGGAGAGGTCCAAATTCCAGGAAGGCAAGCAGGGAAAAGGTAGTAGTGGAACAGCCAAAGAGGAGAATGAGAGGGAGAGAAGTTGTCGAGAGGGTGTTGGAAAGAGGGTTAGGTAAGGATGGGCAGGCACGAAAAATATGACGGAGATGGTCCTTTCCCCGTGATTTGAGGATCCGACTTTTGGAGGGACCAGCTTTTTTTCTTTTTTGGACCGACCACTCTCCTGACGTTTCTCAGGTACCTGAACCAAACCACTTGGAAGTTCGAACCCAGTTAGTACCTTTCGCTTCGATGTTGATGCGGTGGTTGGACTCTCCTCCAGTCAGCGTCCCCCCCTGGCCGCATCCAGGTCCTTGACCCTCAGGCATGCAGATCATGATGTCGTTGCTCGACTCGCTCCTGCCGAGCGCAGCATACCAGCCCTTTTCCCCAGTCCTCTCTGGATTTCTTTCTGTCCTACAAAGCACGACTATGATGAATGATAATCGCACTGTCTACGCATCGCCCAACCCTGACGTACATATGCCCACGCCGACGTGCGTCGAGTCTGCCTAAAGTGCTGACGGGCATTGTTCAGCATGTGCAACTGAGACCCCATCAGCATTGGAGGCTGCATTGTTGACACGACAAATACCCTCAAGCGGCCAGCTCAGCCCAGCCGAGTTCGGTAACCGTTTTCCAGAACATTCATAACTATCCCCAAGACTGGGAAGACTGCCCCTAAAGTATCAGCCCTGGGAGTCTGGGACACCTCAGCCACTTCTGTCGTGGCGTCCATCCTCCTGTCCCAAATTAAGCTTCATCAGGTCCGAGACAAGATCGACGGCCAGAGGCAAAAAGAGCACGACAGGATCTCCAGAGTAATCCATAGCGTCTCGGTATATATCACGCCATACACTAAAAGCCTCCATCTCCCAGAAAGAAAAGACGAAGCATCCAGACTATCTCCTGTTCGGTCTTCACCAGACCTTGTCCCCCTGCCAGGTTTTCAACCACTTTTCCTCTCCAGCAAGTTTTACTACTCCAACGGAGTCCAGGGGATCCTTTTTCCCCGGGGGCCGAATCATGGTCGCCGACGGGGCCCCTCTCTCTCTCCCACCGCAGATTGGCAGACCCAATCTCACCGCAGTATAAAATTAGCAGTTGGCCCAGACTAACCCGAGTGGAGTAGTAGGCCGACCGGGGGCGCACATTCGAGAAAGAGTGGCGTCTCGACTCGATTATTAAGGGGGTGAACATTGCCCACGTAAACGCCTGCGTATATAGCCAGACTACTAGTTACGTATGGATGTCCACACTGACTAGTTAACTAAGTTAAGGAGTACAGCTTATTAATTATAGCTGTAGGAGATTTATATTGAATATGCACTCATTGACTATAGTATGTACATTGTACTCCGTACTGTAACTTCTAAAAAGGCCCTAACAGAATCCCCCTCGCCAAGCACACCCACGACCCCCGTTCTGGCCAACTTCTAATTGAGATCAGCGCCGAGAACCAAACCCTCATCTCTTCTAAGATCTTCGGGGAGGGCCCCTCCGCAAGAAGTTCTGCCGAAGTAACTCAGTCCATAAGTACGGAGTAGTGGAGAGAGAAAAGAACAGCGCCGTTGCTTGGGGCGAAAGTGGCTCGACTCGAGGCTGTGATTCGGTGGTTTCAACGGTGGATGTGGATTTGTGTCCACCCTGCAAACTCGGAAAGTTAGAAGGCTTGGGTTTTGGCGAGTGGAATTGAGTTTTAATAGTTATTCTTGTAATGAAAAGCTACATTCATATATCCTACTATCAGATCTCTCCCGGTTTGTCTTCATTGTCTCGTGAAGTATAGGAGAGAACTTTAAGGGGATATTATATATATCAGCATCTTGCTTGTCGAGTTGACGGAGAAGGTAACTGGAATCCGCCTCAAAATGCCGTAGCCTTGTGTAGATCATGATGTCGGTATCGACTCGAGAAGCATCCATTCAATGCATCATACTATCACCCGTAGAGACTTAATTTGGCAAGTTAGCTGACGAACGTGCTTCGGAAACAGTCGCAGTGTCGAATGTGGTAACTTTTATATAGGTGTATCTATCGATCGTTGTCACAAGAAAAGCTTCATGTTGTGCATTCTATTTCCTGCTTGCTAAATCACGTACAAGATCATGTATCTTCCTGGTGGCGTTTATCAATCTCCCTAGATATAGCACATGCGACCCATTCTCAGCAAGTGGAACCATAAGTCTCCAAATCGCAGCGTCCCTCCCCCCCTACATGAGAATCTTTCTCTTTCCCTTCACCTCTTCTATCAGCAGCATACTTGGCAGGCCTGTGATCGCCTCCTACCCGTCTTGGCTCGTTCTCGTTCTCTAAGACTTGTTAAGCCTCCGCCACTCCACAAGGGCATCATCACACATGCGCGACATTGAGTAGGTGTCCGACATAATCTTCAGCACTGGCATGTCGACGCCCATCTCTCTGAGGAACCATTCACGAATGCGGATGGCTACGAGAGAGTCGATGCCCAGGTTAGCCACAGGCATGTTGTGGTCCAGCTGCTCAGGGTCGATCTCGAGCAAGTTACCCAGGGACAGTGCGAAGCAGCTTTCGAGTATGACTAGGCACTCGGCAGGGTCCTCAGCCGAGGCGAGCTGATCCTTGACGCTGACAGACCCGGCGGCTTGCTCTCCGCTAGAGTCGTCCTGCAGCTGTTGCTGGCCGATGTAGCAAGACAACCGCGGGTCGTCGCGCCACTCACCCTGGAAGACTGACCTGATGCCCGTGATGAGCTCAGCGGGCTGGGCCGAGCCTGGACGTCCACAAACTATGGCCTCGGCCAGCATTTCGTGCAGGTCCGTCTCCGACTGCCTGTCAAACCGCGGAAGGATGGCCTTGTAGATGGTTTCAGCATGCTCGGAATCACGCCGGAAAATATATCCAAAGCCCGTCAGGATGGCAATGTGGATGACAGATCCAGCGAGCCCGCGCTGGAGTCGTTGTTGAACAAGACTAGCCATGTAGTGGTTCGCGGCAGCGTAGGCAGACTGGCCAATGCTTCCGACAATCGATGTCGTGGACGAGAAGCATACAAAGAAGTCCAACTGTTCATTGCCAAAGAGCTCGTCAAGGTTCTTGGATCCCACCATCTTAGGCCCCAACACAGCGGCGAAATCCTCCCAGGGCAAATGATGGAAAAGACGGTCCCGAAGCACCATCGCGGCATTCATAACGCCCCCGACAGGCGGCATGCTCGACTTAATGTCGCTGTAGGCAGAGCGGAGAGAGTCCATGTTTGTAATGTCGACGGCCATTGGTCGCACGGTAGCTCCCTTGTGCGACAAGTAGTTAAGCACACTAGGAGAGATGTTGGGGTTTCGGCTGGTCAAGACCACGTTCCGGGCTCCGTTTTCCACCATCCACAGGCACACCGAGATACCCAAGTCTCCAGTCATGCCGCAAAGGAGGTATGTCTTGTCAGGAGCAAACAGCCCACGGTGCTCGAGAGGGCGCACCAGGGCGTTGATGGTATCGGCAGTACTCCAATCAATCAAAACTGCGGGGCCCAGTTCCTTGCTTGTCACGGTTGAGACCTTGTCGATGGCCACAATCTCAACAGACTCCGTGGGGACCTGCAGGCCATCGTAGATATTCTGTTTGGCCAGGATGCGGAGTTCAGGGAGGCTTAAACTGGCGGTTAAGCTCGCGACGTCCTTGTTCACGATGGCCGAGGTAGGCAAAGAAGCATGAATAAACGCAGACAATGCCCTGTGTTCTTGGCGTGCTAGGTTGATGAAGCTCTGCAGGCCCTTGGGGCGGAAATCCTGTAGGTCTTCCTTATTCGCGTAAGGATGGATGAAATTGACATCCGAAGTCATCGCCATATCCGATGTGGTTTGGAATACGGCGACGCTCTGCTCCCGGGCAACCACGTCGATCACCTCGCGGAGGTCATGCGGTGCCCCGTGAATCCATGTAGGCCCTTTCAAGCTGCCGAGAAGGTGTTCAGCAAGTGCGCGTACCACGAAGAGATGCAGATGTGCGGTATATTCAGCAGCCGTCTTGTCATCCTGCCAGCGATATAAGATGTGGTCTTCGGAAACCTTGACCACCGAACTGTTTACAGCTGAAAGAGCGAGGGCCGTGTCTCCGGAAACCAGGTCGCGACCGATGCACACATACACCGGCCCGTACTCATCACAGGTTATGGTGCGAATCGAAGAAGCCAAGACCTGCAGGCCAATCTCATCTTTTGTGGCTCCGCCAAAAGGAATAGTCTGCAGCTCGAATGCTCCCTGGCGCTCATCGACCACCACAGCCACATCCTCAGACTCAACGCTGGTAATCTGAGTGACTTGTCGGTGCCTTGCGGCAGATCGACGGTTAAGAGTGTCAAGAGATACCACCCTGGGTACGTAGAGGGCGCCCTCTTTCAGGGCAAGCTCAGGCTCCTGGACCCAGAGCAGTTCGTCGTTCTTGGATGGGTCCAGGAAGGCGAGACGAAGAAGCATACTTGCCAGCATAGACGGATCAACAGACGACGGTTCGTCAACGTCGAGGAATTGGAGCCTGAGATCCATGCGTTCAGCTCGCAACGTGCTCGACAGTCCCAGAGTGATGTTGGCATCAGGATCATTGCCTGACTTCGCACCCGAGGTCACCCATAGAACCACTTCGGCTGATTCCATGACGTTCTGCAACCCTCTGAATCTCTTTGAGTTCATGTCGCGGAACACAGGGCTGTCCAGATCGCTAAGGCAGAGTACAGCTGCTCCCTTCGGCACCTCAATGCCTTCGAGTCCTGGCAGTACGGTGACAGTGTTGGAAGGAGCAGCAGCTTGCAGGGTTTTTTGGATCTGGGAGGCAAGCTCTGAAGTTACACCACCACCGACGATGAGGATGTCGCCCAGTGGCGGAAGGGCTGTTGGAGCGACAGCAAGCGGTTCGCGGAGGAGCTGTACCGTCTCGTCGACTGCCTGCGCCACAATAACAGAACAGAAGGAAGGCGTCGAGCTTACTTCAACCCCAGAGAAGCCGTTGGCCTTCAGCAGCTCGTCCCATCGCTCGAGGCTGACGGTAGGTGCCCAGACTCTCCCGTCTTCTATGCCCAGGAACCATCCAGGCAGTGTTGACATAACCAGCTGTGTAGGCAGGAAGTCTCGAGTAATCTCCAGCAGCACCAAGCGGCCACCGGGTTGGAGGAGCTGTCTGCAATGACGCAGAGTCTCCCCCAGACTTCGTGTCGCATGCAGACAGTTTGAGGAGATGACCATGTCGAACGTTCCTTCAGGGAATCCCTGGTCTACTGGATCATTTTCGATATTGAGCGTCTTGAAAGAGAGCTTGCTGCTATGCTGACCGAACAGCGTGCGGGCGTTTTCGAAAAAGCCGGTGGATATGTCCGTGTATGTGTAGGACGCATATTGATTCCCCAAAGCATCTAGAACTGCCCGTGTAGTGCCACCCGTGCCAGCTCCTACCTCGGCGATACGCATGCGCGGATATTGGTGGGCAAGCTGCTTCACAATACCGGCAAGATCATGGTTACCGTCCCGGGCACCGAGTCCTTCCACGTACAGACGGTCGAGCATGCCGTCCTGTGTAAGCACTCTGAGGGGAGGAGTGGTTCCGCGGACAATGCCGACCAGATTCTTCCCCATGGCGTGAAGAATGTTCATATCGTTGTTGTCTGACGGTTGGCTGGCACGCCATTGCTGCACCATCTCGAGCGTGTCATCTTTCCACTCAGCGCGAATTTCTGGATGCTCCCCAGCTTCAATCCGGGGAGTAGATGCTCAAGGACCCAAGTCATCATGTGTTTCCGGTACTTGCCCATCAGCATCAGTTCCTGGGGCAGGATCTTCTTGCGGAGCTGGCGCAGGTAGAAGTAGGCCGTGCGCGAGAGCTGCTCGTATAGCACCCAGTCCGCTTCCGAGAGCTTGGTCTTGATGCTGGGCTCGATTCCATAGCTGACGTCTCTTGCCCATGTGGTGCCTGCGTAGAGCCAGGGGTCCCGGCGTTGCCCCACGGCACTCAGGTGAATTCCACGGATTTGCACTTGGGTGCGCACATTTGCTGCATCGAACAGGTCTACATCGCCTGTCAGAGTGGTTTTACCCGTTGAGGTCACGGTAGCGTCGGCTGTGAGGACAGTGGCATGCGACTCGGTGGGCATCATGTTGACCCTGACACATTCAACCCGTGTCGGCAGATAGATGGTCCCGAGGCGACCATCTCCTGGGAACGAGAAGCCAGCCAATAGACCTTGGAAGGCAGTATCAACGGGTGCGGGATGCATGCACTCGCGCATCGAAGAGGGCTCGGGAGGTGATGACACGGTCACCAGGGCACGGTTAAGCCGCCGGTGCATCGACTTTGCCTGGAACAGGTCGGCGTAGTTGAAGCCTTCCTTGGCTAGGTTTGAGTACAGTTGCTCCATGTCCAGAGCTTCCATGGGAAGCAGAGGTGTTTTCCGTGAAGGTAACGTGTCCGTGCTGGGCTCACCGAGCCAGAGCCGTACACCTCCGGTAAAATGAGCTGTGAGACCAGTTTGAGGGGCATCCAAAGGCTGAACCGAGTCGACAGCACCGCTATAACAGGCAACTTCGGCTGTAATGCAGTCATCCGACTGGGCAGTAACGCGAACAGTGAAGACAACTTCAAGCCCCGAGGAATCTTGTTCGAGCCGCATGGCTCGCACAATGTCAATATCATGCAATTCCACGAGACGTAGTGACTGCCGGTCGTCTACCAATCGAGTGGCGGCCTCGTAAGCCATCGACAAGTAGCCAGACGCCGGAAATAAAACTTCGCCCTGAATTCTGTGACCGGCCAGCCAGGGGAGCTCATTCAGCCTCAGGAGCTGTTTCCAGTGCACCTCGCGCTTGTCACGCTCGCCATGAGTGACAGAATGGCCCAGAAGCTCGTGACGAGGTTGGCTCTGAGTACGGAAGATACGGGATGTTCTCGACTCCTTCCAGATGAGGCCTGGATGGTCCCACGAGTAAGCCGGGAGGCCTTTCAGAACGGCAAGCTTCAGCGGCTCCCGGCTAGGGAAAGCCCTGCGTACGCCGTCAAAGGTGATCAGGGGGCGCGACGACGGGAAAGACTTCCACAGAAGCCCCAAAGCATCTGAGAATGACGTGACCGCATTCTGCCCACGTTTTAGAACTCCCGAGTACGGAAAGGAGAGACCTGTCAGCATTTTGATAGTCTCGGCGCTCGGCCCTTTGAGAGCAGGGTGTGGTCCAACTTCGAGAACAAGGTCAAAGTACTGGTCTTCGTTCAGGGCTCTCGCCAGTGCTTGACTGAAAAGCACCGGCTGGGTCATGTTATCGACCCAGTACTGGCCCTCGAGAAGCAAACCATCCGCTTGGTTGAATGACCGGCTGCGACCATCCGATCCCCAAACACTCGAGTACCACCGGCACTGTTTTCCGCCCTTCTGAACTGTGACTCCACACTGCTTCATCGACTCGAGATAAGGAATAGCGCATGGCTTCATGTGATGAGAATGATATGCCGTGTCGACCTGCAGCACGCGGGCAAAGGTTCCTTTTTCCTGCAGCCGAGCGTGGGCATCCTCGATAGCTTCAGCATCGCCTGCCAAGGTGCAGCTCGTCTGAGAGTTGCTGGCAGCTACGGTAAGCGTTCCCCCGAACTCGCTACAGAAAGTAGTCGCTTGGTTCAAGGACATACCGACCGCCATCATCTTGCCGCGCTTCCCTCCCGGCCCTTGCGCTAGGTGGGAGTGGAAACCTCTGTAGTATGCGACCCGGATCGCATCAGTGGCGTCGAGGTATCCCGCAGCATATGCAGCGCCAATCTCGCCAGACGAGTGTCCGACAACAGCGGAGAGCTCGACACCGGCGGCACGCAAGACATCAACTAGAGCGACTTGAAGAGCAGTGCAGAGAGGCTGGGATACAATTGCCTCGCCAACGCGGGAATCCACCGCTGGCGCGTCAAGTTGGTCAACTAGGGACCAATCGGGGCGATCTTCAATGGGAAGCGAGTTGAGAGCCCGCTGCATCTGGTCTATAGCGCTGCGGAAAACACTAGAAGCGCCATAGAGCTCCTTTCCCATGGTAGCCCATTGCGCGCCCTGGCCAGTGAAAATGCCCAAAATCCGGGGCGGCAGCACCTCGGGGATGGTGGCGGTGCGCGAGCTGCTCTTGAGAGAGTCCTTACCCGCCTCAAGCTTCTCTGCAAGTTGCTCCACAGATGTAGCAGAGAAGGCAGCTCGGAATGGAAAGTCTGTCCTTCGGAATAGAGTATAGGCAAGTCGGCGCAGATCCGCGTCAGGATGCGCGCGAAGATAGTCGGCCAGCGCTCCAGCATTTGCCGCCAAAGCTGCGCCCGAGTTGGCAGACAGGACGAAAGGTCCTGCGCCCAGGGGTTTCAGTATGTTACCGTTCAGTGCGTAGCCATTTGTGAGGGAGCCAGCGCCATCCCAGCTCTCTATGATGGCGTGGGCATTCGTGCCACCGAAGCCAAAGCTGTTGACACTAACACGGCGCGGATATCCTTTCGAGACAGCGGGCCAAGGGGTTGTCTCAGTAGGAATGCGTAGGTTTGTGTAATATGGTCGGATCTTGGGGTTGAGATCCTTGAAATGAAGGTTTGCCGGAATCTGGCCGTGTTGAACTGCCAGCGACGCTTTTAGCACACCGGCAATTCCCGCGGTGCCCTCAGTGTGTCCGATTACTGTTTTGATGCTGCCGACTATGAGCTGACCCTCCCTCTCGTTAGGGAAGAAAACACTTTGGATGGCCCGGGCCTCGATAGCTAGTACGTGTCAGAATAAGTTGGGAGGAAAGACGCGAAGAAAAATGCAAGACGCCACTTACGGTCACCCGCCTGCGTGCCCGTGCCATGGGCTTCAAAGTACTGTGGGCGATCGGATTCACGAGCCGGGTTGAGCCCGCACCTGGCGTAGGTGTCACGGATAAGTCGTGCTTGCGACTCTGAGCTCGGCATTGTGATGCCTGGGGAGGTCTTTAGCGCGTCACAAGGGAAAATTAAGCAGGGTTAAGCGGACATACCTGGCGTCTTGCCATCGGAGTTCACGCCAGTCTCTCGAATGATACATTCAATGTGATCACCATCGGCGATAGCTTGGCTGAGTGTCTTGAGGAAGACGGCGGCGAAGCCCTCCCCTCTGGTGTATCCATCCGCAGCTGCATCCCACATGAAGGATCGCCCATTGGGTGACAGCATGTTAAGCTTTGCGTATTACCTGTCAGCTTGTGCTAGGGATTCTCGGCACCGGGCAGCTGTCTAACAAACCTTAGATTCGCTAACGAATGGCTCGGGCCCAATTATGAGATTTGAGCCCGCTGCGACTGCCATTTCGGCCTCGCCGTTTCGGAGGGCAGAAACTGCCTGGTGCAGGGCGACCAGGCTAGATGAGCATGCTGTGTCGATGGTCACCGAGGGACCTTTCCAGTCGTAAAAGTACGACACGCGGTTGGCCAAAATAGATGCGGCAGTACCAGTTCCGTGGTACTGGGGCAGGCTGTCGATGCCCCGGATGGCAGTGAGATGGTAATCGAAGCTCATGCATCCAACGAACACCGCGGTAGTCGACCCCCGAAGCTGTTGCATCGAGTGTCCAGTTGATTCAATGCCTTCATACACAGTCTCGAGTAGCAAGCGTTGCTGGGGATCCATGGCCTCAGCCTCCTTGGGGTTAATGGAGAAGAAGTCACGATCAAAGGCGCGAGGGTCCTCATCGAGAAGATATGCATGCTTGACGTTCGTACTCTATTTGCCAAAAAGTCAGATATACAAGTTCATGTTCACACGGCAAATATGCTCACTCCATGGTGCTGGCTGTCTGAGTGGTGGAATGCTTTGGTGTTGAAACGAGTGGCTGGTATTTCCTGTAAGACGTCTCGAGGTTTCTCTAGGAGCTCCCAAAGCTTAGATGGAGAGGTTGCGCCACCGGGGAATCGGCAGCTGCTGCCCACTATCGCAATGGGCTCGCGTGCAAAGTAGGGAGGGTTGCCCTCAGCCTCTATGCTCCCCATGTCGAAGGCTGCGATATGGGTAAAAGAAGGGCTTCAAATCGAACAGATAGGGCAGCCCGACAAGAGACTGGGAGGTTGATGCTTCCTAGTCCAGGAAATGGGGGAATAGCGAGGGCTAGGAGATATATGGTAAGGATGCGAGGCAACGGCCTCGAGCAATCAATGCCAAACCCGAACCTCTAGCCCGATAAGCTTAACATCATCTCCCACCCGACGCCGGAGCCTTGAGGCACACTGTAATGCCCGAGCCGGAGTTTGGTGTATTTGTCGTATGTCGGCACCGGTGGTTATGCTTATGCCGGTATTTCTGCGATGCCGCACCTCCGGCCTCCGATTCGCTCTGCCATGTCGGCGCTCTCTGGATTATGCCGACTGCTGCCCCCGACACTGTGCTCGTCGCTGGGTCCGAGGCGTCATTGGGGGCTCTATAGTTTGGTATTGCAAATGGGTTTAAATCCACAAAAGTAAACATCGTGATATAGGCTCGTACTTACCTTCATATGCTCTCTCCGTGCCCTTACGCGTAGCTCACTTCCATCATGCCTACTACTATGCAGGCTCTTGTTGGTGCTGAATCAGGGGGCTACCGTCTGGCTGAGAATGTCGATATCCCTGTTCCACAACGAGGCTCGATATTAGTCCAGGTGCATGCAGTCGCTTTAAACCCACGAGACGCGAAGATTGTTGATTTCTCCAATGCCCCCGGGTCCCTGGGCGGCTGTGACTTTGCCGGAACTGTTAAGAAGGTGGGCGAAGGAGTGACGCGGTTCAAGGAGGGTGACCGTGTACTCGCCGTTACCTTTGGCTCAAATGCCTTGGACAAGACGAAAGGTGCCTTTGCTGAGTTTGCCTTGGCAGAAGAGGACATCAGCTGCCACATCCCCGAGGACTTCTCCTTCACACAAGCATGTTCGATCGGACTTTCGATGGCTACGGCCGGTTTAGCAATTTTTCAGGCCCCCGGACTTGAGCTATCCCTGCATGGGGGAAAAGGGGAAGCCGTGCTGGTCTCGGGAGGTGCTACGGCCACGGGGACCATGGCAACGCAGCTATTGAGGATGTGAGCCGACCTTCCAGACCGTTTTCAGCAGAATCCTCACTGACCTGTTCATCCCCAGGGCTGGTTATACACCCATCGTCACCTGCTCACCTGCCAACAACGCTCTGTGCCAGTCTTATGGCGCTGCAGCGTGTTTCGATTACCATTCTCCCGCCTGCGGGGCTGATATTCGTGTGCAGACCGACGACAGTCTAAGGTACGTCCTGGACTGCGTCACCGACACCACCACCATGAAGATGTGTTATGAAGCCATTGGTTCTTCCGGTGGCAGCTACATCGCACTGGAGACAATCGCCACCACGGTCAAGTACACGCGAAGGGATGTTCGTGCTGACTGGTTTCTGGCCGATGCCATCATGGGGAACGGGGTCCAAATGGCGGGAACCTATGGTCGGGCTCCTTCACCCGAGCTTAGGCGGTTTGGCAAGCAGTTGTTCGCCCTGGCTGAGAACTGGCTACACGATGGGAGCATCAGGCATCATCCCTTGGAAATCCAAGATGGCGGCTTGGCAAACATGCCTCAGGCTCTTAACGACATGAAACTTGGAAAGGTGCATGCGAAGAAGCTGGTTGTGCCAATTCTTGGACATTAGGCGTGAGTATATACATCAACGGCTCACAGAATAGATATTTTGACCATGAGTTCTCAAATCTTGCCAAGGACGGGAGATATCTGGCCTGGATGGATTTAGCGTATGCGAGATTTCCTTTAGTTCCTCGCGCGGAAAGCGTAGTTTTCCTTGCAATTTTCAACACAAGAAGAAATTTTGCATGGTTCAAATGAAATTTTCCATATTCCTATCAGTTTCCCGGTTGCCTGTTTAGACCAATTCGAAGACCTTTGTTCAAATCACGGGATGTCTTCGCATCCTCTCTCACCAATACCACTACAGAACGCATTATCCCCTGTCTCCCACGTTTAAAACCCTAGATATGGACTCTTTAAACAACCGGAGAAAGCAGTAGGCAGATAAATTCCTTCGTCTGCATCTAGTACGATCAAGAAGGTGAACCAGAATGCTGCCGCTTAGGGGTATCCTATTCGCGGCCCGCCCCCTGGCCTCCAAAGACGCAAGGACGAGCTGGATATATGAGGCTAGGTGCTCCTGCGGCCATAGCTGCCAGAGTAGACTCCGCAAGGCCTAAAAGAGTAGTCCTACCAGAGACCCTCTTGAGTAATTCAGGCGACCGTGAGTCTAACTCTGGGTCTGGTTTAGAGATCATGGCCCGTGACATTAAAATATTGCTTGATCCCATGGATCTTCAATTTTGGAGGCATAGAGATTAGCTATTTGTCCATCCGCTAACACTATTCGGCGCTTGGAGACATATGAACTCTCCATGACGAATAGGCCAATGAAATTAATGATAATATGGCTGTGTAGTCGTATTATTACAGTATGTTTACTGGCTAATCAGAGTCCCAGGATCAGAAGAAGGATATATGATACGGATGAGAATATTGACTTCTGAGTGAATCAAAGGTTGGATGAAGCACCGTGTTATTATCATCAGCGGCTTTATGGGTATTGAAATCATCATGAGTACAGCCGCTACTTCGATATCACAGACCCGAGGCAGCAAGATAAGTGCATACTCAATAGAAAGTTATTAGAAGATGTTTAGATATAGGGTTTCTTATCGGTACTTCAGACGATTCGGTACCAAATCGATCCTTCACACCCAGCAGAATGGAAATCTTAGTGTCTGATGCTGAAGTTTCCTGCCTGGATTTTACCCAATCGGTCTGCATACTTTGCAAATTCACTTTTGTGGGGGCGGAAGGAGCTTAGACAGGCATTTGCTGTATTTGGATAGTGTGAAAGATCTTAGAACGTGTGAAGTGAATGGATTTTGGGGAAATTCTCCGTTTCCGCGGGAAAAGTGGTTACGAGGCTGGACAGATATCTAGGCTACCGAGCATTGGCATGTACTTCAAGTACATATGTCTTAGTGTTTGGTGGAATGCATTCAATATAGGTATCAGGAAGGATGTAACCTAACTCCAGGTATGATCAACTTGCACGTATCATGCAAAAGTACGGCGCAACCTTGGGACACCTATCTCTATATATTACTCGCTGAAGCGTGAAGATGTGGCTTACATATATCAATATGCATGATCTAGATATTAGCTAACGTTGCCCCGGTGGCCGGGTGGTAGGCTCGACTAGATCTATTCCGAGAAACTATATGAACAAACCCCAAACAGAGCGGGATTCCTGCCGATTTATCCTTTCACAAAGGCGCGGACCATTTTTTTTAAGTTGTATTCTGGAGGGTGCAAGCCTGCGCGGGGAAGCCACTGGACAGGCCCTTAAGGTATGGGGCAGAGGCCGGGAGCTGAATGCGGGGACTATGATGATAAAAGAGATTATCCTAACTAAGTACGAGGCTAAGATTCGGCATGGATGACCCATGCCAATGAAAGGTATCCTCTGTAGGGAATTACCGGCTGCGCTAGATAATCTTACACATAGAACATCCGCTTCAGCACCTCAAAACATCCGGTGCAAGGGCCGGCTACGATTTCACGGGCGGGTTCCGCCGCCTATCTAGAGGCAAGGGCTGAGGGGAAGGGGGTAGGCACAGTTCTCATTGGTATTACTCCTTTTTCCTCATACTGACGCTAGTGATTTTGCTCGGGGGATCCTTCGAGGATAGTGTGCTTGATAATCGAACCACAATTGTACGTCTCGAGCCGATAACGACCCGAAGGATGATTCTGCATGTGCATAACGCATATAAGATGATGAGGCTGCGATTGGGATGCCAAGGTTGCTGCAAGAAGAGTGGATCTCAAGTACGTTGCCTCCTTTCAGAATTACTAAACGCCAATTCTGTCCCCGTATCTAGTGCTGTGTACACGGTTTTGGTGGTGATAATGGGCGCAAGTGACGCCAATTTGGCCCCCGAAACGTGAATACATCCAACTCCATCTGTCACTGAAGAGAGCCCTAACACATGGCTTATATACATCCTTGTAGCCCACGCCATACTGAGCGACAAAGCTAAACGAGGCAGCCCCCACCGGAAGAAAAAGAGAGATTCGCTGACATATAAGAGGCCAGGCCCGAATCAAAAGGAAGGTCAGATTGATATGGAGAAGCGAGAACGTGTATAATGTCACACCGGCAGTCGTGTGACCGCTGTCGACAGCAAAAGGTGAGATGCCTTCGAGATGAGGCTCTAGGAGGGGAGAGCAATCCAGTTTCCCCAAGCCGATCTTCCCTGTCTCCATGCGAACGATGTTTGAAGGCAGGAGTGGACTGTGTTTACAGCTGTACGTATTGGCAATCTGCTTCTGCAACTTTCGCTTCTGTGTCGATGGAGCGGTATAAGGCGCGGTTTGACCAAGGTCTTGCATTGACTCTCATACATAGTGAAACAAAGATCCAATCGTCGCTCTGTTCAAACATCCGTCCAAAGAGACACCGACCCAGGGTCTAGGAATGGAAGCAACGCATCGTGGCTCGAACAAGGCCTAGCTCGGCCAATGTATCAGGGTGGGCCGTTCCTGGGGGCCGACTTGGGCGACCTAGTAGGTCAATTCTCCGGAGTTGGCGAGGGCGGACCTGTCGCTAGCTTCAACGGCTGGGATGCAAACCTCCAGCCATTTTCACCAACTTTATTCAGCTCCTTGGTAGCACCAGTCGGGACTAACACGGGTCCGATTTCCACTGCCCCGTCGACCACTGATGGCGGCCATGATAGCGAAGAAATCGATGACAACAGAGACCCAACCGATGCCTTATCCTCACAGCTAACGTCCTTGGGTCAAAGGGCCAGGCGGGCTATGCGCCGTCTTGTCCTCCCGGACCGTACTCCCCTGACCGTGTCGTCACCCGAGGTGAACGAGGCATTGGAGGACACTAATACCCTGATACGCATCATGAATAAGATCACTGCACCGGATCGTGACGACATTACCATCCACCCGACTACCACCAATTATTCGCTGGCATTCTCAGCACTCGCCTGTCACCAACACCTCGTGGCCTTGTTTCGGGCCATCTGCGACGCTATCCATCGGTGCTTACAGTCCCAAAAAGAGCCACGGCAACGACACAATCGAAGCGGACAGACCAGCGACGTAGGGCCGTCTTCAGTGGCCCAATTCGTCATGGTGCTTCAGCTGCTTATGCACCTTATCAACCGCATGGACCGGAGCCTGTTCCAAAGTACCTCGTCAATGCGACATGGCAGCAGGGTCTCGGTATCCACTGGCAGTCACCTTGCCCCCGTCACGCCGAGCACGGCCAATCATGTTACTCCGGACCCCACAAGGATCGAGGCGGCTGCAGGAAGCTCAGTACCACCAGGGGGCCTTCTTGTTCTTGTGCAGGACATTGTGGAGACAATCCCAAACGAGCACGAGAAGCTGAGACAAGTTATTCAGAAGTTACAGACAGAGATGGAACACTCGGAGCTTCACTGACGGAAAGAAATGGGAGTGGTTTAGACATTGAAGATATTATGCTTAATGTTTCACGAGAAGATCAAGGCACACGCGACGCTGTGATCAACGTAGGACTGACTTCGAAGTAGGAGACTATCGAGAAAATACACCTTGCAATTGAATTTGGAAAATTCCGGCAACGGATAAGCTGTGAAATGATCTGCACTGACTACAATCTTCAATAAATTGCATCAACCCATCAGTACAAATTAGGCAAAAGGCGCGACGGCTAAAGCTGAGCCACGGCCTCGCGGCGAAACTTGGTAGACCCACATAATCACCATCGGTAAATACCAACTTCCGGTCGGATTCTTGTCATCTGCATGCATAATCAGGCCAGAGAATGACGAATCTCCGTCCGGATAGACTCATTGGCCAGGGTGAGATTGAACACCTTCAGGATTGCAGGCTAATAAGGGCCACAAGTGGCCCACAGCCCCGCCCATGGACCGGGCCGCAGCCTGCAAATGATGACTTGACGCCTTCGGGGTCTATCTACACTTTACAGTACCGTACCCAACAGTTTGGGCCCCAGTCACAACCCGAGGAAATCCTGAGACGACACAAATGCGCCAGCACAGAAGAATCCGGCAGCCTGAGACGAGATCGATACCTTACAAATCAAGCGAAGCAGACCTCAAACGGGCAAAGGCTAAGGATCCAGGATCAGTGGTGACATGACCTATCTCTATACCACCCGGTCTATATATTCCTGGCCCATTGTGCTGCTCCCTTGTAAATTGGTGTATGGTGCTACATACCTATGTTCAAGCTGAATACCCAATCCATACGCTCTGGGTCTATTCAGCACCTTCTATTTCTTCTGTGCAAGTAAGACGTGTTCATCAGAATCCCAAAAAATCCCATCCCGTTCGATGTCAGCCTTGGCACCCTCGGAAAGCCGTTTAAATTCCTCCTCCGCTCCTGGCGTTCCGCTTGCCTGAAGAATCATTTTGGTAGATGTGGTACACGACCATAGGTAAACCGAGTTGACATCATCCTTCAACTCAGGCCCACTTTTGATTGTATTGAAGATTCTCTCGGACACGTTTTGAAGGCGAGGATGAGCTTCTGCCGCTTTAACAAAAGCAGCGGGGACACTGATAGCGTCAGTATTCGTAGAAAAGCGGCGAGATGGGACACTGAACTTACTCTAGCTCCATACCCTTAGTTTCCATGTGCTTTCTAACAAGCTCGTTCATTTCCCTCACATGGGCGCTGGGGACCCTGCCGGCCCAAGATTCGCCATCAAGCTCATCCCATTGAATCCACCCTCCAGGTCCTTTGCCCAAGCCACAGTCAGAATACGCTCAAATCGAGCTAGAAATCTTACTTACGTAAAAGTTGAGCAAGATTGTCCACTGCCGTGTTCACGTCACCCTTTGACAACGCAGACACCAACAATCTCACGTGGACCAAGTCATATTTCCCTTTCAATCCTTCTGGGACAGGCTGGAGGATGTTGTAGACATCGTAATGAAAGTTTTCCGGGTGAAAAGCCGGAAAGTGGGCTGGTGACATATCAAGGCCGTCGTATTGACGGGGTTGGCCGATCGCTGTCGGGATAGGGTCCAGATGGGCAGCCAGAGCGTCGAGCCAGATACTTTAACATTCGGTCAGTAGGCTTGAAGAAATCCAAGGGGCATAAGACTCACCCTGTGCCTGTTCCTACATCTGCAATTTTGACGATAGTCGAGGGATCGATGGGAGCGTGCAGCAATTCATTTTCGATAATGTGGACCAGAACTCGGTGTTGATTGTTCAGCCTGGAGATTGTTGAAGGTTAGGATACTGTTGCCAGGGGATCATAGGGAGCCTGACATACCTGGCGCGTTCCTCGTCGCCAGGCTTCAAATAGTAAACGCTTTCTTGGGGCTTTTCGGATGCCATTTTTTGGGCTTCTGGGACGAAATGCCTTTGTTTGGAAACTATGGAAACAAGGCTATTGGATAGCGAGAGATATAGGGGAAGGGAGAGAGATTTGAGGAGGAGAGGAGACGTAACGATAAACCGGAATATCCCTTAAATGAGGGCTGGGATGTAGAATGCTTCATAGATTTTTCTCCATAGACGTGATTGCAATGATCGTGAGAGACACCCATAGTCAAGCCATTCCGATGAGGCCTCCTAAATGCCGGCCAATTCCACCCGAGAACCGACTCCGAGCATCGCAGACCTCCGATTATCAATGATAGTCTAATTCGGTTGGTGATGTGTAGAGTACGGTTTTCATACGTATACTTCCTGTCATAATCAGCACCTAATCATGCATTGGATGCGCCCTTGGCGCATTAGCCCCGTTCTAGTTCTCCGATTCTTAAAACAGAGGGTCTTTTGTGGGGCGTTCGGGGTAATTCGCTTTCCGACCCGCATTTCATTCGCTCAGCCGCACGCATGTTCCTACGCCGATCCTGGCCGCCGTTTGCAAAAGTCCTAAACTACTGCGCAGAAGCTAGGGTACAAGCTGCTTTATAACATCTGCTGATCAATTATTAATCGTCCTTTTTGGTTAGTCAGTTATGATGTAGGGTAGCTAGTCAACTATCAACTAGTTACTTAGGTTACAATGTACCTTGCTAAGCGTTTGTTGTCCTTAACTAATTGTCTTTATGCAAGGGTCTTTCTCGGAGTCGGTGTGAAAGACTTTCCGGTTGAGCATAAAGGCTGCATAGGGCACTCGGTTTCTGATCCGCCCGGTTTAAAGAATCTTATTCCACGGAAGACAGGGTATAGAATGCTTAGAGTAGTTCATAACTTCGACTTATTAATCCAAGGTAGAAATTGTTAGCAGACTACAGTTGCTCTTACCAATCATTATTTTGGTTAGTTGTTGAGATCCGTGCATTGGCTTTCCGATCGGGGACAGGGGCAGATCTCAGGATAGGGTTTCTTCATAAATCAAACATACTCAACTTGGGCGACTTTTAGGAATTATTCTTTTTATTTTCATACGACAGTTTGTACCGTAGCACTCGCACAATTCGAGCGAGATGGCTGAACACCAGGTCGACCCAAAGAGAAATTTGCCTCTCTATGGAGCAGCCGACGAGTCTACATCAGCGACGGATAAAGAGGATGATGTTGAGAATGTGAGGCAGAATGGGTCAGCGCCTCCCATTGAAGAGGCCGGGGAGTCGAATGAGGCTCCCGCAGCAGACGAGTATCCTCATGGTCTGAGTCTATTCTTTATTGTGTTGGCCATCATGCTTGCCACGTTCATCATATCTCTTGACCAAGTGAGTGGCTCTATACCCTTTTACAATCTATCTGTACTTACTCTAACTTTGCTAGACAATTGTCGGTACTGCCATCCCCAAAATCACCGATCAATTCCACGGTCTCGACAAAGTATCATGGTACGGCTCGGCATACTTCATGACTTTCGGTGGCTTCCAGACCTCGATGGGCAAAGCATACAGGTATTTCAGCCTGAAGACGACATTCCTAGTCTCCCTCTTCATTTTCGAAATTGGCAGTCTCATATGCGGCGTGGCGCCAAATGCCAACGCGTTGATTGCTGGACGAGCGATTGCTGGTCTCGGCGGTGCGGGTATGGCGACGGGTGGGTTCACAATTATTGCCTTCTCTTCCGAGCCCAAGAGACGACCTTTATTTACGGGCTTGGTCGGATCTGCCTATGGCTTGTCTGCTGTAGCTGGTCCGCTTATTGGTGGTGCCTTTTCAGACAAGGTTTCCTGGAGATGGTGCTTCTACATCAACCTGCCAGTTGGAGGTCTTGCAGCCGTGATCATTTTGATCTTCTTCCACTCCCCGAGTGGTGCCAAGCCGGTAAAGGCACCATTAAAAGAGAAGATCCTGAATATGGACCTTGTTGGCGTGTCTTTGCTCATGTGCCTCATCATTTGTTTCATTCTGGCCCTGCAGTATGGAGGACAAACCCAATCATGGAACTCGAGTAAAGTGATCGGTCTACTCGTCGGCTTTGTCGCTATTCTCGTTGCCTTGATTATTTGGGAGTATTACCTTGGTGAGCGCGCTATGCTTGTGGGACGTTTGCTCAAGAAGCGTGCTCTTTGGGCTCCGTCAACATACATGTTCTTCTTTGCCGGCTCTTATTTCATCCTCCTCTACTATCTCCCAACCTACTTTCAAAGCATTGACGACACCAGCCCTATTGGGTCTGGGGTACGGAACTTGCCTATGGTGGTGACCTTCAGTATCGCAGCTATTCTTGCAGGCGCGTTCGTTGAAAGAACCGGCATTGCAACACCAGTCATGCTTGTGGGTGCTGCTATCGCAACGATCGGAACCGGCTTGATCTACACATGGGATATCGGCACCCCGGCTGGGAAATGGATTGGTTATCAAATTCTCGCTGCCTTCGGTTTTGTTATTCCTTGGCTGATCCCCATGAACATTGCCCAAGCAAATGCGGACGCCCAAGATATGTCAACAGTGACGGCTTATATTTTTCGTGAGCAAGCCCCTATCAGATGCTTCGGAGACTCTTCAACTAATCTAGCAATCGGATTCAGTGGCCCAAACCCTCGGGGGAGCGTTCAGTGTCTCAGCCGCGCAATCAGCCTTCGTGAACACCATGCTCACAAAAATAAAAACAACAGCCCCAGATGTCGACCCCATGGCTTTAATCGCAACGGGCGCAACACAGATTCGTGCAACGTTTCCCAACGACATACACGGTGTTCTACTTGCGTACATGGCAGGCCTCAAAGCAACTTTCGCAATTTCAGTCGGAATGGTTGGATTTGCCTGTCTGATGGGACTTTTCACTCCCTGGAACAGACTGCATGGCTCAGCCGGGGGAGCTGCCTTTGCTTGAGCAGGATTGTTCCAAGCATATCCCAAGAGAGATCCTTGTGATGGCTAAGCCTTTTATGGTGGATGGTCAAGGGACGTCTCGACTTTATATTTCGATTTTAGAGTTTTTGCTGCTTGGATTTTAGAGGCTTGCAGTTTATGGTGGAGATGCTTCCATGGACTATGGCCGTTTGCTTTCTACCTCGGATCAATATGAGGTCTCTTCTTTGCTTCGAGTTTCACAGATGTCTTAAGACAAGATTAATTTTCCCGGGTCCCTTCGTGCTTCGAGTTTCTTATACGTAGATGGTATGAAGACTTTATCTATCTTTATAATCTGACTCCGGTGATGGCGAGGGATAGAAGGCTGTTTGACCGATTCCAGACCGGATGACGTTTGCAACTAGTTATGCGGGTAGTCACGATTGAGTGAATCATTGACAGTATTGCAAATATTCTGAATTTCAGAATACTACGGCTTTTATTTTCAGATTTATTTAAGTGAATATATATAGAATTATACGATATTAGGGTACCAAGTCAACAAATCGAAGGCGATTCCTATTCCTCCCAACAGAGGCTCTTTGTAGATCGATTCCTATCTTTCTAGATGGATCGGACGACTCTCTGAGAAAGTTGGCCACATACAATGTTACACTATATTAGCATGCTATAGCACTAATCAACTCGTGACTCACAATGGTTAGAAATCTGTATATGTGTGTTACTGTAGGGAAGCTAAGGTAACGTTGGAGATCGGGCCGACAGATCGGCGGGGGTGATAAGGTTAAGGTTCTTCCCGTCCGATCGGTGCGAGTCGGCGACGCCAAGACTCCGGCTTTGCGGCTGATCTCCGGAGTCCGAGATACCTACTGTAATTATTGCTGCAAAATGTTTCGTATCGACTTTTGTCTACGAGTTACTACTTGTATAATATGTTCCGGCTTGTGAGAAGCCACACTGGCCCAGTGTCTTGACCACGATCATTCTCCTCCTCCAGCTCAACTCTTTCACAGAAGAACACAATGACGGCCAGCACTCTACCTCGCTCCGATGTCGAGTTCACAACCCTCGATGGACTCACATTACGCGGCTGGCTGTTCCCAGCCTCACAGCGCGGCCCTGCCCTGATCATGTCCCCAGGCGTACGTGTCCATATTACCAACTGCTTGGTGATGGCTTCGAGGTACCCATTGACTGACATCTGAGTAGTTCAACATGCCCAAGGATGCCATATTACCCGATATTGCAAAGTGGTTTCAAGAGAATGGTATTACTTGCCTTCTCTATGACCCTCGCGGGATAGGCGCCAGTGATGGAGAGCCAAGGAATGATGTGAGTGTGGTAAACCCAGGGTCGTCCAAAATGGAAACTTACCTCTTCACCCTCGATGCCTCGGTGTAGATCGACGCCAGACAGCAAGCCGAACACCTTCACGATGCCGTTACCTGGTTCAAAGAGAACCCCTTGGTCAATGAGAAGCAGATTGCGCTCTGGGGTCTGTGTTTTGGCGGTAATGTTACCCTTGCGGCCGCGGCATTTGAGTACGTAACCCCGATCGGTACCTTTCTCTCTTTTTTTATTCCATTCTTCTCTCTTCTTCCTTACCTTGCATCTTCCTCCGCCAGTGCCCTTGAGCTGAAGAAAAGTCCTACTGCAGCAAGCGAGTCGCCGCCGCAATTGCGGTCGCACCCCTGATCGACTCAACTGGCAACCCAGAACGACGACAGCCAATCCTCGAGCTGGCCATGCACGACCGCGCCAGCCGCCTCGACGGAGAAGAGCCCATGTATCTCCCTTACGTCAACGAAGATGGCAGTATTCCCAACGGCCTCCAGCTCGCTGCCGAGATGATGCCCGCCCTCGAGCGCCTCGGCATTCCCGTCGAGAACCGCATCTCCGTCCAGACGTACTATAAAAGCCTATCATGGAATATCCTGAATGTCGTCCAGTATATTTCCCCAACGCCAGCTATGATGGTGACACCTGAGCTCGATGTGTCATGCCCCACAGAGGATCAGCTTAACTGTTTTGAGCATATGAAGGAGCCCAAGGAGCTTGACATCTTGAAGGGCAAGGGGCATCTTGATTGGGTATTTGGAGATGTTGAGAGCATTCTGAACAGACAGCTGGACTTTTTAAAGCGGCACATGGCCTTCTGAACCGGGGGGGGGTTCAAATCGGTGGAGGTTAGAAGAACTAGGTGCACATATATATTGGCCCATAGTGGCACAACACATCAATGACACCAGGCATGATTTTGGTGTACCAAAGACCGCGTCTTGTAGGAGAAAGCACCTTTCCTTTCAATGATACTCCTCCGGGGGGTTTTCTCTAGTAGATCTCACCTTGTTCCACCTAGGAGACGGACCTGGTTTGTTAGCTGTAATTCCCTTTTCAGTATAAACCGCAAAGAAATAGAGACGAACAAAAGCAATCCAAGAAGACAATCTGCTGAATCTGTTTGCAATGGACGTGTCTGGGTAACCTTTTGTAGCCGTCAAACATCCTTTTCTCTGTCACTTGGCCAACGAGTCTCAGCGGGAAGGTCGGAACAGTGTGGTGTATTAGAAGGCCTTAGGTCCTGTGTCAAAATAGCCACCTGACGAGACTGGATCCGTACAGCTTTCCGTGGACCTTAGTTTCTTTTCACAACCCTATCTAGAAGTTGGCGTGCGAAGACACCTCGGGTTATTTACAGATTTTCTTTATCCATAACTACGCATGATCTAGGTCTGGGTGAAGCAAGCCATGGGATGATTTTATTGTGTATTGATGATTGGTTGTCTTTGTCTGCCGTAAGTGTAGTGATCTTATGTGCTGTCGAGATGCTTCTCGAATACGCACCACACTGGCACCACCTATATCACCGCGAACGTTTACATGTTTCTAACTGACAGATGAAACATGGACGATGGCCAAACCACGGGTTCAGTCTCCCGATGCTCGGGCTGACTACTGGTATAGGCCCTCTTTCCAGCCCATCACCTCTGCCTCGGCCGCATAAGTTTGAGAGTAGTGGTCCATGAGATCCTGTTTGGTGCGCCCGTCTCTCAATTTTAGAACGACATTAAGTTCTTTGGGGTGTAGGGCAATCTCCTGCACGAAGCCAGTCTCTAAGCTCAGGTCGATTTCCTTTCCCTCGGGCGGCAAAATGTCAAAAGCCCAGAGTACCTTAGCCAGACCAAGGAGCAGGCTGTGCTTTGCTGAATGCATCCCCGGGCATATCCTCCGGCCCGCTCCAAAGTCCCAAGTGACCCGCGAAGCTGACGCCTCTAGATGAGCAGCATCTAAAGTATGGTCCGACCGCAGCCCTAATGGGTGTTGCAGGAAACGTTCCGGAATGAACTCCTCAGGCTCATCGTAGTCCTCCTCAGAGTGGTGAATGTTCCAGACGTTCATGATAATGGCAGTGCCCTTGGGGATACGATGGCCATTATAAATGTCGTCCTGAGACGGAGCGTGGGCGACGCCTTGCGGAGCGACGGGACGCCAGCGATGGACCTGTTAGGTAGCTCTTCAGTCTTCAAATCTTGCGCATGCTCAGTGGGCTTTAGGGGATAGCTCTACCTCATTCCAAAACGCTTCTGTATACTTCAAGCTAGATAAATCGGTTGCCATGGGAGTTGCGACTCCCGACACCTCAAGCACCTCGTTTCGAACTCGTTGCTGAAGTTGTGGGTCTTTTGCGAGAATCATCAGCATGATCGAGAACACCGCTAGCGATGTGTTCGTCGCTGCTGATACGATGTGAAACGCGGTGTTGCCCATGTCTGTTACCGTGAACATGTCATCATTTTTCTCACGCTGTTCCCTCAACATCTTTGCCAACACGCTCTCCCATGCGATCGACTTGCCCTCATCTAAAGCCGCGCGCTGTTCCCTGGCAGCGCTCAGAAACTGGGTACCCGTGTTGAGAACTGCCTCTCTGACAGCTCGAGCTCTTTCTTTCCACTCGGCCATTCCGAAGAACTCGGGAAGGTAGCGTAGAAACGGGAACAAGTCCCCTGCGTTCGGTGCGACCAGGGTAGCGTACTCGTCACTGCAATGTCTGAACTGTTTGATTTCAAAGCCATGATCGCCCATGGAATCCGGGCGCCTGCCACACACTCCTAGGCATGGCACGCTCATCATCCAGCATACGAGAATGGCTTCCAGATCCTTGCCTCTCGCGGTCGGGGCCTCAAGCAACTTGACCAGGAGTCTGGCTGTCTCGGCCTCGTAGATAGGGCGGAGCCTCGTGATGGCAGCCGGGCCGAAATTTTTGTTGAAGTCCCTGCGCCAAGAGGTGAGCCAGGGCGAGCTGTTCTGAAAGATGGCGGCTTTGAGGTCATCTTTGAAGATCCAGGTGTTGTTCATGAACTGCCAAGGACGGTCGCTGTAGACTGCCCCGCGCTTTTCAAAAAGTTCACGGACTAGACGGCTGCTGTTCAATATGACGACATTGGTTGCGCCCTTCTTGACTCCCAAGGGAGTGTCGCTCCCATAATCTTTGGCCCATTTGCCATAGGTGAGAAAGGGGAAAATTCTATCGACCTGGAGGAGGTTGCCGAGGCCAGGAAGCCCGCGCGGCCCAGGAGGGAAGGCTTTCGGACGTAGAGTGTTGAGGATGAAGATCACGGCATGGCCGACAAGGATCAGCAAGGGAAAGTAGATGAAAGAGGCTGGGGAAATAATGATTTCTGCAAACCCCGTCATGCTACCGTAGGAAACTACTTTCAGCCGATGGCGATGTTGATGTTGAACGAATTGGAGGCGAGTGTTATGCGTCGATGAGTTTAAGATCCATACATCGAAGAAAGACCTGTAACTATGCGTTTGTCTACCGGGGCCTTTCACTGGGTGCTGGGAGGAATAACAATGATTGAAACTGAGCAATGCGACGGGCGTGATATAGCGTCCGGAATTCCGAGTTGACTGATTTGTTATTCTGGAGCAGGGAAACAAGAACCACATGAAATAGCGTTGCGTTCTGCTCGGAAGAGCTGTCGGAGAGTCGGTCGGACCTTGGCCCCGGACATACCGACTCGGACTCGGACGTCAACCGGGTAAGCACGACTTTCATGCCGGTCATCCTGGCTGGAGGCACAGTGGAAATCAACGCGAGATTTGCAAGCAAATTGGGAGTTCGAAAGTCCAATAGTTCGATACTTAGAGTCTTTCTAGCCCACACGTAGACGCCAAAGCTCCAAGGTTATACTTGGCTGTTCCCACAAAGATGACTCTCATTCATATAGGTCAGTTAGTAGAATCTCGGCTAATAGATTTTTCTTCGCCTATTATATCTCTGGCTGCAGCCCATGTCCACTCACTAACATACCGAGACTATAGTTCTCTTCAGGTTTAAACCTGAGGTAACCCAAGAACACAGAGATGCATTCTTGCGTGAGGTCAAGACGCTCAAAAATTTGCCATCTGTGAAAGAGGGTCGCCTCATTGTCGGTAGCCCCTCGTTGACGGATCCCATTGCATTGAGCAAAAAGTTTGAATTCGCTCTCGTGAGCTACCATGAGAACATAGCAGCGTTGGAGGAATATGAGGCGAGCGAGGAACACCACCGGTATGAAGGATGCACTAGCGCTGTCTGTAATATCCCCATTAACCATCTACAAAGTGTCACATCAACATATATGTTCCCTTTCGATGAAGACCTCTGCCGCTTCGATTTCGATGTCGACCCCGAAGACGAGTATATGTGTGCTTTTAGTCCCTTGTCAGTTCTGACAGGGATTATTCCAAGCAACAAACCTCCCAGGAATGGGAAAGGCGAATAGGCGGATGACATGTTAGAGAGAGAGGACGTGAAGAGAACACTCGTTTCATACTGAGCTGGTATTGCAGCGCCCTTGAATTCGGAAATCCAGGGTTCTTTGGAGAGATCTGGTTGACCAACTTAGAGTGATCGGCGGCCTGTCCCGCTACAGCAAACAATACAAACACCCGCTCTTTTTCGTGTGCCCGCAACTGTAATCGCATTCCTTTTTATCAGCCTATTGAGATCCTGGAGCGGATCATTGGTATATAAACCGCGTACAAGACTTCTGAGTATTCAGAAGTCTTGTTCAGAAGTCTTGGTGGACCTTTTGGCCTAGTGGGACTTGCCTTCCTTGCCCTTTTGCTGATTGGTCTATGATTCCCCTGGTTGACGCGGACCTGGGATCTCACTAGCTTGATATACTACCTAACGGCTTAGGCATCTTGCCCTAGATCTGATAATAGGCTAATCTACGAGTAGTTACCTAGATAGATAATTACCTCCTAGTTACGTACTGTCGGCATATGTGGCCTATAGGCCTAGATTGCCATTTTGAATCCTGCCTGCTTACTAAGCAATCTTCCTGGTTCTAACTTACCCCGGAAGATAACCCTATCTTGTTTACCGCAGAGAAAACCCTATCTTATTTACCCCTAGATTCTAATCCTTAACGATCGTGTCAACATTGCCTGAATAGGCTGAAGAATGTTCAACACTCCAAAATGACCTCGAATGTTCTTGATTTCCTTATATGATATTTGCCATGTTCCCTATGTTATAAATTGCACTCTGTTTCCTAGTTAGAATGAATAAGTTTGACATCCTTTTCTAGTTAGAATGAATAAGTTTGACATCCTTTTTATCTCAGGAAGAATTACCGGGCATAGTAGACCATCTGAATCAACCTTCCACTGCTTGATTCTTCTGTCTGATCAGCCGATTGTAGTCTATCCTGATTCGTCTCTCTTCCATAATCGTGGCACTAAGATTAGTGCGCACGAACGATTTCTACTACGGTTTTATGCACCATACGCAATTCCAACACGTACTATATCTGATAGGCGTATAGATATAGAATTAGATAAGCTAGAGGAGAGGTAGTATACTAGTACTAGTACCGTCTAGGCTTACTCTATAAAGGACATAATAGTCTACCTAGCTAGCGGTTCTACTACTAACTTAATATCCTATATATCAGTCGTGCAGCTTTAAGACCGGTATCAAAATGCAGCGTAGGGAGTTAAATTGAAACTACCGTTGCTTAGAAGTTGCCAACTGGGCTAGTTCATAAGATATTTCAAGAATTCGATTTGGCACTTGAGTTGTTGGTTTTTGAGTAAGTCACAAATAATCGCTTACCCATGTCTTTCTTTGTGCACTGTTGTCGTGGGGTTGTATGCTGACCGCCTCTTCCCAGCTTCGTTCGTGTACGAACATCACTTCTATTCACATGAACTCACATCCCACTTCTCACTCATACGAATCTTCTATAATGGTGCAGTCAACTTCTGAAGATGATGGTTTCCGAGATAAATTACGCCGACGATTAAATCAGTTCTGAGATCGATCTCGAGACCCTCTGAACAAGAGCGTTCACTCACAACGACACAACGAAGCAGAACCATCCCACCAAAAAAAGTCAGTCATAGCACTTATTTGCTCCTTGTTGCTACTAGGAAAGAAAGCTCATTATCAATGCCTCAAAGTGAAAACCTTGACAATGCGCCCAATGCCACCAAAACATGTAGGGTTCCCAAAGACTCGACTACCACCACCAATGGTGTCCCATTTCAATCCGACTGGATGCCTCTTCCCGCAACCGGCCTGGAACTCAAAGATAGGTCTGCTCTTGGGGATGGTCCTAGCGCCATTACTGTTTCTTCAAACCTTTGGAGTGCAGCATTTCGTGAGGCAGTGGAAAGTCTTCAAGGGGAGATAGAAATTGCAACTCTTAACGGAAAGGATGCCTGGCAGTTATTCAAAGAACTCGAAGATGTTGCAAAGGAGGTAACGCAGAAGTCTGTTTTCCTTAAAGGGTTGAGATACTTGCAAACTATACAAGTACCTCTTCAAAGATTTAAGGAAGCCTTAGACCTGGCAAGCCCACTGGCAAATGTCGAACCTACTGCAGCAACGGTTCTTGGAGTGGTCAGAGGCCTGACTGCGGTAAGGTCAAACCATTATACATGCCAGGTTCACTGGTTGTGGTTTCGTCGAACATCCTAACTCATAATTCACGCAGATCACTATCAGCTTTGCAAATGCTGATTCCAATTTTGCGGAGAATCTTGAAAAAATGCTAGAGCATATTACCTACATTGATGAGTGCGACACCCTTGGTCGAAAGGCGGAGGAAAAGAAGATACACACGGTATATTCCAGGCGCTTTATCTAATCCCTCTATCAGCAAGTCTAATATTATTTTACAGGCACTTGTATCGGTGTACAAAAAAATCCTGGAGTTTTACCAAGCCTTATGCGAGATTCTTTCAAGTAAAGGAACAAAATTGATAATCAAAATGGTTTTGGAGAGTGATCGCCTCCCGAGCGTCGTCCAAGGCGTCATGAATTGTTCCAACATTCTGCATAATCTCGTGCAAACAACAACGCTCAGGATCCTGCAAGATATCGAAGATAGAATTATCCATGATCAAGGTATATTTTTGTCCTATGGATAGTTATTCTGATGCTAACTAGGTATCAGTTCGCAATTGGCTAGGTGCCGAAAAGATGCGGCGCCAAACTTCTTACGACGATGAACTGAGGGCTCTGAGGGCTGACCAGGCTTGTGAATACATTCTAGGAGATATCAATTTCATAGACTGGTATCATGGTTCAGGTTCTCGCCAGCTGGTGATACTTGGTGAAATGGGCCGTGGAAAGACTGTTACTATGGCATTCATCATAGATCACCTGCGTCAGAGGAAGGATGACCAACTCCCAAATCCCAAGATATGCTACTATTATTGCCGGAACGATGAGACTGGCACCGAAGTTCCGATATTGTCTGCTTTGATACTGTCCCTTCTTCAGCAGCTACCAGGTCTAAAGCGACGATTCTCTGATTGGTACAAAGAGGCAGAAACACTTGGATCTTACGATCCAGCAGCAAGTGTAGGAAATCTTGAAGAGTTCATGCAGAAGGTGCTGGAAGCGGTTGACCGGGCTGTCTTCATCGTAATCGACGGAATCGACGAGTGCGACAAGGTCTCCACACGAAGGCTCCTCAAATTCTTGAAAAGTCTGTCGGAGAACATTATCAGCCTCAGAATCCTCCTATCGTCCCGCCCGCAGGAGAAAGTGCTATGCCAGTTGGGCAATGCCGCAAAGATCGAACTAGACTGCAATGTTCACAGAGATAGAATCATTGTTGAGAAAACTGTCGACAGGCATTTGACTGACCTACCAGCGGAAGTCAGAGCACTTGTCATAAGAGAACTATCTCCTCTAGCACAAGGAAGTGCTATATGGACGAAGATGACAGTACAGCTCCTCGAACTCCGTGATCTCACTAATTATGATCAGATAAGACGCTTCGTGAAAGAAGTGGCACTACCCCACGACCTCTCAGAGCTCTATGGTTCGTTACTCTCCCGATGTACTGGAGACGATTCTGAAAACGTTCAGCTGGCCACCACCGCGCTGAAAGTTCTTGCCGTTACCTGCAGACCTTTGAGCATCCTAGAACTCGCTTGGGCTGTCACTTTGAGTGAAGCCGACAATATCTCCACCGTGAATGCTCTTAGTAAGCTGGTCGACTATCGGAGAATCCTGGGTCTCATTCACCCCTTCATATCTCGCGTCGACTTTAATGACGTAAAGAAGTATCAAGTTCGACTTGTACACCAATCAGTCAAGGAGTTCATTCTCCGAGAGTTCACCTCAAAGTATCTTCGCGCCCACGGTTCTGCTTCAGAGGAATCTGGTCGAAAGTCAATTGATCAATGCTCTGAGAGACTGGAAGCCTTTATCCTGAGGATTTGCATCAGGTACCTTCTTTTGGATGACATTGATATCAAAGACCTATTCACCGAAGAGCAAGCGGCGATCGCGGAGCTACCCCCAGAATGCGATATATTCAGTGACAACGAAGGGCCGGTCGACTACGATGCTAATTGCACGTGGGAGGTATGGGAAGAAGACATGATTCGTTTCGAGCCGGCTGAGAGAGGCCTTGGTGAATTTTTTGTCTATGCATCATGCTATTGGTTGAAGCATTTTGATGATGTCGAGGTTGAACCGCTCCCCTGCCTCCTAAACATAGAAAGGTTGTGTCAAGCAGGATCAATTCGACTCCACAACTGGACTCAACAAAACTGTCGCCCAAGCTGCACAGTCACTCCTCGGTTTGAGTTTGACTACAGGCTCTATGATCCCTTGAGCATAACTTCACTGTATGGCTCGGTGCAAATGCTACGTGATTTACTGAAGCGCTCGAGCTTCGCCAAGGACTTTTATCTTCCCAGTTCAGTTATGGGGGCAGCTGAGCAGATTCTCAGATGGGGAGACATTTCAAGACTCCAAATACTTTTCTTGGATGATCAAGTCGGCCGGCCACCAGTTACAAAATCTCGACTTTTTTCGAAGTCTCATCAAAACATGGCAGAATCCCCCTACAAATCACCCCAACTGGAATGATATATTCGCACTTGTTGACGTGGTATTGGACTTAATGGTCCAGAGACGATGGGGGAATGAGCTCCTGTGTGTGGTTGCAAGAGCAGACTGTCTGCCAATCATCCGGCGACTAATGAATAGTGCCCAACACAACAAGGAGCTCAGGAATGAATTGCTTCGTGGATCTCGGGAGGAGCCGCGATGGACCGTGTTTGAGCCGGTGCACCAATCTCTCGGGGAGGCTGTCTTAGGAAATCATGTCGATGTGGTGAAATACCTACTCGAGAAAAATAACATCGATGCGCATCTTCGGTATCGGAACTCCCGCGGTGAAAATATTTTGCATCTGGCTTCAATGGCCTGCAACCCCGAGATCTTCCACCTTCTTGCACCTCGTTTTACGGAGGGTATAAATCAGTCAGATGGCCGAGGAGATACAGCCTTAGTACGGGTAATCATGAATCTTTCAACCCCGGGTAATCGGTTTGAATCGGCAAGAATACTTCTCTCGCAGAGCACCAAATGGCATCGAGCCGAGAAGCATTACCGCAGGCTATTTTTCGACTTGGCCGACGATTCATAATTGTCGAAGGGATCACCTGAAGGAGAATTAGTCATGTAGAAAGTTAATACGAAATTTTTTTGGTTAAAGGTTACCCTTCGACCTCAAAAAGTTTTGAAGAGCCGGATAATATGCACAATTTTTAGCAAAATAGATCGAGTCTGAAATTGAGTAACCGAAGAGCTCTACGGATTGAGAAGCAGGACAGAAAGAGTCATATTAGCATTTCACTTGACTCATAAGCTCCAACAGCAAGACTGTGGCAAAAAAAGCACTACCAGGTTAAGCCCTAGCAATCCAAATCCACCAGGTGACCCCAGACCTCCTAGAGCAAAACCAAGAACCTATCATTCAATGGATTCCAGGATACATTACGATAGATGAAAAAAAGGAATAGACTAGCATACCAAGCAGGGAAACAGACGACCATCAAACGAGTATCAGGTCTGAAAATTCTGGCTGTAACGTTTATCGGCAGGAAACGTCGGTCAATCACAGCGCCAGCGAACAGTCAAGACAATTATGTCGGGCAGAGCGAAGAGCCGTAAAACGTATAGGCGTGTCGTGAGGTCCTGTCAATAGTGTACTTATAATTCTGATAAACACGAGCGTAGATTTGGTTTGGAGCCGTTGTTCATTGCACCACCAGTGTAAGTGCCAATGAAGAGGCTTGAGTATGGCTTGGAAAGTTGATGTGGCTCACTAACTTAGTGGCTATCAAGCTATGCATGAATCTTTAGGTTTAACTCTTAGTCTTTTGTCTCTATATGTCAAGGTACATCATCCAAGTCTTCAAAAAACCAACCCATCATGAAGAAATAAACAATGCCCCTGGCATGACCAGGTACCACTCGATAGACCGAATGATGCCAAACTGCTGTCCTACCCATAAGGAGAACACCTTGGTCGTGTAACATCTTCTGAAAGCCATGTATGGGCGTTAATTGATCGATTCAGAAAAACCAGTCATTTTCTCTAAGAAAAGACATCCTGACTGAAGACTATCAAAGGCCTCTATAAAAATACAGTGGAGGTGTTGTCCGCGTAATCAAAAAATTCTAGCTTTTACGTCCGAGTTTCTTAGATTGAAAAGTGACAGGGGACCAGCAAGTGAGATACTGACCGGATCACAGGAAGGTCATAGAAGTTTCCCATCCTCTGCATACGGTAATCACTAAACGAGAATGTATTAGACGGTTAGCGCTAATTAGTGATTTAAAGCTCTTACCGCCGTTCTTACCTCTAGGTGGCACCCTGGTCTCTAAACCTCTTAATTTTATCACCCACACTCGCCCGAAGATCGAATCCAACACTATTTTAGAGCTTGGAGCGCATTGAGAATTGACCGCGTACTATAATGGGCTTTAGTACGGCTGACCCGACGGAAATGCCTGTTATCCACACCCTATAGTCGTATCTACTTTAAAGCCTATAGAAACACACCTATTATATCCTCTACGAGTCCTCTATTCTAAGCGCCGCTTGCGACTAGGAATGAATAGGGCGAGTGCTTGATCGAAACCACTATCAGGTTTAGTATGCTATTGAGCTTGTCTAGGTCAAGCGAATAATCCAGCCGATTAATGGATCTACCAAGGAAGATATTATATGATAAAGGATGTATTATTACTGATTGATGGATAACTCCCATCACCTGCTTCGAAGAGAAATTTTCCTATTACACCAAGTTGTCTTGAATTAGAAGTTAAGCAGTGTATACCAATTTTATTCCATTACACTGCGTTGACCCCGATGAGCAGTCATTGCCAGCATTTTGAACCCTTGCTTGCTATGAAGGTTATCGGGGTTACTAGGATGCCGTACCATCAAGAAGTAAGCACTACGAACGGAACATCTACAAATCCGCATGTTCAAACGAGTGGACGCGATTTTGATTCGCAACAGACAAAGAAGAGAGTAGAAAATCACAAAGTCACCACTAGAACAGAGTCTAGGTAGCAAACGAAGGGGAAAGTACACCAGAGTGCACAGCATTGGCAAGTCCAACCACCGAAGTAGTCAGTCGTCGCCAACACCGACACTCAACACAAGAAAAGCAGAAAAAAAAAAAAAAACAAAATGACAAAGCAAGAGAATGACAATCTCACTGAGAGTAAGTAGCAAGCCAGTAACTGTGAATGCAATTGCAAGCACAATTGCAGCCACCCGCCAGGCAGAGAAGCATTCGATGCCCTCTAGCCCAACCAGCGTGTTCGCCTGGCTGCCGAGCAAGAACAAGCACAACACGTTGCAAGATCCCGACTCCGACCGATGCAAACGAAGCGGCCCGGCTTCGTCAAAACCAAACCCCGAACCGAGCCCAAACCGAATCAGCCCAGCCGAACCGAGATTGATGAACCACCACTGGAAGCCAGAAACCAATGCATCATGAGAAACACCACCCGACCGAGTACAGTTGTCATCACATGGCAGGAAGAGGTCGTAGACGTAGAAGCGAAGTCAGAACAGATGAGAGACATAGAAGACGGAACGTGAATGACAAGGAATAGATGAAGTGGGCAGAAAAAGATCAGAATATGAGCTGCCGAGGGTAACACGAGAAAACAGAGACATCCATAGACCAGTCCATGGATGTTATGCAAGCCGCCTGTGAAACCGATGCATGAGACCGTTAAAACACAAAGAAAGGATATGGAAAATAGGAGACACAACCCCCAAAGAAGGTACTGTGTTAAAATGACAAGTGTGCAGAAAGGAGATCATGCCCATATCATCATCTTTAAAAATGCCCATTCATCAGAAAATCGAAAAATGAAGGAAAAGAATTAAGCTAAGCAGCAAATGAGCTCTGCATGCCACTAGAGGGAAGGCCTGGCCCTGAAGCTTGGGTCGCATCCAGCTTCAAGATTCGCCGTAAGTCATCCTCCATCTTCTTGGTGTCGATCGACTTTGAAGTTGATGGAGATGGAGAATTGGTTGGCAGGGCAAACGCTGCCTGGGTGTACTGAGGCTGTGGCGAAACGACGCTGGGCTGGTGCGGCACAGGGGCGGGGGCAGTCGCCGCATAGTGAGGGTTTCCGTAGGGCGGCGCAGGCGACGACTGACCAGAAGAGTGACGATTACTGTAGTATCCGTTACTGTAGCCGTTGGTGTAACCATTGGTTCCAGGGACTTCGCGTCTCAGAGGCGAGTTTGTGTTCCGGAACGGCTGGGAGCCATTGGCATGGGTGTAAGGGTACGAAGGACGGCCATCGTTGTTATGATGGTTGTTGTCGGTATGCCCTGGCTGTGGTAGGCCGACAGGAGGATAACCTTGTGATAAAACAGCTGGAGGACCCGAGGACGTGCGCATGGGAGTTGCGTAATGAGGAATGGTCGAGTTGATATTGGGTCGAGGAGGGTAAGGAGCCTCGTAGTTGCCCGGCTGAGTCTGAGCTGGGGGAGAGGTTGACGAGGAGGGTGGGTCCTGAGGGCGTGGGTTCAGCAACATGTACTTCAGCTGCTCAGTCTTTAGGCGGTTCTGGTCTTCAGTAGTAGTACCTAGAACGGGGCTAGGAGACTGAGACGGGGAACTGGAAGATCGCAGCGCGTTCATGCGATCTTGGTACGAGGGAGCAAATGAAGGACCGATTGGTGAAGCCCGAGCACGCTCGGTTTCCAGATCCATGGGGAACATCCCTCCGGGTGTGTGATTGGGATTTGAACGCAGGACTTTGGAATCGGTCTGCGGCGAGCGCACTCGGGTGGAGGCCTCGGGGCTGCTCATCGTATTGGAACTACGGGCCTGTACAGCAGCCTTGAAGAGGAAATCAAGAGGTGAGGCTTGCGCCGATGTCTGAGTGGCGGCCACAGTCTGCGGGCGAGCTGATCGCGGCTTGGACGGAGTGGTTTCAAGATCGGGTTCCATCTCCGCATTGTCACTGTCGGTCTCCAGAGTCGGCGCAAGATCGGATTCAGGGAAGGATTTGGAGAAGAAGCTCGGAATGGGCAATGCCGACGGGGCGGGTGAGGCATGGAAGGTTGGGCCTGCATAGGCCACCGCGCTGTCCTTGGCAGGAGTCGCCACGCCGGGCTGCGAATTGGTGTGTCGGTGACCATTTTGATGCGGGGCAGGCGAAACTCCATTGCCATTACGAGGCTGGGGTTTCTTGCCCGAACGTGGAGGCTTTTTCTTTGTTTGGACATTCACCGATGAATCGGTCATGACTCCAGCCGGACTCATGTTGCGCGGCGGCGAAGATGGCGGGGTGCTCAGCAAAGCAGGGTTCTGTGTATGCGAGGTAGTCATCTTCTTCGACGGTCTTCGATGGTTGTTGTTGTTGTTGGCGTTGTTGTTATTCCGAACGCCCTTGGGAGTGGGAATCTGAGGAGATTGGTTCGACGACATAGCGACAATTGTTTTGGCTTAAAAAATAGGCAGCCTGGGTGAGAGATGTCGGAGAAATAGAAGGAAACAAAAATGGAAGAGGCGCTGAGAGAAACAAGGGTAACGAAATTGTCAAAGGAGGATGAAGCCCAGTCACTGCTCAGCAGCTGTCGACAGTATTAGAGAGGATCCAACGCCGGAGAAGCAGAGCAAAGAACGAACAAATAGACAAATAGTGTAACGGGGTTCGAAAAAAGAGCGGCCGAGCACAGAGATAGAAAGGGGGGTCTAGAGTGTCGAAGAAAGAGCCACGAGAAAATCGCACGAGAAAGACATGTCTAGTGGAAGGTGTAGCAAGAATGGCTGGAGGAAGAAAAGAGGAGAGTCATCGCCAGTGACGGAGGTTCGCAGACGGCAGCGGGGGATGACTAAGACCTCCGCCACCCAGCTTTTTGCCCAGGCCGCCCTATCCACCGCCTTTTAAGTACCAAACAGTCCTGGCAACGAGTGGGGGGAGCTATCCAGGCCTTTTTGAGGCTCCGCTCCGTCACCTTCCTTGGACATTCCATATCACCCATTATCATCCTTGCACCTCCAAGGTTGTTGTCCGCCCACCACTGTTTTCAGGACACCATCGCTACACCACTCTCCCCCGCCCCGAGAGAGTTCTCTACGTAATCCTCTGTTCCCCGAACCTCGATTCATCCTTCCCCCTCCATCTCCGACATCTACCACCACCACAAATCACCACCAAACAACCACAGCTATGGCGGACGTTGAAATGAAAGAGGCCTCCGCCTCTTCATCCAAGGGCAAGGCCGTTGCCAAAGGCTCCGACGGAGCCAGCGATAAGAAGAAGTTCGAAGTGAAGAAGGTACATCTACCCAGCAACCTTGGGAGCACCCAGCCCTGAAACAAGAATAGCTCAACTGAGACCTGATCTAGTGGAACGCAGTCGCCCTTTGGGCCTGGGATATCGTCGTCGACAACTGCGCCATTTGCCGAAACCACATTATGGACTTGTGTACGTCTCCAACCGAGAACCCTTTCCCTTTCCGCGGCTTACATTCATACTAACATCACCACCATAGGCATCGAGTGCCAAGCGAACCAAGGCTCATCAACCAACGAGGAGTGCACCGTCGCATGGGGTATTTGCAACGTCCGTCTACCGCCCCCAAACCGATGACCTGAACCCCCCATCCTAGCCCGTGGATGTCATAACTAACTTGTCTGTCCCCTCTCTGCAGCACGCATTCCACTTCCACTGCATCTCGCGATGGCTCAAGACTCGACAAGTATGCCCGCTCGACAACCGAGACTGGGAGTTCCAGAAGTACGGACGGTAAACGGCGCTGGGCGTCGTACGTCACGAGTGAAATTTCCACGTTACCCTTTTACAATTTCTACGAGAACAATGCAATGCCTGGGCGTTGGCTTATGAGCCCCTTTTACACTTTCTACCCATACACATACATACCCCTTCCGATCGCAGGGCTAGCTCAATGGCCACGGGGGAACGGAAAACGGAAAGACTGGAGATGGCATATTAAACCAGCGCTGGAAAGTTCATGGTCCATGCTATTCCCGACTCTAGCTGAGCTGTAGCTGTAGCTGTAGCTGTAGCAGCGCAATGCCAATCCAAAATACACGCATACCAGCCTAGCACAAGCTCCGTAATCCAAACAAGCCCCCCAAATCCTATCCCAATTTCTTATCCACCCATATCCCTCACGCAACCTTCACCCCATCAACAACAACCCCCACACCCCCAATCTTCCCGCCTTTACTCTTACTCCCAAACCACGTCTCCGGATGTTGATTATAAAACGGCCACGGCGGGACGACCACCAAGGCCGTGAACAGTGTACCGCCCAGTCCGGTCCATAGCGTGAGATGGATGTCCTTGTAGATGTAGCCGATGAAGAAAGAAAGGGCCTGTGGAGGTTATGGGAGCGTGTTAGTCTTGTGCGAAGCTTGGGGCTTTGCAGGTTGGGTTTGGAGGGTTGGTGTAAGCTGGAGGATGGGTGAAGGGTAGAGGGTGCCTTACGCCGGAGATTATGAGGAGGACTGTGCTGAGGAGTTCGGCTAGACGTTGGCCGTGGAAGTCCTATATGTGTTGTTAGTTCTAAAGGAAGGTAGGGCTCTTGGCTCTTTCGTGTGAATTGCTAGATTGCGGAATTGGAGAGTGATTGTATAGGGCCGGACAGGACAGGACGAGGCAGGAGTGGTGTGTGGTGTGAGGGGGTGGCAACGTACAATCTGGCCTTCAAAGGCATCTTGCAATGGAGCGAGGATGTTATCCATGTTTTTGTTGTGAATGGACTCGTGGATCTTTGAATTGTTCGTGGCAGCTTGGGATCGGAGTTTCTGGGGTGCAGTCCAGGCTTATCGTAATGTTGTCATCTGCCCACCGCCTCCGCCTGGAACTAGTCACAGCTAAATTGGGAAGTATACAGTGGGCATATTGAATCATGCTGCACTGTACTTCCGGAAAACCAAACAATTACCAGGGCGATAATAATCCCTAGTGGCGAAATGAAATGTGTTCAAGATGGATTTCCCAAAAAGTGACGTGTTGCTCATGATTCATCTATGTACTCCAAATGTCTATCTCTATAGAACCCCGGCCCGCATATCATACTTCAGAATAAGCGACCACTCATAACGAAACGACCAGCATGCAAACGCTCAGTCTCCCACAAACCCGGGTCCCAACAATGACTTTTTCCAGGCTAAATTGATCAAGAATGAAAGGAAAGACGAAAAGACGAATACTGTAAGAATGATGATCCCCATCAGCCCGCATGCAGCTGGCATGCATAGCACGGGAGAAGCAGAAGCAGAAGCAGCGGTGAACAAACTCTTCGATCTCACATCCCGACACATGGTTCGAGAAGTGACAACATGCGTGCGCTCGTCCTAGTCAGCCCATGCACTACTTGTCATTCGGGGGGTCCTTCGTCATTCATCCGAGATACATGTACCCTCCCCCCGACTCGATCAACGGAGGACCGAGCCCGCGTGGCTCCCGGCTCGCCGTCGTAAGTTTCCCTATACATACATACATATATGCGGAACCGCACATGCGCGTCACACTTAGATCGCGAACCAGTTATATCATAACGATTGACCCTATGACGCGGGGGGAACAGGGAGCATCCCTTCGGGTAGCAGCTCTATTTCGCACAAACGGTGGCACCGTCCTGGGCAGGCTCGAGCAGCTTCCACTGGCAGGTGATGTTGTTAGTGGCAAAGTGGGCGATGATGCGGTCTGCGATCTCGGTGAAGCGATCCGTGGCCAGGGCGAGGATGGTTGGTCCCGCGCCGGACAGGCAGATACCCAAGAGACCGGGTTGTGTGGCCGGGGTCATGGATTGCAGGATTTCGGTCAGACCGGGGATGAGAGTCTTGCGGTATGGCTGGTGCACTTTGTCTTGCATGGCGAGGTAGATCATGTCCGGGTCTGGTGGGGAGCTACCCAGAGCAGCGGGGAGGAGGGCAGCGCGTTGGAGATTGAAGACCTGGAATTGGGATGTGTTAACTAGACATCGGACAGATTCTTGAAGATAGGACAAGTCAAGCAGGTCGAGCTATGTTCAGGGAAGGCATTGAGTTTCCCGAGGGAGCTACGTACCACGTCGGCCCGGGTGTATGTCTGGGGAAGCACACTGCGGGCATTGGCAGTCGGCACCACAAAGTCCGGGATAATCGCAATAGCCTTGATCTCCGGGGCCCAGTCAAACTTCCGGTAGTGACCAATGCCCAATGGGGGCTCTGGGGGCCTGAAACCAGTGTCGATACCACCGGCGGGAGCGGGCAAGACCTCGCTGAGAGGGATCTCTTTGCGCGCAACGTCCTCGGGCTTCAGCTCGTTCAGGTATGTGCCTACGAAGCCACCGAACAGGGATGCGGCGACGTTATCTGGGTGTCGCTCTGCAGAAAGAATAGCAGGTTAGTTCATGTACGTCACTATGCAGGGAGCTTCTTTGGAATCTAGTGTGCAAAGTCCAATAATTCCTGTTATTTTCCCGCTATAGGTCCTCGTGCAGATACCAGTCTGAACCAGGACCCTGCGCCGGGGAAGCAAAAGGACAGTCATTGGCATGCTTTGCCCCCAGATCGAGGAATATTCCCACGTACCAATCATCAAGCAGTAATCGAGCAGGCGGTCCTTGCTCAAGCCCAGCTTACCGACCTCGTTCGCCAGCATTACACCAGCAACAACGGCCGTACCCGATGATCCCAGACCCCGGCCCAGCGGGATTGGGTTGACGATGTGCACGGAGGTCTCAACGGGGAAAGCGCGCAGCTCATGGCAGCGGAGGACATAGAGTGCGACGCGGGTGATGAGGTTCACCTCGGGGTCGAGGCTGATCTGCTCGGTGGACTTGCTCTGGTCCTCGTAGGTGATGGCGCAGTTGAGCGGGAATGTGGAGGAGCCCTTCGAAGGGTCAATGGTGACGTGGATGTCGAGATGGAGGGACAGGGCCAGGCCGATCACGTCGAAACCGGGGCCGATGTTGGCGGAGGAGCAAGGGGTTCTGATCACGAACGAGGAGGCCATGATGGGCAGGGGAGGATATCAATGCGAATCAGAAGCCTCCGGTGATTCAATGGCCCGGTGTTCCTTAATTCAATTGAGGGTGGAGGGGGTGTTGTTAGTGATTCCTACGCCGGAGTTGATTGAAGCGTATGGAGGGGCTGTATGACTCGATGCGGGTCTTGGCGCGCGAACAAAAAAAAAAGAGAGAGTCCGACGTCGGGGAAAGAGTGGAGCTGATCAAATGCGGACTGGTGGCTGGTCGATTGGCTCAATTGGTAAGGCTGGACTAGGTATTCTAGTCTTTAGTACAATTTTAGTGAGGTGGTCAGCTAGAGCACTTCATAGGTTGTTTCTGGATGGGCGAGGGTTGGGTCACAGGTGTCGTGTGCTCTTGTCCTGCTTTTCAGTGTATACTTCTTCATCCCACAGGCCGCTCTCCACTCTCGATGGGCGACACATTGGAGGGGCTATTCGTGGTGGGACTGTCACTGGAGGGAGATTGATTTCGGAGATGCTGGCTATGTTAGTCTCTTTCGATATGTATGATAACTGTACTGTAGTATCGTTGGTGGTGGTTGTAAATGGGTCTTTGGTTTCAAAAGTAGTGTTCCAGCTGGTTATAGTACGTTGGGAGGTATGAGGACTACCTACGACGCACTAAGAATAGGTGCCTAACTATGGGTCTAGTAACTAGTATGGTGGATAGGACTCGTACTGGACTCCCCATAATTAAGAGGGATATCTATAGCCAGTACAATCAAAGATGTGCGATCGGCATGGTCATGATTGTGGTCACTCGCTATAATAGTAACAAGTAAGCGTGCAGAGGCAAAAGCATTAACGGTCAGCGCTTAACCCTACAAGGGTATCCGAGAAGGGCATCTTAGAAGGACACCAGGATATGCCGCTGAAGATTCGGCAAAGAAATGCCTCATGGCTGACCAAGGGGTGATGCGGGACTGGGACTCCGGTCAGTTAAGTACTAGACTCAAGTAGACCAAGCTTAGGGGGGCCGTGTGGCTGGAACAAACTATATACGAATGAAAAACTCTATGCTTCGAGTCCCGTTGTTCTGGCCGGGGAACGCCGTCTGCAACCTGACCCGCCGGAAAATTTTCACAGATATGACGATGGCGGTCAGCAATAAGAGTCGATCATTATTGAGAAGATAGAGAAGAAGAAAAAAAAAAAGAATCGGAAGTACTGTTAGGACAATCTAGAGAGATTTACCATTTCAATAAGATTCGGTGGATATAAGTGCTCCTCCTGTACGGAGGACTGTCCATGGAATGATTTACAGTCGTCGTGACTGGCCCACGCCCGCATCCATCGCTGGTCCATCTGATCTGAGCCCGTGCGTTGCTCGCCACAAACCTTTCCGTCTCAGCGCCACTTTTTCCTCTTTCCTTCACCCACTAACCCTTCCCCCCCCTGGTCTATCGAGACTTATAACAATATCGCTTTTCTACTCGGGTGAAAGCAGGTTTCCTTTCAAATCTCTGCACCCCTTTCTCAACTCATATTCAATCCACCTACCCAAGCGGCCCTTGCAGGTTCATTTTCTTCCCACCGGAAAAGACTCTGCTAGCGATCCTCGGATCCTCTGATAAAAAAGCTTGCGACTCAGCTCGCTCGCTGCAAAACTCGTGCTCGCTTGAACTCGAACGTCGTCGCCCTGGAGCACTACCGCTCCCCTTCATTCGATTCCTTCAAGTTGGCGGGACTTCGCTACACTCAGTACTCCTCTCTCCTCCATCCTCTTGCGGGCCCCAAGTTCCGGGCCTTCTGCGGAGGTGACACCAGACCCCCTTAACTTGGCCTACTCCCACCTTTGGAGCGTCGCAGCCAGACGTACGTCGGGAACGCCAGACCCTCGTGAAGGGTCTGGCTCATGGATGGAGGCCCGTTTCCCATAACACGGTCCTCTTGAATCAGAAAAGAACACCGGCTTACGTTCTGTGGCTGTTCGTGCTGCCGACAAAGCAATATCAAATTGAAAACAAAACACCAACACTCAAGTCCCAAGACGACATTTCCCATATCAAGGGAAACCCAATTAGCCCAACCTGGCGTGCTAAACTCGAACTCAATCCACCCAATTCACCTCCCTTCCAATTCTCGTTCTTTCTATCAAGAAAGGGAAAAAAAGGATATCAATCAACCAAATCGACCAGAAAGAAAATTCCACCGCAGCAATGTCTAGCAGCCACCGTTCTGAGAAGGACTTGTGCCTGACCCGGTACAGTACTCCAGTCCCCGAGCTGGATGACCACCGCTTCCATATGAACGCCGTGAATCCCCCCGCATCGAGGCCCCCCAAGATGAACCATTGAGCCGCCAGAACACCGCTGCTCAGCAGGGGCCTCGAGGCGAATTGGCACCCGAACGTCCTGACCGGTTGCAGGTGCAAGATGCCCTGCGCGAAGCCGCTCCCGTGTTTCGAGACTTTGAACAGGCCGTGATCGATGATGATCGCTCCGAGCTTGATGTAGCGGGAATGGGCCGACGCGTCTCGGTCGACCCCACGGCGAATTTCCATACGCCTCGGCGCATCAGCTGCGTCCAGCAAGACCTGGTTGGAGGTACCATCTCCCGCAGTTCATCTGTCTCGGCGCGGTCTTCGTCGCCGCCCAACTCGGTCGATGCCTTCGCTGACCCTCGTCGTCGGGAGCGCGCCAATACTTTGGAAAGCCATGCGCCCCCCGATCTGGAGGCTATGCTGCAGCGTACTGTTTCGGGAGGCACCCACGCGCGCCGTCCGACCTTCAGCAACGCTAGTGCCATCCGGCCCCAGCCCGGTGACATCTCGGTTTGTGCGCCGGATGAGCCCGGTGTGCCGATTACTTATGACGAGCCCGGCCGTATCCCGGTTATCGACTATGAGGAACTGGAGGAGTTTGTTGCCCTGAGCGAGCAAAGTAAGATTGCTACGGGAACCAACAAATGCCGCCGCAAGCATAGCCTAAGTTCGCAAAGCAAGAAGCCCCGGATCTTCTACGATCTGCGCCCCGGTGCGAAGGGTCCTGGTTTGGAGAATTTCAAGATGGCCGATTCGGCTGATTCGTCGGATACTTGCGACGCGTGTGAAGAGGTGGACGAAAAGAAGCCCAGCAAGGTCATGGACGAGAAGGAGCTGGTTGAGACGCTCCCCAACATCAACGAGCCCATGCGCTTTGGGTTTTTTCGTCCGAGTCGCAGACTACCGTGCACGCAGCTGAACTGGGAGATTTGGTGCTCCCTGGTGACAGCTTCCGCGACTTGTTCCAGCTGGGCCCTGAGGGTGGTGTGTGGTGGTTGGACGTGGTCAACCCGACGGAGGAGGAGCTCGGGGCTATTTCGCGGGCGTTCTCGATTCACCCGCTGACCACGGAGGATATCCTGACACAGGAGGCGCGTGAGAAAGTGGAACTGTTCAAGCAGTACTACTTTGTCTGTTTCCGCACTTTCTACCAGATGGACAAGACTAGTGAGGAGTTCCTGGAACCGGTCAACTTCTACATGGTCGTGTTCCGGGATGGAGTGCTGACGTTCTCCTTTGTGGACAACCCGCACGCTTCGAGTGTGCGCAAGCGTATTGGTAAACTACGCGACTACGTCTCGCTCAGCAGTGACTGGATTTGTTACGCCATGATCGACGACATCGTCGATAGCTTCGGTCCCGTCATTCGGGATGTCGAGCTCGAGTCCGAGGCGATCGAGGATCATGTGTTCATCGCACGCGTCGACGACTTTGAATCCTTCCTGCCCCGCATTGGCGGCCTGCGTAAGAAGGTTATGAGTTTGATGCGTCTGCTGGGAGGCAAGGCGGATGTTATTCGCGGGTTCTCCAAGCGGTGCAACGAGCAGTACTCGGTGACGCCGCGCGGCGACATCGGACTGTATCTGGGTGACATTCAGGATCACGTGGTGACTATGATGTCGAACCTGGCTCACTTTGAGAAGATGCTCAGCCGCTCGCACACCAATTACCTGGCCCAGCTTAATGTGACCAACCTTGTGCTGGGCAACCATGTCAACAAGGTGCTGAGCAAGGTCACGTTGATCGCAACGATTCTAGTTCCGATGAACTTGATCTGTGGTCTGTTTGGTATGAACGTTAATGTGCCGGGCAAGGAAGCCGGGGGCCTGGGATGGTTCTTTGGTATCATGGGTGTAATGGGAGCCATTGTGGTTGTCAGCATCTGCCTGGCAAGGTGGCAGAAGTTGGTATAATGCAGTTTTTGTGGGAGGCTTTTTGACAGAGAGACAAGGTTTGATTTTATGAGAATTTTTTGGTTTTCATTTACTGTGACTTATATTCCCTGGCTGTGCCGTGTGTTGATATCTTTGTGATTTTCTATGGCGGCCAGCTCTGTGAGCGTGGTGCTATTTTCCGAGTATATTTTTGGCATTAACGTACAAGTCTGCTTTGTTTTGCATGTGCATAATTGGAAATATATGATCGCATCGGAGATTCGAGTTTGTACACTTCCTCATAGGCTATAGAATGTCTCCTGAGTTCTGTAGATATATTTAGATCTAGACTGGCCGACGGCGTCTCCTTCACAAGCCACGCGTCGGTGGCATGGCCAAGGCATCAAGGCAGCAACACTCCGATAAGGCTGAATTTCCGCGATTAGCACCAGTTCCTCCTTCACCAAACTTACCAGCCGATTACATGCAGCAGAAGATATTGCGCCTTTCCGGAAGAGCCTTACAAGTCCGTGGGTCTTAGAACCGCTTCTTAAGGATACCACGTGCCAAACAGCCCCGATCTTACATGCGCCTCGTTCCTGAAGAACACATCTCCATGCGCAATCCCGCGCCCCGGCAACCCCCTCAAGTCAACTTTCCATGCGCCACCAATACGCTGCCCTGCAGTACTTACTGACTGCAACGTTCTTCGGTACACTTAGTCCCATCTTCCAGGGTCTCGCCTACGCCTCGACCAGACATGCCGCGGATATTACACACGAAACGGAGAGCAGTCTGATCGGCGGGCCGATCATCAGCGACGGGGCAGGTTTCCCCGTTGCGCTGGACTCGTTTAATGGGCTGGAGCTGCGAGATAACGTGGGCGAGGACGGGGAATCCGGCGAGCTGGACCTCGTACGGAGGAACTACCCCAGCGATGCGAAGTCGCTGGGTAATAACCAGTTCCAGGATTCGACGGTGGAGGTTGGCGGTATACAGTGGTTCTTTGTTACCAAGGAGGTTGTGAATGGCAAGCAGGCGACTACGGTTTCGAAGTTACCGGCTAGTTTGAGTGCTAGAGCTGTGATGGAGATGGATGATGTCAAGCTTGAGCTACGGAAACGAGGACAAGCGGAGCCGCTGGCTAAGCGCGACCAGACGACAGTTTATCTGTCGCTGACGACGTGTCGCACGCCGACATCGAATAGCAGTAGCACGGTGCCTGGCTCGTTTCCTCAATTGCAGGTGTACTACTCGACGGATGAATCGCTTGACAAGCCTGGACCTGGCAAGGACGATAGTCTCCAGACGATGATCACCGCAGAGGGTGGCTTTGCGAATGCCAATATCACTACGGACGGGGACATTTTCATCGGCGTCGTGGCGCCCAACTCGACCACGTTCTCCGGGAACTACGACTATCAAATCGCTGCATCGATTGACGCGCCCTTCCACAGCGTCAACGACGACGACTCATTCCTCTACTTTATCGACGCTGATGTCTCGGCCGCGCTGCTGGTCACCAATAACCTAACACAATCCGAGCCCAACTCGACCAATTACCAGGAATGGATGAACCTGAAGCCACCATACACCATGTTCGCGCACAACATCAATAATACGGCTCTGGCAGGGCTGGAACGATCGTTTTGCGCATTGGATCGACTCTCGACTCTGGGTCGCATTAGCAATTCGACTGAGTTGGGTATGACCTCTCGCGGACTGGGAAATAAGCCCAAAGAGCAGTTTTACATTACCGGGTTGAATCGGAGTTCTACGTACAATGGTATCCTTGCCATGGTGGGTAACTCGACTCAATCCGGGAATGGAATTATCGGAGGTGGCGGGTCAGTGTGGAAGGCTATGAATTTCTCCACCAAAGCAGGTACGCATTTCAATCAAACCGGGATTACTCTGATATCCTCGAAGGGGGTTTCCGCTAACAACCACACCCAGACGACAACTGCGCCGTCCTCTTCAACCTAACCTTCTGCTCAGAAGTAGCCTACGCAGTCCCCGCGAACCCCAAACGCAAAAACGTCAGCGAACTGCGCACAATCTACGACACCTACGCCTCGAACTACTACACAAGCTTCAACTACAGCCTCCAACAAATCCAATGCACCGCCGAGCCTGAATCCATGTACTCCCTCGCCGTAGGCTGCGACGACTGCGCAAATGCCTACAAACAATGGCTCTGCAGCGTCTCCATCCCCCGCTGCGAAGACTTCACCAAATCCGCCTCGTACCTGCAAGTCCGCAATGCCGGGCAGGACTTTATCAACGGCTCCGCGCTGCCGGCCGATAGCGTGTACCGCCAAAGCGCCGTGACGAACGCGAGTCGCAATCCGCTGATTGATTCGCAGATCCAGCCTGGTCCTTATAAGGAGATTTTGCCGTGTCAGGATATTTGTTATACGCTTGTTAAATCTTGTCCTTCGACGTTTGGCTTTGGGTGTCCGACGGGGCAATGGTTGAATGCTAGTTATGGGTATCGGAATGGGGATGGGGATATTACTTGCAGTTATCTTGGGGCTGCTTATTATTTGAATGGTGGGTCGAGGGTGGTGGCCGGTTGGGCGGGTTGGGGGGTTGTGCTGCTTGTTGCGGGTTGGTTGCTGTAGCGGGATAGTTTTGACGTGTAAATAGGGTTTTTGATGAGATGCATTTTGAGCGTTTGTGAATTTTGCTTATGTTTATGTTTTCATATAGAAGTGTGATTGATTCTTCATAGCATGATGCTGGGCTTCCTAGGTTGCTGCATCAGGAGGTATGGGCATAGGCGGTTTCTTGGTATGCTGAGCATGCCAATTAAAAATGGCATCCATCATCAGACTTGACATGCAACTGTATACCTCTATTCTATAATTCTAATCTCCAAATCCCCCCTTCTCCAAGGTCCAACCCCACAAAATTCTAAATACACCATGTTTATACCTCAAAATCACCACTCCAACCCCTCCTCCCCCCCCCCCTCCAGTCCCACCCTCAACCCTCCGATCCCCCCACCTCTCCCTCCAAACATCCCTCTCCTCCCTCCACAAATCGTTCACACATGGATCACACGAACTCCCACAACACGTGCCGAGGTCCGGTGGGGGAGGGGGTCATTGTATGCGCGGGATGCGGCGCGGAGGAGTTGTTTTGTGCGGGTTCCGCTAAGGCGCTTCTTTTGGAGGGCTTTGAATTTTGGGGTTTCGGCTGGTGTGTAGTATGGTTCTGGTTGTGGTTGTGATTCTTTTGAGGGAGATGTTTGGTTTGATGAAGATGGAGACGTTGATGTTGGAGCGTTATTATCAGGTTCCTTTTTTGAATTGTTGTTCTGATTTGCAGTTGAGATTGAGGGCTTTGAGCTTTGGAGAAGGGTGCTGATGGGGGACCAGAGTGATGATAGGAGGGAGGGCGTAGATTGTGTTTGTGCTGAGTTCTCAGATTCGGAGTTCGAATTTTGGTTTTTGTTTTCGTCTGGTCGTGCATGTCCATTTGTCGAGGTTGAATTTGCCTCAGTGGCAGGCGTGGCATTGTCATCTTGCTCTCCCTTAGCTGGCGCTGCAGCGGGTGACGGTGCTCGTTCAGAGCTGATGCCCATGCCCACACTCATGTTGGCTTGGAGCTTCGATTAAGAAGGACCAAAAGGTAGCTTTCTTTAAATCAAATGATATCCGTTATAGTCAAACGGAGTCGGGGGCCTATCCGTCTGGCGCGACTGACTGATTTGACGTATACCAGAAAACACTGATCCAGAATTAGCGCTTGAGCTCTCCATATATGGTACTATGCTTACCAAGTTCATAAGAGTATACAAATGCTGCAACAAGCTCTGCTTAATGGATGAGTAGGCAGATCAAGAATTGAATGATCGGAAGTCCCGAGATCGGGCCGGATAGGGACTGGGGGGATCTGGGTTTTCGGGTGCGCCCGTTTCCTGCTTATTCCGACTTCTCCAACCGTTGGACTACGATCTAGATGATGGCATATAAATACTACGTAGGCCGGACAATTATAATTCTCAGCACTATGTTGGACTTCTGAAACAATCAGTTGATATCTCGTCGTTTGGCAACCTTTGTATTCTTCCGATCTGAACACAAATGTTGCAGAAATAAAGTATGCCAAGGATATCTTTACGTACTCATCGAGGACCAGGCACGATATATCCCAGAATGGCTCAACACACCACATGTGGAAGTGTTCTTTGGCTACTAGATTCCACACGTAGGAAGATAAGAACACTTTCATGCGATTGGTACAGCCTTGCGGTACTGTGACTGTTCATCGATTGGTTATACATCAACAATCCCCATCTATATACATACACCCCCGTTAAAGAATACAAACGCCGTCCCAACCATTAGTATCATAAAGTCGTAATCTATAAAGCCCAGCACCATCCACATTCCACTCTACTTCCGCCGCGGCGTCGGAGTCCACATATTCCCTAACCCAGACTTCCCCGTCGATCCCGACCCTGATCCCCGTGGCGTACTCCCACCAACCTGCGACCACAACTTCTGAGCCGCCGGCGTCAACATCTTGCCCTGACCACCGGCCACCGCACCACCGGGCGTACCTCGAAGTCCAAAATCTATGCGAGGACTACTGGCAAAGCGCGGAGTCGCAGTGACGGGCGTTTTCACAGTACGGGCAGCTTTTTCCGCGCGCTTGGTGCGTGAGACACGATCTACCATACGGTGGTGTAGTGCCTCGCGCTTGCGGGTTTCACGGAGCTGGAAGGGATTCGGTGTCGTATCTGATGAAGTCCCCAAGAGGCGCCAGTCTGCTTCAAGGGGGTCTTCGGATGCAGGCTCAGGCTCGGGTTCGTCTTCGTCAACGAAGGCGTAACCGTTGACACGGGGGTCTCGCCGCCAGGGACTGCAGAGGCCTCTGATTGACTGAGGCGTGGCCGACCGGCGATGGCGTCTTGGATCGCGGAGATTGAGGGTGAGTCTGGGACAGAAGCTGTAGCGTCTGCGGCGGCAGCAGCGTCTACATCAAGCAGTCGCGTATTTTGATAGAGTGTCCGTTTCGGGCCTGCGCGCGAGGCAGCCTCCGCTTGTTGGTGGAGTGTCTCGTGGGTATCTTCAATCGAAGATGGGAGGAACATAAGCCCGTTATCTGGACGAGACTTCCAGGCATCAGGTCTTGCTGGCCGTGCGTCCAGGTCTGTTTTGATGGCGATCTCGGAATCATCCCACTTAATGAGGCTAGTTTCCGGTTTGCCACCTTGTGCAGTAATGCGCTTGACTTCTTGCTGGTGATGAGCGATTTGACGGGCGGAGGGAATCTTATTGTTGTTCCAGAGAAAAGCGTATTTCTCGCGCTTCTTTGTGTTTTGCTTGTCGAGGACCTTGTTGAACGATTCGTTGTCCTCACTCGTATACTTGTCCTGGAATGCCATCAGGCCCATATTCGAGACATCCGGAATCTCCTGGCCCTGTCTCGTCGTCGCAGAGGTTGCAGTCGACGCGACAGACATAGGCGTATCTCCTTCCCACCCGCGCGGAGTCTCATCGGAGCCACCTGCTGGGAAATGCATAGGCGTACCCGCCACAGATCCCGAGTCTGTCTTCCGTCGGGCATTTGACCCGGGTGTTGGAGTGCGCATAACATCTGCAAGTCTTTTCTTGGCGCTTGTGATCCATCCTTTATCCTTCGAGTCCAGCGCATCGAGATACTCCTGCTTGGCCTGGGTCTCCAGCAGACCTGGGAAGAAATCGCGGGCGATGATGTGGGAAAGAGCGTTGGTGTAGACGTCTTCGTCGAGGGCAGTTGCGGGGCGTTTAATTCGTTTTGGCGCTGGAGGAGGGGGCATCAGCTGGCCATCTGACCGCTTGGTCAGGGCCTTTGATGGCGGAGGCGATGCCATCGCTGGGGCATCGAGTGTTGGCGTTGGAAAGCGAGTGGAGGGTCACGTCAAGAAGTTGCCAAACGTTTAGATGAGGGAGCCGATAAGATAAGAGCCGCTTGAAGACAGCAGAGATCACGTGAGAGGTATGTACTATGCAATCTAAATTGACAGACAAGGAGATCCAAATGTGTTCATTTTCTGTATTAAGTAAATGAAAAATGAACATCAGTCACTTCCTAAGATGTAGAGTTTTTGACTTTGATAAATGCCCTAAACATATGATCTGTTCTCATAGCTAGGGGTAGCTATTCCAGTAGCTCCATCGCATTGGCAAGCTTCTTATCCTCACGGAAAAAGAACGAAGGAGAAAAAATAACAAAAACTCCAACTCCAATTGCCATGAGCACCATATCCAAGTAGATGAGATATGTCTCCGTGCGCATGAGGTGGCCCTTCCAGCCACCCGACAGTTCAACAATCCGATATCCATTGCGGAGCAGCACCATGACAGTTGACACGCACAAAGCCACCAGAAGGGGCCATTTCGCTTGCGGGCACAGTGCTTTCTTTTGGCGGAACCGGAGCACTGTCACTGTAATGATTATCACAAACATTATCGTGTTGCTGAACTGGAAGATGATCCCCGAGCGCATAACGTCACTCCCGTGACTCAATGATTCGAAGTCATTGGCGCTTGATACCTCGACTCCTCCTACAGTCTGGATGGCCAAGGAGATGATGTCGCAAATGACAAATACAGCCCAGAAGATTGCAGATGGAAATGGGAAGAGGCGAGGAGTTGTCTTTTCGATACTAGTAAAGCCTTTGTCAATATCATGTTTCTGATCCGTCAGCCACTTTACTTACAGTTTGCAGAAGAGGACATAATCCGCGGCAGATAGCAAGACAGGACTGATTGCGATACTACAAATCTGGATCATGAAAGCCATCCAGCTCGTTGGCTTGGATTTATTAGCAATCTGTCATGGGCCATCTGTCATTTGATTCTTGTTAAATACTCACATCCAAATGAGCCCAATAGCGCCCACCCCAGCCAATTGCTTCTCCTACAGCGAGAAGTACAACTGTAGTCATCCACCAGTGCTTATACGGCCCAAATATCATTTGCAGGGTACATATGACCGCCATAGCACTGAAGAATATAATACCGAATAATGCGGCTGCTTTGCTGGGCAAGTACCCATACATATCAACATCTTGATCCATGATGGGAGCTTCAGAAGTTACTTGAGGTAGTTTCGTGATTTTTCCCCCATGATTGATGGAACCACGATACTTTAATATACCCACGAGAACGGAAATTTTATTGCACTTTAAGTAGATGCCTAAAATTTGATAGCAAGCCTATTTTTGCCTTTGAAAATCCCCGATCTCAGAGAAGTTGCCGTGGAATCTCCGCGACAACTTCCGATCACGTACTAAGGAACACTGATCTTTTAATTAAGCTATCAATTGATAATGCCAGCTAGAACTTAAGTCTTTAATCTGAAAATCACTCTCAGCACCTGCGATGCTGCATCTTCAAATTAAATACCGATAAACCTCAATACGCTTAAAAGGTTCGGTTCACGCTACTCTTTTCTCCATCGTCTCCCAGGCGGTAGACTCGCCGCGTTATTGCCGCACAAGTCCCGCGATTTCCCCGCATTTCACTTCACTTCCATTAAAACTCGCACTTGACGGAAGCCTGTTTGGCATAGTTTCCAATGCCGCTGAAACGAGGATCAGAACGAGTATCATGCGACTTTTGCCATCGCCGAAAGGTCAAATGTGATCGATTGTTACGCGCCAGGCAAGGCATGGCTACATGCTCGCAGTGTGCCCTCCGGGACATACAATGCCATCTTGACGACTCGGACGATGTTCGGATTCGGCGGCGCCGCACAAGGACCGCTCGCGGAGGTACTGAGAAAGCGGGCACTAGAGAATTACAGTCGGCTCTTCTGACAACATCCCCTGATGACCGAGGTATTCCGGTATCACAGATTATTTCGGATTCTCATATGGTCTCCCTTTCCCCAAGAGATGATAATGCGGTGCTATCAAATATTCCTTTCGACATGTTTGATGATAGTCCCTTTGCACTAAGTTTTGACAATATGGCATTTCTCGATCAAGTGTTTATGGGCGAAGGCGACCGCGGATTCACGCAAAGTAGCGACCAGCCGAGCCAATACCTGCAACAACCAACTTCCACCTCTGGTAATAACCCGAGTGACGACGGAGACCAGGATGGGAGGGATTCGAATTTTCCCAGTGCGGTACTCGGTACATGCTCTTGGACCGGTGTCTCTGCGGACTCTGCCTCTTGCACTGCAGCATTGCATTCCTACTTCGAGTATGCTGCGCCATATCTGCCGATTCTCCTCGCAGATGCATTCTGGCAGGACTATCATGCAGGTCATTGCAGCGAATTACTTCTCTATGCGGTTGCTTGTCGAGGGATGCCATACACCGAGGCGCCAAATAAATGGGATCTTCAGAACCGTCTTGCAAGCACATTTCGAGAGAAATACCTCCATGCTCGAAGCAATGCACCTGATAACGATGCAATCAGGCTTGACGACCTCGAAGCTCTGGCCCTCATGATCGATTTTGAATACGACAACTCTGAAAGTCTACCACTTCTGTCGAACCTGGGACGACTTTTTCTCACGCACGATTCGCTGGTTTTGACAGCGATCAACTATCGAATTCTCGATCTTGGTATCCTGGCAAGGGCTAGCGAGCGTCGCGTACTCCTCTACTGGCACATCTATGGACTTGACGCGTTCCACTGCCTAGATCGCATGCAAATATCGCGCATCCCAAGTAACGATCTTGCTAGCAATGAGGATCTCTCGTCGCAGGAGACGAAAGATTACTTTGATGCTCTTCTTGCCCTGGCTGTGATTGCTCGCCAAATTACACAGAATCTGTGCAGCCCGCTTTCAAAACGACAAGGCATCAAACCCAGTGATGTTCACAATTTGTACGAGCAACTTGATTATTGGAGGGATACCTGCTGTCCGCACCATTTGCGGATGTACAAAGACGATTCAGGCAGACTGGAGCCTGTTGACATCACCGAGCCAAGTTCCAGCCGGACAAGGAAACACACTCAACTCTATCGAGCAGTCCTCTGGGCTCTGGAGCTGCATTTTCGCTTACAGATCGAGGATTGTATATGTGAACACGGCATACAAGATAGGACAAGTTTGGAGGCAGAGGTCCTTGCCCGACGGGTGGAATATACAAGTCTCTCCGCATTGAACGAGATGGTCAACGTCTGTCTATGGATCAAGCAGCTCGAGACTCAGCACCAAGACTATGAGCGACACTCTTTGATTGACCTCGCACCGAAAGTTTTGCGTAATATCTGTGCGGGCATGTGCTATTGGTCTTGTTTACGAGGGATTGACCTTGTTAACAGCGGTTCCTTACCGAGGCTGCTTCGTTCTAGCCACGAGAATGATGGAGATGATGGTGTGAAGCGGCAGATTCTGAATTATGTTGAGATAGCGCGGTTATTGCGAGATACAGCCGCGACGGCAACGTCACATCAAGATACGGCGCAGATTCTTGAGCGAATTGATAACCAGCGGGCGTTACTTGATTCCAGGCTGGATGGTGCTTAGCCCGTTTGCCGGCCAATAGTACTTTATTTTACTTGTACAGTATATAGTCATTTAATATCAAGATCTAATCCAACATCTCGAGTCTTGATACCATGGCCCTCTTTCGCTTCTACTTTATTTACATTTAAATTTGACTGTAGGCGCCACAATCCCCCTGCCTCCCATAATCCCTCTACACATTCACCCCCGTCCGTTACGGAAACGCTTATTAGCATTAGACTTATTACCCAAACCCCAAAATACCCAAATCGCCCACGACACACTACCTTAAGTCTACAACTTCAGAGCAAAGAGGGCGGTAACCTCTCCCCACTCCAACTAAGTTGTTGCCAATCCCAGCCCTACAGCCCTATAGTCATATGACCATCACCAAATGCACTCCACTCTCCACTCTCCACTTTCCATTTCATCTAAACTAAACATTTATACTATACTTTATTCGGAACACGGCGGGTGTACTAGCGAATACGTCTCGAACAAAGATACACACACGATAAGATAGGCTTACCAGATCTAAGCCAGATCTAGATATAAAGTCAAATTCTACGATGTGTAAATGTGTAAAACACCAACCCCGACATTACGTACGAGATGCCCGAAACAGGTGAAATAATAGGGGTAATCGTAATCAAAGCGCCCTTCACGGGCATATATTGGTGTATGTGGCCTCCGCCACACGACCACTCTATAACACTCGACGAGTTCTTAACATGAACGAACAAGTAGACAAGGCAAGACAAGACAGGAGGGGCTAGGCCAGGCCTAACGAATGATCCCCGGCCAAACCCAAACCAGACCGAACCGGACATCCAACGACCATAATCAGAACCAGGATTAGGGAATCCAACGTGATGAATAAAGCCCAATGCTATCCAGCCCAATCCAATTCATCCAACGCAACCAAACCAGAAAAAAATAGCATTTTTTCCAATTGCTTTCGCCCCCCGGCTTTTTGCCCTCCAGACACCAGAACCGATACCGATATCGCTGAGAAATGCATCGAACAAGACAGACAAAACAGAGAGAAAAGAAAAGTGTAAACGATGGGTCGATGGAACAGACAAACCAATAGACGAGAGATAGAGAGAGAGAGAGAGAGCAGAGGCAAAGACAGACAGGAAAGGAAGTGGGAAACGACGGGATAATTCAAAGAGCAGAACAGGGTGAGACGATGAGACAAGGAAATGTAGACGGGGTCATGGACTCGTAGAGATCTATCACGGACAGAGTGTAACAGTAAAAGCAAAAGCAAAAGCGAAGCGAGCGCAAAGAAAGAAAACAAAACAGCAGGATATGCACCACAGATTTTGTCTTCCAAGGTAGCTGTCTCCAAATCAAAAATCAAGGCGGCATAATATAGAGAGAGCAGATGAAGATAAAGGGGAGGGTTTTAAACAGGCCTGGCGAACTCAACCCGCCGGCGTCGGGAAAAGAGAGTATGAAGTTGTCCGACTCTTCTTCCGCATCGGGTTCTTCCCCGGCACAGCTGGTAGAGGCGGGGTAACAGCCATAGCAACCCCGGCATCAGTCTCATCGTCAACCTCAGAAATACTCTTCGACCGATCATGCATATGCAGCGCGGGGGCGCTGTCTCAGCACTCGCCAGACTAGCGCTGCTATCAGCGTGCATGAGTATGTGTGCCTCAGCCAGACTCTTCGTTGGACGGTGCAGGGTGCTTGAGGCAGGGCGGGCTAGGATCTCCGCAGCGCTGAGACGGTCCGTTGGCATGATTTCGCGAGAGTTGGAGAGGGAGTGGACCAGTTCTGGGACGGAGGTGGTTGATACCGAGGAGCGGTGTTTGCGGACGATGCTCGCTGCCCGAGAAAGCATGAGACTCTCTTGGGAATTGCACTTGCTGATGGGGGAGAAACTGGAGCGGGGAGAGGCGTTGTGGATGCCCGCTGGTGCGAAGGGGAAGTGTCGGTCTGAGGAGGCGTCGGTGTCGGCGTCCAGGTAATCCTCGTAAAGGGTGTCGTGGTTGAGTTGTTTGGAGAGGATGGAGGAAGCGACGGGGTGGAAGTAGTCTGCCGGTCCTCGGATGAAGGTGCGCTCATACTCTGCTGAAGGTGTTGCGGCGGAGGGTGGTTGGGTAGTGCGTGCAGAGGAAGGGTCCAGATCTGGCGTTGCCAGGGTGGAAGTGCTCAATGGGCTGGGTTGGAGATGCCGGGTGGGTTTCGGGGGAACGGAGAGGCCCCAGGACTCGTTTGTGCAGGCGATGCCGACCTCAGGACGGGTTTCATCGAGCGAGGTGCGCGTCCAGTCAAAGTTGGATGTGGACTCTGCGGCGTGCTCGTAGCAGTAGTCGATGTCGGCATCCCAAGAATCGTACAGCTCGTCGTCGTAGGAGAATTGTTGAACGCCAGAGATCGATGGAGGCGTGGTGTCCAGCCGTGCTGTCTGTGACTCTTCCTTGGGTGGGGTGGTAGGTAGAGTCTGGGGCAAGGTCGGCGAGCCTAGGGCCTCGGAGAACTTGCGCGACAGCTCTTCAGCCACGGAGATGGAGAGGCGGGCCTTGGGAGCTGTCTGGCGAGACACCGGGGGAGCTGCAAATATCCCGGGACTGATTTCCGAGGTAGAACGGGAGTGCACGGTGTCACCGCTGGCCTCTGGACTGTCCCATAACCTCGTTCCTTCGTCTTCCTCGGGAACCTCTTCGAGGCTGTAGTTGCTGGTCACGGAGGACGTGCGGGCGGTGAAATCCTCGGCGAGACAGGGGCTAAATTGTCGTTGCGAAGAAGAAGATCGCTCCGAGTCGATATACTCAGGATACGTTGGCCCAATGTTCAATCCCAGGATCTCATCAATGGCCCTGGGAGCCGGCTCGCCCTCATCAGCTGGAGCCTCCGGGGGAGGCGGTGTCGTCGGACAGGACCGTGGATATTTCGAGACCGGGCGAGAGAAGTTCTCGTGGATGCGAGATTCCCTGCGTGCATGGCCGCGAGTTGGGCTAGTGGACCCCGAAGCTGCAGGCGAGCCCGGCGGACTCTGAGGCGCGGGCTCATCGACCGTGGTGGCCGTTCCATAGGCAGCCAGGTCGTCAGTGGAAAAGTCGCGGAAATGAATGTCGTCAGCGCGGATACCCTTGAGGCCAGCCTCAGGACGCTGCGAAGCGCGAATGACCGAAAACTCTGTGACGAGGTCGTTCTCGCGCGTCTGATCTATTGCTTGGAATTGCGAGGGACTGGTATGGGTGAGATGGTGGAAATCGAATGGATCTGAGATGATGCTCTTCAATCGTTCGTCTAGAGATGAAGTTTAGTCAATTGATCATTCCACAAGTTATAGATGTAGTGCATGCGTGGAAAAGCCAATTGCTTTCAATGCTTTCAAAAAGCAGTCCAAAAGAACAAACAAATGATCAAAACGTTCCCCACTTACGGTGATCAACCTGTCGACCCCGATGACGACCATTCCTATCAGCCCGTGGCATCCTCTCTAATTCGTCCTCCTCGTCCAGCGTGGCGACGATATTGATCTTACTCCCCTGGCGGCGTAACATACGGCTTCCACGCGCCAAAAGGGATCTCGACGTGCGATCCCCTTTCTCAGACCGCATACCCAGTGCGGAGGGCGCCCGCTCATCCTGGGACGGAACAGAGCTATCGGTGGAAGTCATGGACGAGACCGGGGAGCGGCGCGACGAAGTCGACGTGGTAGTATTGCTTCGGGAGCGGCCGCCAAAGACAGATAACCGTTTCGGACTCTGGGCGAGGGCTGTAGATCGCGAGCGAATATGAGAGGCATGCTCTGGAGGATCGTTGGAGGAGCGGGTCGACGGGGGATCACTGTGACTAGACTGGTCGTCGTCCCAGTGGCCGGGCACACGCGAGAAAGTCGACATGGTTCCGAGGGTTTCAACTGTCTCGGTGTCTTTTTGGGGAGGGTCTTATCTGAATCTGGGTCGACCAGAGTAACGGGCCAGATACGGGGAGAATTGGAACAACTGGAACGGGATATGACGTCCTTCCTCTGTTTTGGGGGTGTAAGAGCTTGGGCGAGACGGGTGGACTCAATTCGAGTGTCCCCTAATTTATGTGCGAACAGGCTGAAGCACCAATAATTGGTGTGGTTTCATGGTAAGTTGAGGCGCTGGATTGAACCCGCTTTTCGAGACGCAACGAGGGTGAGAGGATGGTTTGAGGTTGGTTTCCCTGGTGGGGGAGAATTGAAAGAGAGTGTGTGTTGAAAAAGAGAGAAGGAGAAGAATAATGGTCGTGGAGGGAATTCGGGGGGGCGAGGAGTAGGAGTGGGAGGAGCCAAAAAGATTGGGTCAGGGCGGGAGTTATAATAAGACCTCACGATACAGACGAAGAATAGTTGGAAGGAGGGTCAAATACGTGATGATTGGACTGGTGGACAGAGGCCAGATACTTACCCGGTGGAGGTGTATGAGTACAAACATGGAGAGATCTGACAATTATTCGGATTATTCTAATATTATTATTGTTAATATTATTGTTATTATTATTATTCTTCTTCTACTGCTGTATCCAGTGTACATACCCGTACGACAGGAGAACTGGCAGGAAGCATCAAGTGGACCCGACCGTTCAGGGGGGCTGATTTGAGGGCTCGACCGTTGCACAGACAAGACGCTGCCGTTTCGGCTGGGTCTGGAGGAAATTGGATGGATTTGGTTGTTGTGCTTGGCTGGCAAATCTATACTCTATGATCTATACTAGCACCCCTAGCAGAGCAATCTACTACATCTATCGATACCTATATCTACGTATCCCATATGCTATACTCTATACTCCATGTATGCTCATGCTATACTCGCCAAAGCATAAAGACGAATAGTCCCAATCCAACGGAACCGAAGGAAGGCTTCGTGCGACGTCCTCGGAACGTGTTTGACGGTGGAGCCCGCTTAACCCAGTCCAGAAGGTATCGGCGTGAGAACTAAACGTACAAGTACAGTACCGGTACCAGAAAGAATAATAATCACTCGTGTCTGAATTATTTTCTTATTTTCTTATTTTTTGGGTTTCTTCTTTTTTTTTGCTCTTTCTAATGACGATCTTCTTTCCTGCTTCTATGGTTTTTGTTTTCTTTTCTTCTTCTTCAACTGGAACTGGAACACACGCAACCTCCTGAGAATAACCAGGAAACAAAGTATATATTTACATACCTCTGTACTCCGTATATATGTGTATATATTGTGTGTAACTATGATTATATGCATGCTGGAAATGCAGGTCGTGCCTGCATGTCCCATCTTTGGATATCTACTCTACTGTGCGGGATCCCCCTCGACCGAAACCTCGACGCGACAACGCCATCCGAGGTTGCTCCCCTAACATCCTCAATCTATTCCCTTGCTCCGTCACTACGACACTACTGCTCCGTACATGTTCTTCCTTGTGATGGAATGCGCATGGGGCTTTGGGCTTTGGATCTTTTTCCCCTTCGGCTTCATGCAGTTCATTTATTGCCATAGAATCCTTCGAATCACAATCCCACCCTACCCTCAGCCCGCAGTGCAGTACACTCATTCCCTCTAAATATCTCTCAAAATGCGCCATGCAGCCCTGCCATTCGCCCGCTGACGTGCTGGTGTCTTCCCCCGCGTCGCTAGCGTAGCCTCGGCCGGGGCGGCAAACGAGCTGGCAACGGTTTTTTACTGTTCCTGGAGAGCCCAGTAAGCTCCGTACTAAGGAGTAGCTGGCCAACTAGGTGATTTAGTGAATGTACCATAGCGACCAGAGGGATTAGCGCCGCTTCAAAGCAGCACTAAGCTACGGAATCCGTGGAGTGGTGCAGCTCATAGTCGTACTTTATTTTACACTCCGTCCCTTCGGTAACTTACTGTACGGAAGCAACTCGCGCCATGACGACCATCCCAATTAGGTACCGTCGGAGGGCCTACCACCCACCTTTTCAGGACTAGAGTCTTCCCAGAGAAGGTTAGGGCTTGGGCAGCGCCGGCCACCGATCCAAAGGAGCCATCGCTGTCCACTGTCCCGGAGAGCTGGTGGTGGTGGGGTAAAAAATTAATCTGGCAATCTGGCAATCTGGCAAATCTACGGAGTACGAAGAAGCAATGGCATTGTAATTAGCCTGGGCAATTTATCGTCTTTTGAGTCTTTGACCCCGTCGTGGCTCGTGCCTTTTAGCCTGGATTGCATAAGCTGGATCGGTTATCAGTTGTCACAGTGCCCTATGTACTACCACGGTATGTGGAAGTAAGCGATAGTAACTACCTTGTTCATGCTCCGTACAGTAAGCAAAATAGTGCCTCTTTCCCCAGACTATGTATCGACATGTGCTCCTCGGCAGTTCACCTGTCATTCTCTCGTCGGTATATCCATCACATCTATTACACTCGATCCAGATTCGCATTCGCGATGAGACTTCCGATGAACTCTCTTCCCAAACGATCCCCCCCCGGCCTCTCCCTAGGACACGCGATCACAGCCGATCGGAAAATCACACGCAGATCTCGGAGGGTGCCGTAACCCTCATCAATCCGGAATCAATATTCCAGTCTATAGTTCGCAGTACGTAGACTCAATTTCTAGTCCTTCCTTCCATGGAGTCCTTCGCACATACTCCCCATGTTCCATGTTCTATTTTCATATCCTTGGCCCGAGGTTCTCGCTTCTAGCTTCTAGGTTTAAGTGGAAGGTTGAAGGGTTACGCCCATCATCTAATTCTTGCGTCCCCCTCCGACATAGCAGGGATTCAAACTCGTATACCAACCGGCTGCTTCTCGTCCCCAACGCCCCCGGGAATTGGTAATTCTCCAGGATTCGTAGATCCTGGTTACCCTGCAGGAGGATTCCCCGGAGCTCACCGGTCGCGCAGGGGGGTAGAGAACGTAGGTTTGCGCGATAAAAAGGATGGAGAAGTATGAGCAGGACCAGGAGCGGACATGCGATGCTGTCTTAGATCCAGATGCCGGGGGGGGATAGCCTTGAATGTGGTCCCGGTCGGGGTTGGGTATTCAAGGTTGGTCGTGTGTTGGTTTTGGTTCCTGGTATTGTTTAGTGCAGTTCAGTTGGTTGGTTATTCCTTCCCGTTTCTCAGGGCAAATCATCGAATTGGTCAGCGATGGAAGCTGTTCCTTGGGTCTGGTGCAAATAGTCAGGGCACGTAGTTTTAGCTCGTCTTACAGAACCACTCCTTTGGAAAGGAGCAGCTTCCTCCCGTCCCGGTATTGAATCAAACCAGAGTCGCTATCCAACCAGACCAAACCAAACTCGTCCATCGAGTATGGATGTATACGTCGTGTATCAAGATTTAGATCTCGTATTTTATCCTCACCCTTTCTATCATACATACAGGTTCATGTCTATGGAGTACATACTACTCGAGTCAATCGTATAATCTCGGATATCCCACGAGCCCTACGCTCGTACGTTCCTACGGACTCCCACGGATATCGTCATGGCCAACGTGGAAAAGCCCCGGTGGGGCGTTAAGGCAGCCTAACAGTGTTCGAAACAAGGGAGAAGCCCGACGGAAAAGGTCAAGAACGGCGCCAGCGTCTCAGACGCGACTGGGCGGAAACTTAAAAGGAGGAAGAGGTTGAGAGCTCCGTCAGCAGCGATGCAGGAAATAATAATCACAGGAATCATACTCCGTATAGCGTCTATCGCGATATATTTTGACAGAGTACTTCCTAGCCCTTCTTCTGATAAAATATAAATCTCTTCTTGATTCAATTCTTCATCCTGAACATATACACCCCCGAATTCATTCCCTACTATTCTTATTCCAGCACGCGGCCGCCCTCCGATGGCCCTCTCCACCGGGCGTCTCTCCAAGTGGACTCCTGACGATCCCCCTCCTCCTGCGGGTTCCAGCCAGCCAGAAGTTCAAACACCCTGCTCTGGCCATCCTCACGGCGATGCACGAACGACCCGAACAGATCGGCATGCAGTTACCCTGATAGTCACTGATACGACCGCCGATCGGTCGGGTTTGCGGGTTGATCTGGACTTCTGGACTCTGGTCTAATTTTGTCAGGAATCGACCGTTTGAGAAGGTCCATAACTTGGCTAAGGTTAAATCGGTGACAGGAAAGATAAGGTCGTTTACTTTTGGGGTATGGCAATTGCCGTTCTCAGCACTCCAATTGAACTTCTTGGGTTTGTTAGTACTGTAAGTATATTTATTTGGGTTGAACTTTCCACGCCGATAACTCCTATAACTGCCGCTCTCCGCATCGGTCTGCTTTGCGATGTATCTCCGACCGAGTGCAATGTAACTTAGTCGCCTATCGTCCGCCTGGACATCAAACACAAGCCAATCCTAAATTGTGGCAAGCCCCGTTGGTCCCTGCACCGCACCACGATCCTCCTTCGGGTCTGGGTGCCGGGAAGAGGCAGAAGAGGACGATCGTGATTATCGATGATAATGGTAAATACATGTCCTTCCATCAGATCCTTTGCCAGTAATGGGGCCAATGCAAGAGCCTGGACCATGTGTAACGCCCGTCTAATTGATTTCGTAGAATCATGGACTACCCTCCAGCAACGTGATAGGACACCTAGGCCGATAGCAGACATAGTGGGCTAGGGGACTCACCGTCGGGCAGAGTATAGGTTCGTGTCTCTGGCTAACGACTCGCATCAGAATCCAATTCATTACAATGAATCAAGCTCCCAATTTGCATTCTCAGTTCCTGCGTCATGCATCAGCATTGACCCTCCCAACAGGGCCAACGCGTCTCCGCCCTCAATCCTCCGTCATCTATCCTCCGTACTCAGTCAAACACGGAGGATGTCGACATTCGATGTTCAGAGCAGACAAGTCCAAGGCCTCCAGCCAATCTAGACTTTACTTCCGCTCTCAGTCGGCTTGTGTACGACTCTTTCTTCAAAAGCCCGAACTCAAGAAAGGGTGGGTCGAGGGGTTCACCCCCATTTCCCAATTCAGCACTCCGTAGTTTTAACGCTCTCATTCCCAAACCCATCCCCGGCATCCCCACGGCCCAAGACCCGTGGTTGTTACAGAGTGCCGCAATTGCGCAGCAGCTAACCCAAGCTAGCGCGGTTCTCGCCTCCAAGTGCCGCGAGGACCACGGCGTGGTTCGAACGAACACGTTTGGTCGGGCGCAAGCTGCCCCCCCTCTTTTGCCCCTTCCCCTTTCCCAGAGAGGCTCCGCTCTGCTGTTACGGCTGTAAGTGTACTGTATGTTATTGATTTTCCCCGGTTTGTGGTTCTTCATCTTGGGCGGCTGGGGATCGACATTGCGGGCTCTTGGCTAAACGGAACGTGGCCTAGGCTTTGGGGGTTGTTGATAGGTGCTTGTCCTATTGTAGATTTTTTTTTGAGTGAACTGGTGAGAGGGACTGTCGTGCTCAAGCATCAGTCTATATCTCGGGGATTGGACATCTTTCTTTATGATTAGGCAAGTCTACTGTAAAATAAATGATGTTTCAGGAGAGCAACAAAGCAAAAGATTGTTTTGACTCTTCTGGGCCACAAGTCGGAAGGTGCCTTTTCGTCTAGGCTTACAGATCAGTTCAACGCATAGTTAACTAGTTAGTTAGGCTGTAGTCAGACTTCATTAGGTAACTAGTTACTTAACTATCCTGATAATTTGGTAAGCCGACGCTCCTTGACACTTATCTGACACTTAACGACCTGAGATTCTGAAACCACCCCCTCAAAACAGTCGCCCTACCCCCAGTCCCCTACACGATGCCCCTATTCCCGAACGCGTAATAAGTCACCGTGGGGGCCTGAACTAACAGACTACCTGCTAGTACATACTCCGTGTTCCATGCCTGTCGAGCACCCGAATGTCGACTACTTATTGATGATTCAGAGAAGGCTGACGAAAGGCAGGGATTATCCCGTATAGACGGCACGGCACGTCAGGAATAACCGATGTAAGCACTGTAACACCCCTTGCGGGGTTCGTGTTGGCTTTTTTCTGGCTCATTCAGCCGGGCGCAGTTAAGTGCGAATCACTTGCGCTAGATATCCCACGAGGTAGAGCTCCAGATGTATGCTGTCGAAAAAGAGCTTTTTTAAGTAAGTTGACCACGAGATCGAGCCGCGCTACGCGTGTGGCAGGCGCTGGGCGTGACGATTTCCCCACTGTCGCTGAACTAGTTGAAAATCCGGGTGTTAGGGGCGTAATAGCTTAGTTATGCTATTGCTCCATTTTCAGGAGATCGTGGATTCTTCTTTGTCCCGTGATCTTCAACGGTATTCAATAGTGCGGTGGGTTGTGGAGCGTGTCATGCCCTATGGAGATGTCGGCTGATCACCCTGGCCCCTGAGCATATCGGGACATCAAGTATGGGGTGCATGGGGTACACTTGAAAGATTTTAAGACGTTCAATATGGAAGTTTGAAGGATCGGTCAGGAGAGGTGAACTTTGGGTTATTGTTTCTACTGATTCAAGTAGATACAACTCACCATTTCACAATACTCGATAGAATAACATTAGGGAAGATTTATTATCGGTTCTTGTTCTTTGTTGGCCGGTCTTACACTATAGGCAATAGCATCTAATCAATTATTCTAGATCTCAATGAATGAAGACAAAAAGAAGAAATATATCAAGTAACACTACAATTCCATTATTCAAACAATTTCCCCATTAACCCTGAAAATGGGCAGGTCAAATACCTGAATTGCCCGATAATTGAACATGGTACTTCGCTGAAGGTTTGCCCTTAGATATCAACGATAACACCGCTTGCATCGACAGGAAGGATTCCATGGATATCTATGGGATTGGCGAGCTGCTCGTCACCCTTGTCGAAGTCTTTCCGCACGTCGTCGCTCAGCGACCTGGGGTCATCACCTTCATCAAGTCCCTGAGGATTTCTGGCCTCGATGGCATCTATATCAAAATTTTCAGGTCCATTAGGGTGAGATACCAGTATACGAAGTTGAGTCCACTTCCTACCATCTCCGGGGGTAAAAACATCAAGATCGAGATCGCCAGTAATAAAGTCATCCTCAGAGCGTATCGCAATCTTCACGCCACTAGTGCCGTCGCCCCCAAGTGCACTGGCAGTCATACCACTATCGCCGACAAGGCCGTTCTCGGAACGAGAGAAAAGGTTGAGAGGGGTTGCTTGGACGGTAGTTGCGGCCAAGAGAGCAATTATGACTCCGTATCGGTACATGACGAGGGTGAATGGGTTCTTCAGGGAGGTTAGCCTTTGAGTCTTACTCTCCTCATGAGTAATACGGAGTATGACTTTTATTCTTACTTACTAAGAGTTGAGAAAAGAAAAATGTGTAATCGTGTGAACGAAGAACAAGGACAGTGGGCTTTAGAAATATTGGGCTCTAAACTTAGTCAAGTACTGGCGCTGACGGAGGAACCAGGCAATGGAAACTGCAAACACGCACAGCTGTGAAAATGGAAATGGACCCGTAAAATTGATATAAGTTACTGTTCCTTGAATCCATCGGGGGGAATAGGGCCTTTTGTCATCCTAAGAAACCACTGCGTAGCTTGAGAGGTGAGGTGTCATTGGTGATGGATGCAGGTTTGCGCAGGGCATGACGAAAGTACACTCTGTTGACGATTCCTGACTATTCAAGCCAATGAACGAGGCCAACTATGAGTTGCTTCTACGACTGATGTCATCACTTAGAGGGCTATTGGCGCTGCTGAATCGGGAGGCCGATGAAACGTCGTGTGTATGCGACGAGGAATTGAAAATGCCTTGAGAAACTTCCTGCGAAAATACAATGGAATGATGAACTGATTCATTCAGAACAATAATAAATGGTGTGATCTTATCTAGTACAAATTGACCATAATCTAGCATTATTGAAGTGTAGTCTAGAAGATATACGTCGCAATATTATCAACGACTACCAATGAACCCATGCTAGGGTGCCAAGACCCGCCACTGTTAAGCTTAAGTGGCATAAAGTTTGGCCGTATTCTATCACGTTAGGCTTCGTCGCATTTTATCATAATATCAAAGAAAGCATGACTCCGGATACTCAAAACTCTGCATCTTTATGAAAAGGCTGTTAAACCACCAAGATCTCTCTGAAGCTTAGCTAAGTGCTGGATCCGGGTTGCATGTACTACCCACCACCAATTAGGCCTGTACAGCGTCGACTCACCCCTGGCTGTACCTCTCAATCTCGCGGTATTGGGCCTCCAGCGTCACATTGAGCCCTGGAATAATGACGCATTCCAAGGAGATGGAAGGCCATCTTTCTTGTACTAAGGAAATATTTCTGTCACACGGCATAAGTTCTTCTTTCCGTTCGGGTCAGGAGCATCTCTATCGTCGATTATCTTCCTATTGGTTCGATAAATGTTAGATCTTCTTCAGGCACTCATCAAAGTGTTAGACATTTAGACAATGGGGATCTTCGTGCTGCTCTGTGGAATTCCCGGATACGGTTGTGTGTACTGGATAAAGGAAGGATCGTCCACTAGAGGGCAGGATACCCTACGATTCTCTGGTTCTTTTCTATTTCGCTACATCCAATAAAAACTAAACGTCTTAGTAGAGGTCTTGAGGCTTGAGTTGAAATCTTTTCTTTCAGAGAGGTAGGGGAGTTGACATGGTCACGAGATTGCGGAGCATACGAAGCGGGCAGCTCGAAAGCGGGAATGTATACTCCCGTACGCAGCGCAGAAGTGAACAAACAATACAATGCGCAAACTTGAGCAAACCAATTCTTCAATACCTAGATACTCTCCATTGTAATGCATTCGATACAATAATTTTTGTACGGTATTTACCCGAGGACAAGTCCACTAACTCAAGACATTTAAATTCCAACTTGGAACATGCAGGCGAGACATCCAACTCGATTATCCATCGCACAGAAGCTGATATGAGCTCGGTGGACAGTCCAATGCCACTCAAGAAAAGACATTCAATACTAATATAAAAATATTCACGTGTGTCCTCTCATACACACACCTATCTCGCCACCAAAATTCACCCTCGAATTGCGAGAATCTCCACAAAGGAAAGAACACCCCCATCTCAGCCCCCAGCAAAATCCAATGCTGACACACTCAACTAGCTGCACTGCAATGCAATGCACGACGCCGCCTGCACGATGGGACCTGCATCTAGATCCCGATCCTGTATCATGTACGGAGTAAGACTTGTAAATAATAGATTAGTGTCGGAGCGTATCGGGGATGTATCTCACCCGCCCGTCCCGTTGCTGTAGCTTGGCAGACCCTTGGGCCTCAGGCCTGGGGCCACAAGTGCAAAAGTACACTGCACCTGCATCTGCGATGCACCTAGAGTACGCCCGCACCACACAGTTACATTAGTTAGATCCAAGCCACCCGACCGGCAGCCCAACCTCCCTGGCATCTTGCAGTAGCCTCGTTCGCCCTAGCCTATGAGCTCACAAGCCAGACAAAAACGGACGTAAAATATCCGAGGTACTGTACAGGGGCCGGAAATTAACGGCGTCAGCTTAGCTGTGCTCCTGCCGACAGCTATCTTTTTTCGAGTGTCGTGTCAGCCCACAGCTAAACTGGCTCTGGCTGACCTTGTTAGGGCCGAGTTGGGATCGGAAGGAACGAAGAATGTTACCCCGTTCATGGCAGAGAAAGCGGGGGGCAGCGAAGCGGGGGGCTGGAGGCGTACTACCTCGAACAATGAGGTCTTAGATGTTGTGCTACCGCAATATCTGGATTTTATGATCGATATAAGGAGCGCGTTGTAAAATTGATGAAAACTTGGATGATCGGTGTCAGCTGAAAAGGTCTTGGCTTGTACTATACGGAGTACAGTGGGGTTACATACGGAGACATTCAAAATCATCTCATCAGTCATGCTCTGAAAGATAACCCGAGGAATTTCGTCTGATCTATCTAGAAAGACGTTCCAAACAAGATTCGGAAATATCCTTCTCAAAGGAAAGAAAATTAAAGCGTATTTAGCTAGACCTTTTCTAGATCTCTAGTGTACCTTTGAACTGCCACTGTACTCTAGACGCGTCACGAAATCTTAGACGCGCAGGAACAGGATGTTTTCCGTGGGGAGTAGGGCTTAGTGTAGAGCCTACATGACTTGTTAGCGTGCGGTATCACAAGCTAAGAAGCTAAGCGAAAGCGATCCGTGTACGGAGTAATCAATAGAGCATTGAAAAGCGATGGAAAGAGACACCGTAACGCTAGAATGCTCTAGATCGAAAGTGCCATTTCCCCTTGCTCGACTTATATATTTATCCACCTATCCCAAGCTCACCCCTGTCGTCTGCCCTCAAGTGTACGAGAATACAGAGTATACTGATTCTGCTCGCTAAGTATTAGATGCCACGGAGAGAGAGAACCCAAGGACCGCAGGGTTGTTGATGAAGCTAAGATATAACGAGAGGTTAGAGGATACTAATAAGTTAATTAGGCAGCAATCATGCCACTAATAACTAACTAGCCTGCGTGACCAACAAGTATGAAGTGAAGAAAGAGTTCTACGACCTCTGGGACGTAGGAAATTGCCATCTGTTCGCGCACCATCTATATCTTAACCTCTTTCAACCCTCTAGCTTCCGTTCCGTAACTTTTTCAAATTATGATCCTAATCATACTTTAGAAAGGGAAAGGATAGGACCAGTAGGCGTAGCCAAGCACACTTACTACTTGATACTTCAACAGATGAAAATGAGCGACACCCAGAAGGATAGGCCGCCATATAGTCCATACAGCCTACCGATGGACTGAACGATCAGCCACGAGATCAAACTTTCACTTCCTTCTTCTAATTCCCGTCTACAACTACGATGCTTTTTGTACATAGAACCAGATCTTTGGCTATAGTTATGTGGCATTCACCTTATGATTCATGTACTTTCCAGACCTTTCGTCTTACCATTCACTTTCATCAATCAAGTATACCGTCTAACATGACTTGCCATCAGGTATCAAACTATATCTACTGTATCCCCATATCGGCCTGTGTTTCCATTATCCCAATGCCGAGTCGACTACTGGCCCGCTGTTTCTACCGTTAATGCAAGCCCACATTATTTGGTAATGAGTCTATCCTCTTGGTATCAGATCGCCTCCCTTAATCGACCACTCCAAACCCGCCCAATAATAACATATGTCTGACATCTCTTACCTATGGCAATCAACAGCTGAAGTTTGATCTAAGTCTGCTAGTATGCACATTTAGAATGTTCGGAGTAATTGAGTTTATTTGGACGCACCGAGCTCCTTTTTTATTGAATTAGATTTGTACAGCTTCTGCACCCAGCCTGAGCAAGAGAATTCTTTTCTACGTGTATATTCTTTCTAGATGAGGGTACATTACAGCTTCCAATCAATAGCATGAGTGAAAATACTAAGTAACCCAAAACGCGGCAGTAGAAAAAGAGTAACCCATTTACCTAGCTTCTGCAGCCTTCTATTAAATATCAGACGTATGAGGACAATGGTCACGCGTGACGAGAGAAGACCATGACGTCGAGGATCATCAAAGGGTTTTACCAGACCATTTGCAGATCAGAAGCAAAGCATGGATAAAACTGCCGAAGAAGTGTTGGTGAGGCTGAAATCGAGAAGGTCAAATTAATCCCAAATTGGCCCAGCCAAATTTCGCTCACTCTGATCCATCAAGTTGTACGACCCGGATTCTTGAACCTATACTCGCTCCGGGGGAACCTCTCTTTCTATTTTGACGAACTTATGAACCTAGGTCATAGGGCTGACGTCAAAGCTTGACACCGACTCTGTACATGTCTCAAATCTGGCCAGGTCGACAAAACGCTTTTTTGACACTGAGGTACCCTGATTGGCAATCATCCATTGGCAACTATCTCTCCCGCTGTTAGGAGTTGTTCTCGCGAGATGAAAGTGGGTCTGTAAAACTATAATTTAGTTGAGGAGTGTTCCCCAGCGTTCTAAACTATGCGATTGCTGGATGAAGAAAATACCTTTGGACAGTGTGCACACTGGTGTGCCGCCAACTTCCCTACTAGTCCCGGATCATCTTGTACCTCTCTCGCCGCTCACGAACAGTGACCATGCTAGATTGCGATCCTGCAGCGAAGCACCCTGGAACAAGAATACTGTGTAATGGGCAGTGTGTTGATAGCGATGTGAATAATTGCGGGATATGTGGGAATGTGGTACGTTCTCCCTGAGTACGAATCTGAATAATAAGTACCACAGCTAATGTAATGTTCTCTATGCTGCAGTGTGCTACAGGAGCATTGTGTAGTAGCGGGACTTGTCAATGCCCGACGGGAGAGAATGTCTGTTCTGGAGCCTGTGTAAATGAGAACACCGACATGGGACATCTGCGGAGGGTGCGGCACCGTGGTGCGTATTCCCCCAAAATGTTAAGCTGAACAATGTGGGTTATAATTGCTAAATCTTTAGGAATGTAGTGTCCTAGCGGGCACTTGTGTGTTAGCTTCACCTGTCAACGCCCAAGTGGACAGACAGGCTGTGCTGGCGTCTGCGTAGATACGATGACCGATAACAAGAACTGTGGAAGGTGTGGGAATGTGGTAAGTAATGTCGCCGTTCAATTTTAACCTCATGGGGTAGTTGACTGGATGGAAAGATATGCTGATTCTTCATTCTTCATCTTAGTGTCAGGAGACCGATGAGGCTAGATATACTCCTTGCCAGAACTTTGCTTATAGTTCACAAGACGCGCCACAGGCACCCGCAACGAACACCGCCCATAACCCACCTCCTGTGACAATCCAGAAGACCCAGGTTGCTCAGAGTTCTCCGAGCGGTCCTCCCTCGAGCGTTGGGACGGCCCCAATTACTCTCTGTCAGTGGCTATCCCAAGACAAGATTCTAGAGTTGTGGAAGTCTCTAACGTTCAACCCAAAGCAGTCCGGTCTGCAGCTCCAACTTCCAGTTCGCAACCCACCAAGCATTCACCCAGTTCACTTTTTGCGGCCCCCGCGGGGCAGGGCGGGGCAACACCCAAGGGATTTGGATCCAACAATGTGACATCTGGTGGCTCGAGTTTGTTTAGCCAAAGCCTCTCTCCATCTCCATCGCAACCCAAGTTTGGAGCTACACCATCACCACCCGGTAGAGGTATTTTATTTGGTACTAGTATCGCCGTGCCCAGCGGAGCCGCAAGTGGTGGATCTGGGACGTCCCTCTTTGGTCTCGGAAACGAAAAGAATGACACTATGAACCCCCCGAAAACTAAGGGATTCACACATGTGTAGGTCAAAGTGCGCAACAGGAAAGTTTAATCCTAATCTTCCGTTACTTTGATTAGATTCTGTGAGGCAGATACCAGTTCACGCGATGGGATTCTGAATTGTTACCAACATATTTGCTTTACGTCTCCATTCAGCAAATACTCACCTGAGGTTTCAGGAACATTATGGCACGCATTTCTGGCGTGAGAATGGAGGACTAAGACGTGCTAACACTCAGATCTGTAGGAACTTCGTCTTGGGGATTGTTCGTGAAATGAGTGATCAGTGCCTCCCTCACCCGTGAGAATGAGGATTGATTCAGGTCAAGGCTTTGCGACTATATATATGTTGTAGTGGGGGAGTCAGTGGCCTAGGGACTTCATTTTCGTCTTGCGGCCTTGTATGGTTTGTCTTAGGGATTTCTGCAGGAAAAGGAAAAGCAAGAAGCAAGAAGGAGGACACTTAACGAGACGAAGGGAGAGAACAAGGAAGAAGATGAACACACGAGGTTAGGATCTCCGTTCTGCTCTTAGGGAGGCTATCATTTTTGGTCACTCATTTTCATCCTCTATACTTTTCTTTACATATTCGTGTGTATGGATATCTAGAGCGTAGCACTTCCTGAAGACGAATTTAGAGCCTCGTCCAGGCTACCACCAACTCACACTCCAATTGGCCTCATTATTGGCTGTAAACAAGTTGGCGCAGGCGTCCATGTGCTTCCAAATTCGGTTCGCTGAAAAAGGTCCCTCCAGATGAAAAGCATTCAGGCTAAGGGGGCGAATCGAACATTCATAATGTCGAGATAGATTTATAGGGCAAGTGAACGCAGTCCTGTAAAGAATGGATTTGGAGTCCAATGAAAGAATAATCTTCAGGACCTGCACAAATAGGTAGACAAAAATATTGTCAGAAAGACATGTTCAGTAAGAGATCAATCCAATTATCTTCCGTCCCTTCTAAGAAGTGGTCCAGAAGTGTTTTCCTCGTACGGTATCTTTTTGTCATCTTAAAACTTAAGTCCGCATGCGGTGCAGATTATTGAGGGTAGTACACTCAGATGGGCCCAGAACATTACCGAGCTTTGCCTCCGCGCGGAAATCACATATCCTGCTTTTGGGTACAAGAGTGTGTCCACGTCAAGACTATATCCATAAAAAATGCTGGAATCGCTCTTTAGAGGCATCGTATTCCGGATTCATTGCTGCCTGTCTGCTTCATGGATTTACGACGACCACTATAATAGAAAGAAATATTTGCTACACGGAATAAACATACTTTAGCTCTAGAAGAAGAATGACTCAAGAAAAAAGCAACTCTGAACATGGTTTCAGCAGGAAAACCGGTCTTGCGAGAGTAGCGACGAGTCTTCCCACATAGTTTATTTCGAAGAGGCTCGGTTTCGTAGCCTACGGGTAGCAGGCGCATCGATCCAGGCGGATTGTTCAATCAGCCCGTTTGCTGGGGTGAAGATTGTACTTCCGCATTTGTCACTCTCGGTTATCTATGGTTAAATTCGCAGTAAATATTGGGACTACCATTTCTACGAAGCAAGTTGACCAGTAGTTTATGCCAAAATGGCCTCCAAACGCACTGCAGACTGCCGAAGAAGCTGTTTTAAACTTGCATTTGCCAGATTGACTGATTATCACGGCTATTCTTCAACAGTCAGCTCGTACTTTTGGCTAGAATAAGCTTCGACTAGCCTCTGACCGCGGCCGGATTCAGCAAGAGATCGTTGTTCTTTCTGTCCTGACTCGCTTGTTCCGTGGGTCGTTGTTTCTTGCCACCACTGGTTAATTATCCTAGCATTATGCCAAGGTAAAAGCAAAAAGGCAATCATGATCGATAATAGGTTCGTATGGTATTACGATTATTTCCGAGTAGGCTAGATCATTCCTGCTTCACCTATATGGTCTAATTCTAAATAGTTGCTACAATATTACACGATTATTATTGCGGGTTCTAGGTCATAAGGATTCAATATCCAAATCTATTATTAAATAATGACACAACGGACACAATAATAAAAATTGTCATTATAGTATAAGACCCAAATATGTAATGCTAACCTAATTGAATTTACCTACAAAACTCACATGTCAGACTTGGGGTACAAGACAACCCAACCTGAATTTCTATGACGATTTGTGTGTCAGGCGACATACCCTGCTCCACCAAGGTCCTTCACTTGTGAATATAAATGACTGCTCTTATTCTTTTCTCAGGGTACGTATAGTGGCTTTAAACTGTTTGGTTTCACTAACAGCCGGGCCTAATAGCACTGTTCTTCTCTGTTAATTTTGCCAAACAACCTTGAAAATGTATCTTTTTTGCGAATATATAATATTGCTGTTACTTTCCGTGCTATGTTCATCTGAACAATGGCCGTATAATCGCTATCATGGTATTCGGTCGATGAAAGGCCATTTCGTTCCTGAGAAGTCTCGTCCAGAATTCCAAGAAGAACCGCACAATCTTTTCGGCCAGTGGTTCCATGGCATCGTGGAAAGCAATCAAACCGAGCAGTTCCAAGATCTATTCATCAACGGTTCGATACCGCATCATGCAACATTCGATGATATCCTGAACAGCCTGAAAAAACCAAAGCACATTAGCAATGTCTCTATTCCACCTCCGCATATCCCACGTCCTTGGCCTCAAGGGCGAGCGACTACCTTGTTCTAGCACTTGCCATATCCCGTAGATCCAAGGTGCACATCTGATACATCTAAATGGTAAGATTTTCGTTGGTCAACCCTGGAATTATTTGCAGACCAATGACTAATACTAAACTCATTGATACGTAGGTGGTATCGCACCTATGATGGCTCGTGTAATTGGCTCAAGGAAGGCGAAGTGAGTGAAGGCGAGTATGGCACGGCCAAATCTCGGGACTACGGGCAGTATTACTACGCCGATGGCATCTCAAAGCCGAAGGGCCCCAACCCACGAGCCGTGAGCAACGCCTTCTTTCGCCGGAAGAAGACGCTCTATTATGAGCACACTCCACTGCTGCTTGGTTTGGTGGAGTTCATAATGCACGACGTTACTTGGTCTCAGGACTCTAGCACGGAATTCATTGATGTTCCAATGCCGGATGACGAAGATGTTTTCTATCCAAACACAACTCTCAGGATCTGGAGGACCGAGCCGCTCTCGGGAACAGGTACATCGCTCAAGAATCCTCGCGAAAACATTAACAGAGCGACTACTTGGTTAGACGTCTCCGCGCTCTATGGCAGCACTCGAGAGGTTGCGCTTGCCTTGCGCTCTTTCAGCAAGGGCAAATTGCTGACCCAGGAGCTTGAGACTCGTGGAACCAGACAAAAGGCGTCATATTTGCCATTCAACACCATCGGTGTCCCTACAAGGGCTCGACCAGGAACTGACGTGACGACCTTGTTTGCAGGCGGCGATCCACGGACAAATGAAGATTGGGTGATGATGGCCGTCCATACCCTTTTCCTAAGAGAACACAACCGCCTCTGTGACATACTAGCCGAGCAGCACCCGGAATACGACGATGAAGAGTTGTACCAGACCGTTCGAGTACTTCTCTCGGCTAAAATGTCGCTGATTGGGAATGCTTACCAAATGTCATACTTCAAAGACATGCCATGGCCGATGGACGACGGTAAGTTGGCCAAACCTACTTTGTCAACCCTGATGTTGACATATCCAGGTTTTCCGTTGTATCGCGAGATGTCTGGCAAGAATTGGCTCCAAATAAACCCAGCAAATACTTATCCCTGGCCAATCGCTACTAAAGGCGGCAAACCAACGGTTGTGAGCGCTGAAATGGCTGTGGTATATCGGTTCCATGAGTTCATCATCAAGAGCTTTCCGATCAAGGATGCCCTCAATAAGACTCTCTGGGATCAACCGCTATTCGATACCGGCTTCAACGCCACCGGATTCATCGATGCCGGTTTGGAGAATATCCTCCGAGGTGTTGCATCCACGTTTATCCCGAACTTCAAAAGTGGTGTGGATGAGTCTTTTAGATCAGCCGGGAAGTACAGAGGTTCACCTTTCGATATTGTTACGTGGTCAATCGTGCACGAAAGGGAGCAAGGACTGCCAACGTTCAACAATTATTTCCGTGCTTATAATAAGCAAAGTTGGTGTTTCTGTGCTTTCTTGATCGGCCGAACTCACGCTAAACTATCTTTCTAGGACCCAAAGCCATCGTCCCGATCCGGAAGAGATTCGAAGATTTCTCATCTGATCCGCACGTGGTTTCAGAGCTCAAAAGATTGTATCGGGCTCCGGATGATGTCGACCTCGTTGTTGGTTGTCAGCTAGATGAGTCGCTGTTTCCGCACTCGACGATACCGACCTCGTCCCTAATAATCAGTCTCTTCAGTCTGATTAGCATCAGCCATGCGATGTTGGCTTGTTGACAAACCTTGGGACTGTCATCCAAGCAACGCACTGGAAAAGCTTCTTTGGAGACCAATGCCGAAAAAGGAGTTCCCAAATTTCCGATTCTATGACACATTCTGGATGACAGAGCTGGACTTCCAAGCACATGGACAAAATTTGCTGTGGAGGATCGTGACAGAGAATAGCGAGGTCAAATGTCTGCAACGCAACCCCCTTTTCCCCATGGATCCAATTACAAATCCAATGTTGTGCACCTTACCATCACAGGGCGTCGACTACAAAGTGCTGGCCTCCACTGGTGTCGAAGTAACCCTAACCTTGATCCGACAGCATTGGGTGCAGTTACTTATGGCCTTCGTGGCTTTAGCCGCGGGCTCGATCGTGTTCAAGAAGACCAAGAAAAGAGACCCAAGTTATCCCCCTGTTCTTCAAGGACGGCCTATTTTCGGGAGAGCAGTTGACTTCAAAAATGATTCGAAGAAACTCCTCCTTGAGGGATTCCAAAAGTACGGGTCGAGTCGCTCGAAGGCTTTTGGCATTCCCCTCGCTTCTCTGACCCACTATGTTCTGTCTCAGCCAGAGGATCTCGAGATGATGCTCGACGATAATCCATATGAACTCAAGTTCAGTCTCAGAAAATTCTTTGAAGCCATCAATGTGCCAATTATCCTCCGCAAGCAAAATTTCGCATCGAATATTGTAAGTATACGATTACTCTTAAACGCTCACCAAAGTTTCTGAGCCAGAAGTAACTCGTTCAAAAGCATATAAATCTCATACGAACACACCTAAGCGATCGCGAAACCGTCCAAAACCTTGGCAACACTCTTGAGGCAGCATCCAAATACTTTTTGGAAAAGAATCCACTTGTACCAGCTGGCTCTGCATCTAAAGCTTATGAGAATTTAAGCGACTACATGGACCACTACATCACGAGTGTCAGCGCCCGGTGCATGGTTGGAGCCGACGCCTACACGCACCCCGAGTTGATCGACATGTTCTTGAAGTTTAACGTGGACGTTGACAAGACGATGGGTTTAGCATCCATGCTACCGTCCTTCCTTAACTTCATCGCCAATATCCCAATCAGCCAGAGCTACGACAAATTCCGCGACATTCTCATTCCGATTATTAAGAAGCGGCGACCAGCTCCAACACATGGACAAGACGGCTTGATGGACTTCATGCCTTTCATCCTAAAGGTGATCGACGATGATACGAGAGCCTCGGGTGAATACCAACCCACGTCGTGGATGGCATCTCAACTTGGTAATACGCACACAGTAGTACGCTAACTATTTACTTCTCGAACAGACGTCATAGCAATCATTGTCTGGATCGGCCTCCGCAACCTCCAAATCAGCGTGACTTCCACCCTCCTCGACATCATTAACGTCCCCGGCCTAGCCATCAAAGTCGCTTCCTCTCTTTCCGGAGCCAGCGTCGCCAACCTCGACACGTTCGGCCTCGACGCCACGAAAGGTACCCCTGGTCCTTCCTCCGCAGCGGTATGTTTGAGTCGATCAGGCTCTGTGGTCCCGCTACCGGCCCCGCACGCATCATCGCCTCCTCGCACCCCATCGCCCTCGCTTCCGACCCAAGCGTGCATCTCCCGCCCAAACAGGTCGCGACGCTGAGCTCGTTTTACTCGCACCGGCTGCCCGTGAACTACGGCGCCGACGCAGAGAATTATCAGGCAGAAAGATTTGTGGAACACGATCCGGACATCGGAAGCACGCGGTTCATCACATGGGGACTTAAGGGTCCGCATGCTTGTCCAGGCAGGTGGTTCACGCAGGAGGCGATTTGCATCATGGTGAAGGCGTTGTTGGAGGAATATGAGTTTTCTCCGGAGAGCATTATTGCGGACGAGGAGAAGTATATCTATCATGCAGGAGTGGTCACGAGGAAGGAGGTTCCTATAGTTGTGAGAAGAACAACACCCTGACTATGAGGTGCAATAGAGGCTTGTTGCTTGATCAAGCTGGAAAATCCGTTGGAAAGGAACGCTTGAACGTTGAGTGTGGGGAACTTGAGGGTAATTCGGCAACAGGGTCAACTTCATTCCAGGCACGACCAGCACTGCCTATAACGCTGGCAGATGAACATGGTGTCACTAGCTGTTCGTCCGTAGTGTTGTGACTCGCCGACAAAATTCAAATGCTCGATGCTAATATTGCTTTCCTCACGCCTAGGAAAAGGTCGTAATTCAACTTGCGACGTTTCTTTAGTATTCTGATCTAATGCAGAATGAACTTTGTAGTATATTATTTAGCTTAATCAAGCACTGTTGCTACACTCGACCATGTCCTACTCAAGCTATTATGCTCGTCGGTCACTTCCACGGCCTATACCAGTAGTAGTACCTGGTTTCTGCGAGTCACCCATCCACCCTGCAGGTAGAAGGTTCTAGATTCCCAGCAAACCATGTCATAAAATAGAACCCCCAATAGAAAATGATATATTCATCGCTTTTAAACAAGGCCAGGCAACATCGAACGTGCAACCTCGAACCCATAAACCGCTCCAACAACTAAAGTACAATCCACAGAGATACAAACCAAAACCCAGAGAGAGCACAGCACGAATAATGAAAAATGTAATATACGGCTTTGAAATATCTTGCCAACGCCAGAGGTATGTAGAAAAACATGGATAGAAAGGAATAGAAAGAAACCAGCAATGTTCAATCCCATCTCAACAAACTCAATCCTCCTCCATATCATCATCGCCAAAGAGATCGTCCTCGTCGCCTTCCGCTGCAGCAGCGGGAGCAGGAGCAGTCTTTTCAACGACCTCTTCCTCCTCCTCCTCTTCTTCGTCATCGTCATCTTCAATCCGACGCGAGGCCTTACCACGTCTCCGCGGCGCAGCAGCCTCCTCCTGTGCATCCTCCTCATCGCCGCCGAAAAGATCATCGTCATCACCCCCCTTCTCCGGCGATGCAGATCCAGGCACAACACCCTCCTCTTCATCCTCCTCATCCGAATCAACCACAACCTCCGAACTCTTATACTTGCTCTGCGCCTTCCCACCACTCCGCCTCTCCAGACGACGCTTCTTCTTCGGCGCGGCCTCGCTCTCACTCCCGCCCGCCTCACTACCAACACCAGGATCCTCATCATCCGCCGCAACAAAGTCATCCTTCTTCTTGCGCTTGCTAGGCTTCTTCTTTGTCCGCTTAACGCGCTCCCCATCACTACCCTCCGTCATCAACTCTGCGTCTTCACGGGCTTGTTCGCGCTCCGTGCGCTCCGCAGCCTGACGCTGCGCCTCTTCGACCATTTGCGCGCGCTCGGCGGCGATCTTGCGCTTACGCTCGGCTTCGACTTCCTGCGCCTTGCGGACTTGGTCCTCGCGGGCGGCGATGGCCGCAGCGCGGGCTTCGCGTGCTTCGCGCAGTTTAGCCGCGTTCTTCTCTTCGTATTCTTTCTGGCTTTGCAGGGCGCGGTCTAGCTGTTTGGCGATTGTGCGGCCCATGTTGGCGCGTTGCTCGAGGGCGCTGGCTGGGTAGGGCGGGTTCTTTTCTTTGGAGAGGCGGTCGAAGGTGTCGATGGCTTCTTTGAGGCCTTCGGCGGCTTCTTCGACGTCTTGGAGGGTCTTTTGGGTTGGGGCGAGACTATATGCTAGCGAGGCGATTTGGTTCTGGACGAAGGAGACGTTGAACTGGAGGTGGAGGGCGTCTGGGGAGACGGCGTGCGCGCGCTGGGCGTATTCCAGGGCTGTTTTCATGGCTTGCAGGCTGCCTTCTTGCTTGGCTTTTAGTTGCCAGACTCGGCCCAGGCAGGCGAGGATTTGGACGTCGCGGGCGCGATCCTTGGCTAGTGCCGCTTCGTAGTGCTCGATTGAGCGCGAGTATTGGCGTAGCTCGCCGTAGACGTGGCCCAAGTTCAGATACACGCTGGGGTCCTTGATTGTGTCGCGGACACGGGCGAGAATCTGCACTGCGCTGCTGTGGTCTTTCTTGTCGTCGATGAGGGCAATGGCGACACCCTGGGCAGCGTAGGCGTTCCTGGGATCCAGCTGTAGAGCCTTGTCGAAGAATTCTACTGCGCGCTGGTACATCTTGCGACGCTTTTCCTTCTCCTGGTCGGTGTCGCGGCGCATATCACGAGCCACGAGGAGGTGGACGTTACCCATACCTGTCAGCGCGTACCGGTCATGCTTGTCATGATATTGCAAGGTATGCTTGTAGTGCCGCTGTTCAGGGTCCTCGTTGATGTTGGAGACGCGCTTCTTCGACTTGCTCAGGTACCAGCCGAAGAGAGAGCGGACCTCTAGGTTTGAGGAGTCGTTCTCGTACAGCTTGGCGATCTTCTTGGGGCCCTCGTCCGCAGGGCTCTGACGCAGAGCAATGTAGGTCAAGCGTGCGCTGGCTTCAGTGTAATCGCTGTGGCGCTCCAGCAGACCCTCGTAGACCTTCTTGGCCTCATCCCACATATCAGCAGCCTCGTACGTACGACCCAGGTTATAGCTGATCGTGGTGACAAGCGCATCATTATCGGTACCGTCTTCCCGTTCTGAAGACTGCACGCAGGCGTTCAAAGCAGACTGGAACATGCCCCGAGCCAAGGCAATCTTCTCACTCTGATACAAGAAACAGCCCATGTTGTTGAGAAGTTGCGGGGGCAGGCTCTCCCGCAAAGCAGACTTCAACTGATCCTCGTCCTCGATATCTGGCCGCTCACTCTCGGGAATACTAGCAATCTGCAGCTCCTCCAGCTGCGTCAAGCATTGCATGCTCTTTTCCGGCGCCGAGCTCTCATAAAGCCGGGCCAAATAGACCAGCACTGATTCATCCGGTGCGAGCATTTGTTTCTCATCCTTCCACATCGAGCGGACAGACTCGAGGAGCGTGATGGCCCGCTTAGTCTCGGTTGACTTGTCTTCCTTGCTACCCGCGCGTTGCGCGGCGAACACTTCCTCCGCATGCAGAGCACCCAGCAACATCATGGCCTCGGCGTTCTTGGAACTCTGCACAATCTTCTCCAGCCGGAACTTAGCACCGTCAAAGTCCTTGTTGGTGACTTGCATCTGCACGGCACCGAATTTGGCCGGCAGATAGCCCTTGTCACCGCCGCCACGAGCCTGGTCGGAGCGGTTGTAGAACTCTGTTGCGCGGGCCGCATCGCCCTCGTAATGCGATTTCCGTCCGAGAAGGTACCAGCCGTCACTGGCAATGGGCATCACATCTGTCTGCTCAATGGCTTTGCGAGCCAGAGTTTCGACCGTCGGGTATGCCTTGCGGAGGAGGAAGTATCCACCGAACAGCGCGCAGGTCATGGGGTATTCCTTGTCAAGCTTAAACGCCTTTTGAGTGTACTGTGTCATGGCCATCTTGTACAAAGAACCGAACTTGGGATCCGTAGTCGAGCGACGGGAGCTGTCGTGGAGGTAGTAAACGGCGAGGAGGACATTGGCAACCTTGGAATCAGGGTTCTACCGTAAACATGACACGGTTAGCTAAGAAAAATGCATGAGTGCACATAACATTGAAACATACCAGAGACAGCGAACGCTCCCAAGCAACCTTAGCCTGATCCTTGAAACCCAACTGCCACAAGCAGCAACCCAGACCAATTCGGGGATCGGGATCCGTCAGGTTCGGCACCTGCATCAGGACCTTCTGGTAATCAGCCATAGCATCCGCATATCGCCCCAGCATATACAGCGCACGAGCGCGACCCAGGATAGCCATGATATTACGCCCACCAAAGGCCTTGGAAGATTCCTCGAAACATTTCAACGCCTGCCGCAGCGACTCCACTCGATCAGACGTATCAACCGTACCGGGGCGTACCGCGCGAGGCGGATGCAACGACGCGCGGAGAAGACACAAAACACCACGGGCCAGGAACAGAGGCGGGTACGCCGGGTTCAAGCGAGAAGCCTCATTCAGAATCGACGTGGCCTGCTGCAGATAATAGTCCTTGGTCTTGGCTTCAGTGTACAGCTCTCCCTCCGGCGCGACACGCGGTGCCTGTCGACTCTTCAGCATGAGCAGCCAGCAAATCCAGCCCAAAAGTCCGAGTTTCTCCTTTGTCGCGCCATGGGCGACGGAAGAGAGACCCTTTTGCAGGATATCAAGCGCATGGTCGAGTTGTTTTCGCTTGGCGTAGGCCAGAGCAATGATGACCCAGAAGTTCTTTGCGGCGCGCTCGTTCTCGAGCAGTGTGCATAGTTCGGTCGGGTCTTCTGGGAGATCGAGGAGACTGACTTCGACTTCGCTGTCGAAACTGGAGGCCGGGATGTCGATGGCGTCGGGGATGTCGGAGAAGCGGAGGGTGGTGGTGGTTGTGGCGGTCTCGCCGTTCAGGCCATTGGCGTGGCCATTCTCGAGAGAGGCCATGGCGGTGGGGACAGCGCACCGGGTAGGATGGTGCGAGCGAGGTGAGAAGGAGAAGGCTGAAGAGGACGGGTGGTGGTTCGTGTCTCGCTTTCTCGAAGATGCGGGATTGCGACTGGAGGTGATGAAAGGGTCGTGGATGGAGGGACTCCCTCTTAACTCATGGTCAAGTGAGATGCACCCTTGACTTGATGAAATTGACGGGAAGACGTCTTGCGCCGGTTCACTTGAGGGTTGAAAGGCGGGTTGCCAGGATCAACGCGCAAGTGAATCGGAGGAGCTTCGTTTCAAGGTGCTGGTCAGTTGAGAATTGGAGGCTTTGAGGGTGGCTGGTGCGGACTGCACCGCCACAGTGCCACCCAGCACCAATAGGTTCAACCTATACTTGGGCTAAATGAGTATATCTACAATACATCATAACCATAGAAACGATTATTAACGCTGGCCATAAATCAACCATAAATGAGGTATTTCGTTCAATATCCATGCAAAAAGCTATGTATTAAAGCTATTTTCCAAGTCTTGTCATAATATCATGCTCCAAACCAACCAAAGACCGAGAGGAGTGGCTGCTACAAGATTCCAAACTCACAAAACTAGTGAGAACATGTGCAAATGAACCTGCAAAGAAATGCAAGACCAAGCAGAACAATGAAGATCTGGATAATATCACTCCAATGGTGCAATCGGAGGTAAGACTCTACATAACCACCGGAGATGGCCACTTTCTGCTCCTCGGTAGCGTTCTTAGCCTCGATGGAGCCGGCCAGGTCGGAAGGGAAGCGCCCGGTTTCAAAGTAGTGATTCATCAGCTCGTCTTTTTCGGCCCAGCGAGCGCGAAGCCATTCGTCAAATTCCTTTTGGTCGTCGAGGGGGATGTCTGCGACGGCGAAGCGTCTCCAGTGCATGTTGACAGAGGTTGGTGGGCGGCCGCGCACGTATGTAGAGCGGAGGGTGAAGTACTTGTCAGGATAGATACCCTTCCTGTAGGATAGAAGTACATATTCAAGTCAGCGATCAAAGGTAACGTATATTTCTTTGGCTGCGACGGTGGAGTGCGGAACATACGCTGGACCCTCGTAGGCAATCGTACTGTCGTACACGTAGTCGACGGTTCCCCGTAGCTGCTGCAGACAGAAGAACAGACCCGTCGAGCGAGGTAAAATCATATGGTTGAACGAGTCATAGCCCTGCTTCTTACCAAACTCATCACTCCGCCGCTTAGTATTGAGGGACAAATTCGTGCCCTCGGGAAAGATCATTAGCCACATCGGGTCAAATTGCGACTTGCTAGACTTGGAGCCTGATACTCTCGTCTTCAACTTTTCCAACCGATGTTGAAGGCGGGGCTTATCAGACTCCCATTTCCGGGCCATGAAAATAAACCCGTAGAACATCATGCCCTGGCCCATGACGGGGATATACTTGAGTGACTCTTTCAAGATGATAAAGATACGGCCATGCATGACATTTGTGTAGGCGATCCACCATAGATAAATCCAATCGGTATAGACTTGGTGATTAGCGATCAGGACCAGTCGCTCTGGGAACTGGGTCCGCAGCATCCCATCCTCGGACAGATGCACCTGGCCCCGGACGCTCTCGTCTCCGCTGACCCGGAATAGGGTCGGGCAACCATACTCCGTCAGAGCGGTGATTGTCAGGCTAAAGTTCTGTTTTGTATAAGCCATGTACGTGTAGTACCAGTTCTTGTTAATCAGGTACAGCGGGGCACCGATGAGCTGAGTGACGAAGATGACGACGCAGCAGCAGTCGAACCAGGCCGCCATGGCCAGGGAGCGGGCGATTTGCATAGGGATGCCATGTTTGAGACGTGGCTCGACGGGGGGTTTGGTGGAGTGTTTTTGAAGCTCACTCGTGTCCTGGCGGGGGAGAGGCTTGCGCTGGCGAACCTCGGCTGCACTCATGGTGGTAGAATGAGCGCGAGAAGAGGGAGCTAGTCGGTCGCTGGTCTGGCTAGAGTGGATGGAATCTGGAATAAGGATATTCGAAGGAGCTGGAGAGCTATCAAGCAACTCCAGGGAGTTGCAGAGCCCAGCTCACCAGGGTTTGTGTCTTGGCTGCTTAGCGGGATGCGGCGGATGGGGGATCGACGCAGCGGGCGATGACTGGGTTTGTCTTGGATAAGGGCGGGTGGTCGCAAAGCAGGCGAGACTAGGGAGGAGAAAAATGGCGGGAGATAGGGATAGAGCAAAGAGAAGCGGTTATTGAACCTCCATGGCTTTGGAAGTGTTGGTCTCGGAGAGTTTGTGGAAGGTAGTCGGGCTGAGCGATCTCGTGGACCGTTCGCAGGCGAGAGCTTATCACGTCACAGGTGGGAAGGGAAGCTCCTGGTGGGGCGTGGTCTGGCCGAGCCACACACCAGTTGCTTCTTTGTTCTCGGATACGTAAACACGCACAACTGGTTGGGCAGCGCCGCGAATATCAGGATCAGCCCGTCTGATCTATGGCCATAATCAACTTCAGCTTCTGGTAAGACTGTGATGGCCAAGTCTCGAGATCCCCTGCCTGTTGCTATCACATGATCCGCTTCGCTGTGACCTGGTCATCCACCGCTTATCGCTTGTAGACTCCGTACGTGTGAGGCAGACGCGCTTATTGTGTACCTAATAAAGTACTAGAATTGAAGGATCCTAGGCGGTGGAAAGGTGGCTTTTGAATGGAATGAAATTGCTGCTCCGTGGCGCATTTATACCCCCTGCTTGGGCTGAAAGGACTCGAGGACTATACTGGTTTTGGGTAGAGACAAAGCTTCCTCTCTCGCCAAGTGCCGATACATACTTGACATGGTTGATAGAGAGATCAGTGATGAAGGAAATGATAGGTAGGGAATAATACCAGGCAATCATGATCACTTGTATATAGACTTGCCCCCTTTTTGCTGGGCCGTCGAAGCCTTGGCATCATGGGACGCATGGAGTCGCTTTCATCTCTTCATATTATCGTTCAATCTTTTTTTTATTTAACTACAAAGTAGGATTCTACTGTCATTTACTGTAGCAGTTAGTATGCTGTCGCAAGTTGAATGCTTTTATTTTCTTTATACTTTGACAACCAAGATCGCGAGATCATAGTTGGTGGAATGGGGGCTGTATCGACTTTGACTTCTATTATATTCGCTAAAATAACGGTTCTCATCTATACGGAGATGAGTTGAATGTAGAGCGAAACAAAGAATCCGAACCCGTTAGGTTACCCTTAATGGTTAGAGTACAACGCCTAAGGTCACATGCGGCTCATTGGGTGCAGAGCAGGAGAGGGAGCCCTAAGGAGGAGCACAGGCCGTTACTCTAGGTTCAGCTGAGCACAACCTGAGCGTAAGACACCTCGATAAAACGCAACACGCTAGCCCCGTCTACGTGACACTCTTGTTCTTTGGATTGCCCCCAACGTCTCATCGAAAATGCAGGGCATTAATAACCTGACCCTTCATTTTTGGTATACTTGCCGCTATTCATTGCGCCTCGATGGAGCCTAATGGTTAACCACCCAATTAATCGATCAATTAATCTGTATGCTCCTGGGAACCCTTGTCTATGGTTGTATCGTCTCCTGGGCAGGCATGGAGGGAGTACTAACGTATTTCCCGCATGACCAAGTCACCCAGTTGAGCGGGTCACCCCAAAACTCCATACTAAACGCGATTTTTTAAGTCATAATATATCAACAACGAGAATATGATTTTGCTTGATTCTAAGTATACTATGATCTCCTAATATAATAATTAGTATAGCATAGCTTATATATTCAGAAAATGATTATTTACATATCTTACCAAAAATACGCTCCGATCGAGCGATGTAGATATATATATCCATAGTATCACACCCTAAAATATTTCTCGAGCTTATAAAAATATCTAGTAGGATATATTTCATACTGAGCTACCATAAGATCATATAATCAGCCTTAAGCGTTGAAATTTGAAGCTGTGAAATATTGCATTTAGTATGGTGTTTTGGGGTGACCCGCTCAACTGGGTGACCCGGTCATGCGGGAAATACGTTAGTCTTAGGGCAATTACGTGAATCTACTAAGAGGCCGCAAGTCTTACTCTGGGCAAAGCTCCACCAGGAAAAGTCTGTTCCGGATGTAATAGTGAAGCACAACTTCTCCCTACATTGACCACGCGCACCGGAACGCATATTTGACCAACCGCCATCTCCCACGGGCTGAGAAGCCCCCGAAAAGAGATTGCTCCTAGGAACCCGCTGGATAATTGATTGGTTGATTGGTTTGTAGACTGTTCCAGCCGAGGAACCCGCTGGATATTCCTAGGAGCCCATCAGAATCCACGCCATTTTGTGGTCGCGTGTAAGCTATCCAATTAACTCGCTCATAATTATAATCAATTCAGGTTCCCAGGTACTCAAACGTATGTAGTAGGCTGGGGTGCCAAGAAACAGTATGGGGTGCCATTTCACCGTGCCAAGAAACGGATCAGGATGCCAAGAAACAGCATAGGGTACCAAGATACGGGCCGAACCTAGTTTCCTACCGGAGCAGTGAGCTCGCGGGCTTTTTCTAGGCCCCTGGCCTACAGTGTACGCACTAGCCACGAGCGAACTTGTGTAGATCAATACCATGCATCACACTGCACCAGATCATTAAGCTCGAATTCCACCTCCCGCCCTTGGGCCTCAAGCTCCAGATACCCGGGCGCACTCTTCTCGATAATCTGCACCCACAGGTCCGGATGTCCGTAACCCACGTCCATGAACTTGTTGCTTTGTCGGGTTGACTCTAAGAGCTCGAGAATAGGACGGTCCATGTCCAAGCTATCCACACCAATACAGAATCCTTGTCAGAATATAAAAAAAGAGCGAGAAACCTAGGGAAGAGAACGTACGGTTCATTGATCCGCGGCGGACCCCCAATCGATGATTCAGCCAAGTCCGCGACCCGACGACCCATCTCGCCGAAGAGAACCACCTGGCCTATATTCCAGGGTCGACGGAGGATCGAGTCGCGGACTTGTCCGTTGGAGCCAAACTCTACTATAGCCATCTGCCCTGTGGCTAGCCCTGGTGCGTCGATCACGTACCAACTGTAGTCCGGCCCGTCGGCGAACACCACCGTGCCTCGCCGAGTCATCGAGAGGGCATGGAAATCTGCTTGGTTAAGGTACAACGCAGGAAGGACCTCGCTAAGCGCGGTAGGCGCAGCGAGGTCTAGCAGCTCCGGAATGTGGCAGCGGGGGGCGTAGCCAGCACCCGCTGTTTCAAAGGGATGTGTCCCCCCCAATAGTCCTGGTGGACGTATAGCAGGATCAGGAACTTCACGAGGTGGATATAGTTGCGGGGATGGGCCTGCCGGTCTACGGATGGCAGACACAGGAAGCGCTTGTCCGGTCGTCGGGCTAGCTGTGAGAGCAACGAGGCCGGGTAGTCGAGAGCTGAGTCGTATGCTGGGGCACGACTATGGTACGACTGTGCTAGTTATACATTAGTTCTCATTTTCGGGTCGGGGGAGCGCGAGAACAGGGGAAAGAGCGTCGAAAATAGGCTATACAGACCTCGCGGAATTCCTGACTGGCGGTGGCCCATTTCTCGACAAGGGTTCGCCGTTGACGTAACCCATCTTCGGGGGTTGAGGTTGGCTGGGATTCTTCCTGCAGTGATCTGAGCGCTAATGCCATATATCATAATTAAACGACCGTAGTTCCATAGGCTTCCCTACCCGTACGAATAACAACCACCCTTTTACCTCTTCCGGGAGTTCTGTTCGGGATATATCCGTCGGCTCTAGGCGGACCTTGGCAATGCCCGCCGGCCAAGATGCTTGCGATCTCGGCTGCGACATTCCTTGAGTCAAGAATTTGTTTTCGTGGAGGAAGTCAACTAGACGAGTAGGGAGGCGGGAGCTTCCACGCAGAAAAAATGAAAAAGAGTCCGCAACCCGAAGCGGTGAAACATGACTTGTCCCTATCTATGTGATGCAGACGGCACATCATGCACGATTCTGGACGGCACGAGTAATTCTCCTAGCAAACGCGCGACCACAGGTCAATGCATGCACTACCCGGCTATGTACTACAACTGTGAATGGTTCCCAAATAAGGACATCCCGAATCTTGACACCGCCACTCAAAACACGATGCCATTTTACAGGGCGTCAGGTAAGATTTCCATTGATCGCTCTTTCGCAGTCGTTATGCTAACAGTCGGCATTAGGAATCTGCATAAATATCCAGAATTACTTGGAAAGCTACGCCTCTCAGTGGTCGCCTACCTACATGGGTGCCAGTTTCATGCGTCTGAGATATAAAAGGGATAGTTTGAACACTAATCGGGCCCTGTCTTGTGGAGTAAGTGGGACCGGGAATATGGCTGCCCACTGTGCCGAGCTTAAACTGTCGCTCTGGCCTCTTGCGGTTCAACAGGCAGGATCGTCGAACGCTCTAGGAATGTACGGGTGGAGTGATTCTATGTCCTGCGATGAATTCCCGTGTATGTACTTTGCTTTCCAGTGCCCTTGGATCTGTGCTAACAAGGATTATGAAACCTGGTAGTCAATTCGTAAGTGATGACCGTCCTCACTCGCTGGGATCGCATGATACTAACTATAGATGAATATTAGCTCCGAAGAAGGTGGGACCGGTGCCGTGAGTCCTCCCAAGACCAAGTTTCTTCGAAATTAGGTCGGCTGACCATGTCTTTCTAGAGTACTGCCTGCACGCCATAGGAACAGCAAAACTACCAGGGCTATATTACCTAGAGAGTTACTTTCATCCAGGATAAGGTCAGTCCTTATTGACTCCCTCTGTCTCCCTGTATCCCTTTTTGATGGTGGGGCAGGCTTGAGCTAACGGCGATATCTCCCATTTCCCTTCTATATAGACTAACAACAACAAACAGTAGCAGATTAAGCTATAGAACGGTCCCCTTCCACGCCATTACACAGTAAACCTGTTCGATAGCACCAACAACCCCACAGGCACATTCCTCGGAACCTTCGCGGGCTACCTCGTGGGCAATCAGAACCTCATCCGGGCGCGCATCGACGGCGGCGTCAACACCTTTGGCAGCAACAGTGTCTACACTTTGTCCTCGGGCTCGTACAACGCCCTCTGCCACGTTGATGACGGCTATCAGACCAGAACGACCGCCATGGGGGTTGACTACATCAAGCTAATATTGTATAATGTTGTGTATGGCGATTCGACGGGGGCCGATCTCACCAAACGAGACGGGAGTATGGCGACGATGACTCGTACACGGGTCGTCCGGAGATACATCCTCGATTCTGGCAGGTGGAAGGTGCGTGGTTGCTTTCATTTGCTTGTTTTTTGTTGGTATTCAATTTCGGTGTTCTTGGTTTGCTAACGGTCAACAGAGCTTCGCATTCCCACGAATTGGCAGGACTATGTTATTCTCATGCGGCGGGATAGCTCGGACGAACTTGCCCAAGAGAATAACGGCAAAGCTGATGGTTGGAAGTGGGATAATATAGATTCAGTCGCTTTTACTCTTTTGAGTGACGATGGTCAGCCTGCCTCAGGTTCACACAATACATCCGCAACATTGGCCACCCGAGCCGGAGACGAAGATGAGGGAAATGGTGCACATCGGTCGAGGTCCGCATCGAGGAATCATTACGGACAGTATTTCCACCGACACGCCCATAGACATCACTAAAGGAGAGCCTGGTGTGCCGAGCAGGTAGTGTGCTTGCTACAAGGCTCGTTCTCCCTTTCGCAATTGTAGGAGATCAAATTTTCGTCAAGTATAGCAGTAGTATCGCTCCCAGAGAAAAAGAGTCTTGAGGATATTATTTAAAAGATGATTCAAGGCTCATTTATACCTTTGCCCCATGATTTACGCGCTGGGACTGTCCTTGTGTAGGTACATGTACTATATGAAGTTTCGCTAGGCCTAATTTGGCTACCGCCGTGGTGTCGGGTGGGTCAGGGAAAAGACCACGATTCTCGCTCCAAAAGCCACGCACAATCATGTACATACTACAGTATGCGGTTGCTTATTCGAGTCTAGCTTCCTCGAGAATATTCATGCGCGGGTTTACTACTGGAGTAGGTCCGAGTGTCGAATTACTAGTTAACGTACTACTTGGCACACTTCCATTATCCATCTGGGGTCATTGCCTTCAATGATCTTACTGTACTACTATCCTTCTCATGGACTGTATTCCCGATGCTCTTCTCGGCCTGTTCCAGAACGCCCGCCGAGCCGTGGATCCAGCGCCCCTCCATGAAACCGCGCCTGGTGATTGGCGATACTTGCGTTTCCCATAGATTGAATCTCTGGGTCCCAGGGTCGCGAACACAACGTGAACCCAATTTAAGATCATTAAATTCTTGGGATCCAGGGGTAGTATTCAGCAAGAAGAATCATAGGTTAATAAGTACCCAAGGGTAGCATACCAGGAGCAGGGGCACGGGTCCCATCACGAACGTCTGCTCCCCCCACAAAAGTACTCCTGTCCTCTGTAACACTGTCCAGTGCTGTACACTGTCGAAGTACTGTAGTCCTCGCGAGTGTGTGTTGTCCTGCTTCCATTCCTCCAGTCCCTTTTTTCCATTCTTTCCCAGCGCTTCCAAAGTCACCGCCGTCGTCCACCCACCACCACCACATCAACCCCCTTAATCCTCCTCCTTTTTGTTCCCCTCCCCCCACTACCAGATTGAGCCTCGTCAATTCTTCTCCTTCACCTTATTTTCTCCCTTTTTTTTTTTGCTCTCTTCCTCACCGTGAGAGAGACCGCTCCTTATTCCTCTGGTCGCTGCGCCCGCTCTTCTGCCTACTCGAACAGGTAAGCGACTTCCGCCCCAGCACCACTGTCCCGCCCCTCTCCCCCCCCCCTCCCCCCGTCACCGCTCGCCCTCGTGTCTCCTGGCGGGCCAAACGCCTGGTGCTTCCACCCTTTCTCTCCTCTTCCTGGGCATTTCCGATCGCCAAACCTGACCCTTTCACCCGTTGTGCGAAATAGGAGCCAGATAGCTTTCGAGTGGCCGCAGGAGGTCTCGGCGCGCCCAATTCCATTGCCTCTTTCATTCGCGTCCCTGATTCCTGATTCCTGAAAGATGGCCTCGTACGGCAAGTAAGTGGTGTCTTCCCACCCCCCCCCCCCCCCCCCCAGGGTCCTTCCACCCACCAATCGCCGACTCCTGCTTCGGTCCAAATGAGACTCCTCGCTGTTAGTCTCATGAACCCAACCCAATACTGATCGTCTCTCGTTGCGCCTCTCTAGTAGCACCATGTACACCCCGGACCAGTTCATGAATCCGGGGCCGGCACCCCGCCCGCCAACTGATCGTCCCAAGTTGACGCTCCCCATCAACAACAATGTCGCTACCTCCTTCAGTCAAATGTCGCTGAATTCTCCCAGTACACCCGGTCCCGGTGGCAATCTCTCGCTGTTCCCCAATACTAGCACCCCCAGCTTGGCCCGCGCCCAGACGGGCGGGAGCGGCGGTCTTCAGATCATCAAAGAAGGCTACGTGCGATGCAAGGAAGACAAGTTCTTGGCCACCTGGAATCAGCGTTACCTGGTCCTTCGGGACTTCAAGATTGACTTTTTAAAGAGCGAATCCGGCAAAGTGGTACTCTCGTTCCCCCTCTCGACCGTCACCGCCGTCGCACGCTCGGAGGAATCCAAAATGGCCTTTGAAGTCACTCGCCTGGCGAACCCCAAGGACGCCGCTTCCAAGGCCGCCTTGATCACTCGCGATGTCCCCACCAAAACAATTACTTGTGAGGTCAAGTCTGATGATGAAATCTACGAGTGGATTGATAAGATCTACGAGCGCTGCCCCGGCATGGGCGGTGTCAGTAACCCGACCAACTTCAGCCACCGAGTCCATGTCGGCTTCGACCCGCAGACCGGCGCTTTCGTGGGCTTGCCTCCAGAATGGGAGAAGCTGCTGACCGCTTCCGCCATTACCAAGGAGGATTACAAGAAGAACCCCCAGGCTGTGATTGAGGTCCTCGAGTTCTACTCGGATATCAAGATGCGGGAACAAAATCCGCAATACTATGCGGGTATGTCTGGTCCTGGAGGAGCGCAGCCCAAGCCTCTGGGTAGCAATACAGTGGGCAACTCGATTGCTCCCCCTCGCCCTCCTCCACCAGGCCCTCTGCAGCGCCTTGACAGCGGCCAGTCAAAGTCTTCTATGGATAGCTCGATGCGTTCTGCAACATCTTCTCCCGGCCAGCAAGGTCCGGAATACGACCGTGCGGCTGAACAGCAGCAACAACTTGAACGCATGAAGCAGATGGCGGAGCAAGAACGTCGCCGCTTGGAAGAGGAGCAGCGCCGTAAGGAAGATGCCGCATACAACGCATCCCTTCCCCAGACTCGTGTTCCATTGGCCAAGCAGGAGATTGGTGGCTATGGCGGTTCAGATTCATCCATGAATAGCCGCTATCAGCCCAGTCGTCCTGCTCCCCAGGCACCCGGCTCTGGATCTCGCGCCCCTGGAGGTCAACCGCTTACTGCTCAGCGACCCGCGCCCGCGCCTCCTTCGCAGAGCCCCTACGGACAAGGTCCTCCCCGCACTCCTGCTGGCGGCAACTCCCGAGGCGACGAGAGCCAAGGGTCACCCTCCCGCTATGCTCCTAATGACCCTCGTTCACAGGCTTCGTCCAGCCGCCAGCCCCAGAGTAATGGCAGCAAGGGCCAGCAAGGTCCTCCCCCGAGCCGTCTGCCCGCTCCAGTCCAGGCTGTGAAGCCACTGAACATTGCCAACAAGCAGACCGCTCCCAAGCAGCAGGCTGTTCCCGATGGCGTTCGCGCGGCCGAGGCGGCCCTGACCAAAAGCCCGAGCCGAGCAGCAAGAAGGAGGTGCGCATGTCAGCTATGTCTGAGAATGAGGTTATGGATCGTCTGCGGTCTGTGGTGTCCAAGGACAACCCCAACGAATCGTATAGCAAACAGCGTAAGATTGGTCAGGGTGCATCTGGATCCGTGTATGTGGCTCGGGTTAAGGAGCATGCGACTTCGCCCGTCGCCCACGAGCTGTACCGACAGTACGGCCCTCGATGCCAGGTGGCTATCAAGCAGATGGATCTGCGGAGCCAGCCTCGTAAGGAGCTGATTGTGAATGAAATTATCGTCATGAAGGATAGCCAGCATGCCAACATTGTCAACTTTTTGGATTCGTTCTTGCAGGAGTCGAGCAATGAGCTTTGGGTGGTTATGGAATTCATGGAGGGTGGTGCTTTGACAGACGTCATTGACAACAACCAAGTGATTACGGAGAACCAAATTGCGACAATTTGCCACGAGGTACGACATTTCCTACTCATCTTGTTACTACAAAAGTTGACTAACACTTCTACAGACCTGCAAGGGACTAGCTCATCTGCACAGCCAGAACATCATCCACCGTGATATCAAGAGTGACAACGTCCTACTCGACCGAGTTGGCCATGTCAAGATCACCGACTTTGGTTTCTGTGCCAAGCTGACCGAGTCGAAGAGCAAGCGCGCCACCATGGTCGGTACGCCTTATTGGATGGCGCCCGAGGTGGTCAAGCAGAAGGAGTACGGCCCTAAGGTTGATTGCTGGTCTTTGGGTATCATGGCTATTGAGATGATCGAGTCTGAGCCTCCATACCTGAACGAGGAACCTCTCAAGGCCCTGTACCTGATCGCCACCAACGGCACACCACGTCTGAAGAAGCCAGAGAAACTGAGCAAGGAGCTCAAGGCGTTCTTGAGCGTGTGTCTCTGCGTGGACGTCCGTAGCCGTGCTACCGCCGATGAGCTGTTGGCTCACGAGTTCCTTCAGACTGGTTGCAGCCTTGCCAGTCTGGCCGAGCTGCTACGCTGGAAGAAGGCCAACGGGCAATAAATGATATGATCAACCGTTCTCCGCCTCCTTTCATCCTATATCACCAGGAGCTCCCTCCACTTTTCTCTCTCTGCTCACGATATGCTCCACCACCTCCAACTTCCGTCTATATCAAAACATACCATCCTCGAACCTCTTCCACCCCGTCTACGAAGTTGATTGACCACCTTGAAGATCTGTTCTGCGCACATATGGGTCCAATTTAACGCCTCTCCGGTTTAGACACGTTCCTTCTTCTGTTCTCACGAAACCCGCATCGGCGCTCTGCATCATGTCTCCCCAATTCCCGTACTTTCTTGCCCTCGATTTAAGCTTACGCTGTGCTGTGTCCGTCTCATACCTCGTTTGCTCCCCCCCCCCCCCCCCAATTCCATCCATTCCGCACTATACACACCACGGCGTGGGCCATTGGCGTTTATCATTGAATTTCACTTCTGCGTCGTGCTTCTTTCTCCGTTTCTGTTTCTATTTATGTTTCTGTTCGTGCCTCCATTTTCATTTTCCAGTACTGTCTACTTTTCGCGTCTATGATAATCCCCTCCTCACTTTGAGTTGACTTGCACAAAAGAGTACATTTTTTTTTTCCTACACACATTGACTTGATTCCGTCAAACTGCCCGCCTCATCTCCATTACCATGAATACCGGAGCTGAATGAATATCCCGCTGAACATGGCGCTGTATCGTGTATGGAGTATCGTCTTGATCTGGCCTGGCCCGTTCACCTTGTCTTCAACTTAAATAGTGGGTGTAGTCTGAGCGTTTCGTCTCGTCTCTAGCTTTTTGGGAACGGGTTGAGGCTAGGTAGAGGTTCGTTTCTTGCTGGTCTTGTGCTAGATTGTTATGATGTGACGATGTGATGGAATTAACCCCTGGCGTATTTTCTTGTCCCTGCACTGTGTGTGATTCAGTCGATTAATTTGATTCTGGATGGAATGGGATGCTCTTCCTCCGTTGGTCTACCATGGTCTTGTCTTGTCTTGATGTATTGAGGAGGGGTGTTCAATTCGGGGCGCCATTGAATATAGGACAATACCCCCAAGGCTGATTTATGGGGTGGATGGATGGTGTATGGAATTTGATTAATTGTTCAAATGCTCATGGGGACTGGTACTCGGTAATATAGGTACTTTCCGTATGTATTCTCAGAAGTTCGAAAATGAGGCTGAAAGTAGTACAGTAAGGACACGGAGCCGCGCACGCAAATACGAGGGCGGGGGTTTCATGTCCTGCCGTCTATAGGTATGTACAGTACACTACTGGTCGGTTGGTCACCTGATGAGGGGCTCAAATGGATGAGCTACCTAGAGACGGATGATCTCTACGTAACTCAATTCTATCAACATAATTAGTATCAAATGTTCGAGAGTTAAACTTGACGGAGATATGACAGCACTCGGAGATGCTTTATCTGGGCTGCGGATTGAAGATACCTTTGGCCCACCCACTGCTGCTCCAGTTGATGCATCTACAGGTTCGTTACGATAAAAGACAGACTAAACACAAGGGTGTATGTATATGTATCAGCTAACTGATCAGATTAGACCAGCCTGAAACACTGACGCTGGATCCCGTGTTCAACCTACCATATGGACGAGATCCGGATTTCGTGGATGATGGAGGACTCCTGCATCAGCTCGACGAGTTATCTTCCAGACCTGCGTCAATGACCGTACTAGTCGGGCTCGGTGGTGTTGGGTACGTCCTGACCAGACCAGACAATGAACAACCTAAGCTTAGCTCCTCCACCTACGCTCCGCTGCTAACATTAACCAGAAAATCTCACCTAGCCATCGAACACGCCTACCGACTCCGCGAAAAATCCCCAGATACATACATATTCTGGGTGCACGCTAGCACTAAAGACCGTTTCGAGCTTGGCTACCGAACTATCGCCGAGCACCTCAATCTCCCTGGTCACAACTTCCCCAAATCAAACATCTACCATCTTGTTCGGATTTGGCTTGAAAATGATAAAGAGAGGAAATGGCTCCTCGTCATTGATGGTCTAGATAACGATGATTTCTTCGCGAGATGTCTTCCTGGAACTGCATTACCGCTTTTTACGTTTCTTCCGAGGAGTGACTGTGGGTCTGTTATTGTTACGACGAGGTGGAGGAGTGTTGCGGGGAGGTTTGTTGGGGAGAAGAGTGTTCTTGAGGTGGATGCTATGGATGGGGGATCTGCGGTTGCGCTTTTGAGGAAGAAGAAGATGATGATGCTGGAGAGCGAGGGTGAGGGTGAGGATGGAGATGAGGATGAGATGGGAAGGCTTGTGGAAGCTCTTGATTGCATGCCGCTCGCTATAGTGCAAGCCGGTTCCTATCTCTCGCAGCGTGGATGCGGTTACACTGTTCAGAAATATCTCGACGAATATTCGAAAAGTGATGATGAGCGACTCAAACTTCAGGATTATGAAGCTGGGTGTATACACCGCCAGGACTTTGAAGCGAGGAATTCGTGTGTGGTTGCGTGTGAAATTGCTTTTGATTGTATCAGAGCAGTTAGACCATCTGCTGCGGACTTGCTCGGCCTCATGAGTTTTTTTGATCGACAGGGTATCCAGGGTTATCTTCTGCGCGACTACTCTCAGTCGGACAGAGGTAGTGGAGCAAACCTATCTGCGGATCCGAGTGACGAACAGAAATCTGGCTCGAGTGATTCAGATGGGGAGAAAAGGTTCCAAGACGACATCGCTATGTTGCGTACATACTCGCTGGTCTGTATGCATGCAGATGAAAGGACATTCGAGATGTACCGATCAGTTCAATTGGCTGTACACCAGTGGCTCAAATCCCACCACATCTACGAGAAGTGGAAAGAGAAATTCATCATTCACCTAAACACTCACTTTCCCAGCGATTTCGCCAACATGACCCCACGCCGAGAAGATTGCCAATCAATGTACCCACACGTGAAACTCGCACTGTACCAAGTCCCGCAATCAGAAGAATCTCGTTTACAACGGGCCGAGCTTCTTTATAGAGCCGCATACTACGCAGGGCAAAGCGACAATCCAAACGACATGGAAGCCATGGCGTCAGAGTCTGGACGAGAGAGGGCTTTGCTTCTAGGCGAGTATCACATAGATACGCTGCGAAGTGACTTGATGCTTTTGAAAGCGTTCGAATTCGCTGGGCAGTGGGATAAGGCGATGATTCTTGGCGATGCGCAAGTCAAAGCTTGCATGAATGCGCTTGGAGAGGAAGACGATGTTACGATTATGAGTATGGTTAATTTGGGACATATCTTTTACGAGACAGGTTGTTTTGAGGATGCTCAGGCTATGCACTCTCGGGCGCTTGAGACTTGCAAAAGATTGCGGATTGAAGATGGTCCCCGTGGGATCGGGGCGAAATGTGGACTAGCTTTGTCCCTTGGGAAGCAAGGTCAGTTCGAGGAGGCGGAGAGTCTTCAGGTGCAAGTGGTTTCGTCTTTGAAGAGAGTCCTCGGGGAAGAGAGCAACGAGACTATTGCTAATATGCATAATCTTGCCATGATATACGGATGGAAAGGCAAGTTTGAAGACGCAGAGAGTGTTTACCTACAAGCCCTTGATATTTCCAAGAAGATGTTGGGAGGAAAGCACTCTTCCACACCATTCATAATGGGCCTTCTGGCAGCAATATACACCAAAATGAGTCGCTACTCGGAGACCGAGTCACTTCTCCAAGAATGTCTCGAGTTTCAACAAAAGAAGCTGAGCGATTCCCATCCAGATACACTATCCAGTAAGCTTCAACTGGCAAAGTTCTATCACAGGCAAGAACGCCACTCGGATGCCCAGCGTTTGCACGCAGACATTCTGGATGTCCAAGAGATCACACTGGGCGAGGAACATCCCGACACACTCACGAGTATGTCCAACCTAGCCCTGACATATTCCCGCCAACGTCGCTACGCAGATGCCGAGCTCCTACTCAGCGAAGTCTTTGAGCTCCGGAAGAAGATGCTGGGCGATGAACATCCGGACACACTCGCGAGTATGAACAGTCTATCAATTGCATTGGTTGATCTTGGCGAGTATCCAGCTGCAGCGCGGCTACAGGCGCGAGCTCTGAAAATTAGGATCCGAGTTTTCGGTGTGGAGCATCCTGCTACGCTTGAAAGTATGCACAACCTTGCGTTGGCATATCTTGATCAAGACCGTTATCAAGACGCGGAGAAACTATTCGGTCGGCTTTTGGATATTCAAAAGGGTGTATTAGGAGAGAACCATCCGGATACAATCGGTTCCATGGATAATCTGGCTTTTGCATGGATGAGACTCGACAAGAAGAAAGATGCTGTTGAGTTGATGGAGAAATGTGTCGATTTGAAGACACAGGTTTTGGGTAGTGATCATCCGGAGACCGTCAAGTCGAGAGATTGTCTGTTGAGCTGGCGCTCTGAGGACTTGTCAGTAGATGCCTGAGGATGTAAAAACGTGAAATACGTGACAATGTCTCGGGTTGCATCAGAGCTTCAATGAACGCCATGGACAATCAACGTAGGCCTTTGTCCACCCCGCGAAAGGGGAGTTATTATTTATACTTTCCATTTGCCTCCTCAACATCTCTCCCCTCTCTCTCTCTCTCTCTCTCTCTTATCTCCGCGAAAAACATATGTTCCAAGGAACCATTTTGAACAGCACACATCACGAATCCTTGTCTCTAACGGACAAGACTCAAATCAGCTGAGAATGATTTACCTCCCCAGTGAAATTCTGCTTCTCATATTTGATCAACTCCACCAGAATCCCGACGACGGACGCATTGAATACCTTTACGACCTGGCCTTTCTCAATGTACGACCACTCTTGGGAGTATGTCGAAGATGGTACAATCTATTCCTTCCGAAGGCTTACTATTCTTTGGACCTGATTTGTCCGGGAAGGCAGCTTTCTCTGCTGGCTTGGTCATTGCGAGAGAACCCCAGTCTGGGGTCTTTGGTGCACAGCTCCTGCTTCTCCGCTATCATTCACGAACCCCCTTCCACATATGACGAAAGTGATGATGATGGCTTTGCGGATACAAATGATGAGGAAATTCTTGATGATCCTCAAACAACGCCACTTGATGATATTTTGAGAAAAGCTAGCCCTGACCGAGGAGAGCGTTACAAATGGCAACAGGCTTTGATCGAAGACTCTGAGGACGCCTGGATAGCGATTTGCCTCTTCCTTTTGCCGGAACTGCGAAGTTTCAGGCTATGTCTTGTCAGACGCCCCCACAGATGGATTACTAATGCTCTTTCGCACATTGCAACTAGCTCGATTGATCTCCAACCCAGGCCACTGCAGTACCTGGAAGATGTCACCATCAGCGATTCATATAGATATGAACACCCTTCATGGTCAGAGTGCCTGCCCTACTTCCACCTTCCGGCTATGCGGTCATTTTGCGGCCATGCAATCACCGATATGCACGAATACAGTGGAGAGGGGACCGAGACATCGCTACAACATCCACCCAAGTCCTCGGGGATTACATATCTACATTTGAGTCTTAGCTATGGTGCAACTGGGCAGGTTGTGGCCCAACATATCACTGCTTGTGCGAATCTTGAAAACCTCTGGTTTTCAGACGTGCAATTTATGAAGAATTACATCACTATCTCCAGCTTTCCTGTGATCTACGAGGCTTTGACGACACAGAAACATAGCCTGCAGGTGCTGCACATAGAATATGGATATGAAGGACCATTCATTAATGAAGGCTTCTGCAAGAGAACCAATCAGTGGTCGTCTAGGTCCTTGTTGGACTTCACCCAACTACGCGAGGTCGACCTGCCTTTGGAATTCTTTAGGGACGACCAAATTATTCATGGGGAAACAAGAATGTTATTCCATGAAATGCTACCTAAAAATCTGGATAAACTAGGCCTACGAGACTTTTGGGATAGTGAGTATGCGGTTCTTGAGCGTGGACTTTGTGCTTTACTGTCATGTCGTAAGACACGATTTCTTTCGCTGGTGAACATCGAGCTATGCTACTGCATAGCAAAACCTGGTCTGGGAGACGATCGTCCCTCCGAGGAACTGCTTCATGTTATTAACAGAGTTGGGAGCATGTGCACTGTGGAAGGCATTGAACTTCGTCATTCGAAAAACAAAGGAGCCCAATGCTCATGGTTGATTTGAACAACATATCTGAGAAAACCACGAGTGAAGCTCATTCATTAGAGACGCTCCAGCTGATATTGATACTCAAAATGAACCAATTGACTGATCCTCGAGGAATAAAACAGCCTTACGCATCGCTAATATGCATTCATCTATCATTACTTTCGACTTCTTCTGTATGCTTTTGATGGTCAGCACATGATCCGTAGCCTTTTAGGTCTTACAGTACTGTCAGACTCGCCCTGAGCGGTAGCTATTGGTGCTTCTTAAGTATGGTTTTGGCAACACTTTTGCTTTCTTGATACCTTGAGCGCAGATTCTGCAGCCTTTACAGCTCACAGAAGAGAAGCCCGGTAGAGAAGATTGTGCTTGGTAAGTTTATCTTGACCCTTAGAGCACCTCCCATTGTAAATATGTCTCTACGTCTACGCACAGGGCACAGTCAAGGGAAACTAATTAATCTTGATGTTTCTGGGGATCAGTAAGGAAGAAGGAGACAGGGAAAGTAGTGGTCTCATATGGGCCGAAGTAGGACAGATGGCGCAGGGCCTGCTAAACACGGAATCTGTCGATGGGAAATCTTCATACTGTAGAAGGTATGCGAGAATTCCCAATTCTTCTATGATTCATCGATGGATCATCTAAAGTGGCACAGTAAAATAAATATTCATCTATCATGCACCGAATATAAGACAATTCATACAATCAAATACAACATCAAAGCATCAAATTCCCAATTCACATCCTCGGAACTTCAAGCTTAAAATCAAGGCAATGCCTGCTCAACAGCATGATGCAACTGCCCACAGGCCTCACCAAACAATACCCCCTTCAAAACAGTCTCGCCTTCACTAGAAGCCCAACGACCTGCATCAGTCAGTCTCCGTTTCCACGCAACCTGGTCTTCACCACTGAGATCGGCCCAGGTGCGGAACTTCTCCGCCTCGGTGTTCTCATCGCCAGCTGCGCGGTGCGAGGCTAATGTCTCGATGAGAACGCTTTGCTCGGCAGTTTGGCCGTCGTGACAGCGCAGGATGACTGATAGCTCGTGTGGGCTTATAGTCTCGAGGTCAAGCGGTGCGGCGCCGGCACTGTGGACCCGGTCGAGGATATCCTTCAAGCTCTCGATTTGGCTTTGCGTGATAACGCTGGCTACGGGCGGCGCGTTCTGTCCCTTGGGTGCAAGGAGGTAGTCGATATATGAGCCCTTTCCTGGTGCAGGCGGGGTATACTCGTTTACAAGAGCACTGCGCCATGATGGAGGAAGCCATTGTGCTGCACCAAGGACGGGTGGTGTACCGCCGCGGATCTCGGTAAACGCAAGCATAGAGCCCGTGATGAGGACAAGAGAGAAAAGCAGGACGAGGACAAAATAAAGGCCCTCCCAGAACTCGGCGGGGCCAGGCAAAGACAGGACATAGCGTGGGGTGCGGGAGGTCGCAGGGAAGGGAGAGAGTGGGAGGGTGTGGACGACAACGGTGTTGCCCATGCTGATGGAGGCGAGCTTAACTTTCTGGGGGAGCACGTCGGGGGTTACTGGATGTGCGGGTGCAGTGAAGGGCGAAAAGACGAGTTTCGTCATGGAGAAAGGGTGCACGTCACGGAGGGTTTTGTAAGGCCGGATCGCGCCGTAGCCTTTGTTGGGGCCGAATTCTAGCGTCCACAGGGCGATGGAGTTGTCGCTACCGCTGACGGCGATAATGGTCTGCTGTTGGCCAGCTGGGTTGGTGCCAAGGGAGCAAATGTCGAGGCCCAGACCAATCTGGACACTTCGGGGCAGCCTACGACGGCGTATAATAGTGGCGGTGCCAGTTTTAGTCGTGGGCAAGCGAAGAATGACCAGCTCGCTACCACCGCGGTTTGGTGCATTTTGGAGGAGGAGTAGTGATGTCGAGGAGAGGAAGCGCAGGGCGCGGAGCTTGGGACGAGCCGCACGGGCGCCGCTACTGGGGAGAGGGATGGTATAGACACAGCTGACATCGGGGGCGGCGTTGGAGCGGGTGGAAGAAGAGATCTCGCCAACCATCACATCGGCACCGTTGGTATATGCCACACGGTATTTTCCACGGGCATCTCCCGTCTGCTCTGGGTCATGCTCCAGGCTAGCAAAGTCCACATCCTCGGCCTCTTCCTGGCCGTCGAGACGAATACGGCCAATGACATCCGATTCTGTAGGACCTGCTGTGGCTGAGAAAAAAACAATCTCTCCGGACTGCGCCATGCCGGTCGCAATAGCGCCGACTCTGGTGTCTCGACCATTCTTCTCCGAGGCATCAGCCAGTTTCTTCCAAGGGCACAACCTCAAGACTCGCTGATAAGTATCGCCTGACTCGGGACCCTTTGTGCGGAAGATCGAAGCCCGCGACAAAGCCTCTGCTTTTCCAGGACTGCCTTCTTCAACAGCCTTATCCTTCTTCGCTTCTGTGTCCTTCTTCGAAGCCTGCGCGTCGTCCTGCGAGCTAGCTGATTTCAAAGATTTCTTCTTCTGGGGCGCTTCGAACCGAAAAGACCGCATATGCTGATTGTTGTTTTTCTTTTGTTCCGCAAGAGAACTGTTGATACCAGCCAGTACGACCAGCGAGCTCTCATCATCGCCGACCTGCGGCGCCGCTGCGAGAGTCGTCACCGAATCCTCGTCGCGCGACAAGTTGATCTCCACGGCCTCGGTAATCTCATCTCGACGTGACGTATCAATCAAAGACTAGATATATCTCCCAGTTAGATTCGTGGACCTCCAAAACGCGAGACTAAAGCACGCGCTACTTACGATCTTGTTCCCGACTCCGCTGCGGCTTTCGCCGCCTCCGCCGCCAACGAGCAGACGCCCGTTGTTGCGCGGGTCGAAGTCTGCTGCGAACAGCGGGCAAGAGAGGGTGAGTTTGGCGGAGTGAATTGTAGGCGCCATGGGTTCTGCGTTGGGACAGGCTCTCTCGAGGAGAGGAAGAGGACAGTTGGAAGATGCGATGAGGTTGCCCCGGATTCTTGGGGCGGTAAACCGAATTGGGGAGCGGAGCTTAGCTGCAATTAAGCATGTGCTATTGGCTTTAATTTAAGGACTACGGCGCTACAAAACTAAAGAAAAAGTAAAAGTGAGACAAAATGTATTTACAGCGTTTAAGCAAGCATCTTGTGAATAGATGAGAAAAAAATTTGAAATGGTGTATATTTTGACTTCGACTCGACTCGATTGTGCTCTACATTTACTCGATCTCCTGGCCAGTGAACTCGGGCAGACGCTTGGCCACATCGGCCCAGGTCTCGTCGCCGTCGACGAGAGACTTGAGGGCCTGCAGAATCTCCTCCTCGCTGGCACGAACCTGCTTGGTTGTGTCGCGGTCGCGCAGAGTGAAGGTGTTGTCCTTGACGGACTGGAAGTCGACGGTAATACCGAAGGGAGTGCCCAGCTCATCGTTACGAGCGTAACGCTTGCCAATACTGGCGGAAGAGTCGTCTACACGGCTGGAAACACCCAGACGGCGCAGCTTCGAGCTCAGGCTCTGAGTCAGGGGCTTGAAGGCTGTGTTGGTGGAGAGGGGCACCAGCAGAACCTTGGTGGGAGCGATGGATGGGGGGAAGGAGAGGACCTGGTTAGAGCTTGTTAGTACGAAGAAATGTAATAATCAGCATATTAGAACTTACACCGCGGGCCTCGTCGCCAGCACGGGACCAGTAGACGTGCTCGATCATGCTGTACATGATACGACCAATACCGAAGGACGGCTCAATAACGTTGGGGGTGTACTCGCGGATGTTCTCAACACGGGTGCGCTTCTCGATCTTAATCAGGTCCTTCTCCAGCTCAACCTTGCCAGAGCCGACACCTTCAATGTCAATCTCGATCTTGCCCTGCTGCTCAAGGTCCAAGGCTAGCTTCTCACGCAGTTCCTGGGACAGAGCCTCGATGGCGGACTCGACAGTCTTGGCATCCTTCTTGAACCGGGGGCCGAACTTCTTCTTCTCAAGATCAACCTGCCACTCCTCGATGCGCAGGGGCTCAGAGCGAGTCTCGCGCACAACCAGAGGTGCGCCGGTCTTGTTCTTGTGCACGGTCAAATCGTAGGCGCTGCGATCGGCACAGCCGACACACTCGATCCAGCCGTAGCTGGTCTGCAGCTCGGCATCCCAGCAGTCAGCGGCGTAGTGGGCCATCTCGTTGGCCATGTGTTGACGGAAGCGCAGCTTGTTAGAGTCAACGCCCAGCTTCAAGAGGAAGGACTGGATACGGGCCAGGAAGTAACCCAGGGTCTCGTTGTCGACTAGACCAGTCTCAACAGCCTTGCCGATGGTCATCTTGGAGACCTTGGTGCTGCCAGACAGCTGCACGTCGCGGTCCAGCAGAGACATCTCGACATCCTTGACCTCAACGAAGCGAGGGTGCTTCTTACCACCCTCAGGGTCGACGTAGTGCTCAATCTCGGCCATGAGGAACTCACGCACACGCAGAAGACCGGCACGGGGGGAGATCTCGTTACGGAAGGACTTGCCAATGGAGGCGGAGGCGAACGGCATGTTCTGCTGGTTGAACTCGAGCAGCTTTTGGAAGTTCAGGAACTGACCCTGGGCAGTCTCCGGACGCAGGTAACCTGGCAGGTTGCTGGTGGGGCCAATGGAGGTCTGGAACATGAGGTTGAAGGCGACGGGGGCTCGACCTTGCCGTCAGTAGCGGGGTTGCGAATATCATACTTGGTGATGAGCTGCTCAAGAGCAGGACCATCAAAGTTGTCGATCTGCGCAAGGATCTCCTCGTACTCCTTAACGAGCGCGTCGTCCAGCTTGACGGCCTTGGTCTCGTTCTTGGGCTTCTTCTTCTTCTTGGCCTCCTTCTCGGCGTCAACCTCGACCTTCTGGCCACGAGCCTCCTTGTCACCCTTCAACCGGTTCTCCAAAACCTCCTCCACCAGGTGGTCGGCACGAAAAATCTCGCCATTCTTGGGGTCCTTGCACATCCAGTCGGCGAACTTGTCCACGTGCCCACTGGTCTTGAGGATGTCGTGAGGGGTCAACATGGTGCAGTCAACCTCGAGCATATCCTCCTCGAGGACAAAGTGCTTGCGCCACAACTCGGTCATGTTGGCGACCAGCGCAGTACCGGGTGGGCCAAAGTCATAGAGACCAGACACGCCACCGTAGATCTCGAAGGAGGGGGTGTAGAACATGCGGCGGCGGAGCATTGAGTCCAGGACCAGGCGATCGACCGCCTGGCCAGTCTTTGTGGTGACGGTGGCCATCTTGGGGTTGCGATTGGACTTCTTCTGGAGCGCGGTCGAGCAGGTGAAAGTCCTGAACTGAATGGATGGAGGGGAAAGAAAAGAGCGGGGGAGGAAAAGGCGCGGCAGCAATTGAGTCATCCACCACAGTAGAAGTCCCCCTTTTTGGACTTCGTACACACCACAGAATACAATACAGATGTTTTAGAAATACAAGGATTGGAAGTAACGTAAAAAAACGAATGGATGTGCACTTTCTTCTCTCTTTTTTTCGTCTTTTTCAATCCCCCTGATGCGATCAACATCAATCAAAAAAGATGTGGCCGGCCCAGCCCGGAGGAACGATTCTCCGAGATAATTTATTTTATCGGCGATCAATTTGAAGCTTCGCCGAGTCGCTCACCCAAAATCACCTTTTCCGTTCAGCAAATTCTGTTCTCACCATGGGTTTGAAAGGCCAATCGCGGCCGCCGCCAAATTCTGGCATGGAGGTCAAAACCAAGAACAAATTGCGCCGGAAGATGTTGCACATCAAGCGCAAGAGAACGAAGGATGCGGAGCGGCACGAGGAGCGCCATGCTTTCAAGAAGGAAGAAGCGAAGAACCCCAAGTTGAGAGAAGAGCGCCTGCGCCGCAATATTCCTCTGACCCTCGAGCGAAAGCGTGTCTGGGATGAGGCCGGTAGTGACGCTGAGGAGGACGGCCTGGGACTGAGTGTCGACATTGAGCGCATCAAGCGGGCCAAGCAGGAAGAGGAGGACGAATTGAATCGGCCGTTGGAAGAGGGCGAGGACGACAGTGATGAGGCAGAGTCCGATAACGAGTCGATCGACAGTATGATCGCAACCAGCGACGAAGATGACGACGAGGATGACGATGAGAAGGACGAGGACGATGAAGCGAAAGACTCGAGCCGAGGACGTAAAAAGTCCTCGCTACCCACTGCCACCGAGCGCGCGACTAGTCCATCACAATCCACTCGCAGTACAAATCTAAGCCTCGCTCCAGAAGCGTTGGCTGCCAAGTTCCCCTCGCTCTTCACAAACGAAACTCCTCCCACCCCCAAAATCCTCATCACCACCGCAATCAACTCAACCCTCCACAACGAAGCCGAGATCCTGACAGACCTGTTCCCGAACAGCGTGTATATCCGCCGCACAGAACACCGCTACTCTCACAAATTCTCCATCCGCGAGATCTCCAAGTTTGCTGCGAATCGCAACTTTACTTCCGTTGTTGTCCTGCAAGAGGACCAGAAGAAGCCCAGCGGCTTGATCATCGTGCATCTGCCCATTGGGCCGACCTTCCACTTCAGCATCAGCAACTGGGTCGAGGGCAAACGGCTTCCTGGACACGGTCGCGCAACGGGACACTGGCCAGAGTTGATCCTGAACAACTTCCGCACACCGCTGGGTCTGCTCACCGCGCGCATGTTCCAGCAGTGCTTCCCGCCGCAGCCAGACTTTGAGGGACGGCAAGTTATCACACTGCACAACCAGCGTGATTACATCTTTGTGCGCCGCCATCGATATGTCTTCCGTGAGAAGCGGGAGACGGAGAAGGCGGTTGTTGGCGCTGATGGAAAAGAGATGCAAGGTGCTGAGGGCATCCGGACTGGTCTGCAGGAGCTTGGCCCCCGGTTTACCTTAAAGCTACGCCGTGTGGACAAGGGCATTCAACGAACTAGTGGGCAGGAGTGGGAATGGAAGGGTGGAATGGAGAAGGAGCGGACCAAGTTCCAGCTTTGAGCAGCTATGGGATAGGTCTTCTGCATTTCTTTCTATATCATTTTGTTTCCTTTCGCATGGGGTTTGGGGAGTATCCAAAAGCATGATTTTTGTTATTATTTGCTGGCATATACCCTACATATGTCGAATGAACATAGATATCTCGCTTGAGGTTTAATTCTTCCGTCAATTATGCTCTGGATATACACACGAGACGAAATTTTCCACATTCAAGCATAGTTCATGCATAGTTCTCCAGTCGCCGATTGTACCATGACATATCACCGACATTTCTAACCTCGGTATGCTTGATCAAGCCTAATAAAAGAAGTTGCCTTTTTGGAAAAGAGACTATACTGCCAAATCTGATATAAGGACAACGATTTGCTAGAAACGTAAGTAGCTCTATTCAGCCCGCCGTGATTAAAGGATGACGGCTTCGTATTTCTACTGTCATAAACAAAGGCGAAGACCATAAGGGCTCATTGGTATCCAGAACATTGCCTGAATTTCTCTTATTATGCTTAATCTAAACTAATCATAGTTTATCGCGAGTTCCAGTCTCTTGTCAAGTAATTCATACTGGAATAGCGAAACGATTACCTTCCCTCTATATAGTGGAGCCCCACAGCCTACAGCCTCCTCTGATTGGTGTGGTTGTGATCAAGGAAGGTGATCCTGGACCCACTCCATCTATTCGGGAAAGTAATTAGCTTCAGTCCGTACGAACCCCGTGTTATGGGACATTACCTTCTCGAAAAGAACATCCCCACATTAACATACAGCATGTCATGCCTCAAGGGTCCCTGGTCTATAAATTGACCTGGTCGTCCCGAGATCGCCCTCAGACTACGACAAACATAAAGCATCTACTAAATCAGAGTTGCTTGTTTATCGAACTTTCTTTTTATTCGCAATCACAATGTCTGAGGTTCTCGATCTTTCCTTGTTGAAGGGGACTCCTCAGCAGAGGGAGGAAATCTCAGTGGCCCTGCTTCACGGCCTTAAGACTCGTGGCGGTGTCAAGCTGAAGAACCATGGTCTTCCCGACCAGCTCATCTACGACTTGTTTGACTGGGTAATTACAACCCATCTAAAGAAGGACTCGAAGGCTGGGGAAAGCTAATGCCAAACAGACTCGAAAATTCTTTGCTCTTCCTCATGAGGACAAAATGCTTGCCAAGCATCCTCCTCAGGCAAACCCTAATCGTGGATACTGCTTCGTTGGGCAAGAGTCTATCTCCAGTATCAGTGGTTTCGAGAAAGGCCTTCCACAGGGACAGTTTGTCCGCGATATCAAGGTATGAAAATCTCACAATCAAGAAGAACCTTAAAGTCTAAAGCCATACAGGAAACAGTCGACTTTGGTTCTCCCCGAGACGAACTCGTGGACAACATCTGGGTTCCAGAGGAGAAGCTTCCCGGCTTCCGCAAGTTCATCGAAGAATTCTACGAAACCTGCTTCAAACTTGAGCTCGAGATCCTCGCTGCACTAGCTAGAGCTCTTGGCGTCGACGAGAACCAAATGGTCTCCCTCCACAACAAAGCCGAAAACGAATTCCGCATCCTCCACTACCCCGAGATCCCTGCATCAGACTTGGCCGATGGCACTGCGACCCGCATTGCTGAACACACAGACTTTGGTAGCATCACCATGCTTTTCCAGGACTCTGTAGGTGGTCTGCAAGTTGAAGACCAGCAAAATCCAGGTGTTTTCCACGGGATCGAGTCCGCAGAAAAGACAGAGATTATCTTGAATATTGGTGACTCGATGCAGCGATTGACCAACGATACTTTCCGTGCAGCTTGTCACCGAGTCACGTACCCACCTTCTGTCAAGGTTGGTTCTGAGGCTGTTATTCCTGAGCGTTACTCGATTGCGTACTTTGCGAAGCCGAACCGTACGGCGTCGTTGTTCCCTTTCAAGGAGTTCATTACACCGTCAACGCCTTGTCGGTATGATGATGTCAATGCGTGGGATTTCCAGAATCTTCGCATTTCCAGACTGTTCAAATAAATATGTTACTTGAATGAACACATTGAATTCACGATGAAGCGTTCACCATGCAATCGCTCGATTGAACAAGGCTAGGGCGTCGGCAGCGCATCTCTAAAATGTAAGCCTATCAGAGCAAGATATAATGGCTTCGGCCTTAAACTGTGTAGCAGCAAATAAAATCAAGTGGCATTAATCGGTTGCGTGAAAAAAATACAAAATGATCTATCCTGCGGACAGGCCGATATGCCCTCGCTAGAATAAAGACAGATATAGCCTTCCATAGAAGAGATACACACAGCCAGACTAGTAAAATCCAATCGTTTGGGAGCCTATGCTCAGTGCGCTCTCAATCCCTTTCAGCGTCTCATTGACAGGACAATTGGCGACAATAAGACCGCTCGACGAAAAATGGTCCATGGAAAACATCGTTAGGTGTTACCACTACTTGTTTCTCCAACCTTTACAAAGACACTGACAAAGGGAGATCTTGCATTTCTAAGGATCATCTTTTGTTTTGGCCTCTGTGAGCCCCAGTGTGTCAGTATTAGCAACATCTTGGAACTGAAAAGACCGAGAATAATGGAACTGACCGTTCTCTGCACAGGCTGGACATTTAGATAGGCCTCGGTTCACATCCATAGGTGTGTACCAGCCTTTGCAATCCTCCTACGGTGAAAGTTAGCCCCATGAAGACACCTATGATGTCTGCCAGAATGGGGATTCAAAAAAATGGAAATTGGAGTGTAGAGCAGGAAGTAGCAACATTTGACGACGCTGCAAATCTAACGGGTATTAGATTCGTGAACTTACACACTGTACTTTCATCACTTTTCTGTCACTGGGCTTCTGGTTCTCAGGCATTCTGGCACGAGGATTATTTCAGAGAAGATTTATCGTTTTGGCGCTCGAGATGAATTATTCCAGAACTTTAAAGTGTAGTAGCAAAATTATCAATCAAAGCCACCATTCGCATTGTGCAAGGTGATTTTCGTCGACAAGGTGGCTATTTATCTTTAAAAATTCCATGCGCTTGGGCTCTATCATTGTTCTAAAGATGGGGTTACCCCGCTTGGGAGGCGCATCACATCGAATCGAAACCTTGTCTAGCACGGCGAGACGCCGGGCTGTGAACACCCTAGGCGTAACGCCCGAGTGATGTTGATAATGCACCAAAATTTCCATATGGGAGTGTATCATCCAATCAAATAGGTCTTCTGTCCTTAATATGTCGCAATATTCTGTTCGCTTGTTACATGAGGCGCCCAAGTTGCCTCAGAACGTCCAGTGCAACACAGAATTAGTGAGTCAAGATCACGATATCTAGGCTCTATTTGATTTGCTATCCAGAGAAGAAACATAAACTCAATCTGATCTTGCTTAGTATATGTCCCTTAAGTGAGCGACTATCGCTCCTTAACGGCTGTGAGACAATCGGGGGCCGTCGGCTCTGTATTGATTCCCCAACTCTGCAGTCCGACTCGTTGCAATCAAAAAGTTAGCATTGCGTTCACGAATCACCCATTAAAAGCGGCAATATCTTCATCTTATTATACTTGCCCAGTTTCAATATAAATTCGATACGACTTTCTCCACACAGTAACTTACGCGTGTTACTTAGACTATCCGTTTAGTGAATACATCACTGGATAGACTGGCTCAAAAGTTATAGCTAGCTAACAATATAGCAAGATTCGAACAAACAAAGAAGTAGAGGGGTTTGGTGCGTGCTTGTGGGATGTCATACGGCAAGACAAAGCTGGGTTTACTACTTCAAGGTGAAAAGTTGTTAGTCCGAGGCAGATGCTTGTAGCGTAAAACTTACCTTGAATTAGTTCTGTTGTATTCAAAGCTAAAGCTTTTTATTTTAGACAAAAACACTTTTCGCTATAGACACCTGACAACCAGGGCTCAAGTCTCCAGCTCCGGTTGCATGCAACAAAGGTATAATACAAGAACTACTAACCCATTAATCCCTAAACCTAAACTCCAAGCTCCAACAAACACTCCCACCGATTCCAATCCAATCCAATCTATCACCACCAGATAGCAAGGAGGGAGAAAGTCTCTACTCATCCGCTTCAACATCCTCCTGCAAAACTTTCGCCCTAGCCATAACCCTCGCCAACAAGTCCACCTTCTTCTGTGCAAAAGAAACAGGCCTCCTCCCCGTGACAATCCTCACCTTCGCCGTCAACCCATTAACCCCTAAAAGCTCCTCCCTAACAGCCCCACACAATTCCTTTACCTCTTCAACAGTATACCCCCCATGCACCGTCAACGGCCGCAACGCGTACCCCTCTAACCCCTCCACTACCGCAATCAGCGCCATTTTGCCTAGCGTTTTCTCATCGACGTCTTCCGGCCACAAACCAATTGGGATAGTCCGTTCTAGAACACGGACATCCACGAAGCCTGCCGCAGCCAGCGCGTCGGTGTTGAGATGGGCCAGGTCGCGCGGGTATCCCGCGGCTTTGGCCGCGTCGAGCAGTGCAGATGTGTACTTGCGTAGCGCTGGTATTTCGGCTTCACTTCCTGGCAGTTTAAGCGGAGAAAAGGCGATTGTGTCTGCGGCGGGATCGGCGTCTGCGACTTCGATATACCCTCCGGGTTTACAGTGCGCAAAGGCCTGGGTATATATCGCGTCCCAATCTTGAAACGCACCTGACAGCCCGCGTAAATGGATTAAATCGAATGGATCGTGGTATGTCCATTCCGTGCGGGCGTCGGCGAGTTGGAATTCCACGTTTGGAAGTCCGAGATGTCCGAGTCCTGAGTCGAAGACTGTTAGGTCGGAGGCGATTATCGTGGCTGTTGGGTGGGCGGCGCTCATTTCGATGGCCCAGTCGCCGGGGCCGGTGCCTATGTCGAGGATGCGGGGGTTTGTTGGGGGGTGGGGGCGGTGGTGAGGGTGTTGTCGAGGAGGATTAGGTAGATTTGGTGGACGATGTTGAGGCGGGTTAGCTCTGCTTCGTCGTTGGGCATGAAGTAGGTTTCCTCGGCGTAGCGGCGGCCATTTTCGTGAATGTGTTGGAGGCTTTTGGAGGAGTAGGAGCGGGTGGATTTTCTGATGGAATTGGTGTTAGAGTATTGGCATTTTTCATACTTCGAACTGGTTTCGTTTCGAAGAATGCGAGAGGAGACCGAGAACGATGTGATGTGAGGACTATTCAAACACGTACATGGATGACTCGTCTAAGGATTCAGTATCGGACTCGGGCTCGGAGTCGGAGTTTGGATTTCCATGCTCTGCCTGGTTCTCGTCCGGGGCCAGGAAGTCCTCCTCTGGCTGAATGGGTTGGTCGGCCATGACATGACGAGTTCTAATAGACCAATTGGAAGGGAAGAGCGGCAGAAACACGCTCGAGGATGTAGGGGTGATATCTCTGAACCGTATAAGCTCCCTAACAGGTCATAGCTAGGCTTATATAATGGCGGAGATAACGGGCCCAAGTAACGGTCAGGAGTAGCGTTATAGATTGCCAGACTGGAATCGAGGAACCCGGCCGAGTTCGCAGCCGAAGTATAAGACGTGCCCAGTCTGCCAAATGATTGCCGTGGATAGGAAGTATATCTAGACGGGAAAGACAGGAGAGAAGAGCAGAAACCGAAAAGATAGGAAGAAAGTACAGAAGGGACAAGCAGGATCAATTAAACCAGAAGAAGAAGGGGAAGGACAAGGTAAAAGTAAAGTTGAGCTGGCGCAAGAATAAAGTGGAGAGAGTAACAAGAGGGGGACGAACAAAGCAGTAAAAAAAAGATTCCAAGGCCGAATAAAAGCGAGGTCGATAATATAAGCAGACAAGGTTAGTGTGCTACACTACAGTACAATTACGATTTTTTTTCGGGATTTAATTCCTTTTTTTTGGTCTCGCGGGAGAATAATTATGGAGAATCACTCTTAGCTGGGCCAAACTGGGACTGGGGCACGAACCCGAGAGTCTGGGTCGGGAGACGTCACTGCATACCGCGGCACTAGAAGGACACGCTGTACACGGGTAAACTTTGATAGATGGGGTACGAAGGACGAAGTACAGTACAAAGGTAGATCGAGGGATATCACGACTCAATATGTAGCTAGCTATGAGCCTGTGCTCGACGAGAATCGTAGGATCGGGAAAAGGAAAAAAGAAAATATAACTCAAATTTCAACCAGATCACCGGGAAACCCATGTTGATAGATGAGATACTGGACTGCCGACCCAGTAGTCTGGGACTATGGGAAAAGAAAAAGTATTCCAGAAAAAGAGTTGATGAGTAATTAGGCCACGTTAACTAACTAACTAACTAATCAGACCGAGTTCCAAGTACGAATTCAATTGTACGTAGTCAGTTACAGTCTAGATTCACACCCACTCTGTTCCTATCATGGTATTAATAACTATATTGTACAGTAATTAACTATTACTCCACGGAAGTTATCTCCTAACTATGTATGTCCAGGCTCCATTCCCGTAACTCAGTGGAGTCTACCGGCCAGCGGGGACGTTCCTAAACTCTGGGAAATTGGTCCCTGGCCTAGATGCATTTGGTGTCCGTTCACGCCCCCTTCCCCCCTCGCTTCCGTCCGCGACAGAGCCGTTTGATACTGCCACGAGTCATTATATTATGGCTGCCAATGAGCTCTGCAATGATGACAGTAAGAATTAACTGCTGGCTAAGACTCTGCCTGACTCACTAGTTCCAGGCATGTGCTGTGTCCTTCTCCTCGGGATGTCGGCGGGGAAAGGTTCGACAGCTGAAGTGGGGCCGGGGACTGATCGGGCCAGTGACGGTGCACGTTTGGGTTTGGAGCTTATGCACGACCTGCTTGGAACGGCGGAGACCCGGCAGACTGGTTTGGTGGGCAAGGATCAGGTACAGAAGGTAATTTTGTACGTATGTATGCAGATGAAATACGTGGCTACGTGGATAGGCGGGTTCATAGCTACTGTTGCTATAACATCTTTTAGAACGCAGGATTTCTTCCCAAAGGCGAGAGGTTTGGAGAGAATAACTGGTAGGCGATGAAAAGGGGTTCTTACGGTAGAGCCGCGTACCGAGTAGCAGATTTTCCGGCTACGGGAAGAAGGGCAAATGGGTACAACGTGATGGGGGCAATTATCAAGGATCCTATGCTAGTTGTACAGGCGGATCGGTACATTATTACATATATACCATTGAACCTGATGGAAGTACATCGTACATGCATTAGAGCTTGTGGCCTTTTGCTTGCCTTCCACGCAGCCTGTTTCTCATGGACCGACTGGAAATGGATAGTGTTATTATACGTGGCACGACCAGGGGGTTCCGACGGAAAGATTCCGTGGTGTAGCCGCAGACTACATCGAGTGGTGGATTATTAGATGATTGCTTCAGGCACTTATCTAAGCAAAATATTAAATGAAAGCTCTCTGTCCTTTGTTTTATCTATGTCTAGATTGGGCGACTCGTTAGCTGACTGCTATTGTGATGCTGGATTAGGCTGTCTACCCTAGGGGTTTGGATTCCCGTGTATATCGCGGACCCCTGTCAGCTTACCCAGATGGATAATTCCATGTATGGAAGGTACGGTATTTACTAGGTAGACTTGTCTGTCCTACCTTGTCCACGCCTTTGCTATCATATCATAATATGATACTTGCGTTAGGGCGGAGCATGGTACCGTTGCCAGTTCAAGAGTACACTTGGCAATCAGGTAACGGGCTGCTAATAACGTTTCACTACCAACCTTAGCCAGATGCATTGCATGACTCTGCCGAAACAGACTACTGTAAATTCCCAGGTAAGTCTACGGTGGCGGTCTAAAAGATAAAACAGGAATCATGAAGTACAGTAGTCATGTAGTTCAATGGACATACGAAAGATATGCTTGCTAGATTAAAGTCTTGATCTCCTATAGTGTACGCAGTACTGGGATAAACAATACTAAGCTGTAAGTTATAGACAAATTTCCATACTGATAGCACGAATTAGAACATTGCTCGACGCCGAATTCCCGTCTCGTCTTACAGTACAAATACTGTACTTGGTCAACTCTAACGCCATACCCCTGTGGCAATGGCCGCCACAATGGTACTTCTATGCCTCCCCACCACTGCTAGTAGTAGTCTAGTCCTGACTCCTTCCTTACCAACCATCCGTGCGCCGACCCGACAGTCTGGTCGCGCATCCTAAGAGTCTTGCCTAAACGGGTAAGACCCCCACGGCGCCTCCGAGAGTCCGCAAAGTCACGAGACGATCTCCCGTTCCTGATCCAGACATTCGGAGACTCGAAAAAAAAAAAAGATTTGCCTATGTACTTTTTCCACCCAAGCTACCTCCGACAGTTAACAGTACAGTACACTCTTTGTACTGTACTACTCGCTCGGCCTCTCAGTCCCTCCAGTCCAGTCCCAGCAATACGGAACCATTAGCCCTGCCATCCACACCGCGCCAGTGCCTTGGGTCCGACCCGTTCATCGACATTGACATTGAGTTTGACATTCCACACTGCGGCCACCGCTCAATCACTGCATGACAGCCTCACAGCAGCAAACCTCGACACCATCGACGCCTACACCTCCATCACAACCCCCCAGCGCATCAGACACACCCACCAGTCTCGGGTCCACCCCAACCCAAACACCCATGGCCCTCCCCCGCCCCCCACAACGCCTCCTCTTCATCGCCTCAATAGGCAACCCAGCACCATACCGCACAACCCGCCACAGCGCCGGCCACATCCTCCTCGACACGCTCACCCCCTCCCTCCGCTCCCGTCTCGGCGCCCCACTCTCCCCCTACTACACGACCTTCTACAGCCCCTCGCTAATGAACATCTCCGGGCCGAAGGTAGTCAAAAACATGTCCAAGTGGCTCGCAGCTCGCGATAGCCTCGCGCTAGATCTCCCCGGCGGACCGTTACCCGTGGCTGCGAGTACGGGATACCCAGCTACGCTGGTGCTTCTGCACGACGAGCTTGAGGCGCCGCTGGGCAAGGTGCGGGTGAAGCGGGGCGGGGCGGAGAGTGCGAGTTTGAGAGGACATAGGGGGTTGAGTAGTGTTTTTGAGACGTTGAGGGGGAAAGGGTTGTTTCCGGGGAAGAGGGGGCAGGGGCAGAAGGGGAAGCGTGAGGGGTTGGCGAGGGAATTGGATGTTTTGAGGGTTGGGGTTGGGATTGGGAGGCCTGTGGGGAGGGAGAAGGATTCTGTTGCGGAGTATGTTTTGACGGAGATGGAGGGGAGGGAGTTGGAGGCTGTTTCGAGGGCGGCGGAGAGTGTGGTGAGTGTTTTGGAGGAGGAGATGTGTCGAGTTGGTTGATGGCGAGAGGGTTTCTTTCTCGTTGTCTTGGAGATGGAGGGTGATGATTGTATTATATGCCTTATAGAGGTGGGATCTGGATACCCTGTGTACGATGGACTTGAGTTTGAGCTGAGTATGTGTATTTGATACCCCCGTCTGTCTGCAATTGAAAGCACAATGCGCCATATCAGAACTCCGTTTTATCCCGAAGAGTTAAAGGGAAGAAGAGAGCTGGAGATATCACAGAGGCAGGGGCCACGATTAGGTAGAAAGGCCCCGGCATCATGTACAAGATGGCTGAAAGGTGGGAAGCAGGAAGCGAAACACAAGGAGAAAAATATCAGATCATGTAGTCTTCGTCAAATGAAGCAAAAGCACAGATAAAGCAGGGCAAAAACGAAAGACAGCCAAAGAGCGGGAAATTAGAAAGATAAGCACATAACCCCAATATGCGAATAATACTCCATAGTCATTGAATTGAGCCTTGATCATTGAGCACCCACCCGCCGATCAAGCCTCAAACAGTCCCTGCTATACTCAAATCCCGGATCTCTTGCAACACCTCCTCAACCCGATTATCCAAATCACCCCGCGCATACTGGTCCCTTGTCTCCGCATCCAGATACTGCTGCACCTGCGCCATACGCGAGTACGCCTCCGCACAAAAGCGCAACTGAATCTTAACCAGGGCCTCGAAACTGGGGTCCAGGTAGGGCACCCGCAGGTCGATGAGCTGGGGTAGTTCGGTGAAGAGTTGCTCATTGAGCTGCTCGTAGGCTTGCTTGGCCATTTCGGCTTCGCGCTCGGTACGCGGCAGCTTTGTGACGTCCTTGTCGGGCTTTTCGACTAGCTTCTTGACTTTGGCGCGCATGGAGTCGTAGTCGAGGAGTTTGTGATTGCGCTTTTTGATGCATTCGTTGACGTCGGGGAAGTAGGCGCAGAAGCGGGAGATTGGTTCAAGGACGGTGGTTCTGGGAGTTTGAGTTCCTTAGCTCTTCTGGTGGGTAGTTGTGGATTGGAGGTTGGTGTCCTACCGGTATGGCCCGTCAAGAGCCTTGATGGTCTCTGCGTCGAGGTCCTCCACGGCTTGCTTGTAGCTTCGGCTGACTCCGTCCTGGGTGCCGGCATCGCCGTAGAAAGCGTCGATGGTTTCTGCAATGCGCATCTGAGAGGCGGTCATGGCTGCAATAGGTGTTTAGCCGTCATTCTTGACCAGTGACTCGGGGTCGGTGGGCATAGCAGCCTACCTCGCAATGAATCCAAATATCCCTTTGCCTCCTTCTGCAGCCGATTGGCCGCGGCCTCCATTGTTCGGTATCGACTATAGCTCCGTTAGAACCCATGTCCAGCAAAGGTCCTGCTGATCTTCCACGGAAATGACGTACCGCTCCTCAATCTCGTAGTCTCGATCATTCGTCCGCTCGACATGACCTATCCAGGACCAGGGAATTAGCCAGCCATCCAAGTCATCCCAGTGTAAACCGTTCCTCTAGCGTAGTGACTCCAACCCGGTCATCCCGCAAGCCTCGTTGCGGGGTAGCATTCCACAAACTCACCAGTCTTCATCATAACCTGCGTCGTCGCGCGGTTGACATTTTTCTTGAATCCTGCTCGGAGATATATCATCAGCGGCTCCCCTCCTCAAATTGCAGACCTTCCAGCCCGGACTGCGGCGACGATGAGAACATACCTGCCCACGACATGGTGGCAGCCTGCGATGTGCTCTTTGTGACGTCGTTCTCGAGCGTAGGAGCGTAAAGGTCGGTCGATCGCGGGGGAGAGCGAGGCCCAGTCGTGATTCGAAGTCACTATGTTGGTAGCAGGAGAGTGAGAGCGGTTACAAGAGCAGAATAGGTGGTAGAGTGCTGCTTCGTCAAGTTTACCACTCACGTCAGTTCGGCCCCAACGTGCAAGTCTGCCTTACGCCTGACTGTGGCGGTGCTGGCTGCTTAGTCATCCCTTTCCGGATGCGGCTACGTCATTGGGCTGTGAGGGGTCGTAAGTTCTATTTTCAGAAAAGGGTCGTTTCCTTCTAAATTGATGAGAGTAGTTGTTTTCCCAGCTCTCAATTACAATTTATTAAGTATGCCTACGGACATGCATTTAGAAAATCGTAACAAGATGCTTTTGGTTGTGGTCAAAGTAAAAGGTCGAGGAACCAGGTACCGCTTCGGCGCTCCCGTCATGGAGGAAAGCAGGTTGCCTGGAACCAGATTGACATAACGAATAGAGGGGCAATTAAGTTTTCAAAAACTTGTATAAAAGATTTTGGAAGTTGTCTATAAATATACAAGATGATATTGAAGAATGACAATGATCATCGATTATTCAATTTCGAGTCCACGTTGACCGAGTAAATACAATTCAATCGTATACTAGGCAACTACATCACACAACAATTACAGTACTCAGTACTCAATAGCGTCGATAGTTTCCGGACTGCCCTGACAGCTTAGTAGTCATCCAAGCGCTCATGTCGCTCCTGGCCACGCTGCTGCAAGGAGCTGCTGTTCAACAGGTCACCAGCCTTCTCCATGCCCTTTCCAAGGGTGCCGTCACCGCCGCTACGGTTTGACGAGCCATAGGAGTCATTGCCCTAAGAACCGTAGCTGTCGTTACGGTTGGACGAACCGTAAGAATCGTTGTTGCTAGAGCCGTACGAGTCGTTACCGCCACGACCGGATGATCCGTAGGAGTCGTTGCCAGACGAGCCATAGTTGTCGCTGCGGTTAGACGATCCATACGAGTCGTTGTTAGACGAGCCGTAAGAGTCCTTGTTGGATGAACCGTAAGAGTCCTTGTTGGATGAACCGTAGGAGTCGTTGCCGCTACGGTTGGAGGAGCCGTAGGAATCAGTGTTGTCTGAGGATCCATAGGAGGAGGTGTTGCGGCCAGAGGAACCGTAAGAGTTGTCGTTATCGTTGTCACGGCCGGAAGAGCCGGAGGTGTTACCACTGCGGCCAGAGGAGCCATACGAATCGTTGTTGTTCGACGATCCGTATGAGTCGTTGCCGGAGGAGCCGTAGGACTTGTCGTTGTCACGGCCGGAAGAGCCGGAGGTGTTACCACTGCGGCCAGAGGAGCCATACGAATCGTTGTTGTTCGACGATCCATAGGAGTCATTGCCGCTGCGGTTGGACGAGCCGTAAGAGTTGTCGTTATCGTTGTCGCGGCCGGAAGAGCCGGAGGTGTTACCGCTGCGGCCAGAGGAGCCATACGAATCGTTGTTGTTCGACGATCCGTATGAGTCGTTACCGCTGCGGTTGGAGGAACCGTACGAATCGTTGTTAGAAGAGCCGTAGGAGTCGTTACCTCCAGAGCCGTAAGAGCGCTAGAGCATTATGTTAGTAATGGGATATGGTATAAGATGAGTCTGGTAAGAACTTTTCATGGGAATGCAATGGATAGGCCGATCGAGAGCAACCATCACCCTCCCGTGCGGATAGGTAAACAAAGAATATATCAACTTACGTCGTTATCGTTGTAAGACATGTTTGCAGAAAGTTGAATTCAGATTCTGTGATCAAGAAGGGAACCAAAACAACCAGCAGCTCAGAAGCTTGGGGGACTTGCTATTTAACATGTTTACGCCGCGGGGTCCTCGGGGAGGGGAGGTAGGAAACTACGACCAGGAAATGACGTGCTAGAGACTCTTGGTCCCCATTTCGATTCCCGAATAGGTACACTTGTAGGGAGCTGAGGTGTGGAGTAATTATCCCAGCCCATCTGATCTCGATCTGACCTGTTCTAGTGTGAATGAGGGGGAAAGAGGGGCAAAGGATAAGCGCTAGCTCCGCCATCCGTTCCCTCTATGGTGCCAAGTTTTCCAGCTATTGAATTTGAGAATTAACTAGAGGTTCGTCCTATTCCTAAAGCATGCTAAATAAGCACACTAAATATCTCTCTTGCCGGCCATGAGATTGATCTCGGAATATGCCACATCTTTCCTCCAAGAGGAGGGGAGAGGTGTCGAGAGCGAACACCGTGCTCGTCAAAGCTTATCCCACGGCTAACACGAGTCAGGCCCGGATCGACATGGAAACCATGTTTACAACCCCTTCACGTGGGGAAACAGAATCTGGATTTTGATGGTAGCGACGCATTCCATAATTCATTGTGGCGTTTGCGACCAATGCGCGAAATATTTCCCACCACGTTGGCGCGATGGGATGCACTACTCGTTTTCCTGTGGAACAGGGGTTGCAGATGCGAGTACCAACATCCAGATGATACGCACTCAGTTTTGCCACATCAACAGAGAACAATCTCTTGACAGGGATTATAATTCAGCAATAGTACCTCTGAGTGAGCTTGGGCCCTCAATTGGCATGAACTCGGTGCTATTTTGAGCCTATATACTCATTACCCCGCTATGCACTTCATCCTCTCTGCGCAAAGTCCTGATTCTACCCTCAGCCCTCCATGGGTGATAGTCTCGATATCTCTCGGCTGCTTTGCCCATATATGCATACTTATGCAGAAACAATCATGCGCGAATATTGACCAGCATAGGTACAATTGCAGATGTATATCAGCTGAAGCCACATGAACTCGGTGATTATCTATTTGCCCCTCTTTCGAAGAGCGCTCCATTGCAAACCCCCATGATGGAAATAATATGCACTGAAAGTAGCTTGGTCCCTTATTTTAGAAACCCGGCGAGATTCCGAAAGGCAGTCTCCAGCCCCACTGTCTACCCATCTACATATAGAAACCTATAAACAGGTGGCTATGCGATCACATGATGGTGAATTGGCTTCACGGAGGAAATCAGGCAGCCGGGCATTCATATGGTAGTGCTTCAATAGTTCACACCTAGTCGAGTCTAAGTGGAGCACGACAGGTCGGCGCTCTAAGCTACAAAATTAATATTAGCAGCCTATGCATTACTGTAAAATCCAAATAGCATCATCCTGACACTCATCGGAGGCATCGATCGCCCACCCAAGTCCTCTACCAGCCAAACTTCCCTTGGCGATCACACCCGTGGACCAATTCACCTCAAAAATATTTTCATTTCTCTTTTTGACACGATACACGCTGTCAGTTGAGGGCGTGTTGCGTGATGGGGGCCGTGGTTTGCCTAAAGAAAGCTGGAGCCATATAGCGTAATCGACGCAGCAATTTCGCTACCTTTCTTGTCCCTCGACAGGTGTACTCATTTCTTGCCAGCTTTTATCTCGACATCGCGACTAGTACAAATCACAATTCTGGGATTCAGGTAGCCTAAGGCAGTAGGGACTCTAGATCAGTCTAGACTTGAGAAAACGAAATCAAAGTTGATCTTGCAGAGAAGGCGGAGGGATGCTAATAGTCGTTCCTGTTCTCGTCTTGCTTATTAGATCTCCCCGTTTGGCTATGCCGATAATGGCACTTTCTTCAATTTGCTTGTTGGTAATAGTCTAATTTTCTTTTTGATCATAGGTCAGTGGCGACTTGAACACCCAAGAAAGGAAATGCAGTGTCCTAGATCACTATACATTCGCACCTACTAAAAGCTGATTTTGCTTCAGTCTCGGTAGGATGCTATTTCTTAGCGTACTAAATAGCAGAGCTTGACCGAGTTATATACCTTACCGTTCTCGGCGAAGGCTGCAAGCCAAAGGTTAACCACGTTTCAATGGAAAATAGTCCGAGTGTGAGAAGCCCTAAACTATTCAGGAATATCAGAGTCCCCATACTATAGAACAATAGCGGTGCAATTTTGGTCCGAAGTTAGTTTTAGGCCCTCCGCCTGACTGTTACCCTGTGCACGCGTACACTCCTCCACACTACCAGATCGGGCGCCTAATCCGGACCCCGACTATTCACCCTCTGGTTATTTTAATTCTGCATTATTCCTAGCATTTGAACCAACTCTCAACCAATTCCCAATCTGCACAAAGTACTATATTCTTTAAGATCACTATGGCTTCAATCCCAAATCCACAAGGTTTTTGTCATTTCAATTCCGAACGCCTCGTCTATCGTGCAGTCGAGGACTGCGACTCAGATAAGGAATTCCTCCAAAATGGAATCTTGAATGATCCTACCATTCAAACAATGAGCACTAGTCGCATCAAACGACCGAAATCCCTGAAAACCGCAGAGGATTTCGTAAAAATGATACAAGACTCCCTACTGGGAGTGATAATCTGTCTACCCCCTCCACCTGAGACATCAACTCCGGTGACAAACGGTCCAACACCCAAACCAAAGCCAAAGCCTGTACCTATCGGGCACATGAGTGTCTTTTACACACTTCCACCGGGCTCTGAACAAAACCGCTGTGCCATGCTGGGGTTATCACTTGCAGAAGGATTCCGTGGTAAAGGATACGGTGGAGAAGCCATCAATTGGGCGCTGGACTGGGCGTTCCAGCATGCTGGATTGCATAGGGTTAGTATCTGTGCGTTCTCTTACAATGTTAATGCATTGAAGCTTTACCGGAAACTTGGATTTGTGGACGAGGGCCGGGAGCGCGAAGCGGTATATCACCAGCGCAGTTGGCATGATTTGGTTATTTTAGGGATGCTGGAGGATGAGTGGGAGGTGTTGAGAGGGATCAAATGAAGACAATGGTTTGTTTTTTTTCAATCCAAGCTTTTGAATACTTCGAGAAAGAATGTTTCAGTTCATCATCTGGATCTTTAGTCCAAGCCCTAGTCAAATTTCCTCCAATGAACATTTGGTATTTCGCGATCTTTGCTACCTATCTACTTTCTATTGTCTCAGTTGAGCCAAGAACTGTATGAAGGTCTAGTTTGGAGACTTTACAAATGTGACATTCTCTATCTTCCCATCGGCCTTTTGACTCCTGTCCTTTGAATATCTGTGAAATCATCATTGAACCTCAAATCGCGGAGAATAGTCTAGAATCTGCTAGAATACCTTTGTCTCGACTGTGCTATGCATGATCTACGATTGTATTATATCTCTTGGAGACTACCTGTGCATTAGGCTGGATTTCGCGTATCTAGTGCAATTTTCTAATATTAAGAGCAACTTGGAAGGAGAACCTACTCTCACTTCTCACTCTCGTAACCTAATATGGGTCACACTGGATATGATAACACTTGTGTCAGAAAGACCAAAGGTTGGTCGAAGCTAGCTACTTTACCATAACACAGAATTTCTCGATGGGAATGGCTGCAACGATGCAAAGTTAAATTGATATATATACCTTGTGGTCTACTTAATTACTCAGAGTCTAATACCTGAAGGAATTCAGTCCATTCAAATCTATGTAGGCATGGAGATATGTTCGCACAAAGCCAATGAAACAACCTAGTGAAAAGTCAGCAGCAATAAACATGGAAATGAACTCACATGCCAGGCAAGGCACCCTGATAGCTGCCAAAACCCTATGGAAGCATATCTCGATAATTCAAGAGTCAGCCAGGCTATCAAACAAACCCTTCGGCGGATCTTCCAGCCTTTGAGAAGAATATCGAGCCGGAATAAAGTCCTTTGCAGCAATTTTAGCTTTGGTGATATCAATCCCAAGGGGATCAAAACAACCTTCAAGATTAGGGTGCTGCTTAAGCGCACGGCCAACATCCACAAGATGAATTTTGTGCCGTCTTACCTTAATCTCAGTAGTGTATCGCTGCACCAACCATCGAAGATCAACAGAATCAAGAAAATTCGACCGCGCCCCCGCCGCTCGAAGTGCGGCCTTGAACAAGTAGAATGGCTCATGGAAACTTACCACGCCATTGCCAAAGGTATCGCCCTTCACTTCGTGAGTCTCGAATCGAAAAAGAGCGTTAGGGAATCGTGCGCCTGGGTACACTGAGCAGAAAATGTGAATCAGTACGGTATTACCGCGATCGGGCCTATCCGGCCATGAGACACCGACGTAGTCATTGCGGTCTTGGGAGACTACGACAAGTCCGGCTTCTGTGTCGAGTGCATCGATGATCTGCTCTTTAGAGGCGTTTGCGATGCAGTCGATGTCCTTGGTTTGCCGGTTGCCGCCGAAATGGGTGATGGCGAAACCCCCGATCACAGCATAATTGATGCCATTATCGTTTAGAGAGAGGTGTAGGAGAATGGCGGCGTCGTTGAGCCGGCTGGTCAGCATGGTGGTGGAGGTGGAACGATGTTCTAGACTGATCTTATCGAGTTAGGTTATCCAAGTGGAGATGGTAGTGAGTCGGTGTTGAGAGCACAGTAATGGAAGGCAACATCATCGTTTATATACTCGGCGATCCTCACTGACCGACTATTTTCAGAATCCCACTAATAATGCCATTGTGTGGTGGTTTCAATTCGAAACCCGTCTTTTCTTTCAAGAACTATATTTGGACCCGACATTCGAGGGCCATCCGCTCAACTTGCCCTTTCACGGGAGTTTCCTTTGACTCGAATACTATTTTGACCGAATTATTTGAACAATATCTTTGTATCTCTCTTTCAATATGTTTCTCTAAGGATTTGAAATAGCGTCTGCTCTTATCCCCCATTGATGCTGACCCTTCTATTTACGGAAATGGGCTAAGTGTCTTTATTGCAGTCGATAAGGCCATTGCAATCGTTTCCTAGAATATACCATATGCATAACCCTATCAAACATGGCTAGTTTCATGGAAAAGAATATGTGTTGTTCTTTGTGAATCCCGGGTAGCAGCCGGGCTCGTATAGGCCAGTTGTAGATCATGAGTTCAATCCCTTATATCTAGATGAGGTGTACACAAACTAGACCAAATCAATGTATAATTAGTTCAATAAACAAACAAGGAGCCTTATCAAATATCTCCTGCCGACTGTACCATGATATTGTAGGAATCTATACTAACGCCAAAAGCGGTGTGACTCTCCCGCTTCGCTATCAATCGATCTTCAGCACTCATCCTGTCGGCGACAGCACTTTGCATCTTATTCTATTCGATACAGCCTACATTGAGGTCTGCATTATCGTCATGCTCATCAAACCCGACGACCTTTCTACACCAGAAATCTGCGCCCTCCTGGCCCTCCACTTCTCCGACCTCCAAAGCAAAACACCATCCGAATCCTGCTATGTCCTCGATCTCACTGCCCTCCAACAGCCCTCTATCTCCGTGTACTCAGCCTGGGAAGGCCAAGAATTACTAGGATGCGGCGCGCTTAAAGAGCTCTCGCAGACCTCTGGCGAAATTAAGTCCATGAGGACGGCTACGGCACATCTTCGCAATGGTGTTGGACGCGCTATCGTGCAACATATCATTAGCGAGGCGAATAGGAGGGGATATGTTTCGTTGAGCTTGGAGACGGGGACTGATGAGTCTTTTGCGAGGGCGAGGGAGTTTTATGCTGGGCTTGGGTTTGAGTTTTGTGAGGCTTTTGGGGACTATGTTCCCAGTGGGGATAACTGTTTTATGACCTTGAAGTTGCCTTGATAAGGATCAGGTGAATGGGCTTAAGGTAGTTGAAACGTTGTATATAGATTTATAAAGAAAATCAGCATAGAAGGAGGGATTCTTACCACCCCAGGTAACCCTTCCCGCTTACCTGACCATGGCGTGTTGGTCAATGAATCACCAAAGTGCGCTCTCCCTATGAATACATGTTCATATCCAAACCCTTTACTAAGTAGTCATCCGAATCTATCCTTCCTTTGCCCCACTATCGATAAGTTCTCATACAGTCTCCGTATAGCTTGTATTGTTCTATAGGTACATACTTTGTTTTACCCATCCAGGCATCCAGTATCTGTAAAACAAATTCCACGTATATTCGTGTCACCTCATGACCCTCATTACCGGTGCTGACTTGCTTCCGTACCGCCACACTCAACCTGTAAGGCTGATGGCTGATGACTGAAGCCTAGAGGCAAAGGTGGAGGTTGCAGATGCGCAGCGGTCTTGGCACTGTCTGATCCTCTCTGCAATAGCCCTGTTCAGTATCTTTACATAATCTTAATGAGCCACCTTTCCGCCAAATTTCAAATACTGTAGCTGTTGGTTCACGGGTAGAGTAAGCATGTGGCTGATAATTTCTGCAGTCCGCGGACGCCGAGCCCAGAAATGCAGGTGCCTAGAGACTGGTTTGACGGAGTGGGCTGTTGTGGGAGGAGCGGTGATGCGCCAAGAGTGTTAGTTTATGGGGCGGTGCTGGATTCTGGAATTTGGGGTTCATGTTCTCGTTTTTCAAGATTTCATTCCGTATGTAATAGTGGATATATGTATCGAGTGACTAGTAGGTATGGGGTCAGGCTAAGAACGTGTGCTGTGCAGGAAGTACTCCGTATACCGGCGGATGAGGTCGCCCAAGGCTTTTCTCACTCTCAGGGCTGTGAAGTGAAGCTACACCATTAAGAACCCGCTCTAGTTTTGGATCCGCGTGAGCCGCTATATCTAGCAAGAAGACTGGAAACTGTGTTGGGAAATTTCAGGTCTCTCTTGTGTCAGGACAAGTGGTTCGAAGCATAGGATAGAAAATGATATTGTATATCCAAGACACGAAGCCATTTAGCATTCATCACTTCCAAATCCTCCTTTCCAATCACTCCTGGTAAGTAAAAGGGAAAAAGATTCAAACAAACAACGCGCCTCTATTTAAACATAAAAACCACAGGTATCAAAGAGTAACCACTAGCTTCTTAGCAGAGACACCTTCCCTCAAACGCTCAAACGCCTCCTGGATCAATTCAAGACCATGTCCAACCACTTCAGGCTCAGGCGCAGGAACAAAACTACGAGCTTCCAACGCTCTGGGCAAGAATTCAGTCCAGATATGTCGAGCAACACCATTCTCCAAGGTCGGACCAATAGCAACGAGGTTGCTCTTGAATCCCTTCCTCGCTCCACGAATCTTATAATAGATCAGCGAAGAAACAAAAAACACTGCAGTCCGTAGAAACACGAAATTCTGAGGCTCCTTCTGAGGAACAGGGAACGTGACCATAGCGACGAATTTATTGCCCTTGCATCTCTCGACGATTTGCATGCATTTTTCCGCTGCGCCAACGCCGATAGATACCACTCCAGCTAGGGTTTTCCCTTGTAACGCGCCGACTAAATCGTCAACGACGGAACTGGTTTTGTAATCCCACACTCGAGATGCGCCTAGCTTGCGTAGATACTCGTGATTTTGCGGTGACGCTGTCGCAAAGACCTCGTAACCAGATGCAGCAGCTAGCTGAATAGCATTGCATCCAACGCTGGTTGATCCGCCCCAGATCACCACCGTCTGGTTTGTTGGCGACTGCTTTGGTTCCCGAGGGAGTCGCAGGCCGAGCTGCGCTTTATCGAACAAGGCTGCAGCCACAGTAGCCAACCCGAGTGGCAGGGTCGCAGCATGAGCAAAATCAACATTTTCGGGTATACAGCAGGCAAGATCTTCAGAGACGACCACGTATCGCTGAAAAGCGCCCTGTGCGGGATCATTGATGTTTTTATCGGCTGCTTGACTGAATCCGAGTACGCGGTCGCCGACCTTGAATCGGGTGACTCCATCGCCAACCTCGATTACATCGCCGGCCATGTCGTAGCCGAGAACGAAGGGGTATTTTAGATGTGTGTACATGATGTTTCCGCGCGACTGGATCAGGGTGTCGATAGGGTTGATGGCTACCGCGCGATTGCGGATGACGATTTGATGAGTGGAGGCATGTGGGAAGGGTGTTTCTTTTACTTCGAGGTTGCCTGCTTTTTGAAAAGGTTGCAAAGCAGCTCTGTTGGGCTCCATGGTAAGCGAAAGAGAGTAGAGGCTTTCCTATGTGGCCGACTTTCGAGAAGTAGGAGGAATATTTCGTATGTATAAAATCTGGCTATCAGGATTTCATTCAGTAGAAGGGTCCTTTTATAAGCACCCTTCGTCCTCACAACTTCTAGATGTATTGCATCTAATAACATACTTCCTCCATCAACTCACGGGCCCAAATAAGCCGACGGATGAACTACAGGCCCCACAGTGCGGAGGATCGGAATTCGGGATCCCAAGCCACCTTGGACTTGGACCCCAATACTCCATATAAACCGAGACCACCGCATCACCCTCCGCTAGGTAAAACAACAGATCATCCGAATAGACACCCAATATGCCGAGGACCCTCCCCGCACCAAATAGGCGCAGAGACAAGCCGCAGCTATCGTGCAACCCGTGCCGACGTAAAAAGTAAGCAGCATGATCCTAACGACCCGAGGCCGATGGATGTCCACGCTTAACTCCGATCATACATAGACGCCGGTGCGATCGTGGTAGGCCGTGCTGGAGGTGCCTGAAGTTAGATGATGCGGTAAATTGCACCTATGTGCCAGATCGTCAAAATAGGTCTGCTCGGAAAGATGGAAATGAGATGGAGGAGAACACATCCCCGCTACATGAGAGACATCCCACAGAGCTCCTATGTGACGTACTATTGCCTGGGGAGTTTGCCAAAAGTGCTAGCCCTTATCGAAGCCACCATGGATTATTGACCGGATCATCCTTTGGTATGGCCTTCGACGTCCGAGCCGAGGTTTACTTTTCGCATATCGACGTGCATTTTACTGACATCATGATTCAGAACAACCACCATCCCGATCGGGAACATGGCCTACCACTATCGCGAACGATACGAGCTCCGTACATAGATCGCCCACGTACACCATTCATCAAGAAAGACATAGAGCTGCGATAGTTGCAGCGACAGAGTGCTTCGGTAAAATTGCGAGTCCGAATGACCAACAATCGGAAACACAGCCGCAAACATACCATAGTATATTCAAATTTCCTATCTAATGTTGCTAATAGTCGACGTGGCTACCTTGTAAGCTGCGAATGGTCTCGAGGGTGTTCAATTTGAGATTCAACTTGATATTGAGCTTATATACAAAAGCGCATCATGATATATACGTGCCAACATCAGTCTCAAATGAAACGAGTGAGAGAGAAAATGCATCGGCTCCGTCCAGTGGCAACTGGCCAGTCTGTTCCAGGGATAATGGAACGTTGCAGAACGTATCGCAGAAAGATAGGATCTCCAGCATGCCCTGCTCCAGGACATCCATTCCCCAACTTGTCCAATCAAGCAGTCATCAAAAGAATACAACTGCACCCAAATCGCTAGAATATCTCGCCACAAAACGCCTAACAAAATCCAAAATCCAACCCGCTCGACGCAATAAGAAAAACCCACCATAATGAAAGCATGGAAATATAAAGCATAAGGGGGAGGAAAAAGAAAATAGTCATGAGTCTTCGTTGCATTGGCGTAAAAATCCATGGCAAGTCCCCAACCAGAAACAAAGCTAAGATGAACCACGAACACGGATAGAAGGACATAGCACAATACGCCGGAACGACCATAAACAATGGACATTAATCAGGAAAGAAAGGATAGAAATGAGGAAAGTAGGTAAAGGCGGAGAGGAGGTGGAAATGATAACAAGACATCAAATCAAAAGGGGCCTCCCTGTTCTATCAGGAGTATGCCAAAAGAGATTGAGAGTTCAAAGTTCCTCCGTGTCTTTGTTTTTCGTAAGAAAAGAGGTAGAAAGAAATATTCATGAAGAAAGACGGGTTCCAAAAAGCCTTCCTTATTTACCGGGGATACAGAAGTGTGGGAAGCAAAGGGATGAAACAACACAGGGATGGGATTCGGAACCTGGGAACAATTCTCAACCTGTCCGTGTTCTCCCGTGCTTTAAGATTCGTGTTTTGCTTCACTTCCCCTGTAATATCGAGATTGATACAAGGCAATACTGTTTTAACTTGCCCTTTGTTGTCCTCAACCCGCCAAAGTGCGAGGCGAATAGAATTAAAATCCTTCCTCGCCAGCCTTGCACAGCTTGATCTGTCGTACCCATTCGGACTTGAGGACCTGTGAGGCATTGATGCGGCGAGAAGGGTTCGGATCAAGAATGGAGTAGATCACGTTGCGGCAACGGGCCTGGGAGGTACATGGGGAGTCAGTCTGATGCCCTGCATTGCATAAATGACCTGCAGCAGCAGAAGTCGCGCTTACCCTATGCAGCGTCTCGATCGGCGCATATCCATCTTCATGCTTCCGGCCCTCCAGATACCGCTGGTAGAACTCGTCTTCCTCCTTGCGCGCCACGCGCCACAGATGCCGACCAGTTCGCATCGCCATATAGATCACGCCTGTAGCCCAGAGATCCACGGCACGGGGGTCGAATTCCTTTTCGATATACTCCTCCGGGGCGATATATGGCGCGGATCCGCAGAGGCCGGCGGTCATATGGGCCTCCTTTTCCCAGGCCATCCGGAAGCACTCGCCGTTGCCGAAGTCGGTAATTTTCAGGGCGCCGTGCGTGGTCAACAACAAGTTCTCGGGTTTCAGATCACGGTGGGCAACGCCCATTTCGTGCATATATTCGACACCACGCATCAGTTGTTTGAAAAAGCAGTCTGCTTCGGCGACTTCGAGTTTGCCGGCTGCCAGGACGAGGGTGTAGAGATCGCCACCGGCACAGTACTCCATGACCTCGCAGTAATCGCCCTTGGCGTCCTGCAGCAGATCAAGAGTGTGGATGACGTTAGGGTGGCGAAGGGAGGAAGAGATACAGAACTCCGAAGTCAACCGCTTTTGATACCTCTTGGCGGTCTCTTGAGGACGGCGGCGGAACTCCTTGACGGCGTAAAGTTGCTCGCATTTGGAGTCTGTGGGATCCACCTTGTGGGAGATGCGGACAATACCGAAGGCACCACGGCCAACAATCTCCTGGCATTTGCCGTATTTGTCCACCAAGGACGCGGTCGCGTTGGGCCCACCTCTCTTATCGGCTGCCAGCTTATCGCGCTCGGTTTTGAATTGGTCGATCCATGTCGACATCAGGGACAGTTGCTGCTCGTCAGGATGGTCGTCGCCCTTTTTCCTTCCGCCGCCCAGCATGTCACGGAGGAGGTCGGTCAGCTTCTCCTGTCGTCGAGCACTTCGAAGGTGGTGAATGTGAGTGCCGGTGCCTTCGGGGAGAACCTCGAAGCGCTTGTGTGTCGGAGCGCCATCCTTTTGGTCCTTGGAGTTGGCCGGCTTTTTCTTCTGGTTATCGACGGGCTCACTTTTCAAAGATGGTTGTCGGGAGGGGGCTCGAGAGGGGGGTCTTGAGTTTGCGCGAGATGAGGCCTTCGAGTTAGGCTTTTCCTTGCCATTAAGTGGCTGAACGCTCTCCATGCTGCTATCGGAGAGATCGCGGTGGGTAACATCGTGGTCTCGAGTCGGGGTCTGTTTCCCCGAGCTCGAGAACATGCGAGAAAGGCGAGAGGCCATGTTGACTTTGGAAGTCGGTTTCGTGGCCGGTGACGCCGGCGACGCCGGCGAAGGGAGCATGTCCCCGTTCGCCGCGGACAGGTTCATGCCCGCCAGGGCTCGTGTTACCGAAGGGTCTCCATCCCGAGGGTCATGTGAATGTTGAGAAGCTGCGGCTGAGGAGACTGCGGACGGAACAGGTGAGGGAGAAAGCGGAGTCATGTGCGGTGGATCTTTTTGGGAGATGACCGGAGGAGGAAGAGGGTGAAGTGAAAGATTCACAAGTCGTCCCCGGTAGGAGGAGAGAGGTAGAGACGAGCGTAGCTCGCACGAAGCTCAAAGCTGCGGAGCTGCAACCGATGCGCTTGTGGGAATCTCGCTGTTTCTTGTTGGAAGTGGATGAGGTGAGGTTGACGGGAAAAAAGTGGTGGGTGGGTGGCCTGTGGATGGCCTGAGGCAGCAAGGTGTGTACAGGTGACGACAGCGACTTCGCAGGCAGCCAAAAATGGGAGAGCGGCAGAGGGTCAGCAATGGAAATTGGCTTCAGTACGGTCAAGGGACTCTCAAAGAAAGAGGGTGGGAAAAAATTGGATTATATCAGGAGCAGCAAATTCGAGAGCATACGCCCCGAGGGGTATGTCTGATATGATATATACTGCACGAGGTAAAAGGAAAAAGAAAGAAAAGACGGAGGAAAAAGTGGCAGATGCGAGGGATAAAAACTGGCGATACTACGGGAGGAGCAGGGGAGAGACCGGTTGAAATACGGGAAACGAGGTCTGTATGGGGACGGAAAGAAATGTAATTTACGGGGCGAGGAGTCCCGAGGAATGGAATTTTTTTGCCTGGTGGGATTATTAAGGCTGAGGAAAGCAGGAGACGAGGGAATTCCAGGGAAGTACAGAGTACGACCGAGTACCTGGAGAGAGCTACCCCTCGGGGTAGATTCCGCAGGGGCTGGCGGAGTACTCGGTACAACCGGATCGACAGGTGGTACAGTCAAGTCGACACCAAACGGTCCGAGAGAAATTGTGACGCTGCAAAGAGCGACCCGGTAACGTGTATGGCCACCGTATCGAATGGCTTACCACACCGTCCTTACGCTGTACCGGATCGATTTTCCCCCTTCCACCTCCAACGGTGGGAGAAATAATATTTTGAGACCTAAGATTATTAATTGTCAGCTTTTTTCCCCCCCTTAGCCTTTTCAGCTTTCAGCCCTTTTCATCTTCCTGTATGACAAAAGTGGTATCTCAGATTAGTTAATTGCCACGGGCATTGTTCCAGCGGATTCTGTGAGGCGGCACCTCGAAAGCCACAGCATACTTACATCCAGTCTAAGTACTTACATAGGTGCTGATCATGCAATGATGATGAGAAGATGGAATTGGTTGATATACCAGAGTATTATTAATTCTTTCTGAAAATAATAATTATAATTCCCTTTCACATTTGCTACTACTATACCTCTGACGAGTTACTCTTCCAATTCTTCCCCCTCATATCTGCCCTCCATTATGGTCCTCCGTACTTTGGCCGTGTGGTAACATTCCTCATTTCCTCGTTACCGAGTGGCGCATGCCCTCCTGCCCTAGTGGTGCGGGCACAATGGATTTCCATCCAACAACTCCGGAAACTCGCAAAAAAAGAGGAGCAAAGAGAGGGGCCCCGTAACCAGGAACTCAACAAATACTGGAGACGGGCCAGGAAGAAAAAGGTAAAAACCAGGTACTGCTAGCACAACCACACGAACGACTACACCCAGCTTCCGAAGGCCCCATATATTGTACAGTACAGACTACAGTAGTTGCGTGTGTGGGATGGAGTTACTCCATACACGTCTACTACTATGGAGACTTATTTCTCGTGGTGAGTGATTTAATCTTCCTGTAATAAGCATCCTTCCATACGGATTGATAGTGTGTACGACTCCAGTAGTGACATCGTTTTGCATGAACATAGCTAGTTGATCTTTACGGCGTACGGTCTTCGAGTTGCTCCATACCGGAAGATCCCTCGTACCGACGCTGGGTCTGTTCCTTTTCCGTGGCCGCAACTTAGAATGATTAAGCACTATGCCAGTCCCATTCCGAAATTGCAGGACGATCCCCTGATGACGTCCCCCGTTTCGGTTTTGCTGGCCCGAAAAATGGTTGATAATTACTGTGCAGTACATAGGCGTTGACCCCGTTCACAAGGCCATGCTGGTCCTGTTCTGTTCCTGTCCAAGCTGCCCTCCAGTGACGTCGCAAACCGAAAAGCTGATTGGAGGCGTCAGTTCTCCCAGATGACAGAATCATCGTTGGCCGTCTCTAACCTAGGTAAATATTATACTTCCGCCACGCTCATCCGCCGAGCGCATGGTCCCGATGCGAGTGAGGCTGTGCACGTCGTCTGCATTGTCGAGAAGCCCAGTTGTGATTCGATCGCGGCCCCGCATCAGCAGGAAGAGCCGATGCGCTGGGTGCACCGTGTGGCGCTAGCATGGCAACTTGTCCTCTGTTCTTTGAGGGGTATTGATGTGGATGATCATGATGATGATGATGAACGATGATAATCATGATAATGATGGCTCGGTGGAGACATCGACATCACTGACCATCTGCAAGATGTCGTAGATCAGGCATAAATCTTTGCGAGATAGCGCATGATAGGATGTCAATGGACCTCTCAGAGATCTATTGTATCTGAAGTTTGTCTATTGTGCCATCGATAGGCCGCCCCGCTACGATAATGATCCCTCAGCTTGTGAATCCGCGGAAGTGCCTTGTTGCTGTATAGAATACAGCATGTCGATAAGATGGCAGAGGAAAGTGGATCTCGATAACAAGCTGCTAAAGTACTGCATTACTCGAATATCCATCTTCTGCGATACACTTCTGTTCTCAAATGCGTAGAGTAGGTTAGTGTGGGTTTCAACCAACCAATACGGGGCTAATCTCGTCCAAACATGTACGAAACAGAGCAAGCACCAGTCTACGAAGCAACTACTGTAGGAAACAGCTCTTCCAGTGCCCACTATCCACCCACTAACAAACTACCCGCCATCAAGACCCAACCCCAACCCCACCCCGGAAAAAAACAAATCGTGCCGTAAAAGAGACGGTGAAGCTCATGCGAAGAAACCTCGACCACCGGCCGCGCATACCTCCCCAATAACCCTGATACGCTCTTCTATATCCCTCAACTGATTACACAGCTACAATCCAGTGAATCTGCCAACATAACCAAGCTGACCAACTCATCTATGTCGGACAAAGCACCACCTTGGCGTCACAAAAAAGTAAAAAAAAAAACCGTCTAAGAAAGAATCATCATGGTCATGGTGTATTGGAAGTCATGGGCCCCGTTCTCTGTGCCAGCTGAGCGTGCTCTGACTACGCAATGGGCCGATAACCACTGGTCAGCCCATTTCACCCGCACCCGCCCCCCTCGAGATGCCGTCATCTGGCTGAGATGACGCTAGATGGGCTGAGTCCACCTCCCTCCCGCAAGCTACGACCTCGTATATCACCATACCTCCTACTGGCGTAAGCTTTCCAGTGAGTCTATCTTACAGAGGGATGATTATTTCCCCACGCTAGGATTCGACTGGCCCGATGGGGAGAAGTGCATGGTGGTTTATCCCCGGGTTTCGTAGTGGCGATCGGCCAGGCGGACGGCCTGAGTGGGACGCTTTGGCTGTAAAGGTTTATTGCGGCGATCAGGTTGAACATATTGGTTGCTACTTTTCCAATTATGAAGGGTATAGCGGTGCGTGTGTACTTGACTAGGAAGGTAGGTAGGCTCTGTTGGTTACTGAACAGATCATAGGCTGGTCACGTAAAGTATACACTTAAAGAGCCTTTGAGTGAATCGCTTAGAGCCTGTTTCATATTTTCTGTTCTTTTGCCGTCATGAGGGGCAGCGACTGAATGATGATCAATTACTGTCACTGGTGGGGAGGAGGTTCCCTCGAGCCAGGAGTAGTAAGTGTAACTGGACTTCTCCGTAGAGGCAGGCGCCAGTGCTTACAGAACGTACCCCGTACTAAGACAAGCTCGTCGCAGACTCGCATGCCAGTTTAGACTTCCGACCTGAGACGGCACACAGACTTACCCCGGATTATTGCCTTCTGACTCGTGGATTGCTCGGGGAATTGAGCCATTGTATTGCCCCCACGATTGATATAGACGTACACATTTCAACCACGGGTATAGCTAGCGAGGGCATCTTTCTAGCCTTGAGGATATTATAAATCCCACCCTGGAGTGTTAAATATGATTGCTCCGTTGTACAGGATTTACACACAGGAACAGCACATCAACATTAATCCGGGGCAACCTCGGCATCCTTAGTTAGACCCATGGCTCCGTAGCCGGAGCACATGCGCCAAAAAGGCAAACCAGAGGAGAAACCCCAAAGAGGACAGCCGGACACAACCAACAAAAGGAAAGAGAGGAAACATGTCATCTAACTTGATTAAGTGGGTGTGTACTCCGTACAACTCCGCTTAATCGTGAGAGTCGTTGGACAACACCCTCAACTCCTCTGACCCCGTTGTAATTAGACTACGAGGCATTTATTCCTCGCCAATCAGCGCTTGCACAGTTCGGGGAGGGGGCTTGCTCTGTTTGATTAATAATATAGTCCATATTGGCATAGAGATGCGATGTCTCTGTGCCATGCAGATGTAATGCAGATTGCTTTTGCTTTTGCTTTTCTTGAAGGAACGTTTTCTTTTCTTTTTTTTCCTTTGCTGTTGTGGTATCTTGGAAGTTCTTGGCTTCGATAGCAAGCAATCCGAACCTGAAGAACAATCCCTCGATACAAGTTTCAACGTAGTATATACCAAGTAACTCCGTATTGCAGTTTAATTTACCTATATTACTTATTCCCGTACGCAGGTATGCGTATTCCAATTCTATACCTGTAAACGTACGAGCCCCCATGTATGGTAGCGAAAAGAAAACGGGATCCAAAGATCCCACCCTCCAGCTACTGTAGCTAGTCTGATATGGCAGGTATTCGCATCATCCAAGTTCTCCATTAGGTCCGCCTGTGCTGTCAACTTCTGAATCCCGTCCACACAGGTCCCTTTGTCAGTCTGTATCTCTGCCCCTCTGGAACCATAACCACGCTTACCCCACTATCCAAGCGCGAGCCACCCCGTGCCACGAGCACAGCGGGAATGCTAATTCTACACGGTACCTGCCACGAACAATGGTACTACTATACTACAGTAGGGCTTTGTAGGGTTTCTTATGTACTTTGTACTACGTATTAGGGGCGAGAGGGGAAAGACCGAAACAAAGCTTCCCACTGAACCCATGGCGCGGGCGAGTCCAACCGTGTCTTGCTGACCGCCATTTTCGGGGGTGAGTATTCCGGGATACTGGACTGTGAGATATGGTGGGGATGGTCAGATGGCCCAACACATGCCTTCTGTGCACTGGTGATACAGGTGACTATTCGGTGTTGGAAGATTTGTTCGATTGTCGAGAGGTGTATTGTGCCATGAAGCGTGGGAAGTAAAGGCGAACTTGAGTTAAGCTGTGGCCGAGCTGAGCTTCGGCATCTGCAGGGAGCTTGGATGTTAATGCGTAGGAGTGGCTGGTGTAGTGCTGATTGGCATTTCTGGGCGTAGATGGTACGACACTACCGTTCTGATTGTTCAGCTTTGATATGTACCCTAAATACAACCTTTTTCTGGCTACATGGTTCAATTGCCATACTCGACAGACACTGAACTCAGAATAAGATCCTACCCACATCGAAACCTCATCTTATCCATCTACCAGCATCTACGTGACTGTCCGTCCCCCCGTAGCTCATCCTAGGATGCGGCAAATACCTATATCAGACCAGGCTATAGCCCAACTCGGCATCGTGCATCCAGCCAGCGGTCCATGCCCTGCACCAGGATGCAGCGTTCAGGCTTGGCAGGGATTGGGATGTTACTCTCGGTGAAGACTGATAGAGAATGTAATCCACTATTAAGGCATACCCCGCGGAGATCGTCAAGTGGGTTTCGGTGGCTAAGATTCCATAAAGAAAGTAGCCTGCTTGTGTCTGTGGCAAAGGTAAGCCGGAGTATTGTCTTCCTATGTATATGAGCCTGGATGGGGAATGGGGCGGATTGAAGCGTGGGCCATGGCCCGGGCCGGTCCTGTGCATGTTATTTGGATTTCTCCATTGATATTGGAAGGGCGGGAGGACCTGAGATGGTGTGTTCAAAGTAATTCGCTAGTACAGGTCCAGGTCTTGGAAGATGGGACTTCGAAACGCAGTGGTAATATCAACTGTGCGATCAACAAAAGAAAAATTTGTGTAGATAATGTTTCAATTGACTTTGATACGATATCAAGATTACTCTATGATTCCACCGAGCTTTGCATACGGTAATGGCCGTCCCTTGATAGCTATGGCCACGGCTCAATATGCATGAGCCACGCCAGGACAGAGCTAAGGAGTCCTGCTTTGTCTTACCTGGACAGACCCATCATTGGACTGTTTCTTTTTGGCAATTGCAATCTACCTTGGATCGACATTCGCAATGATGCGAGAGCGTACAGATAGGCAATAGCAGAAGAAAAGAGACCGGACAAGGATAAGGTTGCAGGCAAGCCCTTTAGAAATAGCAGTGCAAGGCTCCTCTCGAGATTGGATTCAAATAGGCTATTTGACATGTTATGACGCAAGAAGCCTGTCAATGCCGACATTGCTGCCTTGGCCTCCCGCTATCCGGGTTCACCCGCTCTCAGTAGCTACCTCAGCCCTTGTTCCTGACTGATAGTGGAGAGAGCTAGGTGCAGGGTTGCCATAGGCGAGAACCCACTTATCGAGAACCGCTGCTGTACCACGTGGGATATCTGCCCCGTTAACTGGGACCTTGATCTGCTCTGAAAAGGCAGTATGGGGGGCTGGTGCGTGTGGAGTGTGCAGAACGGTGGGAGGAAGACATTGCGGTGTGTTACAATTTGTCTCCTCGGGTTGCTCCGTTTCACGTTGCTACTTGAACGTGAGTGACATGTGGGTGTTTACTGTGTGAACACCCAGCTGGGTGCGGAACAGTTTCCAATCGCCAGTTTCCGTGGCAGGGCCGGCGCGCCAATTGGCTTGTAGGAAGACATTTTCGAATCACGAAAGAACACGGGTCTGCTACCGGATCAGAAAACGGGTCAACATTAAAAGAAGGCGGGGACGCCTCGTCTATGGGGGTGGGCAAACGTACCACGAACTGCTCAAGTGACTCTTCGAAGAGCTCGTTGTTAACGCCCACGCCGCCTGGGTGTTCGGCGGGGGAAAGAGGGTTCTTGACAACTGTGGTAGATGATTGACGACTCAGAAGTGCTCCATGTATATCTCCTGGGGCCAGCACGAACCGTATTCCACATAGAGATTGATATAGATCTGTTGCAGGGCGATGCGCATGCTGGGGCTCTTGGTGTCCGTCAACATGACGAACTTGGTATTGGTCGGGGTCTCGTAGTAGTGCAGCTTATACTGGCTGGTGTTGAAGGATACGAAGCTAAAGAAGGGTTTCGACATTAGTCTCGTGGGTTTAATCCGGTATAGGTGTCCGTGGAGAGAGCCTCACTTGTCCTCATCACCACCCAGCTTGCGGACCATGTTCCGCAGTGAGAACACCGTACCAAACACCAATTTTGAATCGTCATCGGTAGCGCGCATCGTCTGGCCAGTTCCTGCCTGCCCAGACTGGGCTGCGTTCTCGGTGCTGCGTGACTTCCCCACGATCGACGCCGGGCGAGGCAGCCAGCGGCGCTTGTAGATGCATTCCGCTGCCAAAAGGGGGTAAAGTCAGCTTCATGCATCCCGCTATCTTTGGAGAGTCAACCTACCGTGGCGGTCAAAGATATAGAATGAGTAGACGGTCATGGCTGGGGAGCAAAACACCTGGCAAAGCTTAATAGGAGGTGATTTGTTGATGTTCAGGGGAGGAATTGGGGCGGTGAGCGGGCGGTATCGATAACCTTGTCAAGTCTATCGATAAAATGGAGAAAAGCCGGTGCCTGGAGAGACCAGTCCTGAGAAACACCCCCAAAGACTGGTTTTCTATTTGCTAATTTGGAATTTGGAATTTTTTGGGGTCTCCGTTTTGATCATCGTTGCAGAAGAGCAAAAAAAGCTTCTTCTTTTCGCCTCGTAAGGCAGACAGCCTGCATTTTGCCCGTTATCTGCTGTCCCCCGCTCTCATCTTCCTCGACCCTCGCTACCCCACACTTACCCAGACAATTCTCACCCTGCCTTGGGAGAATCGTCCCCTCTATACGGCACCAGCACCTCGTTTCAATGGACGACACCGTTGCGACTCCCCTGTCCGATGTCTCTGCGACGCCCTCGATTGATTCTCTCGAGGGCGCGGGTCTGCCGCCGCGGCCCTCTCGAGTCGCGTAAGCTGTCTCTTCTCCAGCATGAGACCTGCGGAGGTCAAATTGTTCTCCTTGTTCTCTAGTTATGGCCAAGTAGCTGATATATATGCCTATCTCATTCTTTTCAGTTCATCTGGATCCTTTGATAGTCTCCAAAGACACCGCCAACGAAACCCCCGAGCTCGGCGTCCGGTGAAGGTGGGTGGAAGATTTGTACCGCGCGCGAGAACAAGATTCCAGCCAGAGACTGATTCGTGTCTCATGGGCGCATAGGAAACGCTGGACGCCCGCTCCGAGTATAGAACGAGCCAGGACGACGGCACAGCAGAGCATCGAATCAATCAGTATATCGTCAAACAGGAGATTGGACGGGGGTCCTTTGGTGCCGTCCATCTGGCTGCTGATCAATTTGGCAATGAATATGTATGGACATTTTTCCTGGATAATTGCGTTTGTGATGGTCAGTGTGGACCAGCGAGGGTTGAACTGTGTTGTGCTGACAGAATGGCCATTCCTAGGCAGTGAAAGAGTTCTCCAAATCCCGGCTTCGAAAGCGTGCCCAGTCACATCTATTGCGCCGACCGCGTGGGCCTCGACGACCCGGTACAGGATTCAATTCACCTCTACATCGCCATCCATCTCAAGATGACGACGAGAACGCCAAAAATCCACTGTACCTGATAAAGGAGGAAATTGCAATCATGAAGAAGCTCAACCACAACAACTTAGTCTCCCTGGTTGAAGTCCTGGACGACCCGACTGAGGATTCCTTATATATGGTCATGGAGATGTGCAAGAAAGGTGTGGTCATGAAGGTCGGCCTGGAAGAACGTTCCGATCCATACGATGATGAGCACTGCCGCTGCTGGTTTCGAGATCTGATTTTGGGGATTGAATACCTGCATGCGCAGGGGATCGTTCATCGAGATATCAAGCCTGACAATTGTCTCGTCACTAATGACGATGTGCTCAAAGTGGTTGATTTTGGCGTTTCGGAGATGTTTGAAAAGGATTCCGACATGTTCACTGCCAAGTCGGCTGGATCTCCTGCGTTCCTCCCTCCAGAGTTGTGTGTTGTGAAGCACGGCGATGTCTCCGGTAAAGCGGCGGATATTTGGTCGATGGGAGTCACCTTATATTGTCTCAGGTACGGACGACTTCCGTTCGAGCAGCAAAGTATCTTTGAGTTATATGAAAGCATTCGAAATGATGCCGCGGACTTTGAGGAGGAGCAGGACACGAATTTCAAGGATATGATGACTCGTATCTTAGAAAAGGACCCCGCGAAGCGTATTAAGATGCGAGACTTGAGGGTGAGCGAAAGATCAGGCAATTGCCCGGGCCTGTTGCATTTTTACTGACATTGGGCTACCAGGAACATCCTTGGGTAACCGCCAACGGAGCTGATCCCCTTCTCTCCTATGACGAGAACACGGCACAGATCATCGAGCCACCCACGGAGGAGGAAATGAACCTGGCTATCACCAAGAACATGGGCCATCTGCTAACAGTGGTATGTATCGGGCTTTGGAGTTAATAGCTTGCCGGGTCACTTTCTAACGGGTTGAACGCAGATGAAAGCAGTCCAAAGCTTCAAACGGTTAGTAGATCCGTCTAAAGCAGGACCAGTCTTGCAAAGTATCTTGGGTAGTGAGCATGATGCTCACTTTGTTGCGCCGCCTATGGAAATGGATGAGAGCGATGACTTTCCGACCGTTGGGCTGGATCCCAACGCCGATCGTTATCGTCATGGTCTCGCTGGCGGTACCAGGAAGGCCTTCGGACGGCATCCTATGCTGGCAGGGTCACATGGTCGAGACGAACCAAGCGCAGAACGATCACCGGCAAGCAATCTCCTAAGCACCGCGTCAGCTGCAGAGGATAGTTCAGCCAATAGCCAACGATCTAGAGGCGCCTTTGACCCTCCAGAGCGAAAAGACTCCGGCTCAATACGGAGTGGAAGGTCAATGGGGAAAATAGACACAACTGGAATTCACTCCCAGTCGGCATCACCTCACCCTGCACACTCGCGAGCTAGTTCGGCGACCACCAAACGCAGCGTCGAGGGGACGAGGGGTCATGCACGGGATCCGCTTGAGGAGGACTTCCCGTATCTCTTCATTGGTCCATCGACCTACACTGGCACGTCACCTCAGGAACCCAGCAAATATAATATTGGCAGTGATCCAATTCCAATCTTCACCGAGCCCGACAGTACCGAAGACGGCATGGATCCCGCCTTGGACGCAGCCATCTCAGACGAGCCCATGCCGATCGTCAGTGAATCCCCCGGCGCAGCCGAGTTCGACATCTACGAGACGGCATACCGCACGGAACTCGAACGCATCAAGTCCAAATCCTCCACCTTGCCTGGCGCCGGCGTCAGTCCCAAGGTGTATCTCACCCGCCGTGTGGAGGGTAAGCACGAGGTGATGAAGTTTGCCAAGGACAAGGTAATTGATCTGCAAATTGGCAATAAGAAACCCTTTCCGTCGGCCGGTAGATCCGCGACGGCGTTTGGATCGGCGGTCAGCCTGCTTCGTAACCAGATGGAGCAGAAGAAGGTGGCCGAGCAGAGGAAGGAGGATACTGCGGCGGTGGAAGAGTCGAATCCGGGGAAAGACGCTGTGGAACATCAACAGGGTTCTCCTCGTGAGCGCCGACAATCCCATCCTCCTTCCTCGTCGCTCTCGTCACAGTCGATTCCCGGCCCGGAAGCATCGTCTTTCGAGGCAACGGGCGTTCCGGCTTCAGAGGCGGGTGCGGGTGCAGAAGACTCAACGGCGCAGTTGCGTCGTCTTCTCGCTCGTGTTCGTGATAAGCCCGAGGAGTACACTGAGACTTGACGTGTCGGAAGGAGAAGAGAAGGGATATATGTACATAGAGGAGGGTGTTGGTCGTGTAAGAGAAGGATGGAGCGAGAAGCGGACATGCCTGGATAGTAGATAGCAGACAAGACTAGCATCGCGTGCTCCACTTTCCATATAAAGCCACATATCGTTAATTGGAATTTTTTTCCATTTCGTCTTCTTACCAGTGACTTCATAGTTTTCATCCCCTTGCATATGACAGGACCTTGAATCTGGTTTTCAATCACAAGCTGCATATGCGCAACTCCCCCCCCCCCCCCCCGACGAACATAGCTGAGCAAGATGTAGTTTGCCGAGTAGGACAAGGATGGTACACTCGTTCAATAGATTGGCATTCACTCCTAAGGTTCCAGACGATATCGATTGGTAGAACGTTGCGAATGGTCCGCCCCTCCTAGGTTTGTGGGGGTAAGTGGTAATGTTACACAATGAGCCATGCCCCTCAACGTAGATCTACATGGTACATGGTACATGACAGGAGTAGAGTTACGGCGTAGGTCTGCTTCTCCACGTAGTGTAGACTAACAGGGAAGATGCCTAGTATCAGTGCCTTTCTGCCCACCCAAAGCGCTTCCCGCTTTGGGTGCGCCCGCAATCCTGGGCATTCCGCAATCCTGGGCATTTTGTAGAGAAATCGTCAAATTTACCAACCAACTAGCTAATTATCAACAAAAAAAAGCCCTCCTGCCTGCCTAGCCGCTTCCTCATTAGCAATTGCCCGCTGAATAGATTCCTCCGATCGCTGTGTGGGTTCGTAGCCATATAATTTCTTGAACTGCTTAGCTAGCTTTCTTTCCGCCTTGGCCAATTCTTCCTCCTTCCTGGTCTTAATCGACCGATTCGCATCGCGTGTAGTTAATATACCAGTCTGGCTAAGTAGTTTAACCTGTCGCTTGGTGTATTTTCGACGTACTGGAGCCTGCGCGGCCCTTATACGCTGAATTGTATCCCGCGTCATCGAAAGCTCCTCCGCCATCTCCCGCTGGTGCGCCATCAACCTCGATAGATTTCGCTGCATCTTATCTGATAGATCCTCGAGGTGTTTAGTAACCTTCGCCTGATTCTTGCATAGTGCTTCGATAGATTTCGGAGGGCTATTTTCAACACTAGAAGACGAGAGATTGGGTGGTGGTGGTGATGGTGTATGCGAGCCCCATGAGCGAAGATCTGGTGCGTATAGATCAGGAATCACTAAATCCTTAGCAAGATTATCAACAACCTTGCTACCGTCAACTGGATAGATTCCACGATCTCTGAAGGATTCGCGGATAATTCGCTGTGTAAACGCCTTCTTGCGAATTGGCCCGATAATCGCGAGGAAATCCGATTTCCTATACGGCTGGCCACCCCAGAAAGCTAACTCATTATTTATCAACCGAAATTGCTGCTTATAATTTAGGAAGGGCTTTCCATCAAGTAGCTGGCAAATATGCGTCGAATGCGGCATAAACGCAAAGGGGATAATCGCATTATCCTCGCAGAGTTGAAGAAATTCGAGTGTAAGATGCGCGCCATGGCCGTCGAATATAAGAACGCGCTTTTCACCCCGATTCACACGATGAGCAGTCAATTGAATAAAATAGCCTAGCCAGGCTAGGGCTAATTTATTAGAAATCCAGCCATTAGGAGATGTAGCCGTCATCGTGTCTGGTGAGAGGTTTTCGCTACCGTAGAACCAGGCCTCCATAAGATTTCGGCCAGTTCCCTTAAATATAAAGAGAGGGTCCATCTGCCAGCCGTCTACAGCAATACACTCTAGTGCAGTGATATTTTCGCCTCTCTCAGTCTCAGCGAGATCAGGGCAAGATGATTTAGCCCCAATAACGTTTCGTGCTCGCCCTTGACCAGGTTGAAACCCGCATTCATCGAAGTTATATACTAGCCGAGCGGGGACGTTATGGAGGACCAGTTCTAGCTGGTCGTACCAGTGTTGAAGAAGGCCTGCATCCTCCGCTTGGATTCGCCTTAGTTCCTTAGTCTTTCGCTTCACAGGACCTAGGCCAAGATTTTTTGGTAGACGCTTTATAAAGCTATACGCCCAGTTTTTACCAACCTGCGTATCCGGCTGGCCCGATCGCGCGAGTGCGCGATTTGCCCATGCGCCTACTACCGCAGCAGTAGGTGGTAGGTTCCAGCCATGCATTTGAGCTATCCAACTAACCAAGGCTTTCTCCTGGTGTGGCTCTAGGAGATTTTTCAGCGATTTGGTAGGTGTAATAGGCGATTTAGCCATTTCGACGCGTCTGGTCAAGGTCTGGCGGCTAACACCGAATTCACGCGCAATCTTGGTGATATTTGGTTTCTTTTGGGATAAAACCAATTTACAGGCCTCGGTCAAGCGAGATTCATCAAAATCAGTAGATTTAGGCATGTTGGGTGGTTGAATTGGATAGTAGTAGGCTACTGGTAGAAAAATGCCCTGGATTGCGGAATGCCCAGGATTGCGGGCGCACCCAAACCGGGAAGCGGTTTGGGTGGGCAGTAAGGCACTGATAGATAGTGTTCTCCAGGTCTGGCTAGGTAGAACGATAGTTGTACTCTCAGCCGCCACCGAGAACATGAAATAAGGAATTATACAATATGTATACATGGTTCAATCATGAGCTCGCCTTTTTCCATGCACTAAGTCTTGTATCGAGCTTGGTGCTCGAGAAAACAAATAGCATGATCATCATACGCAAGTCCAGTCTACCAGACACAAGAGGAGCAATTCACAAAGTATTGTCCTCGCCAATGCAGACAAAACGGCATCGGCAGAGCAAAAGAGCAAATTATGCGCTGTCATTATAAAATAAAAGCAATCCATAATCTTACATGCGCCATAACACAGTAACAAGAGAATGTGCGAGTAGAAAGAATGGGAAAAATCGAAGCCAATCGCAAAAAAGTTCCAGAAAAATGGTCTGATCTGGTGGCCAGGTCAGGTCAGGTCAAGTTATCATTAGCCTGTGTACGTGACAGGCGCGAAGTCATAAATGGAAGGACGAGTAGTGTCCCATGAGAATGTAATAGAGCAAAAGGAATGGGAAAAGGTGGAAAGGGTGAAGGAAACGGCGTCGAGGGTAGGCCGGTTCATCTATTGATTGGTGGTATCCAGAGTGAGTGTGGGATGTCTGGGAAAAGAATGGGCGTATTGAATAGTACAAAGGTGTTCCGGATCAGGCTTGATGAGAAGTGGAGGTTCATTGTAAGAGCAGAAAAATAGATGCCTCCGAAAGAAAAAGAGAAGACGAAGAAGGTTGCTGTTGCCGTGCTCCTGGTGATGTGTGGTGTATTGGAGACGTCGTGATCGAAGAGAGGACATGTCATGGCACGTCATGGCAACAGAGAGCACACAGACAGAGAGACACGAAAGGCCAAGAGTTGAAACTGTAGAAACGTGGAAGATCGAATATGGCAAGGCTGATCAAAATCCAATCAATACAAGGCAGGATAGGGCGGTATAACATTTGACGTCAATTAAACATAAAGCATTGGTTCATGAAAGATGATCTTGAACTCGATAATGAAAAATGGAAAATGGAAAATGAGTAAGGCTGTATTGTATGGGAGGTCCATATCTTCGTCGAGTAGTCATCAAGGACATGCCCATTAGTGCCGAACGGTGAGTGCCGAGAAGGACTGGCAATGTCAATGGCAATGGCAGTAGAAGTCGCGAAGTAGAAGTAGAAGCAGAAGCGTAAGCATCGGCGCTTATCATTGTGACGCATAATCAGAACAAACCGCACAGGACAACATCGTTGCGTAGCATCGTGCATGAAGGAATTTGTAAAAGTGTCGAAAAGAATCAAAGTCGCAGGAGAGCGAAGCAAAGTTGTAATCAAGCGAAGATGTAATCGAAAAATGGAGAAAAAGATCGAATTAGACGCAAGATTGGATGAATGGATCGGATCCAAAAGCGCAGCGCAGTGCAGTGCAGTGCAGTGCAAGATCCAAGGTAAACATAAACAATAAACGCAACTCGAAACGCTGTACGCTGTCTATTGTTCGTCAAGAGTTCATTTCATGAATTCGAGGTCGTCGTGAGACATGTTGCAGTATCAAGGTAGCTGCAAAGGGGAGGGGGCAAAGGAAGGGGTGTCGGGTGTAGGGTCGTGTTCCAAAGATTCAACAGCAATCAAGAAGGTGAAGCAGGTGAAGCAAGTCGGACAAAGAGAACCATATCCTCGCAAAATGGACTGGACCAAGGCACAGTCGTAGTTGTAGTCGGTTTGCACCTCTCGGGTCCATCGAACCTTACCACAGGGGCCATATTGAGCAAATCTCAATACTCAATCCCCATAAAGTCGAACCCAGCTTCACAATCGATATCTACCTCAACGACTTCTCACCAGGCGTCGTACTAGCTCTCCCCTCAGCATAAGGCCCCATCAGTGGCTCTCTCTCCCTCTCCCTCTCCCCCCGAGTAGCAATCGAGTCCCTGTGCCCACTATCCGGCGGCGAAAAGCGATCCGGCGGGATAGCCCCGTAGGAGCTACGCTCACCAGGATTACTATTCAGCCTTTCCCGGAAAGGGTCCCTTTCCGGCGGACCTAGTTGCAGCGTGCCTAGTTGCAGCGCATGCGGGGAGGGTAACGGGTGGGCCATTTCGTTTAGCCGGGGTAGTTCGCGCATGTTAGGGCCCATGCTGCGGGATGGCATATCGCGGCGCTCGCTGGTGGGTAGAGACGGTGGTGCTGGAGCGAGAGGTCTGGTGCTGGGTACGTCGTAGGGAACGAGGCCTGCATTTGGGCCGTGGATGGGCTGCGATGCTGTAACTGTGGCTGTGGCTGTAGGCTGTGGATATGGCGCGAGGGACGGACCGGCTGGACTGGTTGGTGAGGGTGGGATTTTGAGACGGTTGGGGTTTGCGCGACGGGGTGGTGGATAGGTCTCGCCGCGGGCTTCGGCGGCGGCTTTGCGGCGTTCTGTTTCGGCTTTGCTGGGTCGGCCGCGTTTGCGGGGTGGTTCGCCTGTGGAGGTTGTGTCGAGACGGGGGGAGAGTTGGGCGGAGCTTTCGCTGCTGTAGGAGGCTGTACTTGCTGGGGGGCGAGGTTGGATTGCGCGTGGGGCGAGGGGCTTTTCGGCTGGGTAGAGGGGTCGTTTGCGGAGGTTTGAATCTATTGTGGATGGTGTTCCTGGTGCCTCTGGACGATGTATTGAGACTGTAGTTGGTGGTGGTGGTGGATGTGGTGGGTGTTGATATTGATGTTGATGTTGATGCTGGGCTTGAGGTTTTTGCTGTGCTTGGGGCTGGAATGGTGATTGCGATTGCGACTGGGGTTGTGTTTGTGATGTCAATTGCAATTGCATGTTTTCAAAGGCCAATCTGCATTGGCTGAGTGAGCGGCCTATTGTTTGGATCCGTTTGATAGTTGTTAGTGATCAATGGCTGGACATAAAGGTGCGGCGCTATAGTTTCCTGGTCTTTAAATTACCTTGAGGCAAAGGGATATGCTCCCAGCTAGGATTGATACGGCACTCATTGATCATGCGAAGGAGATAACTGGACGGAATGCCCGCTTTCTTGAGGATTTCGCTGAGTAGAGTATTCTATCGGCTGTTAGTATAGTTCGATATCGTTTCAAGCAGGGTGTCTAGTCATACCTTCTCCTCCTCGGTCCATGGCATATCAGGTGGACTCGACATATCCAAACCATCAAAGCCAGAACAAAGACGTTTTCTTCCGTTCGTCTGAATACCAGCAATAGTAGATTGATGGGCCGATGGGATCAATAAGTCAATAGAGGAGAGCTACCGTCACCCTCAACGCTCGTCACCGTTCAACAAAAGACAAACAAAGCAAAGACAGCCTCCCAAGATAGATATTATATCGGAGCGAATGGCAGCAGATCAGAAAAGAAAGTCGTGTGTACGCGCCCAACAAACACGCCAGCAACGGTGGACAACTTGGAACCCTCGAGAATAAGGAGAGTAAGAAAGGAAAACAAAAATAAATCACAACACGCAAATCATGAAACTCTTATGTGCCCATCCTCTCACCACGAGGGTAGAGCAAAAAGTCAGAAATAGGCAGTCGAAAAATAAAGAGAGAAAAAAAAGATTGCTTAAAGAGGAAATCCTCAAGAAGTCCTCGATTGCCAACCGACAGCCGACGAAGGACGAGAGGCGAAAAGCGAATGCGAGAGAGCGTGTGTGTGTGAGGGAGAGAGAGAGGAACTGGAGAGGAAAACAAAATGCAGAGATAAAATCAAAAATCAGAAAACAGGATAAAAAAAGGATAAAAAAGAAGCGACCTCAATTGAGGGCTTTACAGCCACAGGAAATAGAGGTGCAGCAAAACAAAACGCGGTCCATGAATCCCCGGCTGGAAAAGATTGGCCAACACGGACTTGAGCAACCGGGATCGCGCAGGAGGGACCGCGGCGCGTTGGACCGGAGGGAAAGCTGCAGGGTCTAAGTCGTGTTTGGGAGGGGTTGGTGAGAATGGGTGGAGGAGGAGAGGAGATAATAGGTGGCGGAGTAGTGGAGGAGGAGGAGGAGGAGGAGAATAGGGAGAGATAGAAAGGTAGAAAGAGAGAGAGAGAGAGAGAGTGAGGTAGAAAGTAGAAGCAGAAACAGACGCAGGAGAATTGGCGCAGGAGAAGCAGTCGCAAAATGCAGTAGCGATAGGTACGGAGAGAGAGCGAGCACTTGGGCCAAGCACAAGAAAGTAGTAATGCAGTAATGCAGGTGTACGGGATCAAACCGAGCTTAGAGGGAGTCGGGGCCCAGGAATTACAGAGAGAGAAAGGCTAGAAAAATGAAAATAGAAACTCCCTAAAAAGGAAATTAAACAACAAGGGAAAAGTGTATGGAGTAGTAGAGCGAACTGTACGGAGTGGCCCACGTCGAGTGGCAGGGGGGAAAGGGTGAATAATGGGAAAAAAAAAAATTTAGAGACAAGAACAGGGAAATCGGGGAGTTTCATCTCTTCCAGAAGAGTTCGAGACGAAACAAAATTACTACTAGTAAGTTGTCACTAGTAATGCACGTCGCCGGAGGGGCTCGTTCTGAACAACAAAGTACGATCGAGGGGGGTTAGACTGTTAGACTGTTAGACTGTTAGCCTGTTAGCGTACAATTCCACTGGATTATTCTTGAGGATAACTGTGGACGGAGACACACTAAGACTCTAAAAGGCTAAACTGTGATGTATGTAAACTAGAGGAGAGTCCGTACATCCCATACATGGATGATGGACGGGAGAGTCCTTTGCGCGTGGAAGTGGAGACAAAACTGGACTCTGCATGGCTAGTGACTAGTGGGAGATACCACCCTCGTCTGGCGGACGAAGTACATAAGAGAGAAAGACAATTCCATAGTTTTAAAGGGACCAGATAGATTACTATCTACTCCGTACAGATACATAGCCTAAATAGAGTGGACGCTAGACAGCCCGAGTTAAATCACCCTCTACGGAGTATGAATGTACTCTAATCCCTCCGTGATCTTTACTGACATAGTGGAAACTCTGGGAAGCGCGAAAACGACAGGCCCTGACGAAAAGAGACTAACCCAAGACAAGGAGTGACTAACCTCTTACACTAGCAGGGTTATTAGGAGGGCGACAACGCATCAGGGGAAAACAAAAAACAACAAATAAAAATAATTAAAATTAAATTAAACAGTAAATAAAACAAACCCAGCAAATGCCAATAATAAGCCCGCTCGAAAAGAAACCCAAAATGTCGTACAGTCGGAAAGCGGTTGGCCCTGACGGTCCCAGAGCCAAGGGACGTCCTGCGGGAAGCCCAGTGCTTTTTTTTTCTCCGTAAACCGTGTCAACAATTGTCCTTGGACTACGGAGTCGAAACCGTGAGGTCGGCCCCTCTCAGGGCGCCATTGGGGCGAATTGCGACCGTCTGATAGGCGCGCCTCGGCGGGTGCCTCGGGACGTTGGGTCATTGACTCGTCTTGGTGTTGGCCGTGAATGGATTGTGTTTGAAGCTAGCTCCAGGGGCGGTTTAGGGTCGATCCACCCGGTTGTGATGAGCATTTGGGGGGTTATGAGGGGGTGATTGTATAATGTAAACAATTGAAATTGAACAGAGAAGCTAGGTAGAAAAGAAGGGTAGTAAGTAGAATTGAATGATCAATTACTGTTCTGACTAGATAGACTCGTGTACCGAGTCCTCTGCCTTGTTAAGGTCACTTCCAAGATCACCCGCGCATGGTGTAGCTTGGCTTCAAGCTCGGGAGAGGGGGTCAGAGAGAAACAGGAAACGGTTCGAAGATCTTTGACCAGCCGCCCCGCTAGGATGAATCACCGGTGTCTTCTCGGGTGTCAAGGACTCCATAGTCCATACAGTCACTGTACAATGTAGTGTACAATATACTAGGCTAAGCGGTTAGAACAGTAAAGTATGTACTGAATTGTCGAGCAAGCCGAGCTTCACCAGTCTAGCTCCCTGGTCTGGGCGATTATTCTCAATTGCTTACTGGCTATTGTGCCATGCATTTCCATATACATACTTACTACCTTCCCCTACGACTAACCCCAGTACAGTAGTCCGCGGGTACAGTGGCAGTGCAAAAGTTTGAAACTATTTCTCTTACTGCCAAGACTTTTCTGCCAGATAAAAACTCACAATGCAGCCAAATTTCAACCACAGCAGCCTGATATTTTGTATACTACGCCTTCTGCCTCAAGATTACCTATACCCTGTGAGGCGTCGTACCGATAATTACCTAAAATATAACGGGTCGCACGTTGGAAGTAGGGTGTATTGGGGGTAGGTAATAGGTAGTGAGCGATAGGCGGTGAGTGGGAAATAGTTTCAAACTTTTGCACACCCACTGTATACTTTGTCTGGGACCTCACTAATGTAGATCGTCGTCACATACAGGCATCCGCGGGGCAGGGGGTACTTTGGTACGGGAGGAATAAATAGAAATGGTTAATAAAGGGCGCAAAAGTACACAACGAGGTTGATAACGTGCGATGGACAGGCAGAGACAGAGTACATACATAGATTTAGATGTTCATGAATGGAATCCAAAAAAAATGAAGAATAATTCTAATTATGCTTGGATCGACTGGATAGCACGAGGTGGTAAGCGTTTCGTACATTATCGTGTACACCTCGCGGCTAGTTCTCTAGTTCTCTAGTTCTTATTGCGATGAAGATTATTTCCCGGGATGGGAACTTGCTTTTGCATTGAATGCTGGAGATCTGCGCAGCGTGACATGGCTATGGATTTCAACTAATCCGATCTGGACTTAGGTGCCAGCAAGCTGGATGGTTGGACGGAGTATATCCTGGGTCATGATTGTTCCATCATAATAATGTTATTGTACACAAACGTACTATAAAACACAACGTACTATAAACCATAGCTCGCTTTGATTATCATTCCCAGCTATGATCGACGATTCTCAAGCATGATCTAGACAAGACCTAGCCCAAGTCTATTATTTTATGATGATCTCCCTGTCCGAACGTCATACCTGAGTCAGTAGCTAGCCAGTCATGCTACTGTAGTTACTGTAGTTACTAGTTATCCCTTCCTGATGTGATGACTCCCAAGGTTTGGATCCTCCGGGACTCAAGCCTACTCCATACTCTCCTCTTCTCTCCTCCCCTCTCTTTCTCTCTCCCACCTCACTCTCCACCATCTCCCGAATCCAACTGACTCAGAAACGATGCTTCGGACGCACAGACACCGTTTGCATTTCTGCATCCCATCCGGACCAAAAAAAAAAGAAGAAAAATCAAAACTCTCCTGCAGAGTCACTCCCATCCAATCGATTTGCCGCCCAGACTCAATCCCACAGCGTGCAGCAACCTCCCAACCCCCAAGTCGGGGTTTCTCATCCACTCGTTCTGGATCTTTCCTTGTAACCAGGTCCAAAAGCCCTGCAGGGGCACGGACAGACGGACAGACATACTTACAGAGGACAGATGTTTTACAGATTCTACGCCATGGGCAGTGACTCTCCACGTTGATGTCGACTGAACACTCCTGGTACTAACTGATCTACTCCATCCCGTCCACTGCTCGGAGTCGTGCATGGCGGGACGACCTCGATTCTGGTCGGCTTTCCAGAGCCTATAGCTCCCGCCAATTTCCTGCATCGCGTGCAGCTGCATCTTCGCTTGCATTCCCTGGTCGATGCCAGTCTGCTATCGAGGCTGTGCATAGTTCTAACCCCCCCCCCCCCCCCCCCTTTTTTTTGGCTGGTCGGAGTGATGCCTGGACGCGACGTGGCTCATCGATCGAGGATTATCCACGCGTGTCATCATCCAGGACCACAGCCTCTCCGTCCAGCAGGTCTGGCCTCAAAAAGCATGGTCTTTTCTCGATCATCGGAAGAGTATTGTCACTTCTGTGCTCTCATAGCTTGATTTTGTGTCTTCCTTCTCGCTGCCTCGAGGGTCTTTGGTCTCGGTCGCGCGACGCGTCTATATCGGAGACCCGGGATGGATCAGGTTTGACTCGGGATGGAGGGTTCATGGAGAAAGGTCGGGCGGGAATAGGATTGTTGAGGATAACGAGGATCAATGATGAATCAATCTCGTCAGGTCTTGGAATTCACAGGGCCAGCAATGTTTTACTGCGTGCCATATTCATCTTGTTCAGCTAGAAGTATCGAGGCACCGGGCGGTGAGCGCGCGCGACGGCGGCCAGTCAGTTTAGCCAATATCTTTTGAATGAAGTCGTGCATCTCTACCTTCTCTCTCTCTCTCTCTCTCTCTTCACACACCTTCCACTGGCCTCGACGAGTCCTACTCTCGACGCTTCCTCTCTCGTGATTCGCCCACCATCACCCTCACCATTACCATCACCGTCATCTCTCCATCGATCTAACGCACCTCCAACCTCTCTCCAATCCCCCACCCGTAGTCCGTGTTCGTCATGTCCACCCATGACAACGCGGACTCTCAAGATTCCGAGGCACCATCCACCAAAATGGACTCGCCCACCGTCAACGGCCACGCCCACAGCTCTACCAAACAGAATGGCCATCCCCCACGCTCCTCCCGCTCACCTCTCCCCCCTCTCAAAAAAGAACCCTCAACCGACGCCAACACACCCATCCCCAGTCCCGGGCGAACGCCAACCTCCGATCCAGGCGCAATCAAGGCCGACCCCGAGATGAAGTCCGAAACCGTGGGCGGCGAGATCCTGGTCAAGCAAGAACCGGGTCAACCGCCCAAGCTGTCGCGCAGCTCTTCGCAGAAGATCGTGGCCCGGCCGCCGCAGCTGTTTTCGCATTTCCCGGATAGTACGGCTGATGCGCTGGCTACTTTCGAGCAGATTGAGGGTTGCGAGTATGCGAATAAGTACATGGGGTATACGGAGCATGCGATGGAGTGTGACTGTGCTGAGGAGTGGGGTATGTATCCTTGCCTTTTTGTGTCTGGTTTTGGGAGTTTTTTGGTCTTTCTTTCGTTGATTGTCCTGTTGTGGAGTTGTCACTTGGACTGGAGAGGGTGCAAGCTTTCTTGCTTGGTGGGAAGTCCCGCGAGGCCTTTCTTCGAGATTTGTTGCCCCTCTTGAAATTGCCTTTATACCCTCCGCGTGTCTCCCATTCTATCCTCTTTCTTAACTAATCATGTCACTCTCGTTTTTTTACAGACTCCGAAGCCGGCCAAAATTCAGCATGTGGCGAAGACTCGGACTGCATCAATCGTGCAACCAAGATTGAGTGCGTGGGCGACTGCGGCTGTGGACCGGACTGTCGGAATCAGCGATTTCAAAAGAAGCAATACGCGCCAGTCGCCGTCATCAAGACCGAGAAGAAGGGGTTTGGACTTCGTGCAGAGATCGACCTGGATCCGCACCAGCTGATCTTTGAATATGTCGGCGAGGTGGTTGGGGAAGCGCAGTTCCGGCGTCGGATGAGGCAATACGATGAGGAGGGCATCAAACATTTTTATTTCATGTCCTTGAACAAGGGCGAGTTTGTGGATGCTACGAAACGGGGAAATCTGGGCCGTTTCTGCAATCATTCGTGCAATCCCAACTGTTATGTCGACAAGTGGGTGGTGGGCGAAAAATTGCGCATGGGCATTTTCGCCGAGCGTGCAGTACGTGCAGGCGAGGAGCTTGTCTTCAACTACAACGTTGATCGGTACGGTGCCGATCCGCAGCCATGCTACTGCGGCGAGCAAAATTGTACAGGATTCATCGGTGGACGCACGCAGACCGAGCGGGCAACTAAGCTTTCCAATGCGACCATTGAAGCCTTGGGAATTGACGAGGCAGATGGCTGGGACACGGTGGTGGCCCGGCGACCCCGCAAGAAGAAGATGGAAGAAGCCGACGAAGAGTACGTGGACAGCGTGCAGCCCAAGTCTCTGGGTGAGGATGGCGTGACCAAGGTCATGGCCGCGCTTATGCAGTGCCAGGAGAAGTGGATTGCCGTCAAGCTGCTGGGCCGTATTCAACGATGCCAGGACGAGCGTGTGCGCAATCGAGTCGTCAAGATGCACGGCTATCAAATTCTCAACTCGCAGCTGGCCATGTGGAAAGAGGATCACAATGTGGTCATGCAGATTCTGGATATTCTGGATCAATTCCCGCGGTTGACGAGAAACAAGATTATTGATTCGAAGATCGAGTCGAATATTCAGCCATTGACGACATGTGATGATGAGCGCGTGGCGAGCAACGCTGTGGCTTTGCTGGCAAGCTGGGCCAACCTGGAGGTGGGATATCGCATTCCGCGGATGAAGAGAGGCGATCAACAAGCCAAGCCGGCTGTTAATCAATTCGAGCGTCGCGAGTCGGGGCGAGAGCAGCAGCAGCAGCGATCTGTTAGTCGCTCCCCGGAGCCTGTGGAGCTGCAACCCCGAGGAGGGCATGGCGTCGGTGGTCAGCCACGACGAGACCGGAACGTACATCACCATTTAGGTGGACCTGGTGCTGGTGGAGCAGGCGGGCGGTCACGCCGGGACCGTCGACATGATGCTCGCAATCGTCAGCCTCTGCCTGAGGGTTGGTTTACCGCGGAGGCCGACGGAGGTCGAGTGTACTATTACTCGGCATCTGGCGAGACGACATGGACACGGCCAACTGCACCAGCTCCATCTGCCGCGCCAGCCGCCAACAAGCGCAATCAGGCGCTGCAGAGCATCATCGATGGGATCATGAACTCGCAGGACAAGACCCCGTCTGAGCAGAAGAGTGCAACACCCGGGACGCCACAGGCTTCGTCTGATGCACACCCGGAGAAGAAAAAGAAGGAGGCGGATTGGTGGAAGAAGCTTTCCTTGGAGAAGCAGAAGAAGCTTTACGAGAATACGGTATGCGGTTGGGCATGACCTGATTATCGTGCGAATATCTTACTGACGCCAATGACTGCTTAGCTGCACCCTACTATCAAGCATGTGGTGGATCAATTCAAGCATAAGCTCCCAAAAGACGACTTGAAGCGTTTCGCCAAAGAGGTATGCCATACTACATCTATCTCCTATTCCATCTTCCATTACAAATCTAACGACTCTCCAGACGGCCAAAAAGCTTGTGGAAGGCGATTACAAACACGGCCGCGTCACCGACCCAACCAAGATCAGCGAGAAACATCAAAAGACCGTCAAAAGCTACTGCAAATCCTTCTTCGAAAAAGCCGCCACAAAGCACAAGGAGCGCGAAGCCCGTAAAGCCGCAAAACAAGTCCCCACCACCACTACCACCGACTCCAAACACGACAGTACACCCGCCGACGACCCAGACGTCAAAATGTCCGATGATGAACACGACCCCGTCACACATCCACATCCAGACCCTGATGCCAGCGGTGAACCAGAACCACCCACACCCATGGACGAGAGCTCCACACTCAAGCGTAAACGTGACGAGGATGCGATTACACCTGGTGTAGATACCCATCCTACCTCTGAAATTGACAGTTCACCCTCCAAACGTCAAAAATCGACTCCTCCACCCCCTCCACCGCCGCCCCCGCCTATGGATGGTCCTGCTGATGCAGATGACCCTGAGACATCTGTCTCGCCACCTTCAGCCTCGGAGCCTAAGAAGGATTTCCCTGGTCAGGGCAGGACTGGCACTGATACTGATGTTGATGTCGATATCGAGATGGGTGATATCCAATCCCGACCTGCTGTGCTTCGTGTCCAGGGACAAGTATAGCGATAGCCTTGTCCCTTGGTTGATATGCTGATGAGTTCAGTTCGAGAATAGCGAATTTCGTTCGGTCTGGTCTCGGGACCGGACTGAACAGCTTGCCTGGATTGATCTGGACTGGACTGGACTAAGGGTCCTTCTTTTCTTTTCTTTTTTTTTCCGTCTTCTTTTCTCCCCCAGCCATGGAGTTTAGTCCCCTTTGCAGATTTTGATATGGGATGGGCAAAAGCGTTTTACATTTTGGTTTTGGTTTTATTATTCATGCATGGGGTTGTCAATATTCATATACATACCCCCGTTTTTTTTAAACGGCTTGTTCTTATTTGCGTTTTCCTTACATTCTAGAAGTGTGTTCTTCGTTCTTTTTCTGGTTCTGGTTCTGGTCCCGGTCCCTTTATTAACAACCCCGTCATATTGGGAGCGTCATCCTCATCTTTCGTCGTTGTTAACATCTTTTCCCTACCACTTCTCTTTCTTCTGTGAGCTCTGCTCAAGAAGTCAAATGTCAAATGTCGAAGAAGTGGGTGGTGGACGTGACTTACTTTGCTCCGTTTATTCCCTTCTACCTTTTCCTTCTGCTTTTTGTTTTCCTTTTCGTTTCCCTCCCTTCTACCTTCTCTCCCTTCTACATGGAGAGGTGTGATCCCTTTAACCCCTTTCAAACATTGTACCTTGTTACTTACTAGCTACGTATCTGAGAATACCCCCGGTATACTTGCAATTCAGGATTTTGGGATATTGGTTACTGTATTAGCATTCGTCTTCTTTTTTTTACTTTACTTTTGCGGGGAGGGGGGTTTGGCTCTGTCGTATATGTCGAGCTGAAGAGGGAGGATGGGGAACGTAGTTTCTACGAGGGTGTTGGTAGTTGTAGTAGTATCTGGTACTGTAGTTGGTTTAATCCATGGATTCGTTGACAGTCATTTCCTTCTAGTAGACAGCTGTCGCTGGAATATGTGCACGTGTACACGTACAGGTAAGGAAGAGAGCAGGGCTTACCTGTTCAGGTTTGTTCAGGTACACTTTGGAGTACGGTGAGGTATTGCGCAGCCTTACAACTCTATCAATTCTGATAAAGTTGATGGGGGGGATATCATGTTCCAAGACGAGTCCTCCATTTATGCAGTAGGTAGATACCTCTTCTTCCAGGATGGATATAGTAGTCAACCCTTGGAGATTACCTTATCACGGAATCACGAGTCCGAGAGTTCAAGTCCAAGTCTGAATCCGAGTCCCAGTAGTCATAGCCTTAAGACTTTGCTTTAGTCCTAACCTTCCTCTCTGTGATGATGAGCGCGCAAGACTGGAAGGGCGGCTTCTGCCTTTGGATAATACAATAATGCACTCATGAGAATGACCGATTGCTTGGCCTGCTTCGATATGTATTTGCGGGTCGGCAAGCGATATTGTTTACTCTGAAAGGTTTTTGTATATCTGGGTAGCGTGGCTTATCAGTCCAGTTTATATCTGTCTATCCTGAAATATCCAAGAACCTGAAGTGAATTGCTATACCAGATCTTGATCGTAAAGATGGACTATCTTACTGTAGGTACTAGAATATAGCCTTGTCAGCCATGATCAATGGTAGCAGGCAGGTATGCTCGATGGCGTTTTCCCTCGTATATCACATCACATCACATATTAAGGACGTGGCGCGGTTATTTCTGCTCGTATGCATAATCACCATTTACAACCCTGGAAACAAGCTATCTACTCTTCTCGTCTCTTCTTTACTACTCCATTAATTAGAACCCGAAAGAGGAATGGTCATCAATCATCATTGCCGGACCTAAGTAACCAAAGAGACAAAAAAAACTCACGACTCCACCCCACAAGAGTCAGAGTGAATCGTCAGAGTAAGAGGTAGAGGGAGAGGTAGAATCAGAGAGTCAAAGTCGAAATCCACCACTGCAGATTGCACATACACAATGCGAGTCAAAAGTCCAGCATGCAGAACCCAAGTCCGAACCCAAGTCCGAACCCAAGTCCGAACTCCCTCAGACCTTTCTCTTCTTTTCTCCTCCCATCCCCATCTAGTAGAAGCTCTCCACAATACTCTCCTTATTAACCCCCGCACCGCCACCGCCAGGCGCCATCTCGCCCAGCCGGAAAACACTCTCAACAACACTCAACTCCGTCGCCGTCGTATCCAGCCCCGTCACAGCCAGCCAGTCATTAACGACCATGCCGGCGCCAACGACGGGCGAGCCGCGGTTCACGGATCCAGCGACGAGGGGGACCTGCAGGAGAGACGAGAGCTCGTCCTGGTCGCGGATGGAGGTTTTCGGGTGCACGAGGCCGCCTTGGTTGGAGAGGGCCATGTAGGAGCCTGTTAGGACGTTGTCTGCGACTGTTTGGCGGAAGACTTCGACGCCGAGGACATCGGCGATGCTGTAGTAGAAGAAAAGGAATTAGTAAGAGTTTTTTTTGGGTTTTTTTTTTTTTCCTTTTGGTCTAGACATGACTTTTTTTTTGGTCGGAAAAAAGGCATATCCAGTCCACGGTTGTGTTCGATCCAACACTGGATGCTAGATTTCTGGGGGAAAAACGTACATCTCCTCGGTCTCCCTCTCCAAATCAGGATGCACCAGCGCAACATGGTCATTACAGCAAATGACATTCCCCAACGCACTCAATCTCTCCTCTATCCGCTGGATCTTCACCGCATCGGGCAATGTATTCCGCAAATGCTGCAGTTCCTGGTCCGTAGTCGTTGTCGGGACCAGCAGGCCGTTCTTGTTGCCGACGGTCAGACGGCCGACGATGCGGGTGCCGGCGATGGTGGCGTGGCAGATGGGGATGACGTCTTGGAGTTCGGACTCGAAGACGGAGTAGAAGTTCTCCGAGGCGCCGACTGCGACGATGGCGTAGGAGTTTGTTAGGCGGGCGAAGACGCCGACTCTGTGAGAAGGGGTGGTTAGGTGGTGGTCTTTTTTTGAACGTCCAGGTGAGGGGTTTAGAAGAGGAGGGGTTGTGAGGAGTGGGAGGGTGGGAGGGGGACGTACTCGTTTGAATTCTCGAATTGGGCGCGGACAGCCATTGTGGGTAGATGTCCGGTGGTTAGGAGGGTGGTTATGGTGGAGGGAGGGTATATGGGAGAAAGAGAGAGGGAGAAGGAGAAGATGAGAAGGACTGCTTGCGAGGGAAGAAAGTCGGCCGCAAAAAAAGCTCGGATGCGGTGGAGACGGAAGGTGAGAGAGGGAGAGAATGGGAGAATTAGGAGCCCAGAAAGCGGGAGATATATAGGGTATTAAAAGGCGGATATTTGTGGTTAGAATGGAGAGATGGGATTTGGAGCTACGATAGGAGAATGGATCTTATTTAAAGAGAATAATTCTGTTTCTGCGAGAGTGTAGAGTGTAGCGTGTACACAGTTCCAGTCCTCTCTCGCAAGCAGCCAAAAGTGGGAATTTGCAAAAAGAGCAATGCAAAAAAGCTCGGGCCAATCAGCGTCTGGACCCACCAGTGGAGTCGGTCGACTCATCGAGGAGGGGAAGTACCGTATACTTAGATTGTACTAGGATAACAAGTGGCAGGAAAATGTATACAGTACCTCCAGCATCCACTGACTCATCCTGTCTCATGTTGACGGGCAGTCTGAGAGTCATGAGAGTAGGAGGCGCAGTAGACTAGTCTAGTACTGTTCTCCGCATACGAAGAGAAGGCTTATGAAAGTAATAGCAATAACTAGCATATTGTGGATTAGTTATTATGATTCTGGATTACTGAGCATGTTATGTCGCCTCTTGGATACACGATGCGAGTGGACTGGTAGATTGCCACGATACTCCAGTAGAGATGGCCATTAATGACTATCGACGGTAATCCCTTCCTTCTAGTTGCATCCATTCATGACACAAAGTATACTTATACACCCATCTCCGTAATAGTCCCACTCTCTTCCTACAAAGTAAATCCATTCCCATCAAGTCCTTACATACATGCATACAGCAGAAACAATCTCAACCACAATATCAAGTAGAACCCGACTTTAAGTAATACAGTACAACAAGACCAAACTACAAAACTACACTACATCAAAAACAAAACTCAAAACCCAAAATTCAAAATGAAACAAACGTCAAATTAACGCCGTCGCTCAATCAAGCGTGAAAGGGTATGTGAACATCGAGAGACTCGTACAGGGTATGAAGATGGCAATAAAACAAGAAAAGAAAAACGCAAAACGAGAAGAAAAGAGAAGTGAAAAGAAAACGAAGAAAAAACCAAAAACCAAGCCCGGCGAACCGCGAACGGGGCATCCATATTCATACATGGGCATTTTTGCCCAGCTCCTCGAGGAGCAGAAAGCGCAGAGAGCGCACACACCACGGACAGAACCAGCACCAGCACCCGCGCAAGGACAAGAACAAGCGCACACCGCGCAGAAAACGTACTAGCACAAGCACAAGCACAAACGCACGGGACGCACCACCAACACCAGCACACACACCACACACCACACCACACACCACACCACACTCAACTCCCCTCCCTTCAATACCGCCGTGGCGGAGGCGGCGGGAAGTACAGAGGCGGTGGACCCCCATGGGGGCCAGGGCCACCGTGAGACCCTGTACTTCCCGGACCGGGTTGCTGGCCCGCTTGCCCAGGGGGACCGGGAGGCCACGAGGGGAGTGGCAGCCGGTGGAAATTGGAACCCGGGGGCGGGGGCAGCTGTGGAGGCCCGGTCATGGCGAAGGGATCGGGCAGGCCCATGCCCAGCGGCGACCGCGCGGGAAGCAACCGTCGCGGCTGCTGGGTGGGTGTCGGACGCGGGAGGATGAAGGACCGCGGGTCGGTTGGGCCATGGGCCATGCCCGGGGAGGAGGAGGTGGTGGTGGTGGTTGGGGAACCCCCTGTGGTTGGGGGAAGAGAGCGCGGTGGCTCACTGCCAGATGTTGGTCGGGGCGCATCTGGGGGAAGTGGGTGGTGGTGGTGGCGGGGTGGTGGTCGAAGAGGGCTGTATCAGCCAGCAGGGACAGAGCCTTCGGGACGTCGGAGGGGCCGTCGTAGCTGTCGGCGACGGTGCGGGCGGCTTGGAGGAGGGAGTCCACCGCCCGGTTGATGGAGTCGGTGGATGCCTCGATGGAGGAGTCGAGGGCTTGCATTTGGGGGTTCAGGTCTTCCCCCAGTCGGACTTTCATGACGAAGTCCTCCCATTCTTGCTCGCCTCGCTCAAAGGCGGCCGCGCCGTCTGGTTGCCGGACAGCTTCCGCGAAGAAACCACGCTCCACTTCACGCAGGCCGGCTTTGCCAATGCGGAAGAGGTAGCGCGGTTCTTCAGCCTCCGCGTCTGATCCGTCGGTCTGAATTGAATTTGTTAGTAATCAGATCAATTCAGGTCAAGACTCAGATATGATTGAGTGCAACTCACCTCTGTGTGCTCATCATCTTCAGCTGCTCGTCGACCGGACACGAGCTCCATGTACTTGCCCCGAGCGGCAAAGAACATCTCTTCTTGGATGTTTGCAATGCGCTCCTGTAAGAAACAAGTCAGTAATCCATACGGCAATTCAAAATAAGAACCAGTTAATACATACTTGGGTGCGCTGCTCGACGATGAGCACATTGCCCGCATACACTTTCTCCGCGGACTCCACCTTGAGATCATACTGATCTCGACACCGAGTCAGCGCCTTGCGCTCGTACTCGCCCAACTCCCGCAGAATCTGGTCGTACTCGGGACTCTCCTTGTGCGCGTTCTTGTCTCGCGCAATCTTCTGCATGGAGTGGTCCGCGAGTACGCTCAGCGCGAGCTGCTGCGCCTGGCCCACCTTCTTGAACAGCGCCGCCAACTCTTCAGCCCGATCCTTAATGGGCTGGGTGGCGCGCACTGGAGAAGGGGTCCGGCGGCGACTCTCGCTGTCCCAGATTTCGTCTTCGATGCGTTTGCCGCCGCGTCGAAGAGCTGCTGCTGCCGAACCACGGCCTCGTCCTCGGCCTCGGCCGCCACGACCACGAACACCTGCGCCGCGAGTTGGCCCAAGAGCACCTCCACGACCACCGGCACCACCACGACTACCACGACTACCACGGCCACGGGCCCGTCCCCGTCCACGACCGCGTCCTCGCCCGCTTGTAGCGGGGCCTTCGATGGAGGGCGCAACTGCAGGGTCGGGACGTGTTGGATCGGGGATGGCGCCGTGATCGGGTGTCGACTCTTGACTTTGCGGTGATTCAGTCGGGTTGCCGTTTTGGAGGGTGCCGTTGGGGGTGGACTCGGGCTCGGGCTCGGGTTCTTCGAGTTTGAGCTTCTTGGCTGCCGTGCCACTGGGCTCGGGCATCTCTGCGGACTCGAATTCTTGCGCCTCGTCCTTCATCTCAGTGGACTTGCGCTTGCGTGAGAGGCGGGGGGAGTAGGAGGTTTGGGGGTGGTTCGGTGAGTTGGGCTGAGTACGGCTCGTCATCTGCGCCCTGAGAGTCTTTCTGTCGTGACTCTGTTGCTTCAGGCATGGCCTGGTCCTCGGTGGAAGCCTCGGGGTGATCTGGGTCCGTGGCTTTGTTGGCCGAGGTGAAGTGAAGCTTGAGGGCTGGAGGCTTGGGTGGGCTGAGTCGGAGGCGAAGTTTGGGAGTGTAGGCCAGGTCTTCTTGGTCTGCCTCTTCCTGTGAGGAGCTGTCTTCCTCATCTTCCGTTGCGTCGGCATCAGCATCGGCAATGACATCGGCGTCAGCTTCAGCTTCAGCTTCGGAGTCGACATCCTCAGCCAACTTGCTGGGAGTAGCCTCTTCAGTAGCCAGTTCCTCCGAGGGCTTCAGACGAGCAGACTGGCGGGTGGTGCGGGATGATTCAGGGACGGCCATGGCGCGCTTGGAACGCCGGCCACGAGGGGTCTCTGGGTTTTGAGAGCCAGCGGAGGTGGAAGCTGGCGCGGTGGAGAATGCATCGGCCTGGTCGGTGGAGGATGCATTGTCGGAAGAGAAGAGACCCAACTTCCGGAGTGAGGGCAATTTGAATTTGAGAATGTGGGAGCGCTTGGGTGGGATGGGCGACTCCTCTTGGTCCTCCGTACGGGCAGTGGTGGATGGACGGCCTGGACGGTTGGCCCAGTAATTTGCCCAGCGACCTCTTCCGCGGCCGCGGCCCCGTGCACGGGGAGCATGAGTTGCTAAAAAATGGATTAGTGATGGATCAGAGATGGATGGGGCGTAGAGGGGGAGAGCAGGCGTAGACCACAGTAATCATGTCAGAGGTAAGGGTAGAAACCGGATGCCCCGATGATGGGACCAGACCGGGGTGGTTCACTTGTTCACTTACTTGGGGGATTGCGTGCAGATCGCGTCGCAGGGCTGGCAGTGGTGGCCGAAGCCGCGCCTCGTTTTCCTCGTCGGCCCACCATTGTGAGGGTCTTGTACGAGGGAGAGTTAGTCGAGGAAAGGGTGTGCGGATAGGGAAAAAAAAAGATGTAAGAAATGAAGAGAAGGGAGGAAGGGAAGTGTGAAAAGAGATGGATGGTGAACGGGGGACGCGAGGAAAGGATGAAAAAAGAGATGGCGAGAGTGAAGAACCGACGGGAGATTCACCGTCGGTAGGGATGGGAGATGGGAGATGGGAGAAGGGAAGAAACGAAAAGGAAGAAAGGAGATTGTTGATGATGGGAGATGAGAGTAGACAAGAGGCTGTCCACAGTGAGATGGACGACACGCGACACGATGGTATCGCTTGGTCGTCGAGGGTGGGAAGAGGATGAGATGGTGATGGTGATGGTGATGGTGATGGTGATGAGGTATTGGAAGATGAGAAGATGAAGAAGGAAAAGAGTTGGGAGCGGAAGCAGAAGCAGGTTGATGGTTGAAGGAGAGGTTGGATTAAAGGTGGCCACGCATGGGGGAGAACAGAGGATCTTATACCAGAACAGCATGAGGCATCAAGCATGAAGCATAGGCATCGCTGGTGGTTGACTACAGTACTTGGCTCCGATCCCAGGGGCGACCAAGGCAAAGCACAAAACAAGAGGCAGCAAAAAAAGAGTGAAACAGGAAATCCAGAGGCACCAATGGGTAGAACAAGGCAAACGTCGAGGATTTCACCAAAGGCAGCAATAACTTACCTGGATTGAGGCCAAGGCAGGTGATGGTTGACTTGAGGTTGGAAGAAAGTGAAGGGAAAGCGGACAAAAAGTGGTTTTGTTCGCAGTTGGGTCGGCGAGAGATCGATCTACTGGCCCAGTCCACCAGTTGGCGGGCGTAACTAGCAGGGGCTTGGCCCTGGATTTTGAATCCGGGGGGAATTGACGGGGGATGCAAGGGGAGACTGAAAAAATAGTCGAGATCGAGGGAGAGTTGAAGAGACGTGAGTGAGTGTACACGAGGGAAACAATGGAATTACGAATGGGATTCAGGGCTTGGTGGAAAAGCAGTCGAGTTGAATTCGAAGAAGAGAAGGGAGCGAGAAAAAGGCGCTCCGGTGGTTTTTCCCGCGCGTCTACGGGGACTCCGTCATGGGGGACTGTAAGATGCGCCGGAGGGGACAGAGGAACGGCCGAGCATCAGAATAGTATAGGCTACTCGCTCCAGAGATTATTGAATACCCTACTTCACTGCCTATTATTCTCTGCCGATTCATCATTTGTCTGGCTACACTACGCTAGCTGTTACCTTCGAGCCTTTGCCTCTTGTTCTTGTCGCTCTCTCTGCCTCGCAAAAAAAAAATAAACGGCCCGACCCACTTTGCGTGAATACCGAACGCGGCGATTTTCACTGCATTCCTAGTACGCCCCGCTAAGTTCAAGCTACAGTATGATAAGAATACTTCGGGGAGATTTCATCGAGAACAGCATAAACACTCGTGTACTAATAGTGACTCTCTGATTTGATGAATCACACTCTCTGCGCGTGGCGATAACCGATCTCCGATGCCATCCTGCGGCTATCCCTTTCTCGGCAATCGCAATTTAGAATTACGGAGATGGGGGGATGGACATGGAAATTGCAAGGACAGTCTAGTCCTCATTCATGAGGATAAATTAAGAAAAGGAGCATTTCCAGTCTTAGGTGTTTTGTCTTGACAGGATTGGCCTTAATAGAACTATTATAGCTACTCGTGCTGACACGATGATGACCTCTTGTCTGCTCCCTCTTGATCAATGGCATCATCCCTTTTCAGATACATTACTCCTGTACAGACAACATCTCCTAACAAGAAAAAAAAAGAGAAAAAGAACCAGAACCAGTATCCAACCCATTTATACATCAATCATCAATCCCATATCCATCCAGACCATGTCATTATCCCAAGTTCCAAACATCCGCATCCAACACGAAAAGCAACATGAAAAACCTTCAAAAGACGAACCAAAGAAATCAAAATCAAAATCAAAATCAATCGCTCAACTAACTCCCATCCCATCCATCCAATATATCAACGCCCCCTACCTCTCCTCAACCAAATCATTCAAATCCCCCCTCTTCTCATACTGCGTAATACTCCGCCTCACATACCCCGCCCGTCCCATCCCCATCCACATCCCAGCCCCAGGCGAATCCTCCTTCCGGAGCTGCCTCAGCTCCCGCGCAGACCGCATGCGCGTCAGCGTCTTTTGCGTGATCGTCTGGCCCGCAGACGGGGAAGCTTTCACTGTGCTGCCCGGGAGCGGTGTTGGGCTGGGGCAGGGACTCGTGGAGCGGAAGAGGGGGTGGATGTTTTGCTCGCGTGTTGAAGCTGAGCTGGAGGTGGGGAATGTAGGTGAATGTAGTGGGGATGAGGGTGTTGATAATGATGTGAATGCCGGGGTAGATGTAGGTAAGTGGGAATGACTGCTGTAGAATGCGTATGTCTCTGGGAGAGTCAGTGTTGATGCTGAGGGCGAGTCGAGGGCGAAACTTGATGCTGTGGGTGAGGTTTGGACGAGGCTGTCTAGTGAGAGTTGGATATTCGCTTCGCGGCGGAGACTGGGCATGCTTCGGAAGCTGGAGGTGCGTTTAAGATTGGGATGGGCATGGTGGTCTGCGAAGGGGTCTGTCTGCGTCTGCAACTGCGCCTGCGTCTGTGGCGTGTGCTCTGTTGTTGGCGAGGGCGACGGCGAGGACAGCGTAGACGAACTCGTATCAAAAGAGTCGTACTTTGTACGCGTGCTCTCGATGCAGATGGTTCCACCCGAGAAACGATTTGAACGACGGGGATACTTGCGCAGCGAGGAGCGTCTCGTATCAAACTGTTTCAATTCCGGATATGGATCGCAGAGTGTCCTTGCTGGTGAACGGACTGGGTCCGGGCTTTCTGAGAGCGATTTGAGCTCCTGTACATAGGAGCGTGGCCAATCTTGGCCTGGTTTGCGTTGGGTCAGGGTTACCACGAGGAACCCGTAGTAGAGGCCCTGGGTAAGGACGGAAAGGGCCCAGAAGATGGATCGGGCGATGAAGATGTTTCCTTGGTGTGGTGAGTTGTATAGATCGTTTGAGGCTATTGTACCGGTGACGGAGACGGCGCTGATGACGAGGTATACGCCGGTGAAGTAGATCATGCCGATTTTCCATGTTGGCCAGTGAATGTCGCTGCGGAGGTCTTTGTTGATGAGGATGCTGAGGGCTAGCAGGGTGATGCATGTCAGAATGCTGAGGAGGACTGGGGCTAGTCCGGTTGTTGAAGTATGTGAGGGTAATGATTGCAGTGCGGCGTAGGCAAGGCCGTTGAAGATTGTAACAATGATTGCAGAGAGTACTGCAGCTCCAGCGAGGGAGTATACAAGCATTGCAGAAGACATAGTGAAGGAATGAATGGAGTAAGACTGTAAGGTGGATATGGAAAGAACGTGGTAGCTTGTAACAGGACGGGTGTGAACCAGAATCAGAATGATAATCAAATACAGAGTATAAAGAACGATTGCCACCGAGTGTTTAGCTCAGTAACCTGGTTCTGGCCTCCACGACGGCCTTGAAGAGAATGTGTGTCCACGTTGGTGGATGGGAAGGAGCCAGAGAAGGCAGACTGGAAAAAACTTGTCGTTGTCCAGGAGAAACTCCCCCCTGCAGGACGAGGGCAATGGCTCATATTTATGATCTTGACCACTGCAGTTCGCGTGGAGCGGGACGGGGCGAAAGCCTAGTCGAAAGCGTGGCGTCGAAGTATATCGAGCATCTCCAAATGCACCCTTCTGCAAGTCCTGTTCAACATGTCATTTTTCTCGGGTCAGATCCATCTGACCCATCCACCCGGCATGTTGGTTAGAGCCTGCGGAGACTGGGGAGGCCCGGGAGGTTGAATAGTGGGATAGACTAAGGAAAGTAGTGTCAATGCTATGTCAATTGCTACACGGAGTATACTCTAATTACTCCCTGGTCGCGAATTGATATATCTCAATGGGATTATTATCCTTGTTATCCATCTCCGCCACAATCTAATAAATCCTCCGAGTCTATCACTACCCCGGGGTTGACAGGGCTAAACCAGCCGAATGGGAAATTATCCTTTCTATAGCGTCGTCCATCCGCCCGCTAGCTCCCGTACTATCTATATGATCCATCCAGCGTGCCCACAGTCAAGCGAGACTGTCTGCTGGGTTCATCAATGCGGATCGTCCCCTCCCGATCTCCGATGCGGCTGAATGTGATATGTCATTCGGCACTCGCCACAATCTTCCGGCTCCCCTGAAAAAGTCGGTCTGTCGAGAGATTTCGTTGGCCAGCGTCGTTTCTGTGGGTTATGCATCAATTCAGGGTACAGAATTGCGTCCTGGAGGGCCGACTCCGATAGGTTCGATGAGGTGTGTACTGACCGGGGAGCTGGGATTGTATACAATGGGCCGGGTCCCGTAGATCGACGATCGAGGACAGAAGAGTTCGGGGTCACTTGCATGATCCGGGAGAAGGGATTGAACCCTTTCTGCCGTCTTGTGCCATTTGTCAATTCCGCCTTTTTGTGCAGGGCTTTGTGGGTTGATGCCTCATAAGCGAGGCCTTCTGACATGGATGGTGGAGAAGACCTGTCTGTGCTCGGTGCAACCGAGTAAAGCTTGAGATTTGGAATATCAACCTTGGCACCGAGTTTGGTCAATTCAGAAGCTGCATTACATGCTCATACCCGGGTCTTTTGTCACTGTTTGAGCTGCGAACTGTAGTTTGCCTCTGGTCTAGCCCCGAGGTTCACTAGAACGGGATGCCCGTCACGTCCCAAGACGCACAACCAGACATGGTCGCTCGATGTACATTTACCTTGACAGTCATGACAGATCATGGCAAGACATACCGTGTTCCCTTCTTGATCATCAAGCTTTCCATTCGATGAACTTCAAAACTACACCCTATCCCACTAACCATAGTTCCCTATGCAATTCGCCATGACTAAAACTAAAAAGTGGGGCGGTGAGGCCAGTCCCGCCTCAGGCACCGGGCACCGCCTCAGGCATCGGCCATCATCGTCACTTCTTTGCGCCCCTCTCAACTTCTTTCGACCTCCGACCCTTGACCATCGCTTTTCACATCTTCTTCCAACCCCCCATCACTCTCCTAATCTCCATCTTCGATTCCGGTCCCTCTTCTATCTACCCTCCCGTCCTAGTTTCTGTCCTCCACATCTCCCAGTGGTGCCAAAATGAAGCTTACCTTCAAGGTCCGTCCCTGCCAGCCCTTTCACCATCTAGCCATCCTACCCGCTACAGACGTGCTGACAACGGTTTCTTCGTCATTATATAGGATCTCAAGCAAGAGAAGTTTGTGATCGAGGTTGAACCCTCCGAAACTGTATGTTCAACTTATTCTCCCGCTGTCCTGTTGCGATGTGCTCGCTTGACGCCACCTGGTGCGGGGCTGACCTGGCTTTTCTTTTTTTTTTTGCGTTTTACAGGTCCGACAGGTTAAAGAGAAGATCTCGCAAGAAAAGCCTGATTATGGCGCGGAACGCATGAAGGTTATCTACTCTGGTACGTGATTCTGGATGTGAGAAAGGCCTGCGGAGGCGAGGGGAGCTGTGGCTGTCACAGCTGTCACGCCTCAGGCTGTGTCTGCCATGGAAGAGCTCTCTTCCTCGCAGAGCATGTCCGCTAACCAGTCTTTCCGGGGTATAGGCAAGATTCTTCAAGATGACAAGACTGTCGAGTCCTACAACATTCAAGAGAAGGATTTCCTAGTCTGCTTGCCCGCCAAGGTACGAAAAGAACGGTCGTCCTCCGCTTGGGAAAATTCGGAGGGTGTTGTCCTCAATAGACCTTGCCCTTCATACTAACTCTCTCAAAGCAACCCAAGGCTGCCCCCTCCTCCTCCGCTGCTTCTTCGGTTCCCTCAACCCCTGCCACCAGAGCTCCCGCTGCTACGCCTGCTGCTCCAGCTCCCGCTGCTCCCGCTCCTGCCACTCGTTCTACACCCGCTGTACCGGCCACCCCATCCCCGGCTAGCGCTGCTCCCACACAAGCAACCGAGCCTGCTGCTTTTGGTGATCCCTCTGCCCTCGCTATGGGCGGTGCTGCCGAGGGTGCCATGCAGCAGATGGAAGCTATGGGATTTGAGAGACCCATGGTAGAGCGGGCCATGCGCGCCGCTTTCTTCAACCCGGACCGTGCTATTGAGTACTTGCTGAACGTAAGCTACTTTCCTGGACGCCCTCCAATCATCTCCTTTCTAACGGTCGGTTTCTCCTCAGGGTATCCCCGAGAGCGCCCAACGTGAACAGCAACAACAACAGCAGCAACATGAGCAGGAGCAGGCCGAGACTGATGCCGAGGCCCCCACTGCCGGTGGTGAGGAACCCTTCAACATGTTCGAGGCTGCTGCCCAGGCTGGTGAGGGTGGCGGTCGTGGTGCTCGGTCTGGAGGTGCCGGAGGTGCGGCTGGTAGTGACGCAAACTTGGACTTCCTTCGCAACAACCCCCACTTCCAGCAGCTCCGCCAGCTAGTTCAGCAGCAACCCCAGATGCTCGAGCCTATCCTCCAACAGGTTGCTGCGGGTAACCCCCAGATTGCGCAGATTATCGGGCAAAACTCTGAACAGTTCCTTCAGCTGCTTGCTGAGGACCTTGGTGAGGATGACGAGGCTCTGCCCCCTGGTACTCAGGCGATCTCGGTTACGGAGGAGGAGCGCGATGCAATTGAGCGTGTATGTATCAGGACCCGGTTTCGATTTACGTCTGGACATGTTTGACTAACTTTTTCACAGCTGTGCCGTCTGGGCTTCCCTCGGGATTCCGTCATCCAGGCCTACTTCGCCTGTGACAAGAACGAGGAGCTGGCCGCCAACTTCCTGTTCGACCAGCCGGATGATGACGAGGAGTAAACGTGGTCGACGTTTTTCAATCTGTTCCCTCTCTTTTTGTTACGTTCTTATGAATACCAATCATGCTACTGTCGATCTCCTACATTTGGCAGAAATGTCCCCCAACTCTCCATTTCCCTTTCCCTCCCTACACATTTCCCTTTTTGAATTTTGTTCGGTGGCTGTGGCCGAGGCCTTACAGCGCTGACCAGAGTTGATTCCAGCTTGTTGAGTCTGCAAAGTCCTGGTATTCTGTATCCTGACCAGTTTTCACGCCGGCTCTCTTGCTTCTCTTTCCCTCTTCACCTTTCCCGCCCGAAACGACTTGTCATGTACTTACTTAATGGGCAAAATGGGACGTTTTCGCTAAATGTACGACCTCGTAAAGTACATCTCCACATATCTGGTTGATAGATCGACTTCCCCTGATCTGCATCATTTGGACGGGGAATGAAATCTGGAATGTGGCTGTTTCTAGCGTAGATATGCTAGTACTCAATCATTCAAGCTATTCCATCAAACCCGGGCCCAGGGACAGGGAGTCGTTCGCGTGAATCCGCCACCCGCCGTCCACATGCTTTAGTCACGCGAATCGATTCCCACTTACGGCTGACCTATTACCGATCTAGTGACCTGACCACCTCATCCTATAAATCAATATCAATGAGAACACGTATATTTTAATTATTTCTGCAAGCATTACTAGCATCTAGAGGAATGCTCGAGCTTAAATCTGCATAGTAAGGACTCATGTTAACAGGTGAAGTAGCAGGTGATGAGTGTAAAATCTTCATTTCGCTAGTGTTGATTTCTAGATAGACGGACGGATGTAGTACTCATCCTCGTACTCACCCCTAAATAACAATAGCAAGTTATCTGTAAAAGGAATAAACTGGTTGGAGTGTCGTGGACAATCTTTCTATCAGACGAGTGTTTTTCCTCACGGTGTCTTCGACTCGACTCCCATCCCCCATCGTATTGCCGTGTCCATCTCCACGCATGTCCGTCACCAATGTAGTCACAATGGGCTTGATGGGCAGTCAGGAGGGATGTGGCAGTTGTTCGTATCCCCGAGTCTCCATCCCGTGTACCCAGATAATGAGGTTGTCAAGGCTCCTGTCGAATATAGTCCTCTCGGGTGACGCTTGATGAAGAATGGTGGGCAGGAGCTCGGGGTGGTGGCTACCACAGACATGGCAGTTACGGTATTAGAATGTATTCTCGCCGCGAGCCCGTGTTTCGTTGTCTTTTCCCAATCTCGACGGAGGGCCACCGTGAATTAATCGATAAACACCCCCGACATCCTTCATATGGCTTTCCCGTCAATGATGTAAATAGCGGTGATGCAGCTGGATACCTAGCAAGACGGGAGGTGCCTTGTAAACTGGGAATCATGGTATACCGTTCGCGGTAGATTGTGACCGGCGGGTTCGGGGGATTTTCTGGTGTTGGGATATCGCTGTGCTGGTCAAAATCGGCTTGGAAATCGGGATTTTGTGCTGCTGGTATGTTTATAATGTAAGGGGTGTAGAAGAAGTTGTAGAAGACTCCTTCATTCGTCATACCAACGAACGACGGTGTTGTGTATGGAAAAGCGAAATACCGCTCTGGTAAATCCTGTGAAAAGGGGACAAGCACTGATATGTTCAAGGGCACGCAGGTACGGGCGATATCTAGGTATTGGGGGTGGTTGACTGGCGTTAACACCACGGGGGATACGAGTTTGTCCATACCCAGCAAGACGTTGAGTTGTGTTGAAAGTTCCAGGGACCCGAGACAAGTCTGGAAGAAGGTTGAGGCGTAGATGAAGGACTCACTCGGTCCTAGGTGGTATCTGCCACTGGAGCGACTACTTTTTGCTCTGCCAAAAATAGTTCCCTTGTAATGAAACCTGTCCAAGTCGGCGTTGGATTGGTGCCAAACTACCCATGACAGCCTCCCATCTGCCAGTATATACTGAGATGCAAGTGGCCCACATGATATGCCATCATCGCACGCGTGTCCATTTAAAGGAATGGCAGAGAGAATACCGCGATCCCACCGCTGAGTCTGGTTGAAAGGATCGCAAGGCGAAGAGACCCCAACGGCGGACGCACTGAAAGAGTGCCGTAACTTGTAAGAGATGACAATGAGTGCTCAGACAATTCAAAGCCCGGCAGAAGACAGTCTTACTATCGGCGTCGGCTACCTGGGCGATCTCGATACGCTCCTGTTATTCGCACTGGTTAGCAACGACGGATCACGACGGATTTGCCGGGTTTTTATTGATGTCTTCGTTTCTCACCAAGTTTCGAGGGGCTCTCTGTCATTTTGGAGTGCATGTCTAGAGATTCCAATGAACACGATCAGTGATAGAGGAATGTCGGAGAATGGCTATTCTCCTGCGAGATAGTAGCCCGCGTGGGTCACAATCTGGAACCAAAGTCCCCGCCTATACTTGTCTGGGCGGTTCTGCTCTGCTGCATGGCTGTCGTCGGTTCAGCCTCGCAGGCATATCGAAAGCTCTCCAGACTTGCCGGTTGTTGGGCGGAAGGGAGTGGTCGTGTGGGTGAGATAAGGGCGTGTATCGCAGCACCGAGTCTTTTTTTTGTGGTCTGGAATATGAGAGATTGAGATGGGTCTGACACCACGGGAAGAGGAGTGCCGTGCTGTGGTAAAGCTTGTCTAAACGGTCGTGAGAAGAAGATACCAGAGAAGTAGGAAGGGTGGACTGTATATAAAGATGTAGAGATAATGAGAAGGTAGATTGGAAAGAGAGGACTGAGGGAGGGACCGCGTATATATGGTGGATCGATGGAGCGTTACGCGGATAGTTTGGGGATCTTTCCTTTTCGTGTCTTTGTTGGAGATTATCCTCCTTATGCAGGGATACAGTACGGAAAGTGCCGTTGCGGAAGTGGTTTGCTTGACGCAAGATAGCATGGTTTATTCCATATACGACACATTCAGCAAGAACATACCAAACAGTCCACGGACAACTCCTGACCAAAATTAAATTCAATATACTCTCCATCCCCATATAGAGCCCCAACCCTCTCCTTCCCATACAAACATCCCCGCGATACCGAGATACTTCATCACGATACTCACGTCCAATAACACGGCACATATACGCCGACAAACACAGTTAAGCTTTTCCAAGGAGGGCTTTATCAAGTTCTCCTCATTCTCCTACTCATTTAATATAAAACATACCCCCCTAAAAGGACCACAAACAGAGTCCACACAAGATATAACAAAGATACACCTCGTATTGATGTCCTGCTTGATCACGCTCCACCGATTGTTTCGTCACCCGCCCCGGCAGATCGGGCCTGCGTTTGACCACCGGCGCAGAGGAATACTGGGAATTCCTGGAACTAGGTAATAAGCTAAGTGTGCCTTTGGAATTTATATTCTTTTTTGTCTTTGATACTATGCTTTCCCCCCCTTAAAGGTGTTTGCGGGGTTTAGATTTTGGAAGGTATAGTATGGCGAGTCTTTGAGACTTTGTCTTGTGGATTAGCACCTACCTACCTCCGGCTGAGGATATGGGCTTAGTGTACCTACTGTAGTATGTAGGATATGTGGAGTGGAGTGGAGTGACACTTGTCCGGAGATCGACTATCAATATCATGCGCACTCATTGCAAACTTGATACTTTACATACTGTATACTGTAGTGGAGCCGTGCAATTAGCCGCCCCACTCCCCCCCCCCCCGGCGTTTATAGGTGATCAGCTATATTATGGATACGGAGTACTGATCGAATATATATTGACCCGTAAGTGCTGTATTGATTACTAGACTAGATTTGGCGAAGTCTGCCCTGCCTAGGCAGTTGGGAATTAATTTGTCAGAAATGACGGTTTGTCTGGACTGAGTAAGTGCCTGGAACTAACTACAGTATAACATAATGCCCTTTATCTTAGCAAAACATATATAATCAAGTGTGTGGTAAAGGAATGGAAAGAGAAACGACATCACGCTCACCCAGCGATCCTCAAGTACTCTAAAAAGAGAATCTGGGGGCATGTCTGCGTCTGCTTTTATTATACTGTAGTCATATCTCCCATCCAAACCCAACCATGACCGTCCCAACCATGACCGTCCCAACCACTCAATGTAAGTAACAGTACCAGTAACAAAAAAAGGTATAAGAGAGAAGAGGACAGAAGAGAAGACATAAAAGACGGGGGGGGGGAAGATATAATTATGGGGAAAAAAACGCTCTTAATTGCAAGCTCGCCGTACAGACCAAACCCCCAACCCCCTTCGCCCAATCACCCGCGCCAGCGTCGGGACAATCCCATCACCACCAAAGTCCAAATCATCCAGGTTCAGATGCTTGCGGTATGTCCACAGACGGTAGAGCTGGAGATCTGGTGTACGCGGTGCCCCCGTCGCGGCGTACTCGTCCAGGAACGTTGCAGATGTCGGTGCGACAAGGTAGACGGGTGACACGGTGCCGCAGCGTGGGACGGATTGGTCGAGACGCTGGATGAGGTCTACGCCTGGGATACCCATGAGGTCGAGGGTGGTGATCGCGGGCGTGGAGCTGTTTTCTGCGCCGAGGAGCCATTGTGGTGGGGAGTAGGTTTTCCACCAGAAGACTGAGGCGTCGGGGTGTGTTTTTATGCCTTGAGCGGCTGTGTTGGTTGACACGATGGTGCGCATGGCGAGTTGGGCGGGGACGATGCCGCCTTGGTGGTACACGCCCATGAGGAAGCCCATGGCCGCGTTGAAGATGATCCATGCGGCGAGGAAGATGCGCGAGCGGTGTACGCGGATGCAGCTGAGCAGAAGGGGCACGCAGGGGATTAGGAAGCGTGGTTCTTGGTGGGGGAAGATGGAGAGGAGGAGGGTTGCGGAGAGGGCGGAGACGGCGCGGGCATTGCGAAGCCAGGTGGGTATTTGGAGGGTGCGGAAGAGGGAGAGGACCATGACGATGTAGACTGGGCCGAGGAGTTGGAGGAGGTTTGCTGTAAAGTGCTGGTGGTGTGGGTGGAGGCCGTGGGTGGCTAGGTTGGAGGTGTTGGAGTTGTAGAGGAGGTTGTTTACTGGGGTGATGATTGGGTTGCGGATGGCGGAGAGGAAGGTCGAGGAGGGTCGGTAGAAGAGGGTGTCTGTATAGATTGCTATTGACGCGAAGAGAGCCCCGAAGCCGAGGATTGCTGCGAGGGAGCTTGGTCTTGCACTGGATTAGTATGGTGGTTGTATACATGGTGTAGGTCGAGGGAATCTCACTTGCGCTGAAAGTATGGCAACAATTGTAGACCTGGAATGAGAAGGAATGCAGGGAAGGTAATTCGATTGAAGACACCGACCACAGCGATGAAGGAGAGAACGGCGCAGGAAAAGAAGGACGAGCGTTGCTGCAGACACCAGTTAGTTTAAGGGCCACTACGAATACCCCCAGCAGCAAGTATCCTTCCCCACAGGCGCAACCGGCACGAACCTTGTTCTCGAGTATGCGCCGAATCAAAACCAAGCCCCAGGCTACCAGTAGTGTTTCCAGAGAGTTGGAAAAGGTGTGCGTCTGATATGTCCAGGTGACATACGACGAGGCCACCAGGACAACCGTCGCACGGCGGTGGCGCGGGGATGGCACCAGCTCATAGATCGCCCAGTCCTCCAACACAAAGCTCAGCAGGAACATGCCTCCTCGCAGGGCATAGTAGACCAGTTGTGGTGGGGGGTTCCCAGTGCTGTATTCGGTGTAGAACCATTTCAACAGGCTCATGGGGACTTCGTAGGTGGGCCATAGTGGGAAGACGCTGCGGATGGGGTGGTCGACTGTGAATTCCCAGGGGAGTTTGGAAGGGTAGCCAAAGATACGGCCTATAAGAGAGGGTATTTGGATTAGTTGTCTTCATGAAAAAAAGGGGAAACCTGATGGTCTGTTTTGTTGGGAGTAGGGAGATGACGGAACGGGCGCATCGCAAAGATCCGCGACAGCCGGTCGCAAAACAATTTTCATCAGCGCGATGGAAATCCGAGCATGTTGCGAAGCAGGAAATGGTATGCGACAATGGTAGGATCTTGTCCCTGGACTGTGGACATACCGGCATAGACCTCCGGGCCTTGAAAGTTCTCATCGGGGTGTAGATAGCTTGGCGACAGCGCAAAGTAAACACGGATGAGTAGTAAGAGTAGATAGGTTCGTCTCCACATGATTCAGGGGGCGGGACATGCTGCAGAGGGAGCAGCGGGAGAAGACAAAGGATGAAGGTGTCGAAGGAAAAAGAGAATGGGGGGAAAGATAGAAAAGGCAAAGAATTAGGCTCTTGCAGGGGGAGATCAAAAAGAAGAAAAAAAGAAAAAGACGCGTTGAAGTTGACGATGATATCACTGGCGCGATCTGGCGGCAGAATAATATGAGTACAGCTGAACCAGGACTCGAGACTAGTTGCGCACCAAGTCCGACCTAGTGAACTAGTTCTTCGTTTCTCCTGACGGATACTCCGTGAGGACATAATTTAGCTTCCGCCTGCAATGTGGATTCAACTACCGAGTAATGATAATAAGACTTGCGTGTCCTGTGTACCTCCTGTTCTGGTATGCGGATCGATCTATCGGGTGTGATAGTTCAGAAAGGCACTAGTTTGGGAGCGCAGCCCAATGGCGCTGGACTCTATTAGGCATAGACCCTGTGCTTTGAAGCGATAGAGGAGCATTCACCTGTATAAGAAAGTTAACACTTATGCCACGATGACTATGCCTAGTACTACGACTTTCATTGTTTCAAGAGAGCAACCTTACCCCTAGTTTCCTCGATTAGGCATACTAGCATACTAGACCTCTCAGAATTATAGCCAAGACTGTAATCTTCGCATTAATTCGTCACTTGATTCGTCACTCTTTCATAACATCGAATCCTACTTTGGTCACATTATTATTTGCTCGTCATTAATCTTCACCAAGTCTAGGCACCCGCTGGCCGTTTGGCTGTCGGACTACTCCAGTGCCATTTTGTGGGGGCTGAAAGCAGCAAAGCAGAGCCGCGGGCCTGACTAAAACACCAACCTCACCTGCACCCGTTCTCCTCTTCAACCTCCCCACCTTCATCTTCTCGTCTTCTAACTCTCTCTTCCACACCTTCTACTCCCCCCCAAGATCTCGTGTCTCTACAAAAGTGAGTCCCACGTGCCTGTTTTCCTATTTTTCGCTTTCTTCCACTACCAACTCCGTCGCTCCGTCGCTCCTTCGTTGTCTTGCCACCGTTCCTTCCAAGCTAACCCACTCATCGCTTCGTCACTCCAGGTCGTGCCTTCTCTGTTCCTCCGTCACTGCCATATACCACCCTTCAAAATGTCTTCCCAGATCACTCTTACCAGCAGCGATGGTGTCGATGTCTCAGTGGGTAAGTAGAGGCGAGCGCGATCGCTCGATTCGCCCCGCGCCAGTGCAGACCCCCGCAGTTACTGATGAAGAATAGACCGCGTTGTTGCTGAGCGCTCGGTCCTGATCAAGAATATGCTGGAGGATCTTGGTGACTCCGGCGAGGCCATTCCGATCCCCAATGTCAGTGCCTCTCCCGCCGGGACATCATGTCTGGTGTTCTGTTCGTTGAGGTTTATTCGCTTACCATCATCCAGGTCAACGAGGCTGTCCTGAAGAAGGTCATCGAGTGGTGTGAGCACCACAAGAATGACCCCCAGAGCGCTACTGATGACGATGACAACCGCCGCAAGACCACCGACATTGATGAGTGGGATCAGAAGTTCATGCAGGTGGACCAGGAGATGCTGTTTGAGATTATCTTGGTGAGTTCTGCACTATTTCCCTCGGCGCATCATGTTCCGGCGATGATGACAAGGAGGAAATTCGAGCTGTCACTAATGCGATCTCTCAGGCTGCCAATTACCTCGATATCAAGGCTCTCCTCGATGTCGGCTGCAAGACTGTGGCCAACATGATCAAGGGCAAGTCCCCCGAGGAAATCCGCAAGACCTTCAATATTCAGAATGATTTCACTCCCGAAGAGGAGGACCAGATCCGCCGCGAGAACGAGTGGGCCGAGGAGTAAGTCACACCAGGTGTTGCATGAAAGCAGAGTGTCTACTTGGCTTTGTTAAAGTCAGATTGCTAATCAAAGCCTCCTTTCACAGTCGCTAAACATGTCCCATCTCTCGCGATTTATGATTTGCTGCCACGGATTTCCACATCTTTACAATGCCTCCCCACATCCCATTCCCCCCCAAACATCATCATGATACACACCTCCCCACCACACCGGACCACGTCCGGCTTGACGATAGAAGCTTGCCTCCCCCAGGGATTCGGCATCATGTAGCCCGCTACAGGGCTAGGATGGAGGACCTTGGTAGCTCGGGGATTCTTCTCGTTTTCTTTGTTCCTTTCACGTTGCTCCAAGACGGCGTTTCTAGTTTGCTTGACATTTCGAGTAGTACTCGGTCATGTACTCGGATCTGAGGTAGGGCCAGGCTGAATAAATTCCTTTCTCTTTCCTCAAGTTGTTGAAGACAATGCGATGGGTCTTTCTTGTTAGAGTTGAGTTGTGGCTTGGTAGAGATCACTAGAGTATGCTTGGACAGGTAGAGGTGTATGTACGGTAGAGCAAGGAGCGCCTCTATTCCATCCGGTGACCAATGTGATCGGCGTTATGCCTTGACTGTGTTGACCTGTCTTGTTCCATTTGAGTCCTGGGCTGGTCTTGACTATACTTGAACTTCTCCAGATGGAGCCATACTCAATTTGTTCTGAAGCAGAATCTGGCATGATGCTGGTACATCAATTCACTTCTCGAATCAACACTGGGAATCTGAAACCACTCTCGCAGACTGTGAAACTCGAATGGTGGTGGAAAGTCGGTACTGTGTTAGATGGCCGAAATAGGCAAAGGCGTGGAAATAGAAGCCTAAGGCTGTAAGGCATCAATTACGTCTTTTACTTTTGTTCACTTTTGGCGACGTTTGCGTTGGTGACCTGGAGACTCTTGGTGCTGACATAATCACAGTGCGGCGGCATCCATGGCTGGACTGTACCTACTGAATATACCACAGGCGTGTCTCGGGTTTCAAGTGAAGCTGTGGCGATTTACTCGATGTTCATATACTTTCAAAACTAAGTGAACGGAATTGAGATGTTCTAGCTAGGTGCAGTCTGTATCGGGGTGGAAAGTTCCTCTTGTTGGTGGGTTCGGCCCTGATATATTATGCGCGTATACTCTAGCGTCCATGGTAAACACCGCCTGAAATAACTCCAAACTCATCCATGTGAAAGACAAGGGGTCTAGATCTGGTAATACGACGATACGAAGCCTACAACGAGCCAACTTCTCAATCTTAGCACACACAGCGCGCAACGCAAAAAGTTACCTGATGATGCGGCTGAACTGAACATTTGACACCCCGCGTTTACTCAGACCCTCTATACCCTTTGAATGAAGTCTGTTGGAAAATTGTCTGATCGGAGGCGCCGTAATACGTTCTCCTCGATTTCCAAATTGCAGTTTTGTTGATCAGGCATCTGAAAAGAAATGTCTCGGAGGAACGTGTCTGCGATTTCGGTGACCCTTGCTTTAAGGATAGAATAATCATCATCCAAGGCATCTCCATAGAGCCTCCTGAGAGCCATGTTTGTATATCTAACAGTACTATATAGTGGGGAATACTAAGAGAAAATTGAAGAGTTAAATTCGACATTAGTCTCAGCTACAAGATTTTGCATTGGATTCATTTTCACGTGGAAGTCTGTAGAAGGCAACGAGTATCACACAATAATATGTAAATACGTATCCACGCATATACATGCATAGACATACATATAGGTGCATATGTTGCAGATCTTCCTTGTGCGCAGACTCGGCCAGTGGAGAGATTGGAATAGTTTTCTGCAAAAGTTTGTGGGTGTGCTAGGGTAGTGTAATGTAATAGATGATGATACACGTGGCAGGAGCTAGTAGAATAATCACATTGCAGGCGTCAACAAGTACAGGTGCGCACGACGACAGATATACTTGAGCGAATGCGAGTCTTGAACAAAGGGAGGTAGACAAAATGACTAGTAGTCGCGACACCTTGGAAAACAGGAAAAATTCGTGATCTGTTAATTAATAGTTGCGCTTTGCTTGTGGAAGTAGATTAATATATGATGGAGATCATTGAAAGGCTGAAGCAATTTACAAGACACAATTTTCCTTTTTAGAAAAACATACGATGGATGGATGGGAGAGGACCGGTGCAAAGGACAGCTATATGTGCAAGAACGAATGAACGGCGAATAGCAGAAAAGTGCAGCAAGCAGATAACATGGCAAGAAGGCAGATGATCGCAACAGCGGACAAAAGGGTACTTGATGCAATATCCTCTCATATCCCTGGAGTCTTGTCTCTGTCCCAATGCTGTCACATGTACTTCACTCTTCTGTGCGCTTTGTCTCCAGCCACCGCGTTTCGCCCTCAGGGCCAACATCGGCTAACATCGCGAGCTAACCGAGCCAGTCGCCGACCCCGTCCCAGGCGACTTCCAACTCGCGGGCACGGGAGGCTCCAAGTCTGTCGCGAACAGTTTCGTGCGCTTGCAGCATAAGCTTCTTACCGCCGGCATCGTTCAGCGCCGACCCGATCGACCGGACGCGCCCCCAGAGTTCCGAGCCCTTAGGGGCGAGCAGCACCCCCTCCGCATGACCAATGTCGATGAGCTCGGTGATCAAGTCTGCTGCCGACGGCGTGACGGACGGGTTCTTCGCACGGTCCAACGCGCGCTTGGCTCGATATAGAGCCGCATGGCCATAGAGGACGAGTCGGCCGTCCTGGCGCTTCGCGATCCGATACGGACGAAACGTCTCGCTGTCCTCAGAGTTGAGCTGTACATAAGGCGGTTGCTGCTTGTCTCCCTTGTCGGAGACGACGTCGCGGCCGCGGAAGAAGCCGGCTGTCTGGTCATCCTGGAGCACTTTGTACAGCAGTTCGCTGATAGCTGCCTTGTCCAGGACGAGGATCTCTTCGCTGCCCCACAGACCCGACACGTAGTCGAAATCCGCCTGGATGACGCGGTCGATGCCTGGGGAGAGGCCATCGGTCGCAGCGATCGCCTTATCGATCTCAACGACCTTCGCGGGGGATGCCGGCGATGGCGTCACTGACGGCGCTGATGGAGAAGCTTGGGTCGTGGATGGCACTACCCGAACATTAATGCCAGCAGAAGTGACTTCGCGGCTGGTGTTGCTGGGCGATCCACATTGCGTGCAGAATGGCGTCGTGACTGTTGCAGCGCAGGTACCACAGAACTTAACGGAGGGAGACTGTTGCATGTGTGTCTGTTTGACACCACATTGCGTGCAGAATGGAGTCGTGACTGTTGCACCGCAGTTATCACAGGGCGTAACGCTAGCTAGCGCCGGGGTCGTCATTTGTTGTGCTTGTGTCTGCTGTGTGTATGTCTGTGTGTTTCTGTTATAGCCCTCCTACGTCGTTCATGTATGGCTTGTAGGTAGGGGTGTGTCCGTAGGATATCGAACCGCTGCTCGGTAGCTTCTTATTCCCCTGGTGCCGCTCATATATAGTACCTTAAGGAGGATTATCACTAACGTCAGACCAAGATATATTCTGAAGTTTAGCTGACTGAATTAACAGAGTGTGGCTGAGATGATACGCGTCGGTGGTTGGTATTGTCCTTACTCGTCAACTGGGCTCACCCATGTCCCCGAACGGGAGCAGAGGCCGAAGAAATATACAAGGATGAGACCTATTTCTTGGCGCACTAATAGACGATCCTTTCTGAAGAAGGATGCCTGGAGAGGCTGAGGCTCAGTTTGGGCCTCTGCCACGTCATCAGGTGCGCCTCCGCTCATAAGCATATTTATATTTACCTATCAGTGCCTGCTGAAGTACCAACTAGCCTTGACACAATTTGGCTCGCGACGCGCAACACCTCGTATTCCCATTCAACCAGGATTACTTAGAACATTCGCTAGCAATCCCTCCAAGTTTTGAACCGAATGTGTCCCGCGATGATTTTCTGCTAACGGACTGCTCAAGCATTTACTGAACTTTACAATGCCACTTCGCTCCATACCCCATCAAGCTTTCTCTACCATCGCCCAACAAAAGAAATACGACGTCATAATGTCGTGGGTTGATGATCGATTTGCGTCCCAGTTTATTATTCAAGGCGATAGCATCTATGGTAACTTTTCGGCGGGCACAGTTGGTGGGGTGCGTAAACTATGGACAGACCCCCAAAAGGTTGCACTTGCCTCAGATACCATCCAGTTGACAATTTCCATCAAACCTCGGGAAACGTTCAGATTCGTCATTGAAAACGAAAATATCGACCGGTTTTTAGCCTCCTTTGTCGTGCTCTTAAACGACCGGTTGTTGCCCTCTTACATTGTCACGGGAAAGACACCAAAAACCATCATTCTTGCTAGGTTCAAAAACGACGTGGAAAGGAATCGAGCCGTCGAATTCAGGTATATCAATGAGGAACCACTATCGACTTGTTGTATTGTCTTGTGATAAGAGTTACGATGATTCCTGCAGCCGCCAGTTACCTGCGGGTTCACAACTTATCGATAAGCCACCTAGAGCTGTCACGGATATTGAGGAGAGGAGGAAACGGACAAGAGGGCTGTACGCCCGGTAGACAGCCTGTATAGCCGCAGAGCAAGAGAGATATCGAGAGACTCCTAGTCCCAGGATGAATCGAACGGCATCCAAGGGATCGAGAAGAGTATCCATTACCCCAAGGAACAACTAGCCCGAATGGAGGACATTTTAGGGCAATTTTGAATCGGTGGGTGAAAAACTAAAGAAGTGTACCTAGGGTTTCTTGAATACCCGACCCATCTCGACCGGACCAGGGCCTTGCTCTACAAATTGAGGCTTATTTACATCTTCCTTTTCAAACGAATCTCTACTCGGACGGTGTTGAATTGAATGAGCTTCCGACTACTATACATTTCTTCGCCTCGCCGGGTAATCCACAATCCTACGAACCTAACAAGTTCATCTATGCTTGGGGCTCATTCTTAACTTCTGTCGACCCAGATAGGGCTCTACATCTATCGTTTGTTCTGCGCGATGGTGATCAGAGCATTGTTATGTGGCTTTCTTTCGTGGCGAGCCTTGACCGGATATATGTGCATGAGGACTGGTGGGTATACTATGGCAAGAATGCTATAAGGCTTCCGGTTGAGTATCAACCTACGCGGTGGACGGTTAGAGGCAAGACGCTTGCGCAGGGCTATAAATTGGGGGGTTTGTCGACTATTTCCTTTGTTTGAGAGGTTGGCTGTTATAGATTTTAGTGCTTTAGGTTGATACTCACTTCATCCTCGCAGGTTTAGAGGTAGATACCCTGTTATTCATACTTAATCTCCCATCTGAGCAGGTAGCTACTAGGTTAACTCTTCAGTACGGACAATAGCCTAGAGGTGGGACAGAGGCGACATCCTCGATACCCATCAATCTCAAATATTTGGCTCGCCGGGTTGACAGAGAATTTGAGGCAAGCTTGAGCTTAGTATCTCCAGACCCATGCCCAACCCCGTTCTACATCTCTCCAGATAGGAGATCCCAAGTTTGAAGTTGAAGCCTCTGTGTACAGTACAGGAATCGACATGACGCTAACGTTGATGTAAAACCAAAAACCGTTCGTCAAATCAGCGCCAACCTACGAGAATAATCACTCACACATGCGCAGTCAATAACCCCGGAAGAGCAATATTGCAAGACAAAAGGGACGTCAATTCAATTCCATCAGATTTTTGTAGTAGGAAATAAAAAACCTCCCCACTAAGCCACCTCCGAACCGCGAAAAAATCCCCCCCCCCACCAGCACAAATCCGCATAAAAAAAAAGTAAATTCATCAAAAGTATTCAATTCAGGCAACTGTCGTCGAAAATGGCAAGCACTCGGGCAGGTCGTTATTCCCAATCGATTCGGAAAGCAGGGTCGTGGGGAAAAGAAACGAAACAGTCGAAGCGCGACAAGAGGACATGATGGTTTTGGAATCACGGTCGTGTCGTGTCGGCTGGTGAAATTGCACCCGATGTGAATAGACAGTTGCGGGCTTGAACGTAGTTTCTTCGATTACAACTAGCGCGTTCAAGGGTGCTGGAAAATGTGGTTGGTGGGGGTGGGTAGTATTGCGTCGTTAGGATATCGAAACACACAACATCGTTGGTCCGGGGGTGAAATGGTGTGCGAGGACCGGGTGGGTGCTGTCCGGGACTAGTTTAGATGCCCAGACGGGTCTTGCGCCAGTGTCGCCGCTTAGCGTTGTATCTATTTGAAAAGAGATGTTGTCAGTTATTGCGTTGATGCAGTGGTGCGGTGTGGAATTTTGACGGCTAAGGTGCGATTTGTGCGGGTTTCTGGGTCTGGAAATTTCCATCTCCTCCTCCTCCTTCGATTCTTTTTTTTTGCGGCATGTCTCCGGGTATGTGTCTTCTTGTGCAGGATTTAAGGGCGCAATTTACCTGATGGTGTTGCCGGTGCGCAGACGAATCCACTGGGGGATGGGGCGGTTCTGACGCTGAGCTTTGGCAAGCTTTTGCTTGGTGCGGAAAGTCTTGTGGCTCTGTAGGTGAAAATGGAGGTGTTAGTTGGCGATTCAAAATTTCTGGATGGCGAGGGTACGGGGGAGAGTGTCGAGAGAAAACACTGGGATAGGTTCGAGGGTCATGGTGGTTGAATACTGACCGGCATCTTGAAGGCTTGGTCGCGACGGCGAGCTGGTTTGATGGGAGAAGATGTCGTCGTTCGGGAGGCGGATGATTTGTGTGCGGCAGGGCTTGGCTTCGCTTCGGCTCGGTCAGGTGATCTGCTGGCATTGGGGCCTGAGGCAGGATTTTGAGGAGCGCCAGCTAAGCCCCAGGCATGAATTTGGGCTAAGGCATTAAGGCCACATTTATTCTAATCTGCTCATGGAACCAGCTACAGCAGTTGGTAAGCAAGCCTTGTATCTTCCCTGACAGTCAGTCCCTATGATGACCTTGACAGGCTTCTCGAGTGAAAAAAGTCATTTGATCCATCATCTCTTGCCACAATGAAGTCACCTGCTGCCTGGCTACTGTTTCTCACACATTGTCCTAACCATGTGGTCAGAAAGCGATCCGTGCTCCACGAAATCTGTGAGCAAGAATAAGGTTCATAAAGAACCACTCGTAATGACGATTATAGTTGACGTCGAGTATTGAGGCTCTTACCTCGAATTCCACGGGCTACGCATTTGGCTTCATAAGCAGGCAGAACAGGATGCGTAACAGAGAAGTATCGAATACCCCAGGCCCCTATCAGGCGACCAGATTACAGGAAATCCTCCTCTTGCCCAATCTGGAAACCGCCACTCCATACGGAGGCCACGTTGCTATGTATTACTATTCCCACAGTGGATCGACTCATGGTGGCCTGGACTACAGTACGCTCTGTCAGGCATCAAGGATTTCTGTATCAAGGATCTCGCTCAGGCGACTATATTATTACAGTTAGATCTAAGCCTACCGGATAGATTGCAGCAGGCTATCTTGCCCGACAGGGTTTACTTCGTATCTACGGGAGATCCAGGGAATTAAGTCCTCGCGGTAGTAGTAGTTAATTGAGGCGTAACTCTTCACAGTTTCAGTCTATCGCAACACTAACCCAAAAGGGAATACAGTGCGGCCCCTCGTAAAAAAAGGAGAAGGATAAGACCCAATACTACTTACCCAAGTAAGTACTCGAATGACCCGGAAAATGGAGTCAACCCTGGTTCGCGGGTTTGTTAAGGAGCTCCATCGGGATCCGGGACACAATTTTGCCGACTCCCGACTGGACCAAATGTACGGCCCAAGCCCTCGATCCTCCGTCTGGCTGCTCCTGACTGGCGGATCGCTTCAGCGTGTATATGGTGATGTCGATGAACTTTGAACGTTAAAGCAGGTCTCGATCGGGATATTTTCTGAGCTGGTGCGAGGAATAGCTGCTGGAATGGAGGGTAGTAGCTATACTCCGTCCGCAAGTCAGTACATGACTCTGCATGGAGGGTCGGGTTTTGGAGAACGGAGATCAGATCGAAAATTCGATTTATCAAACTATGGTATGTCAGACTTGTCAGGACTGTAATTTTTATTAACTAGGCATCATCCAGCGCTGATGGACCCGGCCGCGTCGAAATGAGTCAAAGAGCTTGGCCCACTTTTGGAAGCTTCGTATTCGGCTCGCGCGTGTTCCGGGGTTGCTGGTTGGTTGTGGATTGTAGAGTCGCATTTGGATGCAGAGAAGGTATTTGCTGCGTCATGGGCTTGTCATCTTGAGAGCTTTTGTTTGGAGAGATTAGATCCAGAGTCAGATTCAGCTTGGGGATGAGAGAGATATGCAAGCTGTCTTCTTCGGGGGTGTCTACTACCCGTTGATGGTTAAAGATAGGGGGATTAGTTCATGCCGAACACGACCGGGGCATAGAACTTCCCGAAGGATCGAGCACTGTGCAGTTGCAGCAGAATGACAGGAGGACGATCGATCGGTGAGCCTCCGATACGAAAAAGAAAATAGTAATACGCTTCTCGATGACGGATGTTGTGAGTCCCGTAGGGTGTATGTAGCGTATATGCAGCAGGATCTACATAGATATTATCAGATATACTCCGACGGATGCAACCCCCGTGGCGCCCTGCCGTCATTGTGCTGACGAGGCTGCCACAAGATGTCAGAATAAAGAATACGTATCAATATATATATTCGATTCGGAATCGAGGGTTATAGCATAGTATAGTATATGTGTTGAATGAAGTATCTACAGTAGTACAGTACTGTAGAGTGTAGAAGTTGTACTCAGGAGGGGAGTCATGACATTCTTAGGGACTCCTCAAGTCTATGGAATTAGCCGACCAGTAAGAATGCAGCACTCTGCTAATGAACATTATATCCATCACGTGCAGGGCCTGCATGGAGGGGTGCTCCTGCACAAGAAAATGCCGGAGACTCCAGACTCCGGCCCACTTTCCACTGTCCACTCGGGATCGGGCCCCCATTTTGAATGGGTTTTATGAAACCCGCTGGCATTTGCACTTTTCTGATTTCGGACTTTTCTTTTGGGTTGGTTTATTTCCTTTTTTTCTGCGTGTCAGAAAATCTAGATGTTTCCTGGGATTCCCAAGTTAGCGAGTCATACTAACTGAGAACGGACTACGCCGTGGTCCCTGATAGAAGCTGGAGGCAAAAGACATAAACGGTCCTTGTTCTGCTGGTCTGTTCTCTCTCGTACGCTCTTTATTAAATACATTCTTATTCGCCCGCTCGTTTCGTCCGGTTTCTTCTTCTTCCGTTTCTTGATTTTCGAGTTTCGACCACCTGTATAGATTTGTCACCTTTGGAGACGGGGTATTTTCTAATTCCCCCTTTGGCTCGACAGCTTTCGATAGCTTGTCGTCAACTCTCTTCTATAATTCACCGGGGGACCGTCGTGTTCTCCTGCTGTTTCTTTGATCTTCTTTTTTCTTTACCTTTTTGCTCTCTGGCATCGTGCAGATCGCGCATTTCGATCTTCCCGCGATCGCGCGACAATCTTGAGCAAACCTCCTCTCTGATTCTCTACTGGTTCTCGACACATTCTATTCTCACCCTCGTTTCGATCTCACATTCACCCTCCACTCAGCTCTACACCCCCTGTTCGTGCCCGGCAAAGCGCTCTACATTCCTAAAGCCGAGGCCTGGTCCACTCCCCCCGAATTTGGAACTAAAAGTGGGACCACGCCGACTGCTCTCAATCTTGCGACAAACCACGAACTCGCGCCACCACGCGCAACATTCCCCCCGCCATGCAGCAACCGGAAGAGGGGGCCACTGCGGTGGAAAAAGTCCCCGACGAGGTGATGGCCGGTGAGCAGAACCCATCTGCGCAGGAAAAGGCAGAGAAGAACTACGATTCGGGTTCGACCTTGTCCGGAAATGCTAAGGATGATGGAAGCAAGTCGGCGCTGTCGTTGGATGATGATGCGATCTTTGCGCATTTGCCTCAGCATGAGAAGGATATTCTGAAGAAGCAGTTGGATGCTCCGGTGGCCAAGATCTCATTCTTTGGACTGTATCGGTACGCCTCGAAGATGGATATCTTGATTTTGTTGGTTAGCGCTATCTGCGCTATTGCTGCAGGTGCTGCGCTCCCGCTGTTCACGGTGAGTTTCGAACCCGAAAACTTGAATAATGGACCTGTCGTGCAAAGTCAGATCTACGTTTCTAGATCAAGAGCTAATGTGTTGTGTTACAGATTCTCTTCGGTTCCTTGACAACCGCCTTCCAGGGCATCCAATTGAAGACGATGACCTTCCACGATTTCGACCACGAATTAACGAAGAATGTCCTGTATTTCGTTTACCTCGGCATTGCTGAGTTTGTCACTGTCTACGTTAGCACCATCGGTTTCATCTACACTGGCGAGCACATCACCCAGAAGATTCGCGAGCAGTACCTCGAAGCCATCCTGCGTCAGAACATTGCCTACTTTGACAAGCTGGGCGCTGGTGAAGTCACTACCCGTATTACCGCCGACACCAACTTGATCCAGGACGGTGTTTCTGAGAAGGTTGGTCTGACTTTGACCGCTGCGGCTACCTTTGTCACTGCGTTCATCGTGGCCTACGTCAAGTATGCCCGTCTGGCTGGTATCTGTACTTCGACCATTGTTGCGCTGGTTATGATCATGGGCGGTGGATCTCGTTTCATTGTCAAGTACAGCAAGCTGTCTCTGGAGAGCTACGGTGCTGGTGGTACCGTCGCCGAAGAAGTCATCAGCTCCATTCGCAATGCGACCGCCTTTGGTACCCAGGACAAATTGGCCAAGCAGTACGAGGTGCACTTGCGCACTGCTGAACGGTGGGGCATGCGTCTGCAGATGGCCCTGGGTGTCATGGTCGGTGGTATGTTCGGCATCATGTTCCTTAACTACGGTCTGGGTTTCTGGATGGGCTCGCGGTTCCTGGTTGAGGGCAAGGTCAATGTCGGCCAAGTCTTGACCATTCTGATGGCCATTCTCATCGGTTCATTCAGTTTGGGTAACGTTGCCCCCAACGGCCAGGCTTTCACCAACGCCGTGGCTGCTGCCGCCAAGATCTTTAGCACAATTGACCGTGTCTCGCCCGTGGATCCTACTTCGGATGAGGGTATCATCCCCGATCACGCCAAGGGTGAAATCGAGTTCCGCAATGTCAAGCACATCTACCCCTCTCGCCCAGAGGTCACCGTCATGGAGGACGTTTCCCTGTCCATTCCCGCTGGCAAGACCACTGCCCTGGTTGGACCTTCGGGCTCCGGCAAGTCTACTGTCGTCGGTCTGGTTGAGCGGTTCTACCTCCCCGTCGGTGGCACTGTCTTCCTAGACGGTCACGATATCCAGACTCTCAACCTGCGCTGGCTGCGCCAGCAGATCTCGCTTGTTCAGCAGGAGCCTGTTCTCTTCGGTACTACCATCTACAAGAACATCCGCCACGGTCTCATCGGTACTCGTTTCGAGAATGAACCCGAGGAGCGTATTCGGGAACTCATCGAGAATGCTGCTAAGATGGCCAATGCCCACGAATTCATCATGGCCTTGCCTGAACAATACGAGACTAACGTTGGCCAGCGTGGTTTCCTGCTTTCTGGTGGCCAGAAGCAGCGTATTGCTATTGCTCGTGCTGTTGTCTCGGACCCTAAGATTCTGCTGCTGGATGAGGCTACTTCTGCTCTTGATACCAAGTCGGAGGGTGTGGTGCAGGCTGCTCTGGACCGTGCCGCCGAGGGCCGTACCACTATCGTCATCGCTCACCGTCTCTCTACTATCAAGACTGCTCATAATATTGTCGTCTTTGTCAACGGCCAGATTGTCGAGCAGGGTACCCACGACGACCTGATTGAGATCGCAGGCCCTTACTCCAAGCTTGTGGAGGCCCAGCGCATCAACGAGGAGAAGGAAGCTGATGCTCTTGCCGATGAAGACGTGGATGATGACTCGGACGAGGCTTTGCACAAGCAGAACGTTGCCCGTGTGAAATCCGTGGCCAGTGCTTCGTCCGCTCTCAAGGCTGAAGAGGCTGGTGTGCTGTTCCCCGAGGATGTCCGCCGCGCGGATACCCGCAAGTCCGTGTCCAGCGTGGTTCTCGCCAAGAACGGCCCCGACCCGAAGGCCAAGTACTCGCTCTGGACTCTGATCAAGTTTATCGCCTCATTCAACAGGGAGGAGTGGAAGTACCTGGTTATCGGTTTGATCTTCTCCTGCCTCGCTGGTGGTGGCCAGCCCACCCAGGCTTTCCTCTACGCCAAGGCCATCAGTGCTCTGTCCCTGCCCAAGTGGGAGTACGCGAAGCTGCGTTCCGAAGCTAACTTCTGGGCCTTGATGTTCCTGGTCGTTGGTATTGTCCAGTTTATGACCTTCTCGATCCACGGTATCGCCTTTGCGTTCTGCTCTGAGCGTCTCATCCGCAAGGCTCGCGGCAAGGCTTTCCGTGTTATGCTTCGTCAGGATATCAACTTCTTCGATCGAGAGGAGAACAGCACTGGTGCTCTGACCTCGTTCCTTTCCACCGAAACTAAGCATCTCTCCGGTATCAGTGGACAGACTCTGGGTACAATTCTGATGACCTCGACCACTCTCATTGCCGCTATTGTGATCTCCTTGTCCTTCGGCTGGAAGCTTGCCCTCGTCTGTATCAGCGTCGTCCCCGTTCTGCTTGGCTGTGGTTTCTATCGCTTCTACATGCTCGCCGCTTTCCAGGCTCGCTCCAAGCTCGCTTACGAGGGATCTGCCAGCTACGCTTGCGAAGCTACTTCTGCCATCCGCACCGTTGCCTCTCTTACCCGCGAGACCGATGTCTGGAGTGTCTACCATGACCAGCTGGAAGCACAGGCCCGCGTCAGCTTGATCTCCGTCATCAAGTCGTCCACCCTGTACGCTGCCTCCCAGGCACTGGTCTTCTTCTGCGTCGCTCTTGGCTTCTGGTACGGTGGTACCCTGCTGGGTCATGGCGAATACAATACCTTCCAGTTCTTCGTCTGCTTCAGTGAGATCCTGTTCGGCGCCCAGTCTGCTGGTACTGTCTTCTCGTTCTCCCCCGATATGGGCAAGGCCAAGAACGCTGCCTACGAGTTCCGCAAGCTGTTTGATCGACGCCCGACCATCGACACCTGGTCTGAGGAAGGCACCACCGTTGACCATGTCAATGGCGAAATTGAGTTCCGTGACGTTCACTTCCGCTACCCGACTCGCCCCGAGCAACCCGTCCTGCGTGGCCTGAACCTCAGCGTCAAGCCCGGTCAGTACATCGCGCTCGTCGGACCCAGTGGATGCGGTAAGAGTACGACCATCTCCCTGTTGGAGCGCTTCTACGACGCCCTCTCCGGTGGTGTCTTCGTCGACGGCCACAACATCGCCGACCTGAACGTCAACTCGTACCGTAGTCACCTGGCCCTCGTCAGTCAGGAACCCACCCTCTACCAAGGTACCATTAAGGACAACATCCTCCTCGGTATCGTCCAGGACGATATCCCCGAAGACGAGCTCATCAAGGCTTGCAAGGACGCCAACATCTACGACTTCATCATGTCCCTGCCCGAAGGCTTCAACACCGTCGTCGGCTCTAAGGGCGGCATGTTATCCGGTGGTCAGAAGCAGCGTGTCGCTATTGCCCGCGCGCTCCTTCGGAACCCTAAGATCCTTCTGCTGGACGAGGCTACCTCGGCGCTGGACTCGGAGTCTGAGAAGGTTGTTCAGGCTGCGCTGGATGCTGCGGCCCGTGGCCGCACTACTATTGCAGTCGCGCATCGGTTGAGTACCATCCAGAAGGCAGATGTTATTTACGTCTTTGACCAGGGGAAGATCGTTGAGAGTGGTACACATACGGAGTTGTTGCGGAATAAGGGCCGGTATTATGAGTTGGTTAACTTGCAGAGTTTGGGCAAGACTCATTAACCACGTCAACCCACCCCCTTTTTGGCCATCTCTTGACGGCTTTTTCTTGTTTATGTTCTTTTCGGGGGACTTTGTCCTGCGCCTTTGCATATACTTCATACATACCCAATCCCCTGATCAAAAGATTTTCTTACACTTTCTATTCCTTTTTTTTCTTACTATTTCCATACCCGGCCCTAATCATCCTACCCATCTACCCACCAACCTTCGACCTATGTCGTTCCTCTTCTCTTCTCTTCTCTTCTCTGCTCAGATACTCCATCTCCATCTCCTGTCATTGTATGAACTAATCCATCACCCATCTCATCTCATATTACCTGTCTTACAGAGACAGGTCTTTGTCTTCCCAGACATTTCTCGGATAGATTCCGTGGGCGGAGCTGGCTGGACGCTTCGTTGCGTGACTCTTCTAGTGAAATAAAAATACATTGTGAACTTGCTAGAGTGGTATTGTTGCTGGTATTCTCGTATAGCCTAGGTGTATAAGAAATTTATTTCATAATCCTGTCGTTCTCGTCTCATAATCGCAGACAGAGGTCGTATTCTTGGCTTCCATCACCGGTCCGGCTCATAGTAGTTCATATCTTGTCGACATATCTCGTAGACGATGATCAACTCAGTCCTGCTCCTCCACTCCATACTCCTGCTGCACATCGACGTGTCGCACACCTCGTGCTTCGGCGATGAGACCCATTAGACCCTGGGCGATATCCTTGATCTCATTGTACTCGTGTAAGAGGCGGATGTGCCGTTTCACGGTCTCTGAGGGATCATTTCTGGGATAGTTAGATCAACACAAGATGACAGTATTGTTGGTGGAATATTGTTATTGTTCTGGCTGAGAACGTACATGAGTTGCGTCTTGATTTCTGCTATCTCGGCTTCAAGCTGGGCTTGTTGGGTTTGGAGATTGGTTATTGAGGTGCGCAGCGTGTCCTGGATGGTCTGGTTAGTTGGTGGGAATGTAGTGCAAGCCTTGATGTGACATGTTTTGGATGCTCACTAGACGCTGTTCGTTCGACCGTTCAACCATTCCGATGTGTAGAACTCAAACCGCTCCTCCGCAAGCCTGCTTTCTGCTGTAGATCGCCCGTGTCGAGTGGGTCTCGTCTGCCCAGAGCGGGATGGCTGTTATCCTGAACCACAGCCCGCCAATCACCACCAGCGCTGAATAATCGAGTCCTCGAGTCGCCGCCAGGAACGGAATTGACGAATTCGTCGCGATCAGATCAATTTTCCAGAGACAAGCAGAGACGATTTCCATCAAAGAATCACCGTGTTTTCCTCGCTGTTGAGTCGGGCACAAGCACAAGCTGTGGCAGTGACCGGCGTAATCGGAACCGCCGGATTGGCAAAAGATCGACGTTGCCTGACTGGCGGTTGGTTCCTTTTCGAGAGACGCGGCCTCGCCCCTTCAAAACTTCCCCTTCTTCATTCCCTCACAGCCCACCATCCTATCACCAACTCTCCCCGCCATCATGACCCTCTCGCGACAAGGGGTCCTTTGGGGCCTGGTGCTGCTTGCTGGTCTGGCGCTTGCCCATGGTGGCCATGAGGCTGTCCCCGATGGCGAGCCGATCTCGTTGGAACCCATTGTACGTGGCTCATTGCTCGGGTTACCCGGTTGCGACAGATGAACAAATTTTAATGAAATGGATTTGCTGATTACCGGCATTGATCGCAGGACTCGACGTTATGGACACATATGATTCTTATGGGTACTGCGTTTGGGATTATTTTCCCGCTGGGCATGGTTCTTGGGGTATGTTGGTATCCTTTGGGGGAACTACGTATGCGCTTCTCATCTAACATCTACCGATTTCCTTTTTCTCTAGATTGTTCGCTCGCGCTGGCACGTCCCCGTTCAGATTGTTGGCACTATTATCGCCGTGGTGGCCTATTTCCTCGGCCACGCCCATAAGGGTCGCCAATTCGGCAAAAATGCCCACGCCTCGTTCGCAAACTGGTTGATGCTGCTCCTCGTCGTGCAGGTCGTGCTTGGATTCTACCTGAAGCTGCATCTGGAGAAGGCTGGCCAGGGTCGTATCCGGTGGATTTTCGTTCTGGCGCACGGTATTGTCGGCAAGATCATGCCGATTGTGAGCTGGACGCAGATGCTGTTCGGTGGTATTGCGGCTCTGGGCTTCTGCCAGGGCGATCATATGGGACAGTGTCTGGCGCATTTCATCATGGGCAGTGCTTTTATCGCCTATGGTATTTGCTTGACTATCTTGTTGCTGGTGGGCCAGTATTGGCTCCGCCGCACGGGCCGGAGCCAAGAATTCTTCGACTCGTTGATTATCGCCGCGTGGGGCTGCGTCAATACCTTTACTGAACATCGCTGGGGTGGCCCCTGGGTTCACAATGATCTCCAGCATACTACGATGGGTATTGTCTGGTGGTGCGCTGGTCTGTTGGGGATGTGGTTGAGCCGTACCCGCAATGGCCGGCCGAAGCGGAACTTGATTCCTGCCATTGTCATCGGTCTGACTGGTTATGCGATGTCGGCGCACACGCAGTCCCTGATGATTAGCACCATGGTCCACAGTATCTTTGGTTATACCCTGATGGCCGCGGCTCTGACGCGTATCATTGAGATTTCGTTCGTCCTGCGCGACAAGCCCAATGTCAGCATGAGCGGCGCCGAGCCGAACAGCTTCCAATACCTTACGCCTTTCTTGCTGTATGCCTCCGGCTTCCTGTTCATGGGCGCTACTGAGGAGCAGATGGAGCTACTCAGTCAGGCGGGTATCATGCATGTTTCGTATATCTTGATCTTGTACAGCATCGCCTTCATTCTCTTCCTATGTATGTTCCCGTCCCCTCTTCTCCGTTGTTTGATATTTACTAATCCCTTCCAGTCGTCAACATCCTCCTCCACATTTACGCCGTCCACGCCTGGCCCGAGGGTGCCCCCGAGGAAGAAGAGGTGGCTCACAAGTACACCAACGCCAATGGTGGCTACATGAACGGCCACACGCGGACTGCCGACGCCCAGCGCATCTCTGATGCCGAGGCTTTCGAATTGGAGGGTCTGATCAGTGATGAGGAGGACGAAGCTGGCTCCTCGATGCGCCCTAAAAAGACGGCTGATGAGGAGATGGGTGCTAAAGAGGCCGCTCGGTCTTGAATTGTCTCGATATTGTTACTGTTTGTGTTGAGTAACCTCGGTTGACTCGTTCATTCTGGGTTATGGCCCATATCATATGCATGTCTTCTTAGGCGTTTTGGTTGGTTGGGATCCGTGCTGCTTTGCACTAGTATATGTTCCTAATTCTATTGGACATATGATTTCTTGTTTATCTTTTCGGATTGTGATCTCGAAAGTGGAGCTTATGTTTAACGTGAAACAACCTTCGACGCGGTAGCTGATTAATAGCAGAGGATTGATTTTTGGAGAGATGTTATTTTACTCTCTTTTAGGAATAAAGTCATGATTGAGGCCGGCTTAAGAGTGATATCGTGCCTAAACTTCCCACGACTCCTTGGATGCAGGGACATAATGGATCCTGAGAGTCATTGCAGCAGCATGAGAACTAGTGCATTCTGCTAGATATCGTACAGTAGGAAAGACGTGCAATCATCTATCCGAGGAATCAAATCCAAAAGAAAACCGTCAACCCATCGCATTCCATCCGTCTATCATTCCGTAGTACGCCGGTACCAGAGAAACCTTTCGGTATCCGGAGTATCTAAATCGAGGCTGTATCTATGAATGAATCATGGATTGACAGCGGGATTAGGAGCAGGATGGGTCGCGAGATCAGTCGTTGTGGTGGGGTCCAATAGAATGGGGTTAGCCACTGGTGGCACTGCAGCTAACGACCCGACGTCCATCTCTGGCGGGAAGAATGGGTGTAATGGGTAGACAGGCCCGATAGACTTCTCGCCATCGAATAGCAGCATGTTCTGCAGTGGATGCTCCCGGGCAGACAGCACGTTGATCACGTCCTGAGCCAAGGCGCCGCCGAGGAATGCTGCTACTGGGCTAAGCTCACAGCCGAGGTTTTGCAGGAACTGGCGCAGGAACGAGGAGTCGAGCGTGGCCAAGTCCAGCTTCAATTCTTGGTGGCTCTCCCGCGCCAGCTTTGTGAAAACCTCCAAGTCCTGGTGTGCAAAGCTTGGTCGTCTGCCGTTGGAGATCTTTTCGAATTCCCACAGTGCGCGGAGACAGCTCAGTAGTGGTGTGACTTGTTTTCGGCGCCGTGGGAGCCTGGTATATTCTTCTGGGAGAGGGGAGGTATTGGCCAGTTGCAGGGGAGAATAGATTTCGCGTTTCGTAACCAGCTCAATGACCTTTCCCTTGTTCCCCTTCTCTCCCTTATCGCTCTCCTTCTTGGTGGTCACACTCACAACGCTCCTTGTGAGCGTCTCGTGCTGCTGGGTAGGGGCATTCGACTTCTCCCGCTCGATCACAAAATCATGTGAGATTAGATCGGCAAAGACATAGCCATAGAACCCGTGCAGGCCGGCTGCGTAAAAGGGTCTGTTGGCAAGACGGCATGCCGCGTTGATGGTCGTATTCGTTGCGAAGTCGAGCTCGGTTGCAATTGTCACGTCAAATTGAGCAAAGAAGTCCGGCGACTTGGTGCGCACGTCGGAGGTATCTATGTGAAGCATGACACGCGGGTTCATTCGGTGAATTTGAGGACCGGCGACTTCGGCGCGCTGGAGTTAATTTTCATTAGTTTGCGGCCAAGAGGCGATTCCTCGAGGGTAGGGTGTAGTTACGTTCTTGCCCTCCTTGATAATGTCCTCATTCTTGTGCGCTTCTTCTATGAAGAATTGCGCATCCAAATCAGTCTCTGTAACGGGTTCATGGTCGATGATGGTGAGCGAGCCGATGCCCGCTAGGACCAGGTTCTTGGCAACTTCGTTGGCGAGTGCCTTGATGGTAATGAGGAGGATATTTGCGGAGCGAATTCTATGTGATTGTTGATTAGATATTTCCTCGACGGGTTTCCGGATTTGAAAGACTCACTTCTCCTGCGCTTGCACTCCCCATAACCGGATCTGTCGGTCATAGAGCGCAATCTCGTCTAGAGAACAACTTAATTAGTCTATGGGTTCCTCACACAGTGTTCCACTAGATGCAAAGTCTGTTCAAACTAGACTTACCTGCGCTGATCGCCTGGCCGTTCTCTGCTTCCGCCATCTTGAGGTTGTTGACGGGGAAAGAAAGAAAGAAGCTCTCAAGCTCTCCCCACAAACGTATGATCTAATCCGGGATCACGTGCATCCACCGATAACCATGTAGCAAGCGCCATCTGCGTGTCCCCTCGAACACATCACACATCCTCGTGAAATACACCTATTCAGCCTTTGATTTTGGCTGGCCCTTTGCAGGGCGTATCTCTAATTACGCACTCTCGGTTCCGTGAGACCTGCCTCTCTTCCCTTTGAAACCCTCCGATCGCCAAGGTAATTCGGTACTCCCAAGCGTTATCCGCCCGAACTAACCCACCAGGATGGTATGTTTCGAAATGCCCTGATTCCTGCCTAATGTTTGCTAGTCCACGAACACGGCCGACTAACGATCAAATAGTCAGGAAATTCTGGGAATCCACCAGGAAACCCAGGCAATCCAGGCAACTTGCGGAACTTGAGAAACTCCGGAAACTACGACTATCCTCCTGCCTCACTTCCTCGGCCCCCTCGTACCTATGACGGTCATCTCAGTGAACAGTCTTTCCGTGAACGTTATCCACACACCCAAGATCTGATCGACACCTTGAATTCTCAGCATAATCGTTACGCTGCTGATACGAGTCAGTCACCTTGGCTCCGTTTGATCGAGAACGTGGGAAACGGTGAAACTACGGAGTCGCTGTCCGAGCTGCTCAGGATTTCGGAAGAACATATGAACCAGGCTGGTGGGACGCCTCGAGAAAACCAACAAGCCACCGTACCCACAAGACCACCTACCGGAGACCGTCTTCATTACTTGCGAAGTCTCCTTTATTCCGACAGCAACCGCTCTAACCCCGAGGAAACCCACCGTGCTCTGGAAGCTCTGAATCGGGAATTTGAAGAGCATATCATCGATCAGGTCCGCAATTTCGGTTCCAGCGGATCTCGCGCTGAGGAGACAACTTCTTTCACCATCCCACGCCCCCCACAGATCGACTCTGCCCCATCCAGGTCGAACCACAGAGCGCTGTGGGATCAGGTGCGGGCCGAGTTTGGCCTTGATGCCCCGAGCCCTCCCCGGACAAACCCTTACCAGGATTCTCCTCGCCCGACAACAAGCAGCCGAAGTCTTCGCCGTCGGTCATTCCGTCCTGATCTGCGAGGCAGCAGCAACCTTAACGACCCGATCCCCATTCCACCCCTCATGCCACAATCAGCCTCGACTCCATCAGGCCGTGATGGCCGTGGACGGTTGAAGCGACGGAAGCTTGATGCGGATGATAACCGAGAGGGCTTCCGGGGCTTCAACTATGGCCATAATGGCCAGGTAGTTTCCGGAGCTCTGAAGATGGAAATTGCCAGCTGTGATGGAGGAACCTTTGACCCCGATGGAGATAGCTCGTTCCCGGATAATGTTCTCCGGAATGACCAGTCAGTTTACTGCACCAAATCCGATCGCTGCAATATTGTCCTTCGGCACCGCGGCGAGGCACCTTTCTGCTTGAGGAAGATTGTTATCAAAGCTCCTCGGGCTGGATTTGATTCACCGTATGTTGAGCATCTACTACTACCTATTTACTATATCTACGGTTGACTGACTTCATGGCTACAGGATCCAAGAGGGAATGGTATTCGTGTCTATGACATCCGATGAGTTGCTTGCCCGCACCGCGCAGTATCAAATCCAGTACTCCAGTCCCCGCCGCCGCCGTCGCAGTCGCCGATCAGGTCTGCAGCCATCACAAGAATATCTGACTGCTTTTCGGTCTCCATTGCAATCTCTCGATCGCACCGTACTGATGGGACCTGCTTCGCATGCTCCATCAGATAACGAAAATGCAGCCCGAAATGCAAACGATCCACAGGCCGACTTCCGCATCACTACCGAGTACGATGAGAATTCAGAGGATAATTTGTTCATGGAACGTGAAGAAGATGATGGTCCCTCGGTTGCTGAGCTGGAACGAATCCAGGAAGAAGAGGATATCTGCTCGGACAGTGAGGACAGCATCAGTGAGGATGAGGATCTTGATGACACCAATATGGGCAACGTCCACCGACGCCGCATCGAACTGCAGCGCCTTCAATCGATGCAGAGGCGCCGACCGGCTAGTCTAGTCAACCCAATCCCGCCTCCCTCGTCTGCCCCAGCAGGGGCCTCTGGGGTCTCGACCAATGTCGAGGTGTTGAAACCTCACGCACGGTTCTTTATTGAGAGGGAGAAGAGCATGGTCAGCATCAAGTTTGATCCACCTCCGTATGTTGGCACATGCAGTTTTTGGTTCAATGTCTCATCTTACTAACCTATTTGTTAGTTCTGGAAGGTTTATTCTCATTAAACTGTGGAGCCCCCGGAGTGACGGTAACATCGATATCCAGAGCATCATTGCCCATGGATATGCGGGGCCAAGATTCTTCCCCAGTGGTGGTTTCCGGTAGAGCGCTTGGCTTATGGACATAATGGCAGCGCATGCCCTATTTCGGTTACGATGTAATGACCTGGAATGACGCCACGACATTAAATTCGGTATTTTCGTGTACTTTGCTTTTACCTATCCTGGTAGGATAGCGGGAAAGCTGACATGTCTTGGGCATTGGAACGCCTCTTCTGCTTCTCTTAAATCATGCAGCAGTTGTTCTAATGTCAATTCCCACCTCCCATTGTGATTTCACCCTAGAGCCACACAAGTAGCCTATCAAAACTTACTGGTAGACATATTGCATGATTTTACGATTCTGCGGCGTTCCTAAATCAATTAACACTACCTTGGCCGCAAACCCATCCATGCCCCAAGGCTTCACTACCACACATAAGTGATGCAATCTCCATAATTCTCATCTCCTAAGGATATAACCCACGCACCAACAAGACCCTTATATCTTTGACTTGTGCCGACTTTCAGGTTCTCGTACTCTGCAAATTTACTTTACCCGTATTCCAAACACTGGCGAAGGTGATTTGAAAGGTGTACAAAAGTGGGATGGTCCTGATCAACTAGCTCGTAGTCTGGAGTCTGTGGGCATGCTCTCTAGTATCAAAGGAATTCTTTCCTGTCGGATAACTCACAAGGCTACTTGAATAAGAGCACCAAAGAGAAACAACTGCTTTCTGTCTGTTTTGTTGTTGACAGCCTTTAGTGATTAGGTGCTCATGGGGCTCGGTCATGTTGACTAAGCGGCCTCTGGTTTCACGGGTGGAACCCACCGAAATGCGGGATGCCCCACTAGCTAGTCCGGATCTGGGCCAGGGCGATATAAGCTTAATCATCTCTAAAATAGAAGGTCAGTTGAAAAGATAGAGGCGAGGAAGGGAGGGAGAAAGAAAATGACAGAAAGATAACAGATGTTGGAAGCCTTGATTCAATTACTGAGAGACTCAATTCAGCACAAATCTGGCAAAAAGGCCCCGCGGTCACCTAGTGGTAACTCACTGCTGGGTCGTACATCTCCAGCGAGTGGGAGGTGTTCGAAACCGGGTGGCATCGATGCACTCGCCTAATCGATGTTGCTCTCCCTTTGATCGTCGAGTTTAATTACCTGATTGTCAGTTGGGGGGAATTAGCGGGTGACCGGGGCCAATGCTCCACCTGGGCAGCACGGATTTCGAGGGGTCTTCTGCCCTTTTTTTTGTCTTTTTACTTGTGGAATATAATAATTCTATTCTGTTCTTGATGGGCTACTCTACCTTCATACGAGGTGTATATACGATACTGTTAGACCTCTTTTTGGTTGGGGACACTTCATGTCAGGTCCCTTTAGAGGACTAAATCCAGGGGCCGATGGGGAAGGGAATACTAAGAAGGAGGATGAGGAGAAGGGGAAAAAGATGTTAGAGCCTGGATTCGATACCGGGACGCTCAGGAAGAAGTCTTTCAACCGACTGTGATGCGGACATCTGCGTGCTGACTCCCTTCAACCTGACCGATTAGACTATCAGTGGGCCCCGGCAATTTTGACTCCCCAACACGTCTTAAATGGGGCCTTGGAAACTCTAGAGGTACACTTTCTGCATTCACCACCGGTTACAGCATGCCTCCATGCTCCATGGGGTTACGGCCTTGGGTTGGAGTTCGTACCGAGCCAGACGTTACAGCACCCATATCCTCGAGCCTCATACACACCAGACTGTGAAACCATGAAGATACTTTGCATTTGTCAGTGTGGACTACAAAATCTACGGATTCGAAATATTGAACAAGGTAATTTATTTGGAATCCAACATCTTTGTGACTGAATCTTATATGCTAACATGTCATTATTGAAACAAAGAAAAAGTCCTACACAAATGGCAGCACCAGGTGGCTATCATACTTCCCCCCAGCATGAATCCAGTGCTGTCCATTATTCCGCACATGCTCGCTCGTTCCAAAGTTCGAGAATCCTTGATAACGCCCACTGACACTGAGCTGCAAGCTCTCGCCTTCCTCGAACTCGATACCCATACACCAGATGCCAATCTCCAGACACACCACAGTCCCCGGCTCGACCTTTTCTTCTTTCTCATGCGTGTAGAAGGGCCAATTCTCATGCATCGAGCGTGAGGGGTCAATGGTCCGGTTCGATGCTCGCAGAATACCTGTGGGGCCTTGGTACAGGATAACCTCGGTGCGCTTGTCCTCGGGGATATCGGCGATTTTTGAGACGGGGAGGTTGGTCCAGGGGATGTTAAGGTTGAGCAACAGCTCTCCTGAAGCTGACAGCTTGTTCAAGACAAGGAACACGTCCATATCGTCGAAGTCGTCGTTGCGCATCCAGAGTACGGCTTTGGGCATTCCGACAATCTGCGTTCGCTCGCTGAATTTATACGTGAAGGTTGCCCTGTCCTTTGCATCTTCGGAGTTATACGAAACAGATCCAGAACTGGGGGCGGGCTGATCCAGGCTCAAGGCTCCGTCTGCAGTCAAGTATGCCTTCCGATAGTTGGTGCGGGGGAGTGGGAAGTCGTCTTCAACCAAGTTGGCCAGCGGCTCTTTCTCTCCATATTTCAGGACGGACATACGCACTCGCGGGGTTGACTCCCAGTCATTCTCAATGCCCTTCAAGTATCGATCGAAGAAAGACAACAGCTCCAGTCGTCCTTCTTGGTTGCCCCAGATGTCGTACCATTCCTGGTACGGGTGCCAGCGAAGCCACTTGTTGGGCGAGTTGACCTCGAGCCACCCCCGAATAGCGCCCATACCGTGCATGGTGTTGGTGTATGTGCCCGTAATATACGTGGGGATATTGATCTTCTTCATGTCGGGTCTCTTGTCTTTCCACCAGTCATTCGCGAGAGGGTGCTGATCGAACATCTTCCGGAAACTCTCCATGCCATTGCGTCCGCGCAGCATGTACTTGATAATGAGATGATCAAACAAATCTCCGCCATAAATTCCACCGCGAGCAAATTGCTCCCGGTACAAATCACCACAGCCCTCCCAGGGAGCGATCGCCTTTAGCGACGGAGGCTGCAAAGCTGCGACAAACCACTGGATAATCGCCAGATGGGAATTGCCTGCCATACCGACGTTTCCGTTGCACCATGGAAGCTTTGCGAGGTATTCGATAGTGTCATATCCGTCCTCGGCTTCCTGCGTTCCCATGATAGCCATTATCCCTTCAGAATCAAAGGCTCCGCGGGAGTCAACATTGATGATGGCATATCCACGATCAACGAATTCAGCAGGGTCCGGAGCTTCGAACTTCTCCAGTCCACTCAATGTCCCATCGGGGATACCCAGGTTCCAAGGTGTCATGAGCTCCAGTGAATCAATGCCATTGAATTTCTTGCCGAATGGACTCCAGCATAGAATTGCTGGCACCGATCTCTCTGGGGCGGTTGGGGGTCGGTAGATGTCAGCGTAGAGCTTGCACCCGTCTCTCATGGTGATTGCAACATCGTGTTCCACAAGGATATCGCAAGACAGAGCTCGTCGTCCAGGCGCAGTCACACTGCCACTTGAGAGGATTTCGGTGCGTGGGCGGAGTTCTTGGTATCCTCCATGGCCTATCTCCGGCTCCTTCAGCTCCTGGCAAGGGACGTCGACATTGAACTTGACGGTCATGATGAAAAAGAAGGAAATATTGATTAATGGTCTTATTTCTTTTTCTCTGAGTCGAAACCAGCGAGGACACAGAGCATAATAAAGTGTTCTTCTGATTCGCCCACTTTCCGGCTCGGTTCGCTTCGCTTCGGGTTGCGGGCACTGGGGAAAACTCCCGGGGCCCCGTAAATTCTAACCTCAAGTGGGGAAAGATTTGACGTACCCCAGGATATCGGGGTCAATCGAAGCGAGGACAAGGGTAGCTACAGCCAGATGTTCGAACTATAAAGTGCTAAAAGCTGCCTTGCATGTAGCCTTCTTGCGTGTGCGACAGTGACGCTGTCTGACTCCTGAATCTTCCAACACTGCTGAACCAAATCTCCAAACATGGACAAGTCCGACATATCCCATGTCGAGATTGCAAGTGAGGTTCAACTGTCTGGACATCGGAGAGATGGACAAGTCGAGCTCTTGCGTGGGGATGATGTGGTGCTTATTCCAACTCCGTCGGCCGATCCTAGAGGTATACCCAAGTCTGCCTATGAAGCATACGTCCAGCGCTCACCTCCTTTCAAGATCCATTGAACCTGCCAGCGTGGCGCAAATGGGTACTGTTAGTTCTCGTCTCCGCATACAGCTGCACGGCTGTCGTCCTTGCCTCTGGAATGGGATCTATCTTCACCTCCGTCGAAGCGTCCTACCCCGGACAAGAAACCCGCGCGAACGACCTCTTGACTTACCCGACACTGTTCATGGGTATTGGTAATCTCATTGCCATGCCATGGGCTTTTACCTGCGGTCGACGACCTGTTTTCCTTGCATCGATGCTCCTGCTCATTGGTGCTGGCATCTGGTGCCAATGCTCGCAGAGCCTGGGAAGTCATATCGCCGGTCGGAATATCATGTCCCTTGCCGCTGGCCAGAGTGAAGCGTTGAGCCCCATGATTATCCAGGAGATTCATTTCCTGCATGAGCGTGGTCGGAAGATTGCCTGGTTTATCTTCATCCAGAACATTGCTGCTGGTGTATTCTTCGTCGTTTCAACTTATATGGTCAACGTCTGGGGATGGAGATGGTGGTATGGATTCTTCACTATCATGAACGCCGTCATCTTCGTGTTGTCAGTGGTATTCGTCTCTGAATCTCACTTTGACCGGCCGGCGGAAGCTATGCGTGGCGAGTCGCTGCCTGATTCCAAGCTCTGTGGTGCCCATGGTGCCGAAGGAGGAATTGAACAGTACGAGCCGCGCAGCTGGCGTGATGATATCAAGCCCGTGGTCGTGAAGCCCCGTCTGCGTGATATTCCGACTTTCTACAAGCAAATTCTGCAGGGACTTCTTATTCCAACCATCTTCTGGCTTCTCCTGCTGAATGGTGCCCACCTCGGCGTTTACGTCTTCCAGGCATCCACTTTCGCAACCATCTTGATGAGCCCACCGTATCTCTTCGCCTTTGAGGCTTTGGGTTATGTTCAGGCTGGTCAGATCGTCTGCTGTCTCGTCTTCCTGCCCCTCTTGGGTTATGGAAGTGACATTGCGATCAAATACTTCAGTCGTCGCAACGGTGGCCTCTACAAGCCCGAGTACCGTCTGCCCGTCATCGGTATCCCCGTCATTGTGGGCATCGTCTGTGGAATTCTCTACGGACAGGCTGCCGCTCACCCGGAGAAATGGAGCGCGGCAGCGGTCGTAATTGGTTACAATGCTAGCTTCTTTGCGTTCTTGGGCGCAAATATCGTTGGCATTACCTATGCCGTGGATAGTTTCCCCCAGCGCGCGGCGCCGTTCTTGGTCGTTATCTGTGCTGGAAGAGGTTTCATCTCCTTTGGCCTGAGCTACGCCACCTTGCCTGCTGTTCATACTATGGGTTATGATGGGACCATGATTGTTGAGGTAGTTATTTGTGCTGTACTAGCGTTACTCTCTATCCCGATCTTCTTCTTGGGCCCTCGCATCAGACGCTTTGCTCAGAAGTGGTGTGGTGTTGAGGACAAGGCGAATTGAAGAATGAGTGCATGCCATAGTTTTTTGATTTTATGAATTAATTTTTTATTTTTCTATCCATCAAAGACTAGAAGATGTAGCTCAATTAAGGAATTAAATCATCTGTCAATCCTATGTAGCTCATCTCTGTTATGGACGCCTCCTAGTGCTCATTAATTTATGGAATACCCAATCATGGTTTCTCTATCTCTGTGCCGCTGTGTCCATGAAATTTGTGCCTTTGCTAACTGGGAGGCATGCAAGAAGCTAATCTTCCATTCTCTTAAGGAAATTGCATTTCATTGATCAAGCATTGATTCACCGGTTGACAGCTTCTGCCGTAGAAGTTGACGAACACCCGGGAAGTGGGCGTACCGTAGTAGACAACATGCTTTGGGTTATTGAGGAGTTAGCAACGTGCCTGAGTTGGCTATGGAATGGACAGCTGACGACCAAAAGCAATTAACAAGCCTCAATTGCATTTCAGGTATTTTGATTCGTTTGATATTCACCGCCGAGGTCAATGCATCATTTGGGGTATCTCTTCACCCCAAGCGACCCCAGCCGAGCCGAACCGGTGAGCCGGACCGGATGTACCAACTTCCAAGGTCAAATGTCGAACTTTCATCGTGTGACAAAGTTGATGAACAAATTATAAAAGACTGAATTTCTCTTGGGTACGAACTCTATTTGCTAAACAACCTCAAAGTTCCATCTGAATAGCTGGAAAATGGCTTTGGCAACGGAAACTGCGACGACCGCCCCATCGGGAAAACTGTTTTCTGAAGGTACAAATGTGAAGTATGGGGATTTCCGTGATGATCTGCTGCAAAATGGGTTCGCAGTCGTCAAGGGCGCTGTTCCCCGCGAGCGGGCGCTGAAGTATGCCGATGGTATCTATGAGTGGCTAGAGGGCTTGTATGTTCATATTCCATTGCATGAGTTGCCTTTCACCCCATCCTAACCAGGACATTGTATAGCAACCTCGGCTTCAAGAGAGACGACCCTTCAACCATTCACAAAGACCACCTTCCCGATATCAACGAGAAGGGCATGTGCTTGGGATACGCCGTCTCCCACGAGTCCTTTACCTGGGCCGTGCGCCAAGAGCCTAAAGTCATCGAAGCTTTCGAGAAGGCCTACAACACTCAGGATCTCATTGTGTCCTTTGATTCCATTGGTATCGGTTTCCCTAATCGCAAGGACATTCAGCCAAACAAGCCCTGGCCGCATCAGGATCAAGACCCTGAGAAGCCGGGATTCCGGTGTTTGCAGGGTCTGGTCAACTTGCTTCCTAATGGGCCGAATGATGGTGGCTTGATTGTATGCAATGGGGCGCATTTGCTGAGCGAGGAGTTCCATGAAGAATTTAAGAATGAGGAAGATAAAATTTGGTCTTGGTAAGAAGAGATTTCGGGATTATCAAGATATAAAGATTTATGAAAGAGACTTCGATACTAATTATGCTTGCAGGACAAAAGAGTGGTATGGCTTCACCGAGAAAGGTCTGAAGTGGCTGGAGAATAAAGGATGTGAATGGATCAAAATTGAGGCGGAGCCTGGTGACCTTCTTCTTTGTAAGATTTACGTTCCAGTTTCTATTATCTACAAAACTAACACAGGCTTGTATAGGGGACTCCCGCACTCCTCACTATAACGTCTCCTCCGAGACAACTCAACCACGCTTCTGTGTGTACACCTGCTTCATGCCCGTCGCCGATGCGACCAAGGAGCAGCTCCTCGTCAAGAAGAAGGCCTTCGAGGAGACCAAGATGGCCACTCACTGGCCCAATGCCATGCACGTTGTCGACCTGCCCGTGTACAGAAATGGAGAGGCGGACCCGTACCAGCGCTCTTCTCCTCGTGAGCCTGTGCAGCTCTCTGATCGGGCCTTCAAGTTGACTGGTATTCCTTATCTTGAGCAAATGGCTTGAATATGGCTGAGGGGTGAACATTGGATAGTGATTTGTACTGGAAATTTCATGTATCTATTGTCTGAATAAATTGTTCATTCACTATGTTGAAATAAATGACTCAAATCATTCCAATCCCAACCTGCCCAGTCTAGAGCAGATGGCCCCCATTGTGCTGCAAGTGACGTAAATGACATGGAGTCGTCTATTGGAGAGTCATTAATCAATGGATTTGCAGAGCTCAAACTCGTCAATTCAAGTTGGTTTGGTATCGGGGCCTCGAGCAGATGGGAGATGTATTCTTCCAGGTCAAGCAAGATATCATCGAAATTGTTCACTGTACCATGTTTCCGGTAGTGTTGTCGGCTGATTTGCATGCCAGCTTTCATCAGCTATACGGAGGAATTAGCCAAGGTCGTTGGGTCTAGCTGTATATGCAAACCTCAAAATCAGATCGAACAAGAAGTGACTTTTGTTCGCGGACGATTGAAACTGCGAGAGCGTACACTGCAGCGAGTGGAGAGGTCATCAACGTGAGATAGTTGGGAATACCTGAGTCAATGAGGGGAACAAAAAGCCTGATCATTTCTCGAGCTGATTCTGTAACCATGGAAGGTCCACTGAGAAGGCGTTGACGCCATGGCTTGTCTGGGGCGAACCTCTCGACCACTTCACGCAGTTCGTTTGGATCAACTAGAAGAGTTGAACGGTGTACTAGAATCACACTGAATGGATTTTAATGACGTTGTCTCAATGCTCACATAGTAGTAGATATTCAAGTTAGGGAGACCAACCCAAGATTATAGTAGTACGCAAGGAACGCTGATCGAGCCCCGTTGCTGGAACTTGGCATGGCCGTAGACCGGATTCTGAGGGAAGGTAATATGTCAATTTTCTTTCTGCATGAGAAACGGAAAGAATATACATACTTTAAATCATTTGCCAAATTCTGTTGCCATTCAGTGAGTAGAATCAGAAGCTCCCCTCCAGTTTGGAGCTTCTCTTCAATAGCCTGTTCCACCGTTTGAGGCAGCCAAGCCTCCCGCCTCCATGCCTTTGCAGATCTTTCCTGTAACTCATGAAGCATATTTGCGAGACTGATAGATGCCTGCCAAAATTGTTGATCCGAGTCATGTTGCACCTCTATTGGAACAGACCCCGCTAGCGTCCCCGAAAGATCGCGATCCCACACCATCGAAGGACGCCCAAGTTCAAATGCCAGGATTTTCTCAAAGACATACATACACCACCATGTTCTGAAATCTTGGTTATTGGAACCAGCGGGTGTCGAGCTCGGGGATCTGACTTGATTGATGCCGATTGACTGGGCCATCGATACTCCCATTGTCAGAATGTCCCAAGCCCAGGCAATCTTGTCGCAGCTGCGAAGAACCATTGCAAAAAGAAGGATAGCCTGCACTGATTTGAGGGAGCGCGTGGCAACTATGTGGCCCAATAATGAATTGCAGTATGCAATGTATGACGAAATTAGACTTTGTGAGCCTTCCGATGCGGGCATGGCCATCATCCCGGCCGTGATCATCAAGTATACCAGCGCGCGTTGTGGTACGCCTGATAGCTGGCTTGGGCGTGCCATAGATTCGAGCGTTTCGGCCATGAATGACAATTCTGGAATATTCCGATCGAGGAATGGAAAGAGCTGACCGAGCGTATCCGAGAAGTTATTCATATAAGCCTGCACTTCCTCTGGCGAAGGCAACCCAGGGGCTTTATCGGGAATATTGGCTGCAAAGTCCTGATTGACCAGCGGAGATAGAGCATGGGTTTTTGATCCCTTGAGACGATAGAATGCCATGTCCAGCCATTCAGTCATCAGTTCCACCGCGCTGGCTCCAACAAATCGCGGCATGATTGGCAGACGACCCGTTTTCCAGCCTTCTCGCCCCCAACACTGACTCCATAGTCGCGGGCGGTCCTGACTAGCAGAAGGAGTTGTTGCTGAAAGATGAGATTCTGGAGTTCTGGGATTTCCTTGTTGGGACGGCGATTCAGCTGTGACGGTGCGTCGTCTGCTAGATACGAGCGCCCCGGCGCGTCTTTTGTCAGTGGTGATGCATTCTACATCCGCTTGGCGACAGTTTCGACATGGCTGCTCCTCATCGCAGCGGGTCTTTTTTGAGCGGCAGTAGTTGCACGCAAAGGAAAGACGGATCCTCTTTCGTGGGCTATCGCTATGGCTGTCCATAGATGCGAGTTTGAGAGTCAGTGAAGTTTGGATGAAGCGGGAGATGTTGAGATATTCGTCCCTCCCGATCTCCACTTGCCGAGGAACTCTGGAGAAAGGCCGCAACTTGATTGCTAATTGAAATATGTGAGTACAGCTGGCTATATATATACTCGAGGCTGGTGTCGCATTAGTTTTCTAGTAATTTTGAATCATAGGTGGAACAGATCTAACACATGGCTTGGAAAAGCTGCAGTCGAATAATATCTTGGGCCAAGTGCAGGTCCCCGATATCCACATTTATAGTACTTGAGCTTCAAAATACATCTCATGCAAAAGCTTGTATTATGATTGACTATTATTCGAACCAAGTCAAGTATATAGTAGAAGTCAAAAGAAAAAAAAATCTACTTGAGCCACATGATAGCAAAGACCACAACAAACGCCCACATGCTGGAGAAAGAACCCCTTGATCCGCCATTAGAATAAGTGATAGTCGCCGTGGGTTTGTGGGTGTGAGTGAGGCAGGTAGTGGTCTTGGAGGTGGTGGAAGTAGAGAAAGTTGAAGTCGTCGACCTTGTACAGGTGCGATGGTTGGTTTTCGGGTGGGTGTCGGCCGTGGTGCCAGGGACAAGCGCCACGGTATAGCTGCTGCCAACGGGAATGGTGCTGAACTCGACCAGCGGCGCGGTAACAGTACGCGAAGACCAACTCATGGTAGTGCAAGGAGTCTTCGGTGCGGTGGGCGCCGGGGTCACCTCGGGAGGAACCTCCTCGGAAGGACCTGTCATGCCAGGAGCTGGGGCAGTGACAGTATGGTGCGGAACCTCGGGAGGAACCTCCTCGGAAGGCCCTGTCATGCCAGGAGCTGGGGCAGTGACAGTACGGTGCGGAACCTCGGGAGGAACCTCCTCGGAAGGCCCTGTCATGCTAGGAGCTGGGGCAGTGACAGTATGGTGCGGAACCTCGGCCGGAGAAGTGCTGCTAGGTGGCGCGATGTCGATAATCTCGGGGTTCTGGGGGACGTAAGGAGCACAGATACCGGCGAAGTAAGAAAGAGCCGAATCAACTTCCTTCTCCGATCTGCCCCAAGAATGAATACAGGTTGTCACCTTCTCAGTAAACTCGGAAGACGGGCAGAAGCAGGCGGCATCACTGTTGGAGTCGCACTTGGGAATGGAGAGCCAGGTGTTCAGACACTTGGGGACCAGCTCGGGGCATGGAGCAGGGACCACGGACGTGCTGGGGATGGCAGGGCTGGTTATGGTGGTCGGGCTTGGAGGAGCCTCAGTCGTCCGCTCGGTTGGCCGACGTGGGCATACGGTAGTTGAAGCAACATAAGTAGATGTAACGACGGTGGTAGAATGAGCAGGGCAGTTAGTAACTGTGGGTGCGCAAGAGGTAATCGTGATCTCCTCGGTTGTCCAAACGGTAGAAGTGGTCCAAGACTCAGGAGGCACTCTTATTATTGTGCTCGTTGTCGTCGGGTAGGTCCATACGGTGGAAGGCGTAGGAGTCGACTCGGTATGGGTAAGCGATGTGTGAGTAGGAGTCGACTCGGTATGGGTATGCGATGTGTGAATAGGAGTCGACTCGGTATGGGTATGCGATGTGTGAGTAGAAGTCGACTCGGTATGGGTTTCCGATGTGTGAGTAGGAGTCGACTCGGTATGGGTATGCGATGTGTGAGGTGAAGGCGGCTTGGGTCCAGGAGAACAGTCAAAGTCCATGCGGTGAATGTTCAGGTCACATTCGCCAAACTTGCTATCCTCAGGGAGGGCAAACTCAACAGCGACGGCATTACCACACTGTTCGTTGGTCACGTCGGCTCCAGCCGGTGAGCTCCAGGCCAGCTGGCGACAGGTGGATCCGTCTGCCATCTCGTAGTTCATGAGGACCATGGTCTCCCGCGAGGTGGACATATGCAGGTTGCTGACGGAGAACGGTGCTTGGTTGGCTTCAACTTTGATAGCGTAGCCGTCATCGCGAGACAGCCTCGCCTGGATGCACTTGCCCTGTTCTTAACGTTAATATTATGTATCTACAAACACAATCCCAGTCAACGTACCTCCGCAGATCCACAACCACTGTTGGGAGTGAAACCAACGAAATTGAAACCCTCAAAGCTCCAATTGTCCCCGTTGGCCAAGTCGGACCAGTCAAAACCAGTGTGCTGTGGCTCCAAGCACTGGTTGTCAGTGTTTTCCGGGCTTGGATAGCACTGGTCAGTACCCCACCACTAGATTCATGAAGATTAGCTTTGATCTTCACATGGTACTCAAGCACGGGGGATACTCACAAGGCCCGAGGGATGCGCGAGCGCACCCACCCCGAAAAGCGAGAGCCAAATGACTGTCTTCATCTCAAACGATGTAGTAAATGAGTGTGGGGCTGAAGTATAATTGCGAAGCTTAATGAGAGACAGCAATTGAATCTCAATATCAATATTAGAAAAAGAAAGATGGCGGATGTCGGGGTTGGCGAATGTTGTCGACTGAATTGGCGATGGAAGACTTAATGCAGTGCCTGAAAGAAAGAGCCTTTTATATCCAAGGACGATGTGTTTACAAATGTTGAGAATACACGCTGAGTTGCCTCATAATACTCATGTTGATCAACAACAATCAGTATAGAATGCAGACTACAGTCAAGGCCGGGCCGACCCCCTAGTGTAGGAATCTGTAACCATGGAGACTGACCACGGGGAGCTTAAATCCAGCTCTTTTATTTGCCCAAACAATTGCCACTTCATACTGTGGCTTCTAAGCTGTCCAGTTGCCCTGTTGGGTCTATAATAAGCGACGCCAAAGCACCTGATTTTCGGAGACTCGAATAGTAAGCCAGTCAACCTAAATATCATTCCATGAGGAGAACAAATGTTCTACTCGAAGCGTTTAACTAGCCAATAATTGTAGAGATCGCCAGAGAAGAGCCAATCGAAGTGTGTCGGTTCCATATGCCACGAGATCGAGCTTTCCACATTCCAGCTCCCTATGCATTCTTCACTCCTCAAACCATCCCCTCTAAGTCCTTCATAGCCAATCGCTCAAAATGTCTATTCTAATTCTTTTAATCATGTGTTTGCAATTGGTATTTCATAGGATGCTTATTTACTTTACTGGGCCTTTGTTGACGGCCCGAACGGAGTGGACATTGGTCCGGCCAAAATTAGCAGCAAGGGGCGTCCACTTTGCAACCAGGCAATGGTTTCGAACGAGCCATTGGGATTTAGAACATCAAGATATATATGAGAGGGAGGACTATTCATTTCTCCCTCGCAAAAGAGGAGTGTCAGAAAAGAAAAAGATTGAGAACAGATTGATGGAATAGTGTAGGCACCGTGGCGCCTCGGCGCGGGCTTCATCTAAGACGATACACCAATTTTCTCAGGTTCGCGGCGTTGTTCAATCAGGTAACCAACAGACTTTTTGGGAATTTAAGAATAAGACCGAGAGGACTACAGAGAGAGGGCATTCCAGTCGGAGAGCGAGAGCATCATGGACAATTTGACGACATGCTGGCTAATCCCTGCCTCTGGTTACTTGCTCGATGACAACTTTGTCTCTTCAAGAGAGGTTAAGCAGTCTGTCACAAAATGCTACCTATACACCTACAGAACCAATTCTTTATACAGCTGCCGCTGTAGTGGGCGACTTATTGGTAGTTGGGCCATGTAAGTTCCGCCATGATTAATGTCTCGGGCTCATTTAACCCCGAGGTTTAAATACATTTCGCTGTGAGACGAGACCTACTACTAAGCAACGAATATACGCCGAATCATAGAATTTCTAAATACGCACTCAAGTGTTGTTTGAAAACGAAAAAGGCGGTAAATTTCCAATAGGTGACCTCGCGTACCGTGTATTGATTCCATAAACTCTCATAACACCGCAGACTGAGGTACTTATCGAGGCGCTAGGTAGAACAGTAAATCTAGGTTGGTAGGGGGACTGGCTTATCGAGGTTGATAGCTCTACTAATGGCAGGTCCCTAACAAGGTTACCAGCCGACGAATCAGGGATTATCGTACCTGGGCGCGCAAATAATCCACAACAAAGAAAGCTATGGTCACGTGGCAATCTCTATACTGATGCCGCATTATTACTACACTCTTGTATCAGGAATATTTTAAAACTTCGTCTGGAGATAGGCTCATGTCCCCGCTAGGTGAGTATATTTTGAACTTCTAATTATTGATCAAACTGCAATTGATCATTCTACCCGAGTACCTACTCGTATCTAGAGATGTAGCCCCAGTCTATGCTAGGCAAAATATAGTGTTATGGGACTCGTGTTGAATAGGGATCTTCCGTCTGGAGCTCTATTGGGGGTGACTCGTAACCCCTAGAAAGTGTAGTTACAGCCCATAATTACTGATTATTGTGGGTTAAGAACTGATTGGATCGTTGAGGAAAACCGTACTTGGCTCAAATAACCCCCGGAAACACGTAGACAACGAAGGTCGTCCATAGGGCAGCCGTATACCTCAGGAACTGATCGAAGCAACATGGCTCGACCACACGAGTCTGACCAACGGTCAAATTTGGCTATGAGATTTCTAGTATAAAAGTGCGCGTATCTCTCGCTCTCAGACTCGCTTTGTTTTAAAATTTCATGCGTAAAAAGTCTCGATATGAGAGTGCTGAATCTGTGAGTAAAGTAACGACTTGAATATCTTCAAGATTCAGCCACCCCCGTCCTAGGCTCTCATTTTGACCTCACTCTCAGCCCTTGACTCTGGATCCTTCTTGGGTCCTGCACTACTCCCTTCGTCGCTATTTCATTTCCCCACATCTTCATTCCCTCCAGCTCTCGGACCGACATCTACCAGCAGATCACGCACTCACATCATGAACGACCGTGATTTTCGCCGTCTCGCACGCACGGAGTCTGAGGAGTTTCTGCTCAGAATAACGTCCGTCGAGGATATTGATGAACTCTTCAATGAGAACGCGAAAGGCCCGAAATGGGTGCTTATGAAGCCTCCAGCTTCGGCGCAAACTTCTGAGCCCAAGCCTTACCAGGTTAGTTGATCTACAACCCCTCCTTCCAAATATCAACTGTTAGACTCCGTGATGCCATTTCACTGACCCATCCTAAAAAAAGAACGACATATATTATCCCCCAGCGAAGAGGCGAAAGACAACGCACGATGCATCTGAAAATGCCTGCGTCGATATGATCCATACACCGCATACCTCTGATATTACTATGACCGAGGATTTAGGAGATTCTGCGCGAGGATGAAATCATTGCATTGATGGTCTCTGTGAGACCTTCTTGCTTGCATTTGCTCGGGTCTCCATATCAACATGATTTCCCTCGCCTGGTAGTCAATATTAGCCAAGCAAAACAAGCTCAGTACTGACACGAGTCTCCATACCCAAGTTGTGATTTTCCTATCATAGGTCAATGCTTTTAGTCACTTTGATATTCGTATGAGATACAGGGAACCATAAGTGTCATCATAGAAACGGTCTCACCTCTATCTACGTGATGTCTCCTACGTGAGTCCGATAATATGAACGCATAGTAGTACTTTCAATACAATATTATTGCTTTCATTTGCTCTTCATTTTGCGGGATAATAGAAATTATCTTTATGAGATATCCGTCATGAGGCTGTTCACATATTAATATCTTAGACCTATCTAACTCGAGGTGCTTCGAGCCTATAATGGAGAAGATCTTTTCACTCCTACCCGGTACCATTTTTGAACACCCACTACTTTGAAAGTTCGATAAAAAATTCCACCGTTTTATGTTTATCAAAGGCTATTGAGCCTCTTCGAGAATGGTGAATTGATTTTATCTCTGTTCTTTGTTTGTGATTCATCCCGGCTATATGAGTGTACGTTCGCCGCGCTTGGAAGCGGTATTGCACTTAATCAAAATCCTGATCTTAACTACAGTCTCAAACACAACGTATTCCCCGCAATTTTCATTGTTTAGCTCGGGCTGCGGAATCGATCTTTCGAACATCGAATCAACGATTCGGTTTTCCGAGGTTCATAGTGGGCTATCTTTTTAGACTGTGGGGAAAAGTGCAATATCTTCATCCTGATTTGACGTGAGCGTTCATGACGATCTAACAAATGTTAGCTAATGAGTCATGACCCGAGGCGGACACCTATAGTAGCATGTCTTAGGCCTCATTATTATTTCTTCGTCAACGGGGCGCCTGAAATCAGCCCAGGCTGTGTATAACAGCATATTGCTGCCTCCCACCGCCCATGGCCATGTAACCCTATCTTGGTCTTTCATCCAACTTCTTGCTATTCTCTCCTCCATCACATTCGTTGATCTACCAAATCCCAGCCATTTTATATTTATTCCATACTCACTCTTTCTGACCGCTCATTACCACCATTAGTTGAACCGGTTGCAGCCCGAAAGATGGCACACCAAGCACACAACATCCCCTGGAATCTTTTAGCTTCGAATTTTCGCTGGAGCACAATCACTCACCAGGGCCAAAAAGTCACAAATCTCCACCCTCGCATGAAACCTAACCAGGGCAAAGAGATCACGTATTTTATCAACGCTTTTATTCGAACCATCGATGAACATTCAGTATGCGAGCGCAGGAAATATCCTGATGTATACGAACCAGTCGATCCATCAGAAGTTATTCTAGACGAAGCCACAGTTCGGAAGATTACCCCTACCGTTCGCAGATGGCGTAGCTATGGCTTCGGTGGCAGATGTCCCAGTGGGATATGCCAAGTATGGAAAGGGGAAGAGTGTCAATGTAATCCTATCCCAGACGAAGAGAGGAAGGCATCTGCGTTTCTTCGTCACCACGGCACGAGACACTGCTACCAGTTCTTGCATGAGAACCATGAAGCGTTCTTCAATGTCGAAGTAGTGAAAACTTTACTTTTGTATGGGGAGATGGATACTATTTTGCGTGCGTGTGCGCTTCCTGGAGTGGAACTAGGACGTTGGTGGCATGATGGTGAATGCCAGTGTGCGGTGAGTTTACCACTTTAAACGACATTTCCCTAGTTCAAAGGCGTTATGCTTTCCTATTACGCTACTGACTATCACAGGATTATGTGCTTGGATGGGACCAAGTGTGCATTAAGGCTCTTAGGGCCTACATTTGTCTGAACATGACCTACTGCTTTCCAGAGATATGGGACAGCGACAGGGATCCGGAAATGGACTACCGTAACAGCAAGTTCTACCAATTTACACTGAGAACATGCACGGGCAATGGGCAAGAATCTGAGGTGACCACCTATCCCCATCGACAATTCTTCGGGATAGGCGACAAACAATTCCGAGGCGAGTACGGTCCTCCTCATATCAGAGACACGCACTGGCTACGATGGGTAGATGAGAAGCTCCATCTGGGCCGGAGGCGGTATTACATTCGTAAGCCCACCCATTATGGGAAGGTGCCTATTGACCAGTTTCTTGCCCTGGAGAACGAATCATTTGAGGCCCATCAGCCAGGTCTTTCCGACGTGGTACTCGTTCGCGATTATTTGTATCGGAAAGGCCTGCCAGCGGAGCTAGTCTTGACGATTATGGAATTCGCTGGGTATGAAACATTCGGACGGCTGGATGAGCCTCATGATCCTTTTCATCCGTCAAATCGCGAGGAGTTAGCCCAGTATCTCACATATTGTTGGCGACTACTAGTCTACTGCGACATGATGGCCAAGGCTCTCGGCATGACGCTTCCATGGGAGGAAATTATTGGCGATTGTATCGCTGACTTCTGGAGTGATCACTGCTATGGCCGTGGGAGATTCTTCTGGTATAAGATGGACGAGTACAATTGCCCGATACACAAAGTTTTCATCAAGCCCTGATCTGTGCGAACGAAGTCATAGAAATCAGGTCGATATACAAACTTACTTCTTAGAAGTTTTCTATCCTTGTTTCCAATAATATCTATCTTCCTCCTTAATAGACTCTAGGCTCTAGAGATGTGACTATTTCTCTGCCATAAGAGACGGCGCCGTTCTTTAGCCTTCTTATCATGCTTGACGAAAGGGTCCGGGTCCCAAGCAAGGACCCAGGATATGCACAGTGAAAAGACAACCTTAAAACCGGAAGACACCATGGCACGTTAAGGTAATATACAGAAAAGTACACCGAGATACGCAAGGAAAGATACTCATGGCCCAAGAGAAAACGAAAGAAAAATGCATTGAATGATATCCCCATCAACGCCATCCAATACCCGGATATAACCCGTGCCGTATCATAAATCATCAAAAACTAGACCAAACCACCTACCCCCACGTCCTCCCCCCTTCAATCAACGAACAACCAATTCTCGTCTCCCCCCGCCTGTACCCTGACCACTCCACTCCGACGAAGACGAATCGCCTCGTCCCCGAGAACCACTCGTACTCGTACTCGCACCAATACTAATCCCCGCCGTCGTGAGAGATTCCCCATCACCCAGGCTAGGTGTTCCGCCCACCATGACAGGACGGATTTTGGCACCGACAAACCCACGTCGGTCACGACCAGTGCGGCCGCGGCCGAGCCAGTTGTGTTTGAGAGCTTTGCTGAGGATTTCGATTTTCTCTTGGGAGGGGTCGTCTGTTTGGACGCTGGCGAGGACGCTGACGCATTGGAGCATGCGGCCGACTGTTTCGGTGATGACGTGGGAGGAGTCGGCGGAGTTGGCGCGGTGGATGATTGTTGGGCGTTGGTTGGAGGTTTGGGGTGAGATGGAGGAGAAGATGAGTGGGTCTGGGTTTGAGGAGGTGTTGGATGCGGCGCGGCTGCGGGAATCGCTGCTTGGTGGGCGGGCTAGTGCGCTCATCGAGTCTGAAGAGTAGCTGTCTGCAATGCCGGTGCTGAGCAAGGTCGAAGACTGGGAGTTGTAGCTGCCCAGTCCGGCGTCGAGGGAGGCGGCGGTGCCGGGTCGACCACCGACTCCGGTGCTTTTTGCGGTGACGCTCAACGTTGGGAATCCAGAGTTGATGCTGTCGAGACTGAGACGCGAGAATGTCGCTTTCAACGTCTCGTAGCGGTTCAAGATGATCCGATCACGGAACGCGATCAGGACGAGATTCCGCACATCGAGGAACCCGCCAGCTGGGAGGGCCCCCCAGAATTCGCGAGCCTCGCGAGTAGTCATCAACGTCCCGAGGCCCTTGAACTCGAGATCCAGTGGCAAGAAAACAGCCTGAATAAAAGGCAAGATCGTGCCAAACACTAGCATCCAGATTTGAACGAGATGCGGTACAAGTTTTTCATCAGGAATGCCGATGAGCGAGCTGTGATTCAACGTTGCAAATCCCGTCTCAAGGAGCTCTTGAAGATCCATAATCACCGCAGCAGGCGCTCGCTTATGCACGCAACGTTGCAGATGGACTAACACCAGCTTATTCAAATCTTCAATAGCGATTCGCACATCCTCACCGTCAAAAATGACAAGTAACTTGGCCTTGAGAAAGTCCCAGGCATCCTCAGGTGACATGTTGTTCAACCCAAATCCCTGCAGTGTCTCTCGTAGGACAGCCTCGCCCAGCACTCCAGAGGTGCTATTCAGCGAGGACGGACCAGCGAATGCTCCGGCTGTTGCTGGCCCACTTGTAGAATTCGCAAGCCATTCCATAGTCTCAGACTCGGCTAGCGCTTTCTCTTCCTTTTTCTTCTCGCGAAGTGCCCGTCCCCCATGCAGTAGATCCAGCCCACTGACCGACTTTCCAAAAGTGGCACCCGGCGCGGGCGAAGCAGGGCTAGTGAAGGAATACAAAGACTGCGGCGCATTTGGATCCGCTGGACGCGAGTTGCTTGATGCCGAAGAGAGCGGCAGATTATAATGATCATCTCGGTCCTTGAGCTTGAGCTTCTGCCGAGACAAGAAATGGTGCTTATGCTTGTCCTTATCCTTGTCTTTATCCTTCTCTGGCAGTGCGGGCGGTCGATCGGCGGGGACGACTGTGCTAACAGAGGCATTGGAGAGGTTGTACATGGAGGAGTTGTTCGAAGGAAGGTCGGCCAGGCTGGTCGTTGACGCGCTGACTATCCGCGATAAGCCTGGGAGCTTGCTGGGGGAGGGTAACCCGCGATCCCGACTGTCCTTGTCTCGGCTGATTCCAATATGTTTCGGTTTCGAGAATAGCTTTTTCTTCTTCTGCTTCTCGGGCAATTGTGTATCCAATGGTGAGGCCCCAGCCCGCGGGAAAACCACATTCGCCGCAGTCGTGGCCGCATTGGGTGCTGTTGGCGGAGGGAGTGACGGAGATGGTTGGTTTATTCGTAGTGGGGGTGGCATGAGGGGAGGAGAGGCACTCCCACTGCGCCGCGAGACTCGAGATGCGTTATCGTCGAACGTGGGGACTTGGGTTTGCGGTCGTTTCATCTGCTGCATGGCCGCCTGAGCAGCGATGCGGGAGGCTGACACAGGCGGCATCTGTTCTGATGAAGCGGTGGGCAATGAGGGCTCAAAAAAGCCCTGTGAATGATGTCTTGACCGATGACGAGGTAATTCAATCGACGGGCCGCGGCCAGATGGCCTACGACCACTCGAAGCGTCCTGTGGCATGGCGCGAGCGGCGTGCTGGGGAGAGGTAGTGGCCGAGGCGGATCGCATCTGAGGTGAAAAGTAGCCTGCGGCGGGGGCATGTGTATTGATCGGGGTTATTGGTGCAGCGGAGACGGTGGTTACGTTTGAAGACGCATCGCTGCCGGAAGATCCGGGGCGGGCCAATTCGTCGTCATCGGAGTCTAGCTCGTCGTCGTCGTCGTCGTCCGAAGGTGGTTGTGGCCGGGGTTGGGGTGGATGGCGGTAGACGGGGGCAGGTGGGCGTGTTGCACGCCCGGGGGAGTTGGTTGATCGGACGGTGGGATTCATGACGAGTCATCCATGGCCGAGATTTGTTTGTGGGTTTGGGTGGCAGTGCCAGCTGGCCGTGGGTTGTCAGGTTGTCTGGTTACTTCCGGTACGCGGTTGACACGGTTGGGCCAGTCGGAGTCGTGGATGCCTGCCCCAGAAAGCTCCCTACTTTGGGTTTAGCGCGCGGCTCCGCTGATCTCAAGTCTTTTTCCTTCAACCCCACCACCTCACCACCATCGAAACTCTCATCTTGCACCATCCTTTGCTATTATCACAGACCTCTCGATTCCACCGCTTTATCCCGAATCACAAACATGGCCGCCAACTCTAAGCTCAATCTCCAGGCCGTCTATACCGCCCCAGACGCCGCCAAGATCTTTGCACACGAGATCCCCAGCGCGTCGAGCACAGACTCTTTCACTGCGAAACAGTCTCACCTTACAACCCTACAATCACTCGTCCCCAAGCTACAAGAGGAGATCAATGTCTTCCTGACCGAGCGAATGGAAGAAGATAAGAAAGCCCAGGGCGCAGTCTCAGAAATGGAGGCTAGAGAAGAAGAGAACTATGGCGAGGAAGTCGTCGAGGAGGATGCTTGATTCACAAAAACGAGAATGGTATACTACAGTACACTGGGTATCAAACAAAAGGGTCGCCGGGGAAGAAAAACGACGACACCAGGAAAAGAAACAGAGGAACCCCCCGGCGAATGCAGGATGCAGAGAAATAATAGAAGACTACCCGGAACGGATGCTTGACGCGCGGTTTGCACAGCCCAGATGGACGACAGTGTTGCTGTGGCAAGTTAGAAAGGGGATGGACCAAGGACAAGGACAGTCAAGGGGACTACAAGCGGGTGACTTACTCGGGAAACACGTTGATAACACTTCCTCCCAATCGCTTGTGACACACACCACAAATCCGCTCCTCCGTGACGGTGACATGACGAGCTCGAGTCCCGCCGCCCCGAACACCTTCACCCAGGGCAAGTTGGGCCTGGGTCTGCATATCGCGTGCTTTGCGCAGGCTAGCCAAGATACGGGCCTCGTTGAAGACCGAATTGGCTGCTCGCATCCGGCCCTTGAAATAAAATTCGAGTTTGCGTACGGGCAGCGTGGCGGGAATTAGTTTTAATGCTGCCTCTGCGGGTAGCCGGGATCCGTGTTTGGCGAGGATGGTCAGCGCTGGACCGGTTTGGGCCTGGTATCCATGTGGTGGTACGAGGTAAAGGGAGAGTAGAGTGAGATAGATGGAGGTTTCTTCCTCTTCTTCAGACTGGGGTGGGCCTTCGGAGAGATGGACTTGGTTGCAGTACCTGTGCGGGTTAGCAAGGAATGTAACTATCAAGGAGCATTAAACTCACTCTTCTGCTTTCTCGTGGTCTTCTAGCTTGAAAACGTAGATCTCTAAAACTTGGCGATGCTGGCCCATCTTACTAAAGATGATAGCTCTTGCCTCGTGAAAATCGGGATCTATAACAGCGTCAGCCGAAACTGCGGTGTCAATTAAAGCCTTCGATACATACCCTCTCGATTCAAGCGATCCAACGTCTTGGCAGGTGAATACTGCTCGCTCTCCTTGAGCATGGCCAAGAACTTCTCATTGCACGCAGTATCCGTCTTATCGGCGTTGATCTGGTCAAGATACAACATCAACAATCTCTGATGTAAATCGGGACTCATATCGTTCCACTCCTGAATGACATGCTCTAAGTACTGGATGGCAAGTTTCGGGTCAATCTGCTCCAGGAAAGCAAGCACCCGGGACCGAGGTAAAGTCTCGGCATTTTCAGTTTCTGCCAGGAAGATTTCCATACCCAGGTCGTGGTTTTCACGGACTGGCCAGCCAGCGAATTCCAGAATGAGATCGATCTGGTCGGGTGGCAGGTTTTGCAAATAACCAATCGTGCGAGTTGGACCGGACAAAAGTCCTGATTCTTCTTGTCCAAAGCGATGCAGCAATTCCAAAGCCTGGCGGTGCAGCTTTTTACCGTACAGGAAGTCGATGAGATCGTTGTACCTGCCCGTCTCTTCAAGACGTTCCATGACCACATCTGGGTCGCAGAAATTGGCAATTCGGAAAAGTGATCCAGCCAGCGATGGCGTTGCGTACATATGTGCACGGAACAACGTTGTATCAACTAACCGGGCCTTGGCACGCAGCGTTGTCAAGAACTCTTCTTGGGATGGGAAGTCGAGAAGCTTCAAGACCGAGGCACTCGCCTCATCCGTAGCTTCTGCCGGGAAAGGTGCTTTGAGTGAGCCATCTGGTCCCAGGAAACGCTGGAAACGTCGGCGGACATCTGCTAGGTAGCCCTGGAGTTCACGGACAGAAGTTTTAAGCTCTGTATCGTCGTCAGCAAGGCCAGGTAATGTCTTCCAAAAATGTGAATCACCTTTGTCACCCTTGTCCTTATCTTTATCCTCCCGAACGCTGCTCGTATCACTGCCTTCTTCGGCTCTTCGGAGTAGTGACCTGACCGAAGAAGCATATAGAGATTGGCCCACGGGTGCCACTTCAGGTACCACCTCAGATGATCCATCACTCTGATCACCGTGGCCACTACCGTTGCCGTTGATTTTCGCTTCTGATCCATTTTGTTCCGGGACAGCAGACAGTTCACCAGCAATTAAACGAGGATACAACCGAATGACCGTCTCCGGCGGTGCAGAGACTTCAGTAAACAGATCCAACGAGTCGCGATATTTCCGCAATGCAAACAAGCTTTGAGCTTTCTCAAGCTGTGCACTGCGTAGACGACCAGGTTTGTCCTGTAGCAAGGCATCCTCGAGCATACCGAGTAGACTGATCGCCTCATCCAGATAGCCCTTTTCGACGAGAGAGTCAATCTGCGTATCGTAGCTTAAAGCTTCCATTCGCCAGATAGTTCGATCACTCGCGACAAGGAACCCTTTGCCGGCATGTGCGAGGCTAATATTGGGCTGGGGGATATGCAGTATGCTCGCCGATGGCAAGGGGATAGATTGCAGCAACGACAACGTCTCCGGGTTGCGAACCTCTAGCACCCCTTTCGCCGTATCATGCAGCGCCAGCAGGAATGGGTACGAGTACCCAATCTCAACCGGCGCATGGCTCCACGGGATCTGTCGTCGGCCGAGCGCCTGTCCCTCAATGTCGATGAAGTGGGTATTGATATCTTTCGCAAGCAAGATCTGACCCTCCCAAAGCCTCGTAGCCAGTGGTCTTGGTACTGTCCCACCCATCCCAATGTAGCTCATACTCGCAGCCCCAACACCTGTAAACCGCCCAGTCTCTTCCATACTGCCCGGGCCCGGTAGCTCCGTGACTTGACCAGATTCAATATCAGCCATGACAAAGCCCGAGCTAAGTCCAACAACCATCCTTGTCGCAGAAACCCAAGTCAAAGTCTTAATCGCGCTAGTCAGACTCATCTCCATAGTATCCGGCTCCAGCTCCATATCCCGCCACACCCACATCACAATCTTCCGCTTGACCGCGACCGCAACCCGTGACACAATAGCAGGGACATTGGTATCAGGATCATTCACAACGTTAGAGGTAATCGCAAACGTAGAAGCGCCTTTCGTCGTCGCCAGCTGCTCCTGCAGCTCATACGTCTGCGAATCATGCAAACTGACATATCCCCCAGACAGCGACACCAAAACCTTGGCCTCTTTCACAAGCGCAAGCTGCTCAATCTTGTACCGGGCAAACTTCTCCAGTTCCCGGAGTAGCTCGGTCTTGCCGTCGTCTGTTACGCGGTAGATGCGGAGGGTGCCGTTGTTGAGGCCTGCGAGGAGACGGTCGCCGTATGCGAGGACGGAGTCGATTTTGGATTTGTCGCGGGGCTTGAGCTCGACCAGCGGCCGCGCGGTGAATGCGGATAACATCGCGCGTGCCGGTGGGGGAATGTGCGCTCAATTCATGTCCCGGGGACCCGTCTTGTGCATGCGTGCTGGGATTCGGGGGAGCTCTCTCTGGTCCTCCGCCGCATGCCCGTGACGTCTTTGGATGAGTCAGCTGATGCCTCAGGCGGCGAGCGTGCCCTATCCATCGACTGATGGTGCATGTAGCTCAGACATGGCAGGTTGTTTGAAGGGTTTCATGGCAGTTCATTTTTTGATGTTACTCCATGTTGGTACTCCTTTCGGTGGGCATACAATAAAAACTAAAAAAGATCATATAATCTCCATGTGGGTCCATGCCTTGACGTCTAAGGCCTTTTCCATGCAGTCTGCTGGCGATTGTTCAATCGAATTATCCCAGAAAATATGGACGTACCACATCCAAGCAGCTTTAAAGCTCCCAGAAACAGTCTACGCACAAATTCATCGTTAATACCCAAGGGGAATGATTTAATCTCAAGCAAAATAATGTACATCTGCTAGCATCAAGCGTTGCCCGATTCTTATATCTGCATTTCTATCCTACTCCCAACACAAGCACTTGAATAGGAGATTTCATAATATTGGTATCTGAGGTATCTGAGTCATCACATATCGCGGGAAAGGAAGAAGAAAAGAGACACCTCATGCAAACCCGAACCCGACCAGACCAGATGTCAAAAACGCCGTGAGAACCCGATGCTATGGAGGAGCCCGACGATCCCGGCCCCAAACCATCTCTCTCTTCAACACCACCAGAGATAGAGAGAGAGAGGGAGAGAACAAGACAAAAAAACATAGTGACATCCAGTGAGAATAAAAAAGAAGAGAAAAAAAAGAGACATCCAGTGAACGGTCCAGGGGTTCATATCTTCAGGGGGAATGTTATCCGGGCACCAGCTCACAGTTAGTGAGAGGCGGGCGGGCACTCCGCACCCTCTGCGGGGAAATCCTGATGCTTCGCAGAGGAGCCCTTTCCACGCCAGGTCGAGACGGCGGGGATATCGGCCTTGAAGCGATGCTCCTCGGTACCGTAGGCACGGGGGTCAGCTTGATGAGGGTGTGCAGCGGGACCTCCATCCAGGGGGACTTCTCCTGGGGCACGTTCATGAAGTAGGAGTAGATGCAGCGTAGAACAGCCTGGTGGGTGACGATGATGACGTTCTCGCTGCGCTCTAGCTCCATGATGATGGGCTCCAGGCGGATGACCACATCGCGGTACGACTCACCGCCGCGGTAGCGGTAGTTGTACTTGTCTTCGTCGCGGGCCGCAAAGTCCTCGGGGTACTTCTCGGCAATTTCCTCGTAGGTGAGGCCATCACAGACGCCGGAGTCCAGTTCGTCGAGGGCCTTCCACTCCAGCGTCTCGTAGCCGGTCTCTGCCTTGAGGTGGCGAGCGGTCTGGATAGTGCGGCGTAGGGTGGAGGTCCAGATGACGATCTTGGTGTTGGGGGGCACACCAGACTTGCGGAGAAGCTCAGGTAGTTTGCGGGCATAGGCCTCGCCGCGCTCGGAGATGTTCGAATCACCGCCAATCTTGCCGGTCAAGTTGAACTCGGATTCACCGTGCTGTGGGGTGGTTGTTAGCTATGCATGCTTCAAAATCACTTCATATTCTCGCCAGAATCAACTCACTCGGGACAGCCAGATGGAACGCGGCTTGATGTGCAGGTTCTGGATGTAGTACACCAAGCGGCTCGACAGGTAATCCTTGATCTGGTTGATAATGACGGTGGAGCCTACGTTGATCAGCTTGACGTAGGTGTAGTCCTTCTCGTCATTATCAATGGTCTGGTAGACCAACTCGTAGTTGCGGATGCGGTTGCGGAAGTCTAGCGCAGCCAGCTCCGGGTCCTGGCCCTTGTAGTCAGGCGAGGTGGTCTTGACCTCGAGGATGTTGGTCATGATCAACTCCTCATCATCACAGATGGACTCGACAAAGAGAGTCTCAATGTCGGCGTCACGGCAGGATTCGTAGATCCACTGGCGGCGTTGCTTGGTGGAATTGGTTGCATCCAGGATGGCCACAACGCCCTTGCCCTCATTGAACCACTGCAGCATGTCAGACATGGCTGCTTCGACGGCGGCCCGGCGCATGCGCTCGCCCTCCTCGTTGTGCGGATCAAAGAAGGTGGCAGCGGGCTGGGGAGTGGCATTACGGCGGTAGCTGCCCACGTTGAATACTTTTGCAGGGATGCCAACCCAGGCCAGATACCGCATGGCTGTTCAGATGTTAGCGTTTTGATCGGCGTTGAGTGTATAGATCGGGCGGTGAGGCCGCGAAGGAGGTCCAAGACAACTTACCTTTTCCAGCAATGAGGCTCTTCCCGCGGGCTGGCAGGCCTACCATGACCACACAGATCTTGTAGTCATCGGACTGGAGGCCAAATTTAGTTGCGAACATGATGGAATCGAATGAAGATGGGCTATCAAGAGGATGGGGGGAAGGTATGGATGAGAAACGGAGCTCGGAGAAACGTGGAAGAAGAAAAGAATTCTCGAGGAACGACGAGAAGCAGAAGAAGAAGAGTCAAATGGGATACGTGCAATCGTCCACATAAATGGGCATCAGATGACACGACAACGTCCAGAATAGGCGGGTGCCACCGTCAACAAACGATGCGATGTCGATGCCTGATGGACGGCCTAGCTGCGTTGCTGTGCGTGCCATAGAAATGATAAAATGTATAGAAGACCGTGAGTTTCCAAAGAAATCCGTCTTGCAAATACATCATTATCAGGTATAAGGCAGCATACTAAACAGTGATGTTCATGTGCAAGGTCATCTGTATCCACTAATAGCCGTAGTCTGAGCCCGGGTTGTATGCTCGTATACATGCAACAACCCCAGAGAACCCCAGGCCATTTGGCAAAGCTAGCTAGTCTGGTAATCCCTAGTCTCCCGTTTTGCCGGCCGCTAAAAACCCTATCTGGCCGAAAGGCGAGAACGGGAACCGAGGCAATGGAAGAGGGGGGATGCAGGGATCCCCGCGTTCGATCCCGGCGGTCGATCGGGGCCCAGCCGTGGGGGAAATTGAGGGGGAAGGAGGAAGTGTAGAAGGGATGGTAGGGGGCATGGCATAGAAATGGAACTTTTGACTTACACTAGCCATGAACACCTTGTGTTGCTGCTGGTTCCGAATTGCAGTTTTTGTCGACATGGCGGGCGTTTGTTGGAAATGAGAATTGTACGATGTGTCGGGAAGATTAGGGAGAGGCAGAGCGGCTTCCGACCCGAAGCCGGAGGAGGAGAGAAAGGAGAGGCCAACTGGGGGTTAATTCCTCATGGAGATGGATGGTCAAGGGAGACGGAACAATGTTGGAAAAAAGAGGTGTGAATAGAATGCAAGTATGAAAAGTAAAAACCTGGAATCCTTTCTCAACGCCAGAAAAGAAAAAGAAATGCCTCAACCCTGGCCAGAGAGGATGTGGTTAGGAGGAGATCGTAATGCGGTGAGTCTGGATTTCTCCGGTCTCCACTAAACGTCATCCCGAGCCCGCTTTTTAGGAGAAGAAAAGAAGACGACTTAAAGGTGCGGCATGGTCTGATGGCTAGTGTCGGGATTGATCATAGTCTATGATATGAAATTTTCCATCTCAACTGAATTCATATCTTTTTGTTATCATATGCCCTTTTTATGTCATAAACTCCAATTTTCCCCATCTAATACCCGTTTTATAATGCTCCGTGTCTACCCCCTCTATAGCGGTCTATCTGGACCATCCGCCGGAGACGAGGCGTCGTCAGGCTTAGTGTTGGTCGTGCCACGCGCGCGCTGCACACGCAATGGGCCTCCCCATGGGCCCTGCTGGCCATTGAGGGTGTCCATCGCCCGCTGGGCTTCCTCGACACTGCTCAAGTCCACAAACAGATAGTAGTGGTCACCGGGCTCGAATCGCTTTGCCGGGTGTGGGGTGAACACCTTGCTGACATTCTCACTAAAAATTAAACACAGATCAGTATCATGGGGGACAGAAAGAACTGCAAAACACGAGGAGACAGTTTTCAATTTCGAGAGTCTTCGATGCCACGTACACATTGTATCCCTGGAAGAAAGTCCTCATGTTGGCCTGCACGCTTTCGGGCTCCGTCAGACGGGGCAGACCTCCCACATACACCCGCTGGCTGGCATCACTGCTGACTTTGGTGAAGCTAGTAGGGGTATTGGTAGTGCTGCCCTCCGAAGGACGCCAGCGGTTCATGGCAAATGGTGTCCGAGTTTGTTCGGCAGCACGCTCGGCAGCACGCTCGGCAGACTTGGCCACTCCAGGCTTAATCTTGACCGGGCGGCCCAGCATATCGTGGCCGTCCAACTCGGTCATTGCCCGCTCCGCATGCTCCTTGTTCTGCAGATCGACGAAGCAGTACGACGGGTTTCGGCCAGTAAATGGGTCAATGGCAATGTCGATGCGCTCGCTATCAAAATCATGTCTCAGTCGACGCCATCACACTTTTGGTTTTTCTTTCAGTTACCAAGCCCGGCGTGGGTTTATGGCTTCTTTTGGTTTGTGGCATACATAGGGAACTCCGCGGCTGTGAATAGCGCCTCTACATCCTCCGTCTTCGCCGTGTATGGCATGTTGCCCACGTAGAGTCGGCGACCCTCCGAAATGGCCTGGGGAACGTGGGGTCCCGGTCGTGCAAAGGCCGTCCGAGATGTGTTGGTGCGTGTCGAGGAGGGCGAGGCCTGTGGGCTGCTGTTCTCGCTTTTCATGCGCCAATTGGGCGAGCTGAAGGCGCGGCCGTTGGTGCGGACATTCTGGTAGGGAGACTGAGGAGCTTCAATAACGATGAATAGTTAGCAATTGACTGGAAGTAGTCCTGCTAACTGGGCTGGACACACTCTGCTCCTCTGGTTTGACGGTCTCGATGTCGGCCATTGCGTATTACTGTATAGAGTAGTTATCTGTTAGTCTCCGACTATTCCTCGATGGACCTCGACCACAAAACACCACACATCAATTTTCAAGGACTGAATTGACTTACTGACTCTTTTCTCTCAAAAAATTCCAAACCACACGCTGCGCACCCGCTACACGCCTTGCACCGCTTTTTTTTTGTTTGCGCGTGCAAACAGTGCAAAGCCAAACTGGGCTGGGGCTCCACAACCAGCTGCCTTCCGCGTATTTTAGCGCGCAGGCAGTATTTTTTTTAACTTTCTTCTTTTCTTTCCTTATTCTTCGTCTCATCTTCGAGAGAAGATACAGTTTTCTACTTTGAAAACACCAAATGATGGTTCTCTGTGACCATGGATAACCCCCGATCGGCTTCGGTCTGCCATTGGCCCCAGCCTTCGAGGGTGTGTGTTCATCACGACCTCATCCGTGGTGGCTCGCAGCCACAGCTTCCCAGCATTTTCCTCCAGCCTTGTCCCCAGCTGTTCCAGCGGAGAATTCTCTTAAAGAAACTATCAAACTGTTTCGAGATCTTCATGCACAGCTCACCATGAGGCTATTTCTCATCCGCCACGCAGAATGCGAGCATAATGTGGGCAAAGCGTTGTATGTGTGCGGATGAGAATGCTCCCTCTTCTCCCTTTACCCTATTCCCCCCGAGCCTCTAGCTGACGTACCGTCTTGCAAGGGGCAACTCGGATAACCTGACAGGAGTCGGCAAAGATCAGGCCCTCCGGCTAGCGCGATACTTTCGTGATCGACCGGTGCGGTTCACGCGCGTGCTCTCGTCGGATCTCGATCGTGCGACCGATACCGCCCGTACGATCTGCCAGTACCAACTGGGTAGTGGCCCTGCGCTGGAACCCTTCCAAACGGCCAAGCTGCGCGAGCAGTGCTTTGGGTGTGGTCGGTTGTCCCGCGAGGTGACCCAGATCGAATCGATGGCGTCGATGCGCGCGCGGGTCAATGGCTTTCTGCGGGATCATATCTTGCCGGAGATGGCTAGTCATGTTACCGGTGGCAATGCAGTTATTGCGGTCGTTGGGCATGGTGTCATTTTGCAGGTTTTGTGGGCATGCTTAACAGAGATCTTTGGCTCGCAGTCGTTCCATCTGGCACAGGATGCTTCGGCGCCGGGAGCTGATTATATGCATCCCCTGTGGTCAAATACTGGGATCATGGAGGTGGACATTCGTCCTGGCGGGCCGCCGGAGGAGTTGCTGCTCAGGAATATGATCCATCCTAATGTCGAGCCACCCTGGCTTATGAGGGCGAAACCACCTCTCCCGCCTGATGGTAGTGCGCCGTTGATCGGGTGGTCGGTGACGATCATGACGGTCGATAACACGGCTCATCTTGATGGCGAGGCACTGGCGCAGACTGTCCCCGCGGTCGTGCCGCAGTCGAGACAACAGCCGATGGACCAGTTCTATCGGCTGACGGGGAGTGTGTGAACTGGTAAGTTATTTGTTGTTTTTCGTCGCTTCACTCTGCCTCGTGTTTCTGCTTAGAAATATTTTATGATCGTTGCTAATGATCAATTTAGATCCTGTTCATTAGGTAATTCAATTCGCAGTCAATCTCTGCAAATGGGTCTTTCAAATGGTAAGTCCTGTTCTGCGCACGCCACCCGCCACTCCAATGATGAAGCAAGATTTATACACAGACCTGTTCTGAATAAGAATGAGGATAAAAAATCACCACCTTTCTGATGGAGCTCTTACTATTTTCTTTTTGAAATCGCCGTATGACATTCGCTAACGATCGTCATAGTCCTATTCACATCTCGCTTCAGCCATAGAGTCAAGATAGATTGAATCAACATCCCTAAACATAAAACACTTACCTTGAACCTCGATATCCTTCTCTTTGAGTACCCAGTCCCTGAAATCAAAATCTCCCTCTCGTAAAACATCCACATCCCCATCCCAGACAAACGTCTTCCCGGACGTACACGTCCCATCCTCGAGGTAGATCGTACATCCCTGAACACTGTACGCCGCCGTCTCATATTGAACCAGTCGCTCCCGCTCTCGAATCGAACATACTCGATACGCCATACCGGTGACTTTATCTTCTGGGACGTTTTCGATGAGTGCTGGGTACTCTCCCCACATCAAACAGCGCCATCCGGTTATGCGTGCTGGGCGTAGGTTGAGTCTGGTGGGATGCTGTAGGATTCGGGCTAGGAGGTGTCGGTCCATGAGTGTGCCGTAGAAAAAGTAGTATTCTTCCTGGAAGGGTTCTGGGTCGTTGGGTGTTGGTGTATTTGGAGGTGGTCGGGTCATTTTGACCTTGGGTTTGCTGTTGTTCCGTTGGTTCTGGTAGTGAGATTGATAATCCCTGGATTCAGTGGAGGTGTGGGATAAAGAGCGAAGTCTTGTATAAGGATTGTTTGCTTATGTTGATGAACTACTTTACGGGGTTGGAAGATGATCTGTCTATGTCAGCGTGGTGATGTGAGTAATAGCAATCCATGGTTAACGTTATGTCTATTTTGCTTATGTAGATGCGGACTACTGTTATGATACAATGTTTATACTACCAGGGACGAAGATATCAGCTTCTTCTTTGGAGAGATGCTAATAAGACTCTAGAATGCTTGCACTTATTCTAGTATGTTTTCTTGATTTCTAGGGCTTGCTCAGTGGCCCCTTTCTCTTTACCTGTGCTACAAGACTGGCTTTAATGTTTCGCTATATCCAGCTAAATTTAGACTTTCGTATGATTAGAGTGCCTGCGTGGAGGCTTTAAGTTCCACTGCTCTTTGATTCGGCGATTCGACGGCCCGAAATGGACATTAGCTTTGCTAGCGATGCAAGATTGACTTTCTCTGAATGGGCTTTCTTGATTCAAATATCTTCATCTGCTCAACGGAACACACTTTTCACACTCAGTCAGCATGTGGCAGCTTGATCAAATAACCTCGCGACATGGCAGCATGTGGTGAATATTACCACATCGACTATATGCATTCCGCTCCTTCCTCCCTCGCTTTCCCGGCAAAGGTTACAGTCAAGGTATGACAATTCCACGAGGAATCAGTAACCGGTATGAACAACCACGCCTCTTTCACAGCGGCAGGCCCAGTGTAACATACTGGCCAGACACTGAGCGCGGCATCAAAGGGCCCGAGGCCTAGCACTATCCCAAAATGAAAGGAGCAGTGCTCGGGTGCTACCCCAGTCAGTCACTTCCAAGGTCTTTATATCAGTGGTTTACTGTAGCTACCCATGCGTGTTCAGTAACTGATCAGTGATTGAAGAAGGTGGATTGATACTGGTAGGAATAGGCCGGAGAGTGAGGTTCTTGAGAGACTGGCTCATGGACATCGTGGTATTGTATCACACCAAAGCTCTTTTTCTTATCTTCACCTCTCACCTCTCACTTCGTGACGCTGTTCCTCTTCCCAGACTACGTGTGACACAAGGTATAAAGTCTTGCTCACCCCATTCTCAGTCAAAACTATCCTGCTGACCGTCTCGCAGTCCTAGTGACAGGTCCCTCTGCTGCAACGCTTCGCGAATAACTGACAACACTCTCTGCTTCCTGAAGTTTGAGCGGAACTCAACATGACGCAAGTGACTTTTGACTTGCCTGCCGGGGAAGATGCCATCTATGAGCAGATTGAACTCACGGAGACTCCTCTCAAGGAGAACGTCAAGATCGGTGGTGAAGAAATCAGTGGTGGCGAGAGCGAAGTCAGCGTTGTCGATGTTGTGATCAGAACTGGAGCCGATGCGGCAGAGCATTTGCTCCCACTGCGTGATGACTTTGATCCTGCGGTGACTTTCCGCAGCATCCTCCTGGCGACGGTTGTTTCTGGGTTTCAAGCCGTGATGAACCAGATTTACAGCGTCAGTCTAAACCTTCCGCTTGTTTACGCATGCTTGCTAGCGGGTACTGACCTCCTTCAACAGTTCAAGCCAACCTCCATCGATGTCTCGGGAACGTTCATCGTCCTCATCTCGTACTTCGTGGGTAGTGCGTGGGCCAAATTCCTTCCCCGGGGTGAGAAATTCGAGGCTCGTTGGCGGGACACGCATGGCCCGGGTAAGCTTCCTTGGTGGATTGTGGCCCTTAAATTCCTCAACAATGGTCCATGGGGTCTGAAGGAGCATTCAATCTGTGCTATTACGGCTACGTCGGCGTCCCACGCCGCAGTGACGTCTACTGTCTTTGCGGCTCAAAATCTCTTCTACGATATGCCTTTGAGCGCTGTGACAGTCATTCTAAGCACTATCTCGATTGGTTTGTTCGGTTATGGTCTCTGTGGCATCATGCGACCAATTGCAGTCTGGCACGTCGAGTCCGTCTACTGGAGTACCTTGCCCACAGTGAAAACCCTCCAAGGTCTTCATTGGCAAGACGTGAAGAACTCGAAGCCACTACGATACTTCTGGTATGCCTTCACTGGCATGAGTATCTATGAGTTTTTGCCCGCCTATATCTTTCCATGGCTCAATTCGGTTTCGATTCCGGTAGGTTACCTTGCCATATTTGGTGGGAAGTTACTGATGAAAGCGCTTACAGTGCCTTGCTGCCCAGAAAGCGACAGGTAGCATGGCCGCTGTGCTGACGAATCTCTTCGGTGGTGCTACGAACAATGAAGGTCTTGGACTATTCTCGCTGTGCTTTGACTGGCAATATGTAAGTCGAATTATCCATGTAGTGAACATTCAATCCAAGCTAACTAAAATAGATCACGAGTAGTCAGACAGCACTCCCTCTCAAGCTCCAAGTCCACCAAGCTGCCGGGATTTTCACCTGTTTCATTATCATGCTTGCCATTTACTATGGAAATGGCTGGGGGGCGAAGTCGCAGCCGTTCATGTCGACTGTTTTCCACACAGCGGACGGAAAGCGATATCCCACAAGCAAAGTTTTCCCAGGAGGTGTACTCAGCGAGTCTGCTCTAGCAAAGTACGGTTTACCCGAACTCACTGGAACCTTTGCATTCGCAATGTTCATGGCTAATGCTGCGGTATGCATCCGTCTTGTTTTGTATATATTCCTCATTCTTATTACAAACTAACAATGTTCCAGATTGGTGCTTTAATTGCGCATTGCATCCTATTCTGGGGCAAGGAAATCAAGCATGCATACAAGAGTGCAAAACAGGGTCGATATGACGATCGGCACCATCAGCACATGGCGGCAAACTATAATGAAACTCCATGGTGGTGGTACGTCTTGGTGCTCCTCGTCAGCTTTGTCCTCGGCCTTGTTGTGGTCCTCAGGGAGAACATCACCCTTCCCGCTTGGGCGTATGTTGTCGCTCTGATAGTGGGGAGTATCGTATCGCCCTTTGTGAGTATCTGCTGCCCTACTACTAATATGAATTTCCTAATTGATCGCTCATTTAGAGCACTATCCTTTACGCCCGCTATGGCAGTGGCATTGCCACCAACAATTTGTCCAAGATGATTGCCGGTCTCACCGTACCAGGACGTCCAGTTGGGAACATGTATTTTGCCTCGTGGTCGCACAATGTGATCGCAAACGCGGTCAATCTTTCCAACGATCTGAAGATGGGAGAATATCGTAAGCTAATCCTGCTCCCTTGTGATATGGTTTCTGATCTTGTTGACCAATGCTTTCCAGTCAAAATTCCCCCTCGAGTCATGTTCCTCACTCAAATCTATGGCACAGTTCTCGGTGGCTTCATCAACTATGCCGTGATGATCTCGATCGTTGCCGGTAACCGCGCTCTACTTGCGAAAGGCAACGGCAATGCATCCTGGAGTGGTGTAACTTTGCAAGCGTACAACACTAACGCGGCATCGTGTGCACTGGCACCTTACCTCTACCAAATCGGTTCGAAGTATGAGCTGGTGCCTCTGGGTTTGCTAGTCGGTGCAGGTATTGTCGCTATCCATCGCATTCTCTACCAGGTACACCTATATATACAACGATTTCCCCTCCACCTCTACTCACCCAAGACTGACAAACTCCACCTCTTTTAGTTCATTCCAAAGATCGGCCGACTCGATATCTCTGAGATCAACATGGCGCAGTTCATTCAATACGCGGGCTTTATCCCATACAACCAGACCCAGACCTGCGTCATCTTCAGCTGGATTCTGGGCGGATTCTATGTCCAGTGGTATCTGCGGAACTATCACCCACGAATCTTCAAGGAATACTCATACCTCGTCACGGGGGCCTTTGACGGTGCTTGTCTGATGGTCCTTTTCATACTTTCCTTTGCTGTCTTTGGGGCTGGCGGATCGTCCCACCCGTTCCCTACGTGGTGGGGAAATAACAGTGATGGAAACTACGACTGGTGCCCCGTGGCCGAGAAGTGATGGTATTGAGAAGCCCGTACATAGTGCTGAGCAATGGTTTAGGGGCGAATCAGGCTCTATGGGAGCAGTATGCAGATCGCAGATTATGGATGGCTAGTTTTGGGATTTCAATAGCAATCGGGGCAATTGATCAATTTTTGAGTTTATGCTTCGTCTGTTTACAGGTCTTATGACCGTGATTCATATTTAAACATAGATCCAGAGCAATTTCGGCCACTTAGTACTCTAGGCACATTCAACGTGTTCAACAACTTAGTTCCGCAAAAGGCTTGAAGTCATGTGCCGAGAGAATACTTTTGCTACTTCTGGCCGTGATCGTGTATTCGCTTCGCCCTTCTATGCTAAAGATCAGCTATTCCCAGCATCGTCTTGGGTCATTCCTCGGGAATCACAAACCTTTCTGTATTTCCCATAATAGGGAAACACCAACTCATACGCCCTAAAAGTATACGGCTCCCTTCGCAGCAGAACAGTCTTATGTTTGCTCGTCCAACCCTTCACACTTCCCAGCGGGTTCCATCCGGGAATAGCACGCTCTTCCTCCAACTGCAAGATATGACTGACGTCTTGGTTTGCAGGGCTAACTGCCAATGGATCATGCAGGTCCCCTTCCAGTTTGTACTCCTCTCTTAGAGCGGAGACTTCTTTTTCGATTGTTGTTTGCGTAGGGTCGTAGGGTGATTTGTGGCGTGCGACTTCATCGTCCGTGCCGGATTGACATGTTTCTGCTCTGTCTGGTCGGAGAATTTGTCGGTCCAGGATGGCGAATTTGTCTTGGCTTGCTGCCATGATATTATGGTGTAGGTAGCGTATGTTGTGATGAGCTTTTGGGCAGAAGGCGAGCCTCGCTGGAGGAGCGCTTCTAGCGATGATGCGCATCATTTTGAGGACTTTTAGTTATGTTTTAAATGGATGATGGATAGTTTGCTTGCTGGGGGATTGCAGCATTCGGGGAGTGTGAGGGGTCTCTGGTGTCTGGAGATGTTGGCGAATAGAGGGCTTATAAAAGATGCAATGACATCATTATCTTGAAAGGTATCACGTGTACTTCAAATGAAGTTAGATTTAATTGCATAGAAGGTTAATCGTATTTTCTAGCTCCAATATTTGTAGAATCTTCTGGTTTCGACCTACGTGGCTGCACTGGTGTAGGGTAATGGGAGTACTAATCACCACGTTCCCCGTTGAAGATCCGGATGAATTTAGGGGAAAAATGCCCAGAGATCCAATTGTGCCAGATAATGAGAAAAAAAATATCCAATTTCGCTCGATAAATCACCGTAAATAGCTGTTCACTTGTAGTGATTCGGTCAATCTTCGGGTTGGTGGTACATTAGTTCTCCCTCGACATTTGCGATGTGAGCGGCAAGATCGATCTCATCTTGAACATAATGCCCAGATGAATCCAGGAGTTCTGAGCGAAGAATTGGTTTTCGCTCTGGCCATTCAGCGCTCATGGTAATGTTCCTGGCATTCTTGCTGAAGTTCGTTCCACCCCATTCAAAATGGCCTAGACCGCGATGAGCATGTTATTCTCCGTCGGCAAGATTTTTCCAGTTAGAATCTCACCATCCTTATTTCCCAGGTATTGATCAAGAATGAGGTCGGCAGTGATCCCAGAACCCTCGTCATTGTTGCATATCGCTACTAAATGGGTCCCGCCACCGTCTGCGGACAGATGAATATCGCATGCAGTTTTATTGAACGACATAGCGATGACTTTCATTCATGAAAGAATTGATGCGAACGCTACGAGCAGAAGTGAGGGGTCATCTTCATTTAAGGCTGAGGTGGCAAATTATTTGTTATGACTTCTGGGGGATTGTGATGGTAAGTACCCTGGTCATGAGTACTTCAGTGGGTGTTCAAAAGTTTGAAACACCCTCCCTGACCGCTTTTCTACACCGATCACACCGCCTCCCTCGAGCTGGCATTGTAATTCGCATATCGTCGTTAAGAGCGCAATAAAAGGGCTTGAAAAAAGTAACGAGATTTCAATAAGCTCTGTCTCCAAAATACGGTCTTCAAAAAATGAAATCCAAGCGTTTTTGCCTATATTCCTGCGGATCAATATTACCGGCAGAAAAGACTTGGCACGGCAGAATGAGCAGGTGGTTTCAAACTTATGGAATCCCACTGGACTCTGGTAAATGGTAAAGTATCGTCCACCAAGTTATGACGCAATGATTTGGAACAAACTCTCGATTCCTTACATACCATCAATAATATGATCCAGGGCTCTGGGTCCCGATTGGACAATGTTATTGATCCAGATATTAATCCGACAGACTCGGTCTTGACGACAAGTCTGAGGTAGAATGGGGTCTAATGAGGAAAATTGATTGGTTTCTAGTCTACACCTCGGAGCTATGGAACCTGCTTGCTCTGCAATGACACTTTACTGTATACATTACTTTCATAAAAGATCATACCCGAGCGACTTAATCTTGACCTTTCAGGAGGTCTAGATCAGAGAATCTTAGACACTTGCACTCCTGTTGACGACTATCCCTAGCGTGCCTCTGAATGGCTCATTTTAATCGAACTTCACTGGTAAGCCTCGAATGACAATGGCAGTCTTTGGGACTGAGATCAGATAGGGCTCTGCTGTAACTATGCACCTTCACCGGAAATATCTACACTAGATGCAACCAAATGTAAGTCGGGACCCTTAGCTACTCTATCAGACATCGCATGGTGGTTGGGTGACAGTTGATGGCCACCTGCGCAGGATATATATTTCGGGCCCAGCCAATCAGAATAAAAGTCAGAATCAAGTTAGAATATACACAAATTCGAGGGAAGGTAAGATTGATCTATAAGAACGAACTAATACCGGCATGGGTCTCAAAAAATCACGATCGTGATCACTCGCGCCGAGGTTTTTAAATATCTCCTTGCACATTCATGGCTCGAGGTCTTCGCGTGTTCTCCGTCGAAAAACAAGCTATTTCAGAGGAAGCGATGAAAAATTTTCACAAAAAACATAGCAAACCCTGGTTTCGATCCAGGTACCTTCGGGTTATGAGCCCGACGCGCTTCCTATGCGCCAGCTTGCTTGTTGCTGAAAAATTGTGGGCTTTTTGGCATTACAATGGGTCCGCAAACTTCAGTTGTGAGTCATAATGGAGCCGAAATTCACGCTATACCTTATTAGGACTAGTATCACACCACGCCCTTCCATATTGGGATTAGTTTGTGAACTATTCGCAGAACAATGATTTTGCTGCAAGTTTAAAACTGCAGAATTCATAGACGATGGTGATCGAGAATCGAGACAGCAATGTATGGACTTTCTGGTCGAGTTCATTTGGTGCCGAGAACGTGCTTTAGAGTTATGTAGCAGCCCTGTCTAGGCACCCGCTGGCGATGCTTGCGTACTAGATGCAAGCCCCTTGAATTGATTACGATCGAATCCTGTTTGTCTGCCCCATCATCAATCTTCAATTTCTACTTGTTTGTGACATGCTTTTGTATTGTGCAACAATACTGGAGTCGCTTGGCAAGATTCCACGCTTATTTCATGGACGGTCGGGATTTTCATGCATCAATAAATGCAGCCCCTTGATGTTGTGTGACCGAAGATCATCAACCTGAGGCGTTTAAAATCGGAATCTCTGCCCAACAGAATAATCAGCGTACCTTGCCTTGTTCTCGTTCTCTATTCAAATCATCTTGCAACTTGACGTCCATTCCACTAGAATTTATACACATCATGATCGCTCACAACTTGCTGATCTTGGCGACTTTGTCGTGTGCTACACATGTACTTGCCGAGGTGAAGGTACATAGCTCCGGAGGAGGAAGCTTTAAGAAGTAGCACACTGATACTGTTTTCTTAACAGCCAGCTGTGCTGTTTTCACAGGAGCCTTGCAAAGGCAAAACACTTGACGTCAAACCAGATGGTCAATGTGTTCTCCTTCCTCTTGAACTGTACGGAAATTAACTCCCGACACCACTAGACATTGACTAATACAAAACCTTGACAACAGGAGGGAAAAAATCAATGGCGCTGAGTTGCCGACAGACGTAGTATGGGACTTTTATACGTAAGTTCCCAGTATAAGAAGGGAAACCCTAAAAGCCCTTAATCACCTCGTGTAGTGATGAAAAATGTGAAGAGCCACTCTATATTGGGATGGAGGACCCAGGCACTTGCAGCTTCAGCGACCCCGACGTGGATATTGCGAATAAGACTGTGAGTGTCCACTGCTACGACACTAACTCGATTTACGATCAGCGAGAGGGCCTATAACTAGAGAGGCCTTGAATGAATGATACAGAAATTATTGGTTTGAGCTCCGAATTCTTGGCGCCAGGTCCATAGCTCGTGGCTTGGTATATTCAACCTGAAACAAAACATTGATTGCTCTGTGCTCATAACTATCTACATTAACAAGCGGGACTGAGCCCTTAGCGTCAAAATTTGAGATAGTGAGCAAGAAGGAATGGCTAATGCTGAATGTGCCAGAAAGAAATGCCAGAAAGAAAATTAGACTAGTTACCAGGAGATGCCACGTTTGAGAAAGTAGTTCTAGAATTTGTTCCACCCAAGGAAATAATGAAGCGTCTGAGGACTTGGAACCCGAAATCAGAAGCTAGGAGCGATGACCGCAATCTGAGTGCAGTAAACTTTGTGGACTTGGAAAGTATGATTGCAGCTGGTGACCCCAATGACCATGACCACATTGTGCTTTTACTAGCATCCGCTGCCTGCGGCTGGGAGGAACCTGTGCGACTTTTGCTTGAGCGAGGTTGCCCAATAAATCGGGGGTTCTCTGCCGGGGCCTTTGAAGCATTCACACATAAGGATCCGGAACAACAAACTCACTATCCGGCACCTTCTGCCTTATCCATGGCAGCACATCGGGGCCATCTCTGTGTGGTAAAATTGTTACTTCAACCTCACGCAGGATTGATTCAGGAAAAGAAAGATCGCGACCTGGTCAGGCCCCTTGCTTTGGCAATTGCAGCTGGCCACATGGAAATTGTGAGCACTTTTCTGGACTACGGAGTAAATCCTGATTCCAAAGTGCCAATTGGGCAAGCGGTCATATTCAGCGCAATACGAAGACCGGAAATCTTTGAGTTGCTGCTCGATCGGGGGCTGCATACAAGAACATCAGTGCCGATCCGTTCCGCGATGGGGGGGCCGATGAAGTCGAGAATCTTCTAGACATTGCAATATTCCAAGGCGCCAAGAAAGAGGTACAGCTTTTTCTCAAACGGCTAGATGGGCACAATATACCTGTTGAGGAATTGGACCAAATAGTGGCCCGATTAGAGACTCGATCAAAGGAGCACGACAGGGAGGACATTTTGCCGCTTCTTCATCATGCTTGCTGTCGGAAAAGGTATCACGAACTTATTCCAATGCCGTCATCAGTCTAATGATCAGAGAGTTCGGTTAGAAAGACGAGTGAAGCCTCCAGAGGCAATTCAAGACGCGTCATACTATAGCATCGTAACTAGAGCCGCCAGTACTAAAAGACTGGAAATTCCTAAACTAAGCGGCTCCAGAGCATTGAAGTACGCTTTGTTTGAATTAAGTAATGTCTTCAGGAGCAGATTTTCTAATCGGGTCCTTAAAAGGGGGGAGTAAACAAGAAAGAAACCACTGTCCGTCTGGAGAAGCCAAATACGCAAGATTCATGGGGAAACACGACACACTTTACATGTTTAGTAATTATGGGGGTCCAATTTTGGCATGAATTGATTAAAATAGAATTGGAGGTCACTGCACTAAGTATACTAGCGTACTCGTATAACATTCCCTCCTGGGTCTCTCCACGAATGCTCGTGTGCTCTATGTAATATGACTCTCCACTTCTGAACGTTTCCATTTCTTATCCTCAAACCCATCAATAAGTTTATTTCTACCATCGGAAATTGAATAAATTTACCCCATATCTCGTACTCAACGTCATTTATCGTGAGTCAGAGTCATTTGTTGAATTCGCATGTGATAGCCGCCATTCCCGGATAGTTCTAGCTTCGGACCGCACTTTTCCCCATATTTGGTTGAGACGAGGAACTCCTCAACAACAATATGAGATACTTTGGATTATAACACAAGAAAATGTCAATTGCATGTGATATTCATCTATACTACCCCAACAAGTATTCTGTATAGCACTGGAATGATGACAGCGGAGGGCAAGAAGTATGTCCTGTGAAATTTAAGCGGGGCCCTTATCTCTTATCAACAGAGCGTCGATCTGCGATCTGCTGGGTTGCATGGCAGAAACTGGACGGACAACAGTAGAGATAGGCTAGTCATTGGTGAAAAGAAGTTTCATATGCTAATAAAACATAGAAAGCTAAATTGCTTTTATCAAATTTAATTGCTCCTACCAATCTCTTCTAAGAAATGCCAAGATCGGACCTTGCATACTCCACAAACTCGTGAGAAAACCGGCCGAGTCCATTAGACCAATCGGGTTTAGCGCCCAACGCGCTTTTCCACTCACCGCCTTTCATTTTCTCTTTTTTTTTTCTGCCCGCCGCCAATTTTGTTCTTTCCCTCCCCCTCCACCAACTGCATTTGCAGCCTGGTCGGGAGCTCACGTCAAAATGAAATACGTTCTGGTCTCGGGTGGTAAGTTTGGAATGCCCTGTCGAGTTTTGAATTCCGTGAACTATGAGCTGATTGAAGTGCTTTACCGGTAGGTGTCATCTCCGGTGTTGGCAAGGGCATTATTGCCTCGAGCACTGGATTGCTCCTCAAATCCGCCGGTCTCACGGTTACTAGCATCAAGGTTCGTGCGCGAAGTCCCCTTTCGATTCAATCGGCAGTCTACTCGATTCCGACTCCTCCGATAATGCATACTTTTTGCTAAAACGACGCGTGCAGTGTGATCCTTATATCAATATCGATGCTGGTACTATGTCGCCAATCGAGTCAGTTTTTACGCGCCCCGAGTATCCAGAGCCAAATACTGATTGATCAGGCACGGAGAGGTTTATGTGACGGATGACGGTGGTGAGATGGATCTGGATCTCGGCAACTACGAGCGCTACCTTTTGACCACGCTCACTCGTGATCACAACATTACTGTGAGTCACCACGAATCGATATCGACAAGATGTTCGTATTATAAGATTATGTGACTAATTGGCTGGATTTGGACATAGACTGGCAAGATCTACCAACAAGTGATCGAGCGCGAGCGTGTCGGCCGCTATCTTGGCAAGACCGTTCAGGTCGTCCCCCACATCACCAACGCCATCCAGGACTGGATCGAGCGCGTTGCCAAGATCCCGGTCGACGAGTCCGGCCGGGAGCCTGATGTCTGCATTATCGAGCTGGGTGGTACCGTTGGTGACATTGAGAGTGCGCCCTTCATTCACGCCATCAGCCAACTCCAACGTCGGGCTGGCAAGGGCAACTTTGCTCAGATCCACGTGTCTTACGTGCCTGTCATCCATGATGAGCAGAAGACCAAGCCCACTCAGAGGGCAATTAGCGATGTTCGTAGCGCGGGCCTGAATCCGGACCTGATCGCCTGTCGCTGCGAGCTGCCGCTGGAGGACGGCACCGTCCAGAAGATCGCCAACATGTGCTCTATGGATACCAAGCAGGTTATTGCCGTGCACAACGTCTCGACCACCTACCACGTGCCTCTGCTTCTTGAGAAACAGAAGCTTATCGGCACTTTGGGAGAGCTGCTTGATCTCCCTTCAATTCAGCGCGATCCCGCGATCGTCGAGCAGGGCAAGTTGATGTGGAAGGACTGGGTTGACCTTGCCCGTGGCCAGGACTACCCCCACGACACCGTGTCCATCGCCCTTGTGGGTAAATATACCGCGCTCAAGGACGCTTACATCAGTGTGTCCAAGTCTTTGGAACATGCCGCTATGTACTGTCATAAGAAGCTCGAGTTGATCTGGGTTGATGCAGGCCATCTGGAAGACGAGGCCATTGAGACCAACCCGGCCGAGTTCCACAAGGCTTGGCACGCAGTTTGCACTGCCGATGGTCTGCTGGTGCCCGGTGGATTCGGTACTCGTAACACCGCCGGCATGATCAAGGCGATTACCTGGGCGCGTACCAAGAAGCGCCCCTTCCTGGGTGTCTGCCTTGGCATGCAACTTGCTGTCATTGAGTTTGCTCGCAATGTGATGAACATTGAAGACTGCGGAAGTGAGGAGCTTCACCCGGAGGCTAAGAACCACGCCATCATCTACATGCCTGAGGTACGTTTTCCCTGAATTGTTTCTACATAGACATACACTAACAAAACCCAACAGGTGGATAAGGATAAGATGGGTGGTACCATGCGTCTTGGAAAGCACGCCTCGATCTTCCAAGAAGGCACCGAGTGGTCCCGCCTCCGCGCCCTGTACGGCTCTGATGTGTCTCAGATCTCAGAACGTCACCGTCACCGTTACGAAGTCAACCCTGATATGGTCGAGACCATCGAGAAGTCTGGTTTGACCTTTGTCGGCAAGGACGACAAGGGTGAGCGTATGGAGGTTGTTGAGATTCGCGATCACCCCTGGTTCGTGGGTGTGCAATTCCACCCCGAATATCTCAGCCGAGTCCTGGCTCCCAGCCGGGCCTTCCTGGGCTTCTTCGCTGCTGCCGCTGGCTGCTTGGATGAGGTGACTGAGTCTATTAACAAGGGTCTGCGGAGTATCCCGAACAAGCAGCAATAGAGGATGGGTGGAGAGGAGTAAATGAGGCAAGATGAGACAGACGGATTGGTTGTATGGAAAGACCGGGAATCTGCATGCATGTTCTACAATTTACCAATTATGTTTATCACTCAGGTTAGAAAATAGATATACTGGTCAACCACCACCAAGACCAAAAATGAAAGAATAATATTAACACGAAACTCGTCAATCATATCAAACCCCCTTATAGGGGCTTACGCGTTATATCCAACCTCGTCCGTAGCAACGACATCCTCCTTCTCATACAAGATCTCCGGCTTCACATCCCGCCTAAGCAAATACCTCTTCACAAAGTACGGAATCTGCCTCAATCCATACTCAGCATGAAACCTCGTCGGCACAGAAAACACCTGATCCAACTCCTCAAGCGTCTTCCCTTTAGTCTCCGGCATAAACAACAGCACCAACCACCACCCAACAATACACCACCCCGCATACCACGCAAACCCCCCTGAGCCGTAAACGCATTCCGCAACGACGGCCACGTCACCCCAAGCACGAAATTGAAAAACCACGTCGTCGCCGTCGCAAGCGCCATCCCGTACGAACGTACGTACAGCGGATACGCCTCGGCCGAGTACGTGAATGGCACCGGCCCTTCGCCGGGCGAGTAGACAATGCCGAAAATGTAGGTTCCTAGCGCGATGCAGGCTGTGCGTGCTGTGTGGTGGGTTTCCGGGATCCAGAAGCTGAAGCCCGTGAAGAACATTGCGAGAGACATTAGCGGGAAGGTTGTTAGGAGGAGGTTGCGGCGGCCGTAGGTGTCTATTGTCGTTATTGCTGGGATGGCGAAGAGCCAGTTTATTACGCCCCAGCCGAGGGGGGCGGCGAGGGCGGAAGAGGGGGCGAAGTTGGCTTCCTGGGATGGTGTTAGTGTTTTTTTTATATTGAGATATCCAACATCCCAAAAGAGGAGGGAGGGGTATTGTTGATATCAGGATGTGTGATCTGCAAATGGGAGCATACCAGGAAGATCTCCGATGAGTAGTATGCTATAACATTCACGCCGCAGAACTGGAGGATATATAGTCAGTAAAGTTCATTATTCAAGACCCAATGATTCCATCTCCAGCTCCATTACTTACCTGCTGCATAAACATGACAATAGTCGACGCAATCATGGCCCTCCGATTCCTCGGCACCGTAATCAACTCCAGAACCTTGTTCTGCCCGAGTTTCATTGCATTCTCTGCTTCCAGCAGGGTATGCATATAGTATAAATCCCGCGCAGCCTGGATCTTATGATGGCGCAAAGTGCAGATACTCTGGTAAGCGCGATAATACTGCTTCTTGCTCATATACCAGCGCGGCGACTCGGGACAAAGAAACACAAAACAACAAACCACCAGCGCCGGAAACATCGCCGACGCCATCATCAATCTCCAATTCAAGCCCACAATCCCCGGCGTATCAGCCACCTGGTAGAAAATCAAATCAGCCGCGTAGCCTAGCATGATTCCAAACGCCGTCCATAATTGCCATTGCATGGTCAAGGCTCCACGTATCGGGGGTGGACTGGTCTCTGCGGCGTAGATTGGGACGGTGGCGGACTTGGGACCGATGCCGAAACCGAGTGCGAACCGCGCGATGAACATTGACCAGTGTGTTGAGACAAAGCCTTGCCAGAGACAGGCGATTGCGCTGAAGCAGCAGGTTAGGAAGATTGTGCCGCGGCGGCCGAACCAGTGGTTGAAGGGGACGGTGAGCCAGCAGCCGATGAAGGCGCAGCAGAGGTATGGTGCTGAGTTGATGAGGCCAACAAGCCAGGTATCTCTGGATTGGTTGCCGGCTATACCAAACTGGTATTTGTACCAGATTTGTGCGCCGTTGACGACTGTTTCGTCTGTTTTTGTTAATGGTAGAACTGGTTAGTGATGTTGTTCAAGGTTCGAAGCCATAGTTGTATAGAAACCGAACCGGGGTTTGTAAATCTTTAACTTACCCATGCCCTGTACTGCAGCGCTGAGCGAGCAAAGCGCAATTACAGCATACATTTTCCAAGGCTGCGACCAGCGATGCTCAAATTCTCGACGAAGAATTTCTTTCTCAGAGCTCCTTAATCCAGCTACTGTATCGTATCGCTCGGGCGCCTGAGCCAAGACGGCGCCGAGTTCGAAAGCGCGCACATCCTCGTCATCGCCGATTTCATGGGTAAGCGCAAAGTTGCGACCTTGTTTGCGGAGGTCGGCGTGGCTAAACCCTGCTAATGGATTGGAGAGTTTGGCGTTGAGATTGCGCCGAGCGCGTTCGGCTGCTGTTAGTGTTAATCGTTGTGGAATGAATTTGTCACGGGGCGGTGAGTTGGCGATGTTTTCGTCTTGTTCGAAGAGGCCTCGGTCTTGCTTGTCGGGCATGTCTGTGGAAATTGATGTAGACATGATGGGCTGCTGTTTTTCATGAGTAAAGAAGTTCCCCGTGTGGGGTCGGGTGATTGAGGGAGACGCTCCGAGTCAGTTGTCCGTGGTGATGGGTAGAGAGAATGGCGAGAGTGGGAGGACAGCGAGAGGCTCTAACGAAGCGATGCAGCCCGACAAACACATGACTGGGAGATGACGAGTTGCATCAAGTTTGCTCATCTTGCGGTGGGCAGCGCACGGTGGATCACATCCTGTCTGTCCGTAGAGGGCCTTTCCAATCAACCGGGGGTTAGAGTAGACTGGGGTCTGGCTCTGGGGTTTGGGGATTGGGGCCAAAACGAGGCTTTTTCTTTCCTCCTTCTGGATGATTGGAGAGGAGGGGACCGTTCAGGAATTACCCGACGTGTTAGAAGTAAGCAGAGATTGCCATGTCCAAGCAAGAAGCCAGGGTCTGTCTTCGTATTCTATTTGGGGCAAAGGGCGATCCGCGCGGGGAGGCTTAGTGGCTGCGGATGTACTTGACTAGATGCAGAGCAGGGCGCAGCTCGCGTGTTGGCACTTGGCACCCTGCAAAATTTGAAATCAGCATTCAATCAGATCGAGAAGGTCGGGGTCGAGGCAGACGGGGATGCGAGTCGGGCAGAGTTCGAGAACAGTCGAAGGAATATTGATTTGTTTGCTGCAAGACTCGAGATTCGAGACGGGACATAAACAACGTGTCTCGTGTGACGTCTCCGCAGAGTTGCCCCGGACTGGGCCTCGTGGGGGGCGAACTCTATTCCTGAAACGTGATATTAAGGTTCCGGGGCATATGTTGTTGAACGAGCTATGATTGATGATGATGTGAGTACTGATGATGGTCGAGGACCAACATCTTCTGGAGAGCTAATTATTGAAGCCTTAGGCATGGAATATGGAAAACATAACCAGAACTGCTAAACCCTCGCCAACCTTCTCACTTCACCTCACTCACAAAACTTTTGGATTTTGCAGTTTCATCATCAATCCCTGCAATCCTCATCTTCGTTCTGGACATTTTACCGAAAACCTGGCTTATGACTTCTCTCGAGGCTGAAAAGACGCGGGCATCGCAAGGTATGCATATGGGCTTGGCGCAAAGCTGCGCCTCATCCATTCGATCCCCCCGCCGCGATGACGAGATTGGTATGGAAGGTTGACTGGCTGACTGAGCGACTCAGACAGAGATGAAAGTTGATGACACCAAGATGAAATTCACATACCGGGGGGTGACGATGTCGGTGACACTATTGACGCAGCCGATGAAAGGTGATACTGTTGATACGCTGCTATTGCTGCTGATGAGTGTGCAGGATATCCAACTTCGAGGATGTATGTGCGACTATCTTCCATGGGTAAAGACTATTCAATTTGTTGTATGTCACGTATAACACGGCAAAGTTGTTTGGCGCGGAGTAGACCCGGAACTGTCACCGGGATGATTCCGGATGGACCCCCTCACGCCAGAGACACAATCTCCCAATGATGAACATAATTAAAGATAAATCAAGCAGTGGGCTGTCTCTTAAGTTATTTATTATCACCATGCTGATTTTTATCTCGATCCCCGTCACAGTAATCTTCCTTCTCTATTTCTATAAACCCACGATTTTCCGCGAGATGAGCGAACATAGCCTCGATTGGCTGCGAGATAAAGCAATTGGCTGGAGCCACACGCCTCCAGTAAACAAAATCGACACCCACCATCATTGCGTACCATCCTTTTATGCCAAAGGTAAGATCTTGATCGGTATCTCTTTATTCCCCATACCTAACATTATAGTAGCGGTTGAAGAGCAGGGGGCGATCCAAGTGGCTGGCCCACTCCCCACTGGAGTCCGCTAGCTTCTAAGCTGCTGATGAAGCGCGTGGGAGTTAAAACAGCCGTGCTTTCTATAACAGCCCCTGGAGCTTGTATTTTGCCAAGCCGTCACGCACGCGCCCAGCTTGCGAGACAATTAAACGAATATTCAGCCAACCTCCGTGACAAAGACCCGAAGAGCTTCGCCTTCTTCGTATCATTGCCCGACATTCTCGATACCGATGATGCCCTCGCGGAGATCGCGTACGGTTTAGATGTTCTTCATGCTGATGGTATTACTCTTTTTACTCGCTACGGCCCCTCCAACACCTATCTTGGTCATCCTGACGTTGAACCCATCTGGGCTGAACTGAATAGACGAGCCTGCGTGGTTTTTGTCCACCCTACCCACCCAGTCGATACCAATCCCGTTAACTCAAAGCTGCCGCAACCAGCTATCGATTATCCTCATGAAACCACCCGTGCAGCAATGGATATGATCACCAACGGCACCAGACTTAAATATCCTGCCTGTCAAGTCATACTGTCCCACGCAGGCGGCGCTCTACCATATATCATCTCCCGCGTAACCACTCCCATGAGAAAAGCAGCAGACTTTGCAGTCTCACATCGCATGGGAACAACTCATGACAAAGCAATGGAATCGTTTCGTAGCTTTCACTTTGATTTGGCCCTAAGCTCGTCGCCGCAGGTTCTGGACATGCTGTTGAAGATGGTCCCGCTTGACCACATCTTATACGGCAGCGACTTTCCGTATGCTCCTATAACCGCCTATCCGGCTTTTCTTGAGTCACTCGAGTCGTATGAAATGGATACTGAGCTGAGGAATATGATCAATTATGGGAATGCGATGAAGTTGTTCCCGCGGTTGGCAAGGCAAAGAAATGGCACTTTATAGTTATCGTTAGATTATGAGAATCGACGGTCCTGATTTGGTATCGGAGAATATGATCACAATTAAATTATCCCCAGAGATTCTAACTTTTGATATCAGCTATCTAGTCTTTGATGATTTGTGGAAAGCCATGGCCGTCAGGTGAGATAGAAATATTTGTCCAGTCGCACGCACCAATCATTAGAATATTCTCGCGCAATCCAAAATAGATCGATGCTTCCGACCGTCTATATTTGTTGTCTCCAGATGAGCACCATGTTCAGTCAGTAGATTGTACCTCATTCGACACTAGCCACCTGATAGATTAGGAAAGACTATTATTCTCTTGTCAAGATGTGCCATTCTAGGAACAACGAAAGTCAAAATTGTCTCGGAAAGATACCAGTAACGTCTTCGTTATTCAGACAGGTACGTTGCGGATAAGAGGCTTGAAATGTTGAGTCTTCTTCGCGGGGCGTAGGAAAGTATAAATACTCGCGACTCTGTCAGGCCACTTGCTACGCCAATTACTCCCGATATTGAGATTGACTTCGCCCCCGTGTGTGGAGCGGAGTAAATACGCTTATGAGCTTAGCGACTGTCAAGGATATGAGAGCCAATTACATACTATTAATTGGTAAGTTACTGTGTACTGTAGTGTTGTAGTAATAGAAAAACGAGAGGCTTATGTTTGCGATGCCAAGAAATGAGGGTCCAGTCGGACATGCCGAGTGTGGTGTGGGGTGCTTGGCGCGAGCTATCAGGTCTTGACAGCAACCTAGCTACTCACATTCTGTTAGCTTCGCTCCAATCCTGCTTCACATATTTTCATTACCTACTCCCTCGATTTTCTCATACACCATGGGCGGCTTCCGAGATCCCAGGCCGATCAAGAAATGCCTTTACCCCTATTCTTCAGGCGTAATCCAGATAAATGTGACGCGCTCAAAAGACTTTCAGTGCGGCAGAACCTCAGCGTCCTGGGCTCTATTGAGGGAAACCAGCACTGTAACAAACGAATTGACTGATGATTCGACTGCGAAGCTTTTCTCAACCACGATCACATGCGCTTTACATCCCACGCTTTCCCCAGATGGTGGACTCTCCTGGACAGCCAAGCGGTTAATGTTAAAGTGAGTTTTCATGTGGCAGGCGTTGCTGTAGTGTTATCATCTGCTGACAGAAACTCAGATACATGAGTGGTATACACTTTATATCACCTCAAGGTCTATTTTGTACTGATTCAACTTTGATATTTTGTCACCTTCCGCACCTATACCCAAGTCCCGGAGTGGACCATGCCACATCCGAACTCGAAGAGACATCGTGGAACGCGTTCGATGCTATTATTACCCTCTTACAAACGAGGTTTCTGCTCTGCAAGAGAATAATTCTTGTTCTCCGGACCAGGAACACAGTGTTTCCAGACGAGCCACAACCACCTCGCGACGGTATGATAGCCCGGCTCGACAGGGTCCTCTGTCGAGTTGATGAGCTCTTTCACATCCTTGCTTCACATGATTGCGAATTTACGATTTTTCCGTCCCCATCTGCATTTGATCTTTGTCTGGATCGAGCAAGAGAGACTGGTGGGGTGTTTGAAGAGGGCGACTTTGATCAAAACCGGGGAGCTGAATCGCGTGTATGGCGGAGCGTCAAAGTGATTGCAACAGAAGAGAAATCATTGAATCAGGCAGCCGAAGAGTCAAAGTTGGGGTATTGGCTTCGATCAAACTTCCTTGACTGGTCTGAGAGCCCAGATATGCAATTTGTCTAATGTGGGTAAATGGCATTTTTACAAAGAAATTGTTGAGTGTCTTGTCTACAGTGATTATTTTGGTAAATTGCCTTGCCACATGGAAACATCGTTGAGTGAAGACTGAAGCAATTCAACAGGATTACGAATCTCCCCACACAACTCTCCGTAGATCTCTTTTTAGACATATTCCTAACACTCTCCGTAAGCCTGCTTAATTCATTAGGACTACTCCTCCCAAGAAACAAGGAAGTAGGCTCTGTATCTTAGCGGTAGAAAGTTGTAGGTGAGAACAGATTGATTTGTTGATTCTTGATCATTCGCCGAAATGATAGTGATGCAAGCTTGTCTCTACTGGCGTTTGGTCGATCTCCGTAGGCAGAGTTCCCTAGCTAGTTGAATCACAGGAAAATGGCTTGAAAAACGGACTCGCCACCCCAGGATAGGCTCTTTTCATGATGCTAGCATGTTCCTCAAGTCCATAAAGGTATTTCACTGAACAAGTTTTGCAACCAGATCAAAACCAATCTCACCATACTGATCCAAAATGCGCCGGAATCGAGGATATCTAGCCAGAGACTTCGCCTGGCACGATATGTAGTCGATAACCAGCTTCCTGAGGGAATAACACCCATCCGGCTCTTGTCTTCCAGTGTGCTCAAAGGTGCACTGGAGTAGGTCAAGAATGCGTGGCGCATCTTGCATGCTGAGAACAAGTCCGCAAATATCGCGATGTCTCGAGAGACTTCAAGGATTGTTCTCTTAACGCTTCAACGAGATACCGGGTCGCGAAGACGTATATCTTGGCACGGGCAAGGAGATCTGGGTTGGAACACACTGAGGCTGCTTGTCCAGTGAATTCTAGAGATTTGAATTGATTCCACCGGGGTCGTTGAGGGGTTTCAACGTATTTTATATCCTGCGTCGGTGACTTATAGGAGCTCAATAGCTGGGCCCATTGATCTTGACCTTGAGAAATATATCTAGGATCAGTCGGTGGTTCCGGTTCTGGATGTTGCTCTGGGTCATTCGCTTCCGATTCCATTAGATCTATGTTGCTGATTAGATGTTCTGATGGTTCAATATACCCTTATCTTCTTCAAAAGATCCTTACCCTCGGCACTCGAAGCCTCTCCGTTCTGTTCGTCCTTTCTGGAAAGCGTTCTGTACTGGCCCCGATAACCAAACTCGCAAAAAGCGATGAAGGTCTGCTCCTCAAGATCCTCGATTGTGGTGGTCCCAGATAAAGACTCCTTCATTTGGCCATTGTTCATGAGAGCTGCCAAAGGGGGCGATAGAGCTTTAAGAAGCCCTCTGTGGACTGTCAGTCTCTGACGGTCTGGCCCGATGAGGAAGTGAAACACTGGTGATCGAAGAATCCAATAGCTGTTAGTAAATGTGAAGTTTGTGGACAGGGCTCTTGCTCTTCAAAGTTCTCCATCTTGTAGATATTGCTGCGGAAGGGTTCTGTGTTGTTGAGGTACTTGATGAATTGCACTGTTTCTTGGGAGGGCCTCTCTGGTAGTGTCAGGCTATCACTTGGTAGCAGGGGACGGGCAGTAAAAGAAGAGGACGATAGAGAAAAGTAAGGGATTAGGTGATCATTTCAGAAGAAGAATCAAGGCAGGCCTTTTGGGGAAAGAAAGAACGAAAGATCTCGAAAGGACGGAGGGGCCTACTAGACTTAGAGGCAAGAGAGACAAACGCAGGCAAACAAACGGTGATGGTGGAAGACTCCATCAGTTATCAATCACCCATTACTATTCATATAATATATTTGTAGATGAAGATTGTGGAGTTTCATCTTAAAAGTCATGCGACTCATTACTCGAAGTGATTAACTACCCCCAAGACCCCGAGGTCATGAACATACTATCCCCATTAACGCACTTCTGCAGGAACCAACGTCTGTGAAACAATGGGTCTCAGACTTCCAGAACGATTCTATCATTAACCAGACACCATCTCCCTCATTCTTATTAGGTTGCCGCCAAAATGACGTGGACTAAGTTGAGAAGTCAGCCACCTGTGGCGGTTGATTCGTAGGATTTGCCGCCTCTTCAACACAAAAGTCAAACAAAGTCCATCAGCCCACCCGTTGTGCTAATTCCACCATGCTTCCTCCTAAAGAATCAACACGGGCAACTTCACGCGAGAAAGGCCCAAAACTAACCAGATTAACATTCAAGCCACGCGACACACTCGCCCGAGCCACGGAACCCCCATCTGCTTCGAGTCTTGAACAGAGTCAAATAAACTTCGCGGGGAAAGTGTTTCCCCCTCATTCTCTAGCAAAAAAGCCAACCACCCGGAGGTGTGAATCCCCGACGCCTCAAAAAAAAACTCTACTTAATCCCTCGTGCTGCCCCCATCCAAATCAACCGCAAATATATAGCAAAGCCACCCATGCCCCGTCCAATCTTCCGCTTCCTCTACGCGTCCTTCCGTGTGAGGCGCGTACCCGACTCTGCCCACCATGCCGAACGGGTTATCCAGTTCCACGACTCGTGCAGCTATTTAAATTATGTCAGAGGCCCACCAGGCTTCCTCGACGGTGCAGGCGCTTAGCTCAGAGACCAGCAATACCGCGGTGGGAATCAGCATTATCGTGTTCATGTCCATCGCCCTGTACAATGCGATCGAGCTGTCGGTGCTGATCCCGCTCACTTTCCACCGCTATCGGTCTCTCTACTTCTGGGCGCTTTTCAGCTCGGCCGTGCTAGGCGTGATTCCGCAGACGATCGGGCAAGGACTGCAATTCTTCAATCTGGAGCCGTTGTGGCTGAGCATGTTTCTCTCGAATTTCGGGTTTTTCTTTCTCGTCCCGAATCAGTCCGTTGTCCTTTACTCGCGATTGCACCTGGTATCGCAGAATACACTCGTGCTAGCGTTTGTACGGTGGTTGGTCGTTTTCGCATACATCACGATTGTCATCCCCACAATTGTATTAAATGTAGGCTCGTCGTTCGTCCCGCAATCTGTTCAATGGGTCAAGGGTTTCAGCGTGATGGAACGCATCCAGGTAACCTGGTTCACGGCTCAGGAGGTCCTCATTTCAACCATTTATATCTGGGATACAATATGGTTGATTCGGTTGAGTCCCGAGGCGGATGTGCGTCGACATAAGATCCTATATGAGCTATTGGCTGTTAATATCGCGGCGATCATTATGGATTTGTCACTGGTTGTCCTGCAGTATCGGGGGTTCTACTTTACGCAGATTGAGTTGAAGCCGATGGTGTATAGCATCAAGCTTAAGCTTGAGTTTGCTGTGCTTGGCATGTTGGTTTCTATTGTGCACTCGCACACCTCGAATCCACCGACATGGAGGGCTGACTGTACGACCTCGGAGTTTTCATAGTGGGAATTTCAATGGACCAAAATTAGATATCACGTTTTTCTGCACTGCCAGGGGGAAATCGTTGATCAGGTCTGGGGTGATGACCGAGGAGGACAGGGAAAAACACCCATGTTTCTCCCTATACCTGTAGAGTAGCGCCACATAAGCTTGCAGCTCCTTATTTAAATCTTCAAGATCATATTATCGGTCATGCGTTGAAGATTATCGCAGAACCAACACCATAGCTAGCCAATGAGACGATTTATGATACATCCAGAACGATCCTAAACAGGAAGTTAGACTTTGCCCAGCTAGATCCTCATCCTTCCTCTCTAGTTCCAGACTATGCAACTGCACCTCTATCACTATCACTTCCACCCTGCATGCCCTAGCACAACAGCCTCCATCAAGCATAATATGATTATCTCAGCTGCAAGCGCCGCCGTCGGATCGAGCCCCACCACAATCTCCAGTGCCGAGCCGATCCGCCCCGCCCAAATGCGGAGAGCGTGCAGGGTGCGGTCCGCGCCCGCCGGCTACTCTCCTGCACACATCCGATGCTCTGCTTCCGACGAGCTCTCGTACCTTGTTTCCAAGCTCTCACTGGATCACGGCTTGCCATGGTAGGAAGAAGCGCAATAGGAAACTTACTCGACTGTCTTGCCGCATTCCCGAATCCAAAGTGCGGGGCATTGCGAGGGGAAGTCATATAAACCGGCCGTACGACTCCAACTGAACAGTGTTGTACCCTCTTTCTTCTCACATACTCTCTCCCACCTACCACCTACACTGCACACATATACCCAAAAACACAATGCTGGGAAAGATTGCCCTCGAAGAAGCCTTTGCGCTGCCCCGCTTCTCCGAGAAGACGCGCTGGTGGGCTGGGCTATTCGCGACTGATGTGGATAAGCACGTCGCCGAGATTACGGATGTGGATTCTATCCGGCTCAACTTTGCTGAGAAGCATGGTGTGGGATTGCAAATTCTTTCTTATACCGCGCCCGGCGTACAGGATATCTGGGACCCGGTTGATGCGCAGAAACTAGCTGTGGAAATCAATGACTATATCGCGGAGAAGGTCAAGGCGCATCCGGATCGATTTGCGGCTTTTGCGTGAGTGACTTCCCCCCCTCAGATACTCCTCCTCTATACATGCTATCCATGCAAAAAGACGAATCATCTAACGGTATCCTTCCAGCACCCTCTCCATGCACGATCCCCACGAAGCCGCCGCCGAACTCCGCCGCTGCGTCACCCAGCACGGTTTCCTAGGCGCCCTCGTCAACGACACTCAACGCGCCGGACCCGACGGTGACGACATGATCTTCTACGACAACGAGAAATGGGACATCTTCTGGCAAACCTGCACAGAGCTCGACGTCCCGCTGTACCTGCACCCACGTAACCCCACCGGTACAATCTACGACAAGCTCTGGGCAGACCGGAAATGGCTGGTCGGCCCCCCGCTCTCCTTCGCGCACGGTGTCTCCCTGCACACGCTGGGCATGGTCACAAACGGCGTTTTCGACCGCCACCCCAAGCTGCAGATCATCCTGGGCCACCTGGGCGAGCACATCCCCTTCGACATGTGGCGGATTAACCACTGGTTTGAGGATCGGAAGAAGTTGCTTGGATTGGCGGAGACGTGTAAGAAGACGATTCGGGAGTATTTTGCGCAGAATATTTGGATTACGACGTCGGGGCACTTTTCGACGACGACGTTGAACTTTTGTTTGGCGGAGGTTGGGGCGGATCGGATTTTGTTTAGTATTGATTATCCGTTTGAGACGTTTGAGGATGCTTGTGGGTGGTTTGATGCGTTGGCGATTAATGAGGTCGATCGGTATAAGATTGGGAGGGAGAATGCGAAGAAGTTGTTTAAGTTGGGGGAGTATAAGGATTGCAATGCTTGAGGGATGGTGGGGGTGGCTGAGATGGAAGCTTGTTGTCAGATATTATTTGTTCTGCTATCACTGATGAACGTGAAAACTATGGCATATGACGGTATAATTCAGGTTAAGAGTTCTCGTTATTCGTATCTGGGTATCGTTCTAGTCATTATCATCTCGTTAGATCATTATTCCGTGGAAGTCGTCCACGGTATCTCCCATCTCCTTCAAACTTCCTCGTTACCACCCAGCAGTGGACGCTCCTGAGTGACATCCTCCTCATCGGGCGAATCGGGAATCTCCATCATATTCTGGAAGGGCAGGAGATAAACATGGACGATTTCATCCAGGTAGCTTCGGTAGCGAGCGTAGTTCTTGTTTGCCCGCGAGAGCACCATCCATATCTCATGCAGATTCGCGGTCAACGCCAAACACGCCGGGTCGAGGTTGTCCTCCTTCAGGATCATTCGGTTGCTCATGTGGAGGAACCGATTGTGGATCCAGACATCGTACAGGTCGGAGAACAACGACAGAAGGACCTGCTCCAAGAAACGTGGCTTGCGGAGATGGCTGCACGAGATGTTAGTGTTAGTTGGACGTATGCGCAATGACTTTACTGGAAGTACTTACGTAGTTGCCACTGTTGCCATGTGTCGGTACTTGTGAACCACAGAGACATTCTCCTCCGCAAGGTACCCCATGATACCGAAGACATTGTCGGCAATGGCCACCAGGTCCTGCAGCATGTTATCCGCCCAGGTCAACCAGTGAAGCATCTGCTTCACGATCTCAGCAGCATCGGCAGTGTCATCAGGTCCCATGAAGACATCGCTGCGTCGGAAGAGGATATGGTCCAGCTGGATGACCATATTGGTGAGAGCAATGAACCGCTTGCAGGTGCTCATGCTCAGTCTAGGGTTGGAGAGGACATCTTTGATATTGTCCAAGACAGCGCGCTTAGTCTCGGGTTGGCCTGGCGGCGTTTTGATGGCCGGATCGATCTCGTAGGTGCGGATCTCCTCCTGCGCGGCCTTGGCGAAGGCGTTTTGCCATTTCTCTTCGATGTCTCGGTGCTCTTCGCACATCTGCTCGTCGAAGTCCGGGAAGGGTTCGTGGTCGTTGGTGTTTTCGATGAGAACGATGCTGGGATTGGTTGAGATGCTTTGGTCGAGGGGAGTGTTGGCAGGGGTCTTCTTGGTATTCTCGTGCGTGGCATCCTTATGGGTGATGTTGACAGCGGTGCTCTGAGAGCTCTCAGAGTCGGAATCGAGGGTGAGCTGGGTGCGGACGGCGTCTAGCAGGGAGAGAGGCTGATCGGTCTCCGCCATGGTGAATGGTGAGGAGTGAGTGATGAGGAGTGAGTAGTGAGCGGTGGTTTCGGAGTAGCAGGAATAAGTGTGAAGAGTACGATCAGTGTGGGAAGCGATGATGTGAAAGTTAGGTTTTGGGAAGGGTGGAGAGAGGAAGAGAGAAGAAAGAAGAGAGTTGATTTATCTGTCTAAGTGGACAAGTTCTGGCGACACGAGTCGTGGGGATATAAATGGAAGGTGAGAGATGAGAGTTCGGATCAACGCTGGAGGGCAAACGCTCTCTCTATCAAATACGGCCAGAAGAGTAGACCTTAAGGATATACCATCCCTCGATTTCCAGAAAGCGCGTAGAACATAATGTAAAATGTAAATAAACATAATGGATGCTTCCCGTTTGCTAATCGAGGCATGGTCCTGCCTTCCCCTCAAAGTCTATCCGATTAGCGACAACGAGTCAATGACATGGAACAAAACGTTCCAGAGGCCATCGAGCTGGAGTCTCGGATAGAACAGTCGAGAGTTAATGAAGGTCGAGAATCGTTCTTCGCACAGTGACTAATCAGCGTGTCATGGAGAGGAGCACGGCAACTTAAAGTAGTGCGGATGGAGGGTAATTAAAACAAAACAATAGAGAGTTAATCGGTCTTGGAATGATCACTGGTAGGGGGTTCTGGCATGGCAGCATCGTCCTCTTCATCATCTGGCAAGGGCACGTCCATGACTCGTTCGCTGGTCTTTTCTAGCGTTCGTTTACTCCAGGATCGGACACCCTTGTAGACAGCCTAGCCAGTGTGTTAGCAAAGCAGAGACATGCAAATCATGTCCACCGTTTCCAACATACCCAGAGAAAAGTGCCCACGCCAATAACAATCATCAACCAACGCATCCGGTCTCGACCGGAAGATCGACCTCCTCCCGTTGCAACACGGAGATTCCAGGGCGACATCATAAACATGACCCGGAAGAAGGACAGCAGACCAAGAGAGGCCAGTCCCTTAATAAAATGGGCCACCCACGATGCCTGTGCTGTATCAACCTCCACTTCTAAGGGGAGATCGTCTAGATCGACGAGGAAAAATTCAATAATGGGGTCAGCAACAAATCCAAGAAGAAACATAGTCAACAGAAGAATGCTAATGGTAAGCACAATCTGAGTGCCGGAGCTACTGATCCACCGCGCCCAGGTAATCCGCTCCAGCCGGTACTGGAACCCGCAGGTTGGACACTGCCAGTAGTTCCGCCGGCCATATCGGGGGTCTGCGTGCCGCCATGTCTGCAAGCATCCCTCGTGTACATATCGCGAGGATCCTTTGCATTTGCACGGACGGAGCAGTCGCCCTAGCTCGGGGTCGGTGGACTCGTATACCACGCGGGGCTTTTGGAGGAATTCTGACGGCTGCACGGTGGGCAGGACCGTGTCCAGGCAGATGCGACAGACTCGCGGGGGGTAATAGCTCTGCTCAGGCTCGGGGGGAGGGGGAGCATCGGCCGTGTGCCCCGGCAAGTCCGACTCATTGCTCGGGGACTGCATGGAAGGTAATTGTCGACGGGGTCATGTCATTTGCCCGTGCTGGTAGTCTGATGGAAGGAGAATAAGAATCCAAGAGAAGAGAAGAGGAAAAGAAAAGCAACCCAATTTATGTGGCCGCTAATCCCCGTTTGGACTCACCGCCTTGGACTGGCCCAGCGCAAGCTACGATGGCCGAGCTCGACCGCGTCAAACGTCACCCGTCGTCTGCCTACAGCTCCATCGCCCTCTTTTCCTTCTTCCTTTTTCATCATCCTTTGAATCTGCGGTCATATCGAGCTGTGTATCAGATAATAGCATCATATCATGGCGGACCGCTACTCCTTCTCCCTGACTACGTTCTCGCCCAGGTATGCTGAAGCTTGTTGATCCCCAAGCCTTGTGGTCCAGGAAGCTAACCCGCATCGTTCAACAGTGGAAAACTGGTGCAGATTGGTAAGCGACAAAGACATTGAGCTTGAAATGTCAAGTCCAGCACTGGAATCAAAGGTTACTGACGAGCTTCATCCAGAGTATGCTCTAAATGCGGTCAACCAGGGTGTCACAGCCCTGGGCATCAAAGGTGAGATCATGGAAAACCAACCCAGCTCTCCCATCCATCCAACACACTCTCTACCCAATCCAGATGCTGACCTGACACTGTCCAGCCACCAATGGAATTGTCCTCGCTACCGAAAAGAAATCCTCCTCGCCGCTCATCGACCCTCCCTCGCTCTCCAAGATCTCCCTGATCACCCCGGACATCGGCATGGTCTACGCCGGCATGGGCCCCGACTACCGCGTGCTGGTCGACAAGGCCCGCAAGGTCTCGCACACGGGCTACAAGCGCATCTACAACGAATACCCGCCGACGCGGATACTGGTGCAAGACGTCGCCCGCGTGGTGCAGGAGGCCACGCAGTCCGGTGGCGTGCGGCCGTACGGTGTCAGTCTCTTGGTTGCCGGCTGGGACGAAGGTATTGAGCCCGAGGCGGCCGATATCAAGAACGACTCGGACTCGCCTGCCAAACCTGCCGGCAAGACTGGTGGTATTCTGAAGGGTGGGCCCAGTCTGTACCAGGTTGATCCTAGCGGTAGCTATTATCCCTGGAAGGCGACAGCGATTGGCAAGCACGCGACGAGCGCCAAGACTTTCTTGGAGAAGCGGTACACTGAGGGGTTGGAGCTGGAGGATGCGATCCACATTGCGCTGTTAACGCTGAAGGAGACTATCGAGGGGGAGATGAACGGGGACACAATAGAGATTGGTGAGTGGGCTTTTGCCTTCTTTTGGTCACGGTATGGTATGATTCGGGTTACTAACAGGCTTGTCGTTGTTGATAGGTATTGTAGGCCCCCCTGCGGATCACCTGCTGGGCTACGAGGGTGTGGAGGGTGCTCAAGGCCCACGGTTCAGGAAGTTGACCAAGGAGCAGATCGAGGACTACCTGACCAACCTATGAGAGCGATGCGCGAAGAGAGAAAGTGCTTAATCTACCCAGAGTATGAATTAGACTCGAATGACCACCCCTATTACTCCGTACTGGTAGTGCTTGTACTGTATTTGCCCTTGTGACTCTTCGATTTGGCCGGTTCACGTCGTGTGTCCGGTGCGGTGTAGTCGACAACGAATCGATTGCAAGGACAACCACCGCAGGACGGGTACTTGCGTAGCCTTGCACTTGAACCCTACAGTAGCTGTAGTGCTGTACTGTATTTCCGCACAACACTGTCCATAGTCTGTATGGACCCTGTCAGGCTGGCACGGCACAGACACTAAGATCTCGGGTCTATGGCATTGGGGCTGAACCTTTGCTTTGTCCGGGACAATAGGAGTGTCAAGTGTCAACGGACCACCTTAGGTTCGCAGGGTGGCCTGTTCATCCTGTCATATCCTCTACTTGTCGTTTACTGTAACTCCCCCCCCTTATGACCAATGACTTATACCCATTAGGTAGTTATACGAAACGGACCCCCGCCTTGGCGGAACACCGCAAACTTTCCGCTTGTCCAGAATCTGGATCTCCCACTCATGATTCAGGCCCAGTCTCTTTCATAATACCCTAGAATTATCATTGTATAGCCTCCTCCCAAGTCGAGGCACATGCTAATAAACCCTCCTTAACTACGGCCAAGCACCCTAAATCCACTAACAAAGGGGTTCCGACCTATCACTCATGGTTAGCATTTTTAGTTAGTATTACTGTCCTCCGTACTCGATCCCCCCATCTGCCAATCCGACACTATTGAATCATGGCGTTCGCCGGCGCCGATCTACCCCGGGACTTTGGCCCCCGGAACTCTCGCTGGCCTCTCGGGGGCTGCGAGTTAGTGGAAAGTTTAGGAGGAGCTCACCAGCGAGGCTTTTGACTCGCTCTTTTTTCCCGTTTTTCCCTTAACTTTTGTTTCGGCTTTTCTGGTGCCAGCCGTGTCTGGGCTGGATTTTGACTCTTCAAGGGTGGATTGATTGTGGACATGCGTGACAAGGGTTGCATTTGACCCTGCTTCTTCTGTCTGCTCTGTTGCTTGGCGTTTTTGCTTAATTCGCTCTGACAGGCTAGCCTTTTCGCAGGATTGTGCTTTTTAATTGCATGTCTCTGGCTTGTCTTTTTTCCCTCCCTCTTAAAAATCCTTTGTTGCTCTTCCATACTCCCTCCGGGGGTCCTTTGTCGTGCATACGTACGGAGTATACGACTACGATTACCCGTTCCTCTGCTGTCTTGTCTGTACAGTATTATTCTGTGCAACGTACAAAGCGGCTGGCATTGCGATTCCGACCTCGCGCCTCTCTTTTCACTGTCCTATCCAGTCCAGTCCCTCGTCTCGTCCCGACGCGACTTTATTCACCCTGTTCATGCATTTTCGCTCTCCGCTCTACGCTTTCCTGTTCTTCTTGAGAGATATGTTCGCGTATCAGACTGGGTGAACGTGGCTCTCGCAGTCCCTGTTTTACCTTGTCAATTCGAGGAGTATACCCCTCGTACACCGGGTTCCTAGCTCCTCTTATACATCTTCTTCGCTCCGCAGACACTTATTTTGTGTCTGGTTCCGTCCCGCCAAGTGACCCTCCAACCGAACGGTCCAATACCATGTCCGATCCCCCCAAGGACCTGCTGGATGGTATCTCCGGCGCCCTAGCCCCAGAAGGCGACGTCCTCCAAATGGTCCTAGTCACCTTCATCGCACTATCCTGCTACAACGTCGCCGAACTAGTCGTCCTAGTCCTATCCACCTTCCGCCGCTGGCGCGGTCTCTACTTCTGGTCCCTCCTTGCATCAGGCTGTATAGGCGTCGTTCCCTATTCGATCGGCTTCTTGATGAAATTTTTTACCTGCGCGGACTCGGCGTTATCAGTGACCATGTTGACGATCGGTTGGTGGACCATGGTTACGGGGCAATCGGTCGTGTTGTACTCACGACTGCATCTCGTGCTGCGGGATGAGAAGATCCTGCGACGGGTGCTGTGGCTGATCGTGGCTAATTTCTTTCTTTTGCACGTGCCGACTACGGTGTTGACGTATGGTTCGAATATCGTGCATACCGGTGACATCGCCTGGGTCAAGGGGTATAATATCATGGAGAAGATTCAATTGACCGGGTTCACGATCCAGGAGTCTTTGCTGGGGACGCTGTATGTTATCGAGGCTGTCAAGTTACTTCGTCTCGGGGCGGATGTTACGGCGCGGCCGGATGCGAGGTTGATTATGTACCAACTCATTGGGATTAATTGTGCGATTATTGCGATGGATTTGTTGCTGTTGGGTCTGGAGTATGCCAATTTTTATGCGGTGCAGATTACGCTCAAGGGGTTTATTTACTCGCTCAAGTTGAAGCTTGAATTTGCTGTGCTGGGACGCCTGGTGGATCTTATCCAGGGGTCGAGACATCCCATCTCGCTTGCGATGGCGGATACATTGCCGCTTTGTCCTTTCCAGCGTCCGCCGGAGACGCCGGATCGGAATGATGGGCTGCCTTGTACGCCGGAGTCGAAGGAGGTTTTGTCCACGCCGGATGGGGCAAGGGTTGTGGAGGGGAGGGTGTTTGTAGAGATTGGACACCGGAATTTATGATGGATGGATCATGATGGTCATGAAAATAATATAATCATATCGTATTTTTCTTCCTTTGCTTCGTGTATGTCTATGGTCGCCTTTCTCATCTGGTTTGACTTGTAGATCAGTTCTCATCTAGTAAAGCGTCACCCACCCACTCGTACTCTTCTTCAGAGTCCTCGTCCTGGCTATCTGCGACTTCATTCTCCGCCTTGCGCTTGCGGCTAGGAGTTGGTTCAAGAATCTCTGGAGACTTTGCTTCCTCCACTTCGTGAAGACCGTCCTGGACAGTGTCAGCTAGATACTCGGGCGGGCCAGAACAGAGATATCCAGTGGTAAAAAGGACTTACATTTTCAATGCGAAACGAAACAATCAACTCCGTCAATCGCACAGGCATCGTCTTCCCAGCTCTCTTGATAATCTCCGCGAATCGCATATCCGGCAAATCGCGATACAGCACAATCCGCGTTTGCACATTCGTCTCCCAGGTACCACCCGCCACCAGCGGATGCAAAGTCGCGCGTGGCTGACCCTTGATCTTAGTGTGAGTCTGATTCAGTGCTAATACGGCGATATTCCGCGCCGCGAGACGCGTCAAGTGCGTGGCTACATCACTGATGACGTTCCACTTGCGATTCAATAACCACTGGAGCTGGGACCTGTCGGCGATTTTGCCTTGCGTGAGTCGGTCTTTTAGTTCTGCGGCGCTGAGAAAGTAGCCTGGGAAGAGAGCGGAGATGGAGTCGATGATTATCAAGCTTGTCTCCTCCGGTGGGAAGCCCTTTGGTGGGTGGGCGAGAAGAGATAGGAGGTGTGGTAGTGTTGGGGCCCGGAAGTAGATCAGGTTGTCTAGTTCTGGGTTCGTGAGTTTAAAGCGGCATGTTGGGATGGGTGAGCTTGTGTCTGGATATGGTCAGCTTCGGTGATGCGATGGATTGAGCTCTCCCAGCAGGAAATAGCCTACCAATCCAGATGACTTTTCCGCCATCGCGGAGTGCATTCGATGCAATGCTTAGCCTGCTCCGTTGGTTAGTTCATTATGAGAACATGCATGCTCTCACGGGCTGGCTCACGCTAGAGAAGTCTTCCCTACCCCCGGTGGTCCAAACACTTCTGTGACTTGACCGCGCAGGATCCCACCAGATCGCCGCTGGTCAGCAGGAGAGTCATCCAGAGTCTCGTCCAGACGCGGGAGTCCGGTGGATATCGGCTCTCTGAGAGCAGCCGACGCGTTCAGGGACTGTGAGGCTGAGATGGATATCACAGGAACTTGAATGACATCTTAGTTGAGCTGCTAAAGACGGCTCCAGGGCAGAACACTTACGCGTGTCTGGGCTGCCGAAGCCGAGCAAGTCCTTGTTAAGATTCATCGCTAGCGCATTGGGTGACAACAAGGGGTGGATGGATGTGACATATTAAAGCAGTGGCTCTGATTTGCGAAGAGACAATACATTCAATCGCTTGTGGTCAGCCGTTGTTGCCAATTCGTGTCGCTCTTCACTGCAGTTCGTGACAATCGTGGAGTGTGGTGGATCATTGTGGGTCCGCGGCAACTAATCGGCCGGAAAACTCGAGGACGGCCTGGTTTCTGCACAGGGATTGCGATATACTTCTTTCCAACTCCAACTTCGACAATCAACAAATGTCTTCAAGCAGTAGTTCCCTCGAGATTTCGTCCCTCGGGGCATTGTTTATTTTTGGCCTGCTTTGGATCGTGGTCATCGGCATATTCCCATTGCTAGCGCTTGCGCATGCTTCTCCAAGCAGGGAGCCGAAAGGATGCCGGCGACTGGGCCTTTCTCCAGGACAAAGCAACCTGGCCGATGAATATGACAAGAAATACAATGAGGGTGTGCCTAGCGACCACAAAGACGACAATGGTCTCCCCGCTTGGCGCGTTAAGGCACTCTTCACCTACCCGATCAAATCATGTGGCGGCATCGAACTACAAAAGTCCGAGGTCGTGGGTACAGGCCTGAAATTCGATCGCCAATTCGCCTTTGCAGAGGAGACGTCGGATGGATGGAACTGTCGTACCCTGCGTAATGCTGGATTCCAACGTATGGCTCTCATCCACACGGAGATCTGGGTTCCCGACCCTTCGTCGCCAGAGTATGACGACCGCCGCCCGGAGATGCAGTCAGACGGCGTGATGGTCATTTCATATCCACGAGTTGCACCATCAGGGCCTCTAGGGCTCATCGTCAGAATTGGCATGGCCATCCGACTCCTCGGCTCCCGGCTTTCATTCCAGGTTCCTCTCGTCCCATCCAAGGATAGCAAGTACCCTGTGATCCCAGTCAAAATCTGGAAAGACAAGCCTCTCGCATACGACTACCGCAGTCTACTCTCACCTTCCCTGCACGCCTATCTCGGCTTTGATCCATCAAAGTCTCCTTTGAGCCTCTTCCGCGCCCACCCATCCCACAACCGGGAGATCTTCCGCAATGCGCCCCGCAAAGAGCAAATCGGCTTCCAGCCCAACACCGCCTTTGCAGACGCTTACCCAATTCACCTCCTCAACATCACCAGCCATCGAGATGTTGCTACGCGCTGTGCAGACGTAATCCCTCGCTTGAGCATCAGGCGGTTCCGCGCGAATATCATCGTTCAGGGCCCGGAGGCTTTTGCGGAAGATCATTGGAAGAGGATGATGGTTGGGGAGACGGAGATTTATGCTGCTTGTCGCACTGTGAGGTGTCGACTGCCGAATGTGGATCCTGATACGGGGGAGCGCGACAAGGCAGAGCCGGATCGTACGTTGAAGGCATATCGACGGGTTGACGAGGGCGATCCCACGAATGCGTGTCTGGGGCTGCAACTTGTTCCTGCTGTTGAGGACTGTTGTGTTGCTGTTGGTGATGAGTTGCGTGTTTTGGAGACTGGGGAGCATCGTTATATCAAGATGCTAGCGCCTGGGGAGAAGGTTGAGGGTGTATGATATGATGAATAGTGAATAGCTTGTATGATAGATGTGAGATGTACCAGAGACAAAATAAACCAGCTCCTTGTTTCACAAGCAAAAGTCACCTCCTTCAAACAGAACAAATTTCAAATCGCCAAACTGAGGAATCGAACCACCAACCATGATTTTGATGTTCCACCACCCCATCCCAGATTCTGGGTCTGCATAGCATCATCCCCGTTCTCTCGCTGTCTAAGCCCACCACCAAACCCCTCAAAAAACATCACCACCAAGTATCAAAATTGAAATTTAAAAAAAGCCCAGTCGGGCCCGAAGGCCCAGACCCAAGTACCGTTCATTAGGCCCCACAACGAGGAATCAATCCAACAAGGTATGTCGAGTAAGCTTCTCCGAAGATCCGCCCCAAGACGCCAGGGGAACTAACCCCGTAACCCTGATACCCCGTGTAAGGGGCGCGGTCTGGCAGCACTCCAGGGTGAGTTACGGTTATCGACTAGGCCACAGGGGGTGGGCTGGTTAGAAGGGGAGGGCATATACTGGATTATAAAGGGTGAGGGGGTTTGTTTGCCATGGGGGCTTTTGCAACCAAACACTGGGTAGTGTTTTGGTGATGCTGCTTTTTCCTTGGTATATGCCTGGTCTTCGTGGTAATTTGCAACTGTACAAATGCAGAGTTCTTCTACTATGCGTTGGTGTCATGCACTATGGGCTACATTCTTAGTCTATACGGTCATATATTGTTTCGACAGCTGTCTCTAGGCTGCGTAACTGAGTACTCGAGTGACCTTACCGGGTTGCCCCCGTCCCTCCTGTTTCTGCCTTGCCCTCCAGTATTTTTATGCTTCTTAGAATCTGCCGAGAGTAATTGCGTATATCTTTCACAATTTCTGGGTCTCAATTTAACTAAAAAAACTGACATGTGCATCACGCAGAGACCTCACACTCTTGCCTTGTCAGCTAAAGTCCTAACGACATAGGTTTTTATCACACGACCACGTCGTTGTAGATTTAACTCCACTTCTTGAATCCTTTAACCCAGTCAATGGTGCGTGATACTACCGAGAGGAGGTCGGCGGGGCAATGGCAAAACATAAACTAAGATTTTCGTGTCCATTCGTTGTTCGTTTGCTTTCTAGCTCGGCTGAAATGTTCCTAAGCCATCCGGGTATATCCTCATTTCCTCACTAGTATAGAAGAAAGTTTTCGATCAAGCACCTCCGAGCAAGGCTAGTATATAGCGTTAGATATCGTTTGATTCCCCACAACCGGTAACCTGTAGGAAACCTGAGCCTTTCGATTCTTGGGACTGTCTTATCTGCCGTTGAAAATTGAAGTTTTTTTTTTCCAATTATTGAATGTATATCCGTCCTTGATACCAGTTCTGGGAATCATTATGATTGATTCTTTACTTGACCCTGAATCACCTAGGCTGCTGGCCTCAGCGGAAGATGAAAAATCACAGCGTGCGTTGTGTATCATCCGACATATCTTGTATATTGGTAACCCCTATATCTGTAGACTTTATAACTGTTGTCGACTTTCGAGATGCGAAATTGAGACTGGCCGCAAAGACCCCTATACTGAAGCAGAAGACAGAAGCCATCGAAAACGGAAACATCAGGTAGATTTAGGTCCTATAAAGCGTCTTATATAAGATGATAGATGATATATGGATCTTGGTTGATCTCTAGATTGGATAAAAGAACTGAAGGAGATCAAAATAAGTCGTCTCGAAGTCGAAATTAAGGAACCTAGAAAACAAAATGCGTGGATAAAACAGGAATAGCAGGTTTAGGTGTCAAGTACACAGTACAAGCAGCCGAAGAACGATTTTCACCACGGCGGTAAGATTTGCGTTTGCCTTAACGTAGATGCAAGGTAGGGGTATAGTTTTAGCTAGGGTTTTTGTTTCCACCGGAACCGTGTCCTTACCACCAGGATAGCTATACCCAGTACCTAGTAACTACACTCCCTTATACAAGCAATTTCATAGCGACGAAGCTATACGGCTATGTGGAGGGCCTATCTTGGGTTTTGATGTTATTTCACTAGTCTGTCTCTGGAATAAGATGCTGCTTGACTAGATTGAACGCCGGATACATCCTGTTAGTTTTCAGATTATAGTAGTCGTTGCAATTTCACAAACAAAATACTGCATCTAGCATAAATAAGAGCGTACCGCTGCCACTCCGCCACGGTCGTCTTCTTTGCGCCGGGTTACCCTCCACTTCTTAAGCTGCTCTTCCGGAAGTGTAACATTTCTCATATTGCATCTCAATATAGCGGCTAGGAAAACCTCGAGAAAAGGGAGAGCCTCCAATAAAAAGTCAAGTATTATGTTGAGACACATCTGGGGTCGCACTCCAGGGCATAGTGTTCTTGCTTTTTGACCACCGAACGGAGTAAAGTCGAATTCCGTCTTTTCTCTGCGGCGAGTAAGGATCAACAAGTCCATCATGTTGGAGAGGAAGCCACTACATCAGAGGTTCCGTATGGACTGGTATGGTGGGAACCAATTGAGAAGCGTGGTTAAAGAACTATCTGTGATACCGCTGTTGAGAGGGATCTCATAGCCCGAGAGGCGATCATTAGGATGTTATGATATAGGTATTCCGAATTGACCCGATTTATCCAGGAAATGCATCGCCAGAAGGGAAGGCATGGGAGATATTTTTGTCCACATTTCTAGCATAATAGTATGTATAGTTGACCAAGGACATATTTGTTTGTTAACGTGCTGAGACGAAATACTCGTTGCTTTAGGATCGCCTAGATAGTCTACACGAAGGTCAAAGGGTTGAGTTTGACGTGGAACAGGAGAGGAGGGGGTTGCTTTCAGCTGTCAATGCCAATGTGATAGGCGATCAAGGGTTGGACCAATGTGAAGGACCCGATGCATGCGACAAAACCTGATCTGGATGGACAAGAATTTATTTTCAATAAGGAACTGTTCAAGGTGTCTTAGAGCCAGGTTGGGGTGTTCTGATTGCACGAAGTACAATTGCTCCATTCTGGTTTGGAATGTATTCGCCTCTGTTATCTGTGATGTTGTCTTGTAGGGAAGGGGGCCTGTTAGGGCAGGTCGGCACTGGAAAGGTACGGCCGCCTTATCAAAACTAAGCGTTCGACTTTCATAATACATACCTTATAAATAACTAAAGCAGTTATTAGAGATGCCTCGAGTCTAGCTCAGAGATCCCTCAAGTCTAGCCCAAAATACCGCAATAGTGGCGGCAGAAAAAAGAGCACCGACCATTATACTGGTATTTCCATAGTTGCGAGGGTCTGGTTTCTGGTAGTTGCTACTCCTGATCAATAGGCCTGCGACGGGAGTCCCAAGCAACATGGCGAACCCTCGGACCATATATAGCACCCCGTTGACACTGGCGAAATTTTGAATACCAAACGTCTCGACCAAGGTTGTTGGGAAAAGGGATATATAGGCAGATGCAAATACACCGTAGCAAATGGTAAAGGCAATGAAGAGCGATTTGCCACCGGATTCCTGGGAGGAATTTGACGATGGGAACCAGATTCCTAGCACAGCGACAGCCGATAGAAGTGTGGTCAAAAGCATTGTGTTGAGTCTGCCCATTCGATCGGCAGCATGCCCGATGATTATTCTGCTTGGGACACTGGCCGCGTTTGAAATGGCAATGAAGTTGGCCGATGTTGCCTGCGAATAACCTAGCGTGCGGGCATAGGAAGCGAAGAAAAATATAGGCGTATAGTAGGCGGCAGATTGAAGCGCCGCTCCTAATGCATGAGCGATAAACCTACGGGTTCGCGCAACCCGCCAATCTACCAGTGGAATCCGGAACATGTTCGGGGAGAGCAAAATCGCCCTGTTCTCCGCCTGAATGCGTGACATCTGGCTAGCGGGCCACCGTATAAAGGCCCCAAAGATCGAAATTAAGATGAATGAGATCCCTGAAGTGGCACGGAGTGTGTTGCGGAATCCAATACGTGCGATGAGGGATCGGAAGGCAAGAGGCCATATAACACCGCCAATACCTGTTCCAGAGAGGATAATACCCATAGCAAGCCCGCGATGAAGTGAAAACCATGTGGGTCCCACCGTGACAGAGGGCATATAGGCCATGCACGTTCCAATTCCAAGAAGAAATCCTTGTGTGAGAAGAAACTGCCACAAAGTGTAGCTAAAGCTGGCGAGAAGGAGTGCAACCGAATAAATTAGGCCGCCGCTCCAGACGACTCTACGCGGAGAGTATTGCTTTATCCAGGTGGTTGTGAAAGGTGCACCGATGGTCATAAGGGCAATGGCTAAGGTGCCAATTAGGTCAATTTGTGCTGGTGTTGCGCCCGTGAATGGAGTGTTTGGAATTGACGACATTGAGTCGTAGAGTTCCTGGTAAACTCCGAAGGCAAAGCTGATGCCACATGCAGTGAAGACAAGGCCAGTGGAAGAAACTAATATCAGGACCGATTGTCTCAAGGTAATTTTTTATCAATTAACCTGGTAAGTAGACCAAAAAGAATATGAGGACATACAGGTCATATCGCAGGTTCGACTGGCTGTCATCAATAACTAGCATCTGTGGGAGTTGTCTGTTCATGGCGATGGTATTACGGTCCCGTGTAGCTCTTTCAGATTCGGCTGTAGGAGGCAGAACCGTAACTTCTCGTAATCGGAGAGTGTTAACTTTTAACGTAATTCCCGCTTGACCGGGACACCCGGTTGAGCGGGACACCTACCCCCATTAGAAAATTTCAAAATCGATTATCCCAACCAACACCTATTAATTTAACTAGATAACACGATTTTTACATAAAGTAATCCTGTGCCCAATTTTTCCACATCCACTGCAGGTAGGCGGAGCCCTCCTGACCGGTTGAATCGGCTGATTAGGCAGATCGAGCTATTCATGCGATACTACCTCATCAGCTTCTACTGGCTGAATTAGCTGCTAAGCTAGCTGTAGGCCCTCTTCGACGGTCAAACCCTCTTCGCAGGGTATCTGCTTATGCGACCGATTGCGCTTATTGACTACCTTCTTATTAGCTGCGCGTAGATTCGCATTATCCTTCGTGAGTAATGCAGCGGTATGTAAGGATAGATAGGCGCCCTTAATCATCTGATTCACTATAGTGTTGACTGGGCTCGGAGGGGTATTTGACCGCCGGTATAGTAGATCCTTTAGCAATGAAGCTTGCTTCTGTAGCTGAATCACTGTTCTAGGCGTTTTTGGTGTGAATTAGCTAGATCTGCTGCTTGGCCGGCTTAACGGTAGTGAAGGCGTTCGGATAGAGATATTAAGCTTTAAAAGTACTCTTTCTATATCGACTAGTACTAGACTACTAGCTGCGAAGCTATTCTGAATAATAGATAGCTTTTGGAAGGCTTCTAGCCGCGCGTGTTGATAATTCTCTAAGAAATCGCACTTGTCGATATAGTTATATCCTATACGCGTAAGATCGCTCACGAAACGGCTATACGCTCTCTTGATTACTACAAAGCAGCTAATATCTAGTAGTTGTAGTAGATATAAAGAATATACAGGTATATAAAGAGGTATTATGTTGTTCTCTACGTAGATTCGGTCGAATTAAGGCGTAAGATAGCTACTATAACCGTCGAGGATTAATAAGCGAAACCGGCTACGTACGCGCGAATTCGTTAACAGGATAAAGAGCTTTTATAACCAGCGTAGGCTAATCTTATTAGTAGTCCAGCTATTAGCTAAGACTTCAAATCGCTAGTCTTTCGGTAGGTTATCGAACTAACTAGCAATAGCAACTTTGCCTTTGAAAATCATATATAGCAGTAGCGAATAGCCGTCTGCGCAAATTACTTCGATCGTAGTAACCTATTCGCGATTTCCTAGCTGTAAAAGACGTCTCCGACCGTAGAATTTAGCTCGCGTAACTACCTTCTGCGAGGATATAAGGCCTATTACAAAGCCTGTCTTATTAAAGTTATAGATATCCTCTAGTTATATCCCGTTCTCGTTAATTATGCTTTATATAGTCGTAAACCAGGCTTGTAGGGCTTTTAGGTCTTCGTTTAATACGCGCTAGTAGTCGTATCGCACTAAGTAGCGTGTTCGAAGCTTATCGCGACGTTTAACAAATTTTGTTGGCTAGTTCTTACTAACGGTAAGCGGAGGTTGACTACCGCGTATAGCTAGTAGGATATTCGCTATCTCTCTAATAGTAGCGGGCCTAGGCGCTGCTCCACGCGAATCCATAGAGAGAATCTATTCAGTAAGCGCATCCTCTTCTAATTGAGTCAATTTATAGCGACTTGGGCGCTTATCGACGCGTGCAATTCGGCCCTCAGCGCGCGTATGCAGTATTGACTTCGGTATTGCATAAAGGCTAGCTGCTGCGCGAATAGATTTGACACGGCCATTTTTAAGATCATTAAGGGCTAATAGAATCTTGCCCTCTTGATTGACTAGTTTCTGCGAGGATTCAGTGCGAATTGGTGGCATTGTAGGTGGTTGAAGTTGGTATGTAAGTAGGAAGACGCGATTTTGGATGGGGTGTCCCGCTCAACCGGGTGTCCCGGTCAAGCGGGAATTACGTTACTGCTAAACATATCACGTAAGCAAAGCATGAGGTGACTCACGGTGGGGTCCTACAAACCAGAAATGGAAAACGATACTCCGTACCGAACAGAGAATTTTAAATTTGCCGACTAGGAAGATGACTGCACGGAAGAAGGCGAAATGGGCTAAAAAGACTTGAGTCTAAGTCGTGCCGCAGCCGAAACGACCTGAATTGTTCGAATGAACCTAGTTTTGTGCTTTTATATATTTTCCACTTGAATCTCGTGGTAGCCTCGGAAGTACAGTGTCGTAACATACCAGGGATCGATTTGAATACCTAAAGTCGTCAGTTTCACATTTACACTCGCTAGCTAAAAAGAGGAAGAAGTCGATTGAAAGTTCTCCCGTGATTTATGACTGGGAAGGGCTCGAGTGGATGGCAAAGAAGTATTAGCCCCACTTATTTGGTTAAAAGATACTACATTCGGCATAGTGTACAACAATTAAAGCGGGGCTCCAAGGATCAGTTACTTAAAAGGTACTTTTATTGGTGACCTCACGCAGTCAATAGAACAAGGAGACAGTAATAATGCGACCGCCCCGTTCTAGCATCCGACGGAGCCAATGGTCGACCGTCTTGAGAATTAGCTATATCAATCGGCCAAAAACCAACGCTGGTTAGGGGTGGTGGCTTATACTTGAACAGATCGCGGGCGCAGCGTGCGGCGATCCCTTGCTGGTATCGGTGGTGCCCTGGCAGCCGGGGAGTATGTATTTGTAATCATCCAGCCTCGTAAAGTATTAATATATACCTTGATACTTTGGTACATGACTGCGTACCACCCATCTTCTCCATTCAACAATCCTGAGCGGACGATTCTAACACATAACCATCTCCCTTGTATGTCTATTTTTCCCTAATCTAATCGCCCTCCCTAACAACCCAGAAAATGAAAACCATTGGAATCATCGGTGGCCTCGCATGGCCCAGCACGATCACATACTACCAAAACATCAACCGTCTTATCTCAGAGAAACTTGGACCCCTTCACTGCGCAAAGCTTATCATCGTCCAGATCAACTTTGATCAGATCACGAAATGGATAAACAGCGAGCAATGGGAGAAAGTGGCGGAAGCTCTTCTTTCACTTGCTCGGCAGTTAGAGCGCGGTGGGGCGGATTTTATAGTAGTCGCTTGTAATACGGTGCACAAGGTGGTCCCGGCGATTCAGGACCAGATTCCACTGCCAATATTGCATATTGTCGATGCTGCGTCTGGGAAGATACGGGAGCTAGGTTTCAGCCGGGTCGGGCTAATCGGGAGTGCACTTACTATGACCGACGATTACTTTGCTGGACGCCTTGCGAAATACCAGATTGAGGCTCTGCTCCCTAGTGAGGGCGATCAAAAGATGATTCATCATGCATTGGAAACTGAATTGGCACCTGGTATCTTTTTGCCGGAGACACGGGCAAGGTTTAAAGAGGCCATTGGTCGGTTGATTGAGCGAGGAGCCGAAGCTATTGTTCTTGGTTGTACCGAATTTGGGAAGCTGGTGCAGGCTGATGACAGCAGTGTTCCGCTGATAGACACGGCGAAGGTGCACTCAGAAATGGCGGCGAAGATGGCTCTTTCCTAGTTGTCTGTGTATTCGTACATTCTTCTTCGCTTTCCTGGAAAAGGGCTCAATAATTTGCATTTTGCGAGATGTCTACAAGTCGGGCACCTTCCTTGTAGTATGATGGTATTGATCTGTCTCCGCGTTGTGGATTGAATTTCTCCTTGACACTACAAGCGATAACAACGGAACAAATTCAGTGCAAATTACCACTAGGTCATAAAAAGATGCCGTGACACTATCTAGGCCCCTAGACGGTATATTACTGTTATTTTCACTTTCGACAATTAAGAATAAATAACCGAAACAGGACAGGGTACACAAGCATTAATACATCTTTCGAATCCTATGTGGCGAACAATCGCAGATCTGCTAGAACACAAGTTTCTTCGTCGGCAATAGCCTCATCAATTAGTCCTCCCGCCAATCTGGAACGAAACGGAGCGAGAATCTTAATCCCAGATGACACTAATGGAAAAGATGTCTTCATATCCTTATTTACTACGGTACGTGGGTACAATAAAATACAGTCTCCACAGACAGAAATAGTCCGGAAAACGTCTGAATATGGACTGGCGTGACTTGGCAATGGGAGGCGAACAGGGCGCGGTGACTCACTGCGGAGGGCGCAATCAAGGTTTGTTATTGCGATTCTCGGAACAAAGACTTTTGGATAAATTAAATTGGGTTTAAGCAGATCCTTCAAGTCGATGCCAATTTCATATCACCTAGAATACCAAGCGCAAATTGTTCCAATATGGCCCCATCTTCTGTCTTTCACTTCCCTATACGAACTTTGTCGAACGAGCGCGTAAAGCTGGTGCCTTTCGACCCCAAGCACCATGTAGAAACATTCTTTCGCCTGTCAGAGCCGCATCCAGAGCTGTATGCGCATATGAGTCACGGGCCATTCCCATCTGCTGCAAAGCTCAAAGCGGAATTTTATGAGAGGGGCAACAAGCACCCAATATCCTTTACCAACACGGACACATTCGCCTTTGCTATCATCGACAAGACGCGTCCCCCATCTGCAGATGATCCCGAGGGTGAATTGGCCGGCACTGTGAGTTACTGTTATACATCGGCAGAACATCTCAGCACCGAGATTGGATTTATCATTATTCTCCCGCCCTATCAACGGAGCCATGTAGCAACCAATGCTCTTGGACTTGTCTTGAATTATGCGCTGAATGAGCCAGATGAAGGAGGCCTTGGATTGCGCAGGGTGCATTGGAAAGCCAGCGCAGCTAATTCAGCTAGTTCCCGACTTGCAGAGAGAATGGGCTTCGAAAGAGTTGGATTCACGCCGTGGCACATGCGCTTCGTCAAGGGCAAAGAGAAGGGGAAAATAGGAAACGGCAAAGAACCACCTCCTGGCAGCGATCCAGCAGATTTGTGGAGGGATACAGTTGATCTAAGCCTCGGATGGGACCAATGGCGGAGTTGTGCAAGAGAGAGAACGCAAAAGGCAATGAGCAGATAGAAACTAAAATGTTGTTATTCAAGGTTCCGCCTTCACCCAATCGGTATCGAAGGTCCAAGGAACTGGATGTTCTTCTTCTTGGGCCGTTCGCAACAAATCAGACTTCCTTTTTTTCACCAGGTCCAGCAGGCGTCTCACTCCTATGCCTGCCGTGTTTCCAGGCAAAATAGATACAGTCTCTCCTTCTCGGAAGAATATGGATATGGCAAAAGAGGGTGTACGGATCCACATCTTCAATAGGCAACGAACACAAAGGGCCGATGAGATCACTCCTCAATGGGTACCTCTGCAACGGCCATGCAACTACCTGACTACTTGTACCTTCGGTGCAGACATGGATAAAAGTGTATACATAGAATGGAAAAGAGAGGGCCAACGGAATGGAGAGGCAAAGACGACTGGTTTGCCCAGGTAATATAGAAGAAATTCATTTAAGTCCTTTTTGAATAGGGCTAGCCAAACTTGCCTCCCCAGCTTGAATGGGTGTTGATTGACTAGACGCTTCTTGACTGTTCTGTTTTTCTATTCTTTTTGTTTTGCTCTTTACCATCATCACCAGTTTCCCATTTTTAGCCCATCGATATCGTAGGCCGCCACAATAGGCCGCCGCAATAATTTAGAGTATTTCCGAGCGGTGTATTCTCTTCAAACTGCTCTGAGCTCCCGGTCCGTAACTTGCTTCGGGGTAGGATAATAGGAGTTCTAGAGAGATCAGATTTCTTTCCATCGAAAGCATCGGGAACGTACCAATTGAGAGCCAAGAAAAGACCAAAAACCTGGAAGTATCCGCTGATAGAATAACCACTTGGCCAGTCTCCCGGAGACGTATGCCCAGACAGATATCTACGTCGCACATCTCACTCTATTCGTATGCCTTCATCATGAGACTTAACTTGCGACGATCTTGTTTCTGGCGCTTTGATTTCCTATTCGAAACAGATTGACTCCGCCGGGTGGGCGGTACGGCTGCCATTTCTCAAGAGCCATCTTAACGATTCTATCGATGCCTCAAGCGTCCCTTTAGCGGAGTGAAAGAAGGGTGAGATATTTAAGGAAGTCAGTTTATGAAGTAGCCTCAGTTTCGGAGGTGGAAAGCGCGTTTTCGGAATTGTCAGGGTTGAAGATTGTTAAAAGGGCGTTGGCAGATTCTATACTTTCACTAGGCCGCGGTTTTTTGACGTCGCTAACTATAGCTAAAGCGATAGAAGAATACTACGCGTAGCATCTTTTGAGAGTCAATAAGTGAAACGACGACCCAGCAGATACCCAGATTAACGAGTGCATTGCGGTCGCGAAATAATGGTGGCAAGCGTAATGCAACGACCATGGTAAATGAGAGGCTCGTTTGATTGCACTGTTAAATCATACGTTAGGATTCGGTCGGCAATGATTATCTGTTAAACGAGAATGGTAGGAAAATAGTTTAGTCACGATTGAAATAGTTGAAATCGCCCCGCCCCAGTCTCGGTTGAACACACTGCTGACTATGTTTAGTTTGCCTGCTTTGGAAGTTTCCAAATGGACAACTCAGGTCCTCTTGAAGGATATTCAGCTGTAATCTGAGGGGCGTTCAGCTGAAAGTAGATCGACTCTAAACCAGATTGCGCAGTGGATTGAGGAATGTTGACGCTGTAGGTGATTGTATTATGCTCGGGAGGGTGGAAGCTCCGAACTTGAGCTAGGCCAGACACAATGCAAGAGAGCCAACAAAGGTATAATCTAGCCATGCTGCGAAATGGCGGAATGACCTCATGTCCTAGTCGACAAGCCTGGAAGTGCTAATTAGTGAATACTGTAGGTTGGTCTCCTTTATTTCGTTTAGCAACGGGCAGAGTAAGTTTTTGCATATTAAATAAACGTTGCTTGATAGAATTAGACGTTCGTGGCTGGGAGGCCACACTCTGTCTCCAATGAATCGGTGGCTATAGGAGCTTGGTCTCTGGTATTTGGAATAATTATTATTGTAGAGAAGCATCCAGACCATCATACAGAACCCCTTAGATTAGAGACTGGGGCTAGAAATATAAATTTGCGACCATGGATATGCCCAAAAAAGGAAGATACGTGTTCGGCTTTGTATTATCTCTTGCAACACTGGATACACATCTAAAGAATTCGCAAACATGAGGAAGCCATTCGACACTATTTTGCTTTTCTCTGCATTTCCCCTTACAGTACGAGTCGAAAACAGGTTCCCCAATATGCACACGCGAATTGTTTGACTGTGGGACAATTTGACTGTGGAGGACGCCCAACTAGTTCTGGGCGAGTATATCAATTGACCAATTTCCTACTGCTCAGGTGGAGGTTGGTCTAGGCTTTCAATGGTTGCCCTTGCTGAACCGCCACCAGTCGACATTGAACAGATCCCCAGTGCCAGCGCCGGTATAGACGAAGTACAGATCCTGAATTCCCTTTGCACCACTGACAGCACAGGACACTGTGGTCCATGTTTGCCATCCCCCAGTACTCGGGATAGTACAGGCGCCAAGAAGGGTGCCGTCCGTACTGCCGAGGTGCATCTCGATTGTGCCGCCGCTTGTAGCCGACGCGACTCGAAATTCAACAGACTTGGCGCCCTTCCCACCACCAAAGTTGACGCCTTCGACTTTGATGTAATCGCCATTATTGATATTGCAGACATTAAGACCACCTTCACTGCAGACCTCAGTTGAAACTCCAACTTCCCAAGCGATCAACTCTGCCTCCTGGCGTTGGTATGGTTCCAAGGTGTCAATTCGTGGAGCGCCCTTCGTCGTCATATTCATCTGGGGAATCGTACCATCTGGGTTGTAGGTAAAGGGCTCAATAGCCACAGATCGTTCGAAGCCACCACCCCCTGGTAGAGCGCCGTTATGGTAAAAGAAATATGAATGGCCTTTATAATCAATGACCCCAGGATGATTTGTAAAGCTCGAGCCTTGAGTCGGCATGAGAACGCCCTGGTAACTCCAAGGTCCGAGGGGACTGGTACCCATTGTGTAGCGAATATCCTCAGCGCAGCAGTCTGCGGCGTAGACGATATAGTAGATGCCATTTCGCTTATAGACCCATGGGCCCTCCTCAAACGAAGTTGTGCGATTTTCACTGCCTTCGCGTGCCCCAAAACCAGCAACCGTAAGGTTGATCTGTGCAGGAGCGCCCTTATATGAGATCATATCCTCGTTCAACCTGACATACCATAGGTCTGGGTTACCCCAATATAAGTATGCCTGGCCGTCATCATCAATAAAGACAGTTGGGTCAAACTCGTTATTTTCGAGGAAAGGGTGACCAAGCGCATCCACATATGGACCGGTAATTGTATCGCTTATACCAATACCAATAGCCATAGCCCCAGTTGCGCCATGGGTCATCGGTGCGTAGTAGTAGAATTTGCCATTGCGAGAGATGACTTGGCCTGCCCAGGCACTTTCACCACTAGCCCAGCTGAAAGTCTTTAGGCTCATGACTGTGCCGTGATCCAACCAATTGACCATATCCGTAGTCGAAAAAAGCCGCCAGTCCGTCATATTGAAGAATGTTGAGTTTGGCAAATCGTGATCGGTAAAGCAGTAAAGGCGCCCATCATGCACGACCGGTGCTGGGTCTGCTGTGTATATGGTCTGTATGATGGGGTTATCAGCCCTAGCTAGCTTGCTGCCGCCCAGCAACACAGATAAGCATAGCAGGGACTGGAACAATAAAGCACAGGCCCTCATCTTGGCGAATGGGTGGGTGGATTTTAAGGCGCTCCCTTGCTAGATTTCTAAGTCTCTTAGAAAATCTTAGAAAATCATATACCCGTCGCGTTGTGCAAATGAATTGTTGGCAAGGGTAGGATTTCAAAAATTGAATTGATATTGATGAGATTTTAGAAGGACTTAAATACCACAGATCTTCACTTTACCCGGACACATAGAGAAGATTTTAACCGGCTCGAGGGCTCGACTCCAGACTAGGGCCGAATGCCTCGTAAAGAGATGTCGATCTGGGGACCCCGCCGGCGAAAGGGGTGGTAGAAAAGGCGCACTTATCTATTTAGGCTGATCCATCCGTGGTAGACGACTCTAGAAATTGAGTGTAGGACTAGGGCCATCAAACGACTACTTAACACAGAATAAACGACCCCTGGGCGATTGTTGATGAGACACTGAGCGTCGCTGAGTGATCAGTGAGTATCGAATGAGCACTCACGGACAATCAGTCATGTCCCACGTGACTGACCCTGAGCATGGTCAGGAAGATCGACCAAGGAAATCCAATTGAATAGTCGATTTATTGAAACGAGTGGGAATCCAAGGGAATGCTAAATACTCCTATGAAAGCTACGACTCCCGGCTCAATCACCGGTAGAGAGCGGGGTAATGGTGCTATACGCAGCGTAAACTCGTCCAAGTTGTTGCAAAATCGGAGCATTATATATTAAAAGCAAAGAAACATAGGGCTTGTGACTTGTGATAAATCAATGAGAGGAATCTGTAGGTTACTATCCGATTTTAGTATAATATGTTCGAACTCTTTTTCTGGTCCAGCGAGCACCCCTCGTTTCTGCGCAACTTCGTTCCTATTGTTCCGCAAATCGTTCGAAACAAGGAGTGGCTTGTCAAGTAACAGTGTATAGCCTCTAGCTGATGCACCGATGAGGCTTTAGTCGCAGTCGCTTTATCTAGTCGCGTCGTTTTTGCTCGGGATTCGCATCCTAGGCATGACTTTGAATCTTTTGGAAAGCACTCATATCCCGACTCGGTTTGGGCGACCGTGCGGACCAACATTAGTCTGCCCAAGGTGAATAAAGTCAACGGTGGCTTTGTCATTAGTAATGACAAGCTTGTCGGCATTGAGCTGCCAGCGCTAAAGTCTGTGACTGGTGCCATTGATTTCAGTGGTACTTTCGACACGTAGACTGAACTCCTTGATCTTATTTCATGATTCTCGGGTACGATGAATTCGCTAACGTTTCTTACAGCGTTGACCTAGGCTCTCTCGAAGAAGTTGACGGCGGTTTCAATCTTCAGTCTAGTGATAGCAAATTTTCTTGTGAAAACTTTGATAACATGAGGGACACCCCCACCATTCGTGGCACCTACAAGTGCAAGGCTGCCACGGATCACCCTACCAACTCTAATGGCAATTCTGGCACCTCCACTTCTCACAGCAATGTCTCTGGCACTGATACCTCTAATACTGCCTCGTCCAGCGCTGCCGTTCCCGCTACTGGCCTCGCTGCCCTCTTCTTTGATCTTGTTCAGCTTGTATAATGCCATGGGAATGGAGAATTCGCAATTCTCCATTATTTTGGAAGGCGAGCTGTTTCGGATCTAGAAATGTCAGCAAAAAACGGGATCATTTTCGTCTGAATCTTCTCTAATCTTGGCAGTCATCTTTGCGAGAGAATCAATTCCTACATTTAGTGCGGTGCTCAGCAGAAAATCCACTTTACCACGTGTGAGACAGAAGTCTGTGATGTTGCGAGATTCGTGTGCAAAAACATTACAGTAAATTTAGAAGAATAGTTTACCTCTTAGGCACTCATGCTTTGTTGTCGACCTGAGGAATGGTATTTTACTACTAAGCCGGCCTGAATTGGCAGCTTACCAAACGGAATCTATGTTAAGTACGGTAAATCGGACCAACTCGGGATCCTCAGGGTATCACGGTAAGACTAATATATAATAGGGCCTCTGAGACCTCATCTGACACTGTCTATGACCAGCCTTGCAGCTCAAAGATTGGCCTTTCGCATATTGCACCTGGCCGCAATACGATTTGTATCGAACGCTCGACGGAAGCACCTTCGTGTAGGATCTCATGCAAATCTCCGCATTCTGCAACTTTACGACTCGAGATGTCTAGTGTCCAAGAACGGCCATTATCAACATCAATTTTCTGCTCAGGACCAGCTCCACTGTCTTCCTCGTCGCCCTTATCACCGTCACCTTTATTATTGTTCATGCCACCGCTTTCTGGCTTGAAGGCGTATTCATGACCCCGAGTGGTATGATCATCTGCGAAATCAGTATTTCTGACCGCGACCAATGTAGCCAGTCGCAGTTCTGGATCATCAAAAATCTTGTGTACGCCATAGTGCGCTGTCAGAGCCTGTTGGGTAATGTCCTGGAAAGTCGCAACAACATCCAGCAGAAGCCGTTGCTGTTGCTCTGCAGTCTCACGCTCGTCTCCGAGAGATCGAAGTGTGTCTTTAGATGCCTTTAGCTTTTGATTGATCTCGTTACGAACCTGTTTAGCACGTCGGAATGATCAGCAAGCTCTTCTTTTTTAGGTTCATAGCATGTAATACGCACTGAAGGAAATTGACGACGAACAGTCGACGCAAGAACATCTTGGAGACGATTCTTCAACGCCCTGATGCCAAAATTCTCGGCCCGAAGTCGATTCCATGGAGCCGTCTGGTGGAAGAATTCCTCTCTCAGCGTCACGATTGACGTTTCCTTCTTTAATTTGCTGGTGTCATAGATTTCGAATAAGAACCTAGCTAAGCTTCCTACTAGCGCTCTGATCTTCGATTAGGTCGATGACTTCGTTTTCGGCCCCCTTGTTAACGAGATTAAGCTTGGTGAGAATCCGCAGTGTCCTTTCCCCAGAAGGATCAACTTCGCGGGCTAACTCTATGATTTCCTGAGTGGCAATGTCGACGTTGGCCGAGACGACAGTCAACATGATTGACCGGCGGTTCTGCATGTAGCGTAAGACCATGTTGCGGACCATGGCGATGTCGTTCTTCGTAGTGCGCCCGGGTGTGGTGTTTTTGAAGATACCAGGAACATCAATGACGCTGAGATGCCCCTCGTTGAGGCCGCAGATCTGTAAACAGAGAACACTGTTGAAGAAAGTCGGCTTCCCATCGTCAGATGAAGAGAGTTCAACGGAATGATCAAACTGATGATTATTAAGGTAAAGATTGGATGAAGGCGCTGTAGAAATACCCCTAGGGCAAGGTGTGATTTATCACTCTCTCAATTCACCAATTCCATTTGGAAGATTAAATTATAATTGAAGTAGCCTGCGTACTGCTTCACTAGTTGGTTTACCTAACTACACCAAAATACAGATCCGTACCCAACCTAGTGCGTTGTGCTTTATGATCTAACTTCACTGGAAGGGGCTAGGGTAAAAGAAATCATATCTCTATCCGTACTGTTCGATCTAAATGTTGAGAACCGACCCGACTTACCATAAAAAGCCGTACGTAATATAAGGGGAACTAGAAGGAAATACCAGATTGCGATTCCTGGTGGGATCGAAAGTGGTTAGTTTAGATAGTCAGTTCATACAATCTGTTCTCTAATTTTGGTGGTCAAAGTTGGGTGGCCAATTTTGAAAAATTTGTGTTGTTAGTTTGGGTGAATTGGGGTCCTCAATTTAAGTAAATTCGAGTGTTTGTTTGAGCCGGGCAGTCAATTCAGTTGGTCAATTCTGATAAATTGACGATCCGACTTCATCAAAATTTCCCCTCGACTTCACCTAAGTTGACCCGTCAACATTAACGACCTGAATTGCCACTTGAATTGACCATCAGAATTCGAAGGTCAAGTTTAAGCTATTCAGAAAGTCAATTATGATGAATTCTGGTGGCCAGTTCTGATAAACTTGAGTTGCCGATTTTGATGAACTTGGATTGGAGGGCCAAGTTAGGCTTAGGCCAAGATAACCCCTTTCCCGGAGGTAGTTTTATGCCAGACTACTGCTTTATCTACACTGAAGAGCTAAAGACCGGGTGATGTTCAATCTGAAAATGATCATAAATAAAACAACGCTAGAAAGACACTAGGTATCACATGGCCAACAAGCCAAAAAGGCAAATTATATACTACACCCACCAGCTACTTCCTCTTCTCCGAAGAAGCCTGCGTAGGAGTCATCGTCTGAGTCTGTCCATCCTCTGACTCAGCCGCGTTATACACCGCAGGAACCTCATCCGGTTCCTGGGGGATAACCAGATTCAAGAACACGCCCAGAATAGCGCAGACCGCGAAGCCATTCTCCATCACCAGATCCACAGCATTCAGCAGTCCCTCCAGAGAATGGTTATCCCCACTGTACGAGAACACGTACGCCCACCAGTCCGGCACGAGCGTGATACCCATACCCAGGGCGAACGTCGCGGTGAGAATGAACCGGTTGCGGCGGGTGAAATCGATCGTCGAGATGATTCGGATTCCGGAGATAGCCACGCTGCTGAACAGGAAGGTGGTCATACCGCCCAACACGGCGGAGGGAATGGCGACCAGGGCCGCGGCGAATTTGGAGAATATCCCCATGATGATTAGGAAGAAGCAGCAGCAGAAACCGGCGGTGCGGTTTGCGCATTTTGTCAGGGCGATGACGCCGTTGTTCTGCGCGAAGACCGACATGGGACTGATTGTCATTAGTCCGGCTACCAGACAGGTGATACCGTTTCCGAGGACGCCGCCCTGGATGCGCGAGTCGAAGGTTGGCCCTTCGACTGCTAGCCGGGATACGTCGCAGGTTGCGGTGATATCGCCGATAGACTCCATCATGATGACGAGGTACAGTGACAGCAGGGGGAGGATCAGGGGTGGGTAGATGGTCAATGGGAAAGTATGCACCCATGCGAACGAAGCAACTGGCGCAGAAGTGATTCCCGAGCTTTCGAAGTAATTGCATGCCGCCGCAACGATAGATCCCACCAGCAGACCCACCACGACAGCACAGCTCTTCAAGATAGGCGGGCCAAATCGTTCGCATAGGATGATAGTCACGAAGACGAGGAATCCCAGCCCGATGAACTCGGGACTTCCCCAGGGCAATGCGTGCGGGGCATTAGCGCTCGGGCACATGGGTCTGGTTGCGGTCGAGGAAGCGGGCACGCAGGAGGAACCACCGCCCCAGTCTTGCATGCCAGTTTTGATGAGCGAGGCGCCGATGAGGAGGACTGTTGGGCCGGTGACGATGGGTGGGAAGACGCGGGAGAGGATGCGGCTGCTCATGAAGGAGAGGCCGATTTCGAGGAGTGCGCAGAGACAGGATGTTCCGAGGAGGGCGCCGTATCCTTTCGGGCAGGGTAGTCGGTTGCCGCCTGCGTCGAGAGGGCAGTAGCCTGATTTGTACATTTGGGAGAAGGCCCCGGTGGCTACGGTGATGGTGGAAAAAGATGTTCCTGTGGAGGGGGATGGTTAGTGATGTTTGGGATATATGGGTTGAATTGAATGGGCCATAGGGGATGTACGTACCAACCACTGATAGCAGACCAGTTCCGATATAGTACTTGGTGCCATAGACGTGGCAACGAGCCATTTGCATTGCACTGAGAAGACCCGAGACAATCAATGAGGTCGACACAAGGTATTGATAGATGTCATCGCCAAAGTTGACGCCCGAAGATCCGCCGAGGATGATAGGTGGGGAAATCACTGCATTTAACACGTTAGTTTAGTGTTCACCATGTCCCATCTGCATATAGGTGTCTTTTGAATATCCATATCAAACTCACCACCAGCCAACATAGAAAGAGCATGTTGAAGACCTGTCTTAGAATCAGCCTCGGTTCCACAAAGATATGACTTGCGTATGAAATGTACCCAAAATCAAGGCCAGCATAATTGGCATGCGATCCTCCAACCCGAAGAAAGGTGTGGCCTTGCGCTCGCGCTTTGTGAATGGGAGCCGCGGCGTAAAGAGGTATGCATAGTCATAGCTTCCGATGAGTCCTTCTCTATTCCAAAAAGTCAGTCAATGCAACAGGCAACCCTATACCAAACACTGTGGTGTATTCCAAAGCGAGTCAAGGTATAAACAAAACACACCTCGTAGTAAAAGTCTTCACAACACGACGAAACTTGTCGCCGACGGTGGGTCGCGGCCCATGGTCAGGACCGATCTGGTCGGGGCCGTCCATCGTGTCAAAATATCGATGATCGAATATAGATCGGGGTCGCTATTGAATAACTCCAAGACTGGATCGCACACTCCACCGAAACCGGGGAATGGAGAGTGTATTTAAACGATCGCGTGAGCGAGGGAACGTCGAAGTTCTCGGAAGTCAAGACGAAAACTAAAATTCACAGCAAGGCAGGAAAGAAAAAAAAAAATTAAAGCCAAGCTTCTCCAAACCCGACCCGACCAGTCGTGAACTCTAACTCGAGGCCCCGAATCCGTGTGGAGAAGGGCCAGCCGGGGTGGACGATAAGATGCGGTTTGAGATCGCTGGGCTCCGGTTGGCATTAGCCAAGAGCATCGCATAAGTCGATTTCGAGGACAATGACCCAGGGATGTACTGGGCTGGTCCTTACGGAGTATCGAGCTAACTCCGGACTCTCCAGTTCACGTTCACGCTGCAAGTGCGAGGCTACAGGACACCAGACGGGACGTTTGAGGGTGGACTACTCTTATCGTCCGTGGGGCGCGTGTGCATCCTCGTGACCCAATGAGATGGACCAGATGATTCTCCGCCCACCCAGTCTGAACTCCTCCCGGGTGGGGGAGATAAGCGAGCAAAATCGTTTAGCCGCGTTATTATTCGAGAATATTACCATCGCTATAGACAATATCATGCACGACTGAGTCGTACTGTAGATTGGTGGATCCCCCTTCATACCAGGCTTGTCGCTGATCCCCTTCATCCTAGGCTTAGCTGCCTCCTAGCCTACACTACGATGATCCTCTTGACAGAATAATAATGCCCCGCCGGCACGCCCCTTATCGGCCACAGGTGGAAATATCGGGATCCCCGGCATCAAGCCACGGTCGGCTATCGCTGCACGTATATCTGGGGTTTATCGTTTATCGTTTTATCTCGACAGGGGCGCGATCGATCGGACGGAGGTGCCCGAGCAAAGGTGGAAGGCGCCGCCTGGCCTATCGTGTCTGTCGGGGGCTTGAACAGGGGCACCTGAGGGGGTGAGGCTATAAGAAGAAGCCGTAGCCGGTACCCCGGGAAATCGGGCGTGGTGATCGATGGCTGGCCGTCTGGAGCAGGATTGGAACGCGGGGGAGGTGACATCTTGATTTCTTGGGTTTAGGAATGCGCCGGAGTCTGGGGTTGCAATATGGATAGGTTGGGTCATAAAGAGTCGAGGGGATCCTGTCTCTGATCAATGGGAAGAACTGCCTCGGGCTATGGTGGCGATGGCAGCGACGAAATCGTCGGTATCGGAGAGGATGATGCAGATTCTTTGGAACTGATCGAGAAATCTCGATTGCTCGTCACCATCCCATCATTCAAAGGTCTGGCGTGTCTGTTGGCTGCTGCTGTTAGCGTTGTCGACTGGACAGTTGCAGCCTCGGCCCGGGCCTCGGCCTCAGGCAGCCTTCGTGACACAAGCATTGACACGAGCCAGAGGCATTATTGTTGGTTGGTGGGGTTCCCCCAACGAGCTCTGATCGCGGGGAGACCATTCCTTGTCCAACCGTATATGATGCTATCTCTTTGCGACGTAGCGATGACGCTTCCTTTCGGTGGCTATAAATGCTGTCGGGATGTTGAGTTCATTAGTTTTCGTGCTGTTGCCACCGTAGGGCTGCCATGACGCAGGGTCAGGACTGTGCGGGTAGCGATTCGCAGGGAGGAAAGTCTGCTCCGGGAGGGACATGTGATATACGCAAGTATCGAGGGAACTGAGGATGAGTGCTTGATCTCTGCTAAAATTGGACAGTTGACACTGGACCCTGGACCCTGTGGTACAGTCAGAGTAACGTGACTGGAGGCGGCACAGGGTGTTCTAGACCCGTGGCATGTTGCCGTGTCACGTGACTCCCAACGTAAGCTGAGGGGCTTATCGTGGCGGAAGCCTCCTCCGGAACGAACAAAGGTACAACAAGTGTGGAATAAGGAACCAAACTTACCAGAGACATGAGTAGGAGTAAGTTTGGACAGACGGAGAGAACATCATACGAACCCCAACCAAGGGAGCCTCCGAGTAGACAGTACTCCGTACTTTAGCTACAGTCTATTATTCCAGACTGTGAATAATGGCGGGTCAATGGCATTGTGGCAAACATGGCAATAGGCTATCATGCAACGGACGTTCATTGAATTCTGAGGTCAGGTTCTCACTGGGATTAGCTCAGCATGGCCTAATAGCCTGATAGCCTGATGGCCCCCGTCTTTTCCCGGCTCAGCCAATGGAAGACCCCAAAAATGTTTATCTCAGCCCCTGGTGGCCTCAGGCCACAAAGCGTTGGGGCGGACCCAACATTCAATTTTGTAACGAACGAAAACGATCGCCCCTCAGAAAAGACCGAATTGCAAACGTCGAAAAGAAAAGAAATCGATCGGCCTGCTGCAATTCCTCTTTCCCTGTGTCCTTTCCCTCCTAGCAGACCTCGGGATCTTGTGATTCCTCACCGCAACCGCCTCTTGATTCGCCTTGCGCCGAGCTTCCCCATACATCCGTTGGCGATCAAACCCTTCCCTCCCCCCAACGTTGGTCTTAGGTGGGCCCTTCATATATATAAAAAAAAAAGCTGCCCCTTCCCTGGCACGCCTTTCTTTTTTTCGCTCCCAATCTCTCTTCAACCTCCCCACCCCCTCCTCCTCCACACATTCAACGGCACACACCATGTCGACCAAGGCTGAGTCCTCTCGCCCTCGGGCGGCGGACACTAAGAAGGTCCATATCGCCGATACCGCCATGACTCGCAACAACTGGTACAAGCACGTCAACTGGTTGAACGTCTTCCTCATTCTCGGCATCCCGGCCTATGGCTGCATTCAGGCCCTCTGGGTGCCCCTCCAGCTCAAGACTGCCATCTGGGCGGTTGTGTACTACTTCTTCACTGGCCTGGGTATTACTGCAGGTAAGCATAAACAACTCGGGTCCCTATGATCGGATCAGATATCCAGTGGGAAAATGAAGAACGATTGAAAACTGACTTTCCACCTCATTAGGATACCACCGTCTCTGGGCTCACTGCTCCTACTCCGCAACTCTGCCTCTGCGCATCTGGCTCGCCCTTGTTGGTGGCGGTGCCGTTGAGGGTTCCATTCGCTGGTGGGCTCGCGGCCACCGTGCTCACCACCGTTACACCGATACCGAGAAGGACCCTTACTCCGTCCGCAAGGGTTTCTGGTACTCCCACCTCGGCTGGATGGTCATGAAGCAGAATCCCAAGCGTATCGGCCGTACCGACATCTCCGACCTGAACGAGGATCCCGTCGTCATCTGGCAGCACCGTCACTATCTGAAGGTCGTCTTCGGTATGGGTCTGATTGTTCCCATGCTCGTTGCTGGTCTCGGCTGGGGTGATTGGTTCGGTGGTTTCGTGTACGCTGGTATCCTGCGCATCTTCTTCGTCCAGCAGGCCACCTTCTGCGTCAACTCCCTGGCTCACTGGCTCGGTGACCAGCCCTTTGATGACCGCAACTCTCCCCGTGACCACGTCATCACTGCTTTTGTCACCCTGGGTGAGGGATACCACAACTTCCACCACGAGTTCCCCTCCGACTACCGCAACGCCATCGAATGGCACCAGTATGACCCTACCAAGTGGACCATCTGGACCTGGAAGCAGCTCGGCCTGGCCTACGACCTCAAGCAGTTCCGTGCCAACGAGATCGAGAAGGGCCGTGTTCAGCAGCTCCAGAAGAAGATTGACCAGAAGCGTGCCCGTCTTGATTGGGGTACTCCTCTCGACCAGCTCCCCGTCATGGAGTGGGACGACTATGTTGAGCAATCCAAGAACGGCCGTGGCCTGATCGCCATTGCCGGTGTTGTCCACGACGTGACCGACTTCATCAAGGACCACCCCGGTGGCAAGGCCATGATCAGCTCTGGTATTGGCAAGGATGCCACCGCCATGTTCAACGGTGGTATCTACTACCACTCCAACGCTGCCCACAACCTGCTGTCCACCATGCGTGTTGGTGTCATCCGTGGCGGCTGTGAGGTCGAGATTTGGAAGCGCAGCCACAAGGAGAACTCCGAGTATGTTCGCGATGAGGCTGGCCAGCGCGTCATTCGGGCTGGCCAGCAGGTCACCAAGATTCCCGAGCCCATCCCCACTGCGGATGCCGCTTAGATTTTTCCGTGATGTCCTTTTTCTCTTTCTGCTCTAAACGACATACTTTGCATTCTCGTGGGCCTCGGGGTTTTGTGGTGTTCATCAGGCGTCTTCATGTGCTCTTTTGTCTTTCCTTTCTCAAGAGTGCCTTTTTTTTCTTTTCCTTCTCATTCTGAAAAGCGATGGGCACTTAATAATCTGTCATGAACTAGAAACGAACTTATATCCATTCCTTGATACCTGAATCTGTGGTCAGTCCTTGATAGATTAGTAGATCAAGCTGGTAGTCGATCATCGGGTGATAGTACCGATAGTACCAGTGCAGTTGTACTCGATCATCCTCGATACATCATTGTGGAAGCTACGGAAAGGGGAAGCCACTAAAATCAAAAAAGTCATCATCACGCGGGGGCGGGTCTGTCATCACGTGTCATCGACCTCAACTTCAATGCTCAGGTTCCTTCCTGCCTCAGGCCAACTCCTCCACCCGTAGTTCCCCAGTTGTAGTTACCGAAGTACAAGCTGCAACTACTCGACGCAACTACGCCCTGTTTTGTTTCAAACCCCACCACACCGCATTGCCCCCCCCCTCCCCTCCACGGACCTTCTTTCCGCCCTCAGCATTGGCGTTCACCGCTCGCTTCCACTTTCTCGTTCTCCTCTTCGCCGTCCTCATCGTGGCTCCCTTCCTGCGTCTCCCCGCCCGCCTCTCTTCCGTGCTGGGTCACTTCCGTACTACGACTCCAGTCTACTACCGATACTTGACCACCTCCAGCATGGCTCCCGCTCACCTCCGGCGTCCGCCGCAGGCCCCGCCCGTCTTCACTGCCACCCCGCAGTCCGTCGTCGCTGATGCAGAGCGTCTGATCAAGACCTCGCGTGCCGTCCAGGATAAGGTCGTGGCGGAGGTCAAGCCCGAGACGGCCGCTTTCGCCAGCGTGCTGGGTCCGCTGTCCCAGGATGAGAATGTGATGGCCTTGGAGGCGCATATCATTGGCTTCTATCAGGCTGTATCAACGGACCAGAAACTCCGTGATGCGTCATCCAAGGCCGAGGAGATGATGGATGAGTTCTTTATTGAGTCCGTCATGCGGGAGGATGTGTATAAGCTGGTGGATGCTGTGTTGAACAAGAATGAGACGTTGGACCCCGAGTCTCGCCGACTGTTGGAGAAGGAGCACAAGGACTTTATTCGGAATGGTCTTGGTCTGCCTGCGGGCGACAAGCGTGCTCGTTTCAAGGAGATTAAGAAGCGTCTCAGTCAGCTGAGCATTGAGTTCCAGAAGAACTTGAACGAGGAGAATGGTGGTATCTGGTTTACTCCCGAACAATTGGACGGTGTGCCTGATGATGTGCTCTCTGGTCTGAAGAAGGGCGAGGGTGAGAATGCTGGCAAGCTCTGGTTGACCTTCAAGTATCCGGATCTGTTCCCCACGATGAAGTATGCCACCAACCCGGAGACCCGCCGCCAGGTTATGACCGCGAACGAGAACAAGTGCAACCAGAATGTGCCGCTATTCCGGGAGGCGATTGTGTTGCGTGACGAGGCTGCTCGCCTGCTGGGATACCCTAACCACGCTGCCTTCCGTATTGAAGATAAGATGGCCAAGACTCCAGAGACCGTGAACAAGTTCCTGGGTGATTTGCGTTCCCGCCTTACTGCTGGCGGTAAGCGGGAGATTCAGACCCTGATGGAGCTGAAGAAGGCTACTGAGCCGAAGGATGATGGTCGATACTACCTGTGGGATCACCGGTTCTATGACCGTTTGATGCTGGAGAAGGACTATTCGCTAGACCAGCAGCTCATTGCAGAGTATTTCCCGCTACAGAAGACCATCGAGGGTATGCTGAAGATCTTCGAGGAGCTGTTTGGATTGGAGTTTGTTGAGATTGTGGGCGAGGACCGTGCTGCTGTGGCTCCCACTGGCAAGGGCGATGATATTGTCTGGCATGAGGACGTGCAAGTGTTTAGCGTGTGGGATGATGCTGGTGAGGGCAATGGCTTTGTTGGATATCTGTATCTGGACTTGTTCCCCCGTGAGGGCAAGTATGGCCACGCTGCCAACTTTAACCTCCAGCCGGTATGTTTATTCTTCGGCGTGCAACCCGCCGTCAAAACAAGGCTAACCACTGTCCTTCTTTACAGGGCTTCATCGATGCACAGGGTAACCGCCGCTATCCTGCCACCGCCCTGGTGTGCAACTTCACCAAGCCCACCGCCAAGAAGCCCAGTCTCCTCAAGCACGACGAAGTTGTTACCCTCTTCCACGAGCTGGGCCACGGTATTCACGACCTCGTCTCCAAGACCATCTACTCCCGTTTCCACGGTACCAACACGGTGCGGGACTTTGTCGAAGCTCCCAGCCAGATGCTCGAGAACTGGTGCTGGACGCCCTCGCAGCTCCGTGCCTTGAGTCACCACTACTCAACCCTGTCTCCCGAGTATCTCGCCGGTTGGCAGGAAGCGAACCTAGCGCGCAGCGGCGGCAAGACCGCCACCGCACCGCCATCCGAACGCATCCCCGACGACGTGATCAACAACCTCATTCGCACCAAGCACGTCAACGACGCCCTTTTCAACCTCCGCCAGCTACACTTTGGTATCTTTGACATGACAGTCCACGAACCCGCCAGCCACGCCGATATCACCGCCGTTCCCATCTCGGCTACCTACAACCGCCTCCGCCAGGAAATCACTCAAATGGACGGCCCCGAAGCCCTGGGCGCCAGCGACGACTGGGGTCACGGCGAGGCCACCTTCGGCCACTTGATTGGTGGTTACGACGCTGGTTACTACGGGTATCTCAGTTCGCAGGTTTATTCGACTGACATGTTCTACACTGTCTTTAAGGATGACCCCATGAACAAGGAGCACGGTCGTCGTTACCGGTACACCGTTCTTGAGAAGGGTGGTAGCCAGGATGAGATGACTACGCTGACCCAGTTCTTGGGCCGGGAGCCGCGTACTGATGCGTTTTATCAGGAGTTGGGTCTTGCGTAAGGTGCGTGTGGGGGTGTGTAAACTTGGGGGAATGACGGCAGCTTTTTGTTGAATAAGGTTATATATGTATCTGCTAGAAGTAGTGGAATGGCATTTCTTGTCAGTATTCCTTTGTAAATATTAGTTATCTCATTAAGATAAGTTTGACATTCGGTCAATCTGTATTGATCTAAACTGAGCCTACAAGATCTTTGAACTATCTTAGATTATGCATGGCTTGGATTGCTGGGACTAAAGCTTTTTCACCTCGTCATCTGTGAACAGTCCCCTCTAAATGTATACAACGTAATAGTCATCGAGCTTATTAGTGACCATTTACAACAAAAGACCAAATCGAGAGTAATTGTGGATCCGCAGTGTATCTCCAGTAATCTAGTAAAAAACTAATGGGTAAAATATACAAAAAGGATATCTGACGCCCCCGAAGGGAATTGATGACAAACTTGTAAAGATCCGAGTCAATCGCCTTAGACCACTCCCTAAAGCACCATTTGATGGTTAAGTCGAGCGGTAAATGGTAATATATTTGGGCATGCAAGAACCAGGAGAAACGCATCGATCTTAGTCCAGTTTCGCACGGAACATGCCAGGTTCAACGGATATCTCCATCGGAGCGACCAAAGGGATAGCGATCTATGCTCGTGTGGTATTGAATGTGAGATAATGTCGCATTTCTTGTTATGCCGTGCACGATGGAGAGAACAACGTCGGACTCTTGTTGAATCAACAGGCTCCAGTTTTGGTAGTCCGTGACATATGCTAGATGGCAATCCAGAGACTATAGATGGAGCGAGCAAAGGAAATAGGAGAGCATGGAAGCCTGACGTGAAGGTCGTCAAAGCAGTTGTGACATTTGCGACAGATACTAATAGATTGGCGAATGAAGGGTACTGAGGCATAATGCCCAGTGGTCAAAAGTCATATATGGAGGTGAAACAAATGTAGTGTAGTGTACATATCTAACGGTGAAGCGCACACTAGCTAGGGGGCTTCATACAACCGAGGGTCGTGAGAAGCCTGAGGAAGTAATCGATCAATCAATCACTCCTACAACACAAGATAATCTTCTCGTCCCAATTAAATCTCGATAGATATATTGCGAACCTTCGCTTCGGAGAAAGGCACTACAGGAGTTCGACGTCACTCACTACGAAGGTCTTCAATTCCAGCATATTTATGTTATAGGGGATGGGAACTAAATCCGGAAATTAAACTGCTTTTCCATGGTTTTACTAACTCAATAACATTAAGAGCAGTGAACATATTCAAGACAAATCTCAATACCCTCTCACTAAATTATTACACGGAAAGAATCCCTTCTGCATTATGATACAACCATACCATCCATTTCGATTCCCGCATACCATCTAGAGAAGCTCCACTTCAATCAGTTTATATCTCAATAAGACAGCGATTGCCCTTTTGGGCCCATCGGAAAAACGGGGGTCATTTCCATATCATCGCCCGTCGTTCCTTTGCCAGACGTAGTTCCACGCGTGCAAGGTGTAACCCGAGGCAGACTATATAGACAATAAGCATTAGTAAGGGAGAAGGACGATTCCTGGATTCAATTACTTACTGCGCGCATCACCTCTAAAAGGAAAAAAAGCATTTTGCATTTGCTTACTAGGACTTTCCCATCGGTCCGGGCTGAAACTTCAACAAAGATTGGCCACAATGTTAGCATTTGAGGTCATACCTGGGAAGTATATACATTACTGCTCTGGATCGGGCAAGATGTCCTCCCGACGATGGAGTCTTCAGCCTAAGTGGTCACCGTGGCGCCTCCCGCAACCTGGTACCCTCCGAATTTCGCCCCAGTAGATGAGTGGACTTGAATTTCACATGAAGATTTTATACTGCCAAGTTTTAGCTCCATGCTTAGTTTCGTACGGCCAGAAAATACTGTAGCTCTAGGCGTAATTGTAATTGGCCCAAGTTGACTTAACCGAATGCTTCTGGGACCCTGTCTACACGCAGCCCACGCCACTAGCCCATGTCGCTAGCCCAATCTCAACGCGGGGAAAAACCCTCTGGTCTAACACGGCCTCAAAAAAATACAGACATGAATATAGTTGCCCGGTGGATCGATGTGACACTTTCCTCTCCCTTCGACTGGCACTCGGTCCTGACTCGCCGACAGTACTTGCACCCCGTTATTGGTCCTAGGGTAGGTACTGACCAACACATTATGATGAAAGTACCTTTCATTTACTAAGGATGATGGGTGTCTAATTATCCGGTAGAAATGGTCCTAGAGGCACGCAATAGGCCCTCTTGTTTCAAGGTCTAGATTCTGAAATGGCTTTTCTGGTTCTATACACCATTGATTCGGCTGGCGTGCTCTTTCGCGGTCCTAGTCCATTAGCAATCGCTAAATTTCCTCTTGTTCGATTGTAGAGGTGTCCTGGGCCTGGAGTTTTCGCGGGCGAAGTTTGTTAGTCGCATTTGCGGGATCTCCACCCGTCGACGAGGTCTTATCTGGATTGACCTTCAGGCCGAGGAAGAGGTGCTTATGAAGCCCATCGAGAAATATGCGAAGACTAGATTTGGATAATTGCTGCTGAGATGCTAAAAGCTGCTTCTAGACATCTAAATGGGGCGGATCTGGATTCAACCTTTAGATCCTGATCCTGATTTGCACCGCGGGTGTTGTCAGAACAGGAGCCTGTGGTAATAAGCTGTAGGGAGCATGCGCAAACTTAACTGCTCTCTGCAAGGCTCTCCAGGTGTTCTGTTTTAAGTTTTTTCTCTTCCCCCATCTGCTGTAATTCCGCCACAGTTGACACGGCTGCATCCTCGCCGTCAAAAACGACCGCAATCTCCTCGAGCGAGTAACCCCGGGTTTCGGGATACGTGAGATAGATGGTCACTAGAATGACCACCAGCAAACATATATACAGGATGTAATATTTCCATGCAATGGAGTCCAGAGCGATCGGGTTGACAAACTGATTGAAAAGCAAGGCCAGGTACGTGCTAACAGAAGTCAATGCTACGCCTTTCGCGCGCAGTGCGTACGGCCAGATCTCCGCGGGGTACGCCATAACCAGCGGGGTGAAGGCGATGTCGTAGCCACCGTAGTAGAGGAAGAGGAAGGGGATCACTGCGGTGCCCACACTACCCACATGATTGTTGGCAAAGCTCCCCGAAAGTCCTGTGATGATGATATAGCTAACAAGCATGATGCACGTGGACAAAAGAAAGAGTGTCCGGCGCCCAGCAAAGTCAACAAGCATGGAACCCACCACTGCCATGACAAGATTCCATATCTGCAGGAACCCGTTGATGAGTGTTTGTTTTGTGATCGAAGTGACACCGATTGTTTTGAGAATCAGGCTGAGATAGTATGAGACGACACCGCTGGGACGAAATGGAGATTAGCGAGACGGGCCATTCACTGCGAGGGAGACGCTTGGGTTCAATTTGGTCGCTTACATTCCATTCCATTGAGCAAAAGTGCCCAGAGTGAGACTGATGAATAGTCGGTGGCGATTTCCCTTGGTCAGGAGCATATCGAGCCAGGAAGTGGAATTGCTGCCTTCTCGCTCCAAGATGATTGATCTGGTGATTTCATCCATTTGAAAGACAACCAGTGGCGCGACGTCATCACCACCCGCATGATATTTAGTGAGAATCGAATGGGCCTCTTCATGTCGATCCTTACTGATCAACCAACGAGGAGACTCGGGACACAGGGATACGAGAGGCAGGGCCACCAAGGGAAATGCAACCTGACACAAAGAGGGGATTTTCCAAGCCCACATGGAATCGATGTTCCGGCAGCCAAACACCAGCCATGCGGACAGCGTGGAGCCGACGTAGTACTGGCAATGGTACATGGCGGTGATTTTTGAGCGGTGGGTGGGATAGGCGATCTCGGCGAGGAGAACGATGGCGGCTTGAAACCATGCTCCGGCGTATCCAATGAAGAAACGAGACACAATAAACATTGCCGGATTATGCGCGCCCACTTGAATGCCGACGCCGAGAAAGAGAAAGAAATAGCCCACAAAAATACAAGGCTTGCGTCCAAACTTGTTGGCCGCCCAAGCTTGGGCGGGTAGGCCCAGCATCGCCCCCAAGGACTGGATGGCGCTGATAAAGCCAAGCCAGGCCCCCGAGGGACTGTCCATAAACTTGGTCCACTGTGACAAGGATTGTAAGCCGGTCATTAGAGAGCTATCGTAGCCCACCGTGCTGGAAAACAACAGGAGACCGGCCATCAAACCGTTCAACTTGATCAGATGCGGTGTTTCCCACCATTGTTTTCGATCTGGTGGGAGGACCTGGCTAATTTATCAGTTCAGGTGTGCCAGCAGTAGAGAGAGAAGCGGAAGGCACCCACCGAGAGAAGGTCTACTCCCACAATATTCTTCAGAGAAGATTTGGTCATTGTGAGTGATCTGGGGCGGCACTGTGGACGGTGTTCCTTTGAATTAAAGCGGTTTGAACAGCTATCATCTCCTCGGGAGCAGCGAGGTTTTGTATTCGATCGCCAGCCGGGGAAAGAGACCAGGGAAGTGGCCATCCACATGGGCAAACCCCAGATTCTGTCTCTCGGAAGTGAGCTTTAGTCCGGGGGGCGTGTTACGGGGAGGAGTTCCGTTCCCCTAGGCCAAACCTAGACCAAACCACACCGGGTCGACCAGAGGAGGGAAATCCACACGGGGAGTGTCGGAGATACAGAAACTCTATTACACTCCACATTGAGTCTGGTCTGTGGCTCATGTTCCCCACTTCACTATTTTTTGTCTTCTCATGGAAATTTGATCCTGGAGGGTCCCGAGAGAGTCCCTAAGAACAGTCTGCCATCTTCATATGATTCGGTCCGTGGGAACTCCAGACTACAGTTACTCCTCCGTATGCCAATTGATCCTACTTCTTTACGGCAAATGATTTACCGAGTTCCAGATCGACTGCCGAGCATGGCAATATCCACGATGGTTGGTTGAAAAGTCTCTTACGAAGTTTCTTATCTCATCACCCACAACGTGACAACACAGAAAACACAAAAGAAGAAATTACAAAAGAAGAAAACACAAAAGAAGAAAACACAAAAGAAGAAAACACAAAAGACGCAAAATATATTTTTCTCAGTCCTCCTGGGAAACGCCCGCCGCCCGGATGCCGTCCATCAGAGCCAGCACCCGAAGCGTCTCACCCCACGGCATGGTCGCATTTTCCACCCGACCGGCGGCAATGTCGCGTGCCACCGCGTCGGCTTCGTAGAAAAATCCTTTGCCCACCTTCGGGGGAGCATCGTAAACCTGGCGCTCTGCGGTAGCATCACTGGGAATGACCGTAAACCGGTGTGGCACAGAAGTGGCGATCCCCTCAATGAGAATAGTACCGTGCGATCCCTCGATCCGGGCAAACACCGGGTCCGACTTGGTCTTCATGGTCGACGTGAGAATACCTTGGCGACCATTCTGTGGGTAATACAGCACAATGGAGGTCGCGACGTCAATGCCCTGACTGATACTCTGCGCCGAAAAGACCTGCGGTTTCAATGCCGTACCCGCAATACCCTCGTCCAGCCCTAACAATCCCCAGGTCAGGGAATACACTCCGATATCAAGCAGTGCTCCCGCACCCAAGGCCGGGTCTTTCAGACGTGAGGTAGCGGGCAAGCTGTCCAGGTCTATGACCAAACCAAAGTCACAGAAGACCCGATGCACATCCCCGATTACCTTTTCCCGATGGATCATTCGTAGGAGTTGAGCTGTCAGTGGCATAAATCGGGTCCACATCGCTAAGTAAAAGAACCTCATTAGCTGTTCGGGACGCCAGAGATGGAAATGGAGATGTTATCTCCGTACCTTCCATTATATATACACCCATCTTTTTGGCTGCATTGAAGACCTCCTGCCCTTCCTGTGCGTTCAAGGTAAAGGGCTTCTCGCATAAGACATGTTTCCCATGGCTGATCGCCTTCAGGCATGCATCTTTGTGGAAGGCATGTGGGATCCCAATGTAAACGATATCTACGTCCGGGTCTGCGTAGACCGCATCGTAGCTGCCATAAATGGATGGACTAATGTCGCCCCCGTATTTTTCGACAAAAGCCCTACCTTTCTCCGATGATGATGAACCGATCGCTTGGATGACATGTGTTGCGGTTACGTCTGCTCGTGGCACAACCATATCGCCCACAAACCAGGACGATATGAGGCCGGTCCCTATACCAGCTCAGAAAAGTTCTTTGAATGTTGGAAGCTAGGAATGTACCAATGATGCCCCATCGGAGGGTAGGTCGTCGCAGTTCAGACGGCATGGCGTAAGAGAAAAAGATTCAAAGAGGCGAGAGAAGGATTATGATATCGTAGCACATTTATTGGAGGAGAAGACCCTATTTGTATGACTGGGTGGAGGTGCCGGTTTCACGGAGGTCGAGCACTTGCATACATAAATCGGCTTCTAGGAACTAGGATATGCAGGGAGTACCCACTGAGGGGTGGTTTCGTCGGATGAATGATAAGCCTTCTCGCAAGCTATATTTCATGACCACTGATAGTCACAGAAATAACTTTCAGTCGCAGCCGCCGGATCTAATTACCTGATGGATGTCATGTCTAGTACCAGCACTACGTAGACGAATCGGGATATTTGTAACCCGTGCTATATTTGATACAGCACTACTCATTTCTATTTGTAGCCGCTGATCGCACTAGCATTCTAAAGATTTCGAGGTCCCTCTTGGCGTCCTCAGCCGTTGTTTTAATTGCTTTGCCACCCACCACCATCGCATGCAATTCCTTCATCTCTATTGTGTATGGATCCTCATATGTCCGACGGATCACGCTCTCTTTATACAAACCGTCGACTTTCTCCTGCACATGCATGGTGATAGGCAATCCTTTGATATAAGGCGAGTCGTACTGGACGCGAACCGTCTTGGTCGCGCTATAGACTTCAAAGTGTGCGTCAAAGCGCGGTACAGAGTATAGACCAGACTCATAGGTCACGGAGAAGGTTGGATATTCGAATATAGCACTGTATTTCTGTTAGCAAACGAACTCATCATCCACTGTCAAATCAGGGTTTACGCCTACCTCCAAAACGGCGGTTTCAGATAGGCACCGACCACACCCACCGGCATGCCCAGGGCTTCTCGCATCAAACTCAGATCGTGGGATCCGAGGCCTCCCAAAGCCCTCCAGATGCGAGGAAGAACATCGGAGCTGCTCACTCCAGCCTCCTTCTGCATTCCCTGGCAGACAATCTCCGCTGCGCGTTCGTTTCGATCATCTGTGTCCGCCGGGATGAAATCAGTGGCCCGTTTGGGGAATGTTCCGGACTGCTCCACAAATGTGGCATTGGGTCCGATAATGTCTATTATTGCAAATGTGATAAGCTTATTTACTTCCAACGTCCACCACTGTAGGGGGTGTTCCAACTTACCTCTTACACGGGCGTAGAGGATCTTGTCCATTCCGCCGATCTCGCGAATTGCGTCCTCAAACGCCGGAGCGTATCGTCTCATGTATCCGACCATAACGCGACCCTCTGACAACTTTTCGGCCTCAATGATTGCGTTGGCATCACGATCATTGAGCGCCATCGGCTTCTCAATGAAGACGTGTTTATTGTGGCTCAAGGCGAGGATTCCATGGAGGGCGTGGTATTCATCACTGTTAATGACGAAGACGACATCGACTCTCGGAGATGCGCACAGTTCCTCGGGATCGGTTGTGGTCTCAGGGGCTTCGAGGCCAACAACTTTGGCCTTGCAGTGGGTGAGTGAGGTCCGGGAGATATCACAGAGATAGGTGATTTGGAAGAGGTCGGAGAGGAAATTTAAGGTGGGAATGTGCACCACTTGCGCAATCTCGCCGCAGCCGAGTATGCCGACGCGGACTTTGCGTGCCGTTGGGATAGAGACTGTCATCGTGTGAGGTATCTAGTTTGGGAGAGAGATGGAGGACAACGGAGGGAGAAGGAAGAAAAAGGAAAAACTGTTCATGTATTTATTCCATTCTTTGATTTGATTTGGTTTAATTTAATTTAATGCAATTGCACCGTTGACATTCTAGGTACTAGCTACGCGATAGAGGTCCACTTCTTCTCCCAGGAACGAGCCCATATGGAAGTGAGATCTCTCAATACTCGGGAAAGTTGGCAAAGCGTCACGTGGAGCTTCGCTTGCCCCGATACTCCCCGTCAAACTTGTCAAACAGGAGGCTAGGTGGATACCCGGAGGCAGGATATACCATAGCTAGTTAACTTTATTCCGAAGCCAAGATTAGTCATAAACCAGAGCCCGTAACTAGGTTAACTAACCTAACTTAACTAAGTTAGTTAACTAATTACAAATTGTTAAAGATGGCCACGGTTACCAATTTAGCCCTTTCATTCATTCCATTGGTTGACGCCTATGATCCACGTCGCTGTGTTCCGTCATAGCTCTGTCTGCAGATTCTTGCATCGTTCATCAGACCGACCTAAACCCTAGCTAGGTACGAAGGTGCGGCGAGCGTCCGGCGATTTGGATTTGCCCATATGGCGGAATCAATCCAACGCAGGAAACGACCAGTGCCGCCCAGCACCCAGGCGATGTCCTATCCCAGGAAACGAGCAGTGACGGCCTGCCAACTCTGCCGACGGCGAAAAACCAAATGTGACAATGTCCGTCCTTCGTGCGGCTTCTGCGCGAACCTTGATGTGTCTTGCATCTATCAAGCCCCGGAAACGGATTATTCCTCGTGAGTGACTTGAGTCCCACTCCACCCCCGTGGGCCCAGCGGGGAAGCTCATCGGTCTAGATTCGACCCCGCCGCATTGGTCTTGCTCGAGAAGATGGACTACATGATCTCGCTGGTTGAGAAGAATAATCCGGATCCGTTAGGAGATTCTGGCCTGCCGCCCACAAGTGACCGCAGTCAGAGTAGGAGTAGTGTCGTCGGGGCATGGGCGGCCAACGAAGAGTCGCGAGAAATCCCCTCGCGGTGTAATATTTCGTGTCGAATCTTGGAATGGCCCATTTTCGATGATGTCCAGTTTGACCGAGCACCTGACACCTTATTTACCGGACATGCAAAAGCCTCGCAACAACAGGGTAATCCGAGATCGCAAGGGATTATCGAAGATCATATTCCTTCCTATGTGGACCGATTTCTAACCAATGTGCACACCAAAAACCCAGTCGTAGACCACACCCTGCTGAGCAAGCATGTCCGCGATATCGCCGAAGATGGCCTGGGCTGGGATGGGCTTACCAGCATTACCGTAAGTGGATGCATCTAATTACACACCAGCATGGACTAATTCCTTGTCAGTTAATGGCATGTGCATTGGGCATTATATCTCAACCGTTCCAGCGGATCCCGGTGACACAATTGGACAGTGTCAAAACCGATCTTCCCTTGGCAAACGTGTATTATACTGCCGCCCGAAAGCGCATCGGCCTACTGGACACGACCTCATTACTCTATATTCAGACCACCTTCCTGTCAGGAGTATATGAAATGTATACACTTCGTCCGTTGGCAGCCTGGCACTCTTTTCATACCGCCTGTAGCAGCATGCAATTGTACTTTAAAACAAGGGACCCATTGGAAAGCAGTGTAACGCAAGGCCTGGAGCAGCGGTTGCAGTGGTCATGTTTTAAATCTGAACGGTAAGTTGGGCCTCATGATGACGTTGAGAGATTACTGACCTGGTTTGGTGACAGGGAAATTCGCACGGAGATCAATTTGATCTCCCTAAAAGCATCCAACTGGGACTTGACCGAAGAATTTCCAATGCCACCGCACGAAGACGGAGAGCCTCCTACAGTATTCCCGCTGGAAGAAAGCTGGTACTACTATCTGACAGATATCTCGCAAAGACGGATTCTGGATCGGATACTCAATTCGTTCTACGCACACGAGTCTGACCGCCAATGGCTTCAGGCATCTTCTGATGAAATGACTCGCATTGCATTGGAACTAGACCGGCAAGTGGCCATGGCAGAAGCCAATCTGCCTCCTTGGCTACAATTTTCACAGGAGCTGGGAGATCGCGAGCTGCCCTATTTCATCCATCGGCGATTACTTCACATGCAGGATTGTCTCTACAAACCATTCTTATTTCGGGTAGTACATTCCCACCAGGCCCAACCCCAAGTCGTCGTTGATCTAGCACAACGCTGCGTGGAAACTTGTCGAAAGAACATCCTTGAATCCGCCATCCAGCATCGACACCATGGAAGCTGGTTCGTGGCCCGAGGGGCCTTTCGGTGTGCGATGGCAATGGTTGCTGCTGCGAAAAGCGGCAAATTGGCTATGCCAAATGGCTGGTTCGCATGTGTGGACACTGCGTTGACGGTTATTGACTTTTGGGGGCAAGAGGCGGCCGATCTTCGGCCCCTGGGCCACATTCTCCGCGCCGTATACAGCTGCACAAGGTCCCAAATGGAGAAAGAAGAGACGCGCCACTTATGATGCTGCCTCCCTCCATCCATGGTCGCACCATTCACCCACCCAGTTATAAACCCCGCCAGACGACAGTTCTCTCCTGTGAGAACCGAGCAGTCAAAATAATACGATCACTTGAAGTGCCGACAAATATGTCATATTCGCCTTTCTCAGAGACCCACGCGTCCAGAGTTTCACTCCAGTAGCTCGTGGCATTCCGGTCAAGCCTCATCTTCACTTTTGTTGCTTCTCCCGGCGCTAAAAGAACCTTAGTAAATGCTTTCAGTTCCTTGACCGGGCGACAGGTGGCAGAATGTACAGGTGCAATGTAGACTTGCACAACCTCCGCGCCATGTCGAGTGCCACAGTTCTGCACGATTAGCTGAACATCCGGTGAAGACACTTCCAGATTCGACAGCGCAAAAGTGGTATATGATAAACCGTGCCTACAAGATCACTTAGTTCGTGGATCAACTGGTGACAATCACCTATGTTACATCAGTCGGAGTTTCTTACCCAAAGGCGAATTGTGGCTGCTTCCTCATCTTATCATAGTATCGATACCCAACAAAGATATCCTCTCCATACAACACTCTGCCATCATCGGCGTTGAAGTTGAGAAAGGCGGGGTTGTCTTGCACCACCTTGGGAAAGGTCATGGGCAACTTGCCACTGGGATTCACCTTACCAAATATGACGTCTGCGATCGCATTTCCCAACTCATTGCCGCCATACCAAGCTTGAATTACAGCCTTTGCCTTTGAGACCCAAGGCATTGTCACTGGTGTTCCAGACTGCACAACCACGATTGTATTGGGGTTGGCGTCGAGGACTGCATCAATCAGAGCGTCGGAGTGCCCTGGGAGGTCCATTGATTTCCGATCGTAGCCTTCACTCTCAATCTCTTGCTGAAAGAGTTTCAATATCTGATAAGTGCTCTGAGATAGGTAAACATCGACTTACGTTGAGACCAGTGAAGATGACGACGTGCTCCTGGCTTTCTGCCATCAGGACTGCTTCATTAATTGCCTCTTTTGCATCTACTCTTGGACATCCCCCCAAGCGAGCGCCACCATTTGATAGCGTAGTGGCACCAAGTCGTCGAAGCGTCGAAGTGCGTCCATTACCCCATTCAAGGCGGATATCATATGTTACACCTGCCTGAAGTTCGACAGAACCAAGCTCTTCAACCGTTCCGCTGCCGAAGAAAGATCCTCCCGCTCGTTGCTGGGTGGCATTGTCGATTATGATCTTTCCATTGATGTATAAAAGCGCCGTTCCGTGGCACATGACCCCAAAGTCCCAAACGGCGGTCTTCTCGGGAGTGAGAGACCCTCTCATGGAGGCATAGAAAAGCTCGCACGCACCTGGTGGCTTGTAATCCAATAGCTGGAATAATGAATCGACAATTTTTATCGTTTCTAACGGTTGTCGGTTGTCTGACGTGTGGGGTTGGTTGTAGAAGGTCACCGTGATCCCTAGCTTCTTCACAAATGGACCTAACAACGGTTGCAGTTGATGACCATAGGCACCGGGACAGTACTCGATGTTCTGCACGTATGACTGTAACCCTTCCATCGGCGTCACCACGTAGTAAGGGGTCAGTTGAGCGGATCCGCCTGTTGGAGATTGGAGATAATTAGAATCGATTCCATGTGGGAAAAAGGGCACAAGGAAAATAACATACCTCCGCAATAGATCGCAGCCCTGGAATGAAACCCGATTACTCCTACGCTTTCGACATTCTTCCAAGGAAGCAGCGCATCATTGTTTTTCAACAAAACGATGCTCTCCGATGCTAGACGGCGAAGGACGTTTCGATCTTCTGGGGTATCTCGAACACTTTCTTCGGCTGATACGTCACATTTACTAGCCTGTTTGACCAGTTGGAGAACACTTCGGACTCGTGAATTGACTGCACGCATTGGGAGAGCCATTGCAGAGACTGCCGCCGACAATAGCCTACCTCTCCACTGCGGCGGGCCTGGCATCTCAAGGTCAAGCCCTGCCATCACTGCTTCGCTGGTGGAGTACGTGCCGTACCTATTAATTCTGCCGTCAGTTTGCACGGCCTTTTGCCCGGGCAAAGTTGCGAAAGGGATGATACCAATCGCTGATCGTAGCTCCCTTAAACCCCCATTCCTCCCTCAGAATATTAAGAAGTAGGTCTGGGCTTTGCGAGCAAAGCTTTCCGTTGAGTTTGTTGTAAGCAGTCATGATAGCGTGGGGCTTGCCATGCGCCAATGCCAATTGGAACGGCTTCAGATAAATCTCTCGCAATGCTCTGCTGGTGACTATCGTCTCTAGTCCTCTTCGACGGTCTTCTTGATCATTGCAGACGAAGTGCTTTGGAGTTGCGACCACCCCTTCACTCTGGACACCTTGAATAATGGCTGCTGCTAGCATACCTGACAGATGAGGATCTTCTGCGAATGATTCGAAGCCTCGACCACCAAGAGGCGATCCTGTTCGCGAGTTTGTCAGCTTCCGAAAACATTCATGACTGCGTGTATTGAGCTTACTTTGTATATTTAAGGTTGGTCCCAGCCAAATAGCCGCACCTTTGGCTTTGGCTTCCTTGCCAATTAAAACTCCAGCTTCTTGAATCAGACTCATATCCCAGGTTGCTCCTAGGGCTGTTCCACATGGTAAGCATGCTGCGGGGACACCATTGAAGAATCTAGTGCCTCGAATCCCGTTGGGCCCATCGGACATCCGAATCGATGGGACATTGTAGTCAGGCAAGGGTGTTGTATGCCAGAAGTCATATCCTGCCCGCCCAAGATTGTTAATCAAACAGATCTAGAAAATGGTGAGGAGTTCTAACCTGCAAGTAGACTACATTTCTCTGCCACGGTCGCGTTGTCCAGGATAAACTCAATATCCATCGGGGGCTTTATTTCCGACATCGTCACGATCTTAGCTGGCGAACTTTGAATTTTTCTTGCTTTGATTAGAGAGGGTTTGGGGATGAAGTATATCACCCATTTTGAGGGATTTTATCATTCATTTGTATACTCCGTATATATCTATTCAATGTATCTACCCGACACTCCCCGTGTGGTGACAAGGGGTCTGTGCACAGGACCACATCGGCCCGAACTTAAGCATAGGCACACGTTTGCGTAGGAACCGTAGCACGAAGGTAAACCCTAAACTCTCACTCCATTCGTTTCAGGGCAAATACGCAGCCCTTGAGTATGCTGGACCCAGATAATAATATATTTTCATAGCTATGCAAACTACAAAATGAGCAGTCTGCAGATAAATTATAAGTATTGTGTGAATCATGCTATCAATGCAATGATCAGCCAAAATTCCCTCTATGATTATGAGCGAATTAGTGAAGATAGCTTATACGCGTCCGCAAAATGGCATGGAGTATAGTGGGCTCCTAGGAGTATCCGGCGGGGTCCCAGGAGCAATCTCTGATTGATTGATTAATTGATTTATTTTATTCATAGACCCATATTCTTTCATGAAAGAGCAAGCGCCGTTGCAATACGCAACTCGTCTCGCAGATGAAGGGTACGCAGCTCTGATTTTTGACCCGCGCACCGTTGGTGAAAGCACCGGTGAACCCCGACGACAAGAAAACCCGAAAATGAAAAACGAGGACATGGTTGCAGGACTCGACTATATATCTGCACGTGGCGACGTCGATCCATCTCGGCTCTTCCTAGTCGGAATCTGCCAGGGTGGCCCCGAATCCTTGGATGTAGCGTCCTATGACGGCCGAGTTGTAGGTGTGACTTCGGTCTCTGGATACTATCGCGACCATGAAACCGATATTTACATGATTTGCGCTGGCTGTGTTGCATGGACACCTGGCGCTGACATCGGGTCAATGAAAATGCCCACTCCAGAACAGGGAGAAGCCCTGTATAAAGCGCGGCTTGAACGAGCTAAGGAGGCCCGTGACTTGTACAAAAAGACCGGAGAAGTGGTGTACCAGCCGCTGGTTGACCCGAAGGCCGCTGACCCCGATACTGGGTCCCTAGCCGGCCTTCCGGGACCAGTCGTTTGGTCCTGGTATGGGCCGTGGACACTGAAAGGATTTGAAAACCGGTGCGCGGTGATGAGCGACCTGGACCACTTTGACTATACTACTGTGCCTGGCGTGGCCAAGCTGAACAAGCCGGCGTTGCTGATACATGGGGACAACTGCATGAATGCGGCGGCTGCGCAGCGTCACTTCGATTCCATTCCCACAACTCAGAAGAAGTTGATCTGGGATAATGAGGTTTCCCACTTCCAGCACTACGACCAGCCGGATTGCGTTTATCGCAACATGGGGGAAATTACAGCCGTATTTCCCACCTGGGTACTCCATAGAAGTCCTAAGCAGCTGCGATAATTTCGGACCATGGTTGACAGGACACCCGGGTGTTGGTAAGATCACATGGTCAGCGGCAACTAGCAAGAAGTTGATGGAATATGCTTGTCGTAGGCTGGCGAGGGTGGTTATGGAATTGTAATATGATCACTGAGCAGCTCAGATAGATGATCAGGGGCGTACTCAATGCTACTCAGTGAGCAAAACCGGCGAGGGGATAAGCACTAGAACGGGAGGGAAGTGCCAAAGTGTTATAGGACAAAGACGGTAACTCTATGATTTAGCGTTCCAGTTATCCGTGCCTTTCTGCCCACCCACCGCTTCCGCTCCTGGGTGCGCCCTAAATCCCCGTCATCCCGAAATCCCCGTCACTTTGTATTTTGTATGGCCTCACCATACAATAACACCCCGGCCAGGTCATGACCTCAAGCATCCGAAGGGCTCTCGTAGCCCACAATTGGTCTAAAAAGGTGTCTCGACAGAGAGCAAGAGAGCAAAACCCCGATTTAAGGGAGATTTATTTGCATAATATATCAGATTTTCATTCGTACCACTTAGTGTACGTCGACGAATCTGGGTGTGATAAACGCGGCGGGATCGAGTTTACTAGGGTTCGGCATCCGGAACCGGGGTTACTTTCACCCGTTATAATTATACTGAAAACCCTTTTATAGTGAACTGAGCAACGCCCAGAAATAATCCCTAAAATGTCCTAAATCGCACGGCTTTTGCAAGGGATTGTGACGTAGATGAAATCCAATCTGAGGAAGGTTCGCAAGGATGCTTGCTACCCGCCAGATGCATGACATCATGGTGAGTTGATCCCGCTAATCGCTGACCTAATCGATGATGCCGCGACAGTTAACCATTTAGCCAGAGGATATTTGACCCAAGGCAAGCGACGACAAGCGATCGAGCCTAATCCTACATAAGAGAAAGGGGGAATCCAATACACTCAATACATGAGATACGTCTATATTTTCGTCTGAAGTACCTTTCAACATAAAGAACTACTCTTCGCCGGAAGTATTGAACATCTTTAACATCACTAGCAATGAGACTACTCTCGGAGAAACAAATTGGATTTATATTTGCTGTATTGAGGGTCTTACAATGGGTTAGTGCAGCTATTGTCATGGGGATTTCGTCCTACTTTATTTCGGTAGGGCCACGTCATCAACATGCATTATATTGGGAGATACTTGTGAGTTTGACCAGGTCAACTCACCACTCACGTGTAGTGAAATTGACTTTGCAGTCCGTTATATCCGTTGTTATATTCTTTTTCGTCTCCGTACTATCTTACCTCTTATTTTGGAATATGGAAAGATTTACATGGGCGTACTACGTGGTTTTTGCTGTTGACTATGCATTTTCATACCTGTGGGTCACTCCGGTCCTATATGCTTACTTATGAAAGCTTACCAGCTATTTAGGTGGTTAACAACGTTCATATTTGCAGCCCAGGATTACAATCTTAACAACTGCAAGCTCGGTTCTCCCTTAGGAGTCTCGTGTGCCGTGAAAAAGGCAAATGAGTCATTTATGTTCATTACATTGTATGGACCACAGTTCTCTATTGCTTTTTGCAGAGATACATTAAGACTTGACTAACTCATTTCCCCAAGTATTCTGAGCATGTGTCTCACTCTTTTCCTTGGGAGCCCTCTATCTCCATTTTCTACCCATTCCTTTGATGAATCCCAAGCGCAAGATGCAAATCAATCTGGTACTGCGTTAGAGCACGAGGTTCAGCAAGGCTACCAATGATACTACCTGGAGGATATAGCGTAGTAGAGTTATTATTCAGGCCGCCAGAATTTGCGTATGGAAAGGTAGGCATTTCTACCCTCAGTCGTTTCCAGCTTCAGTTCATGACTTTCTTACATCCACGTTGGAAATCAAAGGCCGAAGCCCTGAGCATGCTACCTCCCACGTGGTGGGCAAGGATATGACCGGAAGGCTAGGATTCTCTACGAACAATGTTACAATGTATTCAGCCGAATTCATTCAGAGTCCACAAAGGCGTTCACGGGGAATATGTAGAGATCTTACCAGATCGTCAGATCCACCAAGTTTCAAGGGACTTGATATATCATTACTGTATTGCTACAATGAGACTGATGGAGATTCCTCTATCCCTTGGCCTTTGTCTTGGCCTTTGTTCTGCTGCAGGACCTTTCCGGCTTCTTCCTGATGTTTCTCTGCAGGTTGCCGCTTTGGTGGACGGCCTATTTAGGCCTTGGTTTCCTTCCTGGCTTCCTGTTCTTCTTCTTCTTCCTCTGTAGAGTCAGATCTCCTAGATTCGCTAGAGATTGACAGATTTCCTCTCTAGGCCTGCTTCCTGCTTCCTTTCTCCCTTCCTGTGCGCGACGTAGATAGACGTCTTCAGGGACTTCGAATCTCCTACTGTAGTAGATACCGTATCTGATTAAATTGACGGTCGATGCCTTTTCTTGAACGATGTTGCTCCAACAAAAGCAGCCGCACTAAATTTCAAGGAGGCCTTTTTGACTAGATCTGGAATAACAATAGACTCTAACCTTTTTGATACTATACACGTGTGTCAATAGGACTCTGTTGCAATAGGCCTGCATCATTATTGCCATGGTCGACCGCATACGAGGGGAGGGGCTGTATATAGACCGCGTATCGTAGGGGCTACGAAAGAACCCGGGAGTGGGAACATGTTGAGAGTCCTGCTCCCATGATTCGAGCTCTTTGGGCTGAGATGTACAGTCGACGTTCGGTGGGCTTTGAGTCATCTCCCTAATCACATGTAGCTTTTCGAAGAGGCACATTAGCTTATGTGGAAGATACCAGCTCCGCAAAGACACCAGCATTCCAGATACACAACATCCTACCAAGGTTACTAGCGTTCTAAATCTCGCCGCGGCCTTCGTGTGCAGTGGAAACGAATATGGGGAAGAAGTAGCGCAGATGAAGGTTGCACGAGTGATAGAGAGGCGGGCAGGCATCTTGCCAGATCGCCATGACGTCTGCTTTTGTTTGGGCTGTTTGCAGAGAAGATTCTAAGAGGCTCCAGGGAGCTTTACTGTATGATGCGGATGAATCGTTTGCTACTGCTTATGCAAGACAAAGCAGCTAGATAGGGGTCTTAAGGCCGCTAGTTAAATCTAGACTAGCGTACTTGGCATTAGGATGTGGGAAACAATCTACGAGTGGAAGAAAGGGAATCTGATTTCGAATCCGGCAGTATAGCAAGCTATGGCCCACAACTAGTAAACTGGCTGCTACGGTGTAAGGATCTAGAATATACCTAGTGTGGTCGGAGGGGCTATATATCAGTTCATAGGATACTACTTTATCATACTCTAAAATATTTCTCGACATTATAAAAATACCTTGTATGATATGTTAAACACTATGATATCCCAAGACTATATACTGTACTTAGCCCTGAGCGCTGAAATACGAAGTTGTAACATATTGCATTTAGCATAGTGTTTTAGGGTAGCTAGGTCGGCCGGGAATTACGTTAACTAACGTAATTCCCGGCCGACCTGGCCACCCTACCCTATTAGAAATTTTCAAAATCAATTATCTCCATCAAAACGCATTGAATTTACTATTGCTGACGATTCTTACAATAGTTAATCTTATGGCCAATCTCCCAACACCCACTACACCTAGGCGGAGCCCTAGTAGCCGGCCTATCTGCCTGAATAGGCAATTCGCCCTACGTATACGATTCTACCTCAGGTGCTTCTGCTAGCAAATCTAGCTGCGTAACTAGCTATAGGCTCTCTTCAACGGTCAAACACTCTTGGCAGGGTATCTGCTTATGCGACCGATTACGCTTCTTGGCGATCTTCTCATTGGCTACGCGTAGATACGTATTCTCCTACGTAAGCAATACGAGGTTATGTAGCGAAAGGTAGTAGCCCTTAAGAATCTAATCTACTACCGATTCAAATAGGCTTAGAGGGCTTTTTGACCGCCGATCTAGTAGATCCTGTATCATACTAGCTTGCTTACGTAGCTGAGTCACCGTCCTAGGCGTTTTTGGTATAAATAGCTAGATCTGCTACTTGGCCGGCTGCTTAGTGGTGACGGAGTTCGTAGAGAGATATTAAGCTTCGAGAGCACTCTTTCTGCATCCATTAGTACTAGGCTACTAGCTACGTGCAGGACGAGACTGGTGACACGTTTGTATCAACTAGTCCATTTGCGCTGACCAGGAACCGTCATCTGCACCGAACAGTGCTTGCTGTGGCCGTGAACATCCTTGCGCAGATGACTGGGGTCAACATCATTACCTTCTACTCCGATACAATCTTCGAGGTAAACCCTTCATCTTGATGAACGATCATTAAATGAAAGAACATGCACACTGATTCCATAATTAATAAACCGATCTCGGCTACTCTGGGGCCTTCTCGCGAATCATCACTGGCTGCCTCCAAATTTGGCAATTCCTCGCGGCCGGCCTGGCCGTCCTCCTCATTGATCGCCTCGGCCGCCATCCACTCCTGATAACCGCCTCCGCTGGTATGGCCATCGCGCAAGCCTGTCTGGCAGGCCTCTCAAGCGATCTCGGCAACAAGTCTGCAGCCGGCGCATCCCTACTTTTCTACTTTATTGCCCTCTTTTGCTTTCCTATCGGTCTCTTCCTTGTGCCATTCATGTACGCCGCCGAGATCGCAACGCTTCTTCGCACCCGTGCCAAGGTGACTGCAATGTCAGCAGCTGCAAACTGGCTGTTCAACTTTGTTCTGGCCGAAGTATCGCCGATCGGCTTTGCAACTATTGAATGGCGGTACTATATTGTGTATGCATGCATTAGTGCCTTTGGATGCATGGTCTTCTACTTCTTCTATCCCGAAACAAAGGGTCGGACTCTGGAAGAGATTGATGAGGTGTTTATTTTGTCGAAGTCGATCTTCGATACTGTCAATATTGCGCAGGAAATGCCATTCCAGACTGATATTCTGGCACATATTGAGGATACCTAGAAGACGGGGGCCGGGGATGAGCATGTTGAGAACGCCAATTAATAGCCTGCTTTCTATACCTGATTGGTTTATTTCCGGTTGGTCCCCTGGCGCCTATGACCTCAACTTTAGATTGTCGATTGATATAACGTGTGGTCGATAGAATTCAGACTATGAATTGAAATATACCAAGAATACTTAGGAGCTATTCCACCAACGACCGTTCACATCAACAACCCGCTAAGCGACGGATCTTAATACAACCGTTAGATCTGGTGATTATATCTATTGTTTCTAGTCTCAGTACAGGCAAGAATTTAACCGTCAATCCCTCTTAGCGATGTAACCACGACAAGGTCAGATTAATTCGTTCGATGTGAACGCTCAGCTAGTAAACCATACATTCAAGAGCAGATTCTAATCTATATAAGGCTTTACTTAGAGAATCTAAACCTTTTTATATAGCTCTAGGGGAATACACTAATAGCGCAAAAGTTTGGGAAACAGCGCTAGTGAATAGGGAAAAGAAAAAGAAATTCCTTTTTTGCAGCCTCCAAAGCTGGGGCCAGTAAATTTCTGTCTCACGAGAGAAAAGCGGAGCGTTACTAGCGTTACTAGGTGGCGAGTCAAAATTCATTGTATATTTGAGGCCTAGCATTTGATTGCATTCTTGAATTGTGATCCGGCAAACAAGCACTTTTCACCATCTCCCAGAATTTCAGCTTCAATATCCATGAGCCGATTGTATTTGACAATTCGCTCCCCACGACAGGGTGCATCGGATTTGATATGGCCGGTTCGCAGCCCCACTACCAGATCTGCAATGAAGTCATCAGTTGTTTCTCCAGAGCGGTGAGAAACAAAGACCCCCCAGTTATAGCTGTAGGCGAGATTTGCTCTGTCAACGATTAGGAAATGCGGTGCGGAGTATGAGAGAAAGGTACAACTCACGCTTCGATTGCCTCTGAAATTGTGCCAATTTGGTTGATTTTCAACAGCATAGCGTTACAGGCGTTTTTGGATCTTGCCATTTTCACATATTCCGTATTTGTGACGAGCAGGTCATCACCGACCAGTTCGACTAGACAAACCTTGTTGAATTCTGTCCAACTGTCCCAGTCATTCTCCGCAAAAGGGTCTTCGAGTAGGATGATGGGATATTTCTCCAGTAACGATTCGTAGAGAACCATCAGTTCCTTGGGTGTTTTTATGTTCGGTGATTTTTTGAAGCCAAGGCCGTATTTACCCTCCCGGAAGAACTCACTGGAAGCAGGGTCGATCGCAAACTTAATCTTGCCACTATATCCAGCACTTGATACTGCCTGCACTAATAGATCTAATGCCTCGTGGGGTTCCGAAATTGGAGGAACGAAGCCTCCTTCATCTCCAATTCCGATGGCTTGATATTTGTATACTATCATCAGCATCTGCGGACGAGGCCAAAAGTTAGGAAAGACTCACCAGCAGATCCAAAGTTCTCAACAATGACCTTTTTCAGATGCTGGTAGACCTCACTGCCCATTTGGACAGCTTCAGCCATCGAGGCCACGCCAATTGGGGCAATCATGGTTTCCTGGAAAGCCATACTGTTTCCTGAATGCACCCCACCATTGATGACGTTAAAGAAGGGAACAGGTATGACAAATGGCTTTTTCCCACCAGCTTCCCGCCTAATAAATTCGTATAAAGCAACACCCTAGAGAAATGAGATCGGATGATGATAAGGACATTGAACGTTAGACTCAAGAATTTCCACGTACCGAATGTGCTGCACCAGCCCTGGCACAGGCCATACTCACGCCTAGGATCGCATTTGCACCAAGCTTGGCTTTATTTTTCGTCCCATCAAGAGCTTTAAGAAAATGATCAATTTTCTTCTGATCGGTATCAACCCTGAAGTCACTCATGACTAGCTCAGGGCCGATGACATTTTCGATGTTGGAAACAGCTCTCTTTACGCCCCGGCCGCCGTAGGCAGAATCGTCACCGTCTCGTAGTTCGACAGCTTCGTGAGTACCAGTCGAGGCCCCGGAAGGAACTATCGCACGAAATATTCCAGTTCCGGTGTGAGGACAAGCCTGCTTGGGACTCCTGGCTCGGTGTCTTCTCACCTTTTTCAGTGGTGAGCTCAACTTGAACTGTTGGATTGCCTCTCGAATCCAGCCTCTGGGCGGCATGAAGAGAACTGATCATTGCGGGATGATTTGATGCTCAATTAGAGAATTCAAAAAAATAAAATAAAATACGCGCTTTAAGATGAAACGGGCGGTCGTGGTCGGCTGACAGACAAGATTAATGAACCTGCCTACTATCCATTCAACAATGACGTATTAGGTAGAATACGATTAGCTAACTAATCAAAATCAAAAAGGTTCCGAAGCTCATGAAGTCAGTTAGTCCATTCCAAGCTTTACCCGCAGTGTCAAACTGTCCGCTCAGAGGAGCGGCAAAAATCTTCATGCTTCTATGAAGGCACCTAGCCCATGACATGGAAATATCCCTCACGTAACGGTCGATACCGGATATTTTGTAATCCCGATGCCGGAAACCGGAGTTTCGCATGGTTACAGTGGCAGTGCAAAAGTTTGAAACTATTTCTCTTACTGCCAAGACTTTTCTGCCAGATAAAAACTCACAATGCAGCCAAATTTCAACCACAGCAGCCTGATATTTTGTATACTACGCCTTCTGCCTCAAGATTACCTATACCCTGTGAGGCGTCGTACCGATAATTACCTAAAATATAACGGGTCGCACGTTGGAAGTAGGGTGTATTGGGGGGTAGGTAATAGGCAGTGAGCGATAGGCGGTGAGTGGGAAATAGTTTCAAACTTTTGCACACCCACTGTACGTACATGAATTGGACCGAGAAATCGGTAATCTCAGTAAAGGCGGATAGAACAGTCTCTGAAAGGCGACCTGCTCTACGGTAGCACCAACGCGCAGGGAATGCTTGCCTGGAGAAACATGAAATGAATCAGGCTCCAGCAAATATGCCTAGTAACAAATATCTCATATATTTACCAGGGAACTAGAATCAAGAGTGATGAAAGAAAATTGGTGAAAGACAGATAATATCAGATCCTCCATGAGTGACAAATCAGTGATGTGAAATCCTCGAAAGGCGCTGTTCTAAAGAAGGATGGCGTGCTATTTCATCTTCGGTGAGCCTCTCGACAGGCTCAGGGGCTGCTACTTCGCTTAAGTTCCCGTAATAGTCACCTCTGGAGTTTGCATATCCTTGTTCCAGAGATGGATGTCGTGCCAGTTCTGCGTCTGAGAATCTTTCAACAGGCTCGGGAGCTGCGATCTCACTAAGCGCTGCATAAGGATCATCTTCCGGATCCTCATGCTCTTGCTGGAAATTTGAGGTTTCATTCGTATGCGCGTCTGCGTGCTCATCTTGTGGGCGGTATGACGACTCCGTATGCCTGGAGTGAGAACATCGGCGTGCAACAGCATTGAAAAATGATCGGAGATTCTGAAAATAGGCCATTCTGTCACCAAATGTCCAATAGGTGGGTCGTTGGAATATTTAATGCTTTCTAACGCCTTCTAACGCCTCGTGTCCCGACAACCTATGACGAATCCACTTGCCTCATCCCGCACCTACCGGCTTTGCCGGCTATAGGAATCCATTTCCCGACCTAAAAGCTAGGTGAACGTGGACAGACGGGACGGCATACTCGTGAGATTATCTTTCAGGATCTAACTAGAGCTCAGCCCGCACATCCAAAGCAGTGAGATATTTATCGATTGTTATGAACAGAAGAATGATTCATCGGAGAAGAACCTTAGCGTACACGCTGTTTTATAAGGCGGGAGTAAAACAATGTGTGTTTTTCCCACAAAAGATTACGTAATCCCTTGCCGACTGGAAACGCAAGTCATGCGGAACACACCTATAATACAGTGGCGCTACTAAAGTCTGTGACACCCGTCACACCCCTGGGTTAACCGCCCTTTTCTGCTAATAATTCTGCCGTACTAAAACCTTCAAAAAATCATGATCAAATTAATTCAATAACTAATACTTAGTATACCAGCTATCAGATACAATAATTACCTATACCCTACGTGGTATACTCTCTAATAGATTCTCTAATACACCAAGATCGATTGACTACTATACCTCCTGCGCTATATTAATTAAAACAGTAAGGGTAGTATCGTTATTTAGTATATATAGTAAATTAGGCCGAATCTTATGGATCTTTTACTTAAGTATAGTCTAAGGTTCTTAATTGGATTAAGATCTAGTAAGCAAGGCGGCTAAATTATAATCTTACGGTCTAGATCTACTATAAATTCACGTACGATCTATACTGTAAAAGGAGATCTTTCCGCAAATCTTTTAGGAGATCTTCCTACATGTCTTTTAGGATGGTTTGGTTTTGTATGGGGGACCAATCAAACTATCGCTTTCCGGTAACGCTTCGGGCCGGTTTAGGTCTTGCTAAGTATGTTATATGAACCTTTAAGCACTTACCAAGGCTTACTGATCATCATGTGATAGCACTAAGCAGTTCAGTGAGTCTGATTCCTAGACTGAAATTTACTCAGTCAGTCTGACTCTGAGCGATAGCTTCGGGTAACCTCCCCGGAGTGGGCCTTTCTCGCTGTGCAGTGGTGTTTCATAAGTTTTCGTCCACCTGGGGATGACATAATATTTTGCCGACCAAATAATCTTACTATTTCCTGCATTATCTACCCAAATTTAACGTTTCCAAGGAGATGGATAGAGAGCAACGTTAGAATTTGAATGAATTTAATTATAAAAAAAACCCTAATGTGACTTTTATGATACGTTGTAGACTATGTACTCAAGTTCGCACAGAAAGCGGAAGACTAGGCAGTATGCCGAGGGTGGACGAATATGGAACTCCACTGTACGTACTCCATCCGTGTTTATTCTACGGCTGGGAACGGACTTTACCGACGAGAAGGAAATGACAATCGCTTGAATTGCACCCCAAGTCTCGATCTGCTCAGAGATCCTATGCTCAGCATGTCCCGTAAACTATGCGAGGACAACGGACCTCTCAGAAATATAGAGAGTTTGAAATCCCGCGGTCCTGCGTCCTTTCACACCTGCCAGAGGGGGAATAGTTTACCACCATCATAATAGGAGTTTACTAGCTATCTAACCCGCGATCTACAGAAAGGGAAACGTACACAAAGACAATAAAGGAATGGTTAAGATATCCCTCGGCAGGAAGTCGATTCCCGACTGTCCCAATAAGGTCGCGCCAAGCCTTAAACCTCCTAGATTCTTAGAGCTTCACAGGACCACTATATATTAGCCGCCTCCGACCCAGAACTGTGATTGCCGGATCGGCAACGGAGATCGCCATATTGGCAATGGTTGCGGCTTCAATGGGCTGTTCGGGTAACGACGACCCGAGAGTGGAGCAAGTACCCCGCTGTTTACTTTGGCTATGTCTGAAGCGGGGAGTCTTGGATGAGAACGCGAATCTTCGTATAGAGAGGCAGCTTTCGGATTGAAATGTAGGCGAAGATCCTTCACCCTCTCACTGTGCGATTTTCAGGATCTGTGGTGGTTGCGCATTCCCATCATGTCCGAAAAGCCCCTGGTCGAATTCGAAGCTTCGACTGGCCTTCTCAATCTTGTCGGTGCACCTATCATAGCCGACCCGGCTGATTTTACCGGCATTCATCATGCAGCACGAGCATTAGCTGAGGATTTTGGTCGAGTAACGCGAGGCAAAGAAAATCCGTTTGAATTAGTACCACAGGGCAGCTTACAAGCACCAACCGCCATTATCATCGGATGCATTGAATCATGCTGGATGATTCAGGGGCTCCAAAATCAGGGGAAGATCGAAACTGCTCCTATTAGGGGCAAATGGGAGTCATTCATCACTTGTGTCATTGATGACCCACTACCCGGATGTGCTAGGGCTTTTGTCATTGCTGGGAGTGATAAGAGAGGGGCGATATTTGGGGCATACACCCTCTCAAGGCAGATTGGAGTATCCCCGTATGTCCGAATCCTGTCCCTTCATGCAACGATTCCACTGACATGCTATTATAGATGGTATTGGTGGGCAGATGTCCCTGCAAAGCACCATCGAGAGATATATGCACGACCGGTACATACTATCCAGGGTGAGCCGAGCATACAATTCCGTGGAATCTTCCTCAATGACGAAGCACCTGCACTCACAGGATGGGTGTTGGAGAAGTTCAGCAAATATAATACTGTCTTCTATAAGAAAGTCTATGAGTTGCTCCTGCGCCTCAAGGCCAATTTCATGTGGCCGGCAATGTGGCCGGGATATCCAAACCCCGGTGCTGTATTCTTCATTGACGACCCAGAAAACCAGCGTATAGCCGACGAATACGGAATTTGCATTTCAACTTCTCATCACGAGCCAATGCAGCGTGCTTCGACCGAGTGGTTTCAAGAATATGCGGATGGAACGTGGAACTGGCTTACACACCGCGATGAAATTGTCGAGTTCTTCCGCAAAGGGGTGCAGCGTGCAAAGAGTGTAGAATCTTACTTCACTCTGGGGATGCGCGGCGAATATGATAAGCAGATGGTTACCGATGATCCTGGCGCCGTTTTGCGAGATGTGATTCGAGAACAGCGAGCTATTTTCAAAGAAGTACATGGCCGCGAGGATGCGGTGCCTCAGGTGCTGGCACTGTACAAAGAGGTGCAAGATCTGTACGAGGCTGGCGAGTTTACAGTGCCAGAAGATGTGACGTTGTTATTTGCGGATGATAACTTTGGATCTCTGCGGCGCCTACCATCGGGCTTGGAGGAAAAGAGATCCGGGGGTGCAGGAGTAAGTATCCCGACTGCCAGCGCAATCTCCCGAAGAACATACGAAGAGTGTAGAAAATTTGAAACGCCCACAAAATTTCCGGGGATATGAACCTGGAGTGGCTAACGTCTTGACTAGATATACTATCACTTTGAATACGTCGGCGCACCCCGAAGCTACAAGTGGATTAACTCGAACTCATTGGTTTGTGACAATTCGCTAGAATATACGAAGTTGGATTCCAATTGACTAATGGGACATGAAACAGGGCAAGGTTTATCACCAGCTTTCCCAGGCGTACCAACGAAATGCGCGGAAGATCTGGGTCTTTAATGTCGGCGATATCAAGCCAATTGAGGTCCCCCTTACGTTTGCGATGGAGATGGCGTGGGACATTGGCTCGGTTCACATGAACACTATTCCTGAATTCCTGGAAAACATTGCGACTAGTTACTTCGGATCTAGTTTGAGTTCGGAAATTGTCTCCATCTTGCATGAACATGATCGTCTTGTCCGCATACGAAAACACGAGCATATTGATCCAGAAAGCTTTTCGCTGCTACACTACAATGAAGCCGACAATATCGTTACCCGGTGGCAGAAGTTGGAAAACAGAGCAGAATCAGTGTACAAGCAAGTATCCGAAGAGCAGAGACCGGCTTTCTGGCAGCTTATCGTTCACCCAGTCAAGGCTAGCTCTATCTTCGCCGAATTAAGAGTGGTTCAAGCTCGAAATCAGCTCTATGCGCGGCAGCGACGCAATACAGCGAACAAACTCTTGCGTCGGGCGCTTGATCTTTTCGATTCAGATTTCAAGCTATCCCAAGAGTTTCACTCCCTTCTAGATGGAAAGTGGAATTACATGCTATGTCAACCACACATGGGCTATGGAGATACCTGGCACGCGCCTTCACGGGATGCCATTTTCGGGCTAGCATACGTGCAGCGAAATCAAAACAGCAACATCATTGTTGGACAGATGGGAGTTGCGGTGGAAGGTCATGAAGGTGTCCGAGCTGGGCGAATCAACGAGGAAAGTGAGCGCACGCATCCTAGTCGACGGGACCTAGTTCCAGGACTCACGCTTGGGCCAATGAGCCGCTATGGTCCGACTAAGAGATGGTTTGACATCTTCACTAGAGGAACGCAGATCATTCACTGGAGTACCTCTGCTCCTCATTCATGGATCAAACTCTCAGAAACAGAGGGGACCTTGTCTCCTGACGGGGATGATGTGCGTATCTGGATCACAGTTGACTGGGATCAAGTGCCGACACAGATTGATGAGGAGATTTTGATCAGTGTTGCGTCCAAAGAGGGAGATTTTGAACATGTTCATTTACCTATACACCACCACAGAGTGCCACGATCCTTCCGTGGCTTCGTCGAATCAGACGGCTGTGTATCTATACCCGCGTCAGGGGTTGAGGTGAGGGCGCCGTACCAGCATCATCCAGAGCTAGGCCGGTTAAGCGAGGGGTCGGTGACTATTGCGACTTCCTTCGAAGAAGAGACTTCTCTGCCATTCATTGAGTACCCGATCTACGTCTTTTCAGAGTCCACTTCGCCAATCTTGACATTGATCTTCAATATGACTCTTGAGATCGACCCTGCGAATCTGATGTCCTACGAGATTGCAGTTGACAACGAGCCCATGAGTTGGCACCTGGCGCTACCGAAATCCCATGAGAAGAGAGATAAACTCCCAGCTGAAGGCTGGCTGAGTGCTGTCATGGATTGCGTTTGGAAACGGGATCACGTCGTCACCAAGCTTGACCCAGGTGCTCACACCATCCGAATCAGGCTGAACCATCCAAATTTGCTACTTGAAAGAATCATGCTGGACTTGGGTGGCGTGAAGGAATGCTACCTTGGACCTCCGTCCAGCCAGTTTGTCATTTAGACAGCAATAAATATGACTCATTCGCTACTTGGGCCAACCGCCACCAATAGAAATTATACAATTCATACAGTGCGTTGTGCAAAATATACACTTGTCTCAAATATGTGCAAATAACTCCCACCAAAAGAAACGAAAACATAGGTATCGAAATCATGAACGGTCCACGGTTCATTCAACCTCGCGCTCCACACGAACGAACGTGGGAAAAAGGAACTCTTCCAAATTTTCTCTTTCCTTACGGCACTGGTCGGACTCGATCTGTGTCTCACACGATGTAAGATGAACTTCGTCATCAAACGCCCTCAGGCCAAGCTCGCGCTCGGTATCTCGAAAGCCTGTGTTTGACAGACTGTGGCTGTTGTTACTGCAGCTGGTATTGCTTGTAACCTTTCGTAACCGATTGACCCGACCAATTCTATTGCTGTGGCGTAATCTTCTTCGAAAGTAAAGCAAATGTTCTGCTTTCATGAATGATCGGACGAGTGGCTGTAGGGCTGGTAGACAAGCACAGATTATGCCAAGGCAAGGCTCCACGGTGGACCAGATGGAGATATTGCTCATGACCCATGTGATATCCAAATTTCCATTGAGGTATGCGAGGTAGTGGAGTCGAACAATACTGGCAATGCATACACTAAGAAGATCGAAATGTTAGTTGCTATCTCTAGAGGATACGGAATTGGTAAATGACTTGACACGTACAAGACACCAATGAGGAAGAGGTTAGTTATCATGACCTTTTGCTTCATTCGCACCTTTAATCTCCATATCACCGGTACTGGAATGAGCAGAATCAAGACAGCAACGACGACATTTGAGGCAGCGTTACCGATGTAGTAGCCGTAAAACTTGTATCGATAATAGCCGGACTTTGGATCGTAGGTTGACGTCCAGAAATAAGCGACTGGGTCACTACTGACTAGGAGTGCAATCATGCTTCCTACTGTCCATCCTATCGTTAGAAATAGGCAGATCCAAATCGACCAGTTCATCCCTAAAATACGGCGGTAAAAGGCCAGAATGGATATCTTGATGAGGAACAGCTCAAATAGATAAATAAAGAGATAGGCGAACAAAATCTCGAAGGTATGTAAGCCACATACGTACGTACCTTCTTCATTTTCACCATGGCACCGATGGTCACGACCCAGACATGTTTTCCCTCTCCATAATGGCCACCGGCTAATGAAGCAGCCAAGAGGACCAGCATAGGAATCTAGCAAATGTATAAGTCTTCTAGAAGCAGCCTCCACAAGCGGCATCGATTCACTTACCAAGGTCACTGCAACAAGCCATTCATCAAGAAATGGCCTTGCCTTTTGGCTTCTGAGCCGCACAATGAACCTGATCACGACGGCAATCACCGCAATAATGGAGATAGTAAGAACGGCAGCAGTATCTCTCCATTTCCGGTCCTCACTGAGATCCACAGCTGCTGGCGGTGGACCCAAAACCGCCGTGAGGGGTGTATTCATGAGATTCTCCATAGTATGAGGAGGCAAAAAAAAGGCCCCATGCAGTAGCTCAGGGCCAGCTATCATCGCAACACAGACGCAGGGTGAGTGATCGGTATTATAAGAAACATAACCTGTAAGCCTGACGTGACATGTTTCTTACTTGAAAACTCGCGTCAGGCGGGGAAGCCGCCCGCATTATTGAGCACTTCTGAAACTGTCATCATTGACTGGGAACGTGTGGTACCTGGCACCAGTTTTCTACGAATCATACACATCTGGAGCTGTAAATACAGCACTTCAGGATTATAAACAATTTCAAAGGTGGGAATAGGGGCAAACTTGTCGATTGGTGCGTTGTGATTGGAAGCACGGACTGCCAGGGCTGTTCCTGCGGGATGAAGAAAATCCACCCCAGAAGAAGGGTCCCGCGTGGGATCTCGGATTGGACTTTCCACTCTTGACCGTTTGAGGGCTAGTCATCAACTGTTGAGCAAGCTGGTTAAAGCCCATTCTTGCGTAGACTCTGGAAAATAAGGAGAGAGAGATGGAATTGGTAGATTCTTGGTATCTTGGCTATCTTGCAGAAGGGCAGGGAGATGGGCAGTGCTTTGGTCCCTATGAGAGCAATCGCACATCCTCCAAAGACAGCTAACTGACTATGCGTTAGGGAATTGTATGGTGGTTTCAGGCGGGTAGCCGAAGGGGTTTAGCTGTCGCTGAGAACACTGAGAACGCGGCTGGCCATCCATCTAGGAAGCGGCAGGATCTTCGGGCGTCTCTCGCAACATCAAGTGTGGAGTGTCAAGAAATGCCACAATACGAGTACGAACCGTACGAACGTGCTCGAGACCCTGTCCTTACAAGTATCAGAGTTTAGTTCGGTCCGACAGCCAAAAAAGCTGAGACCGACAGTTCGTATTGACTATACCTAATATGGCTTAGTGCGGAGGTCTGGCGCATCCACCTCAAATACCTTGGCATACCGGCCCACTTGTAAACTATTCTATTGGCTATCACCCTCCTGAAAGTCGAAAGATTATACGGTCGGAGTAGCGCGTTCCGGCAGGGGGATATCTGTCAGACACCTGCCAGGTATTTGGTGAACTCAGAGGAACAAAACAGCGAAAGATATATATTTACATCTTGCATATACAGTGGCGCCGCAAAAGTCTCCGACCACCCCTTACCGACCGCCTACTTTCTGCCATAAATTCTGCCGCACTAAAACCTCCAAATAATCATAATCAAATTGATCCAATAACTAATATTTAGTATACCAGCTATTTGATGCAATAATAGCCTGCACTCTACGCGGCATACTCTCTGATAGACTCTCTAATATACTAAGATCGATCTGCTACCATGCCTCCTTCGCTGTATCGATCAAAATAGCTAGAGTAGTATCATTATTTAGCATAGATAGTAGATCAGGCCGAATTTCATAGATCTTTTGCTTTAGTAGGGTCCACAGATTCTCAATTGGATTAAGATCCGGTGAGCAAGGCGGCCAAATCATAATCTCACGGCCTAGATTTGCTACAAATTCGCGTACGATCTGTGCAGTGTGCGTTGAAGCGTTATCTTGTTGAAAGATTGAAGTCGGATCAACTAGTAGAGTTGGTAGGATTCGTTGATATAAATCAAGAATAACGAAGCGATTTATACCTTGGCGAGGTGATTCTGGATCTCCATAAAGAGCTACTAAGCCACTTCGACGAAGCGACCCAGAGAATGCAGCCCAGAACATCTGTTTAACTTGGAATCCGCGATGTGGTACTGGTTGAACTTCGCCTTGAACTGCTTGGTCGGATAGGCGAATAAAGCTATACGCTAGACGAAGTCTAATACCTCGCTCAACTGTACACTCGTCAGACCAGAAGACTCGGTTAAAATCATCTTTAGTGTAGTGTTGATACCGTGAAGCCCAAGATAATCGTGCAGCAGCGTGCTCGGGTTTAAGATATAGGCGTTTCATAACTCGCTATTTCCGGAGACCCTTAACAGAGAGTAATCGCGCGATAGAATCTTTCTTGCACTTATGATTCACTTCGGAGAGTAAATCATCGTACGAGACTCGAGGGTCTTCGTGAATCTTTTGGAGGATCTTTTGGCGGTCATCGTCGTTTAAGATCTTAGGGCGCCCGGATCGCTTTAGTGACTGTTCCTTATCGCGAATTCGCGACTGAAGGCAGGTATATTTGATAGTCGAGAGTGGGATATAAGGGTATTTCTTATAAATTTGCCTATACGACCACTTTGCTACATCTTTCAATGTAACGATTTGGGTACGAAGATTCGCGTCTAATTCGCAATTCTTGCGTCTTGGCTGTGCGATAGCAGGAGATGTAGGTTGCCTAGGAGCAGTAGGAACTGGTCCTCTAGGCGTTGGAGGACTAGGCAATAGTAAACCAGCCCTTGTGCGAGGCATATTAGTATAGTGAATAAGGAGAATATTATAAACAACGCGATGCGCGACTACGCTGTTCGCGTTCATGGGGTTTCCTAGGCTATATTAGGTAGGCGGTGTTGGCAAGCGGTCAGGGGGTGGTCGGAGACTTTTGCGGCGCCACTGTACGAATATTCCGGAGATTCTTTGTTAGATACCTGGCAGTTACCGAAGTATAAAGATATGCGGTATCTGCCAGATATCTGGCAGATAGCTAACCCCTCTCTAGAAGCCATTGTAGGTAATAGCGTTTGGAGTTCTTTGAAATTTACCTTACTAGCGTATTCGTAGTGTTTTTACTACCTTAGATGATAGTTTTTCTACCAAAAAATCTTTTGAATGCGTTAATCTTAAAGATTTATGTGAATCTCAGAGAGTAGTTCCGTAGAGAGTAGTTCAGTATACTAGATACCTGACAGACGTCTAGTAGATATCTAATCCCTTAGGATCCGCCCTGCTCCCATTCTTTTTGCCGCGCACGTAGTCGGATCTTAGCCTCAAGCAGCCTATCCTCCTCTTCCTGTTGCTCTCTTTCTTGGCGTATCCTTTGTATCTTAGGTTTATGCCTTAATTCATCCTCTTCAAGCTTCCTCTTTAGCTCTAATATGGTAGGATCCTCTTGCGTCGATGGAGGTATTAGATATGGCGTTATACGCCGGGAGACTGAGCGAGAGCGGCTAGATGAGGATGTAGAGGACCTTCCACGGTAAGGAACTCCACTACTACTAACACGCTCTAGAGGTGGCTCACTATCCTGCCTCTCTCGATTACGACTAGCACGGCGGTTCTGCGCAGTCTGTAAATGGCGTATGAGTGACGCCTCAGGCGAGGAATTAGCATATCGACTCGGTATTGCCCACTGGCGGCTGATATTGTACTCCTGAATATCCTGTCGATCAAGCTTAAGAGAACTAGTAGAGGTTAGATGTTTAGTAGATATTTGCTAGATGTCTGACTAACCTCAGGATTGCTGATAGAAGAGGCTGTTGTTTACGACGAGTATTAGACTTATGGTGTGTCTGCTCTGCGGTATTCGTATTTCTACGAATTGACTCGTAACCTGGAGGTGGTGATTCAGAGCAAGCTGGATTTAGGCCACACATCACCCAATATTGCCGCTTATGCTCTGCCCAAGCGGCGAGAGAAGGCTCAAGCACTTCCAGAAGTCATCAGATATCTGTAGGACGTCTGGTGGTTATCTGGGGACTCACAAATTATATTATCAATCACCGCTTCGTATCCTGCTCGGTCCTGGGCATAGAGAAGCTCAAGCATTCGCTGTCGAATACCAGGGTTACCTCCCCCAGCCCGTTTTAGAGCTTCATTAACACCTCGGGTAAAGTGGATATGGCAGAAAAGAGTCATTTGACGCATGAGATACGGCCCACCTCGGTGTTCGTGATCGAACTCATGAAGGAAGTCGGCAAATCCTAGAGTTATCAGATATCTGGTAGACGTCCGACAGAGATCTGCTAACTTACCGAAATACTGCTTTGTATCCATATCCATCACTACTGCATTAAGCCCAATACTATCCAGAATTCGGAAAGTAGGCCTCTGCTTGGTAATCTTCTCAAGAAGAAGATAGACTCGCCTAAATAAGCGATGATATCCTTCCCGAGTCTCAATAGTAGTAAAGACGCGGCAGAGTGTACGGACTAGAGGGGTCAGATATCTGCCAGTCGTCTAGAGGATATCTACTTACTCCGCCCAAGATCACTAAAAAATGATGCAAAAACAACCTCCTTAATTTCCTTATGCTTCACACGCTTAAAGGACATGTCTACCTCGTAGGAATTGGCCTTCGCCAGAAGATGTGCCTGTCCATCAAGCATACAGATAACCATAATGCCATCAGGGTCAATAGAGATTTCACGAACGTAGCCCTAATAAGTTAGGTATCTAGGGAATATCTGCTAGATATCTGTTATACTTACCTTAACCTCGTCGTTCCTTGCCCGCTCAAAGATCACACCATTCACACTCTGGCCCTGAGGAAATGATAGAAGACGCTGCTTCCGAATGATTGTAGCAAGGCGATCTGTATTCACAAAGCTTGTATGAAGCTCTGTTAAGGTATAATGCGAGTATTTTAAGCAGAATTGCTGAAGCTCGGGACTGGCGAGGAATTTCGCTAGAGGTTCGAAATTAGCCGGGGTTGCTAGATATCTGGCAGACGTCTGATTCGGATCTACCTACTTATCGTAAGATCCGGCCGCTCCATCTCGGTAATCAGCCTCTTCAAACCCTGTACAACCTCAATAGGACTCCGCTTTGGTGGTACTGGAGGGTGCATATGGCGACCGGTAGAGATGAATAAGAAGTATGGGCATCTATCAAGGTCACCTGGGATAAGCCAGTCAAATCTGACATTGCACTTTAGCCGATCCCAAGTCCCCGGACCCTGGATACGCGCGTAACCTAGAGGAGTCAGATATCACTCGGATATCTGGTAGATATCTGAAAGGCTTACCACACTTTGGCGATTTCTTCAATGTTCCTTCGACGGCACAACAAGCCTCTATAAGACTCGGAATCTCACCTGTAAATAGCTGGTGTAAGAAGTAGATATCAATACTCCCATCTCGTGCGATTGTATCTGAACGATAATGAAGAGCTGGATCAGCCTCTCCTTCTTTGCAAATCACAGAATATATATGACCCCCTAGAGGCATCTCATGCACACTCTGTCGAAGTACCGGCTGACAAGATGGTAGGCGAGCCCTACAAACCCCGCGCTGGAATAGATTATGTGTGCTAGAGAAGTAGCTATCTTAAGAGATTAGCGGATATCTGCCAGATATCTATAGAATATCTAGCGAGTCACGTGTACGTCTTTCGCTTAACCTCATCCTCTTCAACAAAAGGCAAATTCTGCCGAAGTCTATGAAGAGTACTCCAAAGACCTTCGTCAACAGTAGTATGTGTCATCGATCGAATAGCCGGGTGTACATATTGACAAATAAATGCACCAGTGCAGTCGTATTTTGAATAGGTATAGCCAGGCCCAAGGAAGGACTCGCCTTTACATGGTCTATCGGCATAAGATTGGCGGTAAGAGTACTGGACCTAACGGTAGAAGTCAGATATCTCGTAGTTATCTGGCAGATACCTGGGATATCCGTACAGTAGATTCCACTAAGGCACGAATCTGCTCCGCTGAACGACCAGCTGCCGGGACAACATAGCCGTACCCGCCTTCGCTGGTATTTGGATACTCAGGGAGGTCCTGGACGTACTCGATTTCGGCAACGCTTAGCTTATGGCCCTTATTCTCGGTTACCCAAGTAGGTCCCGTTTGACATGGTTCCCACTATGAACGATTAGCTAGGAATCTGTTCCAGATATCTGGGAGATATCTGGAGGCTATCTGCGTACTCGTAGCTCAGCGTCTTGCTCCCTTCTTTCATTGATCAGACGATCGTTTTCAGCATCAAGGCTAGACAATTGCTCGCCTAAAGAGGTCATTTTTGCTGTACAAGAGTCAATTGCGCGATTGCCAGGAAGATGAAGAGAAAGGGGAAGTTTGCGTGTGTATTCATCTGTTTGATACGAGGCGCTAAACTACTTTCGAGAGCTGAGACCGACAGTTGGCTCCTAGATAGGCTTAGCGTGGTGGTCCGAGCTGTCGGGGTGGGTCCATTTGGCTGTCGATGCCAGCTATACACTCTTACAGTATTTAGATTATTATTAGTTACCCTTGTGGGGTGTTGGGGTGTGGAGAATTATCCCAACCCATCTGATGTTGATCTGACCCGTTCTAGACTCCTAGTGGGCAGAGGGGCGCAGGAACAGTTCTAGTTCCACGATCCAGGCGTTTCATCTCTAGTGCTAAGTTTTCGAGTCATTAAACTTCAGATTTAACTACGATGAGGCGGATCAATTCCTCTACTGTGGTGGTATATTATATATGTACCTCTCTTTGCTTCTCTCAAGAGCGAACTCATCGTTATGGGAAACAGTCCTAGAGTGTAAGCACAACACCACCATTATTACCAATCGAAACTTACTTGGTCGAACGCAGGATCCCCTGGTTCCGCATTTCTGATCAACAGCCTAAAGTCATCCTGGTAATCACGCCGTGTCACCCTGTCGGGGCTGAATGCCTGATGAAGAGGAGTCGAACGGGGAGACCTGCCCCATTTCTCTTCAGGAAAAGAAGAGTCTTTGAACAATGGCATTTAGGCATAATAAAATCAGAGAAAGATCGAAATACCTAGATCTCCCGTCTTGACCATGCTCGGAGGTGGTCCGACTTTGACCGCATTGAGCTGAACGTTCTCCTCAGTCGGCAGTATATTTTTGTATCTATGATCTGGCTTGTTACTAGAAGGCGAATTTTCTGACCTGCTTCTCAAACACAACTAATACGAAAGCTTAAATGAATTACAGAATAAACCTGGAGAAAGAACATTAGTTAACGAAAGCCTACCGATGAGTCAGCGAGAGGGGGCATCTTGATTGATTAGCCACTATACAGTGGCAATGGACTTTGATGAGATGGTTTGGGTTGGTCATTCTATACTAGAGAGCAGTGACAGTTCAAATGGGCGGATTTGGAGACTGAGAAGATGGCTTAGCTGCCACTTCTGTTCTCTCTGTCGGAAGATCGTTCTCAACGCGTTCCTAGATGTCCCAAGCACTATCTCCCCATTCAGCTGTCACAGGACGATGGTAGAGATAAATTTGAAGGTCTGTCGGGGATTTAACTTCATGGAGCCCTCAATGTACCATCGACTTTTGAGTCTAGTGAACGAGTCAATAAATAGTATGACTCGGTAGTGAAAATAACGAGAATAGAACCATTCCCCCCAAAGTCGTACATCCAGTATGAAACAGAAGTCGCCATCAATCCGTTCTATGAATAAGAAGGTATGACCTCGAAATAGACATCGAGGGGAGACTAAGATAAATACCAGGCTTGCCAAAAGCATCACATCATGATTTCCGACTTAAATTTCAGTTCCCCAAAACATATCATCGAATAGTAGGCATGACTCTCTCCGCAAACTCACTAAGAGGATATCCTAATCTAAAACGACAAGAATCACGAGCTCCGCCATATTTGAAATCCAATAGTACCCCTCTCTAAGAATCTTCAGGATAGTTCGGCCTCCGAACTTCCACCTCCGCCGCGCCGATCCCGAAGTATACTCCATGGGATCAACATACCCATTCTGGCCCACACCCAAACCACAACCCTCAACCCTGGTCAAATCAGATCTGACAAAGCGCTGAAAAACGGCGATTCCCATACCCCGAATTGCGTGAGACGCTATTTAGTTGCTGATCCTGTTTGCGGAGCGCGGGTGAGTATGTGGGCGGGTGAGTTGGGTAGACTCACCCGCTCCGCTAAATAAAAGCGCGATGAGATTTTTTTCTGTTGTTTTGAAGGTATTTGTTTTTGCACAGAGTACATACTGGTCATTTGTATACTTTAAGATTATTGGAGAGTGTCCACTGGTCTGTTCTTTTTGGCGATGGGCTCGAATTACTTGCTTCATCCTTTCGACATTGTCTCGCACACTCCTACGGCCATGCTCTCGGCTAGGTCATCACCCACAGCCACCAACGGTGCAGGCCTCTCAAATGCAGAGAAAGTCACGCTATATGTCGTTGCAGCGACGGCGGCCGTTCTTATTGTCGTGGGTATCGCGATTGCTGTCCTTCGAGCACGCTGCCATGATGGACCGTGGGGTGCTCATTCCTCAGGGCAGCCGCGACAACACAGCATGGCTAAAGCACTGCTGAAAACTATTCCACTGGTGCAATATGATGACACAATCGATTCCTCGAGAAACTGTTCAAGGCCAAGCTTTGATGGTTCCATGGAGTCTTTGCAATCTGAGAGTGGAAAGGCGAGCATCTCAGAAAAGTCTACCGTGGGAAATTCGACGTGTGCTATCTGTACGGAGGAGTTTGTGAAGAACCAACTAGTCCGAGTTTTGCCTTGTGGGCATGTATTTCATCAAGGCTGTGTTGATGAATGGTTGGTGAAGAGATCGCGGACATGTCCTACCTGGTAAGTTATTCTTGCTGCCATTTCCTTACGAAAAAGCTTTCTGACGACTATATATAGTCGATATGAACTCACGCCATCTTGCAAGAACCAGGCCACTGAGAAAGATAAGCATTCGCCGGATATTGAGGGCGGATTGCCAGACGTTGAGGCTCGGCATACGCAACCCCAGAGCCGAATGCACGGATATCTGCGCAGTCTTCGCTCTACATTTGCGGGGAGGCAGTGACAGGTATCACTGGATCGTATTGAGCTAAGCTCAAAAACCTATGTCTTATAAAATTAATGTAATTAACGACGAACCATGACCGAATCAACTTAAGTTGAAGAGAAAGAGCGTGGCGGGTGCGGTATCTCTACGATCGGAATACATCAGACTCCCAAATTGTGACCAGACTTGATTACACGTGGGAAGATGTAATACGTGAGTGTTTAGATAACTTTCCAAGCATAAGAGCCCGTGATTAAGTATCTCGCTGGTAGCAACGTCGCAGTTGCTGCATCGGGCCGAATGCAGCGGGATCCGTGTTTTAGAGTCCAGCAGGAAGTCCCTTTAGGAATCGGCATTAACACATGACAGCTGCCGCAGACCCGACACAATGGAAAGCTAGTTTGACTCATGACGAGGCCCCGAGTCTTGGCCAAGTTTCCAAGACCTGTCTCCCGAGGAGGTATGTCTAGACAAGGTCTTCCTTCATAGTCGACAAGATGGCCAGCAGCAACGACATAGTTGACAGGGCATAATTCTCCGAGCCAGCTTCTTCTCGTCTCTACACTCCATACCTCGTGCGTATATAGTGCAATCGGGATGCGCAACGTGGGTCTGCGCGGTAAACAGCGAGAATCACCACCATGAGGGGTTCGATTCCAGCCCCGCAGCCACCGCCGTAACTGGTGGTCCCCGTGCACCGTAGATGAGGCTGTCATTAACAGCAACTGTCGATCCGTGCGGGAACGCCCGCTGCGGGCTCGCGCCGCTGCCGAGTCATTTAGCGTCTGCACTGCCGCTTCGCAAGCATCTCGCTCTCAGGGAGAACGGTATCCGTTGACATATCCGGAGGTCGAGGTGCTTCGCTCTGTATATTGCTTTTTGGGGGGTAGCGACCAAAGCACAAAGAAGGCTAGTGCGGGGGATCGGCCCGATCGCCCTCGTCTTTGCCCATAGGCATTGCATGTTAATGTAGAGAGTATCAACCTATACCTCGTAATAAGCTGCACGACACCGAGTCAACCCTTTGTCTTGTCGAGTCGCCCGCCCTAGGATCATGCGAGGTCGCTCATTCCCGTCTCCTAGAGCGAGAGGGAGGGGTGGAGGGGCAGCTAGCAGGTTTCAGAGAGGTTCTCCTCAGGGGACGGCCCATGGGGACGCGCCAGTGCAGGACTTTCCCAACGGTGACAGTCATGGTACTTTTGCGAGCAGCCCTTTAGCTGCACTAGCGCTACAAATGGTCCTGCTGGCATGAGGCACAGGAACAGGGCCGGGGGCAACCGGATGGATAGACACGGACACCCTTTCGTCCCACGAACAAAAGGACCGTTGACATCACGGGAGGAACGTTGACGCTAGCGTGATAAGCCTGACGAGGGGGAGGAGGAATGGATGGGTTGGGAGGATCCCATTTCCTCTCGGCCAGTCGGGTTTCGTCTTCGTCGAGTCCTCCTGACTCGATGCTGATCAGGAGTAGATAGTCAAACCCGCGTTTCAGAGTTGCTTTGCCCGTTGCCGTGCGATATCAAGCGGAACTGGAGACCGGAGCTAATTGCGGGGAGTTCGGATCCACCAGCGAAATGCGCCTTGGTGCTCATCATCGTCATCCTTCCTTTTTCCACCGTTAACAGAGTGGGTCATGGACCTGCAGCTGGCCTAGAAATTAGCTCATTGTCAGCGGATGGGACTAGGAAGAGAAAGGGGGTTTTAAGGAGGGCTGAGAGACCAGGCAGAAGTTGTGAAAGGAGTAAGATACCAAGTGGAGCGGCGGATGTAAGGAGCCTAGTCAGCGCTCCCAGCGTTACCCGACACGACTTTCCATCTCCTTCAATTCACTTCCACCTTCTCTTCTTCTTTCTATCTCAGTCCTCGTCTTCTCTTCCTTTGTCTGCGGATTTACCAGTTCCTTCGTTGTGGTCTTGTTTAGTGCTCTCTTGGTTTCGAGCAGCCTAAACCCGTACCTTATCCTTCCCCCTCCTCTTCTCGCCAGCTCTTCCGTCCTCCCCCGCACCCGACACTATGTGAGTTTCGGAGATAAAATGCATCCTGCACAGCCTAGATGATCTTCAAAAACCTAACACATCTCCTTCCTTCATCCAGGCTTATCACCGTCAGCGTCATCCGCCCCGAGCAGGCGGACTCTGATATCATCAACCTCGAGGTGGGCGGCGACATGACAATAGAGCTCCTCAAAGCCATCGTCGAAAGTGAAACCGCCATTCCCCCGGAAGCCCAACAACTCGTCTTCAATAATCAGCTCCTCCAAATCCCCTCGCAGACCCTCGACCAGGTTGGCATCGGCGAGGGCGACATGCTCGGCGTCCACGTCAACCTCCGTGGGGGTCCCCAAGCCCCCCTCATCCCACTCCGCCGCCGCACCCCCTCCTCCGCCCCAGGCCCCAGCGCTGCGCCACGCCATAACGTCGCTCCCCGTCCGGGCATGCCAGATCCGGAGACTATCCGACTACACATTCTGGGCGATCCACGCGTGCGCGAAGCAGTGCGCAGACAGAACCCGGAGCTGGCGGCAGCGGCGGATAATGCGCAGCAGTTCCGGAATGTTCTGCTAGCGCAGCAGCAGCGTGAAGCACAGGCCGAGGCGGAGAAAGAGGCTCGTATTGCGATGTTGAATGCTGATCCATTCAACCCGGAGAATCAGCGAGAGATTGAGGAGATTATCCGCCAGAATGCGGTTACCGAGAATCTACACAATGCCATGGAGCATCATCCCGAATGTGTGTATAAAGTTTTTCCCTATGAAGTGATGGGATCCCCGCGCAGCTGTCGGTCCAGACATCCAGCTAAGCTAACCTTCTTTTCTGCTTGTCTACAGCCTTCGGCCGTGTCACCATGCTCTACATCCCCGTCGAAGTCAACGGTCACCGACTCAACGCCTTCGTCGACTCCGGCGCCCAGGTCACCATCATGTCCCCAGATTGCGCAGTTGCCTGCAACATTATGCGCCTAGTAGACCGACGATACGGCGGCATCGCCAAGGGCGTGGGCACGGCACCTATCCTGGGCCGCGTGCACTCGGCGCAGATCAAGATCGGCGAAATGTTCCTTCCCTGCTCATTCACCGTCATGGAGGGTAAGCAGATTGACCTACTGCTGGGTCTGGACATGCTGCGCCGACACCAAGCCTGTATCGACCTGCAGCGTGGCGCCTTGGTCATTCAGGACCAGGCCGTGCCGTTCCTGGGCGAGGCTGATATCCCCAAGCATTTGACTGAAGAGTTCGAGGATGAGCCGACCGTGAAGGGCGCGGATGGTGCGGAGGTCGGCGCGCGTACCGGTGCGGTCACGCATCAGGCTGGTGGTTCTACTACAGCTGGGCAGTCGCAACCACCCCAACAGCAACAGTCCCCACCAGCACCCAGAATCAATATTCGGCCTGCGCCGGCGTCACGGTGGCCGCAGGCTTCTATTGCGAAGCTGACGGAGCTAGGCTTCACGCGCGAGGAGGCGATGCGGGCGCTGGACGCGGCGAATGGAGATTTGGATGGGGCGATTGGTTTCCTGCTTTGAGAATGGATCTTGGATGACGAATTGAATGGAAATCGAGATTGATTTCGGGGTGATGATCATCGTGTCTTGTGATTTCTTGCTTCTCTTCTTCTACATATTCAGGCGTTTAGCGGTTGGGGGCTAGGGATTGGATATTGTATTTAGCGGGACTGTATCTTGTCTTGTCTGCTCTGCGCGTTGTTTTTTGGTGCCTCGTGTGCCTTGTGTCTTACCCCGGTACTTGTTTCAGTGCCCTTTTTTGTTTTTGCTCTCTTATATTCTCGTGATGTATCCATATCCGTAGCTCAATGTACGATTATATGGTGGCATCTGGCATGGCGATCGTGTGATCCTGTAGCTCCGCGTCCTCCATAGACGATTCATTCTCGAATTTCGATTCCCATTTCCCATCCCCATTTCCCATTTCCAGATCCGATATGCATTTCCACTGCATTGCATATTTCATGTGGATCTGCAGGGTGCCTCTGCATCGAGGAGCTGCTCTTATGTACCGCACCACCAAACACCACAATGCAAACCAGACCAGACTAGCCCAGGCCCATCTAGTCCAATCCGAGTCCCGTTCGCCATACTCCCGAAATATGACGTATTCGTCACTCGTACTCACTCACGCTTGGCCTTTGGCATTAATCGAGCACGCAATCGAAGGACCATGTCAAATGCCATTAAGGCACCTGTGTTGTGTTCGTCAGTCTGGTTCGTGATGTGTGTAATTTTCTGCAGAAAAGACGTCACGGAGAAGAGGGAATTGGAAGGATTGCGAATTGCAGCATGACGAGCACGAGGGTCGAAGCTCAGCTCCACGCTCCCAACTTCAATCTCTGAAATTTTTGGGGTTGTACTGTTTGTATGGGACTCACCTAGTGCAACATAGGGCCCGTAGAGGTATGTGATTTGTTGTTTCTCGGCCGTTGTGCGATCGGGCCAGCTCCAGACGTCGATTAGACATGTGAGCGAGGTGACGAAGGCCTGGATGCCGAAGATGAGGAGGTGGACTGGGATTAGGGGGTGGTCTGGATTGGAATGCGTTAGTTATGGATGTAGATAGACTATGATATAGCATGGAGAGGAGAGTGTGGCTAAGATGGAGGGATTAGGGTAGAGGTTGAGTATAAGTTCAGAATGTTATCAGATAATCAGTCAGTTCAGACTCCAGAGATAAGCTTGTTTCCGTCTACCTCGGGTCTGACTTGATCTGACCTGATCTGATTTGCTTCTACTTGTCTTGTATCCTCCACCCTCCACAGCATTGGGCAGTGTGTACAGTACATACCTCGAATCAACCCCCAAACCGCCCACAAACTCGCCGGCACATGATAAACCAACTCCATCCAAACAAACGCACTAAACCACACCGGTGCAGGATCCTCAAAGAACTTGTCCCGGTATGTCGCGACATAATACTCGCGCAATTGCGCGGAGAGATCGGTGCGGAGCCATGCCGGTTGGAGGGGGACTGTGTCAACGAGGAAGATTATGGGAAGGTGGGTGGTGAAGAAGAGGAGGTAGGCGAGATCGCGTTTGCGGGTGGTGAGGGGGGCCATGCTGCTGGCCACGGACCGTTGGCGTGGGGGAGGTTTGGAGATTGGAGATTGGAGATTGGAGATAGTGGTGTTGGCGCCGGAGCTGGGCCAGAGGAACTGGGGGCGTGCCGAGGTCGAAGAGGGCTGGAATGGGTTTTGGGGGGGGGGAAAACCGTTGGATGTTGGTTCGCGTGGAGACGCGTTAAGGGAGATAGATGTTCGTCAGGAATTCAGGGGGATGGGTCAACTGGTCAATTTTTGGGGGGGGGGGCCTCTAGCCAACTGGTGAGATCGATCCTGCCCCCCTACAGACTACAGTAAGCAGCTAAGCCTAAGCGAAATAGACAAACGACTAACGCCTCAAAGGCACCGATCAGGTGGGGGCTCTCAACCGGCGATCTGGGACCATGTTTGCTTTTTTCTCGGATTTAAGCTTAGTGGAGATCTGGGTATAGCGTCCACTACAACAGTGTTGTCGGAGTACATAGTAGCAAGGAGATGACGAATTGGATATAGAAGAGCTTTGCTCGTGATAGCCCTCTTCCTCGGGGTAGCTCCTCGTGGGAAGAGTTCCATTCCGACCGACTGAATTTTTGCAGCTTACATCCCCTTCAGGAATTGAATAGGGGTCAATCTTCGGAATACGTCCTGTACATCCGTAGTTACTACAGTAGGTAGGGGTTACGCTACGGATTACGAACAACGGTGACAGCCACCAGATGGATCCTCCTCCAAACCGGTGAACCACGGGAGACGCAAGTCTGGCACGAGTGGACATTCCGGCCCGGTCCCTTAAGTGAGAACGATGCGAAAAGACGTGATGTGATCCACCCAGACGACCTTCCATGAAAAACATTTTAGTAAATAGAAAACCAACAGCCATGATTAATGCCTCGTTCTCCGTTCTCCCCGAAACCCTGATACTTGAACATCAAATTGAACCTTCCTTTTTCTCTTCGAAGCCCGAAACCCCCAAGCCTGATGGGAGCAATCGTTGACTAACGGCTTGGATTTATCTACCACCTTAGCGGCCGCATTATCAGGCTAACTGGGTCCCCGGGTTTTCCTCCGCGCGGAGTCAACCTGCACAAGAAGATTGAAGAGGGAAGGACTGAGAGACGTAGACGAAAAAGACCTGGGGACCTAGGGAGCAAGTTCAAGCAACGGAAGAGCTGATTGTTATCACGTCACGGCGGCGTGGATGCTCACTGGACGAAGAGATGAATCGTATCAACCGCTCTCCGTCCCTCGGCTTCCAGACAGAGTAGTAGGAGGTTAGAAGGGCGGACTACTGTAGGACTCGCAGATGTGGCGTATTGGGCGAGCTAGTCTGGCTCCGTCGTTGATGCAACAAGGAAAATCAAAACCGGGAGTCGGACTGCATCGTATCGTCCAGGATTTGTGGCGCTGGAAGACCCGTGGAGCCTGCGTTTGTACTTTATGCGGTGCTATAGGCTCGGGTCGGGAATACTGGTTTTGTTATGTGCTGGGTACTTTACCTTGGTGAACACGCCCTACAGGGAAAGGGAAAAGAAAGAAAAAAGCGATTCGTACGATGCCCGCGCGGTCGGGATTCGACTTCGCCGATCGCTGGTCTGTTCTCTGGACCCATGTTAGATTTTTTTTTTTCTTTCGGTTTTTTTCCATGTGCAACGTGGTCCGATGGGGAAGATGGGCAGAGGACGCCAAAGTGATGAGGTCAACGGGCGGGATTCGAGCAGACCGCATGTTTGGGAGGAGACCAATGAGTTAAGGGCGTGGGCGCCGATGGAGGGTGAATGTGGGGATGGGGAATGGGGTGATTGAGGGTGATTGGGTTAAATTGAGTGAAATAATTGGATGGACCAGGGGGCAAAAGGCAAGATTAGGGGCGAACAGGCCGAACAGGGGGGAGGACAATGGTTTCGAAATTGCGAGCAGAAAAGTAGTCAACGCAGGAAGCAGAAGCTCGAGAGGATAAGAAAAAGGAAAAAGTGGGGAGCCGTGAAACGGGCATCATCCCGGGCAGATGGAGCCTATCCCCACCGGGATTTTCTGTGCTTCTTCGCTCGCTCGCTGGCGGTTCTTGGGTCTTGGCCCCTTGTCGCTTGTCAAGGACAAAGTACCGAGCTGGATATCACTACGGTAGGTTGTATGTAGGAACTTTTTGTTTTCCGTGCCTAACGGACTCTCGATCTCTTCCGGTCCGAAGTGTGGAATGAATAGCTACTCCGGACTTATACTGTAGCTAGTGACTATCTCTTAACTTTGTCCTCCGTATCACTACCCAATTGGTCCAGCAAATCCTCCAAAGATAAACCTCGCGAACCGAATCCTTCAGAATACGACCAAGGTCCGGTCAATTGGACAATCACTTGAAATTAGAATCCTCCTTGAAGGGCTGCTCTGCATAGATCACGGCAGATAATGCAATTGCCATTCCGCCTGCAGCTGCCTTATCGATGCACTGTTCAAGTACACAAACCGCAAAAGCCAACAGCCAACAGCCACTAAAGCGGAAGCAACCAGCCGGCTCTTCGAGGCCGAGGCTGCATGATCTCCTAGTTTCGGGTTCTTAGTCTTTGACTAGTTCATATTAGTTCATGGTGTCATCGTCGGTACACTATGCACTTACCTGTCCTAGGTACATATCTCGGCACTGTATGAAGATCCTGGGATAAGGACCCTAGGTACGGACTGCGGCGTACTGGGTAAACTACGAAATACTTCGGTAGGTACAGTACCTGTCTTGCTCTTAACGGCTTCTTCTGTATCCAATAACAATCTCCAGCTATGACTATTCACTCGACCAACAGCCTAAGTGTATCACCATTCAATTCCCGGTCATTCCATGGGGAGCGGTGAAAATCCTACTTATTCCAGAACGGAACTATGACGGGGAAATAGGACATGATGACTCCGCGATTATCGATTCTTGCTCTTCAACCACTTCTGTACTTACTCCGTATAACTACTTAGCTAACTAAAATAATAATCATCATTAATTTAAAAATCCAAATTCTAAACGGGCCACGACAACCACCTTCTCCTTCGCGTTCCCTCCAATCTACACCTCCCATCTCTTCCCCGTTCTTCCCCCCTCCTTCCTTTCCCCATATCCCTTGTCCCCATTCTTTTCTCTTCTCCTTCTCTAACAGGTCGGAACCCCCCGGGATCGGGGTTGCCTTGCCTCTCGTTTTTTGAATCCATGACGATGATTCTTGAGTTGATTTCCTGGTTGTGCTGACCGCTTCTCTGAGCAAGCGAACCGATGCACACAGACCACTCTGATTTGGGGGTTTCCCTTTTTACTTTTCGCCCACTTTTTTCAATTTCCAAACAATAAACAACCCCTGCTTGCTGCTAGTAACAGTTAGTTAGTTCCAGAAACCGTAGCTCCATCGGCGCCTCTCAAACGTACCCCCCTAACCTCCTGTGAGATGTGGTGCGGTTCCCAAATTCCGGGTCCGTCTCTTTTCGCTCTTTGTTCCTTATCCCACTCGGAGATGAAGGGGGACTAGTGTTTGAAGCTATCATGCAGGTCGGAGGGGCCCACGATGCACTTTTTTTGCTTGCGTTTTTTTTCTTTTTCTTTTCTCGTTTTTTTTTTAACCTTTATCCATGGCCACTATCATAAATTCATAATATTATTTTACTATTCATGCGTGAACCCACTTCATCTTCTATTTCCTATTGGTGTAGTCTGCCCGTGTGGAACCGGTAGCTTGCTCGGCTGTACAGTATATCGGCGTGGAATATACAGAGTAGATATACGTACTAAGCATCCACCAAGGTAGTGGGTATATATAAAAAGGTAAGACGAACGGGTTCCAGTTGATCTGATAATATTTTCTTTTTCTCAGTGGAACTCGGCGGGTCTATACTAGCTGCCCTCTATATCTACACGACGCTGAAACCGCCCTTTATCCTATTCCTATTCACCACTCTCTCTCCTCTCCTCTTTTCATCCTCTCCTCCTTCCATACCTCCTACAATGCCCTCTTCAGCCCCCCCTCATCCGCTCCAAGACCAATGGCCATACAGGTAATGGCCATAACGTCCACAATGCCCACAAACCCGAAATCCCCATCAGCTACGACATCAACATCCCCTACGTCGACGTCAACAAGCTCTCCCACATCAACACCCCATATCCACAATACCTTCCCACCTGGGATCCGATCTGGTTCGACCCCCTCCCGCCCTTCGACTACCTCGATCCAGCCCTGCGTGTCAAAGACCCATCCATGCGCAACCTGCTCACCCCAGACGTGACCGTCAACCACATCCAACCCAGCATCGGCTCCGTCGTCGAGGGCGTCCAGCTAAACCGCCTCTCCGACGCGGCAAAGGATGAACTCGCCCTGCTCATTTCCCAGCGCAAAGTGGTCGCATTCCCAGACCAGGATCTGATTGATGATGGTCCCGCTGCGCAGGAGTCGTTTATGCGGTATTTTGGTAAACCCAATTACCAGCCTGTCTCGGGAACCGTGCGCAATCACCCTGCCTTTCATGTGATTCATCGCGATGGGAATCGTGAGGAAATCGCTCGCTTCTTGGAACAGCGTACTACGACTACCCTCTGGCATCAGGATGTTAGTTACGAGATCCAGCCGCCCGGGTATGTCATGTTGGGTCTTTTGCAGGGTCCTGAAGTCGGCGGTGATACCGTCTTTGCGGCGACCGATATGGCGTATAAGCGGTTATCGCCTACGTTGCGCTCGTTCCTGGATACGTTGAAATGTGTGCATTCGTCTGCGAGAATGATTGCGCATACGAGGTTGACGGGTGGTTTGGTGCGGAAGGATCCCGTTGATACCCTGCACCCGTTGATTCGCGTGCATCCTGTTACCGGGGAGAAGTGCCTGTTTTTGAATGCTGAGTTTATTACCAAGATTCAGGGCATGAAGGAGCCGGAGGTCAAGTGGATGTTGGACTTTTTGATGAATCATATTATTACGGGCCATGATTTCCAGGCGAGAGTCCGTTGGCAGCCTCGGACTATCGTTATGTTTGATAATCGGTCTACTACTCGTGAGTCTTTCCCCCGTCCTTGTCAGATGTATTATGGAAATGTTCATGGCTGACTGAAGTAGACTCTGCGATCGTCGATTATCTCGATGATGAATACGGCGCCAAGGCCCGGCATATCTTCCGGCTGTGTGCCCTGGGCGAAAAGCCTATCCCCGTGGACGAGTTTGAGTAAAAAGCACCAGCCACAACCACCTCCACCATGTCCCTGTTTATGCAAGCGATTCGCGTTTCCTGCGCTTTTGGTTTATCTGATAGAAGGCTCTTTCCTTGAATTGTCCGGGTGTTTCGGTTTAGACTGCGTGCTTTTTTTTCTGGGAATGTTTAACCTTGTCGTCGTTTCGGGTTGGGTTGACAACTACGAACACTTAATGGCAAATTTCATGACCAAATTTTGTGACGATGAATGATGCGGCGTGGGGTTCGCTTGACAGTGGAAGATAGAAGTGTTCGTGTAGATTTCCTTATACTGCATAACGAAAATGCCGTTTCATTACCATTTCCCCAAGATACAACAACGCCCTCGGGATTGCAATAGAGTTACAGAAACAGAGACGAAAAAGTCGGGATAGAAACAGGATGAGAAGGAAAAAGCATGAACATAACCGTCGATCCTGGACAAATCCGAATAAACAAGCAAAAAAGAAAGGCCTTTTTTACCATGGACCTCAAAAACTAAATCACCGTAGCAAATCCTCAATGCGTTGCCGCAATTCCTGGCAACGCTCCGTAATCTCCGGCGTCGTCGCAGTGCCGGCCTGCATGATCATCAACAAAATCTCCGAAACTCGCTCGGCTTGGCCGTCTCCTCCAAAGACTATGCCACCCAGCCGGGCACTTTCCCGGAACCATCCCTCCAGAAGATACAGCAAATCCTTGGCAATGTACCGGCGGTTGGACCCGTGGAAGGGCGCCTCGTCGGTATAGAACATCGCCTCCAGAACGGTGAAGAGCGAGTCGTGGGCCACACCCAGATCCAGGAACAGATCGACCACCCAGTAGGTCGCGCGAACATTGCGTTGGAACTCTAGCGAATACCGTTCAAGCATGGGGAGGAGCTCTCGGACGGGGAAGACCGACTCCGACATCCGTAGTCGACTGCCAAGGCTTCGCACCTTTTCAACCACCGCCTCAAAGGGCTGCGGTGTGCCGCGATCCACTGTCCGCTGGTGCACTTCCTGGATCAAATTCTGCCAGGTTGACTTGATATCTGCCGCATTCCGGTAATCGCCGATGTAGAATATCTGCAGGCAGATGTCATTGTAGCCCGCCGGGTCCGCGTAGACGTTGAAGAGCTGGAAATGAAGGTCAGAATATGGGTCATGCAGGGTTAAACGAGAAAACATGACATACCGTGCTGATATCCAGAACTGGGCCATCTACGTCCCGGAGAACCTCAGTCTTACGCTCGGGGGCGATGCGTTCGTCATCCTTCAGGCGCTGTAGAAGGTCATCCTGAATGTTGGCCACGTCGATGAGGTTTGAGATTTCCTGTAGCAGACGCTGGCGTTCCTGACGGCCGACATCGCGGGTTAATGTGGAGCAGTTAGCGCGAGCACGGCCCAGATACTCGATGCGTCGACTGAGCGGTAGTGCAAACGAGCTCCCAGCCAATTGGAATTGAACCTCGGCGGCCTCGAAGAACCGCTGAGACTGGGCGTAGTATTGCCAGAGGAGATCGGCGTGGGCAATATCATCATTAGACTTGCGCTGCAGATAGCTGACGACAAACGCTGACTGGGTCTGGAGGAGTCGCTCGCTCCAGCCCTGCTCCAAGTACCAGTCGTACAGACTGGTCAAAAATACCTCATCGGAGGAGTCAGTAATGACGCCGTATGCCTCATTCTGTCGCTTGGCAATCACAGTCAATTGACCGTCAATGACATGAGGATCAGAAGCAGCTTGGGTGTCCACGGCGACGATGACTTTAGATACGAGGTCGTAGCATTGTTTGCGGAAGAGGAAATATTGCTTGCGAGGGTCCTGGGTAAATATGAGCGGGTGTTGATGGCCAGACAGGGGGAAGCCGTTTTGGGAGGGAAAGTTCACCTGTTCCGGGCGGCCTTCCATGATCCAGGAAAGGGCCATGTTTGCCTTGTCGGAGCGTTGAGCGACGTGGAGGGCGAGTGAAATAGCGCCTGTTGATGTTAGTACAGACTTAGCAGCCTCTTAATGCGAGCATTCGCATAGATAATGACATACCAGCAAAGAACTGATTAGAAATAAAGTTATCCACAGCCGAGACCAAGTAATCCATAGGAAGATCCTCAGCCACCTGCTGGAAAAGAAGCAAACTCTCATTCAACAAGTTACGACCCAGCTCGGAGTTAGCACCAGCTTCAGTTGCCCGCTTGAGCTGCTCTTGCGCCTTGAAGATGACCACATCCTCGGCACTACAGAAGTTGCCACACCGGCGACGTAGAGCATCCGCCACGGTCTCAACGTTGGATCCCTTGGCAATGTTGCGGTTGACAATGCCCTTGACCAACTCTTTGGCGATATCGTGGCCCTTGGCCGTGCTGAAGAGTTCTTCAAAAGTCAACTTCAAGAATCGCTCCTTCGATTCTTCAGGTAGGGTAGCCACGATCTCGTCCACTCGTTCGTCGAAGAGCACCAGCACGAAGGAAATACCTTCAATTGTGTGAGACACGAGCTGAACGAGTGAATGTAGAGCACGGTGCTCGGCTTGCAGGGCGGTCTCTTGCTGTTTATTCGACACCCGAGCCAGCTCCTCCGGGCCGGTCAACCCCTCGATAAAGCTCTTGTTGACCTTGAAGAACTCTTGAAGAGAGGATAGATCATGCTGGATGGTCCGCAGCTTGGCTGCGCTCACCGAGGCAGACACAGAAGTCGCACCGTTCGGTCCCTTGCCAACCTTGGTGATGCTCATCTTCCAGATCGACCGCAGCAGACGCGAGATATACAAGGCAATGCCGTCGTGACGGGGAGAAAGGTGGATCGTATCAATAGCGGGGGTAATGTTGTCCTGAACGGTATTTTCATCAGGTACTGGCCGGCCGCCTTGCTCAATAAAGACCCTGCGGGCAAACTCCAAAACGTCCGGGTCATTAATCGGAGTTAGCCGTTGATCAGGGGAAACTTCCACACCCTGGCCACAAGCCACGGCGAGGGCGGTGGCCACTGTCTCATTGCGGCCGTAGGCCTTGATAAAGTTGACCACTTCCTGCTCGAGGCCTACTTCGCCATCAGCAGTACCACGACTGCGTGCCAACGCAGCAAAGACATCGACCAGACGTCGTCGACGGATGACATGGATGCCACTGTTGGTCAGGATTGCAATCTCAGCCGCTCCCTGGTCAAACTGAACAGCCAACTCGTTTCTAAAGCCACCTCCGGAAATTCCGAGGGGTGTACTGGAACACAAGCCTATATCCTCCGCTCGTCCACCCAGGTTCAACCAAACCGCTGATTCGGCGGTCTTGGCAATGTTCACACTCTCCGGCTGGTAGTTGAGGCGACCGGGGTCGGGCGAAGAAATGAACAATGTGTCCATTCTCTGGGTGGTGTCTTTGCACGTAAAGCAGAAGAAAAATCCCGGGGGAATCTCGTTGCCATACGTGTCGGGGACAAAGACTGGATGGGGAACTTAGTGACGGCAGCGTTTAGTCGAGACACTCCGTACTCGGTAGGGGCTGACACAGCGGCGAATGCAGCTGTGTTGTCAACGGGGGGCGTCTTGACATGCTGGGCCTGCATGCTCGTGGGAGCATTGCTGCCGTTGGATGCGGGAGCCCAACTATAAGCATTGGTAGCACTGAGGTAGATCCGATAACCCGTAGCGGTGGTGGCCACCAGGTGATATCGAGATGCCTCCGCGGCGGGGACAGGACTGATAGAAACAATCTTCACTTTCGGGTTCAAAGTCTCGTTAGATGCGATGATATGTCCAATGTTGGAGTAGATGTCCAATGCTGCTTTGGTGATTGCAAGAGAGATGGCGCCATCGTCCTTCATATGGAAGACCCGGATGGTTGAGGTGGACGACAAAGTGTAGAGAAGTCTTCGACTGTCGTCAATCACCATCTGCTCCACATATTCCGAAATCTTTTGAGACAAGGCGGCGAGGTTAGAAATGCTCAGAGACGGGGCAAACGCGGATAGCCTTGAGCTAGTGTGGTTAATCTTGCGGCATCGATTCTGGAACCATCCTTCCTCTTGTTGGTATGTAAGTTCATAAACATCATTGTCGGACAATCCACCAAAGAAAATGCGGCCGGTAGCATCGGACGAAGCAAATACATTAATATCGAGTCCGCGAATAGATACCGACATTCCGGTCTGGTAAAGAGTAACCTGCTTCGATCCATTGGGTGTCGATTCCACACCCATGCCCAGCAAGATGACCTCTGCAGTCGTAGCCACAACAAGCAGATGGGTGATGGCAGGCAAGAACACTCCCGCACGCGGCTTCACCAACTTGACCGCATTGATGCTGTTTGGCTGATCCTCGAAGCCAACCAATTGCGGACTCGGGTGTGTGAAATCCCAGAGGTACAGTGCATTATCGATCGCCACCCACGCGTGGTTCAACTCGGCGAAAAGACCCATGCTCGTCGACACCTGAGCGCGATTGTACTGATCGAAGATTTGGTCGGGGATATTGTACATTTTGACTTTTTGGAAGGGAGCCCATGATTGGGACACGGGAATGTCATACTCGGAGGAGAAGCCCTCTATATAAGCGCGCGTTTTTTACATTAGCTTTGGATCGTCAAGTTTCACCAAGGGAGAGGCAGAAAAGAAAACTCACGAGACAGATAGCTGTCAAGGTCGGGATACCGCGATTCCTTAAGAAGGGTCTCATTGATGGTGCGCGCTCCCCGTTCCTCGGTGCTCAATGTCAGATTTTGAGTCTGCGAGGCCGCCGGAGGCATCCTAGGCATGAGCGGAGATTGGGACGCGATGCCTTGTGGCTGTGGCTGTTGCGGCGTCGGTAGCTTTTGCTGTTGCTGTTGGTGTTGAGGCTGTTGCGTAGGCGATTGGAATGATCCATGACGAGCGACAGCTGGGGTCTGCAAGTATGCCCCAGGAAGTGGCCTTTGAGGCGTCGGGGGCGCGAAGTTGGCAGGCAGAGTCGGGTAGGACATGACGACGGATTCGTAGGTACACAGCTGGGGAGGAGATTGGAGGAGAGAGGGCACGACTCCCCCGGCCGAGCAAAAAGCACACAAGAAGCTGCAGGATCAATCAAAGGAAGAGACAAGCGCTTTATCAAAGGAGGGGAAAGTCGGCGTGGAGGGAGGGTGATGGTTAATTAAGACGCAGAGTGAAGGTGGTTGGTGGTTGATTCTCAAGTTTCTTTTGCGAAAAGCGAGAGTCAACAATTGGAAGGCGCACGGGCCACTTTTAATGAGCTTCCGCCTTTTTTGCAGAGGCAGCGAGAGCTTCAACCTCGTCTTCGTCCTTTTCTTGCCTCAAGATTATCTGTACCATTGACTGTGAACTGGCTTGTCTTTGTTATTTGTTTCCACGCGGCGGTTCATTCATCTTCACAATGTTTCAGTCTATGCGCCTTTCCGTTCGAGTCCCCTTGCGCTCGGTGCGATGGAACTCTACAGCTGGTCCGACTCTGCCGCCATTGATGGCTACTCTGCGTAATGATCTCAAGACGGCAATGAGAGCAAAGGATACTCATCGGTAAGGCAGGAACTCAAGAATATAATTTCTCGTGTCTATCGAAGCAACCGCGCTTGAGATTTTGTCTTTTACTTACTATTGCAGCCTTAACGTACTCCGTGCCTTGATCTCCGAAACCAACAACGCTGCCAAAACTTCCTCCCCTATACAAACCGACATTCAGCTTCTCTCTCTGATTCGGAAACGGGCATCAGCCGCCAAAGAGGCTGCTCAACAATTCGCCGAAGCCGACCGACCAGATTTGAAAGAAAAGGGAAGATGCCCAGATTGCGATTTTGGAAGAGTATGCAGGCCACGTCAAGACACTGAGTGTGGAGGAAGTTGAAGCCGTGATCTCAAAGGAGATTTCTGCTATTAAGGAGGCCGGTAAGAAACTGGAGGTTGGACAGGTCCTTAAGGCTCTGTTTGCTCCCGGTGGTGCTCTTGATGGCAAGCCCGCAGACCGGAAAGAGGTTGCTGGGCTGGTCAAGAAGGCTGTTTCTGCTTGAATAAGAGCAGAGAGCAGGGAGGAGTGAGTAATGGAGCAAAGAAATGCTCTACATGTACAATAGTCTTGTTACAATATTGTGATATACCCGTTCCATTGGACAGAAATCTTCGAGGTATAAAGAGGGAGAGGAACGGAAAGAAACTCGTTCAAATTCGAACGAGAATACACATAATCGAATCACAAACGCCAAATCCATCAAGGAGAGAACTTCTCCTACGAGCAGAAAAACGCCAATCCTCCCAGAGATGTCATCAATACGCCAAACCACCACCATCGGTCCGGATTAATGAGCTCTTCTTTAATCACCAGATGGAAACCTGACCCAGACATGTCGCGCTTCTTGCGAGACCCTCGTGGCATGGGATTCAACGTCGTGGTAGGGAGCATCTTTGGCGGGCGGTAGGTGAGATACATTGGCTGCATGATCTTTCCATCGGCCTGGGTCAAGTCGAGCCGTTGAATGCCGTGGTATTGATCGACTTGAACAGAGTATCCCTGATTCGAGATCTCAGCATGATGATCTTCGGACATGACTTCTTGAATTGTTATTCTTGCCTACCTTGAAATGCTCGGTGTTGTTGTATCGTGTATAACTGCTGATGCCCTGTCTGCATGGCTCCGAGAGTAACTGGCGTCCATCCACTGAGATCGGGGTCAAGATGAGGGAGCCATTGGTTAGCAGAGTATAAGAGCCATGCTGCCACTGCATCATCCCGGACGGACATGACGGGTCGGTGGCTAGATGGAATAAAAGGGCTGGTTAATTGGTGGCCTCAATTTGGTGTTGCTGGTATAGATGGACACTCACGATTGGCTAGGGCTCGGTACAAGGCCTCTTCATAGTATCCGTCGGCGGAAAAAGAGTACGAAATGCCCGTCAGATTGGGCTCGAGGAATCGATCTTTGAGAGGATCGTAGAAGTCCTGTATCTTTGATTAGCTTGGCTGTCTCCTTGTCCAAACATAATACGTACTGGTCCAGTGAAGACATTGCGAGACTTGGTCGTCCACGTCCCGACCAGTTCATCCACACTAGCTGCTGCCACTGTCGTGGCCAGCAGAGTCCACATCCACAGCATATTTTAGGTCGACAAACTCAATGACACTGTCAAAAAGGTGGAACAATGCCGGACTCATTGAATAAAATGAGAACCAAAATGAAGAGAGAACAGGTCAGCTTCGAGATTCAATCCCTACATTCAAGTGGGGACTAAACAAGGACCTCCTCAGCTTGGAATGTCAAGGTCGGTCCACTTTTCTTATCGCGGTTATCTCTCCTCCTCTCATTCTCAACTGTCGACTTTCCCGCAGGGTCTCTGGTTCCTGGTAATGATGGCTCTTCAGACTGCGAAGCGCGACCTGCGCAAGCGGATGCGCGAGACTTTGTCGGCGCTTTCCAATACTTCAATTGTACAGCAATGTTGGTTTTCTCCATTCTTACCGGGCATCCCACCCCCAATGCCACCTTGAGTCATGCGCAACCTCCGCTCGCTTTGATGCTAACATCGCGCCTTCATCTGTGCAGCCAGTGTCGCTACGAGTAAATTCCTGTCACTATCGGAGTACCAGAATGCAAAGAGCATTGCTGTCTACCTTTCCATGCCCAGTGGAGAACTGTCAACCCGCAGTATCGTGCAAGATGCCTTCCAGCGCGGGAAAGACGTCTACATCCCATACATTCATACCGTCGACAAGGTCTCCGTCATGGACATGTTAGCCCTCGAATCCATCGCCGAATTCGAGTCTTTACAACCCGATAAATGGGGCATCCCTTCCCTACAGCTTACGCAGATTCCCGGTCGGCGAGACTGCTTCTCCGGAAAGGGTCTTGATCTGATTGTCATGCCGGGCATGGCATTTGACTCGGGCTTTCGACGACTTGGGCATGGAAAAGGGTATTATGACCATTTTCTGAAGCGGTATTCTCGATGGAGCAGCAAGATGCCATTCCTTGGTAAGATTGGAAACCCTCGGGTACGAAATATGCAGAAGACAAATATATTTTCCCCGGATGTTTTTATCCCATTGTCCCAAACAAAAAGAAGAAAAGCTAAAACTCCGTTACTCTAGTGGCCCTGTCTCTCCAGGAGCAGCTGCTCGCCGAGGATATCCCCGTCTTGGAACATGACTGGCTGATCGATGCCATCGTGGTGGGTGATGGGCGGTACCTGGACCGCAGGTCGTAGGTCGAACAATCGACAGAAAGGTATAAAGGAAACGAGATAGATGCGAGGTGTCGTGCGCGTCAAGCGTAAGTCGAGCTTCAAACGGCCTGGATGAGGGAGACGTTATCGCCCTTGAGCAGGATTTGGCCTAGAAGGAGGAAAGGTGTATATTAGTTTCTGTTTGCATAAATTTCCGCTTGTATAAAGTTGGGCTGCGTATAATCCACGCCACATATCACGTAAAATGAGGGATTCCCATACCGAGAGGCCTCCGCTTCTCCTCCTCAGTCTTGGTAGCAAGACGCACTTCCACCGCGTCGTCGACAACAAGGTTCATAAACTCATCAAAGCCCTGGAAAGAATCGCACAGGTCAGCTATACTCGGGAGAACGAGGAGCCGAGGAAAAAAATCGCGACAAGCGTACCCTGATCTTGCCCTCAATGCGGAACGCAAGCTGCTCGTACAGCCAGATCGAGACAGTGCTGCGCTTCTGCAGCAAGCTGAAAATGAAGTGGATTGGCGCCAACAAAGTCTTGCGGCCAGCCATGATGGATGAATAAAAGGAATTGAGGTGGTGAGACGTTGTCAAGAAGGGCGGGATCGCGGGCTTGCGGCGAAGGAGGGAACTTAGAGAGTTCGAAAGCTCTGCGTCCCGTGATTTGGGTATGGTAATACCATTACGCAGAGCCAGTCACGGGCATCCCGACATCCCACCTTCCACTCCCTCCTCCGCCATCTTTTGCGATTGCACCCAACGTCTACGACAACGCTTTCCCTGCGTTTCACCCCTTTTTGTTTCCCGTCTTCATTGGATGTGCATCTAAATTGCTGGTTTTGCAATCCTTCTGTCCAACCGCTCACCCTCCTCCAAAATGGCCAGCAAGGATGGTGGGCAGGCATTTGCCCCGGTCCTGGCGGCCGTCGCGACCATGCAAGGGAATGTGCCTAGGACCGAAAAGGCCCAGGCCCATGCTTTCCTTGAGAAGTTCCAGAAATCGGTACGTTCTGGCGAAAACTCGCGAAAAATCTGGTGGAGGTTCGGGGCTTTGGATCTAGCTATACTGACGTGTTCCCTCTCCGCCGAAAATTAGGTCGAGGCCTGGACAACTACACACACTCTATTACAATCTTCCGACGTGCCGGTGGAAGCTAAATTGTTCGCGGCCACTACATTGAAGGGAAAGGTGTGGATAAACTCTGTCGGAGAGGAAGGGAAATGGCCCCGCTAAATAATTACAGATCATCTTCGACCTCGATCAATTGCCTCCAGACTCTGTAGTGGCGCTTCGCGATTCCGTCCTCAATCTACTCGTTGCCTTTGCCTCGGGCCCGCGACCCATACAGACTCAGCTATGTGTGTGCCTGGCAAGCTTGGCGATCCAGATGCTGGCCTGGAAGGATGTTTTGGCCACGGTGGGGTCGGCCTTGGGTAGCAGTGCGGGGGACTGTGTGCTGGAATTTTTGAAGATCTTGCCTGAGGAGGTGACCGAAGGTCGCAAGATCAATCTAGGTGTATGATTCACGGAGTCAAAAGCTTGGTTTTGCGTGCTATTACAGTCACTGACAATGCTTTAACAGGAGGACGAACTGATTGAACGAACAAAGGAGCTACTGGAGGATAATGCCGATCAGGTGATGCAGCTGATGATTCAGTATTCTCAATCGTCACGTATGTATCCTTGCGCAGATTTACCATCCCACTATGAATTCTTTCTAACAGACATGGTTTTACAGCTACGGCTGCCACCAACCCACGCCTTCTCGATTGCATTACCTCATGGCTCCGTGAAATCCCGGCTGCTCAGGTCATCGATTCACCTTTGATGGACGTCATTCTCAAGGCTTTGGATAATGATGTCTCTTTCGATGCCGGTGTTGATTGCATGTGCACGCTCTATCGCGACACCAAGGATGTCCATGAGTCCCTGCCCATCATTCAAGCCCTCTATCCCCGTCTGATGGCCCTTCGGCCCAAGATTGCCGAAACCGCCGAGGCTGAAGATTTGGAAGCTTTCAAGGGCATTACGCGAATGTTCGCCGAGGCTGGTGAAGCATGGGTGGTGCTCATCGCGCGTATGCCTGGTGAATTCCGAGGCCTGGTGGAGGCCATTCTCGAGTGCTGTGCGCGGGACTGGGAACGCGAGGCCGTGTCCATCACCTTCATTTTCTGGTACGAATTGAAACAGTCGATCACGATTGAACGATATAACGAGGCGCGCCTCAACTATCAAGACATCTGGTCACAGTTGATGGACATAATGGTCAAACATCTTGAATTCCCTTCCCCCGAGGAAGGCGAGACTGATCTGTTTGGTGGTGATCGCGAGCAAGAAGAAAAGTTCCGCCAGTTCCGTCATGCTATGGGCGATGTCCTCAAGGATTGTTGCTCTGTGATTGGCGTGACCGAGTGTCTTGGCAAGATCTACCACTTGATCCAGCAGTGGGTGGGCAAATACGCCTCGCAGGCTAGCAATGAGCACGTCCCCCACTGGCAAGAGCTTGAGGCACCCCTATTTGGTCTTCGGGCTATGGGTCGCATGATCGATCCTGTTGAGACCACCGTGCTAGGCCAGTTGATTCCTCTAATTGTGCAGATTCCCGAGCAGGAGAAGATTCGATTCCAAGCCATAATGGCTCTCGCTCGTTACACAGAGTGGACATCGATGCACCCAGAAACCCTCGAGGCCCAACTCAACTATGTGATCTCTGGCTTCCAGCATCCATCTGTAGAGGTGGTGCAAGCGGCCGCCCTGGCATTCAAGTTCCTGGGAACTGATTGCCAGAAGCTGCTCGGCGGTCACATTGGCCAGCTGCATTCATTCTTCGAGTCTGTGTTGGACAAGCTGAAGCCAACCAGCCAGGAAGAAGTGACCGAGGGTGTTGCCGCCGTGGTGTCAGTGCAGCCTTTGGAGAAGATTTACGACTCGATGAAGATGTTCTGTGATCCGATCATGCAACGGATCATGACTCTTGCCAATAATGCCCAGGACGAGGAGGGTCAGCGAGCCGTGGCTGATCACCTCGGACTGATTTCTATCTTTGTCCAGGTGGTGACCCCCATCGTTGCTCCTGGAGAGGAGAATCCCGCCGTGAAGTATTGCGGTGAGATTCTGCCTATCATGACTACGATCGTTATGAACTTTACGTCTTCTACCCCTATCCTTGAGCGTGTCTGCCGTTGCTGGCGAAACATGATCATCTCGTATCGTACTGCAATGATTCCTCTGCTGCCTACCTTGGCCGAAAGCATTGCCAATGGTTTCCAGGCCTCCCGTGAGGGTGGCTTCTTATGGGCTACTGATGCGGTGGTTCGCGAGTTCTCCCATGGTGCGGAATACGTTGATGAGGCGACCAGTAATGCCGTATTCCATTTCTATGAGCAACAAGCCACTGCTTTCCTCCGGATTATGAATGATTTGCCGCCGGAGAACCTTCCCGATGGTAAGTGAAGCCGAATCCACTGTGTATTCCTACATCTAACATTGTACAGTTATCGAGGATTTCTTCCGTCTGTCCTCCGATGCCGTTCGATACTACCCTAAGAAATGCATTTCCTCGGAATTGGCCATTCCCATCTTCTCTGCCGCTCTTAGTGCCCTCACCCTCCAACAGGTCGACCCTCTCATCGCCACCCTTCACTACTACCGCGACCTGTTCAGCTTTGCATTTGAAAAGCCTCTGATCTCCGAGTTCACCAGTCCCGACGAGGAGCCTTATGTCAACCCACCCGAGGTGCGCGAGGCTGTCAAGAACCTGATCGTTACCCAGGGTCAAGTCCTGTCCGAGCGTATTCTGGCCGGCATGATCTTCACTTTCCCAGGTGACTGCTTCCCGGATGCTTCGGCGATCATGATGACCATGTTTGAGTTGCTTCCTCATGAAACGGGTGCTTGGCTCCAGAACACGCTGCAGATGTTGCCAGCTGGTTCAATGAAGCCGGCCGAAGCCGAGCGGCTGTTGAAGAACGTTGCGGAAAAGGTGCAGTCTGGTGAAATTCGGAAGATTCGCGTTTTACTGCAGGGTAAGTCAACCATGCTGCAAGCTCTTCGCTTTTCCATCTCTAACATATTGTTTCTAGACTTCACCAACTCGTACCGCCGCCGTAATGTTGCTCCCCGTGAGGGGCTGGGCCGCTTGGAGGCCACCCGATTCCGGTTCAGCGGGTGAAAAGAGAAACCATAAATCATTAAAAAATATACCCTCTTCTTTTCCCCGTGTACAAAACATTTTTTCCCTCGGTTTTCTCTGGATCTGGTGATCTTTTCTTCATGGTCTGATCAGATAAGAAGTCTCGTCCCGGACGCATTCGCACACCAGGTGTTGGTCCAATGGCTGGGCTGGAACGACCGGTCATCTTGTGATATCCCACCGGTTCACGCCGGCTTTCTTCCGGTGAGGGTGGATGAGGTATCTCGGTACGTCTATTCTACTTGCTGAGTCTGGCTTCGAGTGGGACTGCATGACACCCCTTTCACGCACTGTGATGGATAGGTAGAGAATACTAGGTAGACAGGTTTTTTGTCTGTCTTCATTCGTTGATTGCGTTTGCACTGTAGGGATGGACCTATGGCATGGCAGTGCGATTAGATTGAGATATTCCGTTCTGTTGTATTGGGTAGATGCATAGGCTTGGGCTTAGGCTGGATGAAATATAGATCTGGTTGCTTTATGGAGGGTGAATAGCTGAACTACTGGGCCTGGCATCTTAGTATTCCATCGAGTTAAATTGTATTTTGTTCGGGCGGTTAGCAGGTAGGTGGCGGTATTCAGAGGGGAGGACGCAGACATATATCGGGGCAACTTCAGCCGACATCCATCGTACTCCCGTACCCTCGGTTGACCTATACCTAGAACCATTGGGCAATATACAATTTCAGGTTGATTATGATCATGTAAAAAGGTATGCAAATCAATTCCATGTCCAAAGACTATTCGTTAAACTAGCTTTGGTGCTTGCGCCTTGATGCTGATGGGTGGACGCAGACCACACTGCGTTAGAGGGTTGCTAGGGAATGCGACTAGAGCCAGGAGATACGATACTACTCTAATAGGACCTAATGAACCCGCTGGAATAATCGATTCAAAGGGTCATTCTCAACATTCTCAACATTCTCATCCATTATGACTATATTCCATCATCCATCTACTCGATATTCACCGAGCTCCGCCAACTTTAGCTCGACCCCACACTTCCGGGCCCGGGGGAGAGACCCAAACGCCCATTTGACTTTGGAACCACTGACTTTTGACTTTGGCCTCCCTCGCAATCATCCTCTTCTCACTCTCTCTCTCCTCCTCTCAACACTGTTCTACTGACCACCACGCTTCCACTACCACGTGGGTTCACGGCTCACGGCTCTCGGCATCTCATCTCCACCTGCAGCGATCCTCGCAGCCGCACCCTCGTGCTCATGGCACCCGATGGTGCTCCCCGCGGTTAAATCGGACATCATGGTCGAGATCGACGAACAGCCCTCCAAGCGCCGGCGACGCAGTCGGCGAGCTCCCTCCGATCGCAAATTCGAATGCACACACGAGGGATGTGGAAAGAGTTATTCGCGCGCCGAACACTTGTACCGGCACCAGTTGAACCGTATGACGAATCGATCTTTTGCGATCCCCATGCTAGGCGCGGGCAAGGAGCTAACCTATTCTCCTCTTCTCTCGCAGATACCCCGAAACAGATCTTTCGCTGTGATTTCCCTAATTGTTACCGCTCGTTCGTCCGTCAGGACTTGTGTATTCGCCATCGCGAACGCCATACCACCCGCGGTTCGCAGTTGCAGAAGCGCGATAGCTTCGCCCATGACAGCCTCGATGAATCCCCGCACAAATCTCTCATCCCGGTCTCGTCGCCGTCTTCACCCTCCATGACTACGGCTGAGTACCCCTTCATGACGGATCCTGCTGCTCCCAGCTCTAAATCCCCATCGAATACGACGAATAATTTCTCCCTGCCTACCACCACTACCACCACCGCTACTACTACTACTACTACCGCCACCACCATCGACACGGCTGGGGTCCCTGTGTCTGGCTACACGGATTTCTCCGGCGCCATCAGCCAACAGGACCCCATGCTGGACTTTGACTCCATGTCCAATGCTTACCCGATCTTCGGCGGCGAGACTTATAACCGGTCACCGTTTGCAATGGCGGATGACTTTGCGGCATGGCTGTTCAGTGAACCGCTCGCCCCGTTGGGCTACGGGATGATGCCTTTTGTACAGAATCAGTTCTACATGAATGAGCCCTCGTACAATAATTTCTGTACCGTCATCCCGCAACATCCAATGAGCGTGACGAGTATTCTAGATTCGACTTCCCTGCCGGCGATTATCTCGGAGGAAAAACGGCAAGACTTGCTGCATCTTATGGCAACTCGGTTTAATGAGGCGGCGTACTCGGCGGAAGGGAAACGGAAGGATGCGCTGATGGATGGGGATTTGGATAGTGATCGGCATGTCTTGAGTTTGCGCATGATGCAGACTTATATTGGATCGTACTGGTATCATTTCCACACGCAGTTGCCGATTCTACATCAGCCTACCTTTGCGGCCGATCGCACGCCGAATTTGCTGCTCCTCGCGGTCATGGCTATTGGGGCTGCCACCCTGGACAAGGCGCATGGGCAAGCTGCGACGGAGACTGCTGCAGAGCTGGCCGGTTTCATCGCATGGCATCTGCGTTGGGAGATTTTCATGGATGCCGATTTCCGGCCACCCGCGCGGCTGTGGGTGTTTCAGGCGTTGCTTCTACTGGAGGTTTTTGAGAAATCGTTCTCTACGCGGGCGCTGCATGAGCGTGCGCATATCCACCACGACACGACGCTCACGCTGATGCGCCGGGGCAGCTCGCTCATCGGCCGGTCCTCCTTTGATACACCTGAGTCTAGGGAAGAGGATGAGTCGTGGACGCACTGGATCAAGGCGGAAGCCACGCGCCGTGTCGCGTTTGCAGCATTTGTTCTCGACTCGACGCATGCGACCATGTTCGGGCACTCGGCGAAGATGGTCGCGCATGAGCTACGCCTGCCATTACCCTGTGATGAAGCACTGTGGGCTGCTACGAGTGCCGCGGAAGTTGCCCGTGTCCAGTCCAGTCTGCAGTCACACGGCGTCCGACCGATCATGTTCCTGGATGGACTCAAGCGTACGCTTAATGGACAGCCGGTCCGGACGAATACCTTTGGTCGGATCATCCTGATGGCCGGACTGCTCAGTGTGAGCTGGCATTTGAACCAGCGAGATCTGCAAGTCAGCTCTCTGGGCGTTGGACAGACCCTAGGCGGCCGGGATAAATGGCGCACAGCCCTGCTCCGCTCGTACGATAACTGGCGACGCGACTTTGACGAGGCACTGGGTCCGGCCCCGACCGCCGAGTCGGAGTCACGCGATGTCCTCCATGGCCTGGCGCATATGGCCTCGCATGTGGACGTCGTGGATTTGCAAATCTTTGCGGGAGCTGGCCGGTTAATGGGTCGGTCTATTACTGCGCGCGATTATAGTACGGCCCGGGAAAAGACTGGTCGCTGGGCGACTAAGGCATCTGCGCGCGACGCTACCTTTTACGCTCTCAAGTTTTTGAACGCGTGTTTCTCCGATCCCGCTGTGGAGAGCGGGGAGTATGTCGCCCGTGATGATTACCTGCTGAATCGGCCGTGGGTGATGTACTTTGCCGCGCTGGTGGTATGGTGTTATGGGTTTGCGTTGGATGGACCCTTGCGACCGCCGCCGGCACTGGCGACGCATGCTGATCGCCGGCGGGATATGCAGGCTTTCTTGCAGCGAGTGGGTGGGGTGCAGGAGCCGAATGATCTGGAGGGGATGAAGGGGCGGAATGGGTGTTTGGGGATGTTGATGATCATGAGGGATTCGTTTGCGAATCCCAGGTGGGAGTTGTTGGGGGAAGCGGCGCGGCTGCTGGACAGTTGCATTGCAAAGTTGCAGTCGTAGAGAGGAGGGAGATGTGTAGGAGTATGGTTTCTGGAATGGTGTATGGAGGAGTAGAGAGTGTACTTGTGAGATAGCTTGGTTGGTTAGTATTATATCCCAATGTATGTGATCCATGATGATGATGAATAGGCTGGCACTGGTAATGCTCTACAACTATAATCTATCCTATTGTACAATATTAGTAGAATAATATAATCCACGACCGTTTATCTCATCATCAGGTTATGCTCTGTAGTTTATTCCCAGATCCCCCCACTCCGACGTTGTTGATGTGGTTGCCCGACCAACGGATCTTCCCAGTGACTCGCTCTCTCCCTTTCCCACTTCCACTTCTCCAGCATCACCAACTGTTCCCTTTCCCCCCTTCCAACACTCCCCCAAACATTCACCTACATCCCTTCGTCAATTCCATTCTTGTCCGACAAGAAAAGAATTCAAGACCATGGTAAGCATGCTCCTACCTCCGACTACTTCCTACCCTACGCAACCCGTCCAGTTCAGCCCGCCTCAAATCCCCGTCAGCTCCTGTTGACGAATTACCATTTCGGTCGTGGATTCGCTTGGGACTTCCGCCCGCCATCCCTGGATTGGCCCCCCCCCTCCCTTCGTCATCTTCGCCATTCTACACTTCGTCCTTCCCTCCCATCCTACATCCTCATACTCATTTATTCAAACTACTCGCCGCTATTCACACTCTTTTCTGTCTGCCCCCGTCATCATGGCTAACAAACACGATCACCAGGCTTCTACCAACTACAAGGAAGCCTTCTCCCTGTTCGACCGCCGCGGTACCGGCCGTGTCTCGGGTGATTTGCTGGGTGACTTGCTGCGCGCTTGTGGTCAGAATCCCACGCTTGCGGAGATTAGCGATCTTGAGAAGACCGTTGGTGGTGATTGTATGTATTTGCGACTTGCTCCTGTCTTCCAGCGCTGTAGCTGAGGGGGTTTGCGATTCGGTGTGGTGACGGCTTTGCTAATGCGCCGCTTTTTCTTTGGTTTAGTCGATTTCGACTCTTTCTTGAAGGTGCTCAACCGCCCTGGTGGTTTCCGGGATCCCGGTGAGCCTGAGGAGTATTGTCGGGGCTTCCAGGTGTTTGATAAGGATATGACGGGGTTCATTGGTGTGGGACAGTTGCGTTACAGTATGTTTGGGCAGGCTTATGTCCGCGGAATTCGTTCCAGTGGTGCAAAATGCTGAACACTTGCTAACCGCCTCTTCTCTTCCGCTCTAGTCCTCACCAATCTCGGCGAGAAAATGTCAGACGACGAAGTCGATGAGCTCCTCAAGGCTGTCGATACCAGCTCCGGCGAGATCAACTATACCGATCTGGTCCGCACCATCCTGGCCAACTGATACCCCCCACGCGCAACCCTCGTTTCTTTTGCCTCGGTGGCTTCCTTGTGATTCATGAATTTACGTATGGACATGGTTTTTCTTATTCTTGCGAGGACCGCACCCTGATTGGGATACACCTGGCTCGGCTTCTTCGGTTTTACTTTTCGGCGCGAGGAGCTTCCTGTATTGACTGTATTTGATCAATGGAATGTATTATTGTTGGTGGTTCGGGTATATCTCAGCCCAACCATCCATTCATATAATTGCCACCTGTAGAGGGATTTCTTCCTTGTAGCCTTCTTTATATCTTCATATCCCACCATTCAATCCCTTCTCGTCTTCATACATCCCCAGCCCAACCACGCCACTCTTTCTCCCCAACACCCTCCCCTCCCATCTTCTCCGTCTCAACCAATGCACCGGGTAGCACATACATCGCCGGCGGCCTCTCCTGACCATCTTCATCCTGGCCATCCTCTGTCTCCTCCGTTTGGCCCTGCGCGTTACTGCTCTCCCCCCAATGCACTTTATCAAGGTAATACCCAACAACAACCCGACACCGCCCACACCGCAGTAAAACCCGCTTCTCGATCCCGTCTTCGCGCCGGATTAGCGTGGCCCGCCGGTCTGGTATCGTCGTTGAAAGGAGGAGCGTGACGTGTTTAGGATGGGGTGTGGTGGAGGCTGTTTGTGTTGAGGTGGGTTCGTCTTCGTCTGCGTCTGAGGCGCGTAGTTTCTCCAGGGGCAGGATTAGCGCGGTGTCGTCTGCGGGCGGGGTGCGGCGGGGCAGGGTGTTGAGGGCTCGGGTTGTTGCGAGGAGGAGGTGCGAGCAGAATCGGCAGTGTTGGGTGTGGATTGGGAGTTTTGTGGGTGGTGCTGGTGTGGTGGACATTTTGGGGGGTTGAGGGTTGGTGGTGAGGAAGTGGTGGAATTGTAGTGTTGTAGGTGTTGAAATGAGGGAGGTCTTGGTTTGTAACTCTTCAACTGAGACTTGTCTTGTTGGATGATTGTGACGGAGTTGGTCTGATGTTGTCGGAGAGGATGAGAGCGCTCTAGGAAATATTAGCTTTGGTGTCGCGTCTGGATAAAAGAAACCTACAGGTAAAGACAGTCACGGGGTTTGTTGACTTGTTGAAGCTCGGGCTAGCAAGGATTCGGGGCTGATCCTGAAGCGCAAGGGATCAAAAAATGAGGTCGAAGAACGAAGCTGCGGAGCGCGGAGATCTCAAATCGAGGCGGTGATAGGCGGTGGCCTTATCGGCGCTACACTACACTACAGACAGATAATAGGCCAACTTCACAACGGTTCGATACTACAACGGTTCGATAATCTATCTTCAATTCACCATTTGCATATGAAGTTAGATACTGACTGGGCTCCAGATATTGATGATGCTTGAGATACTATGGGAAGTTGGGACGATTGTCCTCGTTAACTATATGCTCTTTGAACCTTCAATACCGATACGATATTGATCACCGCGATTACCGTGCCATTCTGCTTGTAGTAGATATTCAAGATCAATCCCTCAATTTCCAAGGACATCTTTAGGACTGACTAAATACGAGTAAAAAATTGAATCTAGAGTCAACGTTCGAAATTTGGCTCGAGAACTATAAGATGACGGGACAGTAGTCGTGATGTCATGCATTCGATATTTCCTACTCCGGCAGCGCGGTAGATATGTTCCTTGGATAATGCTCCCGCATTTCTTCCAAGTACAGTACGTTGCGAAACCGGTGCAACCGCCTCCACTCTTCGAGTGTTTCTCTAGGCCCACCGCCAAGACACCCAAGGGCACATTAGGAATAGCCCCGGAATATCAATATTCCTGTAGCAGTCTCGATACTATTTTTTACTTTCATAAAATACGATTCTTTGTCTCCTAACTGTATTGGCATTTCCAAGAGCAGATGCAAACAGGTCAAACACCAGAGCGGGAGCTTGCCTTGCGAATCTGGTGAATCTCCAATCTCTCCCATCACTCCCTTGTCCAAGAGACGAATGGAAGGGGTATCCGGCCCCAGACCTTCCAATTAGTGACTTACATCACTTGTTTATTGTACCTACAGACTTCTCACCGACTTTTCATCATACTCAGCGTGTCGGCCACAGCTCATGTGACTTTTCGCTCTCTGACCCCTTTGTTGGAAGCTAACATACAACCGTTTCAATAGACTCCTCAACAGCACTCTCGTTCCTGCGGAATGATTCGCCCTTCTTTTCAACGACAGCGATACAAATTGATCTGAAGTACCTGATCTACGGAAGGAAATTTCGCGAATGCGCTTACCCTCGGTTATCCTGACCGCGAATTGACATTTTCAGTAATCTGCTTTGCGCTTCGCTCGGTCCCGAGGATATTGTTGGGTGAAATTCCGCCTTCCTTGACTCACATCCGTCCGACCAGCTCAGATTCGATCAAGTTGTCCAAGGTGCTGATGGATGTACACGGGATGAGCAAGCTTCAGATCCTCAGACAGTGTCTGCTACGCGATTGGTGTAAGGTCGAACCGAACAATCGAGTCTTGTTCAATTATATAATTCAAAAATGACTCAAAAGCTTTCTTCTCAGCCTCCGAGGTATCAGAACCATGCCTGAGGAGGAATTGGACACAAACGTTGCATTATGGAGCTTCTTTCTTGATAATCCAAGTGGTCGATATTCATCTTCCTAGGACTTGTCAAGTGGCTACCTAGGAGGGTGCTGTCCACATGAGACTGGACACACAAGTACTGCATCACCCGTCCAAAGGGCCCGCACGTCTTACTGTCATAGCAATGCTAGGCCAGCCATCGCAGCACCTACTACCAGTCCCGGGTTACCATACTTGAATGCCTCATTCGCAGCACCAGTTTTTGTCGCAGTCTCGACAAGAGAAGGAGTTCCAGTTGAGGAAGCAAGGGCCGTAGTATTCCGGGTACTTGTTGTTGTCGTGGCAGTCACGGCCCCAGCAACACCCGTGTTGAAACCCAGTTCAACAGAAGCGGCGGGCAGGGTGACTGTAGACGTCACAGTAGTCATAGTTGTCACAGGAGAACCGCTCTGGACACCAACGCCTGGAGCAGCTAATAGAGTAACACAAACTGCTGAAGCTCGAGCATCCACATAGTTGCACCCAACTGAGGAAGTGCTGTTCAGAGATTAGTTTTGTCGTAGGCTTGCTCCTGATTTGATTATCATGACTCACAATGTCTCCGAGGGTTCAGTATATGATAGTCCAACATATGATGGGCCTGTGACAACAGCCACACCAGTAGCAGGAAGCGAGCAAAGGGTGGCCTCGCTATCACACTTTACATTGTACGTCGTGTGTGTGGCATCCTGCAGCAATGTGATTGTTAGTATTAACCCTCTAGAGCCGAAGTATCACGGATCATACGCTTTCAACAGTAGAGACAGTATAGTCGCTCAGGATAAGAAACTGGTCCAAGAAGGGCGAGTCGGCAGTTGTTTGAGCATAAGCGGCAGAGACTCCACCCAAGGCAAGAAGAAGCCGAGGAAACATCTCGAATGTATTAATATTACTTTGGTGATATTTTTGGTGAATGCGCGATAGACCGTGGAGTGAAATAAAATCACAGCTCTATAAATGTCTAAGAACCAGGGGCTTTTAATTATGGAAGAGCACATCAATACGTTTGGAACTAAATAATGAAACCTGAGAGTTGTGGTGGCTTTGGCCCTCTCGCTTCAGTGCTGGTTGGAGCCTCGGCAAATTTAGCTCCTGTCGAAGGACGCTACAAAGCGTGTGTTTCTAAGGGGTAACCTGTTTTCGAATTCTACTGTACCTGATTGTTCCCTTGTTTGCGCCTGACAGGTATATGTGGGCCCCACTTGTGCTAATACAGTAAGGCGGTTTAAACTAATGAAGCTTCGGAGAGTGCCAATTTTGCCGGAGGTCCAATCAGCGACGAAGTCCCTGGAAGCGAGAATCCAACTGATAAGGTGTCCGATGTATTGAATGTACAAGCGAATACATGCCCGGAATCAACATGTAACCAAAATACGAAGGAATACATACCCAGATCCCGGAAAAACTCCAAATACAGACTAGTGTGTCTTGGCACAAGGGGCAGGAAAGTTACTCGGAGAGTGGAGTTGTTGCACCGGTTTCGCAATGTACTGTACTTATTGGTGAAAGTAAGCCATGTGGAAATATCCAGCGAAGCCAGGAACTCGGGGTCTTTATCCTTGTGCCGTTTGAATTGTGCTCTAAGCGTCATAGTAAACGACATTGCTATGTTTATGCCCAATGCGAGGACACATAGCAGCCGTAAGGCTGATATGAGGGTCTAAAATCTAGACCCTTAGTATCAAGCCACTGTTTCAAATCCTGGAATATCACGGGACCCTAGAACAGCGATTAAGATCATCTATCTTGAAGTGGGTGAAATATTCCCTCTAGTCTTCCTCATGGATAAGTTGCTTTTAGAAAACTTCCAGCAATCACACTAAATGGAGGTTGAAGTTTCACCATCCTTCCAAGTGAAGGCCCTAGGCTTTCTGTCGGAAAGCTTCAAAAGCGGATTTACGATGCTGAAATCATTGTTTCAAGCCAGAGCATGTCGCCGTAAAAGACAACTGATCTTACTGATGGCTAACTTCAGCGTACTTTCGGGAATCTTGCTTTACTCTCAAAGTTCGGCATCTTCCACGCTTCATCAAGCGTACATTGATCAATCGTCTTACCAACTCGGCCTCTCATCTGTGAATTCGGGCGCCGATCCTCAGACGGTAAGTCCGATCACTCCGAGTCCATACGCTGTCGCCATATTCCTCGGCACAGAGTTCGACGCAGAAGACTCCGACGAAGACAACTCAGATCGGTATTATGTCGGGGCCCGCACACTAGTCTATCAGCTACTTCATGCACCCAGTACAAAGTTTACAAGCCCGGTATCTGTCGTAATCTTAGCCACGCAGGGAGTGCATGAAAGCAAACGACAGCGACTACGATTAGATGGCGCGGCTGTTGTCGAGATTGAACGATTGGAACACTCTATCGATATTGAGGTCCCTTTTTACCATGAAGTGTTCGATAAGCTTCCAGCATTTGATCCAGCCGTGATGCCTTTTGAGAAAGTCGCCTTGCTAGACGCGGACATGGTGATTACACGACCACTCGATGCACTGTTCCAAGATACCAATACCACTCACTTTCCGGTCGATACGAATTCGACAAAATTGCCCGCACCAGATTTACCCGAGCTTCCAGAGAGATATGCTCTAGCAGCGACGCCAGATATTCCAGGTCGGAATCCCGTCTTTCCTCCGGACGTCGACAACGAGAAGAACCGTGATTATTTCAATGCCGACGTGATAGTGTCCTCTCCCACCAAGAAGCTTTTCCAATACTATCTTGCGCTCCTTGGTCGACCTGAGTTGTTTGGCCATTGGTTACCTGAGCAGGATCTTCTTAATCTTGCTCATCGCTGGGATGGACCGATGCCTTGGAGACAGCTTGATCTCTCGTGGCACTTGATCCTTCCTACCGAAGCGGATTTTAATGCTGGCATGGCTATTCTTCATTGTAAATATTGGCAGCCTGCTGGGGACCCGTGTCATCAGACGGCTCTTGCGCGGTGCTGGCAAATGCAGGGGTACTGGGAGGGAAGAGAAGGCTCAAAAGCAGGAAGGTGACTGCATTTAAGACGTTTAATGCGAGACTTGACTCCATGGATCTTGGCCTTATGGAGAACTCTGAAGCCACAAATTCTTTACTGCGTTCTCTCTGTGACTATCTTTTTCTTTCTTTTCCACTCCTATGACCCTTCAAAACCTCCGATGGGCCCCTGATAGATCTCGACTTCTGATACATCTCAGATTCCTGCGATCTTTCGTCTCTTTTCTTTTCCCTCCTACCTTCTCATCCAGAAAATAGTGATCAGCATAATTGCGAATACTCAACCATTAAAGGAGTTTCTTAAAGGCCACGTAGCCGAGTAAAACTACGCTGACGCTGGACAGGACTGAGAAATGGCGCTAATTAGTTTAACCATCTAGCTATTATAAGCCTAGAGGTTCTTCTATGAAGTAACACTTGTGCTATCCTAGACATTGACTTCGCAATTGTGCTATTATATCTCTTTTAAACACGTGAAACCTATTGCATGCCTCGTTGTTCATAATTAGCGGGTAAGTAGGGGTAACCTTTAGCTTCTACTATATTTTAATAAAGTAAGGAATGAGAAAGAAGAGACTCAAGACGATACTGATGCTACCGAGTATGTCTGTGCCTGTGAACATTACAAAAATACCAGTCAAAAGACCAGTCAGGAATACGCTGAGTACTGGTATATTAGAATTATCTCTTAAAATATGTAGGCTAAGTGAGTGAGAATAGTATAGAGCGAATAGTTCAATTGCTAATCTGTATTTACCGCATGGGTTATACGACGCCATTGGACATTCTTCAACACATATTTTATTGGGAAGAGTAGTCGGAAAACTCTACTGTCCAACATAATATAAGGATATTGAGCATACTGCAGGACTTATCACAATTTGCAGCTGATTAGCCTAATATTCCCAGCAGAAAACCGCCGTAGACGTACAAGTAGATTGACCTAGCTGTGAGATATTTCGCCAGCAATTTGTGCTGCACTCACCAACTGATACTATGGTCTAATAAGATGAGAAAGGAACTTAAGAATTCGGCTAAGTGGACGAAACCTACGAAGGGTCCTGAGTCGAGCGGAAGATGCAGTTAGCTCCCCCTCCCCCAAAAGACACCCAAATAAATGTTTCAAACCTGCAGTATGCCCCAAGTCAAATTGGGTCTTTAACAAGCTTATTTTCTCTCGACAGAAACCGCGATGTCACCCAGACAGGGCTCCCAAGGCTGCCTTATATTTGGAATATCCTGCGACGTATCTCCGAACTCTTTGATTCTCTGTATTCGTGAAGTATAGAATCTTTCTGCTTCAAAAATAGTATAGAAGGAGATCTATCGTCTGGCCTTCACTTGGGACAAGCTGCACAAGATTCAACGCCGAGAGAGCGATACAATTATGCTCAATATACGCCCCAAACTTTCGGCGGAGAGTCCATCAAACCTTTCCCAGGCTCTAACATTCTTGATCAAGGAACCTTTAGTCACTGCCACAAACTTTCTTGATCCTGGCTGTTACACCTTTCGTTGATGTTTATGAGCATCAATTACCCTCGTAGGTCCTGTTCCATAACCACCGTCCCTTTGCGCCATATAGCTGATATGTATTGTAATTCTACGCTATCTGTCGGGTCTCGTACCTACATTATCCTTCTATTACCAAGAAACCTCGATCTACGACGTATTACTCAAAGTTCACCCACAGCGAGGCTGCAACCATAATGGCTAATCCATTAGGACGAACCGCCCGTAGACAGCTAAGATACGCAGAGCCGAATACACAGTAGATATCTTAGTTGAATAGACTACTAGATAACGTAACAGATGAATTGTGGCATTTTAAATACTGTCTCATGCAATGCTTTATTCAAATGCGATTTGTGCGTACTGAAATGTAACAATCCAGAGTGGATACCGAGACTCGATGTTTATAGGTCGATTATAATGCGCTATGTGGGCCTGGTACAACTCGATCTAAAACCTTAGGATCCACTATGGTGCATGCCAAGCCAACCTTAATATCTTCCTGAGATGCGCGTCTAACAATGAAACGGGCTACCTTGTAACGTCACTGACAGGGAGGGGCTATAGAATTAGCGACATATCACTGGCATAGTCTGTTTAATTGTGAAGTAGAGAGGTTTTGTGGAGCAAAGTACAACTTCATCAAGATCGGCGGAAAGCCTCGTCATGTCATCCGAGAAACCCCTGGGATCAGTGGGCCCTGTTCTCATTGCTACATGGGAAATTAGATCTTCAAATGTACGGACTAAGCTAGCCTGGTTAATAATTACGGCAATATCCCCCTCAAAAGCATGCCTGATACAGTAAATGCACGATAATACTTCGTCCTCAATTGGATGTTGAACTATTAATTAAAGTTATTGAACTATCGATTGAATACTTTAAAACAATAATTACAATAGTTATAGCACGCTAGCTAACGTACATCGAACGGGCCACCAGATTTACTAGAATACAAATGAACCAATGTAATATTAGGTTTCTCTACTGAAGAAACTAAACTTAGGTAAATAATGTTTGGGCATCGCATACATTTCGGCTTGGCATGTATCATACTTATACAGAAAATACTAAAATGCGAGGCTAATTATACAGGAAAGACAAAGAAAAAGAAGAAGAAGAAGAAGAAGAAGAAGAAGAAGAAGAAGAAGAAGAAGAAGAAGAAGAAAAAAGAGATAGCCATCCTCTCCTACTCCTGGGTTTTCCCCCTTGCCTTTGTTGCCGCGGTTCTCCTCGCTGGTCTCAGGATGTTAAGACACGTTCACCCGCCTCAGCCTTGGCCGCTTCCTCTACGTCCGAAGGACTGATTGTGCCATGTATGTTGGTTAGCGTGCCGGGTCTGCAATTGAGGCTTGAAAGGCAGGGAGAGAAGGGCGAGGTGCTGGACAAGGAAAGGGAGAAAGGGAGACAGGATTTAGTTTATAACTCTGGGTTTATTTCCAGCCCGAGTGAGCGAAATCCTCGGTGCGGCGAGTACCACCACGACCGCGTCTACGCAAATCACGCCGGGACGAACGACCTCTCTGTCTTCTCATGCGGCGGGCGCGAGCTTCATCCTCTTCCTGCGGTGTTATTTCCTTCACCTATACGCCTATTAGACTAGAAATACTGGCAAGAAATGGATAGTGGTGCATGATCCATATGCAGGAGTGTTACACACCTAGCGTACTGGTATCCGAAGGATCTACAGGCCAGAAGGAACTCGACCATGCAAAGCGCTTGGTAACCATGCAAACGATGCTGTGTGATATCATCGGGAATGATGCTTGCTCAAATGTCATAGATGCTGTGGGGGTAGGTATTGCCAAAACAACGGGCTAGCTGTTCAATCTGGGCATCACTAAACCAAGTATAATAGCCTCTAGATGTCACAGTCCGGGGCTGAGTCAGTCGGCAAGTTAGGTAGTTAGTTCCCTATAACTCAGAATGCATCATCTATATCTCCCCCCAAGTTCGCATGCATCGCTAACTAGATTTCTTTTTATAACTGATTAGAGTCAGCTTGCTCGCTTGTCAGGAACGAAAATCAAAACATACAGGCCTAATGCGCCGATAATGTCTATTCCGCTGATGAAACCATCCAAATTAGAACTATGTCCCAAAGAATGGTAAAAAAAACGTCTTTGTGTGACTTTCGGGAGGGCCGCCTCTCCTCCTGCTAGCGAAAGCATCAATACACACACCCTCTCACCCGAATGATGTCTGATATGGAGTTAAGAGTGGAGAGGGTCTTGCTTAATTTTTCGTCGTCACAATCATCGCTCTGACCAGAGATATCCCAATCCTCGGGGAGAACAGGACGATCGACTGGCTACCGACCACCCTGGCCTTCGCCGGGAGGGGGGTGGCCTGCCGGACCGAGTCCGGAACTAGCTATGTTGCGGACATTGTCTAATATGAGTTTTGATATGGGGAGGAATGGAAAAAGAAAATTTCAAGAGTTCACGAACGCAAAACCGACTCGATATGCGTAGAAGATCGGGAGAAAAAGAAGGAGAGTCCAAAATCCCGTCTTGGGCTCCCAGCTATGCCTCTGTTCCAAAAATGGTATAGTGCATTTTTGATTCTCCATATCGTGGGCTAAGCTTTTTAGCGTGGCGCCACTATATGTTTGTGTCGTAGGAACAACGACTCCGGTGAGATCGCAAAACCCCGCGAAATTCCCACCTCTGGCCCTTTTCGGGCTTCTCGTTGCTGTCGCACCTTCATTATTATTCTTGAAGTTTTCAAACCCAACCATGGTAGGGTCTTTAATGTTACTCAGGGTCCGAGAAGGCCTAGGCAAGCGATCCTGAGAGAATAACCAAGAGGATATTCGACATTCCTATCGATGAGAGAGCCAATCTGTATCAATTATGTGGATTTAAATTACTAGACGGCAAAAGACTAATGGGAAGTCATGTAATCTACAAACTTCTGTGGAATTCGTATCAGAGTTGGACAAAACCTACTATGGAAAGGCGGAGTTCGTGTGTATCTAAAGGGTGACTTTCTTGGATGATATGATGTCGTTGTCCGGAGAAAGGAATGTTGAAGAAGATTCTCAAGATTGATGACTTTGCGCACATGTTGCTATTCTACTAACATGGGTTCGGCATGTTTTTGCGAAAGAGATTGGACCTATACATGAATCAAGATTTCAGTGCAAGAACTCTACATACACGGGTCTAGAGCAAGTACTGTGTTTTGTCTTTTGTTTAGTCTCTTGCCAGGTCTTTGACTACATAGTCAATAAGTCCTCAATCCTCATTTCGTATATAAGACTCTCTCAATCTTAGCGGATCGATATCCCAAAAGTACAATGGGAAATCATCCTAGATCATATCATTTCTGACTACGTGGTATACCCCCCAGGTGGTAATTGATCACTGTAACCGATGTCGATACCTCTGAACTATCGACTACCAGATGAGATGTACCATCAATCTTTCTCTAGCCTTCAGCTAGGCCACCACTCTGCAATTACGAAACAATACCATAATTACGGCGTGTAATATTACTGTCACCTGTTCTGAATAGGGTTTAGTGCCCACGTGACCCACAGATTGTACCCACAATAAAATTCCGGCGCCGGGCACTAAACCATTTTAGGATAAGGCCCCGCCCCACACGAAGAGTACTGAATCTCGCGCGTTCCAGTGTTGTTTTCCTCTTCAACTTCAGCCGTTCAGTCAGGCAAAGCTCAAGAAACTCATCGAAACCCTTCTCTCCATCTATTTACTATCAAAAACACATACTACGCAATGGCTGACGTAGTTATGTCCGGCGCTCTCCCACCTAACGACCCTCCAAACCCGGGGGATGGTCGGGATGGTCGGCAGCCAGCCGACCGTGTCGACCTCCCCCAGGGGGAGGAGGAGGAGCCCGAACAGGGCCAAGGGGCCGAGGAGGCCCAGTATGAAGAAGAAGACGTAAGGTATCCTCCTCGGTAGCTTGTAATCGCGCGTTTACTGACCTTTTTACAAGAACTTCTTCAAGAAGCCCTCACGGGCTGAACTTAAACGCGTTCGTTCACTCCGCACAGCGAAATTCAGGGTCATGAACCTAATTCAGATGAAAAATCCAGCGTCGCCGCCAGTCCCAGCGCGACAAACGTGTAAGTTCTCATCTTCTCCTCCATAACAGTAAGAGGGAGGTCTAAATGCCCGGTGTAGGAATACCAGCGCCTCAGAGACGAGTACATTACTGAGGTTGCTATTCAGATTGGTCGTCATGTTGCTCAATACATGGTTAGTCTTTACCTCATACCCCTGCCCTTGAACAGAACTCTCTCTGTGTGGCTTTCTTCACGAGTGTCTGTTCCATCAAGCGATCGTGTTCATCTACATGTGTGCCTCGATCCAGTCTTGCAATGAAGCAGTGTGCCCCTTGCACTGGGACATCATGCATCTGGCCCCGGGGCACATTGTGGAAAAATATACATCGTCGATGGGCCAGTCACCCGGCGAATAAACGAAACAGGGGGTTCTTGCTGCAGCAGTGCATTGTCTCCACTGTGGGTACCTCCCGTAATATAGACAACCATTCAGCAGCCCATCACGGGCTTGCCTCCAAGACGCCAAAGACATGGCGATAGAGGCTCTCGCGGGGGTGGAAGATCCTCTCGCGCCCGGTCTTTGACCGGAAGCAGTAAGGTTCCCTCTCCGCAACTGAAGATGTAAGATCATTGCACTAACCGTTCTGTTTCTGTTTACAGTGTCAACACGGGCTCATGCCCAGGCCCGGACTGAGGCCTTTGCCGGCCAGCAGGCCGAACTGCTTCGTGGTCGTGGGGGGGTGCGTGGTCGTGGTGGGGGGCCCCGTGGAGATCGTGGAGGGCATGGAGGGCGTGGAGGGCGTGGAGGGCGTGGAGGGCGTGGAGGGCGTGGAGGGCGTGGAGGGCGTGGAGGGCGTGGAGGGCGTGGAGGGCGTGGAGGGCGTGGAGGGCGTGGAGGGCGTGGAGGGCGTGGAGGGCGTGGAGGGCGTGGAGGGCGTGGAGGGCGTGGAGGGCGTGGAGGGCGTGGAGGGCGTGGAGGGCGTGGAGGGCGTGGTGGCCGTGGTGGCCGTGGGGATGGAGGCCGTGGGCGTGGTGGAGCTCCAAGCTCCGGGGGAGGTGACGCTGCTCGGCAGCAAGAGTAGACTGTCGGTGCTTTCTCTTGTGTGTGTTTTTTTTTTTTTTTCCCTACATGTATTACACCATGACATTGTATTGTAGTAGTGATACCCAAAGCCCCATATTAAGAGGGCTCACAATCTAGTCATTATCCATTCCCAACAGATTTCTGGAGTAAAATGAGGAAAGGAATGCGAATCGCCTTGTCACTGTACATAAAATCATGCTCCAGGGATACAGTATCCATGCCCTTGGGGAGTGGAATGATGCAAAACATCCAACCACTTGGTACGCTGCAGAGATATTTTGTACGAGCTTGTAGAATGGTTTTCAGTTAGTTACTGAAGGACCATTTGAAGGACCAGTTGAAGGACCAGTTGAAAGACCAGTTGAAAGACCAGTTGAAAGACCAGTTGAAAGACCAGTTGAAAGACCAGTTGAAAGACCAGTTGAAAGACCAGTTGAAAGACCAGTTGAAAGACCAGTTGAAAGACCAGTTGAAAGACCAGTTGAAAGACCAGTTGAAGCGCCTCTTTAAAGACTAATGAAACAATAATACACTATCAGGCAAAAGACGACATTTCCAAATTTTCCTTTTAGAAGGACAACATGCATGCTCCTTGACTTCGAATTACTGGGATGAAAGTGAATCGCTTCTGCACAATTAATACTTAAGCGCAGAGAAATTCTTCGAGAAAGAGACTATTTATCACAAGTCATTGTCAGGAGTGAATGATTTACAAGTTGAATAAGATTGATTTCGCATCCACTGAATAATACCAATGAAGAACAGTTGCCACTAAAGTCTCCATCGAGCCACAATCCCTGGGCGGTCTCACTTCTACCAGGCAATGGCTTAAATATGCGAAGCGTATGTATGCAATTATATCAGCAGACGTTGACAGCCTCACCTAAGGCTCTCGAGAATGTCGAATCCGAACTTGGTCCCAGCGTGACAACAGGAACCACCTCAGGATGGAGATTTCCTCCACCGTTCTCGTTGTCGGAGTCTTTCTTGCCGTCAGCTGCGCAGCCGGACATGAGAACCTCTATCTCGAGATCTGTGAAAATAGGTTCTGAAAGTGCCCATGATGATTCAGCAGATGTTGGGATCACGGAAGGTGATTATTTGTGGTTTCCTGCTCTCCTAAAGCAACTCCGGGAAGATTCACCACCACGGCGGGAGCCTCTACCGCCATTCTGTTGGCGTCTTAGGGGCAAGCCCGTTATGGGCTGCTGAACGGTTGTCTATATTCCGGGTTAGTACATCTGCATGAAGGTGTGTGGCCTCAGACACGTGATGAGCAAATCACGGGTTCCTTCCCAAAACGTCGCTGGCACACACTGTCCTCACTTTTAGGGAATCAATTCCCAAATCCATCTACCTGGACACCAGAAGCACCAGCTTTTTCCGTTCAATTGATCGAGTTTACAACTCAAATTGAGTTTATACCACTGACATATACACCACAGACACCATGCCTGCAAAGCGCAAGTCTGATGAGAGACCAGGCCCGTCTGGCTCGAACAATTCGAAGAAAAAGACCTCCCCAGTTTATCCAAAGCATCGCTCGCTTCGATCCTTCTTCAACAAAAAGCAGAATCCCACTGCAAATACAAGCAGTGCCATCGAGAAATCGTCCCACCTCCCTCATGCGTCTCCACGACTTTTCTCACAGAGTTTCCCCTCTTCTGGGGCACAAGTGGTGTCCAATGAAACTGCGGAATTGGCTTCGCGTGACGATGGAATCCCCATTGCCCAAGCTGGTAGCAGCTCATTTGCCCAGAACTCTACATTGGTGACCCGTCCCAAGACGGTTTCTCATCAAGCTGGTCTTGAATTCCATACGGCAAGTCTCAAAGATGATGGCAACGTTGTCGAGACAGCCAATCCATGGGAGGACCATGCACCTCGCGAGGAGATTGCATCGACTTCGACTCGAACAATCCAAGGAGGATGGTGAAAAGGAACGTCTTTCCACGGGATCAGACACTCCAGCAGGTCATGAGGAGAATGAGCTTCCCCTCGATAACCGCGAGGATGACCATGAAAGTCCTCAGGACTTCACTACTTGTAGGCACCAAATTTGTGAGGACCCACGGGTGCCAATTTCAAAAATAACAGGTCGTTCAACTGGTCTTTCATTAATAATTAGTAATTTCTACTTAGTCGTATAAATATACTGTATCCAGTCTCTGTTTTCTAATTAAAAGATGAGAGACCACGGTATAGTAGTGCTCTTTATAACAATAACCTCCATCCTGAGATTTTGATTACTGAATGCGGGTAGGATCTCTAATCTCCCTGAGTTGCATGGCCGTTAGCTTTCGCTTTTTAAGGCGCATCAGCCGTGTACTAATGTTTGCAAGATGAAGCCATGGTGTCGTACGCTACTCTCAGTACTTGCTACCTCGGGAAGCCACTGCTGACTAGAGGATCCACATCACCAGGCAGGGTTCAGGGTCTACTGGTCCTTGGGGTTCATGAAATAAATTGCCTCCATTACCAGTGATACAGATTAATTATTTGAGATCAAATAACAAAGTGATTTTGAACCGGGGAGAAGGGTACCGAGGTTGAAAGATGCTCATTTCCGCGGTTGTCCAGATGTCGGGTCCCGCTGCACGTGGTCGTGGAACCCCAATTCCGAACCAAGGATCTGGAACTATATGCGCGACTCTACAAGAAGAAAAACCAAGTTGGATGGAAAGTAAATAAAATTCATATCATTAAACGCATTAATTCATATCTCAGGTCGTATATCCTTCGATCATTGAATTTACACATGAAAGTCATATATATATTAAACCCAAACGCCGTTTAGTCAATCAAGACTGACTGACTTACAGCGAGTTGAGAATGCCCTCAAGAAGTGGGAAAAGACCCGAGACGTCGCTAATCAATGTGGTGGTTTCGTTAACGAACTTGGCCGTCAACAAATCCTCGGCATTGGTAAGCAGGCCCGAAATCTTCTTGATAGAGTCGGGCGTAATAAGAGTCTTGATCTCTGGCAAGCTTGAGTCCACCTCCTTCAGGAGATCCTTCAGAGACGAGACCATGTCAGGAGTGAGAAGTTCGCCAGCCTCACTGATCAGGTCGCTGGTACCCTCGACGAACTTGGGCGTGAGCAAAGTGGTACCGTTTCCGAGCAAGTAGGTCAAGTTGTTCAGAGTGGTCTCGTTCAAGAAGTCCTTCTTGATGGCTGGAACAACAGGAATGAGGCCGTTCAGCAGCTCGGACAGACCGCCAACAACATAAGGCGTGAGGAGATCATGGGCACCGCTGATCAAGCTCTCAGTCTCATTGACGAAAGTCGGGGTCAAAAGATCAGCAGCACTGCTTAACAGGCCGTTGATCTCCTTGACCGAGTTGGGCGTGAGAAGATTATTAGCATTCACTAAGAGAGATCCAATAGCATCGATAGTCGACTTGGTGAGCAGGGACTTGATGCTTGGCAAGAGCGGTGTGACCTCGCTGAGGATGCCCTTCAAGCCGCTGACAAGGTCCGGAGTGAGAAGCTCGTTTGCATTCTCAACCAAAGATTGAGTTTGATTTGCGAACGCGGGGGTCAAGAGTGCAGAACCCTCAGTCAGGAGATTGCTGAGTTCGTTGAAGGTCTGAGGAGTAAGGAAGCCCTTGAGCTGAGGAAGAAGCGGGACCACAGCATTGAGTAGTGTCTTGAGCGCGTTCGTGACATCTGACGTGAGCAGGTTCGAGGCACCAGCAACGAGAGACTTCGTCTCACTAACGAAGTCCTTCGTGAGAAGCGAATTACCCTCGGTAAGGAGATTGGTAAGAGCATCGAAGGTATCCTTGGTGAGGAAACCCTTGAGTTCTGGAAGTAAAGGTACGACAGCATTGAGGAGTTGCTTTAATGCATCAGTCACTTGCGAGGTGAGCAGGTTCGAGGCACCAGCAACAAGAGACTTCGTCTCGCTAATGAAGTCCTTCGTGAGAAGGGAGTTGCCATTCGATAGCAGATTCGCGAGCGCGTTGAAGGTGTCCTTGGTGAGGAAGGCTTCGATGTTCGGCATAAGAGGGACAAGAGCATTGAGCAAAGACTTAAGAGCGTCTGTAACCTGCGAGGTGAGCAGGTTCGAGGCACCTTTGACCAGCCCTTGAGTTTCGGTAACAAAGTCCTTCGTAAGAAGAGCTCCACCATTCGACACGAGGTTCTCGATGGCATTGATGTTGTTCTTCGAGAGTAAACTATCGGCGTTGACCACTAGATCATTAACCTTGTCCATATTGTCGAGCAGCTTCTGGAGGTTGTTCAGGTTGTTGTCACTCAGCAGAGCATCTGCCTTAGATAGGATATTGCTCAGAGTGGCGGTATTCTGCTTAGTGAGTAAAGAATTGGCATTCTGGATCAGATTTCCAATGGCCTGGGTGTTGTCGTTGGACAGAAGGACACGGATGTTGGTGTCGACGGGAGGAGCCAGCGAGGTAGACAGATACTTGAAAGTATCCTCAATCTCAGAGAGCAGGCTGGGGTTGAGAAGACCGGTGATACCCTTGAGGAGATCGCCGAGCTCGCCGAAAATACCAGTGATGCTGGAGGAACTGCTGCTACCGCTCAAGTCCGAAAGGAGACTGTTGATCTTGGTCTCGATATCGGAAGAAGAGGTCGAGGAAGAGGAGCTAGAACCGGAGCTGCTAGAAGCAGGAGAACCAGCAGTCTCGGCGGGAGAGGTGGACGAGCCCGCGGCAGAGACAGTGTTGGAGGCCGAGTTGCCAAGAATGGTGTTCACAATGTTGGGAACAGTATCGGTAGAAGCAGAATTCTGGTTGTTGTTCTCGGCAACTAGGTTATTGGCCGCATGGGTAGTGGCAGCCGCAGTAGTAGCGGCGGGCTCATTGGCTGCATAGACATTATTAGCCGGAGGAGCCGCGCTGGATGTTGTGTCTGTGGCGGGAACAGTAGTATCAGCTGCTGCTGCAGGCACAACACTTGAGACTGCCGGCGAAGCTCCCGCGATGTTAGACGCGGCGAGCAGGGCAGTCGCAAGGACTGGAACGAAACGCATATTGTCGGTTGATTTGGTTTCCCCCACTAGTCGGAATTGGGCTTCGTCTCTCTTCTTTTTTTCCTTATTGTCGGCTTTCAGAGGACTGAAATGGACAAGAGCCGCGAGAGATAAAAAAGAGGAGAGAGCCTGGGGAAACAAGAAAGCAATCCTTTTTTACCCCGGGGTTGCGCCAGGCCTTTATTTTGGTGAGTTGGTGATCGACCATCTGGGGTATCCTTTTAGGACATAATCCTCCACTCGGCCCACCATGGCACTAAAGGGGAGCTTTCCTCGGACTTTGGCACGTACCGGTAGGTGGATCGACACCGAGGTATGGGGACCGAGATGGGCCGGGCCACCCATGTGATGGGGAGGGGAGAAAAGGGCAAGTTAGTTCCGGGAATCCCAATCGCTAGGGACCCGCTAAGGGTGTGCTTTCTTCTGATTGAATGGAAGACGAAGAGATCTTCTCTTCAAGCTGATGACGGGAGCAGCTTGGGGCTCGAGAGCGGGCGAATTGACAACGTTTTGGCATTCTCGTCAGACATCTCTCCAGTCTATACAAAAGCTCCCTCGGCACGATGCAGGGCCTTCAATGCGCCATCCACTCAGATCAGGGGAGGGGCGCGAACCTCTTCACATGTTCTTAATTTCTGAGGGCCCAGTTAATTAAATTTCCAATTTCGGGAAGAGAACTCTGCTTGCCCATGGGGTTACGGTGGTCCATAACAGTCTGCGGGCTTTTTTGGGCACTAGTTGAAGGACTAACCCCAACCAGGCGGGGATGAACTCCACACCGGCCGATGCCAGAGCAGGCTATTTGGCAATTTGCTAACAGAACTGGGCAGACTAGGCAATCTTAGGCAGATTTGGAAATGAGGGGAGTTCGGCCTGATCCCCAAAACGGAAGTGACTCCTACCCCGGACAGCCCGACCGTCGGGCTAGTCTGCGGGGCTTTGCTGGCGGCCCGAGGATTGTGATTGGAGACGAGGAATCTATGGTGGAGAATCTGGAGATACCTTCCACTCGACCTGTGCGACTCTGCGCCGATCTTAGCTCTGTTGGTTCGTCTCAACCGGGGATGCCAATCGAGGGAGCCAACCCCGAGCGTGGCTTTTTTTTTCCCGTCCAGGAACAGGAACATCTGGTGCATTGGTCAATTATCGTGACTCGGCCGCTGTCCTTCTTCCTCCCATGATCTATGCGTCATCTTCCTCCCACATGAATGATCTTTGACTTGTGTTCCTGTCCTGCTTCCCCGGAAAGCTCAATTGATCGGCTAACGTTGACCCTTCGCCTCCACCCGTGGCGCCCAAGCGTTGGTTGTAGAAGTAAGACATAGGATGCTTCTCCTCGCCGTTGTCCGTCCATTTCCCTTTCGTTCATTGGTTCGTCTATTCCCCGAGAAGCTGCTCGTGATGTCCAACCAGGTGGACTCTGCTCATCCTTATTTCGTTTCGCTTCCAGAGCCCATAGAATGGCGTCATGTGAGAGCGATCTGTATGTACGACATTTGGATACTCTAAGCTAGCTAGCTAATTTTGGAAAACAAGTAAAATGAGAGGCTGGGCCCAGTGATGATTATTCCAGACAGCACGAAAAAAAGGGGCTTTCCGTGAATTAGCGAGGGGGAGAAAAAGGGGAGGCTTCCTCACGGACCAAAGACGAATGTTAATAACCAAAATCAAGCCACTACAAAATTTTTCTGCTCGTGCGGCTGGCCCAAGCACCGACCACGCGAACCCACGGGCGCCACCGACTATTGCGGCTGTGATGGTTCTTCAACTCATCATGAACTTGGTCACTTGAATGAAGATTTTCAAATCAAGGTTTTGGACTTACCCCAAAGCCACTGATGTCCGGCAGGAAAGTTTCAAACGCTTGAATTGCCACAGTCGCAACAAACCGGAAATTGGCATGGAGTATTCTGGAGGAATGATCGAGGAACGAACAGGCGAAGCAATTTCCTCTTTCTACGAGCGAACTTGGTGGGAAAGCCCCTCCACTCAGCCGCTCCCAAGAATGCGCCCCCTACGCCCCCCATTGTAGACCCACCCGACTCGAGTGTAAACGAGCAGCCTCAATTCAATTGCAACGCCTACTCTGGTGTCTCAATTTGAGACGCGAAAACCTCGAGATCGATCAAAATTAGGACGAGATCTTTTCTTATTCCCTATATTGAGCTTTGCAAAACATTGGGAACAGAGGAAAAGCATATCCCTTGCGATGGCATAATTGGTGGCTTATGCAAGGCTATCACGAGATGAGGAGGATGAGGGTGCAGCTGGGTTGGCCTTGCTGATGCATCCCGCAGGTACCATACATGGTCAATTTGCTTCTTTGTGTACTCAGTACTATGCAGTATGCACTTCAAGTTCACATTGCTATGCAATATGCATCCTTATCTCTTGGTTTCATTATGTAGATGGAGGGCAATATTATTGATATTGATATTGTTTTTTCTTCGGTCGCACGGACGCAACTCCGAATCGGACGGGCATGTCGCGTCAGCAACTCAGCGCACAGGTCTCAAATCGCGTTAGTCGGGGACCATCTCAAAGTTTTGTAGTACGTTTGCTAGCTACAGTATTACTCGCGACCAGCCCTTCCAGCGTGGCCATAATGGCAATGTACGTCATTTCTTTTCATCGTGAAGCCGTTGAGAATTTAGCCACCCACCCATCGAAGGATCGACTCCCTTGGACCTGAAAGATCTGCATGGTCAACAAGGGACATACCGATCATCGTCATTTGGTTTTCTTCACTGCCGGGTGCTCATGACGCTCCGTGAATTTAATGCTAAGAATATGGCCTCACGGTTTGTGTGCAGCCGGCTAGCAAGGAGACGCCATTGACAGCATCAACGCATTGGCCATATTCTTCTTCATCAGCGGCGTGCCTGTCAACTTTAATGCGCTCGTCAAACTCTTTCTTTCTCGCGTTCGAGCGCGCGAGGATCAACCTATGTCAAGCAAGTGGATCGCGAAAGGGTCTGTGTACTCAGTGGGCGGGATATCAAACCTTCATACACACGTTCAACATGAAATACAACACAACCAAGGCGGTTATTCTTTGTAATGTCATGAATTAATGCTATGAAATTAAACAATTAACCTCTGTGGATTGTCTATGACATGGCCCCAAGGATTTTGGGTCTGGATCAATAGGCAGCAAAGCACGATCTGTTGCGCTGGGGCAATTTGTACAGTTTGATAATGTTTTTTGCGCGCAACATAGTCAACATAGTCCTTCTCAACCCCACCTACGTGTAAATGGGTGACACTATCTGCGATGCTTGAGATAGTATGGTGGTCAACAACGTTGGTGATGTTCTTCCTAGCGCCGAAAATATATTTATCGGGAGGAAAGGACGCTGATGGGAACGCGACCTATTGAGCGGAAGTTACATTATTGCTCTCTACAAATCCAACATCAGGAGATACTGTAACAACTTGATATACAAAGGCAAGGTGCGTGTGAAGTAATAACGTATAAGGTAGCCCGTTTAGGTACTCTTGGCGACCGTTGTCTTCAATCGTGGAGGTTATTTGCGCCGTCGTTACGAACAACTCGATAGGCAAATCCAGTGGAGAGGGCTAGGTAGTCAGAAAGTCGCCAGTAAATCAATCAGCATGGTGTCATTTATCTCCTTAATCCCTATTTACAATACAATTATTGAACATGAAGATGTCAAATTTGGCAAGCTCGGAAAACCGCATCTTGCCGACGTTCTCGGTGTAGCCGACAGTGGCCCGGTAGTATCTGTTTTGTTTGCATTAGATTAGAAATTGGAACGAAACGTTCTCCCTTGATTGTTGAGTGGCTTGGAGTCCTTTATCCGCTAGGAGGGCAATTGTGGACTAAAATACTGTTTCGTGCTTCTCAGGAATGCGCAAATTCCACGGCGATTCCGTGGAATGCAATCGATCTTTGCCACGAGGATACGATTCATAGCCTTCGTAGCGGGAATCGCGCTTTGTATGGAACACTACAGGCTTAGTTTATCATAATGAGATAGGCCATCACCCTTTATAGGTGTATGCACCTGGTAATTTGTAATATATTCTGATAACTCCTAAAGATACATCTTAGTACTGGCAACTGTTTGAAGTAACCGAAGTGCGAGCTCCTATCCACAGGGTCAGAGCGTAGAATACAGATGGTTGGTGTGGTTTAACAGATAATTTTGACTTCAGAATAAGTGGCAGGTAATAGCTATTGGTGGACTCGACTTGACGTGGACGAGATTGATGGTGGTGAGTCGAAACCATGAGCAGGGGATGTTTCGCGATGCAAATGCGAGTGATATTTACTTCCTGCTTACCCAATAGTCTAGATTCAGTTCCAATAATTAGACAGACTGATATTCTATCTACATCATGGAGTAATTCCTACACTACTCTCAAAGTGCTGCGTGGAAGATGGCCGATATAGCGCTTGAACTGATACCCTGTTATCTTGCCATCTATTGTCTAGCACGGCCTATGACGGATACTACAGACTAGCCTCTACTTTTTAATGAGAATTCATAGTACCATAACACAATAAGGTCCTCCAATATTAAATAGATAGTTTTTCATTGCACATTTTGTAGAGGTCAGAAAGGAGGAATTGGCGAGAGGGACTCCCAAAGTCAACACGGGCATTCCGTAACGCTAGCACAGATGATCTCTCTTCGATCATCAAGTTAACCTAGTCTTTGAAGCCATTGAAGAAGACATGTCACACCAAGCAACCTCTTGCACTGACATGGCTACTCCTCCTCTTTGTTCTCCTCCAGCTTCGCAAGCGCGACGAACAGCTTCGTGAGATTATCCCAGTGTTTGTCCATTTGCTCCAACTCGGCCAGAATGGCCCGACGAACTGCAAGAATAAAGACAATTAGCTTTATGGTAATCTTGACGGGACATGATGTATTTACTCCGATCTTCATTTCCGTTGAGAGCTTTTTGTTGCAACATGCGCTTGCGCTCCGCACGGGGAAATCGAATGTGTTTCTTTTTCTTCCATAAGATAGCCTGTCGATCTGGGTGCATTCCTGCAAACTATAACAATGTTAGTGTGAGAGCTACTGCAGCTGGTAAAGTGCACGGCAGAAGCAGGTGTGAGATCCTTACCTCCTCATTATCTTTATGGACGTTCTCCGGGACTGGCTGGTTTGAGGGGCCGGCGCCCCCGAGTTGACAATCGGCCTTCTCGGGATTCTCTTTGCCTTCATCGTTTGAGAACATCTTGCAACCAAGATTCATCGAGGATTGAATCGTATCACGATGGTCTTGAGACTGCAGAGGGAGCTCAGCGTTTAGCTGTGGGATGGCGTACAGGGCTATGGGAAGCAAGAGGTGAAATTGGTTGGGCGCGTTGGTAAAGGACCGTTTTTGGGCCAAGCACAATGATGCCTCGATTAACAGGCAGGACACAAGCAATCGAGTCATACCATAAATAGCGTTCTGCCCCCTCTAGATTCCAAGGATTGCCCATGTGGTGACCCGGTAGACGCGGCTCTTCTTTAATAGACTACCTTAAAACAGGTCACTGCTATTGTATTGACCAGTACCATGTACCCGCGTCATTTTGACTGATGTCGAGAGACTTTAGTCATTACACCACAACGCTAGGTAACAGTAAATTCGACGCCGGAAAAGGCTACTCTTGACGCTGTTTTAAGCGTCGTTTTTACCATAATCTTAGTCATCGATCTCAAACGTGATCTGTTTCCGCCCACCATTTCCGTATGCTCCCTGAGTACTCATGGTTGCTCAGAGTTGCTCAGAGATCTGCTCACCCTTCACTCAGGGTGCTCAGGATATTCAATCAGAGAATTTGTCATGCCCCGTTGTTAATTTTATCCGATTGTAGCCGTTAATTGCAAAAATAGGAAAGGTCCTTCTGTTAGGCGCTAGACCATACTTAAGTTATCTCTTTCAATACCTAAAGAGGCTGCCCCCTATCAACTGTAGCTCCTGTCTACTGCACTCCTCCTCGTTCAAAGCCCGTCTATTTTTTGTCTCCTTTATCACCAGATTTTCTCTAGGCTTCAGTCTTTACCGCTTCTTTTTTTGTTCGTTCCTTTTCTTGACATTAGTTTTCCTCTCTTGCTCTGCTGTTCTCCTCCGTTTGAAAAGACCGTTATTCGAGGCTATATCTATCCCTAATTTATTCACGAAAAGCAGAAATCAACCTTATAGTGCCGAGTATTACCGCCGACGCCGTCGATAACTAGAGAAAGGCATCGTATAAAAGCGATATGCCGTTTCTACTAAGAATAACATAGATGAAGTTAAGGGATAGTGGATAAGGTAATACCTATTTTAACGATTAAAATTAAAACGAGATTAATTAAAATACGCTCTGCACTTATTTAGGGGAAGATCCACTCCTGTTCCTTGTTATAGCTCGGAAAGAAGATTTTATACCGTTTCTCGAGTAGATACTTAATAATTCTAATATCAAGAAGTTTAGTAGCTTATACAAGAATTAGAGGTAATTGTGACGATCAAGGACGAGCTAGAGTGAAGGGTCAAGTAGTGAACTGGTCAATTAGTGTTTGATGGAAGGTTCCTTTAGCCTATAACAAAAAGGCTTCTACGCGGTAGATAGAACCTCTTCTTCTTTTCTCCCCTAGATTTAGTTGCTTCGTTGAATGCACCGATTTGGACCTTGTCCTCTCGCCTGGCTGTAACAGTAATAGTATTAGCTCTCCCGTAAAGCAGTTAGGCGAAGTCTTTATGCGAAGTGCTCCTAAGATATTAATAATATAAGTGTTACGATACATGCCTGGGTCACATGATCATACGCTTTAGCCAAAAAGACCACTAAATCCGTGATCAGCGGATATGACCCAGGAGCCAATATATATAGTATCGCACTGTAACATTGTTATCATACCATTATTGAACGTGGACAATATGCAAACGGTAGACATAATGAGAAAACTATACACGTGAATAACTAGGAACCTGGACTAAAGTACCCCGGAATGATACTATACTTCAATAAGCTAGGCTGGCTGATCTTGACATATTCACGGTCAACTATCTATCCTTGCACAGTAGAATAGTTTACAAGACTACTGCCTGTCTATTTGCGTGGGCAAAAGTCGATAAACCCTTAGGACCCTAACATTTTCTAACATTTCTTTCTCCCAAGTTAGTGTGCTGCTACAGACCACCGTAAATTACCTCTGAGCCATTCATTCATACTCCACCACAACTTCGAGAATTCAATGCGAGTGAGCAAAAGTTGAGGCAGATGGTGACATCTTAGGGCCTTCCGTGACATGGTGGATGTATATTTGTTCCATAGATGTTGTGGTGCTAAATCTTTGTTCCCGTTTGTTGTGACTTCCAGTTTTGCGTTCGTTACGTTCGTCCTCGTTGACTGTCTGTTGGCGATCGATTTGTCGAAAAAGGTGCTACCCGGTTATTGCTAACCGTTTATTGCTAACCATTTATTACTAACCGTTTATTGCTAACCGTTTATTGCTAACCGTTTATTGCTACTCTTTGATTACTATTCGTTCGTCGTTGATCGTTCTCCATTCTGGATTCATCAGCTTGTTTCATGCCAGGTATTATGGGCGATAACCTTGAATTTGACCTCACGTCCAAAGGCCAAGGCCTAACGCCACTAACGTATTTCACGGTCGACCGGGCCACACGGCCGTCCGGGCCACCCTAAAACACTATACTAAATACGATTTTCTAGGTATCAATATATCAACAACGAGAAGATGCCTCTACGTGGTTTCTAGTATGCTATAATTCCCTAGCATTAGAAATAGCTCAGCATAGCTAATATGTACAGAAAAGGATTATCTACTTGTATTACAAAAAATACGCCCTGATCAAGCGATGTAGATATATATATTAACATTGTCATACCCCAAAGTATTTCTTGAGCTAACAAAAATGCCTGGAATGGCATATTCAACACTAAGATACCCTAAGACTATATGATTAGCCTTGAGCGTTGAAATATGAAGTTGTGAATTATTGCATTTAGTATGGCGATTTGGGGTGGCCCGGACGGCCGTGTGGCCCGATCGGCTGTGAATTACGTTACTTACCATATTCATTGCAATCAAGCATTTGCCTTTATAGTCACTAGCGATATCTGCTTCCTTCCTAATGACTCCTTTTTCTTACTTGAGACCTACTGCCAGGCCTAGGCGCAGATAATCTATTGACTAGATGCCCTTGTGGGATTCTGGGAAAGAAACGTGCGTCTGAGCAATATACATGGCATGACGCCCTTGATGGTTGCTATAGAAGGAGGTCGTTTGGAGATCTTCCAATGTCTTCTTTCTGGTAGCGTTACCCAGATGTCAATCTCACCGATAATTCTGGAGTGACGGCCTTGTGGCTTGCGGCAATACGTGGAGAGCCGAAGATTTGCAGAGGCTACTCGAGGTTGAGGGTATTGATGCCTGTCGAGCCGACTCACAAGGTGTGACACCTAAACGTATTGTAACGATGCATGACAACACTGAGGTTGTCAAGATCTTAGAAAACTTTACGATTTAGCGATATTCTCGAGTGAATGTAAATAATGTAAAATTTTGCGACATATGAATACAGTGAACTTCTCGGTCCATGGTTCGAGAGACCGTGTTTAGACGGTCCCAGAATACGGAAGCTAAGCAAACACCAGTGTCAAGAGAGAGAATAATTCGAATATAGAACGATGAGATTTGCCCCAAAAAAAAACTGTGGCTCCTACCAGTGGATCGACACAAGCCCTTGAAACAATATTAATAGATTTGTGGTGGTGTTAGAGGAAGGATCAAGAAAAAAAAGCCAAAGATCTTGGCGTGCTGACTTATTGGGTAGATGAAATTGCGTCCTTGTGGTCAATACTACACTGTAATACAATAATAGGGGTAGGATCAGCAGTCTATACTTGTGCCTGTGTACTTTTGCCGCTATTCCGAAGAGCACTGCCACGCGAAAACAACGAACCATAAATATGTTTTGGACCCCACCAGATACCTCCTCTTTCTCATTCCTGCCGTTTAAAAAGCCCTATGGTCAGCACTTATTATCAACTAAGCAACCAGCCCCATCGGCTTCCGCATCGAACATGTAGCTCAGTACAACACACTCTAAATACCATAGGAGTAATATTAAAGCGCCTGGGAAGCCCAAAATTATATTAACGTTCTCCGTAAGATCAATGTTCGCTAGCTTCTACCCAGTACTGGCTACTACGAGGATAGTCAGTTGTGTGATGAATTATGTGCGAGGGTAATTGCGCTCATGAGCTAATGCACTGTGGTTTGCCCAAGTCAGTATTAACGCCGGAGTCTCCGGGGTACGATTGAGCCGGACATGCTGGTTCTCAGGGTCTACGGAGGCCGAGGACAGGGTCTAGCTGGTTAGCGCGGTTTAGCAGTGCGGCAAGGTAGCCAGCCCCCAAAGTCTTGCAGCCATGTCAGCCTTGCTTCCGTTCTTGGTAATAAATAAGAGGGGAGACATTCCATGCTCCTTTCCATCAGTAGCAGGTATCATTTCAATCTACTTCTGCAAAATGTCGCGAAGCCCAGTGTCGGCAAGCCCTATCTATGAGCCGCTCAAGAGGTCAGACGATGATGATTACAACCCGGACCTGAACACCGAATCGCCGAGTTTAAAAGGCTCTCCTATTTCTGCAACATCGAAACAACATGGGGAAAGAGCCGAGAACGAGTCACAGAAATCGTTTGATAACGACTGGTATGTCTGGGAATTCCTGGGAGTCGCGATATCTGGTGGCATCCTAATTGCCACGGTCGTCGTCCTTGCTTCGTATAACAACGCACCTGAACCGAAGTGGAAGTACATGTCTCTCAACTCGTTAATTTCCTGGCTGAGCACCATTTCAAAGGGTTGCTTAATATCTGCCATCAGTGGGGTGCTAGGCCAGTTGAAGTGGACATGGTTCAAGCAGACATCGCGACCCCTACCGGACCTCCGTCGATTTGACACAGCGAGTCGAGGATTTTATGGCGCTATTCAGCTGATATGGAGATTACGTGCTAGGTTGGCCATGGTCATTAGCTTAGAGGTTTTGTGACTAACACGATGTATAGGCATTTTGCGGTATGGAGCTGCTTGGCTGTTATCCTGGCGCTGGGATTTGATCCCTTTGTGCAGAACCTAGTCCACTATCAACAAAAAATGGTCGTGGATTCATCGAAAACTGCTTTAGTGGCAAATTCATCCACATACAGTGCTTACGGCTTTCAATATGTGCTTGCAGGTAGTGGAGGTAGGTCAAAACACCAATATATTACCTGCGGCTGGGAGTGACGATATGACCAGATACAAGAATGGTCGATTCTGAACTCAAATCGAATGTATACAATTCTCTTCTAAACCGCGACCAAAAGAGGCCTTGGGCTATCCCTCAGTATTCCTGCAGCTCAGCCAATTGCACCTGGGGTGTTGTCGCATCGTTAGAAACCCGCGCACTCTGCGCAAACATTACTGAGCATCTCGATAAGTCATGTACAGTGACCGATAAATCTCTCTTTTCGGAAACGCGCTGCAATATCACACTCCTCAAAAGCAACGTAAAAGCATCCTTTCAGCAGGACGGATCGACAACTTCCCTATTTTATGCGTTCGTCAGCTCTGCAGTCGATCCTGAAGCAGCCCTGGTATATACCAATGCGACAATGTATCCAATACAGTTTATTACTCCCCGACTCGCAAATATCTCAGTGCTTGCTGATCCAATTATTAACCAAAACTTGTCATTGAGCGCCGACGGATGGGAGGCAACGGAATGCGTCATTGAGCCTGTCGTACGCCTTTCTAGGCCCTCCGTTCGGAACAATGTCTTCACCGATGACACACTAGCGATCTGGAACACTGCGACCGTACCCAATGACGCGACAGGATGGTACTTTTATCCGCCATGGGGCGATGATATGGGTGTGCAACCCAACCAAACCTTTATACTTGAGAGGGAAGCAGAATATGCTATCAGGACGTTTTTATGGAACATTTTGAGTGGCGGATTCTCGCACACTCCAATACATCAAGCATATCAAACGACATATGACACGATGGGATATGCCGCATCCGACATCCTTCAGGCCCTTGGCCGGGAAGATATTGTTGGATGTAGTACTGAGTCAGCGATCAGGTTAAGATGCGCTATGGAAAACATTGCGGCAGCAATCTCCAAGACTTTTCGAGACTCCATGTACATCCAGGCAGCTTCGAACCTGGAAAACGCGAATATGACACCCGGTCATGTTCTGACTAGTGTGACGTATGTCTCGGTTCACTGGCAATGGATTGTATTACCAGCGCTTGTTTGGATACTCGGGGCCGTCGCGCTGGTAGGCACTATCTGGAAGACACGGCGGACGGGAGTGCCTAAGTGGAGGAATGACCCATTGCCGTTACTATTTCTCTATCGGCATGAGACCAGTGCTGCACAGAGATATGAATTGCTTGCTCAGATTGATTCTGGCGAGCTAAATACCTTGCGTGGAAGGCTGCATGACGTTGACGGAAACCTAACCATAGGATGATGAGAAATAATCAAGTATGTTACGATCAGCTAGTAGGAGGGAATGAATTGAATAGTAAAAGGATTTGTTGGAATTCAGAACTTGGAAATGGGTTACTCAAATTACCGATTGATCCTATATTGGTTACCTTTGATATTCAAATCAAGACGCCTGCTCAAGTCACAAATAAGACATAAGTCATTCCCTTCATAGCTCGCCCATTCGACCAGCAAGAACAAGCTAAAACATATACTTGAACAGCGGAGACTTATCTCCTATGTTAAACAGTTCATCCTCGGTATACTTAACCCTCGCCTTATCCGTAACCTTAGCCTTCTAAGCATTACCCATCTTACAACTCCACGTAAGGAAGAAAGCCCCCGGCCCTAGTAAGGGCAAGACTCAACCTAAAGCTAGTGGGATACTTTGGCTTCTCCTTGATATACATAAAACTCCCGATAAACACGCCGACGTTTCTAACGTAGTATAAAAGCGCGATATCGATAGCTCGTGGTGCTAATAGAGTAATATTATTCGCATTCTATAATACGGCGGCGGATTGAATTAGGTAGATACCGGCTATGCCGAGGACGACGACGAAGTAGGCTACTCCTTGCTTAGATTTAAGGGCGCCGTTAAGGGAGAATAGGATTACGTAGGCGATTACCACGATTATCATAGGGATAGCGACGAAGGTTATACGCTAGTAGAAGCGGTCTATTAGTCGGGCGAATAGAGTAGCTGTCGGATTTACACACTGCGCATAAATAGTATGTGCACGGAAGCGGCCGTACACAGGCAAACGGATCGTGCGATCTAATCAAAGACCCCAAGACTGTGGAAGTAAGACTAGACACGAGAAAGCGAGGGTCGACAGTGTTAGACAGAAAGGTTGAACAGTGGCAGGTCAACGCAGTATGGTCAAGTAGGCCTAGAAACCCTACTAGTGCATGTGAAAAATGTCAAACTCGTTGCATTAAACTAGGAAAATAGACAGTATTTATAACAGAAGCTACATAGCAGAATGTCACAGGAAAAGACTAATAAAATCCGAAATAATGGGGAGGGGGGGGCATACGAGAGTGTTAGGAAACTCGTTGCGCTTTCTGTCTGATGTGATACTTGATAATCAACATCATAGATCATGTAGCGATATATACAGGATATGCTATATGATTGGTCCGAAAGCATGCATGCGCATGTATACGCTAAGTGCGGAGTATCGCACACACATATGTTGACAGTAGATTACACCGGGGAAGAAGCTAGCCCTATTATATAGTAATAATAGTCATAGTTACTATAAGTTGGGCGCGCGGGGTCAGAGAGACGTACTCGAGGATACCCAGCAGCACTTAGGTCGTTATAAGACCTCCAAAGTTCCTAACTAAACCCGTGTATTTCATAACGATACCCTAGCTAATAACTAGAACGCTGAGGTAGGTAGAAGGGCGCTTAAACTTCTTAAGAAGGATGTTTTACTAGGCACTTCGAAGAACACGTAGGTAGTAAAGAATATTACGAACATAAGCCAGTCAACAACATTTTTCGAGAAACGACCAAAGATAGTAATAGAAGAACTCGCAGACGAAAGTACAGTGTTGTACTGGACCCCCGTCATACCTAAACCCTGAACTATGCCCCCGATTTTGGCATTCCCGATATTCGCACGATCGATATGACAGATTAAGTATAGCAACGCCAGCATTGGGACTAAACGAAGATCCGCCTTTCGAAAGACCTTCTTTCGACGTTCATCCGAGAAAGTGGTGTAGAATTGTTCATCGTCCGTAGTCGAATCGACGACGCGGAAAGTGTCAATCTCCGTGACGTGCGAAGGCTTGGGGATATTCTCGACAATCTCGACATATTCCTTGCGAATCGACCCAGGGCCCATGGCTGCAAGATGATATATGTGGAGTTGACAACGTAGTTGATCCACCTGACAAGAAGTCAACGCAAGGCTGATAACTCCAAGACGGTCCACCATCCACCGAAGTGGGTATATATACACCATCTCGGATATGTCATCTTGGCAAAGACATGCCACGACTTTCTCTCGCATGATAACTTAAGCTTGGCACGCATCAAGTCCAAGCTTCCCACACCATCTCTATAACCCAGCCTTGGCGACTAGTTCAGTGGGTCCCATAACCTAAAACGCGGGGGGATAGAGGCCACAGCACGTTCTCTCTCTCCCTTGACGACCGCAAATTCAAGCCTCTTCCGGTCTCATATATGGAAAAATGCGGTCGAGCATAGTCCACGGGGACGGTGAAATGTCCAGTCAGACCTACATTTGTCTTGTAGATGGGCAGAACGGGCGCAGATACCACGTAGTCTAGCGTGGGCCAAGCCTGATTGGCTTCTTGCGGGGTAAACAACTTAAAAAGGTTCTCCGGGCTTTCTCCGCATTGCCAAGATGTTCTTTCCCTGAGGCTTGAAAATGTCCTAGAAGTGAGCTTCTCTGGTGCGGAATATGGTGAATGGGTTGTAGAACTGTAGTATTGACATGGGGTGTTGATAGTTCGTGTTTATGTAGCGACTCAAGGCAAATAGGTCTAAATCCTGGAAAGGTAGGCTTTCCGATGGGACCCCACTATGACCGCAGACTGGAACTTGGTTGGCACTGTACATGCTTGGCGGGGACCCTAAGGGCCTGATTGGGGCTCTGAGAATGTACTCTAGTACGTCCTATAAGATACTTAAAAGGACCCGAGCCCGTATAAGGCTTAGTATAGTTACCGTAGGGTTACGAGATACCCTTAGGATCGAAGCCTGTACCGATAGGGCCGGAATCAGCCGTCGCAGCACCTATCGTTTTTATACCTCATTATAATAACGATTAAGGTAACTACGCCCTTTCTACACTTACTCGGAGTGACCAGCAGGCATCGCGTAACACTTCGCTCCTAGGAATACTAGAAGTAAGTAGTTAGTAGCGCGGTTAGCATCGGAGGACCTTATATAACGGGGAGACAAAATGAGACTAGATGTGCTGATCAGCCTGAGCATTAGGGTGAGCGATCAGATTGCTCAGGGAGCTGCTTATGTTCGCTTCGTGAGTTGCTCAGGGCGGCGAGGTGACTAACTCACTCTGTGCTCCGGGAGCCGATCATTTCCCGAGGCGGCAGTTTTACCGTCACCTAGATTACAAATAAGTATCTCAAAGGTGAACGATGTGGAAAAAGGAGACAATACTTCTAGCCTTGTGTCGATCACAAAATCAGTCAAGCATAATCAAGCGGATTCAAAGCTTTTCATTGTCTTACCAATTTACATTTAAGTGTAAAGGGAATGTGATGCAAATTGCACCAATGTAATTGAGAGAAACCAATATGATCGTATATAAACACAAAGAAACCATTTGATAGGCACTAAAGCCGTCATTTTCAACCAAGCACCTATAAGGACCGGGAAAATACTGTAATGAACAAGACTTGAACTGGAAAAGGAATATTCTTCCCAAGAAGAAATTGAGCAGGTTAACGTATACAACAGAGGTTTGTTTCACGAACACAGAACAATAGTCAATGGTTGGCAATAATCAAATCACAAAGTATGATCCAACCTCAGGTCTCGTGCAAGTGGGCAACGAGGTTAACCTGGGACTCCTGGAAGTATCCATCTTCGTACATCATTTCCTCTGAAGGAAGCTCCATCTCCTTTGCATGAGCAATCTTTGCCAAGCTGACTAGAAAGTCGAGGCACTGTTCGTATGAAAGAGCGGCGAAGGGGCCAGGGTCCACGGTGGAACGCGCGGTCGTAGACGCCGAGTCTGCGGAAATTCCATTCGTGGCTGCAGAAGTTAGCATTGTAGGAGCTGTTTGATAAGGAATGATAAACTCACTAGGTTGACTATCCGCAGTCGATATCTCTCGAGTAGCTTGTGTAATGACTGCAACGGCGGCAACGGCTGCCAGTCTCTCGGGCGCGTTTGATCCGCTACGGGCCAGTTGACGCTATCTTCCTGTCAGTGCGGGCCGTGGGGTTCTTTTATTCAAGGGAATGTCTCACATTCACCGCGTTTAGAACGGCCTCGGCCATCTCGGCGGGCGTGCATCCGATCTCAGGCTGTCATGGTATTAGTGTCCGGCGCGAAGTCGGACGGCGGACGTCAACTTACTGGCGGCGGGAGGGGTCTCGGGGTAGCATCTCGATCGAGGGATGAGAAGGACATGGTGATTTTGAGTATTGGGCTTGTTCAACAGCAAGAGTGTGATGAATCGTTGTGAAAGTTCATTTCGGGAAACGCCAAAATCCGTCCGGGCGCAGGCATGAGGTAAGCCGTCTACCAGGTTCGCTCCTTCTTGTCAAATCGATTCTATCGACCAGAGTAACTTACAAGTGCGTCCTTACATGTGGGTTTAGGGACTGATGGGATTTACCGATTCCAATTTCTGGAAATGTCCAGAGTATGATTGTCATTCTCTATATTTGTCCACCAGGACTGCAACCGATATCAATTTTTCTAACCTTTTCGAAACCGCTCGCACTATAGAACCTTTTCAACAACGATTATACATGCTGGAAAAGCTTTGAGTATATATGAGGCTATCCCAGAACAAAGTTTTCGAATGCTTTTACCCATGGCTGATCAAGAGCCCAACATGTAAGAAGTTTCTTGAAACCCCAGATGATGCCATACACATGCTTTAAATTGCTCAGACCTGAAAATCTTTATCTTGCTGAATACTTTGCTCCATTGATGGATTATATTGCTGTATCACCTATAGACCTTTCACCCACGGTGACCTGAACTACTTCCTTACTACCTGGAACCTTTGATGCTCGGCGCCACTAGAATTTTGAGAGTATCTCAGATATACCTTATCTGTTCCTCCTCAAAACGGCCCAAGTCTCGCGACAGAGCATGCTATAGGTACGTCAATGTCCATGGGCAGTACTTTTCTGCCTCTCTAGAAAGACCCGCCCGCAAATCGATATACAGTCCATCTACGAATCATGAAATACCCGGTCAATGTCAAGCAATCTGAGTTGGCCGCTCATCAATTCTCTCGCAAAAATAGACTCAAGCCTCGAATTCGATTTTGAAGAGTTACGCACGGGATCTACGTCCGTTGCACAAACCACCCACACATGGCATCAAGTTACTCGTGGAGGCTATTTCGAATGCGCTACCTTCAGGTTAGAAAGCCGAACACAACATCAGCGGTGAACACAATCCGGAGGAAGAGAAGACAACGTCTATCGCTATTGCTACATTCGGGATACAGGAGCTAGGGTTCTTCGAAATCAGCATGTGCTAGATTCGACTTTCTGCCGCTAGTAGTAGTGGCTAATTTCAATGTGTTTGGTACGACTGTGATGCTCAAGATTTCTGTCAAGGACCATCGAGCCTCAATCATTCTCACAGATCACCATTGGTGGGTCTACCAGGGTGAGACTAGAGATACAGCCGAATCACGAAAAGTAGCTAAATGATTGAATGGACCCTAGACCAGCCTTGATGTTAGATGGCAGGTATGAGAAGATAGTAATAAGAGACACAATGGCTACTATATGACTATAGCACTATCAAATTTGGGGTAAGATCTCAGGTCTATGTGGGCACAGAGTAGGTTTAAGCTTGATGCATGGTTTAGTGGAATCAAGCAGATTAATTAGGTGTATTGTACATTAAGAGAGTAGTTAGAACTAACATCCTCACAGCAAGTCCCTTCAATTGTGTCAATTTCATCACGAATCTGTATATCGAGCATGTAGACTCGATGGCACAGACTGTGACTGAGACATCGATCCTTGCTCATTGTGGCTAGTGACGTTGTTCCCCACCGCGTTCTGGATCTCCCACAACCAGCTTTCGGAATCCCCTTCTTCCGTTGTCCCTCCTTCGACCGGTCCGCTGGATGGGAAGCTTTCATGGACCAAAAGGCACCACGGTGATAAGCAGGCGAGAGGCGAGAGGAATTCCAAAATACCAGTGCTCAATGGCCAACCTTTTTCCTCTCCCGGCTTGTGTGAGGTAGCTCCCCGAATGCTCGACATAGTCGAAGACTGGATGATCTAGCCACGGGGTGATTCGGGCTGATGGTCTTTGAATCTTCCCAACAGCCGAGAGTACCCATGGCTATACTCTCTGCGCAGAACCAGGTACCACGTTGGCAGTGCAGATTGTACAGCATTTGCGCTTGTTTGCATGATTGGGGATGTTGGAGATGTACCGCAGGTCGAAGGTAGTGTCGCGGACTTCGCTGGAAGTGGGTTCCTTGAGAAAACCTAGGTAATTGTGTGAATATCAGCACATCACAGTGGGGAGAGCTGGGGAAGTGGGCATCTTGGAGGAATGAAGCTCAGCTGATGTTCGATCTAGCCATCAGAGTTTGGTGTCCAGTCTGGGCTTCGCAATGCCGCTATCCGTCAGTATGGATTGTTGTTCTCTTGAGATTGCTGTCCATATAGCTTGGCGACCGCTCCGCGCTTGGGCAGAGTGTTGCTCGTATGGTGAGGTGAACAGAGAGAACAGAGAGAAGAGCAAATGATCGAGGTTGAAAGGTATGCACCGGCATTCAAGATAATCGAGGCGCATTCAGGCGCAATACCTGAAGTCGTAGCTCATCGAGATATGTTCGAGGTATATTGGTGTTGACAAGGGTGCTGGACTCTGGAGTTCACTATCAGCTTGTTGACCAGAAAGGGAAGGAAGCCGGCCGATGCCAACCAGATGACATCACGAGAAGAAGCCCTCACAAGTCATAGGACAGTGAAAGGCCCTTTTATCAAGATCGAACTGGGGTGTTGCCCCAGTGGATTATCATCCTGGGGCAGCTACCCTGAATACCTGCGCGAGAGTGAGTCCCCCCAACAACCGTAAGGAGGGAGGGGCTCCAACCTGGTTCGATCTCCGCCACTGGCAAACTAAATTTTTTCTTCCTTTTCTTCTGCTCCTTGTTCTTTGATACCAGCTTAATATTTTTGGACCTTCTTGGGGTCTACGAGGGTTTTGTGACCACTACAGGGGTTTTCTTACCTGCTCACTTTGATCTTGACTAACATAACGACAGCATCATCATACAAGACCTGACGTCACAACATTGTCTTGACAGCGAAATTCGCAAGACTAACACTATTTCCAGAAGTTTCCATATCATTCTGGCAGCGTGTAAGGCTTCTCCTCTTCACCACAGCCTCTCCAATTCATTACACAACGGAGTAGGAAGTGTTCAGCTCGGCAAATTCTGGTAGTCATCAGGGAAAACTCGAGTCAAATACATGTTCGACCGGGGCTATGTGTCATTCAAATGTGCTCTCAGCAATCTTTCAGTATGATCCTCGAAGGGGCTCCTAGTCCGCAAGCCTAAGTCAACACCGAAAGACCGTGCTCCGTTCTGAAAGTTGTCTTGAGTTCAGAAAGCGATTTGTCTGTCTACAGTAGGGAAGTATGATATTCAGCTTTTAGTGAAAGCAAACCTTGCATCTGTGGCATTATCAAATCTATTTGTCTGCTATAGAATCTTCTATCTATCTATAAATCCCGAAATAAGAGCCAAAAAAAAAAAAAGCAACCGGTCAACGATAACAGCCAGACCTTTCTTAGATCTGCTTCTTGGAACCATCAACCTCCAGCTGTGACAACGCACCTTGGACCTTAAATTTGGCAGAGAAAGGATTAGGATCCGTCTGATTCAAATTTCCCAGTGTATGATTGACCTCTCGATGTTTGGCCTCGTCCGCGCGCACATATAACAGCAACGATCGAATACACCGTTGGCCCTCAGGCATTTGCCAGTATTTGATAGCCATTTGGGGGGCTTGCAACTTCTCCCATTGCGGTAGGTGACCGTTGTCGAGATCTGTGATTGCTTTAGAGTAGGTTATTACAGCCTCTTCTTCGAGGTATCCGACGAATCGGTGGCAGATTTGTGGGGAGATCATATAGGCCAGGGAGAAACCAGTGAAGAATATGAATTGTGCGCCGAGGACCATGAGTCGCATGAGTGGGCCTGGCTCGGCGAGTTTGAGGAAGGTGAGGAGATGCATGCGTTCGTTGTAGGCCTCCTCTAGGAGTGTTTCGATCCTGAATCAATTGATTAGCTTGTGACATATGTGGGCTCTCGCGTTAAAACTCACCATCCATGATCTCTTTTCATTTGTCGGAGGCTTTTGAGATGACGGAGCATACCGGCTGCCATTCCAGGGACACCAGCAACACTCTCCAGGAAGATAAATCGTGTGATCCATTTATCCTCAGACATCGCGTAGCCTTTAGCTCCTGTGTCCATGGAAGACTGTGATTTATACCCTGTAACAAGGTCCATGCCCCAGCGTAGAAATCGAACGGATCCAAGTGCTACCTTGTCTTGCCAGGTATTTGCCTTGTGATGAGCGGTTCTGACGGCGAGGATCTCCTCTCGGGTATATCTGGATACATCGGGGTGGAGTTGTCAACGGGGATGGCCCCCAAACAATAGACTGACATTATAATGGATCTCATACTCACATTGGGTGAGTCCATGAGGATTTTTGAGTAAGCTTTGTGTTTGTAGAATTTTGTCGATTCGCGATCATGAAAGCCTGGGGTGATATGACATGGCCGCCGCGTAGGACCGCACGATGTACAGGGCGCATACGGCTTAGTATGATAGGACTCATTTTGAAAGCAAAGTGAGAACGAATTGATATTGCAGGAAGATTTGATTTATTCCCTAGCAATGATAAACAAGTCGATAATTGTTGGGCTGGAATGTGTGGTTTCTAGCCATGAATCTCAGGAGAACAACAGCCTTCTTATTTCTCGCACATAATTGACATTTATCTATACAAAGTAATGAGTCAATTTTTTTTTCGTGGTGATTCTCGTCGCTACATTGCAGAACGTAGACTGCAGTTGATATTATTATGTGATCACATCGGGATTGTTCCCGGTTGTTCTGGATTATACACTGTAAGCGCTATAACAACCTCAACAATCGTGCCCAGAACAGCAACAATAAGGAATCTAAACTATGCCTGAACACTTTGTTGAGCTTAATGATTTTCCGATTCCATCCGAGATCAAGGGAATATACCGGGCCGGCTCGAAAGTATAAGCTGTTGCATGCTTTGACTCACCGAGAGTCAATTTGCATGTGGTCTAGAATCCCCAGATAGCCTATAATGCGGAGAAGCAAGCAATGAAATCATGCCGATAGGATTCCGAAAATAGTTCGTTGAGGGATGTGAGATCTTGTGCATCCTGATAAGAGGCGAGTTCACGATGGGACAGGTTGAATTGGGCGTTCTTGCGAAATTGTGTTGATATCAACAATAGTCAAGCCGTTCTGGACGCCTGTGATTTTATCCAGTCTTATAAAAATATTCATGGCTAGTAATTAATAATGTACAAAGAAATGGAAGAGCAATCCATGCAAAGAGGTATTGGTACAAGAATTTGATCAGTCGTCCATCGGTGGTGTATACCCATCAAACACCTCGGCTTCAAATGCCCCACAAAGCTCCTGCCAGCTCAGCCATCCACCATCGATATCTGCCCAAGCTCCGGTAGCATTGACGCCCTGGGTAACGGAAGAATTCGAAGAAAGCGTGTGATATGGGACCCATGTGCGGCCATCTGCGACCGCAATCGGCCGTCCAGCCTGCAGGGCGGGGACCATGGCTTCGAAAAGAGGCCGCACATAAGGGAAGAACCACAATTGAGTCCACAATTTGTCAATGTAGTCCTTGCCCCCGGTAGAGTGGAAGAGTCCGTAGACATTCTTCGTCACGAGGTTTGTTTCGAGACGGAGCTCGGTGACGTTGGGTATAGCACCGACGGCGGGTTCGACCAATCGGAGAATCCGAGTGATTGAGGAGGCGAGGTTTGACGGGAGGTATATCTTGTAGGGGTTGAAATTGGGAGACTCCGGAACATTTTGAGTGACGGTCGCAAAGGTCGTGGTTTCATTTGCTTCTGTTGTCTCGTTGTATGTGAGCATGCTTAGAACATGATCTGAACCGGCTCGTGTTTGGAAGAGCGCCGATCGGTGGTCGATGCCAATATGATATTCGGTCTTTTGGCCTGGCAAGACGTTGGGTAGGACCTTTTCCACGTTGAAAGTTGGGAAAGCGACGTTCGGATCAATGTCACCGTGGAAATATTGTCGAAGCTCTTCCATGGAGCGGGCATACTCTTGAACGCCCCAGACATCGCTCATGTACATCTGATCAGAGTCACTGAATTCGTGAATGGGGTCATAGTGCTGGGCGATTCGCTCGAGCGTAGCAGCGAACATCAGTCGCATATCTTTGGCTGGGCCCATGATGGTGCCTGAGTTAAGCCATCGAGGCAGGCTGTGTTGCAATTGCCCATCATCTGGCCCAAAGGCCCCATGAGGAATACCAATATCTTGGGGAACAGCCCAACAGCCGACTCGGCTCCAGTCGACGGGATAGCACACCTTTTCGGGGCCAAATAGGATCGTCTGTTGGGGCATATCATCTCCTTTAAGCGACTCGGTCGAATTGGCTCCGTATCGCAGAGCAAGTTTGGCACTAGCAGCCTTGGTAATGGCGAAATAACGGTCGATAAGAACGTCGGGCGGGATTTGGAACACAACATCGTAACCATCAATCATAAGAACGAGATCATCGTCGGAAGAAGCGGGTAGACTGTCTAGGTATTGCATGACAGTGCGAACTTTGGCTAAATGAGTCTTGGACGCGTCCAAGCCACCCTCCTTCATCCAGCCGTTCAACACAGAAACTGGATATCCCAAAGCTGTCGCTGAGGCGAGGGCACGACATAGTCGAAAGTGATAGCCGCTAGCTGGGAGGAGAAGATGGAATTTAGAGACCGGCCCCGATATTTTTGACGAGTCGGCGTTTTTCCATACTGAGATCGGATCGCTGCGAGTCGTTGATGCCGGGTATTGAATGACCGTGATGAAAGCAATTACGAACAAGCTGGCGAGGCCAGCCCATTGCCAGCGACTCAAGCGATTTGGCAAGCTTGAAAATTGCATGGTGTCCTTGTGACCCCTGCGCTGTCTGTCTCCTGCTCTCTTTTGCCTCTCGGGCTTTCTTAGTGACTGAAAAAGCCCCAACAGGGCTGGCAGCCAGGAGGGTGGAAAATCAAACTACTGTCAGGTTTCGGAAATCGCTAGTTTCTTGAGAGGAGTTGAAAACTGGGATTTTCCCAGGCTCAACCAGTTATTCATAGATACGGCATCTCATGCGTATTCGATCAGGAAAAGCAAAGCACTGGTAATTGGACCCTCTGGCCAAGCCTTTACTGTACGCCCAGATTCACCGGGCTGGTAATTAATGCTATCAATGGCTTTGACCGCAAGCTTCCGGTAACCAAACTGCAAGCGGGAGATGCCGCAGTACAGATAGTGGCCCCTCTGTGGCGGACTGTCTACGTATGCATCCTTAGCCATTTAAAGCTGCCCCTTTTTCTTGACGTGTGATAAACGTCCAAAGAGAGGCGGACCTGGCGCCCCCAGACGCCACGGGGTGCCATAGCTGGGAGAGATACGGTTTTGTGAAAGGGTCCATCGTGGGGCTGTCCAATAATTAGGCTGAATGTTGATGGCGTGCTTGGCGCTTCAAATTCCACTGTTGGTACCCAATGCGAAGCCACCCCGACTGCGCTGGCTTTACGGCCGTGTCATGCATTTGACGACTCAGTGGTATGTATTTGAGTGGGTCGAGTCGGACCTGTTGCTTTACTCCGTACGCTAAAACGAGATACCCCGTACGGCGAGATACTGTGTACGGGTACGATGGAAAACGCCCCGCCCATGTAATATGTATTTCATGGTCTCGTTAGGCGATGAATCAAGTTTTCTGTCACAGAATTTATGCACGAGTGTCTTCCGCATCGATCGTCCCTGTGTAAAAGTAATTAGATCTGGCTTAGTACTCCGTACATAGCGGTCAGTTTAACTGCGCAAACAATCTCTCGTTTTCTTATTCGGTTTCCTCCCACACGACACTCATTTTTGCCCGCGTGCCGCCAGTCTCCGAAGATAGTGATATTGGCTGGCCGCGAGAGCGACTTCTACCTTTCTATTCCTCAAAATAGTGTGTGGTTAAGAAAATTATGCGGAAGAGCGAAGAACAACAGGAAGCAGAGCTGGCTCTGCTTTCCAGCGAGGATGATTCGGCTTCCAACACCAGTCTCGACGACCTTGAAGCCAACCGAAGAGACGAACCGATCACCAACCACAATACAGCACCAGAATACCAGACACCAACAACTGTCAAATTTATATGGCTGACATGCTACTTCGGCTTCAGCATGGCGCTGACAATATATAATAAACTGGTTCTTGGATCCGTAAGGGTTATCGCGAATGGTGGCCGTCATCATCATGGCTAACACGGTCAATAGTTCAAAGCGCCTTGGCTCTTAACATGTCTTCACACATCGTTCAGCGCGCTTGGCACATTCGTGATGTTAAAGCTAGGATACTTCAAACTGTCCAAGTTGAGTCGTAAAGAGCATATCATACTGGTGGCGTTCTCTGTTCTATTTACGACCAACATCGCCATGTCGAACCTATCACTGTATGTGTCTTCGAAGCTACGATATTCCAAATGTTACCGCGACAATAGTACTGATAGCTGCCTCTACCACAGATCTCTCGTTTCGCTCGCATTCTTCCAAATCATTCGCAATACTGTCCCTTTATTTACCGTTCTGATTTACCGTCTGTGGTTTTCGCGGACATATGTAACTGGTACTTATCTATCCTTGATACCGATCGTCGCTGGTGCCGGGATGTGCACTGCGGGGGATTACCATTACTCCTGGTTTGGTTTAATTGTCACGATTTCGGGGGTGGTTCTGGCAGCGGTGAAGGTATGTCATGCCCCTATGCCTTCTGTTATACATCCACTGGTTACTAACTTTAGATCCTCTGTTTCTTTAAGACCGTCACGACAAATCGCCTCCTGACCGGTTCCCTAGCTCTTCCCTCCATGGAGCTTCTATTTCGAATGGCGCCTCTCGCTGCAGTTCAGTCATTACTATTTGGGATCGTAGCAGGCGAATTGCCTGTTGTCTCGCAAGCCTTGTCCGAGCGCACGGCCGATGGTTCAATTCTCCGAACCATGTGCACTATTGCTTTTATCCTCGGGAACGGTCTACTTGCTCTCGTGCTCAATATCGCTTCGTTCCAAACAAACAAAATTGCGGGCGCGCTTACGATTACAGTGGCTGGAAATCTGAAACAGGCCATCACGCTAGCACTGGGAATCATCGTATTCGGGGATTTCACAATCAATTTGCTAAACGGAATGGGCATTTTCCTGGTTCTTGCTGGATGTGCATTCTTCAGCAAGGTTGAGCTAGATTCAAAGAAGCGTGCAGCTTCTTCATAATGAAGGTCGAATAACCGTACATGGAACATAATTGATACCTTTTCTTGGTGTTTTGCACGTCCTGTCTTTCTACTGGCTCAGTTCGGAGTTACGGTTAACGGATGCGAGCCCGATAAGCCCGACCAGTCGATTCCCGAGCAGCCAAGGGTCCGCCAGTCACCCCATGTAGCTCCTTCGCAATGTATCTCGTATTACGGTAATGAAGGCATAGCACCTTTGGAAATGTACATAAATTGCTTGCTTGGCCGTCTAATTACTTGGACAGCACATTGCCCAGTCTATGTTCCCATGCCAAGAGTACCGCTAGGCTGCTGTATTTAGGGACTGTGTTCGGTGGAGAGGAAGAATCCCGACCCTGCCGGGACCCCCCCCTCCTCCACTCCGTATGCGTACGAGGAAACGAGGGGATGCGAAATGGTATTGACATGGTCAAGAGTGCGGCTATGAGGCTGGGGGAGGACCCCTGCTCCTGATGCTATTCTTGGCGAATGACCCTGCGAACCATAGCATCGCATGGCACTCAGACCCTCTGTGGCAGGCCCAGGTGGCTGAGACATTTTGCTGGAGGACGAATCCTTAATGGTAAACGAAGCCAGAGTCCTATCATTTTTTGACGTTGTCGAGGACCAAGCGGTAATTAAAACTACCACAGTATGCAAACGAGGGGCCATCTTCTTTCGTTTGTTCGTCGTGGTCCTTTACAGATAGCATCGTCGAGAAAATCGGAATAATGCCGAGGGCCAGCGAGTACGGAGTACAGCAAATACAGATCCATCTCAGGCTAAAGTTAATGCTTGGCTATGACCTAAGGGTGATTGTCTCGCTCGCTAAATGACAAGTTCCTGGTCAACAGAGTGTGTGACCAACCTTTCCAGTTACAGAATCCACAAAGACTCCGTAGTATGTAGTCATTTGGTGGAAAATTCTTGAATGAGGAAATTGCGACTGGCTCGTTAGGCAGGGCCGATCAAGTTACCTGCCAAGCACCAAACGATATGGCCACTTTGCTCATCAAACAGGCTAAAATTGGGCACAAAAGTACATCTACGGAAGACCGGGGATTTCATTAGAACGTTAGCCTTACCAATAGATATCACAAGTAAGACCTCGTGGGCGATGACAGTTTAGGCCTCCCAAGCGGCCATGAGGCCAAGCAGCGGGACTTGCCCAATTTCATAGTGGTGTCGTGCATCCCGCCCACTTCGGTCGCATCAGCGCCGCCCGTATTCAGCCTTATCCCCGTAAACATCACTCCTTTTTCTGTTGGTTATGTTGCACCGCATGGGATACCGTGTGGAGTCTTGGCTTGAGAGGTCAAGTGGCAGCCAGCACTCGGCTTTCCGTCACGCCAAGGAGGAAAAACCGATAGGTCCACATGATGGTTGGTTCCAAGATGGGTCACAGCATGCCGAGAAGATCCTGCCGAGACCCTGATTTTTTGAGGCCGCCCAGCTATTTTTATTTGCTATGGAAGTCTCATGTTCATGAAAATGCCATGAGTTGTGCTGCTAATTGAAAATAGACTATTACAATTATGGCACGGACGGTGGGATTATTGCCAACGATAGTATTGATCGATACAAGGTTCGTACTCATGAACATGATCTACTGTAATACGGAGCGTCCCGATTTTCCCACTTGATCAACCCCGGCGAAGATCCGGTCCAGGAAATTAAATTGCATGGCCAAGAACGTGGACCTTCAACATAAGCCCCTACTCGATAAACTACCGTACTGTAGGCGTATGTACTTATGTATCGATGGTACTGTAACCATACGAGCACGAACAAGGGTCTGGCGATGATCGTTACTACTTCTGGTCATCATACAGTTTAGATTGGGGCTGGAACGCATTGCTTCTCAGGGCTGCTCACGAAATATCTATCACAAATGGCGCATATTACTCTCCGCTTAGAGTGAAATAGCATAAGAAGGACGCGTATGCCTTTCTGTAGGTACCACACCTTATTGATTCATGTCTACTGGCGATGGTTAGTAGCTCTCCGTATGGTGGGGACGCCTTAAGGTCGACCATTAACGAGTATTGCTCGGATACCCTTCGATCCGAGGGCGATTCTTTTCTCATTCGAATTATTACAGCGCCGTATTTTGGAAGCGGTGGTATGTAATGAATATCGCATACAGTATGCGAAAGTAATGATATGTCTTTTCAATGCCTAGCAGATACCAGGAGATCAGATTGTAGAATTACCCCATTGGACAATTTGTCCACGGTGGCTTGCTTCTCATGATTAATATATCAGTGCTGTGATTGAGAGCAACTTGGTCCCCACTGGTCAAGTGTTACTACGTTCTTTCCAAGGCAAATCCAACCAAGGTTTGCGAGTAGGGAGCTCTTCCTCGCTTTCCGCGCGGTATCTAGACTGTGGAGGCTAGTCTCTTGTTTGCCTTGGTCAAAGTGGTCACTTCCAATTTCCCCTGAAGGTTCATATTTCTCTTCCATCGCTTTCAATTCTCTTAGCATTGTGCCGGCTTTGAACTGACTTTTACTTTGTTCCGCCAGCTATGCTCTCCACGGAGTCAGCGTTCGATTCCGAGACGTATGCTTCGGTAGACGTCTCAACCTTGCCAACAACGCCTGATCGAAGTGCATCATGCAGTCCAATACTGGAAGATAGCACAGATGAGCACGATGGCGCCTCCAATGGAACGAGGAGCACGTCAGAAGCTGACAGCGACATGGAGAACAAGATCCATCCCAAGACCATCCGCAGTATCTGCTGTGTAGGAGCAGGATATGTAGGTGGTCCAACGGCTGCTGTCCTTGCACTCAAGAATCCATCTATCCAGGTGACAGTCGTTGATCGCGATGACCGTCGCATCCGAAGATGGAATTCCCGGCATCTTCCAATCTACGAACCGGGTCTTGCTGAAGTCGTGCGAATCGCACGAGACGGAATGGGGGCACAAGACTCGGACGCGACAGAGAGTCTTCGGAAGCCCAATCTCTTCTTCTCGGCCGAAGTTTCTCGGTGCATCAGTGAGGCAGATGCTGTTTTGATCGCTGTCAATACACCGACAAAGATGCGCGGTACTGGAAAAGGTTGTGCCACCGATATGACAAGCTTCGAAGCCGTTGCCGCCGAGGTCGTGCGTCATGCAAGGGATGGTACGATCATCGTCGAGAAAAGCACAGTTCCCTGCAGAACGGCGCAGATGATCCAAGAGATGGTATGATCTCTCTCCCCACCAGGATTGCTATTTTGTGTTCTGTTCTGCCTTGTCCACCGCCACGAACCTGCATTAACAGGGTTACACAGATCCGTATTCAAAGGCCAGGTGCCCATTTTGAAATCCTTTCGAATCCAGAGTTTTTGGCTGCGGGAACTGCTGTGCAAGATCTTCTTCGTCCAGACCGTATTATTATTGGATCTGCAACTACACCTGGAGGGCTCTCGGCAGCGGAGGCGCTTGCAAAAGTTTATGCGTCTTGGATTGACCGGTCAAGGATCATCACCACTAATGTATGGTCATCAGAGCTGGCCAAGCTGGTCGCTAACTCGATGCTTGCGCAGCGTCTGAGCAGTATCAACAGTATTTCTGCACTGTGCGAGGCGACAGGGGCTGAGATCAACGAAGTCTCGGCCGCAATTGGGCTTGACACTCGTCTCGGATCCAAGTTCCTGCGGGCTGGTATTGGCTTCGGTGGCTCATGCTTCAAGAAGGATGTTTTGAGTCTGGTATACCTTGCCGAGTCCCTCGGTCTGCAGGAAGTTGGCGAGTACTGGCGCCAGGTTGTGGAGATGAATGAGTATCAGCGCAACCGATTTACGTCAAGAGTCATCAAGCGCTTGAACAGTACCCTCGTCACAAAGAAAATTTGTGTACTGGGTTATGCTTTCAAGAAGAACACCTCGGACACTCGTGAAGCACCGGCCCTCGAGATCATAAAGACTCTGTTGGATGAGAATCCACGCGAAATCGCCATCTTTGATCCCTGCTGTAATCCCGTCGTGATCGAGAACGAGATTCGCTCGCTACAGGGTTACGGACCCCCTATCCTCAGTGATGACGGTGGATCAGTCAAAGTCTACTCTGATGCATACGCCGCCACCGCCGGTTCAAATGCCATTTTACTTGTCACCGAGTTTGACGAGTTTATGAATTTCCCTGTCCCCTCGGGTGGGACCTCCTCCAGCATTGACTCACACGGAAAGACAAAGCTCCCTGGTTCACAGCCCAACGAGTCAACTAAGCAGAATTTCAACGATGAACCGGAATGTGCTGCTGACTGCCCTGACTGCCAATCGGGCACTGGATATGCAGATGATAGTGCCGAAAATACCGATAAACTCCCGAAGAAACAACTGGATTGGAAGAAAATCTCTGCCGAAATGCAGTCACCGAAATGGCTCTTCGACGGACGGTGCGTTATAGACGTGCCCAAGATGGAATCACTGGGAATTCGGGTTGAGGCGATTGGCTCTGCTGGATGGAGTGTTTGAGAGCGGAGCTTGTACATTCTCAGTATCGCGTTCCTTTTCGCATTAAAGGCTGTACTGTAGTGCGCTTGTGTTCCTGTGGTTTAGCTCAGTGTGTACTATATTCAGAGACAGTCGAGCCAACCAAGATCATTGTTTAAACTTATTTCTGTATTTTGAATGTCTGGTATGCTTTATGATATGACACTAATGCGCGATGACGCCATGGAGAGGCACTTTCGTTGAGTCGGATTTGCTAAGACGTGTGCCTGGGATTGGAATTCTTTTGTTCAATAAAACCTCCACGTACAGCAATTTGAATCTAAGTCTTAAAGAGCCTGGCATTCTCCTCAACACACCTGCAAGATTGCCGTATGAAAATGCCGTTCCCTTCCCTTCTTTTGATCAAAGGCATCAAGTAAGTTGCAAGTTCATGTTGGCTCGGTCAAGACTTTGACACCCTAGGGCTTGATCTCAACGAAACAGGATGTTTAGATGGAGGAATTAATATTTAGCCTCTTCAATTGAAAGATGTTAGTTCTCGATCGAAGCTATGATCGGAATCATATTCTAATATACCTCATATGTGTTGTGAGAGGGCGAGGGTTCTTTTTGTGCCATAAATGGTAACTCTAAGCGCTGCCTTATCTTCGGACGATTTACCCGAAGATCATCCAGAGGGTCGTCGCCTATTCGAGCAACGTCCGATGTGACAATCATGCTTGAAGCCTCTTGCATAGACAGGCCGCTTTCAGTCCAGCCATATAGAGTTTAAGAGCATGGGAATGCTTACTCGTGAATTTTAACAATTCTGTATCTCATAACCTACTATTTTCTTGACTCGGCTCTTTATTGATCGCGGGGTTTACCCGAAAGCTTGGACCAGTTTTCTCGGGGTTGGCAATTTTTTTCCGCCGACATTTCCTCTGTACGACTAGAAGTCTCGGGACGAGCGTGCGGGAAACGTTCTCGATCGCACCCGAGCGTTGAAAATTCTTTCATATCCACAGTCAGACGGCCACTGAGAAAGCTTCATGTTATCTGGTGGAGCAGTGGGGTGATCAGGTGGCACGTCGGGGAACGAGGGGAGTTTTGGCGATTTAGCGAACAAATTGGTCACTTCACACTGGTGGTTCGTTTTCTGAAGAAGAAGCATATTCTCATTCCTATCTTCTATCGCGTTTGAATTCATCATCCTACTGTGTTTGCAAAGTAGGAAGCACTCCGAAAAGCTTTTCGTTGAAGTTTTGGCATCTGGTTTACAGTCTCAAAGATGGGGCTACTCCGGGAGTACATAAAGAAGCCGCCGAGATATATTTGGGCTTGTGTTCTATGCTCCGTAAATGGGCTTCTTTTTGGTATGGATACTGGCATTATCGGCCCTGTCACTGATATGAAAGTCTTCAAGGCGTCGTTTGGAGGCAGCCAGAATGCCACCATTCACGGTCTCATTGTTTCGTCGATTCTCATTCCAGCTGCACTCTCCTCATTCTTTGCCGGCTATCTTTCTGATAGACTCGGGCGCCCAAAGGGCATCAGCATTGGCGTATTCATCTTCGGAGTTGGGGCCGCGATTGAAGCAAGTGCGGTCAGCCTCGGAATGTTTGTGGCTGGTAGAGTGGTGGAAGGCCTAGGAGAGGGCATTTTCTTGGGAAATCTGGTGGTCTTGATCTGCGAAATCTCGCCAACGAGTACCAGAGGACCATTGACCACTGGGCCACAGCTGATGATTACCCTCGGCTTGGTTATCGGCTTCTTCACTTGCTATGGATCCTCCAACATCCAATCGTCGCTGTCCTGGCGGATTCCGTTCATTCTTCTGTCCTCACTTTCGATGATTCTATGTACCGGGCATTGGTCCTCTTCATTTGGTCTGTACCGTCAGCTTGTCTGGCCAACCAGCAACGCGGTAAAATCGTCTTGTACAACAATTGCCCTTTTCCCCTATTCGCTGAGGAGGTAGCAAAATTCACACACTTAGACACTGAGCTGAAGCCCTAGCAGAGAATTTCCCATTTATTTCATCTTACAGTACCACTAATGGCGTAGGCTGCTCTCTCAAAATCTCGACCGTGTGGAGAAGCTCTAAGGTCACCCAGATAGAGTACAGCGCTTGTTTTGGGAGCGGAAACGACACCAATTGTTGTCCTCTCAACATGGTCTACTATGATCTTTCGAAAATCAACGATCCATCCAATGCTGAGTATGGAGTCCGAATTGAGCCAAACTTTGCCCGGGTGCCCGACGATCAATTGCCCGGCGAATACGTATCGATGTGAATCGACCTACTATCAGCCTGACGACAATTATGCGACCAAAGCTTGCGATGTCGGGACAGATTTGAAAGTCACATTTTGTCCACAGTCAAGGTTATAGTGTACTTTCCATACGACTAGCTGGCATGTCATTTACGCCTCAAGAAGAACGCTGTAACACCGAAGGTGCTAAGCGCACCTAGATACTGCAGAAGCTTGGCTTACGGTGAGAGCAGTGTTCAATTGACTTACAACGTCACAAGACCAGCCAGAACAGTAGCATGGGTTGTAGTTGCCTGTTTTCTTCCGCTTTATATCGCTCGAAAGATATGAAAAGCTTCTTCATCTTCATAGATTATGTCCTTTGCCATGGATGCTATGCTATCTGTGTCTCGAACAGCTCTTAGACATCGTCGTCATGACGAAAAATTGGTATCACGTGAAACACTAACGAGAGGATATCGCCCTGAATTTGAGGGATTGACAGAAGCGATCTTGATGCAACTGAGCTGGCGTTGAATGAACCTGGTTCCGATACAGTAGCATCATCGCGTGTTACTGTAGTGGAACAGGGTGCGGCCGCCATCGGGTTGCATGTTTGCGTGCAATCGACGGAAACGGACTGCATATGGATGCCTTACCACACAGGCTGCGGCGGTATCCAGGGGTTTGGGTATATTTTGAATTCTGTTCCCATAGATCTAGCCTCGAGGCTGAGATGTCAATGCGATACACGCTGTCGCTCATATATACGCACAATTGAAACTCTGGAAGGTCTGAATCGGCAGGGGCAGGAACCATTCGAAATTACAAATGAGAACCATGTTATCCTCCCTCGGTTAGTTCCACTTTTGAAGGCTGGGAGAATAATTGGCCAGCCTTTACAAGAACCGTAGGTGGCAGCCGAAAAGTATGTTCTCTAATAGACGTCATTATTGTGAACGGCATTACGTCAGGACTTTCGCTGAATATGCCAACTCCAACCCAACTCACTCGTTTAACTTTTGACTTAAATGGTTTTGAGGAAGAGTATTCAAATGCCCTCTCTCTGATTTTTTTTTTTTGTTTTCGCTAGCTCATAACCACTACGGAACATGTCGAAGAATTCATCGACACAGATACAGGTCATCATTAACAAGAATTCCGGTTATTTTGCAACCAACTATTTATTTAAGATCATACTGCCAGCTATTTGATCATTGGCCGATCGTTATTTTGTATGCAAGTTCTAGTCAGACTTGATTAATTCAGCTGTTCCTTTCCGCCTCTTCTTTTTGCTTCACCAGTTCTTCGTTTCAGGGTTGATGCGCGCGACGCACGCGTCCTTCAGTGAACAAGAAAGATAAATAGAAATAAACTACTACAAAAGAGCTAAGCTAGATTTTCTTTCTAGCGGGAGTGTAAAGAGTTATACTGAACGGTTATAGAGTACATAAAGTTACGGAAGACAGTAGCCGAAGCCGATTAGATCTATTTAAATTATGAACAGACCGAATAATTGAGTCAAACTATAAATCTAAATAACTACAACCGCAGTTTCTACAGTTCTTAGTGTACTCTTATATGTTAGTAGAGCTGTAAAGCCTCGTAGACCAACGAAAGCTAAGCCAGCGAATCAGCAACGCCGAACGCGGAAGTTAATATCAATGCCTTAAGAAAACCTAAGTCAAGAAGAGAGTTATACTACTAAAGACGAGTCAGCACGAGCCAGTCATAGAAGGGAAACGTAGACAGAAGTGCGGAACGAAGCCCTAGAACCCTAAGAGCTAGGATGGATGGAGATGTCGACGAGCAATAAGATACTGGTGACGCGCGCTGTCGCACGCTGTGGCCCTGAAACGAAACAAGTACGAAAAGTAAATCGTAAATTGAGTGATGATATGCAAGTCGAACGGGTATTTTTGACAAGGCACAGGAAAGGTACACACGTATGTCCGCTAGGATCAGCTAATTATATGCATACCGAGTTGCGGTAGCAAAGTGCGGCGTAGTGAGTGATGATTGGACGAGCATAGATGCAAAATATATTGGTAAAGCCAAAATATGTTGAACAGAAGGGGGGATTAAAGGATTTAGACAAGTATTTTTACATTTGAGTAGTCCGGTAGTAGGTATATGCTAAGCACTTTTGGATATTACTAGATGTTTGACTGTGGCCATAATAGAAACACTTCAAACATAAATTAAACAGATTAGTCAAATTCCTGATGATTCGTCGTGTCTAGTCTCAAAGAGAATTAGTAGTGAATAGTACACGTTTAACTATCTGACTAGGATTCCAATGGAAAAGCATGTAATATGACCTGCGCTAAGTAATCCGAGTAGTCGCCCAAAGTCGGAGCACCGTTGGTGAAAGATTCCGGGGCTGCCGATGTACCGACAGCTAACACCTATTGATCCGCACTTTGCGGGTCGGTTCGAATGAACGGTGCATATATATATAGTGCAGCGAGTTGGGGGCAAACGCTTGAGGCCGCTGCGCCTGCCTCGGCATGGTCATCGAGATGCGATAAAAAGTCTTTGGCCTCAAAACGATCAGGCTGGACACTTCCAAATTAGGCTTGATGGTGCGCCCGGTGGAACCTTGTGGAGCAGTTCTCATTGGATGCTGGGGTTTGTCGCTCATGCCAAATGTACGGAGCAGGTTGATTGGTCCTTCTCCTGGGACAACACGTCCCTCCACTTTGCTGCCAAGCTTCAGCCCTCAGGACGCCTCCTGCTCTTCGCTGTTGTGATGCTTCAGCTCATTTGGCCTTAAAAGGGGTCCAAGCTAGCAGGTAGCATCATATCAATCCGACAATATCGCCAAGTAGTAGCAATTATCGCCATCATCCACTTCCAGTACCAGAGCCCAGAGGAACCCGCAGTTCCCGAGAAGTGAGGGAGTGTGGGGTTGCATGGCCCTGGTTTGTTCAGCAAGTATTGTTCTCTCCCGGACTTATTGACGCATTGCGTAAAACGTTGCTCCAATTCATATCGAAATGCCCGGCGTCCCATCTTCAAAGGGCTGCGATGCTTGTCGCCGCGTTAAGAAAAAGGTCCGAATCATTTTCGAGGAAATTCATTGGAGCCTTCGCTAATGCACAGACCAGTGTGATGAGCTTAAGCCATGTTCACGATGTCGCCGGCTGCAGATCATGTGTATCGGCAGTGGTCAGCAGCGGTTTAAGTTTAAGAACGCGGAGTCACAGTTGACGAAACAGGCAAATGGAGGGCGAAAGCGGGCTCGAGCCGTTGTATCTCAAGGCAAGATCTTAGCAAATTGCCCTCAAATCTCAAGCCAGATTCCGGGCAATGAGCTAGCCGCATCGTTCGCTAATACTCTCACTATGAACGACGTCAGATGGGACATAACCTATTATGGAGCGTTCCTGAATGAGATACCCCGACGTCTAGGCAGTAGCGTGGCTCTAGATGCGTCTGTGAAGGCAGTGGTCACGGCCTATCCGTATTTTCGCCACCAAAATTTTTCGCCGGATGCTTACATGGAATATTGCAATTCTCTTCGGGCTCTTCGAGAGTCCTTGAATGACCCAGTCGAAGCGCAGTCACCCAATACCCTCTGTGCTGTTTACCTGATTACTATCTGCCAAGTACGCTATGCATTATTTCTTTCCTTACCTTATACTAATAGAAGTGACTTTCAGAGCTGGCTTGGAAGATATGACGATAAGCTAAAAAGTCATGGCGAAGCTATTGCACACCTCTTGAAGATTACCGACCTGCGAAAATGTCAAAGCAGCTTTGAGAAAGACATGATTGTGACATTGACTGTTCCCGTGGTAGGTTTATCAATGATATACTTCCTTGATACCAAGTATTAAAGGGAGACACTCAGCTGAAAATCTTAACTAAAACTCTGACAGATCCTGGAGGCTGTCGTCAATCCCCGCATTCAAATGAGTTCTCAATGGTGGGAAGATGTGACGCGACGGTTTTCTGTGGCACCATGTCCTCGACATTCGAATCCACCCAGATCCTCGAATACGCTGAGCACCCTTGCTAAGTTCCCCGAGTGGATACGACGACCAGATCCGTATATCCCCGAGATTGCAGTTGTTTACCTTACAATGCGAGATGACGCTGAAAGGATGCATCAGTATTTGGGTCATTGGTCTGATCCGGCATCTGATTCATTCACTGATTCAACTACTTTGGAGCACTGTCGCTATCAGGCGGGATACACGCTGGTTGTCACCCTTGCTCTTATTCTGAACACTCTTCTTCGGGCGTTTGATTCCAACAATACTGTCCTCGTGACGGAAGCATTTTCATTCTGCGATCATATAATACGCCAAGCAGAGATTGCTTGCCGTTATCGTCCACTTGGGGCAGCTTACATCTCGCTTTGCCTTGTGGTAGGATGTTCTACTGCAGAGGATCCACAACAGCTAGCACATCTCCAGGCTCTCTTGGCTGACTACTCGACGGATTTCAAAGAGATCAATTGGATCGAACGTGTCATGTGGCTTCGGGCCTCTTTTTACAATCATCATCTGAGAGCTGGGTCAAATAGAAACACTGCCAGTCATTATGAAGCTGGTGGGAAGCTGGTGGAAGCTGCCTGGGGTGAGCATAATCGTCGCCCAGAATCATGCTGTATAATGTGACAGCCCAGGTGGATTATGAATATTTTTTCCTTCCCAGAAGCCTCGTTGACTGTCAGTGACGGAAAATTCATACATAACAAGGCGCAGGGCTGCAGCCGCGAGAAATCTGCAATCTAGTCTTCGCGATGTCTTGCTGTACCGTACGTACATTTCCTATGACATTCGAAATGTGATGCACATTTATGTATGAGATTCATGGATACAAGTAACACAAATAATTGCTTAACGCTCGATCAAAAAAGCCTCCAATGAGGTTCGATATCATAGTGAATCCTTCGTCTCCTCACATTTTTGTTCCTTTCGCATTGATTTCCATTCCACAAGGCCTGCTCCGAGGAAGGATAGTGCGGCTGTGCCCACCGACACATAAAATGTCTGAGTGACCGCAATATTATATGCAAAAAGCGCTGATGGGAGGAGTCTCGGCGGGATTCGCTCTGCCAGATTCGCTGCACCCCCTTGGATGATAGCTCCAGGATCAATCATTGGAGCATAGCGGGTCATGTTCTCAATCAAGCGGTTTTGGAAGACATTTTGCGCAATAGAGATGAATAGAGCCCCGCTCAGACTCTGTGAGAACGTGATAATGGCAATGCCAATAGGAATATCATTCAGCGGAAGGACAGTCTGGAGGGCGTTGTAGCACTGTTGAAACCCCACTCCAGCTCCGACTCCAATGATAACCTCGTATCCTATCCAGAGGGCGTGATGTGTATGTACCTTAAAAGTCGTACAAAGACCACAACCAACAGTGAGAAGGGCGCTTCCAAGGAACATCAATGGCGTGTAATAACCAAGGAGATCTACGACAACTCCTGCAACTGCAGAGCACACGATCATCGTGACAACCATGGGCAGGTTGTTGACTCCTGACTCTGCGGCCGACACTTGTTGAATGGCCTGAAACCATATAGGAAGCTATTACCTCCAGTGAGAAGGACGATCTTTAGAGGCAGAGAATATCCATTCACTTACGTAGTATCCAAAAACGAAGAATGAACCTCCCAGAAACGTTGCATGTATCACAGCCCCAAGTACATTGCGATCCTTGAGCAGACGGGGTGGAACAGTGGCATCATCTTGCTTCCAAAGTTGTATAGCGCACCATAATGTCCCGAATACTGCAAAGACAATGAATAGGGCAATTATTCGTGAATTTGTCCAGTCGTACTTGGTCCCTCCCCACTGAAGCGTCAATAGCAGGGATATTATGGCGGGAATAAAGGCAGCAATCCCAAGTGGATCGATTTGATTGATTTGTTTCAAACGCCCAGGTGAGACCTTTTGGCGTTTTTTCGAGTCTTTGAAAAATATTGTCATGAAGAGCGCGGTAATCGCACCAAGGGGTAGGTTGAGCCAGAAACACCATCGCCAGCTGGCCCGATCAGTCAACACTCCACCTAGCCTGTTCACGTTAGCCGTGTATTCTTTTCGCTCTTTATCACGTTTGAAGTCAACTTACATCGGCCCAGTGATAGTCGCTATCCCGCTGGCGCTCCCTATGATCCCGAAATAGAGTGCCCGGCGATGAAGTGGGACGCTATTGGCCAGGACAAGCAGAGCACCGGGTGACATTCCCCCAGATCCAATCCCAGCGATGGCTCTCCCAAGTATTAAACCCTTTGATGTTGGCGTCACAGCGCATATCAACGATCCAATCTCAAATAGTGCCAGGGCGATCATATATGTCCATTTCGTGGAGTAGAAGGAATATATCCTACCAAATGGAAGGGTGACTGCACAGGTCGTGAGAAGATACGCGCTTGCATACCAGGACAGGTCTTCAAGGGATTTGAATTGCTCTGTGATCTTTGGAACCGCCGTTGATAGGATTGTGTTGTCCTACAATACACCGTGAAAGTCAAGTTAGCCTTGTGAGTATGTATTGAAAGAGATACGCCTACCAAGGCAATGCATATAGACTGAAGACACAGCCCGACCAGAATTGGTATCAGTTGTAAGGTCGATGGATAACTTTGCGTCTCATCATCGAGATTGTCATCATCCGTAGCTTTCTTGAGGGGGATATCGTCACGGCTTTCAACAGACCCATCATCCTGGCTGTCACGAGTCACTGATCGTTCTGCCATCAGCTTAACAGAATCTTTCCCCAGTCTCTTTCTAGACTGTAAGAAACCCCACAAGTCAGGTATTTTGCAACATTGGGAACTATCGAGTAGGGTCGATGAGGGAGAGCTTTCACAGGAAGACAGGGCTCTGGCGCTTAGCTTTTTAGAAACTGCAACACTACAGCTAGCTGTAACTCTATGTTGCCAAGCAAGGGGGTAATAATTGAGAGCTTGTAAGTGCAAAAGTCCGTATCTCATGCCACGCATTCCTTGCACTTTGTTGGTATGCGAAAGTTCCGAAACGACGCGACCTTTGCGAATAGATACATGAAAGGCTCACAATGTATGGACTTATGGAGTGACGTTGACCGTAAACTTTTCTTTCAACCGTTTATACGCGTGGAAAGATAATGTTACTTTTGGGAGGGCTACTATTAATGAGTCAGGTCGGCAAATTTTGGGCTGCTGATATAGTTTACGCGTGCTCCTACATTCCAGGGAATACGCGCCTCACCCCGCTTAAATTTATGTGACTTCACCTGCTGCAGTTTCTCCATTCTTGGGCCGGAGATTTATCCAACGCACTACTAGATAATTGAATCAACCTGTATTCGATTTTATGCAATTGCATCATGAGTTTTGGCATATCATAGCTAAGGAATAACGAGAACATATAGTACTCCGTTAGCTTCCGTGCAATGGATTCCAGAGAATCGACCGTCCTCTTGGATTATACTGCCAGAAGTAGCATCCTGGTCTTGATGTGGTTGTGTCTGGCTCTCCTCTGTACAACATGAGGACATATGATTGGACTACCGTCATGGTCCAGTGACCGAAATTTCGTGCGAAACAAGGTTCTTCCGTAGAAACCTATATCCTAACTGTTGATGAATAAAAGTAACCCTCGTACCACCACAAGCCGCCTTTGGTTTTCACGAAGTGCGGGTGGTTGCGGTGGAGAGTAGTACACTAGATTCGTGGTGTAGGCCGGCTGTAGAGGTATAGACAGGCATTCTATCAGTACGATAGAAGATCTGGGTCGAAAAGGTTGAAGCCATGAACTCATACCCTCAAAGACTTGGATATGTCCGACATGGCAGCTGGGTATGCTATATTTTGCAGATCTATTTCGGCAACCGGAGTGGTCCCAGAGCTCTGGAGATAAACCTTGGAAGCCCACCGAAGAATGTGACTGGGAAAATTCCCAGGTCATGAGCCCTGGTCCTGCGCTTCATCCTCCTGACATCATCGCTTCCAGCAGGTTGAAGATAATTCATACCCAGGAGAGGCCTTATCTCACTAAGCGAGTGTAATAACAAACCCCACCATGGTTAGGCAAGCCGATACGCAATGGCAGAAATTCATAACCTTGGAAATGCAGCCTAGTGGATGTTAAATGGATGTGATGGTAGATAAACAACCAACGGCATCGTCTACAGTATATATATCTGGTACGGATGGTAGCAACCGACCGTTACTCAGGTGAGAGCCTTCAACCTAGGTAGGTACCTTGTGCTTCGTGCCCGACGGAGATTAATCACCAAACATCCCTACCGGTTATTTAAGGACAAATTCGTCGCATTAGCAAGATATTACTTCCCTGGATCTTGGCGTAAGCAAAATTGACCTCATATCTCGCCTGAGAGACAAGATTCTTCCAACATCCTGGAACGTGTTTGCGACACCGTGGGTCCCTTGCATCCATCTGCCTACAGTAGGTACGCGGAAGTACTTAATCTGGAAAATTCGAGAAGTCGGGTAAAGCCATCTGGAAGAGAGCGTCTTGGCTGCATGATAGACTTTTGAGAAGTTTACATTTCTAGAAGCTTACACAGAATGTTCCTAGTGGTCAATAGGTGTGGGAACATATCACAGTGGAGAATAGCAGCTTGCAGAAGCAATGGCCTTCGAAGATCCCAGGATTAAATTTATCTACGTATATAATTGCCCCGGAGATTCCCTGTTCTGTGGGGGCCTTGCAGTATGAACAAGTGGGCTCTTTGGAGTTCTTCGATCTTGTTCTAGTGTCGATCAAATTGCCATCGTGGCCCATAAAAGCGATTCAATCAGATCAATGACTTAAGACTCCATGCCGAGTGTATGAATGAATGCTAGTCTGCGAGTTTAGTTGTTAGATTTATACTTTAGAATAGAGAGAAAATGGGACATCATTGACGTCCCGTGGATCAGTGTTTGTCAAGCCACAACTCATACAGTAAGTACTTCGACGAGGCTCTCCTGCAAGGCCAGCCGCTGTGGAAAAGAAGGTTAGCTAGAATATTTGTCACAATTGGGCCAGGAAGTATTGCAGCAGAACGCATCCTGTTCCATCAAGGGATGCTGCTCAATGCCCTCGGCATCCCGAGAACAAATACTTGGACTATTACTTTCTGGGCCCTGGAGATGTGAAACCGAAGATAGATCACAAACCGACTGAAAGCCACAGAGGCGGGTATTGAGGCAGCAAAAAACAATGAGGTCGGATTCAATTTTGCTTATTATCTAGGGGATGGGATACACCTCATATGCCTATATTGCCCATTGACATCGTGTATATATCTAGAACTCTGAGAAGAGAAAATAGCTTCGGATCGATTAACTTGTTCCTGTCTCCATCAATCATTACTATTCAACGGCGTGGTCCTAGTCAGTGACTGCATTTAGTTCTCCGTCAAGAATTTGCCCTAGATCATGATTATTCCGTCCCATCACTTCTCCCAGAAGACAAACACGACAATCATAGCCTCGCGCCCTCCTTTTTGGGAAAATAATAATAATCTCTTTACCTCGGCGCGCTCACCAACCGTGGAACCGGTTTCATTTAGCCCCTGCGCCAGATTACCAGCACGGACCAAAGTCCATGCCCTCCCCGAGCGGCCAGTTCGCCGTGATCCGCACGCCGTGGCTTGCCCGCCTACCCCGATAAAACCTTGAGCGGGACAGGGTTTAGCGCATCATGTCGGATGACCTCAGTGGCGGGCGGGAGGCGCCTCGTGGCGCCGCTGGCCACCATGGTGCGGTCCATTCAAAGGCCATGTTATAGAAAACTTGTTCTTGTTCTAGAAAATCGCGATCCAGGGGATAACGAATGTAAGGGTAGAGAGGATCTTGAGAGAAAGGTTTGGAGTTACGTGTAATTATTGGATTGGATTGGGTTGGATGAGATTTGGTAAAGGAAGGTTTGTCGGGACCAGGAGGTCAGCTACTGTATGTTGATGCATAATAGCATGGCGTGCGCCAGGGTCAGGCCATGCGAGCGATGGAGACAAGTGCAAAGTGACGGGAGATGAAAAGAAGCGTCCGTCCTCAAATGTCATCTTCACTTCTTTCTCCCCGGCATGCCCCAAATCAGCGATGGTGCCAGCCCGGAACTGCCTTTTTGGGTAGGTGCTTAGGTCCCCCCCAGCATTCGGTCGCAATCGCGGGGTGGCCGACATACGGTAGCAGGGAGGGCCATGACACACTGGGTTGGATTGAAAAGCGAGAAGAGAAAGGGTCGCAGTGGCTGTTGGCCTGTTGTGGAACTTTTGTGGAAATGTTATTGGCCAGTTGCACATCTGCCGCGGGTAGACTCGGCCGTTGTTGGGCCGTCTAGAGCAAGTGGGCCGAGAGGCTGGTTGCTAGCTCTTTCAGGAGGCCTGTGATGATTGCGGCCGGCATGGAAGTGAAAGAAATCCAAGGCATCTGTTTGGTCTTCAGAATCATCGCTCGTGATAGCTTTGGATGGTTGGTCATACTACAGTATACAAAATCATGCGATAGACGTCAACGTTCGCCATGTTGTGTTGACGGCATCAAAACTGGAAAATATCCAATTGTTGCCGCCATCAATCTATTGTTGGCAGTGACCTATCGATGTTTGCCGCGAATAATCCGTACCGTGCCTGTCCTGGTACTGTACCGAGATCGGGGGCCTTGCAAGCGGGTCTCTTCGTTCCCCTGCATCGCTATTCGTATCCCATGGACCTACAGTATGCAAGCAGAGAAGATATCCGCCGACCGTTTTGAAGAGTACCCAAAAGCAAGATCCAGGGGACGTCCAGCCAAGCAAATACTAAGGTACACCCAAGCAATTCCAAGACCCTCTAAGCAATCTTAAGAGTTCTTCAAAGCGCTCCCAAGAAACTCCCAAGAGAAAGACAAGTAATCCTTCGAGGCGGTGGGCCTGATAAGTGGCTTGTTCAAACTCTTGGGGATTCTTAACTTACATCTGGCGTCTGGGCGCCAAGCAGCCGAGGCGGGTTTGGTTAATTTCGGCTTCGCGATGGTGCTCCCGATGGTCGGGTGAAAATAGTGCTGGGTTGTCGTAGGCTTTCAGACGTCGTCGCATCTGATTCGTCGTTAGGTACGCACTGATGGCGCGACTAGGAGGGGAGGGGATATTTGGATGGTTTGGTTGGGCCTGTAGGGTTACGCGGTGTCATACCAGCGCATCCTGTTGGTCTCTTTCCAGACTGGTGGCCACGACCCTGGTCGTCTTGTACTTCCGGAAGAAGAATCTGATCGGCCTGGCACACGGCTGCAACTGCGCGGGTTCTGTGCAGTAAATAAAGGCCAGACTTTCCGAAATAGATGAATAGGATACAGTTTACTGGGTTCGAGGCGCTGCCAATAAACCTTTCGGGGCCCTGGAGCGAGTTCCGGGATCGAATGGATCTCGCGTGTTGCGATGAATTCGAGGGGCAAATCCTGGGGATTTCAGGGCAATTCTCGCTTCGCCCACAAAATCCCCAGGCCGCGGGCAACGCTGGACCCAGTTTTCGCTTGTCCGGAGACGAAGAAACCGGTCTCGGGGAGGGTTGCGTACCAAGGCTTGTACCCAACCATTTAAGAGGCTGAGATGATCAGGTCGATCCCCACCTGGCCCGGGCAACCAGACATCCTGGCAGGCTGAATGATCGGCGGGGAGGCTGCTGAACCGGGGGTGAACCTGGGGGGTGTTGATGCGTCTCAGGGGCTAACTTCATCTGGTGAAGCCGAGCCCGACGCCGATTGACCTTTCGCGCGGATGATATCTCATTGGCCATGATGGCCTCGCGTGGCCTGAAGACCAGTCTGGACGCCCTGCGAGAGGTCTATGAGGGCTGTTCAAAGGCTGCGAAATTAATTTATCGCAATAGATTTGCTTTCGCGCTGGGCTATTGGGAGCCATGGAGCCGTTAGGTCCCATAGCAGTTAGAGAAAGGGGCCGTTGTTTGAGGGTTTCAATGTCCGTGCTAACCAGAGAGTGACGGACATTGGGCGATACTGGACCTGGAAGGTGGAGGTGGGGAATTGGAAGTTGGAGATGGAGATGACCCCGGAGAAAGAAAGAAATAGGTGGATCCGAGTTCCAGGTGCATCTTCGAATCATCAACGAGTTTTTCTGAGTCTTCTATGGCAGGAAGTTGAAGTCGCGGCTCGGCAACGCTGGGAAGAGGAAATCCTGAGCGTGTTAAACATAATTATTCCTCTTTTAAAACATCAACGACCAAAACGAGGGTCACGGCCCCCGAATGACTGAAGTCGTTTTTAGATTTAAATCGGGACGTCTCCCCATCGCCATCGCGTGCTAGTCTTGTTTCCCCTTCTCCTCTGGATTATTATTCCTTTTTCCACTTCCTCTTTCCCCTTCCCATTCTCCTCGTTTTATCTTTCTGCTTATTCATATGATAGCAGAAGTCTATAGTTCCGATCTATAGACTGGGAGGGAGACCGCGACGTACAACTACACACAGTGTAGTTTACTCAGTATAGTAGAAGAATACACAGTACACCCACTGTGCAAGCCCCGCCCAAAATGACGAAACAATTTTTGGGCCTCAATGGCACCCGCCTCCAGATCGCCATCGGTGTTCTGGCCGGCATGGATTTCCTTCTTTTCGGATACGATCAGGGTGTCACTGGTGGTCTATTGACGCTGGACTCATTCCGCAAGTACTTCCCTGCCATCGATACCACCGATGCCCACACGGCGGGCTGGTCGGCTGCCGAGAAGAGTGCGCAGTCGACTCGCCAGGGTATCACCGTCGCAGCATACAACTTGGGCTGTTTCGCAGGCTCTATCCCCACTATCTGGATTGGTAACATGCTCGGTCGCCGCAAGGCCATCTTCCTCGGTTCTTTCATTATGGTCATTGGTGCCCTGCTGCAGTGTACCTCGTACGATCTCGCCCAGCTGGTCGTCGGTCGTCTGGTTACTGGCTTTGGCAATGGTATCAACACTTCCACTGTCCCAACCTGGCAATCTGAATGCTGCAAGTCTCACCGTCGTGGTCAGATGGTCATGATTGAGGGTGCTATGATTACTTGTGGTATTACTATCAGTTACTGGATTGACTTCGGATTGATGTTCGCCGATCCCAGCGAGGTGGCCTGGCGTTTCCCACTGGCTTTTCAAATCTTCTTCGCGGCGATTATCCTGGCATTCGTCATGTTCCTACCCGAGTCGCCCCGCTGGCTTATTCTGAAGGGTCGCGAGGAAGAGGCCCGCGAGGTCCTGGAGTGCCTAATGGGCGATGACACCGACGAGGTCTTCCTTGACACCGAGTTCACTGCTATCAAGGCTACCGTCCTGGAGATGGCCAAGGGATCTTTCCGTGACATGTTCACCATGGGCGAGGACCGCCACCTCCACCGGACTATTCTGGCCTATGTCAACCAGATGTTCCAGCAAATCTCGGGTATCAACCTTATCACGTACTACATTCCAACTCTGCTCGAGGGTCAAGTCGGCCTGACACCAACTTTGTCGCGTCTTATCGCTGCTATCAACGGTACCGAGTACTTTGCTGCCTCATGGGTGGCAGTTTTCACGGTTGAAAAGTTCGGTCGCCGGACTCTGATGATCTTCGGTGCTGTTGGCATGTCTCTGTCCATGGTTGTCTTGGCTGTGACTGATAACATCTCCGCTGCAAACCCCAAGACTGATCTGGGCACTCGCGCCGGTATTGTGCAAACAGTCTTCCTCTTCGTTTTCAACACCTTCTTTGCCGTTGGTTGGCTCGGTATGACCTGGCTGTACCCAGCTGAGATCGTGCCTCTGAAGATTCGTGCCCCGGCTAATGCTCTGTCCACTTCGTCCAACTGGATTTGGAACTTCATGGTCGTCATGATCACCCCTGTCGCATTCACCAACATTGGCTACAAGACCTATATTATCTTTGCCGTCATGTGAGTTCCCTCAGCCCATCTTTTGTCCCACGAATCCCTGCTAAACAGATCTCCTATAGCAACGCCTTCATCGTTCCTGTGGTCTACTTCTTCTTCCCTGAGACCACCATGCGTTCTCTGGAGGAGATGGACCGTATTTTCCACAAGACCACCAACTTCTTCGACTGTGTTTCGCTCGCAAGCAGCGAGCCGCATATGTACGGTCCCAACGGTGAACTACTCCGCACCCTCGACGATGTCGAGGATGAGGCCGTTCGCCGTGCCAGCGTCCTCAGCAACCCCGCCAAACGCGCTACCAACGACCATCATGAGCACATTGGTGAGAAGGATAGTTCTGGCAACTCGAGTGACGAGAAATAAGTTCGCTGCTAGATCATGCTACATATGCTTCGAAACTGAAGTACATACAGCCTCGTCCACACGGGAGAGCGGGAATCCTGACCATGGCGTGACGATCAATTGCCGCGCTTCTGTCCGGGATTAACTTTCATTTATGACTATATTGATGTTTTGTTTCTGTGGTTCAAGAACGGTCCAATACCCACGTTAGACTGATGTTTTGCTTTATGTGGCATACTTAATATACTGCCTATGGTGACGGTCACCAAATATGGTCTCCTCTGTATAGATTCTTGCAAATAATTGTGTAGATTTCAGGTATAAAATGGTGTTCAGGTTGCCCAGCCTTGGGAGCATAATGCCGACACATTTTTGAAGACCCAAAGGAGCATGAGTACTTCAATAGTGACTACTAACACCACAACTGTGTAGATTTTGAATTTTTCTCCGGTGAATAGTGAGCTCTCAGTCGCCATGTGGCCGGAATTAGTAAACCACTCATGCGAGACAGCGCAGCTGCCATTTAGTCATCATGATTCAAACATAAGACAGGTGCGGAGGCAAAGCTATTGGAGCAAAGAGAGTCTACATCAATACAGAAGCTCAGACAGGGATGGAACTATTTGTCATGCGAATGAAAGTTTTCACAATCTCTATAGACATGAATTCAAACCAGTGCTTAAAACATGCCACAGAAATATAGAATCTGCTTAAACAACTTCTTCGTGAGCAGCTTCACTCCCTTCCTTCCCAGAGCCAGCCTCTTGATGCTTGGAAATCTCCTCTCCGAATTTGTCGTGAATCGTGCTCGTCCGCCAGGGCTTGACATCGGTATCGAACACCATATCAATTTCCTCTAGAGACCGACCGGCGGTCTCTGGGTAGGTGAAGAAAACGTGGAAAGTCATCACAAAACAGAAAACTCCAAATATAATGTAAGTCTTCCACTGGATGTTGTGGAATGCAGGTGCGACGAAGTAGGCCAAAGCAAAGTTGAAGATCCAATTTGCTGAAGCGGATAGACCGACACCCTTCGCTCGGTACTTTAGAGGAAAGACTTCAGAGGCGTATATCCATGCCGTGGGGGCCTATAGGTGTTTTCTTTTTGTTAGACGGCTTTTAAAACAAAGTAAATGCAAGCTGGGGAGATCATACCCAGGTAAATCCGTAAACTGAGGTGAAAATGTATGAGAATGCAATCACTGCCATGCCAGAGGATCCTTTGATGGACCAGGTGAGGTTGGAGTTCCCATTTACACTGGCAACAGGGTGACCCTTGCTGGCCATCACACCGGCAATGACAAAGTGAATCACCATGCAAAGTACTGAACCGATAAGAAGCAACTTGCGACGGCCCACGCGATCAATGTACGGAAGTATGGCTCCTGTTGTCACTAGAAATAGTACGTACTGGATAGCGGACGACCAGAGAGTGGTATTTCCAGTCTACGTTTGTCAGCGATATGAACTGGAGTTGGGTATGTAAGAGGGGATCACTCACCATGCCAGCCATCTCAAAGATGTATACCACGTAGTACATGGCAACATTGCCGCCAAGTAGCTGTTGCCACATCTGGACGCTCATTCCACACATGGTCCGCTTCCAGATTCGAGGCCCAAACAATGCTAAGAATGAGACATCCTTAGCCTGATGGGCAATTCGGGCTGCTTCCTGAACTTCTTCAAACTCAACCTGCACCACTGGGTCATTACGGTTCCCATTGCCGTGGATCAGGGCTAGAGTTTCGAGAGCCTCTTCCCACCGCTCCTTGCTGGCCAGCCAACGAGGCGACTCGGGGAAGAAGAACAGCGCTATAAACAAGATGAGGCCTGGGACCGCCTGAATACCCCAGCAGATCCGGAACGCAGCAGGTCCAGACACACCAACAGCACAGCCATACGCAATCAAGTACATGATTAGAATACCCCATTCAATAGCCCACTGTTGGATACCAACGACACGACCGCGAATGCGAGCTGGTGCCAACTCTGAAAGGTAGACGCAGGTTTGTGATGAGGTGACACCAACAGCGAGACCGCTGACAACACGACCCGCAACAAGATGTGTGATATTTTGGGCGCTGCATTGGACCATCGCTCCAACTATCCAGACCAAGGACGCGATCATCAGTGCGCCACGACGACCAAGGATATCGGACAGCCAGCCTGCTGCAATAGACCCGGCGAAGGAGCCGGCAGACATGGAAGCGGTAATCTAGATTTCAGAAACATAACTCAATTTTAGTGGCTGAAATGTGAATTGGGTAATCTAGAGCAAGGAGAACATACGCCTCCTTGAAGGTTGGAATCTGGGTGGTCGAAGAACGCGGTATACGTGTCGACGCCAATCCAGGCACTCATGGAACTGGGTAACATCTTTAGCTTTTTTTTCATGGGATAGTATTCTTGAGATAAGCAGCAACAACGATTACATACCTCACATCGAAGCCGAAGAGGGCACCGCCAATGGTGCCAAACGCAGCGAGAACTGTTCATGCATCAGCACATATCCTTCCATCATTTGGTCGAATCTCGTCATCATCGCACCATAGATATTCGAGATCCGATACATGATGCCAGGAAACCTCGACAAGTTTGATAAATCATACTTCCTCTTGCCAGCCGATCATTCAGGCTTTTTATAAGTTCAGCAAACCCGTTCCTACGGGTCAATGCGCCCAGTGTCGGGTGGCTTGCACCCGCGCTGGAGCTACGCGAGAACAGAGACTAGCGTCGATGCGTTGCACCACTCCTGAACCCGGGCTTTGCGCCATCTGCGGAAAGGATCGCCTTCGGGAATGCGGAGGAAGACTGGACATAGACCCCGGGGTTGGCAACATCGGGGACATTGTGATGCGTCATTGGGAGGAGCCGCGGGAAATTGAAGGCGAGAGAGCCAGTCGGCGGATTCTGTGAGTTGTTTCGGTTCGGTAGAAGCCGTAGTTAGTTTTAACCGAAGCCGAAACTGGATTTACCCGGCGAGATGTGGGTATGCGAGGTGGTTCTACTGGTTGAACACACCCTATCCACAACACTTTTCGGACGCCATTTTTACCCGGTACACCTCTGTGGAGATATGGTAATTTATTTGACGGAGTCTTGCCGGGGGAAGGGGTCCTTACGTCGGATTCTCCATCCAGCCTGCTATTCTTATACAGTAGTACAAAGGTTCCCTGATAAGGCAGATACGGCCCGCACTTTCTAGGCTGACGATCGGCATGCCGACGTCATATCATTAAGCTATTAGCAGAATAATCTGCAAGTTTCGAGCTCGCCGGTAAATCTCATCGTAAATTCAGGAGATACTTTATCGACATTTGCAAATCATAGCATCTGATGGAGATTTCCTCCTGGAGATCGCCATGCGAGGTTCCCGTGGAGATTTCCAGCCTAGCGTTTGCTGATTGCCTCAAGGCTATTTAGGCCTCGCTTTTCTCTTTCGTATTCATCTTTCCTAGATAGCTCTCACGTAGTCCGAACTCGATTGTTTCCGCTTTCATTGCTTTCTTGCGTAGTAGCGCGTAGGGCTATCAGGATCTATGCAGTGTAATTACTGGCCCTTTGGATAAGATCAAGGTCGCCACAACCTAGGGTCAACAAACTTTACTATTGGATTGCGAACCTCTTTCATAGCAATTTCCCAACATGCGGCTCAGTTGTGCTTATTGATGACAATGCAAGAGGTCTGCTAGGCCAAAAGAATTCTCCATAAGCGATGGCTTCGGCCTATACGGTCATATGTGGAGTCTCTCAACACTCATGGTACTCAATTCCTGGCTGGAGGATCATGAGATCCACCATGCTTAATTTGGCGCACCTAGTGAAAGTTCCAGCAAGCTGACCGGGACTCTATTTACGCGATCCTCAATCTAGTCTTGTGGATAATGACGATGAATACTATACAAAGTTATTTTGGCATTCTAGATGAAGTTGATTACTTCGAGAGCTCTATTCTAGGCACTCTCAAGTAGCTTGACAAGTTAAATAAGCAAAACATTCCAATAGCCCGCTTGCCTACCAGTGTTATAGCATGGCACCAACTGCGCTGACCTCTCGTAGCTTCCTTGCTGGAGCATCGCGTATCTATGGATGATTAGCGCGGCTTGAAATGTAATAACACCTACACAGACCTTGTCTTGCTCTCCGGCCAATACGATACCGCCTCGAAGAACAAGATATGACGAAATTTCCTGGATATGATGGATATTGCTATTTCGGAATGCTCGGAGGAAAACTCAGTTAATTTATAGATATTGCTTGTGCGAGGTGTGATTAGCGTTCGGAATGTCTCACAATCTCCACGACCCAGTCAAGGGCTTGGAGTAATTTTGGTAAATTACTATATAAAGTCCAAGCAGGATGCTTGCTAGGATATTTGTTTTTTAATCAAGCTTGAGATTCGCCTTCTATAATGAGGAGCCAGCGCAACCTTTCACCTCGGTGGAAGCTGCTCTTTCATTAGGTGAAGCAGTGACGAGACTCACTGTTTGCAAATAATAGTTGTCATGGGTCTGAGTCCAATCATCATTGTGAAAAATGAATGACATACTTGGTCTAGTGGCAACTATGTCTCTCAGCCTAGCGCAACTGACTCAAGGGTATTTCTCAAATCATGGATACGCACATGCAACCTTGATCAGTGGCAATGGGACAGGTATCCAACACCTCGTTGACTCGAGTGTTTGACCCAACATGCGTGTGATCATTTTCCGTCCTGCTAGGCTACCGAGCCATCTGTTTTGAATTATATACTTCGAGATCTCCCTATGACAAGATCCGCTACAAAAATGAGCGATTTCAGAGACCTATAAGCGCAAGTATATGAAGACTGGTCCGCATGATCTTGACCTGGTAGACTATTGAACACGAACGGTTGATCAAGACAAAGTCTTCTATCCACTCACGTCTACAATTTCTTCCTATTTAATTAGGGAAGTGAGAACAACACATCCTAAATTAACAGGGTTGAAGAGCGTTTAAGAATAGGCTCACTGAACACTTTCAAGATAATAACCTGTACATTTACATGTGCGCTAGGTATCCGAGTGCCAAATAAAATGTTGTCCTGTATAGAGGGCCTATCTTTTTTTCTCTCCTGCATTGAGTAAAATATTAAGGGTGAAAAATCCAAGATTCCGAGCTGTGCACCTCAAAGCACCACCCTGAATTGATGTCCATCGATGATTAGTGACAGCTAGATTCCTTCTCAGCATGTATGGATCATTTTTCCATTCTAGAACGTTTGTCAGTGGAGCTAGAAAATCTTGGTATCGGCGCATTATTTCATCATCTTGTGATCATCATTCCCGTTGCTCATAATCGAATTAGTGATTATTCTTTCATTAATCAGATAGGGGTCCAGTAAGTATACCTGAACCCACCTCGCAGGGGGTATCTCCACAATCTTTGTCAAGCAGTTGCGGGGAAGTGGGGAAGCGGCCGATACCGCGCTCGCTGAAGACTGACTGGTAACTAAACCAGGAGTGATGCTACCCCGAGTATCTGTGCTCTATATGATCATCAGGAAAACTGCCTATTTATCACACAGCTGCAACATTACATTGTCACTCTCCCATCTCCGGAATTCCCGATTCTATATGCCCGCTAAGTAAAGACACCACCGTCACTGGATACGTTGAGCTCGGAATGTGAGCAAAACAAGCTCGGCCAAGTAGAACCCTGTCCTCGACTCTTAATCCCTGTCAAGTTGGCACTTGCTTCCCCACAAAAGAAGACTCACTTCGGGACTTGATTCAACCGAAAGAAGAAAATTTCCCCTCTCTTCACCCTGTTGCTATAACGCTAGATCTATCGCCGATATTATCCCGGTGCTACAGGTGCCTAGTACATGCATGATCCGGGACACTCAGATCTCCCCTCGCGAATACGCTGCACTAAGATGTCATTCTATAAATTAAGTGGTGCGTCTTCTCCGAGGTGAGGTGTCAGTGATAATTCTGACTTTAACCCTGGCGCCAACATGGGAATTAACGCTCACTCGTTGAGCATTCTGCTCAGTCTTTCCTTAAGCCAAATTGCTTATAGTCAGATAATTACTAATGACTCGTACTTTTACGGGCAGTCTCCGCCTGTCTACCCTTCTCGTGAGTCTCTAGCTCATCGGCCTTTCCCTACTACGATTCCACTATATCTAACAGTTCAACTTCTACAGCGCAAGGAACCGGGTCTGGTAACTGGCAATCGGCTTATCAGAAGGCCAAAGGATTTGTTCGACAACTTTCTCCTGAGCAGAAGCTGAATTTTACTGCTGGTTACTCTGTGCATAATGGCTGTTCAGGGAACATCCCACCTGTAGAGGAGCTGGGCTTCCCTGGCTTCTGCGTCTCAGATGCCGGGAATGGACTGGTATGAACTGCACAGTTCCTCTTGCTCTTGTCTTTCATTATTTCTGGAAAATTAATCGCTCTGCAGAGAGGAACGGACTATGTCAGTAGCTGGCCCAGCGGCCTCCATGTTGGAGCCAGGTAGGGGAGATACCTTTATCAAAGTCACCAAACATGCTGACAGTATATTCTAGCTGGAACAAAGATCTTGCCAAACAGCGTGGAATCCATATGGGCGCCGAATTCCAGAGAAAAGGTGTTAATATGATGCTGGGCCCCGTCGTTGGTCCACTTGGCCACATTGCGGAGGGTGGTCGCAACTGGGAAGGCTTTTCAGATGACCCGTACCTCAGCGGTGCTCTAGTTCAGAGAACAATTCAGGGTGTGCAGTCGTCAGGTGTTGGAACTTGCGTCAAGGTAAGCAAACCACCACGTTTCCACTAAGGCAGACTATCGAGCTCGAAACTAAACGGAATAGCACTACATCGGGAACGAACAAGAGACGAACCGAAATCCTGGAAACAATGATGAGGGCAAATATGTTCAAGCCGTTTCATCGAACATTGATGACAAGACGATGCACGAGCTTTACCTTTGGCCATTCCAGGATGCAGTTTTTGCGGGTAGCGCGTCCGTTATGTGCTCGTATCAACGCATCAATAACTCTTACGGCTGTCAAAATAGCAAGACGCTGAATGGGTTGCTCAAGACGGAGTTGGGCTTTCAAGGTTAGTACCCACAACGCTTGATCAGCCTTGAGCTGTTGGACCGTGAAGAACGATTTTAACCCGAGTATAGGGTACGTTATGACTGATTGGGGTGCGCAACATGCCGGCATCGCCGCTGCTAATGCCGGCCTGGATATGGTGATGCCTTCTTCCAAGATGTGGGGTGATAACCTCACTACTGCCATTAACAATGGTTCAATGGACGCGTCTCGACTAGATGATATGGTGACTCGGTAAGTTTTCATCGAAGAAAATCTCCTACTTCGACCATGGATTCATTTGACTTATTATTATAGTATTATGGCAACATGGTATCAACTAAATCAGAAAGAGACTATTCCTCACCCTGGTATTGGCATGCCCAGTGATATCAACCAGCCCCACCAGAAAGTCATTGGCAAGTCTCCAGACTCGAAAGCTACTTTACTCCAGGGTGCAATTGAAGGCCATGTCTTGGTGAAAAACACAAATAATGCGCTACCTCTCAAGGCTCCATCCTTAGTCTCAGTCTTTGGATATGACGCCGTGGGACCAAATCATCTAGAGGTGGCACTGGATTGGGTTTCTGGTGATCCTGCAATCCAAAACAGTACTTTGTACGTCGGTGGTGGGTCGGGTGCCAACTCGGCAGCCTACGTGGATAGTCCTATCGATGCCCTCAACCGTCAGGCGTATGAAGATGGTACCTCCATAATGTGGGACTTTTACTCCCAGGACCCGGATGTCGATCCAACCTCCGACGTCTGTCTCGTCTTTGTTAACAGCTACGCGACCGAAGGCACTGACCGGCCTGGGTTGACGGATGAATTCAGCGATACACTCATCACCAATGTCGCGACTAAATGCGCTAACACTATCGTTGTTATCCACAACGCTGGTATCAGAGTGGTTGACAACTGGATTGAGAACGACAATATCACAGCTGTCATCTTCGCCCATTTGCCCGGTCAGGATACCGGCCGCTCTCTCGTCGAACTTCTCTACGGTCGCACCAATCCATCGGGCAGACTTCCATACACCGTCGCCAAGAGTCCCTCTGACTACGGGTCCATTCTACAACCTTCTCAGCCTACCGGTCAGTATTCGTTGTTCCCACAGTCTGATTTTACCGAAGGTCAATTCATCGACTACCGCGCATTCGACGCGAAGAACATCGCCCCGAGATTCGAGTTTGGCTTCGGTTTGTCATATACTACCTTCGACTATTCGAATCTGCGAGTTCGGAAGACGAATCAGCCTACTTCACAGTATCCCCCTTCTGCGGCTATCGTGGAAGGAGGCAATCCGCACTTATGGGATGAACTTGTTACTGTCACTGCGACTGTGAAGAACACGGGCAGCATGGATGGGTTGGAAGTGGCTCAGTTGTATGTTGGAATTCCTGGTGGGCCGATCCGCCAACTTCGGGGCTTTGAAAAGGTCTTGATAGCCAGGGGCAAGAGTGTGGCTGTGAGTTTCTCGTTGACGCGAAGGGACTTGAGTAATTGGGATGTTGCTGCTCAGGAGTGGGCTTTGCAGACTGGTGCCTATAAGGTGTATGTTGGTCGATCGAGCCGAGACCTGGCCTTGACTGCCACTTTTACCTTTTAGATGTAAGGAAGAGGGCAAGGGGAGGACAGATTATTAGTTTCACGCCAGGAGTTCCGTTTTTATCGACAGCTAGTCAATCTTACGGAATTCTGCAAACATGTGTAGCTCGGGCTCGGATGGATACTTTAAGTCTCATTACCCTCAACGTCACAAATTCAAACAAGAAATAAGCACGACAGCTCCTAATACAGCTGACAATGACCTAGCTCCTGTGCCCAGGCTCGTAGCTCCAGAGGATTTGGTAGTGGTAGAATTAGCTGAGCTGAGAACTGTACTTGTAGTAAAGGGAGTAGAAGTAGTCGTCGAATGACTCAGAAGGGAGGTAGTTATCGCCGGACTTGAACTTGATTGATAGTTATTGAACCAAGACACAACCTCTGAATCAGTGCTCTCCCACATAATAGGTATTGCCATTGCTGAGACAGTGGGCTTGTTAAGGACCGCCGTCGGCGTAACCGCTCCAGTTGGAACGGTGATGGGCCAAACAGTGTCTGTCCGGGAATCTCCATGCGGAGCGGACCAGATATTGGTTAATGTCGCCAGTCCGGGCGCCACTGAGGCACAGGCGAAAGTCGTTGTAAACAGAGCGTTTGTCACGTCGGGAGAAGGAGTGTAGCCTCTGATAGTTAGGTACCAAGTTAGCCACGAATCTATCGCTCTTATACAAAATGAAGAGCTGGATCTTACGATGGACAACAAATCCAAGCGGTCACACTGGGGGTTGGCACTGCAAGTTGTACAGCTGGGGTGTAGCTGCCTGGGCATATGCCTGGTGAATAGTACCAGGGTTGGGCCAGTGGGACCGGGGTCGAGCCCGCGCGGATGCATGGATTGGAAGTAGTGTCTACCAAGTAATCAGGCCATGCAGGTGGCCAGAGGCCGATGTAATAATTAGATGTTTGAGCTGAGGGGGGATTGGCGTAGCCCAGCACGTAGAGTGTTGTTGTCGCCAAGCATGTTGACGGAGGGGTAAAGGTAGTGGTTAAAGGACCACGATTCCATACATCTGTTGGGTTGATCATAGCCATGGTCAAAATGACGGCGAGAAAGTCACAGGGTATATCATTTATCTAGCACGAGATGGTGGATTGAGGGAGGGCGAGGATTTAAATGTGTAGTAGGTTTATCCATTCCTCTACGGGGCAACCCCGGTCTATGCTCTTTTTGTGTAAGACATATGTTCGTATTCGGAGTCGGATTTATCCAGCCTCCGTTACCACGTGTACCACGTGATTCTTGTCCCTTGCTCACGAAGTCTTGGTTGCCTGAGGTTGTCCATACCTTGAAAAGGCTATGAGTGTGCCTACATAACGGTGGGTTCTGCGCACAGAACGACAGTTTGATGCCTGATATTGATTTGAATTGTCTTCATTCAATCCATGAGATCTATTCTAGTCTCTAATGGTTTCTAGTTTCTATCCCTCCCAATCCAACAACGCGCATGCAGGAGAAAATATAAGTAGTCAAAAAAAAATATACATCAGAATCCGAAAATAAGACGGCCAAATAAGGGAGAGAAAATCTAGAGCTTGCTCCGGGGGTCTCGTTCTTGAGCAGAGCCTCGTTCCACGGGTACGGGTCGAACACCAGGTCGTTGACGGGGTTCTCCTGGCTGGCGCGACGGAACAGATCAGGGTACACGTCACCGTCGTACTTGCCTAGACTGCTGTCCAGCTGCCAGTCGGGGATGGCCCAGGCATCGACCAGGCGCACGGCGTGCGGGCGGATCTGATCGAGAAGCTTCATCACGGCGGTGGTGCGGGTCAGACCGATCTGGCGGACTGTCACGGCGCCAGAGGAGAAGAACTCGGCGGCTTCGCGCTCGAGGGTGTGCAGGGAGTAGAGGCGGAAGAGAGCGTGCATGAGGGTCTTGGTGTCCTGGTCCAAGGACTGGGAGAGTTCGGGGGAAGAAACGGCCTCGTAGAAGTTCTTGACCACCATGTACTGGGAGTGGGCGGTGGACAGACGCCAGAAGTCAACCAACAGGCTGTTCCATGAGCGCTTCTCGGCGTCACGGTGCTTCAGGGCCTCGAAGGTGAGGTGAGCGGTACGCCAGGCGAAGGCATCCACGATGTCGTTGTCCTCCTCGAGGATGTCGAAGGAGGCACCCTTGTCACGGCGGTCGAGGTAGTTGCGGAGAATGCGGGCGGTGTCGTTGTCGGCAGACTTGCCGGATAGCACGGCACGGGCGGACTTTAGCAGGTAACGGGCGACCTGCTGGGTGAGCATGTAGTTGTCACCCTCCCAGGTCAGGGTGGGCAGGTAATCAGAGTAGAACGGTCCAATGCCGCTGTAGCTGCTGTAACCGTGACCACCGCAGGTGCGACGGCAAACCTCCAGACCCTCACCGGCAGTGGTACTCGCCAGAGCCTTGAGACCACAGGAGGTGGCGTGCAGATCTGCCAGCAGATCGGCACCGGCGCGGAGCTCCTCGGGGCCAGGACCACGGGCGTCCTGGCTAGGAGAAGCAGCCGCATGCATGCGCTTCTGGTTCTCCTGGTACAGGCGCATCATGCCACGGCCAGTGAAGTGCAGCGCATACATGGAGGCCAGGAGGGGCAGCAGGCGGACCTGCACCATCTTGTAGTTGAGAACTTGGGTCTCTCCAGCATTGGGATCGGCATCACGGTCTTGGAATTGTCTCCGGACTGCGCAGTAACGAGTGGCAATGGTCACACCACGGGCCAGCACACCACCTGACTGGAGGACAATGTTGGAGCGGACCCATGTCATGGTACCGTAGACGAGAGTAGGCATAGTAGGGCGGACGTATTTGTTGGTCTCCTTGTCGACACGAGAGAAGCGGGCAAGCATGCTGATGTGGGGGATCTTGACCTTGTTAAACAGCAGGAAGCCGTTATCCATGGTGCTGTAGAAGAGGTTTCATGGTCAGCCAAAGTGTCGCAGAGAACCACGATCATTTTCCGGGAATTGGACTACTCACTTATAACCGAACTTAGGACCAATGTCACCAACATATACATTCTCCATAGGCTGGTGAGTCTCCAGATCGCGGACCTGCACCACGAAGGGATGAGGACCGTAGTTCTTGCCACCAATAAACAGCTGAGCCATGACCACAGCGTGGTTGGCAGTGCGGCCGAGCGAGCCAATCCACCACTTGGAGGCCGTAAGTGTAGGGGAGTTGATGGTGAAGGTCTTGTCATCGGGGTTCCAGGTGGCGGTTGTCTCGAGACCGCGAACATTGGATCCGTGACCCAGCTCGGTCTGGGCGTAGCAACCGATGATCTGGTACTTTTCGGCGCGCTCAAGGAAGAGCTTGTGCTGTTCGGGGCTGCCTTGTTCGCGAAGGGTCACCTAGCGAGGGAGGGGATCTGTCAGCATTCGAGATTCCTTGCCTGGGCAAACGCGGGAAAAAATCCCCCACTTCATGACAAAATACATACCAGGAACATGCTAGCGTGGAGACCATAGGGAGTCGGCTCTCCGATCAGCTCATTGGCAGCGTGCAGCTCCTCCATGGACCACTGGTGCTGTTCGGCCAACTGCTGCAGGCGCTTAGCCTTGGCCAGCGCCCGCTTCAGCCGCTCGACACGGCCCAGGGAGTGATTCTGCGACTTGTCAAAGACCTTCTCCGGCTGGAGCATCTTGACCAACTTGTCTTGAAGCTCCAGATGCTCCTTGGTGTGTAGCAATTCAGAGAGCTTCTGGACGTCGACATTGGATTGAGCGCGCTCCTGGGCGAGCAGTTCGGAACCCTGCGGGCCCCCGGGCTTGAGAGCCTTGACCCAGTCTGGAGGTGGAGATGGCATTGTGTGATGTGGAGGAGAACGGGGGGGGAGGGGATGTGGGAGAATTGAAGAATTGAGGGGAGAAGGGGAAAAGAGGAACGTGGGGATGGAGATTATAAGACTGGACCCTCCATGAACCTCTCCAAATCTCCGGGGCCCCAGTGACCAGGCCGAGGGCCAGCGAGTGGCCGAATGAGGAAAGTGCCGAGGCTCGTCCGGATTGGGTAATCTGCGGCTGGCCGAAGAACACCGAATAGTCCACCGACCAGTCATTGAATTATTCCTACGAAAACTACAGAATAATATACTTCCTTTCGGCTCTTGAAATGGATTGGTATATACCGCCAGCTGAATGCCTCTTTGCCGAATCTGACCTCCCTGCATGCTACCTGCAGGCTGTGTCCACTGCTGGCCTTAGCTGACATGGCTGTGTGTCAATGTCTACCGCAAACTTCGGGCAGCCTCCGGCTGCAGGCTCGCCGACATCAGCCAACTCACCGGCCCTAGGGTCTCAAGTTGGCCTAGCGTGGCGATCAACGACAGGGGCGTGTCTACGGCGAGTCCCGGCGGCTTGCGTCATACAAAGGGTGGCCATCATACTGCCACAATGGCCCTTCCCCTCTCCCCTGAAAAGACTAGATTGACCTCGGTTTGTCTCGCTGCAACATTTACCGACTGCATTCTGTTATGTGCTGGCCAGTTGTCACTATTCTCTTAGCTCTGCGGCCATCCCGATCCCTCGATCGCTCTGTGGGTGTTTCCCGAGGGTCGGGAAAGTACCCACCGTTGAGCGAACAGCCCGTGGTCACGGGAAACAGAAAAAGAGAGCCAGATGGTGCACCACGTCATTTCCATTCTTATATACTTCTGATCCGAACCATTTGCTTCTGAAACTTTTTATATGACACGTGAAATCAAGACAATCAACAGACCAACAAAGAAAATGGAAAATGCAGCATCGGAACAGGGCGGCTCGGGAGACTAAAGTACTCGGATCAGATAAGACAGATCGGGCCCGAAAACGCTGCATTTTCACATGTTCACATGTCAAATGCAAAATCTGCCCCCCGTGGGCTTGTGGGAGCTTGTGAAACAAAACAAAAAAAAATAGAGCCAGGGCCTGCCTTGCCTACTCAATCATGAGCGTGTCGTCATAGTTGTCGGTTGCTCATGATATTCTCCACGTTCTTTGGTTGATCTACTCGCTACGCTGCACCTTGGACACGCGCGGCAGTCCCAGCCACGCGATGAAGATAGCACCCGACATGGCAATGATGAACGGTTGCAACACTTGCACACCTTTGGCTTGGGCTAGTGCTCCCACGGCGAAGGGGAGAATGGCGGCTCCAGAACCGCCAAAGGCCGCGCAGAACCCGATGGAACTAACATGCAGGTGTCGAGGGAGAAGCTTCGTGACCATCACCACTGCGCCTGGGAATAGAGGACCCAGGAAGAAGCCCTGCAGTGAGACTGCCACGGCGGACGCGTAGAATTGAGGTACGAGCCACAAGATCAGTCCGCATGCCATCGACAACAGAATATATCCCTAATCGCGAGTTAGCAGTGGTTCACGTTGTGCGATCTACAGGATCGCACGCAAAACGTTGCATTAGGATACGTACCGCGATCGCCACTTTTTCGCCTACCCGGGGCGTGACGAAGCCCAAGATAATACGACCAACTGTGATTCCCAACCAGAAGCCAGTCGCTGTCATACCACTGGCGAACGCTCCACCGTGCCTAACGCGGATCATGAAGGTGACGATCCACCCTCCTAGAGCGACTTCGCAGCCGACATAACCCAGCAGGAAAAGCGAGCATAGCCAGGTCACACGAGCAGACGGCCGTTTGAAAAGCGCATCCCGAAGCCCTCCCTTTTTATTCTCTTCGATCGAATGGGAATTCGCGGCCCGGAAGACGGCACCGGTAGCTTTCCAAAAGCATGCGCTGCAGGTTGCAAGCTCGATGATGGCACATCCGACCTATTCGTTGTTAGCCCAGAATTCAAGATGACAGAAGAATTTGCGGCATGAAGCGACAGCAGACAATCCACATATCTTACCATCACATAGTAAAAATTGAACCACGGCATCTGGGCCCGAGCAATCATCGAAGTCGCAATCAGCGGCGCCAACACAGCACCTAACCCGTACACACCGTGCAGCAGTCCCAACAATTCATTCGCATTAGCCATATTCCCGATCCAGGCATTCCACGCCGCATCTTCCAGTCCGTTTCCGAATCCTGCAAAGATGAACGAGACTACGAGGACCGGGTATGGTGGGTGCAGGCAATTCACCACGTAGGCGATGAGATGGCACCCAGGCCCGAGGAGCGCTACTCCGCGCTGACCGAGGGTGTTGTGGATGCGGTGGTTGAGGAATGCTGCGAGGGTGTAGCCGACTAGTGGGGAGAGGAAGATTAGAGACACTATGGTGTAGGAGAGGTTGTAGTATGTCTCGAGCTGGGGGTTGGTGTGAGTATTGTATCGAACGGCTGTAGCGAGATGGTAAGAGCTCTTACATATGGAATTAAAGCCTACGTTTGTCAGTATAACCTTTTGAATATGGTGTACCCTAGATCCAGTACTTACACCGAATGCTGCATCATTACTGCCCATTACCAGAAAGCTCCAGAATGTTGCGAAAGAGCGATAGACGTTGATGCGGGGGGTATTCCATTTCTCCCGTGCAGCGAATCCATCGGGGGACTCATTTGACGCCGAGTCTTCGGTCGAGTGTTGGCTCGGCGGCATCGCCTCGAGCATAATGTGGTTCGTAGCATCGTGCGAGTTTTGCTGCACCACACACGGGGACGTGGATGTGGATGTCATGGCGGTTGCTGTTGTAGCTTATCGGTCGCAATGCGCGAAGCTACAGGAATGCCGTGAAGTGGCGATGATGCGGAGGGAGGACAGGGAAATACCCAGGCCCTGAGGAAACCTATCTCCGCAGTAAGCGTGACCCGATTATTTCTAATCTGCGCGCTCGAATTCTCACTGGTTAGTTACGAGGTCTGAGTCAACAGGTCCACCAGCCCTGTTGCCAGTTCCGGACTTCAAATGGCCATGCGGAGTGCAGCTTGGCATCGGAGGTTTACCCGCATTTCCGAATGCGGGAACCGCGGCTAAACTTCGGGGGCTGTCGCTGCTACGACATACTGCTTTGAGTGACTGGGTTGTTCTCTGTTCTCCACATCAAGTTCTTCTGTGCAGGTGACCCTTTTAATTCTTAGGCCAGGTGCTGTGGGCAGATGAACTACCTATGCATGGTCCAGAATCTGACAAGGATGGCCATGTTGTAGCATTCGATGATGTGGGGCTCATCGCGGGGTGTCGGTCTTACCTCCAATTCGCAAGGCAAAAGTACGAACACCGCCCTGCTATCGCAAAGACGGGAAGATGCTAGACTTGCATGCGAATGGCACACGTGTGGCTGAGTGGAGGATGAGGAATTGTTTAAACATTTTCACAGGGGGTTTTTCTACGAAAAGAGTTCGCATATATATACAGAGTTTGACCTAGTCTAGCAAAGCTGCACGGAACGTGTCCTGATTGAACCCCAAATGAACAATGGAAAGATCCGGACAGAAGCCACAAAAGACACTGAATGAATGGAACGATGGTGGGCCGCGATGTCAACCGATAGGTTACGTGCCCACTAGTTGCCATAACGGTCATGTTTCTCATTGGTTGTTATACCGCTGATCAAGTCGAGAGCAATTCTAGAAGTAAGGACGAAGTCGTTAGTAACTAAAGTCCGGCCGATTCTAGAACAAACGGAGGGTATGGGTCACTTTTTCTAGAAGGTCGATTGAGGCACTATGCCTGAACCTTATCGCGAATAAGGAAGATCCTGTTATTGGTTGGGCTACCCGTACGGCAAGCGCCAGGTAATTCGCCTTCAGTACTCTGAATGAAGTATTATTGAAGATACGAAGTATTGAAAGTCTAAGCCATGGGGCAATTTATCGTCCGGTGCTTCAAAGGTTGGGAATAACATTATTGCGTCAGCGCGCCCGCTAATATACATTATCCCTCAGTTTCTCCGGTACAAACGGGCTTAAATGCGAGCTCTTCAGAGGTTATAAACCAGTTCGAGTTCCTCCTAGTAACCGTCCACCTTAGTGGTCCTAGTCGTATAATAAATCATGGCGCTTCGGCATGGTTTCCCACTAGACGCGCCCTTTCCAGGAAGGGGTCCTCTGAGGTGGAGGGTTACTCTCTTTTATGCTGGTTGGGCACAGAGACCACCACACGTCGCGGCCAGACTTTTGCCCTTTTTTTGGCACGTTTTTTTTAGATTGAAATGATCCTAAAGTGCAGAAGAATATAGGGATTTGAATTTCGAAGGCTCTTTTATATTATCTGAGGGAGTTTTGGCTGTATATGCTGTGATATTTATGAGAGGGAGCATTTGGGGGCAGCACTTGAGCATCGTTAAGTGTCGCGAAATGTTTGTATGGTGATGCCGAAGTCGTGGGTTTGATTCATGGGTGTGGTTAGATTATTTCGTTTGGATTGTGGTTGAGGTTTGTCGTTGAGTAGTCGGATGTGGCGTGATACGCTTGGTATGTGAAGCTCTACATAGCATCGACACTATATAGTTTATTTGACGCGGATGTAGTTCAATCCCATTCCCGGCTAAAAAAAGTCCTCTCAGAGCCGCGATTTAGGCTCATCAGGGGACGTTACCCTCCAATATGTGCAGCTAATTTCTCCACCAATCAGCGCTTCCCATCACAAATCATAAATCGCATCTCCGCACTTATAAACCCACCACAGGTACGAAATATACTAACCATACCGTCGATCATCATGAGCTTCACTAACCCAGTCATCCCGGGTTTCAACCCCGACCCCTCAATCATTCGGGTCGACAAGGACTTTTTCTTGGTTACCTCCAGCTTTGAATACCTCCCCGGTGCCCCGATCTATCACAGTCGCGACTTGATTCAGTGGAAGCTGATTGGTCATGCGTTGACAAGGCCGAGTCAGCTTCAAATCCACACTCCTGAGCCGGGTGGTGGTGTGTGGGCGACTACTATCCGCTACCATCGTGGGGTGTTTTACATCACCGCTGCTAGCTTTCAACGATATCGTCCACAGCAGGATGACCGAGTTTGGCCGCAGGGATTCTACGTGCAGACAACGAATATCTGGGACGATAGTACCTGGTCTGATCCGGTGTATTTTGACCAAGTAGGATTCGATCAGGATGTACGTTGTGCCCAGCAGAGCAGCCATAGTATTTTGCGCGAATATGGAATCAGCGCAAGACTAACATGTAATCTCTAGCTATTCTGGGACGATGACGGAACTGTATACCTGTCATCGACATATCGTAAGCTTGAGCCTACGGCAGGAGTGAAGTTAAAGGACTTTGCCATCCACATCTGCACCATTGACATCGCCACCGGACACTCCACCTCAGAGCCAATACTGATCCGCGAGTCATCTTCTGGAGTTGCAGAAGGCTCCCATATCTACAAGCGCGGTCGCTACTATTATCTTTTCACGGCCGAAGGTGGCACGGAGAGTGGGCATTGTGAATGGGTTAGTCGCAGTGAAGTTGGGCCCCTGGGACCATGGGAACTTGCGCCTCATAATCCCCTGTGGCGTAATGGTGTGAAAGATGAAGTCCAGAATACCGGCCATTTGGATCTCGTTGAGGATACCGATGGGAATTGGTGGGCGGTGCTTTTGGCGGTTCGGCCAGTGCGGAAGGGAGATCAGTGGGAAGAGTCTGTTTTTGGTTGGTTTTGTCACGAAACTCACGTTTGGGATGGGTCATTACTGACTATTATCGTAGGGAGAGAGACTTTCCTTGTCCATGTGGAGTGGGAGAATGACTGGCCGGTAATCAATGGCGGCAAGAAAATTGCTCTTCGGTCTACTGGACCAGGGCTCTATCAACACGAAATTCCTGTCTCTTGGAGAGATGAATTTTCAGGATCCCAGCTGCAGTTGGGTTGGTATAGAAAGAGTGTGCACGCCAATGAAACCCGTTATTAACGAATAGCCACTGACAGGCGCTATCTACTAGATACTCCCTTGACCATCGACTACTCTCTTACTGAGCGACCCGGTCATCTTCGACTATATGGTGGGCCATACACCCTGTCAGTACCGGCTAGTCCGACAATGTTCCTGCGCAAGCAGAGTCATAGATTCTGTACTTGGGAGACAAAGCTATTATTCCACCCTACATCGGAGCACGCCGAAGCTGGAACCGTCGTATGGTGGAATTATTTCACCCATAGTAGTCTTGGAATCCGGAAACGAGGCGATGACCGGATCATCCGGTTCAAGCCGTCAGAGGGCGACATGGTTGAGAGAGTGCTGGAAACGACGGGCGATATTGTCCTCGTTATTGAATGTGGCAATGAGTACCAATTTGGATATCAAGACCCATCTAGCTCCGAGACTATTTGGATTGGAAGTGTGGCCAATCATGTCGCGACCAAGGCGCCGCCTGTCGGCGCACCATTTACAGGTATGATCTTCATGGAAATCTCCGAAAGTCGACAGTAGAATGCTAAAACAAAAGCAGGGATGATGATCGGGCTTTATGCATTTGGGGACCGACAACGCTGTATAACTCCTGCCGACTTTGAATATGCGCAATTCAGCTGAAATCCGTACCAAATAGATTTACGCATTGAATAGACAGAGAAATATAGCCCGAGATACTGTATGATCCCGAATTACACAAGAATCGATTTCTAATTCTTTAATAAGCATCAGCATCCCCCTCTCTCAGTAGATTCCCGCGTCGCGTCACGTGTTGTCTATTCGAGCCCCCAATATTCGGCCAAGCGTAAGCGACCGTCTTAATCTCCCCCTCAAAGCCCCGGAAAGAGGATGCGCCCTCCTCCGTGCCCCACGGTCCCTGGCCTTGAACATGTCCTCGGATTACGAGGAAGACAGTGATGTGACCCTGCTGCATGCCGGCTTCCGCCCTGGCGACAGCCTGACTCGCGCAGCTTTGCCTGCTCCACCCTCATACCTCCCCCAGCCCGACGACGACCCTAACGAGAGCGATTCGGCATATGGGGAAGATTCATTACTGCGGGACGATACGAAGACACTCGCTTCGCATATCACCGAGTATCGATACGAATTTGGTCGTCGGTACCACGCTTTTCGGGATGGTGCTTATTGGGTATGTGCGGGGGAGGAAGACAATACCTTCAATAATGCCCAGGGTTCTCCCGGAAAATTTCAGACGATGGATCATGAAGCTGATGTTTGGGAAATATGTATAGGGACCAAACGACGAGGTCGCGAATGAACAGCAAGATCTTGCGCATCATATGTACACAGTGACCCTGGACGGAAAGCTGCATCTCGCCCCGCTCAGCCAGCCACAGGTGGGTTATGTGTCTGGATCCTCCCCGCATGCAGCATTCTAAACAGATCTAGGAAATCCTTGATGTAGGGACTGGAACTGGGATATGGTCTATGTGTGTCAACTGAGAAGATATGCGATTCCAGTCTAGGGAATCAATAAAGCTGATGGTTGATTTTAGTGATATGGCCGATCAATACCCTGGCGCCCGCGTCACCGGAGTCGACCTTTCGCCAATACAACCTACCTTTGTTCCCCCGAATTGTACATTTGAGATTGATGATATGACGATGCCGTGGACGTATGCGCCCGAACGATTTGACTTTATTCACGTCCGCGAGTTGTTCGGCTCCATTCCTGATTGGGATGAATTCTTCCGACAATGCTACCGCGCGTTGAAGCCGGGGGGCTATATCGAAGTCGTGGAACATTCGGTGAGCCCGGTTGTCGACGATGCTACAATGGGCGTGGATCATTTCTATCGGACTTGGGGGGAAACTGTCATAAAAGCCGGAGAACGGTTTGGTAAGAGCTTTTCTATCTGGGAAGAGAGCGCCGATCGACTGAAAAAGGCCGGGTTTGAAGACGTGGTGGAGAGTTCTTATAAATGGCCGATGAACGCGTACGTTTTCTCTTCTAAGACGATGGATACAGGCGAAACAAGGAAACTTAACACTCGCAGTAGCTGGAGCGATGACCCGAAGCTACGTGAGCTGGGACGGTGGAACCAATTCCGTCTCAATGGAGGCATTGAAGGATTCATGCTGCGACTTTTGACCACGACGTTAGAGTGGTCCTATGAGAAGGCTCAAGTCTTTCTCGCGCAGATGCGGACATGTCTGCGCGACTACCGAACGCATGCTTATCTCCCAGTTACTGTGGTTGTGGCGCGGAAACCAACTGGTTGAGATTTCAACTGGGCAATGATCTCGACCTTTGAATTATAACCCCATTAGTCTATTTTATTATACCCCATATGCTTTTACAATTATTTTATTATGAGAGACAGATTGCCAAGAGAGTCATGCATATAGTCCTAAAACATACCGTGTACGGAGTACTCGAGTCAATAATAGCCCGAAATCAATCTGTCCCTAGTTCTCTCCAGCCACGGATTTACCTCGTATCTGGTACTTCCCCAGTCATGACAATACGCAAACCTCACATCTTAACTCCGGACCCACAACCTCCCAAGCCGCGCTTTTGATTGGCGTAGATCCACCAGACCCGACCGTCGCGGGCCCGCATAAATCAAAGCCCCTCCGCCTCCCTCTGTTGTTCTTCCTTCAACCCGCTAGAATTGCTGACACAAGCCTTAGCGCTGACCACGAGAATGGCCACTTCCCCACAGCCAGAGATGACGCAGGCGATCTCAGCGCCAGACAGTCACGCCGCATCGCGGGACGAGTGGGCAGGCCTCACGGATCCTGCCGAGCGCCGAAGGAGACAGAATCGGATCAATCAGAGGGCTCACCGTATGCCATCATTCCACTGGAAAATGTTTTGGTCTCGAGGCCATACTGACAATTTTATAGGAATGCGCCAGCGCCAGCGGATACGAAACCACAAAGATGTGCACCCTAAAAGTGTCGTGGCGTCGGCCTCGTCCTCCTCATCCTCCTCATCCTCCTCCTCCTCCTCTTCATCATCGACCGCCCTCGTACCCAAAGAATCCAGCACATCACCATCAGCACAATCACAGCGCCAGAGTGGCTGTCTTGCGCCCGGAACTGCACGAGCCCTCCTAACCCAATTCGCCGAATCCGCTTTCAAGAGTTACATGCTCGGCTCTCCAACCTCCGAGCATCTACTTGTACTGACAAAAGTCAACGTCTTCCGCGCCTTCGGACATAACATGAACCTACTCGGCTGGAACCCGGATCATATGGGCGACGACGCAATCTCCCAATTCAATATTCCCTCCGCCGCGGAGGCTTCCACATCACCAGACTACGGCGATATGCCCGCCAGTCTACATCCCACCAGAATCCAACGAACTATTCCCCATCATCCGTGGCTGGATTTCTTCCCTTCGCCTAGAATGCGGGACAATATGATTCAAGCGGGGGATGATTGGGATGATGAGGCGCTCTGTCATGATATCATGGGGTTCTGGGCACACGATTCGACTGCTGCGCCGGGACTCATTGTGTGGGGGGAGCCATGGGATATTCGGAATTGGGAGTTGACGGAGGCATTTTTGAAAAAGTGGCAGTGGATCGTGAGGGGCTGTCCGGAGATAATGAATAGCACCAATTCGTGGCGGGCACGGCGGGGGAGAAGCTTATATTCCGGTATATTTAGACAGTCTCAGACACAGGAATAGAATCTCAATAGAGTGCTTTATCGTTACATCTTGCTTGGTTGGGTAGTTTTAAGCTCTCGCCTTGTTTCGAGGAGATAGGCAATAAGCGTCAGTGACATGCTGGACCGATCGATGGCGCTAATGCAAGTTGCTGACAGGCAAAAAAGCCTAAAAAGAAGATTCGAGAGTATCCGCCAATGACACTGAAGACTTCCAGACAAAAGACCCACTACGCGTAATCTCAGATTTGTCAGGATTAGGTTTTGTAACGTAAGTTCGGTAACATTGTCGTATGTATACGAAAATGACGTCGCCAGAAGACAAGCCCTTAGTTCGTACATTTGAATAGTTGCAGAAATCAGTCGTACTCGCATTCGTACTCGGTTTGCACAAATCAGATACATATTACATAGAACCAAAAAATATCTGCAGTCTAATCATCCATCTTCAAACCCGGCCACCCAATACACAATACGGATGCAACCCCCCCCCCTAAATCCACTCAAACTTATCCCCCAAGAACTGATGAGCACGAACATCTCCAGAACGAGCATGGCCCTCAAAGTTCTCTGCCCGCGCAGCCCGTCCACAAAGACGACCAAGCTCACCACTCTCCTGCGCTGAAGTAACCTCCTGGTAGGTAACAGTCTTCAAATACTTACCCACCCACAAACCACCGGTGTACCTAGCCGCGCCGCGAGTAGGAAGCACATGGTTCGTACCAATGCACTTATCACCGTACGAAACGCAGGTCTTCTCGCCCAGGAACAGGGCGCCGTAGTTGGACATTTTCTCCAATGCCTCGCGTGGCTGCTGCGTCAGGATCTGCACGTGTTCGGACGCGTACTCGTCCGCCAGCTTGTATGCTTCGTCCAGGTTCTCCACGACGTTGACTTCGCCCAGGCGATCCCAGGAAACGCTGGCGATGTCTGCTGTGGGGAGGATCTTGAGTAACCGGTCCACTTCGGCGAGGGTCTTTTCGCCCACGCTTCGAGAGTTGGTGATCAGGACGGCGGGGGAGTCCGGACCGTGCTCGGCTTGGGAGAGGAGATCGGTGGCTGCGGTGAAAGGGTCGGCGTGCTCGTCGGCGACGATCAGGACTTCTGTTGGACCGGCGGGGAGATCAATGCCAATTTCCTCGCCGAAGAGTTGGCGCTTCGCCTCGGCGACGAAGGCATTGCCCGGCCCAGCGATGAAGTCCACCTTTTTCATGGTCTCCGTGCCGATGGCCATTGCGGCGACGGCTTGCACGCCTCCCAGGATGTAGATCGCGTCGGCGCCGGCAAAGTGCATTGCGGCCACGGTGTTGGCCGGGATTTTGCCGGCGATGGGGGGCGTGCATGCGGTGACGTGAGGAACGCCGGCGCATTTGGCTGTCAGAATGGTCATGTGGCTGGAGGCGAGCAGAGGATAGCGACCACCGGGGATGTAACTATTCACGAATGGGACACTCAGTAAACCAGCAACAAAAGAAAGGACATGGCAAAGCGAAAACTCACGCGCCAACCGAATTGATAGGAATATTCTTCTGTCCCAGATGAACTCCCGGCCGAATCTCCAACTCAAAGTCCTTCAGCGACGCCCTCTGCGCCAAAGCAAATGTGCGCACATTCTCCTGCACTTGCTTGATATCGTCGATAATCTGCTGAGGAACTGTCGAGATGATTTGCTGGATTTCGTCGGGTGACAGCTTGAAGCTTTCGGGGCTCCATTTATCGAATTTCTCCGAGTATGTTCTCACAGCCCTGTCGCCATTCGCGCGGATGTCGTTGATGACACCGCGCACAATGGCAGACGTATCAACCGTAGATGCAGGGCCCGCGTTGGAGCGATTGGGCTGTTTGAGTTTGAGGACCATAGTGATGAGGGGTGTTTGTTCGAAGGGGGAGGAGCAGTTGTTAGGAATGCTTTTAAATCGCTTTGCTCTGGATTATGATAATTGGGTGCTTCCTTCACGTCCTATAAGAAGCTTTTGGTAACACAGCTCAGCTATCGTGATTCTTCGGCTTTATGTTTTGTCTTCGGACTCGGCGCCGATGCCGATATGCTTACTCTTACTGTACTTGCCATCCAAAATTGTCCCCGCAATTTTCGGATGCCGCGTGGAGAGCTTAACGCCCGTCGGAATGTGGGGAAGTTTGGCTGCACCGGCTTCCGAATGGATGGCTTTACTGACTTACGGAGGCGAAAGATCTTGAAGAAACATTCTGTCAAGCTTATTATCACCCCGGCATCCGCCGGTAGACGGGTCAATTTGCTCGTTTGATTTTGAATCTTGCTCAGTGGATACTAGGCAATTAACTATACAGTCGAGACCAACCCTTAGTTCACCTCCTACCAAAATCCGTCTTCTCATTTGCTCTAATCCTTGGATAATAGAGAATCGGACGTCGGAAATACACGTCAAAGAAAAATGAACTTTCCCTGTTTTCGCGACTGGTGGCATCTCGTCGAGAGTTCACAGCCTCTAAACATGAGTTGGCTTTCTCCACAGGTTGAAGCATTCGATCCATACCCCCACTTCTTCAATCCTTTTGAAAAAGTGAATGTTGCATCGTTCTAGCTCTTACCAAGTCAATTGCCGAGTACGTCTCAGTATTTAACATGTCAGAGGTCTCAACGGCCTGGAGAGTTCCAGTGCAACCTCGCTGTCAGCTACCCCGAGCAGTTTCCCCCGCATTTTAAGGGTCCTCCCTCTTGTCAATCATAACACGAGTATTTCCACAAATAAGATCGGGGTCATCCTTGAAATGAGCACCTATAAATGTAGAGTATAGAGAAGGCGTCAACGGAACTTATCAGCCGCGATGCATTTCCTAGCAATTGCTGCGCTGTTTTCAACCGTGGTGGCGGGCTTGGCCCCTCCAAAGTCTGTGTGGTACCGGCAGCCGGTAACTCGTCGATTGATGATACTCCTGCTGTGTTGAAAGCGTTTGACCAGTGCGGACATGGAGGGAAGATTCTGTTTCAGAATACAACGTACCATATCAACAGTGTTATGAACACGACCGGACTGGAGAACTGTGAGATTGATCTTCGCGGAACGCTATTGGTATGATCCTCCTCCACAAATCTTAATCTTGATTCTGGTGCGGGACTGATATGTGTGAAAAGTGGAGCACAAATGTCTCGTACTGGCTTAATCACTCCCTGCCAGTCGGGTACCAGAACCAATCCACGGCGTGGGTGTTTGGTGGTAAGAATATCCGCTTCGATGGTCATGGGTATGGTACTTTGAATGGCAATGGGCAGACTTGGTATGATGCTTGTGGATCGGTGTCGAATTATCCCGGTCGACCGCATGCTATGACTGTGGCTGAGACTAGCAACTCGGAGTTTACGGGGTTGCGTTTCGTCCAGAGTCAGATGTGGTACGTAACTCACCTCACACCTACTCTGAAGTATAGGTAGGTACTCGATGCTTAATATTGACTGCCCGCCTTTCAGGACACTATCTATCATCCACTCCCAAAACACTGTATTCGACCATATCTACGTGAACAGCACCTCGACCCACTCCTCATCCCGCAACACAGACGGCGCAGATACAATCTACAGCTCACACATCACATTCCGCAATTGGGAAGTCGACAATGGTGACGACAGTATCAGTCTCAAGGCTAACTCGACAGACATTCTCATCGAAGACTGTCTTTTCCATCGCGGTCTGGGCATCGCACTCGGTAGTATAGGACAGTACAAAGATGTCTACGAGACTATTCAGCGAGTGCAAGCCAGAAATATTACATTCAGCGGCACACTTCATGCTGTGTATTTCAAGACCTGGACCGGGGAACAGGTTAATTATCCTCCGAACGGGGGTGGTGGAGGTCTTGGCTGTATGTCTACATTTCCCACGGCTCCTTTGTTGATGGTATCATGCTGACTTGTCCCGTCTGTATCTAGATGCATCTGATATGATCTTCCAGGACCTCAAGGCTACCGCATTGAGGGGTCCGGCTATCGCCATATCACAGTGTACCACATTCTCCGGGGCAGCTGGAAACTGCACGTCTTCCAAGTTCCAGCTTCGAGATCTCACATTCAGAGATTTGACTGGGACTACGACTAGTCACGATGTGGCTAGCTTACAGTGCTCAGGTGTAAAGCCTTGCGAGAATATCTCCATTACGGGGGTTGATCTGGCTGTCAGTTCTAATGGGACGCTGGCTGATGAGTACCTGTGTGGGAATGTGGAGGGAACTCGTGGGTTCAAGTGTACTGGGGATGTGTGTGTTGGTGGGAGTGCGACTGGTGGCTGCTGAGGGGTGATTGATATGTTTCAGACTAGCTTTAAGACTCTTACATGCTAGCTACTTGATTATCAAAGTCGTAACTACCTATGTGAAAAGACAAGAGGGAGAGGTAAAGTCATAGTCATCAATCATGTCGTGGGTATCATATTCAGAATCTCCTATTCATACATGCAGAGCAAAAAACAACTAGGAAAAAAGAAACACTCCTGGTTTACACAATTATACTCCACCCGCGGGTACACAATGCCCCAGATCCCCAATTAACTGGGCAAGACTCTGAACCAGGGGTAAAGTACGATCTGACGGGTCCGGCCGAAGTACTCGCTGCACCATCTGCATGGTAGTGCTCGTATCCGCCAAAGCAATTGGTCCGCCAGGACCCTGTATTGCAGGAATGCCACAGCTCAGGGTGACGAATTTCGTGACATCAGGCGTTTCCTCCGCGTCAAGGAAAACGGTCGGTCCCTGGCTGGCAATGGAAGAGGCGGGGCTTCCAGTCAGCCGCGTGTTCTTGGCTTTGGAGACTACGGCATAGGACCACAGGGCCAAGCCGGCGTAATATACCCCGATGGCCAGGAACCCAGTCAACGAGCTAGGCGCCATTTTCCGAGCCGCACGGATCGTTTGGCCCGCGTGCCACACAGCTCGGCGGGAGTCGGGACTTGTGATCCATTCCAGGGCGGAGTGGTAGACCCGTCGCGCTTCTTGTTTGTCCTCTTTGCCAGCAAAAAGCTGTAATTCCTCCAAGGACATACGAAGCAGCATGGAGACTACTTCACACACCAGTACAATCTCTGGTCGGCACTGCACTCTTAGTTCAGAACAAACCATCCGGAAGTGCTGGAGAGCCTGATCTAGCTCTTGTTGACGGGAATTTGTCACAAGGGCATGCCAATGTTTCGAGTTACTCGTTGAAATGAATTTCAGCCGATGATACTCATTGATCAACGCTGACAGTCCGTGGAGAAGAACCAAGGCGGACAGTTGCGTGTCGATACGATCTTGAAAGTGCGACAGCTGAGACATGTCGCGAAGGAGATCGGCAAGAGAGGGCATTCGCTCTGGCGTGATGACGCAGAAAAGCTCTTTCCATTCGGTGGCAGTCTTGGCTTCCCATAAGGGACGGGCTGCCGGTAGTGGAAGTTCCAAGTCGGCGTAGGAGATCAAGGGGTTGACGTTGAGTGTGACTGAGATTTGAGAGTCGTGGAGGAAGAGATGGTAGACCAGCCTATAGAGATTATAAGCATCAGATTGGCTGGTTTGTTCTGAGATGATCACTTACCTTTTGAACGACTCCTGTTCAATCCAGTCATGCCACTTGCGCTCTAATGCCTGTCCCGTATCTTCCACCCGAGGGATAATATCGGTGTAGACCGAACGACGGAAACGCAGAGCTCGACGGAGCATAGTCACCAAAGGCTGCGAGAAGCTCTCGGCGATTTCGGTCTTTCGTCGATTTCCACTCCATATTCCGACATCAATATTCAATGCATAGGTTTGTGATGTGCGTAGGTCACGGGTGGTACTGTTATCGTTTTCATACTGCCAGAACGTTAGAATCGCCGCTCCCTCTGAATGATGCCAAACGGAGAAAATTCAAGAGGGTTGGATAAGATACGTACTTTGATAGGCATATACAATCGGACAATCTCCAGCAGAGCATAACCAAGCTTTCTGATGGTGGGAATGGGAGAGCGAACGGCTGATGCAGAAGCCAGAGCCGCAAGAATACTAGCATGCTCGCTATTTGGTCGGAAAGTCGGCCCGTGAATAAAAGAATCAACACTGTGCGACTGGAATTCAAAGTATTGCTGGATCAAGCCGTCCAGTAGTTCAGTGCTGGGGAACGACTTCATAATTCGACTCAAATTGGCTTCTCGGCTGATCTCCAGCACCAACCCAAAAATGAGGTCACGGCTGCTGGAAGACAGACGTTCACACAGAATCTGCCGATCGGGCGTGGCACTTGCTTCGGGGCTGTCGATGGTGTGTGGAACGGATAAATTCTCGTGATCGTCGAATGCGCGGTCCTCCTGGGCAGGCTTCCACTGGGAAAGAGATGAGCGATGGTAGGCCTCGGCACCAATTCCAATTCCACTATCCGCATCAAAGCGGTCCTGCGACTCCGGGTCATGGGCTCCGGGCACAAAGTTGCGGGAATTGTACATATCGATCAACCCAAAGTCGCCATCCGTCAAGTTGAAATCCAAAGCGGGGATCTCCAATGCCCCGTAATGTGTGAATTCGGGTATCAAATTGGATGGTTCGAAAGGGTCATTATATCGGCTTAATGAAGAGATCAACGAGTCGGGAATAAAATTCGGGAAAAATGTGCCGTCCACGCTGAAGATGCCACTTTCTTGGTCGGTAGGTGATACTGGCGAATTCTGTCAGTTCAGACCTATTTTACCGGAGGGTGGTATTGCAGTCATCTTACCTCCATACTCCATTGGAATTTGCTCGCCCGTCGGGGGTACTGCTGGCGAGAGTACCGGTGGTTCCGGAGGAGGCCCATGAGGAGTCATGAGTATGCCCCCACTCCTGCCCCCGGCTGGAAACTCATCCATGGGAGTTGGCATGGGGGAAAATGCCACGGAGGCAGTCAGATCCATTGGCTGGCTGGGCATAATTGGATTTGAATGTTCAGTTGAGCTCTGCTGCTGCGGTTCAGGAGATGAATCTTGCACCACATCTTGCCAATCGCACTGCAAATTCCGCTCTCGACACCGTCGACACGGCTTCTCCTCGTCACACTTGAGCTTGGAAGAGGCACAGGCCTTGCAGGCTTGGGAGACGCGACTCTGCTTTGCGACGGAGGAGCTTCTCTTGCGCTTCCGATCGCGGTCATGGGCATGACCGGTGGCATGTCTCTTCAACAAGTCACTGGGTGGGACACAGTGTCAGTGAGTGTAGGGCGAATGAACTGGGAAAATGAAGCAACTGACGGTCGCGCAAACCCCTTGTCGCAGACATCACAGACGTATGGTTTCTCGCGGGTATGAGACCGGACATGGCGGATTAAATGGTCTGCTCGATTATAGTGGCGTTTACAGAAGCCGCATTGGAAATAGCCTCCATCCTTGGACTTGACGGGGGATTGGGAAGCGTTGAGTGGATCCACGGCGGGCGGCGAGTCATCGAACATGGTGGAGGAGGAGCATTGAGGGAGGGGTTAGAGAGCGAGGAAGACGAGGAAGCTTAGATGGCGAGGGTGTCGAAGAGAAGAGAGAAGAGAGAAGAGAGAAGAGAGAAGAGAGAAAGAGGCACAAGAAGGAGGGGAAGAGGCCAAAAATCCGGGGTAGCGACGACCGATTAAGCGGATGGCCAGTTTCGCAGTCTTCTCCGGTCACTTTCTTATTCGGTGACTTTGGATTTCCACTTTTAATTCGCCAAAAGCCGTGGGTTGCCTTCGTTTTTTCGGCCTTTCTTGAAAAAGGTTCGGATTTTGGTGGAGACCTCTCTTCCAGTCAACCCGTGACTTGCTCTCTCCAACTCGCTCTTTCTACCTTCTACCTTCTCCTTCTCCATCTCAACATGCTCTCTCCTATCGCTAGTCTCTTCAAAGATCTTCATGCAATTACTTCAATTACTCCATTTATCCAATTCCTTACCTCTTCTCAGCCCGTGGTAGGGGGGTACTTCACTGCACTTGCCATGGCCACCTGTGGATCGCCGAGCTCCACTGCCGCCAGTTCCCCAGATTTACGCACAGTCCAGCCTCTGGGCTTTCGCCTCACCGATGATTCGTCCAGAGCACCGGCTAGCTAGCCTGGTCATGGTTCCCCTCAACGCCCCCTCGTGAGGCATTCGCGTCCTTTTGGAGATCCCTGTATCTCGTGAAGGGTCTAACTAGGCCCTGGGCCGTCAAGTCTTACGCAACCCTTCTATATGAGTCGTCCGGGGTGCCACGGGGGTCCCTGAGTCCCCTTAACAAGTTCGCTTGGGCGAAGTCCAAAATGCTCTGGACCCGAAGCAGCCCGGAGTCCTACTGTCGGCATGTGGGGGAACATACCCGACGTCCGCAATCCGGTGGCTCGACACCCCATTGTCCAGCGGGGGAGCAATATATTGCACTCGGACGGATGACCGAGTGTCAGGGCATTTGATTTTCGTTTTCACCCGACCGTGTTCGTCATCTTTGATCCCAAGTGCAACAAAATGGGTAAGCCCTAGCTCCTGATCCTGCTATCCCGCAGCCACCGTTTCGCTGGGTGTCCAAGTTAGAAAGGCGAACGCGTTGGGGGAGACTTTTCCCAGAAAAAAAAAAGAAAAGAGAGAAAAACAAAGGGGAAAGAAAACTGCTAATCATTGTAAAGTTCTCACACCAGTACATTTTTTCTCCCATGGCTCGACCATGATGTTGGGAGAAGAGTCCGAGAGCGCCGATTACTGGAAGAAGTGTGGCGATGAAGCCCTTGCCCGGAACATCAAGGGTGTTGTCATTATGGTATGGATAGTCTAATAACCCCGACAACACATTGATTCCTGGGGGCTGTGTCTCTAACATCACAAATTAGGGCGCGCATTGGGACTGCCTCGGCGATAGAATCGAGCTTTCTACAAATCCCAACCCCGGCAAAAGTCCCGTCGCCTATGTCAGTCCCGATAAGTACGTCAACTACGAGCTAAATCCCGACCTGGAGACGACCGATCGCTGTATCAAGATGCTAGCCAAAGAAGGCTTCAACGTCGGAGGCAACCCCAAGTTTGACTGGATTCACGACGTCTATCTCATCCTCATCCGCATGTTCCCATCAGGCTGCCCGCCTACCACTCTCATCTCCGCCAACGCCCGCTACGATCCTCACTTCCATATGAAGATGGGCGCGACCTTGCGACCCCTGCGTAAGGAGAACTACCTCATCATCGGCACGGGCGGTGCCGTGCACAACCTATACCGCAACCGATGGGCCCCCATGTTGCGGTTCCGTGACAACTTTGCCATGGAGACTCCGCCCGAGGACTGGGCTTTGGAGTTCCGACAGGCTGTTGAGGATGTTATTACCAAGACATCTGGTTTGCAGTTGCGTCGGGCTATGACCCGTTTAATGAAGCATCCTCGCTTCCGGGATGCCCATGCCACTGATGACCATTTCATGGCCGCGTTATTTGTGGCTGGTGCCGCCGGTGATGTGGAAGATGAGAATACCCCTGCGGTCTTGGGTGCAGAGAGCTGGGAGTTGACTAATATGTGCAATTCCCAGTTCACTCTCGGTCAGTGGTCGAGGGAGATCGCTGTGTAAGCTAGAGTTTCGATTTTGTGTTTTATCTTATTCGAGATGAGTGGCGTCGTATGCACAGGATTGTTATCGATATCTTTAGAGTACTCAATGATCGTTTGTATCAAGAGAGCTAAATCTGATATGTCGTAGAATTCGTGCATGCTTCCAAATTTGATTCAAATAAGGGCCTGCAAACAAAAACCTCCAAACACAACAGTATCTATCACGATGTGTTCTCGCTCCATGCGTCAGTAATACCATACGCTTGTTCTAACCTTCCCTACACCATCCGAAAACCTGCCCGATGATGTGGTTTTAGTGTTCTGTAAAAGCAGGTTTCCTCCGATAAAATGCAACTAATATTCCATCATATCGACAGGCTTACGACCATATAAACCTCGAAGCCTTTTGGCGTGGTGAATTGTCGAGACGACCTCTATATGAGTGTCCGAATGGGCCTTGACGATGGATTGAGACCCGACGGTATATTGAGGTGAACAAGTATTCGTGAATGGCTTTTGTGATGAAGTCAAGGAAGATATCGGCTCCGCCATATGGCTGGGGCTTGGGTTGTTTGTTGGAGCCTTGTGGTAAATTGTATGACTTTCAGGGGAGTATCAAGTCAAGACTCCAGCGAAGACGGTAGAGAGAGTTGGTCAATGGGTATGATATTCCTATGATGCTTGTTGCGGGATATTTTGGATTTCGCTGTCTCTGTCGTCGGATGATTTCTGTTGCGGATAGGAAATTGTGTCTCAGTCTACGAGTATCTGGTAATAACCTTATAAGAAGGTGGTAAAAGGGGCAAAGATAGGTAGATATAGGTTTTATGAAACTAGGTGCCTTTTTCTCTACCAGTGTCTTTTTGCTTCCGGGACGGTCAATCAGGCGTCATAAACTAGTCAGTATTGCGGATTTTGCTGGTTTGTCATGTTCCTCGACGCCACGTTAAATCCATCCATTAGTTTGCATAAAGCTCCATTGAATATTGTGTGCAAATGCTTTCGGTAGGTCAATTATCGCGAATGGCCTTAACGGGATGAACGGTTTCAATATATGAGCATGTAATATGAAAAGGTCGACTGAATTCAGACACTAGAATATGAACTACCGACCATGAATTGAAAGGATGAAAGCTCCTAAATCTCATCAGTCATTGGCTGAACTGTCAAGTTAGTAGACCACCAGTCCGAGAAACAAGGCGTAACTTCAACCGAATTGACCGAGGTACTACGGGGTAGAGTTTCATTGCATCTTCGGAAATTTACTGTACGCAGGGAGATCTGTTTAGAATTGCGTATATACGACAATCTCGACGACATGCACTTGCAAACCACACTCGGGGATGAATGCGGCCGAGGTCGTCCTGAACATTGGGCGAATCTCGGCGTGTCCAATTATGTATGGCCAAACTTGGAGATGCTCAATTTAATGTGCACAGACATGACCCACCCTTTGAATCGGCTGAATTAAAATCAGAATTCTGGCGAACAAAGTTCATTTTATGCCCATGCCAAGACTACCAAGACGGAGAAATTGACATCTCATTTAGTACCCCGCGATCTCGGCATAGCATAGACCGACAGTTGTGGGGAGAGCTATAAATACAAGTTCAGGAAATGGCACTACACCTGACTCATCCTCAAAACAATCGGTACAATCGATGCAATCAGAATGCGAGTGCTGCACGCAATACTAGCTAGCCTTCTGGCAATCCCCGCGGAAAGCACGTATATTGTGCCCGGCGGTAGATGGTACGACACAAACGGAACCTTGATCAACGCACATGGAGCTGGAATCACCTTTGACCAGAAGACTGGCCGTTTTTGGTGGTTCGGCGAATATAAAACCGAAGAGCACCCAGAAGGAGGCGGAGTCTCTGTTTACAGTTCTGAGGACTTGAGCACTTGGACTTGGGGGGGTCTTGCCCTAAGTATTTCATCCTTGCGTGGCTTAGTTTGCGTGGCAGGTTAATCAAATGGGTCAACATTCTAACCTATCTCTGTAGGTCCAATTGATGGGCACCCCTACATCTCGTCTAAGAACGTAATCCAACGACCCAAAGTAGCCTACAGCCCTGAGACCAATGATTACCATGTGTGTAGATATTCCTTCCTCGGTCCGATCGTCGCGTGAACAGATGCTAACGTGAATTGCAAAGATGTGGTGGCATGCCGACAACTCAACTTACGGGCTCCTTCTCCAAGGCCATGCTGTGTCTTCCACGATCGGTGGGCCATACTCTTTTGTCGACGCGACCGCACCGCTTGGAAACTGGTCGCAGGACTTTGGCATGTTTACCGACTATAAAGATGGCAAGTCATATGCTCTCTACTCCAACGGCGATAGTCTATATGGGCGAGATGTGTACGTCTCAAGCATAAACGATAATCTCACGGCACTCGAGCGAGCCGTGTATCGTTTCCCGAAATTTGACCTCGAGGCACCATCTATCGTGCAGACTGATAAAAGTTACTGGGCACTGATGAGTCACAAGACGGGATACAGGCCAAATAGTAAGTCATTACTTTGTATTATGACTTTCTACGTAAGACTATTTTGGCTAATGGTACAGACGTGGTGGCATTCCGCGCCGACTCATTGAGTGGTCCATGGTCCCAACCGTTTATTGTTGCGCCGTTAAACACGCGCACGTTTAACTCACAGTCGGGGTTCACGCTTAGAATACCAGGAACCAAGAAGACTACATACCTTTATATCGGCGACCAGTGGGACTCGAATACTATATGGGAGAGTCGGTACATCTGGTTGCCAATGGAGATTGACGAGAAGCAGAAGAGTCTAGACTTGGCCTGGCATGATGTTTATGATCTTGATGTGTACGTACGCCCATCTATATGTTTTCCTCGACTAATATGCGGACCACCTTACAGAAAGACTGGCGAATGGACACCAATCAAGGGTACGACGTACACTGCGGGAAACGCGAGGACCCACGGTGATGCGTACAAGCAGGAAGCTGTAAGTAAAGCCACATGTTGGGCAACGGATATTCCGCAGCTGATTGCCTCAAAGAAATTCGCCACCGACGGAGTTATTCTCACTGGAATATATGGAAATGACAGCACTGTTACGTTCGAGGGTATCGAGGGATCTGGAGAACCACAATGGGTATCATTTTACTATCAAAGTATGTTTTCGTCCTACATTTTCTGCGCACATTTCTAACAATATCATTAGACATTGACGATATGGGCTTCGGTGACCAACGTAAGTTCAGGACCCTGGGATCAAAGAATAATTCTAATTGTTTAATAGCTGGTGGAACCCCCGACAGAATCGGTGGTGCATGGCAGCTCCGGCGAATCAGTAGCGTCGTGGTCAATGGAGACACGTCGAATGTGCAAACACTATACCAGAGAGATACACACAAGGGCATCATCCTCTCTACTCCACTGCAGTTAACGCTGAAGAAGGGGAAGAAGAACACCATCACGGTTGGGGGGTTATCTAATGGGTTTGACTACAAGGGCGCGGATCTTGACCGTATCGTTGTCTATCCTCCTGAGGCCAAGGGAAAATAACAATGTTAAAGATGACGAAGGGGAGCAGAGCGAGGGTCTATTTCATCAAGGGGTCATCATAAAATTAGGATGTGCTATTTTGAATTAGACAAATAAAAAGGCTTGTATTCAAAAGCGTGAACGCACAACGGTCGAGATTTAGGCTCCCTTTTTCTTTCACTCTTCTTGTCCCTGTTATGACGAGGGATAAAACCCCTCACAGGATCACTACTATCAATTCAGAAAGCAATAATTAGGATACGCAGACAAATCTACGGTTTATGAGGATTCAAAGTTCCAATATCGATTGTCTTCATTAAATGACAGCATCCCTTAACAAGAATGCCGAAGTCGAGGAAAACCTCGGTACGTGATATGCGCGTATGTACAGACAGCCTGAAATCAGGAACAAGGCCCAGGAGTAAGTAGAGGACAAGAGGAACAGACGAAGCGAGAACCAAGTCCAAGCCAAGAGGTTCCCACCACGCCGATTAAAATGCTGTATCGATGACAATCAAAAATGGGAAATAATGAGACTCTAGGCATTGCCCAAGGTCTCGCAAGGGAGACTCACCCATGAGTCTCATGCTCATGTCTCATCTCTTCGTGCAAAAACAAATGGAAGTACAAAAAGAAAATCTTCAAAACGCCGCCAACCAATGGGACATAGGGAATCCTTCAAGCAAAAGAGAACAAAACAGGGGCTGTACCAAACAGGGATATTCCAACTCCAAAGTTCAAACGACGATGAACATATACCAAGAAAGGTCGAGGGCAAGACTAGATGACGATCACGTCGCCCTCAGCATCGGCGGGGTCGGAAACCATCATATCTCCGTATTTACCCACTGCCATCAACAGGGGATCGTCTTCCAAATCGATCGCGCTGTCATCATTGTTTGGGACTTGAAACCCCGTATCTGCGAGAGCCAGCTCTTTAGCATTGGGGACGTGCTTGGTATCAGTTTCTGCATCAACGGTCTGATCTCGTGTCCCGCGAAGGTCCGGGGATGCAGTAGTATTCGTTTTCGAATGAGCGCCACGGGCTGACTCAAAAGTAGGGGGTTCAGGAATGACATTCTGCTTTAGCTGAAAACTCCCCATCGAGGCCTGCTCGGAGCCGAATGTCATGCTCTGCAGAGAGCCAGGTGTATTTCTCATAAACCCCCCCTTTTTCCGCTTGCCATACCATCATCTCGTGGAAGAACACCTTGGTCATCCACCATGCACTGAAGCTTGCGGCTCCGCCAAGGGTGAGGCGGTGAAGAATCGAGTCCCAAAGGGCGTCAATCTTCTTAATTACACACTGCGTGCGGTGGTCCGAGAAAGCCAGGGGTAGGTTCAGGATGAAGGAAATCCACTTGTCGGGGAAGTTGTACTCTTCCCCAGTAGCGGTCTCCACTGGGAATTGATGGGCCTCGATCGCCTCAGGACCATCTGGTTTGGAGAAGATGGGAAGACCGGTTGATGCATCAGTATCATCGAGCGGCGTGAGAAGTGCACGGACGTCGTGTTTCAAAATTTGCTCCGTAGGCTGTTCGGCGCAAGTGGGAATGTTGGCTTTGAGGATCATTTCCTTGGGGTCAACGAGAGACTTGAAATCGAACCACATCTGGTTACGATTATCAGGGTGACAGAGCCAAGCGGCAGCAGCGTTGGCAGCCTGGTTCACATCAAGCATATGCTTGAGAAGATTACAGAATATGTGGGCAGGAATCAGTCGTGCAATAGAAACGTGCGATGGCTGGGCCTTGAAGGTCTCTGCGATATGGCTGCAAAGGCGCTGCGAGATTGAGCTGAAAGCATCCAAGACGAGTTTGGGGACCACCTGGGTCGTAAGAGGGGCCACAAAGGCAATCATCTTTTGGTACATCAACCAATCACATTCCTTGATCCAAGGAGCAAGGTTTGGGTGTGTAAGAAGTTTTTGAACCGGCACAGTCAAGGTGCCGTGGAAAGCCGAGAAGTACTTTAAGAGGTTTCGTTCCTTGCAGAACCGGAAACTATCGATCACAGAGATACAGTGTGAGCGGTAGAGGGCAGCAAGTGCCTCAGCAACCTTGGGATCGGTATTAAGTGGAAGATAGCCGCGGATATCAGGGAGGACAAGAGATTCATTGTCGATGCTGGGGACTTCGTCTGTCGGGAATTGAAGCATTTGGTGGATCATCTTCCCGGCTTGCTGAGAAACATTTTGCGTCGTAATAGCAGCATCAGGACCAGAGGGGGATTGGGCTTGGCAATTGCAACAACTGGTGGTGGGAGGATTGGCGGGGAATCGGGGTGCGAATGAGGTTGTCGGTGATGGGAAGACTGCCGTGTCTGCTGTAGGCTGGGCAATGCTAATACTGAAACAAGTGTCAGGGCGGGTAGTTATGAAAGAACACATCTTATCGTACCTCCTTGAGCGCATGCCACTCGCAGGTCTCTCAGGAACACCAGCTGGAATTTGGTGTGGATTCAACGCAACTTGTGGGTTGAGGGGGACAGGTCTTTGTTGCTTCTCCTCAATGACTGACAAGTCGACATAGTGATATTTGGACTCGCCACGAACACCAAGGCGGCGGGTCTGAACATTGGGAAAGATGATGCGGACAAGTTTGCCAAAGGACGCTGGATTCAGGACCGACACTCGCTCCGTTCCACACTTTTCCGCATAGCAGCAATACACCCGGTCTCGTCGTACCGAGCCATTGCTCTTCCGGCAGTTTTCTCGTAGCCTATGGCAAAGAAATTAGACGGAACCACACAAAATGAAAAACATGGTGAGTCCAGATGAGATGATGTAGTGACTCCTTACCAGATCATGGCGAATACTTGTTTCACCTTCTCTGCCTTGCCCCCAGCACCTTCATGTTTCATGACCTCCGCAGCCATCTGCTTCAAAGTGTAGCCCTCATATTGGCGAAGCAATTTCCGCAACTCATTATCGTTTGCAAGCGTGGAGCTGGATCCCCTTTTCTTCTTCCCACCAGCTTCTGACGCTTCTTGGTCATCCATAGTATGGTCGGCGAGATGATTCTCAATACCACTATCATACATGGCTTGATACTGCGGCACCGCTACTGCAGAGAGTGCACTGTGCGGTATGTCCGGTAATCCGTGGTGTGAGAGATTATGAGCGTGCATGGCGTGGGCAGGAAACTCGTCCGGTCGGGAAGCCATCGCATGAGAATCCCGCACAGTTGGGTCTAACGACGCGCCATTGGACTGGTGAGAGAGCTGATGACCAAACCGCATCAGCATATCTTCCGGGTTATTACCAAAGACATGCTGGCCACCTCCAACCTGGGAGGGCATGAATTGAGGGAATCCATCGAGATGTTGGTCTTGGGTTTGTTGTGTTGTGCTCGAATGAATACTAGCAGTCGAACCTCTAGAGCGAGGTCGACGAGCAGCTCGAGAAAGGGTTTCGGATCGAGCGCGCATAGGGTCGGCCGTCCCTGGACGACTATGGGGACCCATCTGCTGTGTCGTCTGCGAGACGATGCTTCCTTGCGACGGCGCCCGCACTATGAATGGAGCATGATTAGCGAGCAGCCCTGATGATATATTGGACATGTGACGGGCGAGGCATCATTCTCACCTAGTTCTGGAGGCATCCTGATTCGGGATCGGTGGTCAACCTGAAAAGTGGAGGAGGGCCCGTCACCAGGGAGATGATCAGGACTCGCACGGGTCGTGTTTTTTTCCTTGGGATTGGGCGCCAGGACACGACGACGATGACCATTCGAGTCCAGCGACCGAACCAGGAACAAGGTCGAGCAATGTGCAAGCAACAACAGAGCTACAATACCAGAAGAAAGTTGTCCCAAGTCCGCAGGGCTACGGAGACAGTCGGCCGCGTGGGTGCAAGATTCGAGTCGAAGAGGATAAACAGAAGTGGCCGTTCCTCAGACAACGTTGTTTAGGCGGGTCACGTGGGTGAGGTAAGCATTCCGGGCAAACAAACAAAAAGGCGGACCAAACATACAATACATTGGAAAGGAAAGCAAATAACTCGGCAGAGTATGTCGCAAGGGCAATAATTAAACCGCGCAGAGAACTAAAATTAGATCTCCAGTATTGAATTGGGATACTCACCAAATCTTGCTTCATTATCGCGACCGGTAGTATCTCTATACAATCTGTCTCGATCTATCTCCATGCTTGCACGCGCCTCAAATCAATGAGTCCTCGAAATATTCCATTGATCTGCCACTTTGAATCTTAGATATAATGTGAATTACTCGTTTCATTCCATTCTTTCTCTTCATTACGTTTGTTTTGTTCAAGTTTCTTGTGTCCAGGTTACGTCATCGCTCCAGCCCGTCCGGTGGGTTGTAAATATGCAACTGAAACAAAAGAATAACTAGTACTTGAGAAAGTAATGGATTCTATCTCTTATGCTAATTTCATTGATGGAAACAAGGTGTTCTCCATGATCTGTTTAGCTGTCTATTATTCCTACTTGAAATGAAGATCTTCGACGTGTCCTTTTCTACACCCATACCCCGGAGTTACTCGGACTTTCAAGAGATATATTCGCACAGATCGGTGTGTCCACACAGCAGTACCATTGATTAAGTTAGGTTTGAGCAACGCCGTATCTATTTCCCAACTCTCTAGATGGCTAATCAGACTGAAATAACATAGAAAATTCCAATCGCTAGTTAAATCCAGCAACATCGAATAGTTTTCACCCCTCGCGACTGGCGCAGGCTCCCTGACCTAGACTTAAGCATGTTTATGGATTGGACCCTTTCCTGGCTAGAGATATCCGACCTAGTCAAGGCGCTTTCTCACAATCTAGCCGAGCCGCCTAACGTAAGGTCGTAAATTTAGGTACAGTGTCCTTGAAAATCCGTCTTCTCCCGTCGAACCTTGAACTTACATTATCCCTGCCTTCAGCGCGGAGGCTGGAGACCCCTTGCCGCACAGCTGCACGTCGACAAAATTGTTATTAGGTACGCGCTGGCAGCGTGAACACCGCCTTTTACTCAGTGCACTTCGCCGGGAAACTTTGTAGAAGTGTATGTACATCAGTACTTTATTTATGTGAAGGACCTAGTTTATGTTGAAATTTGGCGCCGATCGCGCGTCGCGACCTCGTTGATGAGAGTACTCCATACAAGACCATTATCAAGGTGCCGGACAGACTGTTTGTCAGTAACCCCGTTAATGGATACTGCAGCTAAATACAAATCAAACGTATAGGAAAAGATTGATTAATGCTAAAGTTTGCATCGCAAGGTTAACTCAGATCCTTCCAGGTTGTGCAAAGTCTTTGTAGTCGGGAGGCGAAACCGGAACTTCATCATAAGATGGCGGATTCCCCTGACAAACCGTCTCATCAATGCGACCATGAGCTCGTCTGAGAATAAGGAGTGGGAAAGAAATATTCAACACAGTGCGCAACGGTCTGCCATCCACCAAGTTATGATTGTCGACGTCGAAAGTGTCTTCACTGGTCAATAGATCAAATCTCAGACGATGTTCAACTGTGAGTACCAAGCTCGCTGGCGTTGTGGGTGGAAATTGTCCTTGAATCGATGGCGGTACGGACTGTGCTGGCATGGATTCAGGAATATAGTTGGATAGAGAGATCTCTGGCGTAGGTGTCACGTCTTTGGGAATTGGGATGTCAAGTTTGATCTCGATCGGGGAGCCATGGTTGGATTCTGGGTGTTGACGTCCCTTTACGATGGGATTCTGGAAGGTTACCCAATATCCCTTTTGAAACCCGTTGAATAATTCACGGGTGGTAGATTCCTTTTCAATTGACTGGTTTACTGGGCTCTGTCCATCTTCTGGTTGATGAAGATCTTCTGGTGGGATAAAGAGCTTGGTTATCTCTTCCACGCGCCATCGGATCCCACGTATCGCCACAGATTTGAATTCTGTTGGCCGAGTAGCAGGAGTAACTGGTCGTCGGAGAAGTATCTTTGCGTCCAGGGAGATGTTTGAACTCTCCGTCGAGTCAATCTGCTGTGAGAGATTGATCTGGGCCACGACTGCCCCATTTGGATAATTGCGGATATGCTGGATGTCTGTATTGCAGTCGGGGATCAGCTGCCGCGTAAAGCTGATCTCTTGACTTGTACCAAGAACATTACCCTCTGATGTTCTGAGGGAGGCGGCCAAGAAATATGATATATTGCCCAAGTCTGTGGCGGCACTTGCTGGCATATTGGGTGTGATGGGCATGTGGAAGAGGATCCTGTAGACTTTGCCGTCGTTGGGTGAATAGCCCACCTGGCTATCTGTAGAAAGATTGGGGACACACAGTGCCATTTCCTCAATTACCGAGCATGTCTGTGTAGTTTCGGATGGTGTTGGTCGTGCCTTCGACGAGAGTAGGCGACAGACTTGCTTCAAGAAAGGTTTGTTGCGGCTGGCGCAATCTCGACTTGACTTGCTCGATAGAACACGGACGAGGGAAACTTGCACCTGCTCTGCACGCGAGAAATCCGAGTCTGTACATTTTTTAAGAATCACCGATGCAGACATAGGCCGAAAGAAGGCTTCTCCCTTGAGGTTGAAGTATATATCATGAGACGAGGGACATTCCAATGTCAAATGTGAGGCCATTGCTGCGGTGGTTCATAGCAGTGAATCAGGAGTGAGCCCATGCTTGGAGCTAGAGAATTTGATCTTAAATGGACGTGAGATGATCCAGGAAACGTCCGATAGCTTACAAATTAGACAGAAGACATGCCTCTGAAGATGGGAGAATTACTCTATCGAGGTGATGGACGCTAGTCCACAAAGGGAAGCCAAGATGGGCAAGTAGAGTTCAAGTGGAGAACCACCAGCCAATCCCGTCAAAGAGTTCAGTATACTGTTTTTGAGGGCCACGCCAGAACACAATCCCTTCTAGACTTGTTCACTTTTCACCCTCGTTTAGACAGTTGCTATTATTCAAACCAGAGAGTCATATGTTCAGATCAAATATCACTTGAGTCTTATCATCCAGTGTAGCACGCGCAAATGCGAATATGCTGCTTAGGTAGGCAGCTTCTTCTATGGCGAATCCCTATTCATATGATCGGGACATTCCTAGAGATGGAGCAGAATAGAATAGTCGTGTTGTAGAAATGTCAGCATTTAAAGATTTCTCTAATAGATAGTGGATGGCTAATATGCTTTCACTTTAACGTAGAACAAGCAACTTCGTATCCTGAGGGACTCCACTGGGTCTTGCGGGGTTCTGAAAAGCTTGATGCACTGTATGATATCCATGGCAGGTAAGCAATGATTGGTATACATGCTCTAATACCTATCAGCTCTAGAATGTTTGATATACTCTAAAAGAAACTTCACTATACAAACCAATCCGTATGCCTCCGTTATGGTAGCCGAAGCAAGCCCCACTTACCCGTCAGCCACACCACGTTACTGCGTACACACCGTGAAACAACTCACGATACTACGACTAACAACGTGAAAATACCCCTCATTTGCCAAGAAATAAAAAAACACGCCACCATAGAGTGGCCTCATTCGGTGCAAAAGCATGAGTGGAGCTGCAATAATACATTCTCCTATGTGGCCTGGGGCGGAACGGAACCACGGACACAACTAGATATCCTGACATCAGTGGTGGCCGATAGATCGGCACCAAGTGTCGCAGGGCCAATGCATTTTTTATTTGTATTATTAGCCAATGTACAGTCTCCAAAGGCGCGTCTCAAAATATCCGAATGCGTCCTCGTAAAGGCAGTAGGGCTGGCCCCGTGATGTCACCGCCAAGAGGGAAAAAAATAGCACGATCTTGGTTGTCGAGCTGACTGGACGATTGTTTCCCCCGCTCTTTTTGTTTCTTTCTTCTCGTTGCAACTGCCTAATCGCATCTATTTCATAGCCATGCAGAAATTCAAAGAAAAGTTCGAACATGAAGTCGATCATTTGGAGGAGAGATTCCGAGGTCGGATCCCCGTCCGCGAAACCTGCTTTTGCACTGTTTCTGTTCCCCCCCAACCTGCGCCCCTCCTCCACGTTCTGGACTAACAAATCGATCATAGACTCTCACCTCCACGATGCCAAAGCATCGGCAACACACCTGAAGCACAAAGTGGGCAAGTTCTTCAACATTGTCAATCCCAACCACCGTCACGATGAAGCACATGAACAGGCGACGGACCAAAAGCGCTCGGCAATCGCCGAGTCGCATCGCTACCAGTCCTTCGCCCCCATTCACGAGGGCAATCGCGTCAAATGGTATGTCGACGCCTTGGATTATATGTGGGCGGTCTCCGAGGCCTTGGACAAGGCCACGGAGACTATCTACATTGCCGATTGGTGGTTGTCACCGGAGTTGTTCCTCCGTCGCCCGCCCGCCAAGTGCCAGGAATGGCGGTTGGACCATGTCTTGAAGCGTCGCGCAGAGGCTGGTGTTAAGATTTATGTGATTGTCTACAAGGAGGTCAATCAGGCGTTGACGTGCAATTCAGCCCATACCAAGCATGCGTTGCAAAGCTTGTGTCCCGAGGGTACCCCTGGTCATGGTAATATTCGAGTGCTGCGCCATCCAGACCACAACGTCTTTGAAAATGCGGCCGATATGACTCTTTACTGGGTAACCTCCCTTGTAAATCCAAGGATGAGTTTACAAAACTAATGCGGTCATTCAGGCACACCACGAGAAGTTCATTGTGATCGACTATGCCCTAGCATTTATCGGTGGCATTGACCTCTGCTTCGGACGATGGGATGCCAACCAGCATCCTCTAGCCGATGTTCACCCAGCCGGTCTGCGAGATGATATTTTCCCGGGCCAAGACTTCAACAACAACCGGATCATGGACTTCCAAAGTGTCCAAGACTGGCAGAGCAATGAGCTGAGCAAGGCTGACTACGGGCGCATGCCGTGGCACGACGTAGCCATGGGCTTGGTTGGCGATTGCGTCTACGATATTGCAGAGCACTTTGTGCTGCGCTGGAACTTTGTCAAGCGTGACAAGTACAAGCGCGCCGATAATGTGGATTGGCTTATGATGGAAGGTCGACTCGGGGCTGATGAGGATCTGGTTGCTGTTCAACGGCCGAAATACCCCTGCGGCGAGTACATTCAACATCCACTGTCTCCTTTATCTACCAAGCCTCGTGGACAGCAGGGGTCTGTTCGTGCGCAGATCGTTCGAAGCAGTGATGATTGGAGTAGTGGTATTCTGAACGAGCACAGTATTCAGAATGCGTACTGCGAGATTATCCGCAATGCTGAACACTTTGTTTACATTGAGAATCAGTTCTTCAGTACGCCTATCTTTGCTTCTTCTCCAAAGACCGTATTTGAGTGGCTAACATTTTATCAGTTACTGCTACTGGCGACCAGCAGCGACCCACCTTCAATACCATCGGTCGCGCTATTGTCGATGCTTGCGTTCGAGCAGGCAAGGAAGGACGCAAGTTCCGTGTCATCATCGTTCTCCCTGCCATTCCAGGCTTTGCGGGCGACCTGCGTGATTCTGCTGCAACGGGTACGCGTGCTATCATGGACTACCAGTACAAGTCCATCTGTCGCGGCGAGCATTCGATCATGGGTCAGATTGAGAAGGCGGGAGTGGATCCTAAGCGTAAGCCATTCACCAAGTCGTTAACTACTTCCACTAACTAAGTTTGTTCAGAGCACATCTTTGTATTTGCACTCCGCGCCTATGACCGAATCAACAAGACACCCGCGCTTGAAGAACTCGAGAAAGAGGCCGGTGTCACATACCAAGACATCCAGCGCGGTATTGCCGAGTCGATCATGGGTGAAAGTGTGCACCCTTCCGTCGGCTCAGAAGGTGACAAGAACGAGAAGAGCTATGAGGCGGATGACTCGCAGAAACAGCAGAATCTGAGGAACCTGGAGAAGTTTGAAGAGCAGGTCGAGAAGCGCAAAGCCCAGCATGGTGACGCTAGTAAAGACTCGGTGGCGCATACTACCATGTTGGACGGCGGTAAGATGTCTGACGAGACATGGGAGGGTGACCCTGAAGCCGAAAAGGACAATATCGTTCAGGAAGAGCTGTATGTACACGGCAAGGTGTGCATTGTGGACGATCGCATTGCTATTTGTGGAAGTGCCAACATCAATGATCGGGTAAGTATTGACTGAAAACTGGTTGACAGTATTTGGCTTTTGACAATACTGCTCCCCTCTCGCACTCTTATCCACACTCGTTATACTGACATTTCCATCCTGCTACAGTCCCAACTTGGCTCCCATGATAGCGAACTCGCCATCGTGATGGAAGATCAAGACTTCATCGACAGCGAAATGGACGGCAAGCCGTATCGAGCCGCCCGACTTGCCGCAACCCTCCGTCGCCAGCTCTGGCGCGAACACCTAGGCCTCTTGCCTGCGCAGAACTACGACGCCACAGGCCATCCGAACGCTCGATCCCCGGATACCTGTCTCAACGAGATCCTAGAGGATACTCACAATGAATTCGTGACTGATCCGCTCAGCGATGCGGTCTGGAACACCTGGACCGGCCAGGCTAGCGTTAATACCGAGACGTATCGGATGTTGTTCCGTGCGGATCCAGACGACAATATCAAGACCTTTGGGGATTATGACAATTTCTGTCCGCGTGGGTCACACAAGCTGGGTCATCTGTTTGATCCGTATCTGCCGGTTCAGGAAGTGCGGGAGAAATTGGATCGTATCAAGGGCCACTTGGTGTGGTTGCCGCTGGAGTTTCTGTGCAATGCGGAGATGGCCGAGCCTGGGTTGGCAGTGAATCAAATCACGGAGGTAAGTGGTCGGTTCTGTTGTGTTATAGTGGAGCTCGCCTCCATTATAGGTAGCTGAGCTGGTGCTGGGCATCGTGCTAACTCTTGACTAGAGCATCTACACGTAGTCACGACCCCATTTTCAGCCCCAGTCTCCCACTTTACACAAGTATTATTCTGAATGCTTGTGGATATCCGACAACTCCTCCCCCCGCCAAGCGAGGGGTTATTCAAAAACCTCTTCCATACCCTTCTCTCTCCTCTTCACCGCTCATACTTCTTGTCCTACTATCACAAATGATTTCCATTATTCTTATCATATCTCCTGACAATGGCATTGTGCGATTATGCATGAGTTTCTAATTCGGCCTACACACAGGCGCTATTACCTCGCTTCCATTTTTCTTTCTCCCCGCGGAAATAATGCATGGTCAGTTCTCCTTGTCTCAACGATGCACGTCGATGATTTGCAAACTACCGTGTCGGAAAAAGTAATCTTAGCCATTCAGCCATTTGGCTGGGCATAACCACACACATGAACACTACCGGCATAGCCTAAACCTATTTTATTTATACAGTAGTCTCAGACCTGCCGTAGCGTACAGTACTTTTGAACTCGACCCACCATGACTCTCCACCGCAAGAAGGAGGATCTCGTACCATCAACTGGTCCTTGCGTGGTGCTTTTTTTTTCTTTTTCTTTTTTTTTTTTTGCTCCTTTCTCCTTCTCTCCAGTCTCCTTTGTCTGTGCTCATAAGTGGAGAACTGACAATAGAGTTGGCGGACCCAAACCCCTGGAAATCCTTATTACGCTTTGTTCAATTTCCCCCCGTCAATAATAATTCTGAGCTACAAAGTCCTTTCCTGATCTAGTCCTCTCGCATTTGGCGGTAGCGCCTCGCTACGGAGTATTTCGGTAGCTGAAAACACCCGTATACAGCCACCTACATGATGGATCACTTTTTTTCCTTCTAGTGAGAAACAAGCCACTCCGTTTGAAGGAAGTCTTCTCCGGAAGTCTGTATTGATGGGATCATCCTCTTCAAGTCTTCATCTTTTTGATGAATGGTCGGCAACTTGGCTTTAGTTCCCTGCCCCCCCTAATTCCGATCGCCAATGAAGACTGTCGTAGTCGGTTCAAATTGCTGGCAAGATGACCCGAGTGGTTCTGATCTCTGATGTGTTTTTTCTTGTTCTCCTTAGGAATGTGCCAAGGGAATTTAAGATGTTCGTGTCGGGAGGTCTGTGAAGATGCATTCCGTCGTACAAGGGCGAATTGGACGACAAGGAGAGACCCTGCATGAAACTCTTTTCAATGTAAGGATGCGACCAAATACTTAGAGTGAACTACTTGATTATCGAAGTAGATAGATATGGGCAATTGCGTAGGCGATGCACTCCATCTCAATCCAGTTCTGGCAAGATTATCATAGTGGGGCTGGTTAATCGCCCGCCTATTTTCACGCGCCCTGGATGGGATCGTTGGGTTTCCTGTACTTCGCCTAATTCTACTCAATTCTCAGTACTCTTTCTGACTTGTGATATTTCTATTTCTCGGCATGTCCGATCCTACAGTATCGTATCCCGATAGTGGAGTTTGAAGAGAGTGGAAATTGGTTCTTCGATTCAAATCTGCAAATTATCGACCACCAGAATGCAAATGCTCGCAGCCAGAAATGGAGTTACTACTGTAACTATCTCCGACGCCCATGGTGCTTGTCCAGACCCAATCTCTCCACATAAAATTCACGACCGCAAGAAAGGGGGGTGAAAAGCTCAAGTACCAAGAACCTAGCCACATCTAAAGCTAAAGCTGCAGAAGGGAAATAAATGAGAAAGGAAGGAAAAAAACTCCGTCCGGATGCAAAAATCCCACACATGGAAACTTTTGTAAAAAGATGGAAAAGGAAAACAATCTTTTTGAGGGAACCGATCAAATGCAGAGCCCATGATGTCGCCAATAACGCAGCCAGGGAGAAAGGGAAGAAACTCAAGCCAGGCAGAAAATCAAAACGGAAGGGCCGAATTTGCGCTGATCAAGAAGCATGCGCGCTCTGAAGATTGAAGATTGGAAATTATTGCATGGAGCAGGTTAGGATACCCTTGCTCGGGTTTCATGCGAGAGACTTGAGGCGATTGTGAGATGTCTGCTCGAGAGGCAAGGCGAGGGTCAGCCAGCGAGCAACACAGGAGATGATAATCTCAGCCAATATGGTCAACATTGTCTTGCGGAAGCAGTAGGATGGTACCGACGGGTTCTCTGTTGCACAAGCTGAAACTGAAACGAGCTGAAGGAAGCCCAACTTACAAACTATGACTTGGCGTTGTGGCAGCTGTTGCAGCGACAGTGTCCACAGATCTTGCATCGCCAGATAGCCACAAAGGGGCCCGAGTTGCAATCAGAGCAACGCCACGTCAGGATGTTGCCATTGGTGGCCTGGACAATGGCGAATTTATGACCGGAGCACTGGTTTGCCATTGTTGTTTTGTTGTCGATCGAGATGAACGTCGGTTTTATATGTAAGAGCCTCTGCTGGGATACGATTAGCTCGGCGTACCTTCACGGTTGGAGACCCGAGAGTCTGTCACCTACCAGACTAGGTGAATGATCAAGGCCCGAGGGAATGGAAGCTGGCGTCGATCACCGGAAAGTGGTTCCACGGGTCTAGACCGGGGATGTAGGAAGGGGAGGTAGAACGGCAGATTTGTTCAAGATTTGATCAAGGGAGGAAAGCTGTGTACCGTGAAATCGAGGATGTGAGAACTCGATGGCAGGACAAGAAGAGGAGGAAGGTGCGAGAGAGACGATTTGATGGAAAAGATGAAGAGCTTCAAAACTGCTGGACCTAGGTCCATTATATAGTGTCGAAGAAGTGCTTGCTCTGTATCAACTTTCCAGCTTTGAGCATGGGTCAGAGATCCAGATTCAGATCCTCGAGCAAGCCAGTCGCAAACTAAAGACTTCAATGGCTCTGAGGGTCTGCACAATGCCGTCGATGACGCACGTATCCGGATGCGAATTTTGTGACAATCGTCAGGGTCAAGTACCAGAATAGGTCAAAGGTCCAGGGCTGTATAATTATTATTGTTGTGGAGAGAGGGATCCATAAATTGCCCTTTTGATTTCAGTCGTCAGGGAAGGGGAAGCGGAAGAAAGGTATGCAACCGAGTGGGATATGCAACCGAGTGGGATGGATGAATAGATGGATGGATAGAGAAGAGAGCTATATTTGATTTACCGTGAATCTCGAGCGACGAACCTCATCTTGCATGGCGCATGGAAAATTAGATGAAGGCGCCATCGAAGCGCGGCAGATCCTAGGCTTTTTGATCCGGCAGGCTTAAGATCGCGATCGATGGACATCGAGGGGTTACAATTGGTAGAAGGCGATCTGGCCGCGCGGGCAGAGGTGGCTTAATTAAGTCAGGTTTAGTAGGTTTAATGAAATTCAATTGGAACATTTAAAGTATAGGAGGTGATTGGAGAGAGGGGGAAACGCCAGAGACGAGCTGACTAGATAGCTTCGAGCCAGGAATAGGATCCAGTAGGGAGACCGGAAGGCTAAACTCCAGACGAACTCCAACTTCCCAGGTTGGGAGGTGGTGGGGAAACCAAATGGACAGGGAACTAGGGTTGTATGACTGTATTCTGTGACTAGTAAACAGGGTAGCAAGCTACGAAATAGGCAGGGTGCATTCATTAGCAAAGGGAGAATTTGATTTGATTTTTTATTAACTTTCTTTTTTTTAATATTTGGCATGCAAGATCGACTCGTGTTGCTAGAAAGGCGCCCCTTCTACTAAGTGGATCTATTTAAAAGTGCTGGGAGCCTGGGAACCTGTCCGAGAGGACAGGAAAAAGGCAGGAAAGAAAGCAAATCACAAAGCCCCAGGACAAGAGTCAAATCATAGACGCGCCTGAACCACCAGCTGGGCCTGGAACTATGCGGATAGGATCGTCGGCGCGCCTGGCATTAATGCTAATCCACCGCTAATCCTCCCTCGATCATGTTAGTCGCGTTAAACTTGAACCGACAAGGTAAAGTATGTACTCCGTACAGTAGCGCTGTAGTTACTAGTCAATTGCTTGCTATCTCCACCAGCTCTATGGTCAGTGTGGTCCAACTACTGCACGGGATGCTGATTTGGGTCAAGGCACTTCGCTTTGCAGGGCCGATCATGGCCGATCGCGGTCTTGTTGCATCCCAGCAATTTGGGTTGGGTCCGATCATCGCTACTCAGAGAGCAGCTTGGGGGTCGATATGTTGGGTGGAATTAAATTGACTTTTTGGAGGGGCCTGCAGGCTGTAGGACCTGTGGTCAATGGCTGAGTGGATAGATGCTGAAGGGGGTGAGGAATAATGACAAAACAAAAGGCTAAAATGGGGAATTGACCAAAGACTCGGAACTCTTGTTCTCTTGTTCCGGTTTTTAAGGTTGATACATCACAAACACTTTCATAAATCCAGAGGCTTAGAAGAGCCTGTCAGTGTCAGTCAGCCATTGGGACGCGGGAAACCAGAGGTCTCCAAACGCTTGGACCACGGCCGATTATTATTATTATTATTATTATTATATTATTATTATTATTATTATTTATGATTATTACTAGGAGTTCTCCACATGGCATTGTCTCAGGAACCTTTGTGACTGCTTCATTTTTCTGACAATCTGGCCTTTTGTCTTGTGTCAGGCTGATTATTCACGTACTTTGTACTTTTGTCTCTTCAATGTGTCATGGTTGGTTGGGGGTTCTTTGTTGACGACGCCCATATTTGCGTTTCTTCTTTTTGGCAAGTGAATAATTTGACCCTTATGTTGATCATCCTCTCCGATAGGTTCGTATCATCGCAGTCATCCTAATGTCAATCATGATAAAAAGAACTGGTTGACGAATCCCCTCATCCCTGTAACATGCCGATCGCCCGGAAGCACACCCCCGGCATTTGTTGGGTTCTGGCCATAGCACCCAATACAAGTGGGACTACAGCAACTACTGCAATCTTAAATCCAAGTCGGAACCGATGCTTTGCGAGAAGTGCTTGGAGGCTTCAAATTGAATTTGACTGACTCGATTAGGTATTTGATATTCCGAGAACCGAATTAGGACTGTTTCTGCGCGGTCTGGCGCTATTGTTGGGCCGGCTGTTCATTGCATCGCCCCCTAACAATCCGCCGTAGCAGTCCAGCAAGCACACGATATTCATAATTCACGATATACTCCTCCATTGTTTCCACATCGAAGACTAGGTTACACTTGAGATCCACCTCGTCCCTTCTGCAGACCCTTGCCTCTTTCTCTGAGGTGAGACGTCGTACTTAGTTTACGCGCTGTTATTAGACGAGCTGCATGGTCGGGGGCTTACCGTACTGCTGGAGCCTCATCGGATGTACATGTGCATCCGAGTATTTTTGTCACTAACAAACTAAGTACGGCGACTTTGGACCCATGTAACCATGTAACGACGTTCACCATGTAACTCGATAGCTTTGTACAGTAGCCATGGAGTGGTAGCTGTGGATATGTTACTTCCGATAGTGGGGATGCTCAGTACGAGAGCAAACCCACATCTAGCCTACAAACATACGACCGATCATCCACTTGTCTGGCCAATATCTCCAAAAAAAAAACTCGTCGATCAGGCGAGTCGTAGTGGAACCCGCTTCGTTACACAAAGTACCACCACAATCGATACTGCGTAGTGATTTCACTAGAAAAGTGCTTCAAGGAAACATGAATAGAACCTTAACAGATTTGCCACCGAGGCCTATCTCTTCAGCACGCGCCGTCCCGGCTGGGCGCCTGTCAAGCATGACTGGACGAGAGACCCGAGGGACCGAGTTTTAGATTTGAAACCAGGCCAGCCATCGGACGAACCAGGACCTTTTCTTCATTTCTAGATCACGGTGAAAAACAGAGAAGCATCACCGGATGCTCGAAAAGGGAAAGATAGCTCATGACCTTGACCCTGGACACGTCGATTGCTGCTGCTTCGACACAACTTCGATGTCCATGTTCTTTCAGGGTCAGGGCCGCCACCAGCACCAGTGGGCTGGAAAGGCAGTTGATTTGCTTTTCTCGGCGTGCAGACCGCTACTCAATTTCTTCACGGATTTCGGCTTCGTGTCTTATTTTGGGGTTCGGCGCGCAAATCGGACTGTTGGGGACGGAATACACGGGGAGCCGCAGCCGATGCTTGACGAGTTGACGATGGGAGGCCATCACGATGGCAAGAAGATGCAAGACGGGAAAGAAGAGAATACGGTTGATCACCACAAAACAAAAAGAGCCACTGGCACGTCCATAGACGGGAAAGAAACGGGATTTCATTGATAAATCGACGGTTGAGAATTGTTTGCTAGACTACAATCACGATGATATCCGAGGGGTTCTCTTGCACCGGTTTCACCGCCAGAAGGCATCGAGGAGTCTCCATTGGAAACACCCCCAAATCAAGAAACCGGAGCCTTCAGTCCTCGTCGGGCATGATCCCTCTTGCTTTTCTCTTCTTTTTAGAAAAAAAAAAGAAGAAAGAAACAGTCAGGACCAGACCGGGTGTTTGCTCTGCCAACGCTCCGTTAAGAACACCTCGTGGATGACGAGATGCTCCTGCAGTACCCAGAGTGGACTGCATCGCTGGGGTAATAAGAAAGAAGAGATGGAAAATAGTAAAGACAAAAAGAAAGGAACACATGATCTCATCGAGGGTTGAGATGCATGGCAGGTTACAGTTCGGTCTGAGCGAGGCAGACTTCTTCGAATGAGTTCGTTTTTCATTTGGTAGAAAAAAAAGAGTAGGTATCATGCCATGAGATCGCAAGAATGCAGAGAGTTCGGAGTCTGCAAATCAGTCAACAACGCCGCCCTAGAAAGATGTCAAGTCAAATTCGTCACAGCCATCCGCCCAAAGGGTCATCATTTAGTCATTAAGGTGGAAAAGAGCTGAGACGCTGTTTTGAACTTCATGTTAGTGATCCCCAATATGTACTTGAAGCCACGAGGCAGACGAGAAAGCACTCACCTTTCACCGTAGTGATGCCGCCGAATGCTCTCAGCTAGAAGAGTGGAGACGTCGATGACGATCAGCTTCTTAGACCGCTTGAGCATCGACGGCTCAATCGGGAATGTGTTCGTCACGACAATGTGGTCAATGGAAGGGCAAGCCTCCATCTGGTCGAGCGAATCGGATCCGAACAGACCGTGGGTGGCAATGCAATAGACCTTGGCCGCACCACCACGCTTGACAACGGTCTCGGCGGCGGCAATCCACGATCCACTCTTGTCAATCATGTCATCTACGAGGAACACTGGTCGATCCCGGACTTCACCGACCAGCGTGATGGTCCGCTCATGGTCGTGACCAACAACACTGGCCTCGTCATCCGACTCAACCGCGTCAAAGGAGCCGCCCAGAGCATGGTCTGGGGGCAGTGAGGAAACGCTCGAGATCATGGAATTAAACATGGTCTCGGGGACGACCTCGGTGTTTTCGCCGTGGCCAATGGCACTGCCACCAGCCCCGGGGGTGGTTCCACCAGAGTGCGATTCAGACCCTTGGTAGTCATCATCAACCAGCTGGCCCTGCACCAAACGGCCAGTGACTACATCTCGAACTCGAACATCGGTGTACTCGACCTCAAGCTCCGATGGTCGACGAGCTGCCGGAGGGGTCTCCGGACGCAGCAGGTCTTGGGGAGAATCCACGTTTTCCAGCCCCTCGGGGATGGGAGGCGTTGCCAGGGAACGATGGAGACGAAGTTCGAAAGGCTGCGCCTCCTTCGAAAATCGTCCCTCATCCTCAACGGCATCGAAGAAGACCGTGCTATCGGACATCGTGTTGATGGGAACCTTTGGGCGACGCCGATCGGTAGTCACGATGCCAAAGTTCAATTTGAGGGTATCCGCCAACGATGTGACCCGCTTGGTACCGCCGGCATTCTTGCTCACCACCACTGCGTCCCTCCATCCTGGCACATTCATCCGGATCCAGCGGGCAATGAACGGTTCGGCGAAGAGGTTGTCGACGGGCTTGCCAAAGAAGCCTTGCATCTGGGATGCCTATTGAAAAACCCAATCAACATCGAGAAGGGTGCATTTGCAACGTCAAGGGCAGCAACGTACGTGCAGGTCCATGGTGATCACATGGTCCACACCGGCGATGGAGAGCAGGTTGGCGAGCATCCGGGCGGTGATGGCACCACGATGGCTCTTCTTCTTGGATTGACGGGAGTATGGGAAGTATCTCGTCAGGGGTCAGCATCCAATGTTCACTTATGAAGTATTCAAACAGAACAGGCAGCATACGGCATGACCGCTGGATGAAAGAAGAAATACGTCAGTCCCATCTCTCTTATTTTCAAAGCTTCCAACCTTGAGAGAACAGCGAGGACATACCAGTAATCGACTTGGCCGAACCACCTTTGCACGCCGAGATCATAATCAGCAGCTCCATGACACTGTCATTAATCTTGCTGCTGCCACTCTGAACAATGTAGACATCTTGGTTGCGGACCGAGACGCCGATGTTCACGCTGGTCTCGCCATTGGCGAATTTCCCGAGGTCTGCCGGAGCAGGCGAGGTTCCCAACCGCTCACAGATGGTCTCTGTAAGGGCGGGATGGGAATTCCCCGAGAAGATCTGCACACCCCGCATGGCTGATCTTTTGGAAGGTGGAAAATTGAAGGAGAAGAGAAGGAGAAGACGAGGGGAGGAAGAAGAAGAAGAAGAAGAAAAAGAAAAAGACGCTAAGAGAAAAAAAAGGTGAGCGGGTCCGGAGTTGCGGCTGTGGGCGGTCTGGACTGCCGTAGGACCCCACGCGGTTCTTATCGCGAGAAAGACCCGCGGAGATCGGAGGGACCTTTGGAATTCGTGTGCTCCTCTATCCTGCTCGAAGGGGAAAAGGTCAAAATGCCACAGTATCCCGAGATTCAAGGGGGAGGCTCACTGATCGTTGCTTGGCAGGTCAAGAACAAGCATGTGTTGGTTGTGGGTGGTGGAGAGGTGAGTTGACCAGACTTTAGAGCTATCCATGCTCTGTATATCAACTCTAAGACTCGGAGAATGTGGACATGACTGACTTCAATTCCCATACAGGTTGCTGCAGGTCGTATCCTGCTCGCCCTCAATGCCGACGCCCGAGTAACAGTCGTCTGTCCCGCCACCGGCCTCAACAAGGAGGTTGCCTATCGCGTCGCCGAGAAACAAGTCACCCATATCGATCGCAACTTTGAACCAAGCGACTTGGATTCAGCTGATATGGTGCTATGCGCTATTGATGACCCAGAGGCTTCGACACAGGTCTGGAAACTATGCAAGGAGCGTCGAATCCCGGCGAATATTGCGGATGTTCCGCCCGAGTGTGACTTTTACTTTGGCAGCATACACCGTGATGGGCCGCTGCAGGTGATGGTCAGCACCAATGGCAATGGTCCAAAGATGGCCAATTTGGTGCGCAAGAGAATTGCCGAAGCTTTGCCGAGCAATATGGGTGCTGCTATTGAGAATGTGGGCAAGCTACGGAGGAAACTGCGCGAGGTAGCGCCTAATACTAATGAAGGACCCAAGCGGATGAAATGGTGAGTTTGGAGACTGGGACATCAGCCCATCTATACAGGCTTAGAGAAACAGCGCTAATTCATGTCAGGATGTCGGGGGTCTGTGAATCATGGAGCTTGGATGATCTGGTTGGAATGACCGAGCAGGATATGGACGGGCTGCTCTCCCATTACCAGGCAGGCGACATTCCACCCCTCCTGGAAGTACGAATGAAAAATTCTGTAGAGCGGGTTTGACACGAATAAAATTTTTGCGTCTTATCAGTACACAGTTATGTCATCTCTAGAAATTTAGGAAAGAAGATGCTGGGGGAAACAGGAGAATGGGGATGAAGAGAGCAGGAAGAGAAAAGGGTGCAACGCCTGGATGACCTGTAAATCACAAAGTCCAGGCGAGGATATCCCAAAATGAAAAGAGCAATAAGGAATACAAAGCCGCCATCAATGGGTTGCCTGGCTGTCTCGGCGCGAACCTTTTTGAGAGACGGAGCTCCGCGGGCTGATCGGAGCATCCAACGGGTTGGACGGAGCAACGCCCAGGCGGACTTCGCCGATCCGACGGAGAAGACCCTGCAAGGCAACGCGGATCTCCGGGTTAAGATCACGGCTGAGCAGTTCCACTCCAAGCGGGTAGAAGGTCTCGATATGCTTGTCGAACCCGTCCTGAGGGAAGTTGTTATAACCGTCAATAACATCCACCACCACGGGGCGCCAGGCCACAATGTTGCGGTGTTGGCTCTCTTCGTCGAGGCGGACAAAGCTGCGAATGATATCGGCACAGAGTCTAGAGCACGCGCTGGTTAGGAAAAGACTTGCTTTTGTATAGGGGAAGAAAGTCATAAACTTACGGAATGAGAGCGGCCTCGGTCTCGGCGCGACTGCTCTGTCTCTCCTGTCGCTCGTCATGATACATCCGGAAGAGTATATGGACGTAGGTGGCAGCACTGCCACTCTCTTGCTTCAATAGGTTGGGTGGCTGCTTCATGAATCCCTGACGCCAGAGCTGCATGCGGAGATCCTTGTCCTCGTTGAACTTCTTGGCAAACTGATAACTCTTCTTCAACAGGCCCATCAACCGCAACAGCTCGTGACTGGGAATCTGAGCATAGACATTGTCGTTGGAGAAGAGCTCGTGCACCGTCTCGATCATGAGCAGCTGCAAAACGCAGTTGGTGATGATCCGGTTGAAGAAGCGACGACGCGCGGCAGTGACGGCAGCAGGTTGGTGCTGCGAGTCCGTCTGGGGACGATAGTCCTCAAGCTCAGCACGGGCTTCACTCTGGGCGGGTGGGTCGCTGTCGTCCTGGAGAGAGGCGGTGCTTTGAGATCCATTCGCATGTAGCGAGTCGGGAAGCTCGCCCGAAACTGCATCAGACTGGGCAACGTCACCGTTGGTGGTGGCCAGGGCAGGCGTGTCAGTCAATTTCGACATGGATGCCGCCGCCGTGAAGAGCTCATAGGCGGTTGTCTTGGTGAAGAGCTCGACAAACGCTCCCACGATCTGAGTCCAATGTTCCTCTCGGAACTTGGAAACGTTTTGCAGGATTAGCTGTTGCAGACAGTTGCTGCCAATTCGAGCAATCGTGTCATTTTCTTGACAGATACACAGCGTCAGCAATTCCAAAAACCGACCCAGCATATACTCCAATGACTCAAAATAATGAGTGAAGAGAGTGATCATGTTGCGCAACGCTTGGATCATAGTTGTGGACAACCAGACTGAAAGGTCTTCGTGATTAGGAACCTTGGACATTTCAGACTTGGACTGCAGAACGACGAAGATCGGGCAAAGCAGTTGTCTCCAAAGAACATCCCAGAACTCCCGAGGAAAGTCACCGCCATGTCGAATCAGAGTATCAAACAGATAGGTCAAGGCGCGGGACCGAACCTCGAGGTCATCGCCGGTCATCAATACATCCTGGAAAGCGATGAGAATGGGATACCAGAATTGCTCCTCTTGCGACTGGCGAGTGAGCTGCTTGGCAAGGTTGGTCCCTTCCTCTTGGAACTGTGGGGCAGTACCGCCGCGGTGGGAAAGCGGGCACTCTGGAGTGCGTAGCATCTTGGTGACTGTAGACTTGAGCGTCTCGATTGCCTGTAATGACTTCTTCTGGAATTTGGAGTTCTTGGAAAATTCAGTCAAACAAACGATCAGATCCGCAAAGGCACCCTGGGTGATCACAACCCCAAAGCGAGTATTATAGATTTGGGTGACATGATCAAAGGCCATATTCACAATTCCCTCTGTATCAAGTAATTAGCTGGTGCATCACACGAAGGAGATAGGACAAACGGGACGAGAGCTTACCATAGGGTTCACGGGCAGCAACGGTGAAAACACCAAACATGGTCTTCCATCCGGACCGGATGTTATCACCACGCGCCTGAATCATTTGAATCAGACAGCGGAGAATCATGTCCTTGACGGCAGCAGTAGTACTATTTGCCATCACATGCTCAAATGGCTTGAGGAAGTCCTTTTGGAACTTGAAACCAGGCAATTCTCCAATCTCCATAAAGCGCATCGATAGTTGCCGTAAAGAGTCCAGCGCGAAGAATACGACGGTTGTATTGGAGTGGCAGCCAACCTGATTGAAGTGCTGGCCTAGAACCTCCCAAATCTTGGACCACTCGATCCTGACACGAGTCATGTTGTAGTAGCTGATTTCAACCAGCTTCTGCAGACTGTACGTGCGAGGAGAGTCGCTGTGTCCCGAGGACTGAATTTCTTGCCAGCTGACCGCGCTCAAAGCCCGCACAAAGTCGATGATAGCCTCATGCGACAGGTTTGCGGTGTTGGTGAAGATCCGATCCACGCCACGGACCATATCGGCAGATCGGCTTTCCATGGCGATCTCCATGCGGAAGGCCGAGGGTCCACCAACTGATCGTGGTCGAGGTCGTCTGGTTGACTGCATGGACTTGCGAGAGGCAGTATCGGAGGACGCCGTGGGTACTCGTGAGACATCAGGCAGAGAGCCTTCATCCACACCATCACTCAACAGCTGCAATCGGTCAAGCTGGCTGACGCAGGTCAAAATCTCTCGCCACGAGCCCCGAAGGCGATTTCCTTCAGTGAAAGCAACGTCAAGCAGCGCCTTCAAGGCTTCCACGTTCTTTGGCATCATTTCACGAACGTTGGCCAGGTTGGTAAATTTGGCCAAAGCGGTAACAAAGGCGACGCGAGGGGTGTCCAGATCAAATTCGCAGCTGATCCGAATGGCCAACTTGAGGCCTTCCATGCAAAGTCGGATCGTCTCAAGGTTCTGAGTATCTTGCATAGGGGCTGACAAACCAGACAAAAAGGACATCCAGGTGACATTGAACATTGACCCAACGTGGCGAACCGAAGTAGCGGGAATGAAGCGAGACAGCGCATCACGGACGGCTGTCTTGCGCTGAGCTCGAATCAGAGAGCGGTACAATTGCTCGGTCTTGTTGGCCATTTCCTCGGACGCCTGTGCATACTTCTCCCCTTGGATGTCTCGACCAACGGTAGCAAAGACTTGACCAGCTCGAGTCGCCAACCCGGTGGGAGCAGAAGTTGGGATGCCCAGATTGGCAGCATGCTCTCGCTCGGTGTCAAGGACAATCTCGTTATTGGCGATTTCGTCGTAGATGGAAATGAGATACTCAGTTGGCAGATCCTGGTTGTCGTTGATGCCGCGGTTATTCTTGATAAAGTCCTCCTTGGTCATTCGGGGACCTTTCATCTTAGAGCTGTGCTGATCGGTGTTGAGCATGATGACCGAGTACGACAGCACATACGCCGTGTCTGCATTAGCAAAGGCATTGGGGTTCTGAGTTGTGTACCGTTCGGCAAACTTGAGCATGAAACGATCAATCTTTTGCGCCTCGCCGGGCAGACGGAAGTGCTGCAGGAAAGATCGAAGAGCATCGACAAACCGCCGTTTGGTGAAATCCATCTGGTCGACGAACTGATGCATGATGGCGATGTTTTCGGCGTCGCCTTCACCCAGGTACTCGCCGAGCATAGCCTTATCAAGTCGATCACTGCGCAGCAGGAAGCTGGCAATGTCCTCGGGGGTATCCGAACGGATGAACCCTTCCGAAAGCAAGAGCTTAATACCGCGCTTTGGCTTGAAATTGAAATGTTGAATGGCGTTCATCATAGCGATCTTCCGCTGCTTGACCTTCTCAATCTCGTTCGGGTCGTCTTCGGGGACAGGGGTAGATGGGCCAGTGCCTGCGTCGCTAATCTCGGGCCGTGGAGATATGAGGACATTGGTATCCAGGGATTCGCGAGAGTTGTCCATAGACTTGGTCGCCCCCAGTGACTGAGCAGCGGCAGCAGCGGCAGCAGCGGCGGCTTGATCGTCCAGACGTTGAGAACCCCAGTTGTCCAGAGACCGAAGCATCTCTACAAGACATTCCACAGCTTGGTGCTTTAGAATGTAATCTGAAGGAATGTTAGGGGCGGTCGGCTGTGGAGGTGGTGTGATGTTGGCGGTTGTGAACGACGGAGGCAGAGTTCCACGCTGGCGCCACTCAGCTCCAATGGTAGTCATCTTGGTATGATGGTCCTGGAAATATTGTTGCTGCGAAGCAGTAGTCGTCACTGGCAAACTCGAGTACCGCGAGAGTTGCTCGACGATATTCTGGAAGATGTTCTCCAACGCCGTTCGGTCACAGTCGTAGTTGAGATAGATCTCCACCAGCGCACGAGGATCACCACCCAGTCGTTCCAAGACTTCCATGAAGTACTGCTTCTGGAAGGAGGGAGCAGTTCGCTTTTCCAGGATAGCCAGGTAGATCTCTTTAAGGAACACCTCCAGCTCTTTCTTCATCATAACCCTCATGTCCTTTAGCATCAGCCAGAAAATTTCGCAGCAAACCTTGAAGACATGGGGAACAGAGCTGGAGCCGTTTCGGCTGAGACTTAGACAAAGGTGGGGCCGCACGGCCTGGAGAAGTGTCATGGCTTCGGTGCTGGATGAGCTGCTGTTCTTGATTGCAGCAAGAGGCGAGGTGAAGGTGGTGATGTGGTTGTTAATGAGATAGTGGATGAGGTGCAAGGAAAGCAGCTTCGACCGCATGTTTTGGGACTTGATATCTTGTTGCTGATCATGGCCAAGGACCTTATGGCTCAGTTTACACAATGCACGGAATACCAGGAAGGCATCCTTGACGTAGACCTCATCAACGTCATCCTCGGTCGAACTGTCATCTTCTCTGTCCTCGGGGATGCCCGACATCGATCGAGCGGTGTTGGACCGAGCCATTTTGGCACGAGTGACCGTAGTCGGCGCATTATCGTTGACAGAAGTCACCTCCTTGGGCGACTCGAAACTCTGCAGAGTAAGCTTCTCCGAGTTGGGCTCTTTGCTGACTGGTTGGTCTGATTGATCCCCTTGGTCTCCTTGATCGACCGCAGATACAGAGGCAACTTCTGAGGTTTGGCCCTGGTCACTGGCTGACGTATCTAGACTGGCGCCGGTGACTTTGTCAACCTCCCGGCTCCTGAGCTCTTTCAGATCCAAACGGATTCGGACTCTGTCGAAGACCGTGCTCACCATCTGGGTAAGCGAGCCCTGTGCAATTTGTTGATTCTGATTCGACTTGGAGTAGATGAAGATATTATAGATCTGGCGGACTGCTTTCAGGAGACCAGCTCCATGCACCACAATCTTGTCATTCAGCACAGCAGCCAGCAGGGATTTGATAATCTGCTGCTGGATCTCGTTGGGGGTCGCCTCATTCTCGAAGCAGTCACAAATCGCGTCAATGGCTCGTTCGATAAGGGGTGGTTTCTCGGGCGTAGCTTCGCTTTCGGATTCGGCAGAGGGGAAGGCAAAGTAGGAGTATGTTATGAGCTTGCCAATGCAGTCGAGCGCGGTGACCTGGAGTGGAATGCTGAGAGCCTTGCTGGCCAGGTGAAGGGGGCGGAAGATGAGCTCGGGGTCGATAGGTTGCCCATCCGACTGCCTGACATTGGCCAAGGCTACTTGAACCGAGTCAACTAGCTCTTTGCTTCGTCGGGCTTCGCGGGAGGCACCAATGGCGTCCAGAGCAGTCACGATGAAAACGGTCGAGCTGACCATTGTAGACCGATGCGTCGCAAAGGTAGCCGTCGTTGAGCGCGAGTCGGAGCGCATTCGAGCGTCTGGGGGCGCATTGCCGTCGGTTGGCTCGGGTTCGTGAATTTCGGGAGGCGCGACATCAGCCCGCTGCTGCTGTTCGACATGCGCACCATTGGTGTTCTCCTCCATTATATCCTTGGGCGGAACTTCGGGCTTCACTTCATCCTCGTCGTCTCGTTCGCTTGCTGCCTGCTGCAGGCCTTCGGCTTCGTTTTGTTTATCGTCTCCTTCCTGCTGGTCTTTTTGAATTTCCCGCTCTTCCTGCTCCTTTACTTCTTGCAAGTCTGCCTTTCCAGACACAAACGCCGGCTTGTCCGATGTCAACATTGGCGGAGCTTCGTGAGCTTCTTCCCTAGTTGTATCCACGGAGGCCTGCTCGGGTTCGGGCGTGTCGGCCGCGGGATGGTGATTCGGCTCTAGGCCGGGATCGACGTCCGCCATGGTCAAAGAGACTCCGGGCGGAGCTATCAGATCAAAGCTGAAGCATGCGACGGGAAAATAACAGCAAGGTGGGCAGCGTTTGGGCCTTGCGAGGATTCTCGCCGGTATGATTATTGTTTCATACGGGGATGCGTGGTCTTCTCCCAATCGGGACTGGGCGAAGCTGAGTCAGCACAGAGTGGAGGCCCCCTCGGAGCGCGGGAGTCCAGCCTGTTGGTCCTCACGTGACTCGGAAGAGGCCGCTCACCGGGAACCTTAGAAGCTCAACAGAAAAGTTCCTGACCTTTAGAGGCCATCTTTCTCACCCCCAACTCCCTCATCCCCGGCTTTTCACCGTCTCCCCCGCGCCGGAACTTCTGTGTTTCTGTGATCTTTGTGTCGAGGGACCTTCTTGTTGTACACATACTCCGGCAATTCGAGCTCAACATGGTTGCTGCCGCTGTCCGGATGCGCACTCCGAGTGCCATGTTCATGTCTCGAGGCGCCGCCTCTATGCGGCGCCCTCAGGTCTCCTACAAGTTTCAGGAGGTCATCCAGTATGCGCCTCTCTGAATCTTTATCCTAGTGATTAAATTGATACTGATGACCTTTCTACGCGCAGATCCCAATTGCCCGCCCTGTCAGCTCTTTCCCGCTTCTATGCCTCCAAGTGTATGACATCCAATTGATCCCATCCACCGCGCCCCAGTCGCCTTCGTCTAACAAATGGCTTTTGCTACTACAGCTTTCCCTCCCCACACCATCATCAGCATGCCGGCTTTGTCTCCCACAATGACCGCGGGAAACATTGGCGTATGGCAGAAGAAGGCTGGTGACGCCCTCCAGCCCGGTGACGTTCTTGTTGAGATTGAGACCGACAAGGCGCAGATGGACTTTGAGTTCCAGGAGGAGGGTGTTCTTGCGAAGGTCCTGAAGGATTCCGGTGAGAAGGATGTCGCTGTTGGCTCTGTAAGAATTTTCCCGAAATTCTCCGCGGAGGAGCTATTTTGCTCTCTCCTGACCATCTGTACGCAAAACAAACACTAACCGCTTTTTTTCCGTCTCTCCCTACAGCCCATTGCCGTCCTTGTTGAGGAGGGTGCCGATGTCTCTTCCTTCGAGTCCTTCACCCTGGCTGATGCCGGTGGTGACAAGGCCGCCCCAGCCGCTGAGCAGAAGGAGGAGCCCAAGAGCGCTGAGCCCTCCGCCCCAACCCCGGCTCCGGAGCCTGCCGCGCAGGAGCCCGAGACCTCTGGCGACAAGCTCCAGCCCAGCTTGGACCGTGAGCCCTCGATCAGCCCTGCTGCCAAGGCTCTTGCTCTGGAGAAGGGTGTCCCCATCAAGGCGCTCAAGGGCACCGGCCGTGGCGGTGTGATCACCAAGGAGGATGTTGAGAAGTACCAGTCCACTGCTGGTGCCGCCGCTGCCGGTCCTACCTATGAGGATATCCCCATTACTTCCATGCGCAAGACCATTGCCAACCGCCTCAAGCAGTCCATGGCTGACAACCCCCACTACTTCGTCTCCACCACCCTGTCCGTGACCAAGCTTCTCAAGCTGCGCCAGGCCCTGAACGCCTCCGCCGAGGGCAAGTACAAGCTCTCGGTCAACGACTTCCTGGTCAAGGCCTGCGCCGTTGCCCTCCTGAAGGTTCCCCAGGTCAACTCCAGCTGGCGCGAGGAGAACGGCCAGGCCGTTATCCGCCAGCACAGCACTGCTGACATCAGCGTTGCCGTTGCTACCCCCTCCGGTCTGATCACCCCCGTTGTCAAGAACGTCCAGGGTCTGGGTCTGTCCAGCATCTCCAACCAGATCAAGGACCTTGGCAAGCGTGCTCGCGAGAACAAGCTCAAGCCTGAGGAGTACCAGGGCGGTACCTTCACCATCTCCAACATGGGCATGAACCCCGCCGTTGAGCGCTTCACTGCCGTCATCAACCCCCCTCAGGCCGGTATCCTGGCCGTCGGTACCACCCGCAAGGTCGCTGTCCCCGTCGAGACCGAGGAAGGCACCGTGACCGAGTGGGATGACCAGATCATCGTGACTGGCAGCTTCGACCACAAGGTCGTCGACGGTGCCGTCGGTGGGGAGTGGATCAAGGAGCTGAAGAAGGTGGTCGAGAACCCGCTCGAGCTTCTGCTGTAAAAGCAAAACAAACAGCGGAGAACAGCTGCAGCGAAGCGATCTGCTTCTCGTGTGCCAACCCTTTTTCCCATACAATGTAATCTGTATTAAAATGGTTTCCCTTTAGACCACCATAGGTCCTTTTTTGTGTTTGGTTTTAGCAACTTCAATCCCATTTTCATATGTCCGCTATTGATTGAGTTTCTGTAGATCTAGGATCTATACCATTTCTCGTGGCATCCGCTTGATAGATCTGCCTGATGTTTCAACCGTAGCGAGATGCCTCCCAAGTAGAAGGGGAAACTGGCTACCGCCTATTCCTAATGACGTGGTCTTCCATTGTCTGTTGTGCACCTCCCGAGATTCGTGACCGTGGAAGCCCGGTTCGTCCTATTTTGCCTCTGCCATTTCTGGGCCTAGTTTCAAATTGCTCCCGGAGTTCCAGGGGCGGAGATCATAGCTTTCGATTCAGAGGTCGATAAATGTTATCGAAATTATTGAAAATGTAAAACGTACGCCCATGGATCATTTCTGTGCCTCTTCCAGACATATTCGGGAATCTTTGCCATCCTGTCTCCAACCTTGAAGATGTGTATTGGTGGTCGGGTGTGGTGCTTGGTCCACAATATATACGTCTGCAGGGGGGCCACCTAGCTCCAGATACTTTGACCTGAGCAGCCGGGGCTATACTGTGATTTGAGCTTTTAGCTTATAGAAACCCCGCAAACGTACCGGTCGATACCCTATATATTCTCAGTCCATAGATCAATCGATCCTAAACCTACGTGGCTCGAATCGAGGCCCAGGGCTCCGTTCGCAACTCCTCAGTAAGCGACCCCTAACGGACGTGCACACGAGTGTCGCTCTAGTTACAGTATCGGTAGAGGGTGGTCTAATTTAAGTTGAAAGCTTATCGTAACTAATTAGACTTGTATTTCTTCTTACTGAAGGCTCAGTTATGTATGGAGAATATATGGTTGTCTTTGATTCTTGACTGTACCGCCAAGTCGAGCCCCGAGCCTGGCTGGAAGCATCCACGTCATGTGGCTGCAGGTCACAGCCAGAGCTTTTTCACGTGTTCACGGCACGAGGAATGGTCAAAGTGGTTGATCTTGATCAGTTGAAATAGAGGTATACGAAAGTATTTTGTTATATTTTACTCAAAGAATATAAAAGCGATAGATCTGAACTTACCAATCTCCGGAGAGTAAACATGGGGGTGGTCTGATTGCCAGTCCCGTGGCTCCACCCAACAACCTTTGTTGGCCTGGTCAAGCATCAAATCAATGACGTGATGTCACGACCACAGCTTCCAAGGTTCTATGGCCACTGGCGGGCACCACTTAAATCCTCATTCCTCCCCCCCATCTCTCCCCCCTGATCATCACTGCGCTTCTCCTGTTGGTAAGGAAATAACTTTTTTTTGTTTGCTCTTGACGAACGTCGCTGACGACCTGGTCCACATCAGAACTACCGCTATCTATTCCCTCTATCTCTCTCTCCTACACCTGCATTCCACATCATGTCTTACGCCGACGCTGCTGCCAAGGGCCCCAAGCAATCCCCCGAGGAAGTAAGTACTCTACTGCTAGTGAAACGAGATGGACGACGAGCTAACCAGATCCCCACAGGCGTAAGTTTGTACCCGACACATACCTGTTCAACCGATATAGCTCCTGATACTACCTCTACATAATCAGTCGCGCCCCCACCCTCGGCGGTATCTACAAGGATGAATCCGAGAGCACGGCCTCCCTGATCGACGTCGACTCGCCCCACGTCCAAGCCGTCGACCCGGACTTCCTCAACCAGGAGGTCAAGACGACCACCCAGGCGGAGCGTCTTGAGCGCGAGGCCCAAGACGCAGTGGCCAAGCGTGCGCAGGAGGAGTCTGCGAAGAAGGCCAAGGCCCGCAAGGCCAAGAGCCGTGGCCTGGTGGCTAACTCGGATAACCCTGTCTTCATCACGAATGCCGTCGTGGCTACTCTTGTCGGTGCGGGCTTGGGCTTCGGTGCTTATCGCAAGCATGTCGAGGGCAAGTTGTCGTGGGAGGTGGTTGGTCTGTGGTCTGGTGCTGTTGGTGCCTTTGGTGTGGTGGACTACTTTGTGAGCAAGTGAGTGACCGTTAAACCCGATGATTGAAGAAACGCTGCGAGAGAAGGGTGGGGTTGCTAATCTGTTTTTTCTTTCTTTCTTTCTTGTAGATGGTTCCTCCAGAACAAGTACCCTCCCAAATAAGCGGGACTTGCGAGATACGAGCGACAAGACATGGTCAATTGCCTTGCTGGATTCTTGTGTTTGTGTTTTTTTTGTTTCATATACCATCCCAGCTCTTTGTGAGATTCGAGGTTCTGCATCCCTGGTTGTCTGTGTGATTTTGGGCGAGAAACGGCGTCCGGGCTGGAAGTGTCTGGCTGCAGTTAGTAGCTTCAACGATATCATTTTCGAATCATCTTGGTGCCACTATGTAAGAAAGGAGTAGACAACGACTGGCTCGAGATAGTCAACTGTAGTAAATGATTTTCTTCGCAAGATGCTCTCCACCTGACAGGGCTGCAGTCTGTACCTGTCGGTGACGTACGTTGACAGCTCCAAGCTGCCAAGGCGGTGAGCGGCCTAAACACCAAGCTGGCCTTGGATTTGGAGACGTGGTGGATTCCATGAAACAGCCCATACTTGCTTGATCTCTCACAGGTGGCCAGTCTGCTGGATATTCTGGTCGTCTATGTACAGCATCGAATATATTCGACCATCTTGAAAGATCGTTCCCTCCTGCGCTGTGAACCTCCGACCTTGAACCTGGCGCTCGCCGCCCTATCGACAACATGGTGTGGTTCCGTCTCCATGCACCTCTCTAGAGGATACCTGCTGATCAGACTAGAATTCTCTCTTCAACTCTGCCCTGAAGCAGTCATCTGCTGTCCGCCGCGATCTCGATCAATTTTCTCAGTCGCCCGCTACTTCTTCGCCCGCTCTCCAAGGTGTGTTCATCATCGTCCCGTCTATGAAGGCGCACTCAATTCTCATACTAATCGATCTCCTAATACAGGCCAGATTGCCGCCTCACTTTCCTCGCTCTCACGCACCGTCGAGGACTATTCCGCCCTATCGAAAAAGGAGTTGATCACGGAGAAGCAGGAGAAAGCCTTTGAGCGAGTCAAGAACTTCCGCACCGAATTGGCCGACTACCGGGCCCAGTTTGAACGTCTACGTAAAGAACGAGAGGAAGCGGTATGTACCAGCCATGAATCAGATTCGGGCCTCCTTCGTAATTGGGGATTTACTGACCCCTCGCGCTAGCAATCGGTCACCAACCGCAATGAACTCCTTGGTCGCCGTCCCCACCACGCCGCCACCCCCGAGAACCCATATGCCCAGTCCGCTCTCCCCAGCTCCTCGGCCTTTGCACCCTCATCTTCTGGCCTGAGTTTCGGCGCTGGCCCCAACAATTATACTCGGGAAACCCACGCCCTGCGCGAACAATCATTCTTTGCGAATACCCACACCCAGCTTGACGACTTCCTCGATCGGGGTCGCGCAGTGTTGGCGGACCTCGGTCAACAACGGGAGGTGTTGAAGGGGACTCAGCGCCGACTATATAGTGTGGCCAACACGTTGGGGGTCAGTGGGGATACCATTCGGATGGTGGAACGGCGGGCTCGGCAGGATAAGTGGATTTTCTGGGGGGGGAGTGGTGATTTTCTTCTTGTTCTGCTGGGCTGTGCTGCATTTCTTGCGATGAGCAAGGATGGGCTATTATGTGATGTTATTTCTTTGTATTATTTTTTTTTCTTTGGTCCTTTTCTCTTGGATTTGTCTTTCTTGTTCTTTCTGGGTTGGAGTGGGTGGCTTTGTGTTTTCATCAGCGATGGCGTCTGTTCTATAACCTTTTTTTTTGTTTTCTCTTCTTCTCGTGGGCTTGGACTTCTTGTTGGGGTACTTCCATGCGACTGGGCCCTCGGTACATAGCTCGGGGCCAGTCAATGGGACAATCCAGTGCAGTCGCACCCTAAGATGCCGAGATAGTTGATCCTGTAGGATGTATAAACGACCACAATTTGACTCGGAGCATCCACAGTCACGATGACCCATTCCAGCACATGCTAAATACGATCTCGCTACTTTGGTTAGTCTCCCTCCACCTTTTCGGTGTGCTCATCAAGCTCCATAGTAAGAAATGGGCCGAGCATCGGGAGGTCGGCAGGGGCCTCCCCCCAAAAAGCGTCGCCAAAAAAAGTGTGGTCCCGTGTCCGTCCGCCTTTTGCTGGCTTCTCTTCCTCGTCCTCTTCCGCTCTCTTCCTTCTCTTCCCTCCATCCACCCACATCCTCCTCCAGACATCCCATCATGTTTGCCGCTCGTCAGACCTTCAACCTCTTCCAGAAGCGTGCCTTCTCGGCCTCCGCTAGCCAGGTATGCCAATTGCTCTCTTCTTTCTTCCAATTCCTGATCCTGCATGGACGATCGCACTCTTCCTGATTCTTCCGACCACATTGCCATACCAGCGCTAACCGTCCCTGCTTCCTCCATATCATAGGCCTCCAAGGTTGCCGTCCTCGGTGCTGCCGGTGGCATTGGCCAGCCTCTGTCTCTCCTGCTGAAGCTCAACCCCCGTGTTTCCGAGCTCGCTCTCTACGATATCCGTGGTGGACCCGGTAGGTCAATTGTGTTCTTTCTTCTCTTCCCCAACAGTCTCAATTGCGATTTGCGCGACAGTCGCAACTTCTGAACTGGACCGTGGACTCGGTGCTAATTCTCGTTTTCTTTCTCATAGGTGTCGCTGCTGATCTGAGCCACATCAACACCAACAGCACCGTCACCGGCTACAGCCCCGATGCTGCTGGTCTCCGTGAGTGCCTCAAGGACTCGGAGATCATCCTCATCCCCGCTGGTGTCCCCCGCAAGCCCGGTATGACCCGTGATGACCTGTTCAACACCAACGCTTCCATCGTCCGTGACCTCGCCAAGGCCGCTGCCGAGGCTGCCCCCAAGGCCCACGTCCTGGTCATTGCCAACCCTGTATGTTTTTTTTTTTACCCCCTCTGCCATTTTGCAAATCTGCGTCTAGGAACTGGTTTGCTGACAATTTCTTCTCCCCGACTAGGTCAACTCCACCGTCCCCATCGTCTCCGAGGTCTACAAGGCCAAGGGTGTCTATGACCCCAAGCGCCTGTTCGGTGTCACCACCCTGGACGTCGTCCGTGCCTCCCGCTTCATCTCCCAGGTCCAGAAGACCGACCCAGCTGGCGAGAAGGTCCCCGTCGTCGGTGGCCACTCCGGTGTGACCATCGTCCCCCTGCTGTCGCAGTCCAACCACGCCTCCATCGCCGGCGAGACCCGCGACGCTCTCGTCAACCGCATCCAGTTCGGTGGTGACGAGGTCGTCAAGGCCAAGGACGGTGCTGGCTCTGCCACCCTCTCCATGGCCATGGCCGGTGCTCGCTTCGCTGAGTCCCTCCTCCGCGCTGCCCAGGGCGAGAAGGGTGTCATTGAGCCCACCTTTGTCGACTCCCCCTGTACAAGGACCAGGGTATCGACTTCTTCGCCTCCCGCGTCGAGCTCGGCCCCAACGGTGTCGAGACCATCCACCCCGTCGGTCAGGTCAACGAGTACGAGCAGAAGCTCCTCGATGCCTGCCTGGTTGACCTGAAGAAGAACATCCAGAAGGGTGTTGACTTTGTCAAGGCCAACCCTTAAATGACTCCCACCCCCTCCTTTTTGTGTATAACTACCTCTTTATTGTCTGGTTCCCGGTTTTCCGTCCTGCTACGGCTGCTACGTGTCCACGGGGAACCCACGGAACGGAATCTGTACTTTTAGATCGATATGACCTGCCATAATCAATATCGGTCTAATCCGCCGTGAACATTTGCATCCTAGTAATACACGTATGAAAGTTTCGTTTTCTAGACATAGTTAATGAGTAGAAACTAGTTACTTAACGGCACTATCCAGCGCAAATATGTCACTTTCGTAGACCAGAGTTAGGTAGATTCGATTGGCAATATCCCACGAAATATCCTTAATAGTCCACCATCTCGATTTCAAGCAGACCGTTAAAGAAAAGCAAAAAGCAAAAAAACTAAAAAGACCGAAAAACAATAACAGAGTAATAATAAACAATTTCAATTCTCAAAAGTTCTCCAGAATGCATAGCTGTCGTGGACTGGACCAGACCTAGATCTGTTTCAGTATCTGTGTCTGTGTCTGTGTTTCATTGGACTCATTGCATTGCCTATTTCAATCTCCATGCTCGCCTTATTCTCCGTTCTGCCTGGCTGTGTAGATGCCAAAACTCCACGTAATAGGAAAAAATATGATCAAGAAATGGACAAGAGATAAGAGGAGGAGGAAATAAACAAAAATGGGAAATAGGAATAAGTGAAAAGGAAAAGGAAATGGGAATGGAAATGTGATGGGAATGCGAATGGAATAACTGGCAAAATTGTCAATATCGCCTTGCTAATACCGATACCATGCTTGTCCTCCAAATAACACTCTGTAAGCCTACCCTGGACTAGCATGGCCTAGTCTTGCTAGCTTAGGTGTAACTACGCATCGCGTCCAGATAACCCGTTCCCCCACGGAGATCTTGGTCGAATGTCTCGGCTACTTCGAGCACGCGCTTGATATGGTCCATTGAGAGCGGGGAGCGTTCGTTGACGGCGAGGGCTTGGGCTGTGCGGACGGAGTTTTTGATCTGGATGGTGGAGATGGGGGGTTAGCGTTGTGTTTGAAGTGGAGGTGATGCGAGTAAGTGATGGAAGATTGTGGACTGGGGCTGGTCTTACCTGACGACCGTTCAATGTATGCCGCGAAAGTAAATCGTAGTCATTCTCGGTAAAGGTAGCTATCTTGACTCCCTCGATGGCTCGCACTCGTTCCAGGAACATCTTCCAGATACTGCGCTTCGCTTTGGCGTTGAGATCTCCGTACCGCAGTGCGACGTGGATACGCGATTGAAACGCATCGTCAAAGGTTTCAACCCGATTCGTCGTTAGGAATAGGATGCCCTGGAAATACTCGAGTAGACGCAGGAAGATGCTGACCAGCGCGTTGCGGTGGATGTCGTGGATGGTGCGCTTCTCGAGGAAAATGTCTGCTTCGTCCAGCAGCAGGACAGCGCCCCAGGAGTGTGCGATGTCGAGGATCTTGTTTAGCTCGGCTTCCAGCGTGCGCGAGTCCGTGCCTAGTTCGCCTGCGCTGACCATGTACAGTGGTCGGCGGAGGAGTTCTGCGATTCCTTCGGCTGTGAGTGTCTTGCCTGTTCCTGGGGGCCCGTGTAGCACCGCGACCAGGCCCTTGCCCTTGCCTTGGATCACGTCGTCGATGTTCTCGGCTGCGTGGAAGGTGTGGGACTCTACCAGGGCCTTGACGATGGATTTCTGGTTACTCGCCAGGACGAGCGAGTCAAAGGCATCGGCATCCCATTCGATATCGCTGATGCCGGAGATGGTGAATTCCAGCCAGAGCTTCTCGCTAAAGGCAAAGCCCAGCACGACTGGACTGGCGATGAGGAGTTCCTCTTCTGTGAACTCGCGCTCCTTGTTGCCGGCTGCGTCGCCCTCGATCCGGTCCATCTTCTCCTTGTGGATCTCATTGCCATTCTCGTCGACTTCTACCTCGACGACTCGTGGGGTTCCATCTTCGTCTTCGATCACCTTGTAGACGGTGCGTGGCGTGTCGGACGAGCAGCCTCGGTCAGAGTCAGACTCGGATCCACCACAGCAGCATCCCTCACTGCCATCGTCTTCCAGGTCGCTGAGGCCGGCCTCGGATCCCTCGAGCAGATCGGGATCTTTGGGCCGGACCGTGCTGATGGGGTAATTGGGGTTAATGCGCCGGTGGATGGCCGGGTCGATCATGACGCGTCCATTAATATTGACCTTGATAATGAAGGAGCGCTTCTTCTTGTAAAAGCCCATCCCCTTGTGGAAGCGGTAGTTCATGCCGCGCAGGGACACGAAGCGTTTGCCGCGCTCGACCAGGCGCGATCGTAGCGCTTCGGCGTCGCGGTGGTACTGCAGGGGATAGCAGGCTAGACTGGTGATCTTGCGGGCGCCCTTGAAGGATTCCACCTCGGCGGACATGGTGCCAAAGCCAAAGTCCTTCCCGTCGTATTCGAGGTACCGACCTTCCACGCTATACCATTGTCCACGCATGAACGAGGACTCTTTGATGGCGTATTCGATCTTGAAGGCGCGGGGCTCGTCCGAGTTGCCATACGTGGGGGTATATGCGATCGTGTTGGGTTTGAATAATGCCCACAGCAGGTCAAAGGTGATGGTGTTGGCCTCGAGCAGTGGGTAAAGAGTCTTCTTGATGTCGGCGTAGTCTGTGTCCAGGTACTTAACCAGGACTTTCAGATGCGCAGCCTTGGCTGCCGCAATTTTCCGCGCCTTCTTCTTCTTCTCACTGCGGGCCTGTCGCTTGAGGTCCTTCATATACTGGCGGGTCTCTTCCAGGTATAAGAACAGCATGTTGGGGTCGACAACGGCGGGCTCCTGCACCAGGCTGACGCCCTTGACGTTATCCATGACCTTGCCGAGGGCATCACGGAGGTGCTTGCTCTTGATGTCGACCACGGTCTCCAGGTACTTGTTTTCCCAGTTGAACTTGCGGCGCACGGTGAAGATGTACTGGTCCCAGCCGTCGGCGTCGGGGTCATCGACCGTTTCAGTGAGCTTGTAATTGTGAATAGTGCTATCCCAGACTGGTGTGAACATGCATAGTTAGTAATGATAAGGGGAAAAAAAAAGAAATAGAGAATATAATACTCGAGGAGGGTACTCACGCTGATCCACTCGTTTAAAGGCCACTTTCGATGCAGGCTTCTTCTTCCGCGATCGCTTCTCCCGTCGACCCTCGCCCAGCGAGTCCAGACCACCCAAACCATCGTTGGTTTGATCGCGCAGCCGTTTGGCTCGCTTCTGCTGCAGCTTCAGGCGGGCGACCAGCTTTCGCAGTGCCTTTTCGTCCGTCGGGTCCTCCTCTTCGGACTGACTGGATTCGGAATCGGCATCACTGCTGGACTCCGTGTCGGACTCCGACTGAGCCTGCTTCCGGGACTTGGTCTTGGACTTGGACTTCTTCTTTTTCTTCTTGTCGCGCTGAGCCCGCCGGGTTCGTGCCTTGCGGAGTCGCTGCCGCTTGCGATGGCCCGTGTCGGACTCGCTCGTGGGGGAGTCGGAGTCGGCATCATCCGACTCGGAGGCTGTTGTCGCCTCCGAGGAAGACGATGACGAAGAAGAGGATGAACTAGATTCTGTGGAGGAGTTTTCATCCTGCTGCAGCTTCTTCTTCTTCTTTTTGCTCTTTTTCTTCTTCCGTTTCTGCGCGTCGTGCTTGGGGTCCGGGTGTTTCTTGCACACGGCAGCTACTTTGGGGACATTATTCTCGGCGGGGGTGGTGGTGGTCGCGGCATCTTTGACGGAGACTTCGGGCGGTGGTTGGGTGCCGTTGACATTGTCCGCGGGGTCCACCTCGTGCTTCGTCTCGCCCCCGTCGGACGGTGGTTCAGCCATCGCGGGGAGGAGAAGCTTCCGGGACCGCTCCAGTGGGGACTTGAGTGGAGCAGTGGGACTAGCTCAACGTAAGAGGAGAGAGAGAGAGGGAGAGAGATGGAGAGAATGGCAAAGTGAAGGGGATAGAGATGGAGAGAGAGAGGAAGAAGAAGAGGAAGAAGAAGAGGAAGAGGAAGAGGGTCAGAGAATGGCGATGAGTAGAGAAGAATAAAAAGGAGGAGGAAGCAGAAACAGAAGAAGACAAGCAAAACAAAAGAAAAGAAAGCGAGAAACACGAGTTCAGAAAGAAAGGCGCGGTGGGTGAGACCGACCATTTAAAGCAATCCGTTCACAGTCCGACGAGGACGAGGAGGGTACTTTCTTCTCAACCTCTTTGAATTCTCCTCCGCTCCTCTCCTCTTTTCTCTTTCGTTCTCTCTGAACTTCCAATCCACCGCTGCAGCCTGCAGCCTGCAGCAGCTCCTGCTGCCGTGACCAAGGACCTCGTCGCACTACCAATCAGCAGTCCCCACGCCAGTGAGGCGATGCGTTGGCCCTCGTTTCTCGCTGGAGGAGCTCCGGATTGTTAGTGCTCGGCCTTGGGAGGACTAAATAAATCCTCAGCCTTGATCAGCCTTGATCAGCCTAGACACACTAGAGACACTAACCACAAGAGACAGTCGGTCTGATTCGCTGGAGTCCTGCGGCTCCGTGTTTGCTGATCGTTACACCGACTCTGGGAGGAGGAGATGACTCAACGGGGAGAAGTGATGCCTAGTTAACTTAACCAGAGCAGCCGAGAGGAGTCAAATGACGAGATGAGAGCAAGAACTGGCTCGATAGAGATGGTCATTCTTACCTCGAAATGGCTATGGTAGATGTACTCGGTCCGACTGTCCGTAGCGATGCGAACTAACCCACGCATATAACTAGCGAACGAGTGACCTACAGTCGCTTCGCTATTCACGATTATACCATTTAATAATCTAACAACACATCATGATTCTCCCCCTTCCATGACCCCTGGAAAATATTATTATAATCTGGGGTCGGGGGACGCAAAAAAAAAAAGCAAGCAGCCAAGGCTGATCGGGGTTGGACCCCCGTTCTTTGGTTGGTAACCCACATAGGAACAGACATGATTTACCAGAAAGACAATGATCATCAAAGAATCTCTCCTCAAAGACCGTTAGAATACTGACTAATTGACTGTTGACTCTTTTAGTTCTCGATCTGAGGATGAGGCTGTGGAGGCGCAGGTCATGTGAGCCGATGGCCCCCCGGTTCCTGCCTCTTTCTGGTTTGTTGTTGTTTCCTTTTCTTCTTCTTTTTTCTTTTCTTCTTTTGACTCAAAACCACGACAGAGAGACATCTACTGCTGCTGCTAAAACCCGATCGATGCGTATCCTGCGTATGACCTACATCAATGGTACTTATGCATCAACAGCAGAATCCACCACGGAGACCACAGCGCCATCCATCACCAGTATCCTGAGCATCAGATATACTACTGCCCACCTTTCTCCAGCGTCCAGCTCCCCCCAGCTAACCCACGAGCAACCCCATTCACTAACCGGATGCGCTGACCCGTGCACGACACCAGTATCCCCTGGGTCCCCGGCAAGACCACATCCCCCCGTGTCGCAGACGGAGTCTGGAACGAAAATGTCTCGTACCTCCCCGTCTGGCGCTGGAAGCGAACTGCAAACTGCCCACGACCCGTGGCCAGTCCCGCATCTACGTGGGTCAAATTGCCTGGTTGAGGCGCTATGCGCCATTCCGCTCCTGCTGGGCCCATGAGCTGAATGCCCGCGGCATACGTGCTCAGTGCTGATGTTGGCCCGGTGGACCACCCGTGGGCATGCGAGATGCGTGCGTCGTTGCTGTAGGGCGCATAATGGATTGATCCGTCCGTGGAATACCCCTCAATGAAGGACGATTGGGTCATTCGCGCATCTTGCAGCATGAAGCCCCATTGCAGGCGCATGAGATTGAGCGCGGCTGCAGGTTGATCGGCGAGATAATGGGCTTGCAGTTCAAACCCGCCGATGAAGGGGGAGATGGTTTGGCCGGCCTCTGGGGCCGGGGCACCATAAGGACCCCAGCGGGACTGCAGCGCTTGGGAGATGATGCTGATTTGCTTGGGGGAGGAGGTCAAGTTAGCCTTGATCGCCCAGGCATTGCCATCCTGGGGGTGGAGGGTGGCCGTTTCATTGTCGCGATAGAATCCTGCCTGGTCGTCCCAGAGAAGCTGGTTGGCGGCTGTCTTAATCCGGGCAGCTATCTGGTTCCATGTGGTCGCTGTGGAGGGGTGATTGAGCTCCTGGGCTAACTTCTGGGCGTCTTGAAGTATAAAGTAGAGGATGGCGTTGGCCTCGATGTTCTGGATGGTAATCAGTTGGGCTTGCACCGAAGAGGGTGGATCGTTCAACTTACATGGCCTCCCATGCCAAATCGCAGCCAGTCCGCACTGGCAGTGACGTTGGCCAGACCAGTGTTGTCTACACTGGACAGGGCCCACTCGACGCCTCGCACATACTGATCCCAGTATCGCGCCAACCAGCTCTGATCACCCGAGAAGCGATACAGATACGACATGCCAATGAGACTGTGCAAATGGTAGGTATAGCTCACAATATCCATATCGGAGAACGGCTTTCCTGCGTACGGAAGACGGCCATTGGACTGCTGAAGAGCAAGCAGCGATTCGAGGCCCATCCGGATACTGTACAAATCCCCAGTACTAACGGCAATACTCTCGAGGGCGATGGACATATCGCCCGGCCACACCAGCCGATCACGCTTTGCTCCGTCGGTGATGGTGCTGGTGCCATTCGTAATTGTATAATTGTTCCACCAGGTTACGGTCTGGGGGAGTGTGATGTTATCAGAGGAGCTAACACTGCCTAGGTGGACCAATGCATTTCCATGCGCCGGGTCGATCGTGCAGAGCTGATTCGTGTATGCTCCGGCATACCAGATCTTGTTGATGAGTTCATCGTCCGAGTGGAACCATCCAGTGTACCCTCGGAGATCCTGCATAGGAGCCGCCAGGAACTGGACATGAAGTGACTGGAGAGACACGGTTGCGGTCGTGTTGCTCACAACGGTGAGGTAGCGGAATGCACCGCGCAGATACTTTTCATCTGGGGTATATTTCCCAGCGCCCTGACCGAGTGCAAACCATAGCGGAGTGTCTAGGCCAGCGTCGGCAGTGGCATCGCAGGCTTCACTGCTGATATAAAGACTGGACTCGGAGAATGTCACTCCTAGAAAGGCAGAGGAAGAAGAGGCAGATCCAACTTCTAGGGAGACTAGACCGGCCACGTTCTTCCCAAAGTCATACGTGACCGATGAGACGCCATGGAAAGTGGTATCCCCACTGGAGGTCTGTGTCAAAGCCTTGGGGTTGGTCACTGAGCCATTGACCTGATGAACGGCGACGGGAATCAGATCTCGTGAGGCTGGAGCTAAGATGTACTGCTCATATGGTACACCAGCTGCGCATGCTAGCGGTGCTAGCAACAACGGAGCCAGAAAATGCATGACAAGATTGGGGGACCAACAGGTTCTACCAAAAGAATCAAGTCAGACTTGACAAAAGGATGTATTATCTAGATACCGCACGGTATTTAAAGCACGAAACCCGACCGAGACCGAGGTAGTCATCGCGGGTTCTTCTCCGCAAGCATAATGCCGTTAGTTGAGATAAACCCGCGAGGGCTCATGTATGTCTCTCGGACGACATTGACCCGGAAGATGAGGAGAATCGAGCTGGCTAGGACCCTGTCGATCGATGCGTTGCTCATGAGGAGACTGATCGCTTCGGGTGATCAACACTCCGACCCTCCTGTGATGGAAACAGTCCAATGTGGGATGTGGGGGACTTTCTGCAGGAGCCCCATATTTCCCCGCCTCTGAGTTCTTCAAATACTGGATTCGTCGATGGTACGTGTTCTATTTCCCCGTTGATACTCCGGTTGCACGTATTGGCAGTCTTTAGTAGGAGTGGATGGTAGTATGGAAGTTCCTAACCCCTCCTGACTAGGCTGATATCTAGTGTGCCGTTGTGGGATATGCTGGCGCTGGGGTGGAATGGCATTCAGTATAGGTCAACGTCTCAATTCCGTTGATTCGATAATTGTGATACTAGTGACACCCAAGGCCAGGCTACCGTGAAAGACGGTCTCTGCCTTTGTGTCATTGGCGTTCCACAGGATTGTCGAAAAGACCATGGGCGAGAAAATGATTGAGTAGTCATCAAATAGGAGGAAAATTGCCGGACATAGCTAGCGCCAGGGAGCAGGCTTCTCAAAGGTGAGCCCGTATAGTATCTCGGAAATACTGTATTAACCTGCGTGTGGTGATCTGGAATTTGGTTAATGCACTAGCATCCGCTACCGAGAGATCATTTCAATTTTTGAGAGGTATCGAGGGCCAGTATGATACAAAGACTGGTATAAATTGTCATTATGCCCACAAACGCAGGAGATCAGTGCCATATGGGATATCCGCCTGGGCTGTGTACACTCATGATCCAAGATTAAATAGGAAGAGGCACATCTGAAGTACACTGACATTGGCAATATGTGTCGATTAATCGGGGTGTCAGCACTTGAATGAGTAGTCTACCGTTAATGTTCCTTGGAAACTGGGCTTGTCGTTCATCTTCCAGTTATTGAGCAACGTTGATGCCTTCTTTTGTACTGTAAGCAGCCATGGAAGCAAAGCGCCACAGCCGAAATGACATCAAACGTTTGAGGCACATGGTAAGGTTCTCAGAATTCCACATGGGGTTGTTCAAAGGCACCGGTTTTCCATTCAATAATGCAGACTGATGACACCCTGACCAGGAATAAACTCACGACAATCCTCTTTGTAAGGGAAATTACCATTCACAGCAACAAAACCCCACAGTGCAACCGTCAGGCGTGTTCCTGAGCCAAACAAGCCTTGCTAAGCTTTCTGCCCCGCTTCATGTACGTCATAGTTCAACCCTGTTCAGCCCTGTTTCAGGATCAAAAAGCCTATGATGACACAATAATTATAGAAATGGCCCGTATTCACTGGCTTGATTTATGAAAGACGAAGGGCATGGCTTAAGAGCACCACGACCCTGTATTTCGAGATATTCTTGCGATGGCATGACCGATGAGAGGTCCTATTCGCCTCTGATCCTACATTGCGAAGAATATTATGGGAAAAAGAGTGGCAAAGATTTATATACCAGGTTCTAAACAGAGCTTTACTTTGAGTATAACCTGCTAATAATACCTTTTGTGTTTTTACAGGTCCTGTGGGTCAATGACGACGCAAAAAGGGCCCATTAGCGGAAACAAGGCGATCATGATCAAGCCGTTTACACTCTGCGAAATGAACCTCTCCTTGAATCATTCTCATAACTTCGAGAACGAACAGTATCAGCATGAATAAGTTATATGCAAGGTCAAAATGTCTCCTCGTTTTGTTAGCTTCAGCGCCAGTAAAAGCGACTTTACAGGTGCGATGCTGTATTTAGACTGGTCGATGACGTCGGGACCCATGGAACTGGGACAGAACCATCAGTACGGCCGTAATGATGGCTTTCAGGGTGCGGCCCCCGACCGGAAACCCTTTATTGGACCTCTATTACGCATGACAATTTAGGCATCCGCACTCAAGTTGGCTGAATTATCTGCGGCAATGTCCTGAAATTATTATTGATCAGTCTGTGCACAAGTACCACCCCACTTTTAGCTCCGCATTAGGCCCTATACGTCACGAAGGCCGCGTCCCAGATGACTGTATTAAGTCACTGCACCGCCGTCTCTCCTGCGAGAAATATTTCTCAAAGATATACCCATGAGATAGCTGCACATCGATTCTGGCAACTGTATTCACGCCGAGAACTCCTAATAAAAATTAACCGCCGTGGTTGTCCATCACATCATGGCCACGGACAAGGTCTACAACTGGTGCCAGCAGTCTGCAAATGTGACTTCAGAACTGGCCAAAGACCCATCGCAATGTCCATTGAAAATATTCAAGGATCTCTATGAGCACCATGATCATACTCTGCATCTCAAAAAGCCATCACATGAAGATCCATCAGACCAGCAAAAGGACCAACTGCAGAAAGCACTCGCTTGCGGAAATTGGGGATCATCGGTGCCAAGTGAATTGTTCCTAAAGGTGAGAAAAATCCATCATCACATCCCCTCCCCTTAAAAGAGGTTGGCTTCAGTGAGAAATGAGCTGATTAGATGTACAACAGGTTTACCATGGCGCACTTAGCACCTTGGAAAAAGATCCATCCGTAGGAGTGGTTTCGCCTCCTTTGATGGGCAGCACAGGAGTTGTTCCTTTGACCATAGTGGCACCATTGCCGGACCTTTGTCGACATCTCGCAAATTGTATAGCTCGAGCCAAACACGAGGTTTTCTTGGGTACGAACTTCTGGGTTCTCTCAGATGCATCAACCCTAGTCACCAATGCCATCAGGGAATTGTCAGAACGAGCTGGACAGCGCGGTGAGAAGGTCATCATGAAGATGGTTTATGACCGTGGCGATCCGCGACAGGTTTGTTATTATCTTCTAGACAGTCAAAACTCATGCTCATGATGGCACAGGCATGGGAAAATCGGTTGACAGTCCCCGCCGAGCAATATTCTGTGGGAAAGGTCCAGTTACCTGCTCCAGAGGAGATCCCAAACGTTGATTTGCAACTTGTCAATTATCACCGACCGATATTTGGCACATTCCATGCTAAGTTTACTGTCATTGACCGACGCATAGCTCTATTACAGAGCAGCAACATTCAAGACAATGACAACCTCGAGATGCTTGCCCATTTCGAAGGATCTATTGTCGATTCCTTCTATGACGCGGCGCTCCTGTCATGGGGAAAGCCTCTTGATCCTCCTCTCCCACTTTTGAATTCTCCCGCTAAAGACGCTCCAATTCCTTGTCATGAAGCTAGAAGCCCTGAGCTAGCCTCGGGTGATATCACTGAAATTCTTCCTGAACATACGACAAGCTCACCAAACTATGATGTGAGTATGATACAGGAGGTACATCGACTAAATAGTACGGTTTATCCTAGGAGTGGTGAATCGCCCACACAAGCGGTGACTCGGCATTTGAGTATGTAGTTCCAAGACTGCTTCTGCAAAGACCAACTGGACTGCTGCTAATCCGTAAATAGATACCACAATCCAACCTGATACAACTGGTGATGCACCGGACAGCGATCAAGAAGTCAGAATGACACCGTACACATTACTGCCCAGCCACGGTCAAGTACCTATGGCTCTGGTGAACAGGGAACCATATGGCTGTGAGTGAAATACATTTTCCTTGTCCACTATTGGATTTTGTGCCTAGAACTTTCTTGGTTTACTGATTCCGTCCCAAGCTCCAAATCACAACAGCACCAACACACCCCAGAATGGGGCCTGGCTATCGGCAATCGACCATGCACAACAATCTATTTTCATACAAACACCCAATATGAATGCCGAGCCGCTGCTCGAGCCACTTCTGAATGCTGTCCGTCGTGGTGTCGTCGTAACCTGTTATCTGTGCTTGGGGTACAACGATGCGGGAGAATTGTTGCCTTTCCAGAATGGCACGAATGAAATGATTGCGAATAGGCTATACAAGGCTCTTGATTCTAATCAAGAGAAAGAGCGGCTTCGGATTTTCTATTATGTCGGAAAAGACCAAACAAAACCCATCCACAACTCATTCAAAAAGCGCAGTTGTCATATCAAGTTGATGATCGTCGACGAACAGATTACCATACAAGGTATTTTCAACGAATCATTCATCTCGACTCGGGCTCTGTTAACTCTCTCTCTCTCTCTCTCTCTCTCTCTTTTTAGGAAATGGAAATCTTGATACACAGTCTTTCTTTCACAGCCAAGAGGTTAATGTCTTGATTGACTCAGCATTGGTTTGCCAGGAATGGCTCAAGATCATCAATCGCAATCAGAACACAGCCAAGTACGGTGCTGCTAGTGTTGAGGATGGATGCTGGCACGACCCTGAAACGGGTGAAATTCCACCGGGGTCTGTTGGCATTGATCCTGGACGGTTTAGCTGGGCGCGTGGAATTGTTGGTGCTGTAAAGCGAGTAAGAGGAGTCGGCGGCTTTTAAAACTCACGTCTTTATCAACCTTTGTGCCACCTATAGTTCATGGCTGGGGAACTTTGTATGAGCATTCTCTGTGTTACTGCAATTAATGTTGATGATATAGCTGCTTCTTCCAGGGAATTGTGAGACCCAGGCGTTGCGATAGCTGTGTACATGACAAGGGCGATTTTCAATAAACATATCGGAAGTTTTTGTTCTCTTTATCTGTCAGACCACCCCAAGCTGCCTCATCACTGATTTGATACTCGTTGCCACTGGATGTTTGTAGACGGTCTCGACGTCTGTTCTCTTTCACATAGTACGCGAAGAGAACAACCGCCAGGACTGCAGAAGCTGCTTGAGTCGCGAGGACTGATATCTTAGCCGATCGATACTCAGGAGCCTCTCGAGCCTGGAAAGTTTGTGGCCCAATAATGTTGCCAACGCAAAAGAACCCTGCGACTGCAGCACTTGCGAATGCACGCTTGGTATATCCTGCGCAATTAGCTGCCACCCAATGGTAGATTACCGGAGCCGGGGCCACAATTGCATTAACCAAGTATATCCCAGCTAGCACACCGGCTCGATTGCTCTTTGGAAGGAAGGACATAAGCCCGCCACCAATGATTCCAGGAATACTGCAGATAAATACCCAGGCCCATCGATTCGAAGCCTTGCGAATACCGATGCCGACGAGGAGTGTGAATGTAATGCTGACAATGCCAGATGGAGCATTAAGAAGGGCAGCGATTGGTCCTCCGAAGCCAAAGCCAGCTATGAGGGTTGACGAATATGCTATGACGACCCCACTAGAGACCGCTTGCTTTGACGGTAGAGATGCTCATTAGTTTCAACCTATGACTGACGACTCCTAAGGTCATATCTCTGGGAGATTAAAACGTACCAAGGCGAGCATTAAGCAAAACAACCATACTTGGACGTCCATCACTGCTTCGAGAATTTGTCTTGTGTTGAATTTGCTGTTGCGGATACCGGTTTGATTGACCCGTGTGTGCTGCAAAAGAGCGACTTTTTCGTCGTCGGATAACCACTTCGCCTTCATAGGTGTGTCGGGGAGAAAGAAAAAAGTACCGAAGCCGACCACCACCGTTAGCAGTCCCATAACCAGAAACATGCTTCTCCAGCTCGCGAATCTGCTGTGAACATGCTGGAAGCCAAATGATATTATCCCGCCAATGATCTGCGCCACTCCAAGGCCCAAGAACCAAAATGTAAATCTGGGTGCTTGCTCAGACTTTGTGTAATATTGGCTGCTGATCAGCATTAGCGACGGCCCGACAGTGGCCTCGAATATACCCAGGAATATCCTCGCGACCAGGAGCGTGGTGTAATCCTTGGCTCCGGCGGCAGCAGCAGCAGCGATACCCCAGCAGATCACATTGATACCTAGCCATTTCGCCGGAGGAACCTTTTGAAGAAAGTATACTAGAATTATCAGTGGTCAGAATGTAAAGGAAGACTAGGAAATACAATATTCATACCGTTGGGGACTTCCGCGACTAGATATGCGATGAAGAACGCACTTGCCCCGTTGCTGAAGTCGTTTCCTCTCAAATTGAGATCGCCTTTCATTCCCATGACGCCTGCATACTAGAAAGATAGGTCCTCAGCATGTCATTCCATATCATCTCCTTTTTTTCTTGTGTAAACCGGAGGAGAAGCTTACATTGTACATCACTTTGTCGATGAATTGCAAAAAGTAGCAGCAAAACATGAAAGGCAAGATTCGCCGATCGACCTTATGACGAATGTGAGCCAAACCCCTTGGCGAGCTCTCAGTATTGCATTGTTGATTCAGAAAACCTAGAGCATCGTCGGCAGTCGCGAGGCATGGTACCGCATTTGTATTCGCGGCCGATTGTTTAGCCTTAGACATGCTTGCGGATTTTGAGACGAAGAATTAAGACAACTATGGCATAGAGACTCGATAGAAAATGTTCTGGATGACGGAAAGTGGTCAAGGAACCCTTGTTCGAGTCGAGATGAATTGTAAATTTGTTGAAACCAAAAGTCAGAAGGAGGGGACTTCAAATAAAAGTAATGGTACCCAACCGTGAAGAACCGAGACACGCGCCGATGTAACCAATGTCAAGTTTGCAGGGCCAAGAGAGGCCAAGAGCCGCCATTTCAGAAGAAAATCCTCTGATGTTCATGATTTGGCTTGATTTATGCATGATCCTGGCCAGGGTCGCACTGGCATGAAATTTGAGTTTAGCACGCCTGAATCGCCCAACCCATTATCCTCGAAAACCAACAGATCGGTGGAACTGCCCACAGGGTGGCCCGCAATAGAAACTCGGGGTAAATATATGAAGAATGCACAAGGAAGATGGCATTATCTTTTAGAAATTAATTTTCTGAAATCTATTGGCCAAGCCGGACCATAGCCGGGAGCTAATTGGAAGATGTTTAAGAGAGGAAAGTGACCGGTTGTTCAAGTTCTATGTCTTCTGTTCGCTCGTATAATCTGCGACAAAGGAGAACAAGTTCAGAACTACAAACATTACAGTGTTTTTGGATGTCCCAGTCTAATAGTAGATAAATGTCGAAATAATTGCCTTTAAACGGTTGGAGTTGATAGTCCATTAGATTGATCTTTTCAGCAGAGCATCAAACGACAAATCCTTAGAACGACCGATAGAATCTTTTGTTATCTGATCGTGCATCTGCATGCCTTTCTATCGTTCGGATGATCTTTCAAGAAATGTATTTTCCGATAGCAGCGCAGCATGAGTATACATCAAGGAAAGATCAGCCTTGCCGAGGCTGACTATTGGCCTGCCAAGCAGCTGGTATGTAACGACCGACTTGCTGCATTGCCAACACAGCTTTGTCACATAGACATATAGTAAATATCATGTTTAACAGCGAGAATTTGAAGCTGCCATATCTCATGTGATTTTGTCAGATCTTGGATTACACCGGCTTTACACCGAGCGAGGTGATTGTAGAGCCACTGAAATGGAAAGGGGCATCAAACTGCTCTCCCAAGACATTTAGAAACTGAAATACTCCCAGCAGGAAGGAGCTGAGAAAATCTTACACCACGATATGGAGTGCCAAATACCGTACTATCCGACAGACACAAAATATAGCCGAAGCTCAGAGACAACGTGCATTGGAAAATAGAACAAAGACTGGCAATAATTGTATTTCGCCTCCGGAACATCCCATAAACTACCTTATCTTCATTTCAGTAGGGACCGACGACAATCAAAATTTCCTTCCAGCTTCAGTGAACGAGAAATTATAAACTCCATCCTCATTAAGCGAGGGCTGTTAGACGTCTTTGTTGCGTCCCTTCTCACCACCCTCTCCAGCCACCTCCCCATCCAGGACCCCCCAACCACCACCGTGCCAACCACCGCCCCAGCCACCACCCCAGCCGGGTCCCCAATGCTCATTGTTCTGGTTGTTATTCTGAGCATCGTCGGCACGTCTCATAATTTCTGGGCCTATTGCACCAATGAGGCTATTAATTCATGCATTAATGGATTATGTTCTTACTACCAGGTGCCGGGCCAGGTGCTGGAACAGCAAGAGCTGCCCCTGCAAGAGCAACCAAAACGGCGAAGTAGTTGAAATGCATATTGTGTTGATTAGTTTCAGGGATCAACTGATACAACTGTCTTAATAACGAGACAACCAAGCTATAGCAGGCAAGAGATAGTCTGACCACAGTCAACTTCCAGTTGGTTGATGGAGTTGTTCCAAGATCTGGTTTGCTCTGAAGGACTAGGATAGATGAGAACAATTTATATCCTTTGAGAGCTGCGTTGAGAGCGGCGAGTCTGCCACATTCAACTGAATATCCTCCGATGGCCTCCAGATCCCTCCAGATCGTCAACAGCTATGGATTCTGTCGCCGTTATCCTGGTCCCCGTCTCGAGCTATTAGTGTAAGTTTTGAGCCCTGCTCCCTGTGTCTGACTATTCCGACAGGCAATCAGATCATCTTGGCTATATTTCAAGCCAGAAGAAAGCTCCAGGAATTTTACTCAAACCGATTATTGCTTCAGACTTCTTGAAGTTCTACTCATAGGCAAATTTACGTGGCATTGGAGCCGGACTCTGTAGGCTTGGTCCTGAATTACTGCCTCATACACACGCGTCATGCTACCATGACAACCAATTACTGGCACCGGAAGATCACCCACAACTCAAGTGTTTGTAGAAAGAAGTAGACCAATGTATTGATGCTTATGGTACCGACTGTCCAGGAAACACTGAAGCGTGGATATTCCCAGAAGATATCGATCTCCTCTTCACTCCATGTGTGGCAAAGGTGCTCTTAAAGCTACCTTCAGGTGTCGCTCGCCCAAAAAGCAGCAGCAATGATAGTGACCTTGCTTGCCTGTACGATACTGATCTCATATTGCCAACAACATGAACAGATCCACTAAAGGTGTCCAAACTAGGTTGTGCTCTAGTGCCAAGCGTCAGCATTTAATTTTTAGCATCACTCAATCTAAGTTCCCTTGTGGCCCTAGTAGAGAAAAAGTGATGTCATGACATCTTTACGTGGTTTGACTGCTGGGAGAAGAAAGTTGCCTCTTCACTTCATTGTCTAGGCCGTCACCCAACGGACGGCCAACTTGAAGCTCTTTCCTGACACAATCGGAGAATATATTAGGACAATCCAATTGCAACCATTCCTGCCCTCCGGAATCGAGGACACCATGAGGTGAAAGGATGAACCTATTGACCGGGGCTTTTATTTCAGCTCTGTGGGACATTTCAATTGACTATGAACTCCCTGCTTCGAAAAGTTCTGCTGGCCAATCAGATTTTCAGCCACCTCCAGTATATCCTTGTCTCTGGATATTCCATTAGCTTCATTGACAATAACTTCATAGAGTGGGTTCATGGTGTCCCAGAGACATATCATGAGTAGGAGAGAGTGGAACTGTCCATCCTGAATCACGTCCCTGGTAGAGACTTCGACGGTGCACACGTCCCCCGATACAGTAATCGACGGGTTGATTTGAATGCGAGATTCCAAGCTCACAGCGACCAGAAATGCCGACCGCTTCGGTGAATTTTGTTCTAATTTATGAACGAGTCGAGACGAAATTCGACATTCGTAGCTGTCTGAATTAGATGTATGCGTGACTAGACACCAATGACTTTTTCTATGAACTTCAAGCTCGGGCTGTATCATTCAAATTAATTGTGGGATATAGTGGCGAATATTGCAGGTGCGAGGCTCTACTGTAGCTTCTGACTTGGAGTCGAAGTATAACAATTTTGAAAGGACGACTCGCCCCGGTCTGGATGAATATATATGGAATGGCGAGTATTGAAGGCCCCAAAGACAGAACCGTAGGTGGGTGTGTCCGCTAGGGACAAAAATAACTCTGATGATTTCTTTGGCTGATTACCACCTGCATGTCCCCCTCATGCTATTCTTTCGGATAGTCGATCATTTTGTAAAGACCCCGGGTACTGCCGACTAGAGCCCCAGGGGACAAGAGGCCCCTGACCTACAGTAACTGGAGTTGAAGCGTCTCGAAAAACCCCTCACCAGCGCCACTTTTGGGGGCCAAAGAAACCGCGACCAACCACCTGGCGCGGAATGTGGGCAGTGGCCTGATGATCTTGGCTATCATTCCTTCGCAATTTCAGTTTATGAGGACGGCTTATTCGCAAATGAAGCTCTCACTTTGTTTTAGTCGGCTGTAGATAATTCTGCGACCACATATCCCTGTGGTAGCAATCCGTTAAGCAACAAAAATGAGTTTTCCGCGTGGAATCATAAATAGACCCTGGAGCACAACACAGCGCCCCGGAGCCTCACTTGGATTACAGTAATCCACTTGAAACTGGCGGTGCTTCTCGCTGCAGCGATCGTCATGCCAGGATGATATTATGATTGGCAATTACTGTAGTCGTCGTGCCGTGCGGAGATTTCATGATTGAGGCTATCCCTTCCCTCACGCGACGAATTACCGCCGCTGAAGGCCGAAGGAGACCACCCTGTACAGTATCCCGCTCAACCCGAGTGTTGAGATCAGCGATAGGCCCGTGTGCATTCAGCCGTCGATTATCAATATACAGTACATACTGATGGCCTCTTTTGTTTCATCATCTGCAAACTGGCGCTGTAAAGTGGAGAAGACTGGGGCGGACGTCCTTGCGCGCGCTGCTAGGCGCTTAGTCGTGCGAGTTCTCCGAAAGCGAGCGAGAATCATTATGGCCTCTTAACGAAAAGCCTCCCACCCTGAGACTCAACAAAGCTATTTCACTATCTTCATAATTCTCGCCTATAGCGACCCCGAATGGTGCAAACGTGAGATTGGGCAACCGTGTTGTGCTCCTGCTACTAGCCACCGCTGCGCGACATTCTCTCCATATTCTTGAACTCCTTTGTTTCGAATGACACGAAGTCCCCCACCTCTACCATACGCCAAATAAAAAGAAAGGAGATAAACAGATATAAAGGTGCATGGGAAAATATGGCACCACCTTCAGTCAGCAGCGGTTCGCAACGCGGCGACCTGCCTATAACGAGAACCTCATCGGTCTCGTCCATTCACCATCCCCCAGAAGAACGCGAAGCAACAGCCGATAACCGCAAGTCTTTCGATTATACCTCCCAACCATTATTCACCGAAGATCCGACTTCGTCAACTACCACGAAGCCCCAACGAAAGAAATCGTTTGACTGGAATGGATCTTGGGTATGGGAAATCGGTGGATCTGTCCTGGGAATCATCTCCCTCGCGCTTCTCATTGCCTTTCTCGCCAAAATCAATGGAACTGCATACGATCATTGGCAATACTCGATCTCTCCCAACACGGTCGTCTCCGTAATTACTACCATTGGCAAGGGGGCGATCTTGGTTCCTGTCTCGGCGTGTCTCAGTCAGCTCAAATGGAATCGTTACCGAAGACCCAATCGTCTGTCCGACTTGCAGGCTCTAGACGAAGCGAGCCGTGGTGCCTGGGGATCGATCGTGTTGTTCTGGTCGATGAGACCCAGCTTGGCCACCATTGGAGCAGTGTTGACTGTACTGGCCCTCGCGATCGACCCCTTCTCCCAGCAGATTATCGCGATTCACTCGAGAAATGCTGTGGCTCTGAATGGAACGGCCTATGTCCAAATGGCTCGCGGTTACAATTTGAATTCGGACGAGGAAAAGTCTCCGACCATGCAAATTGCGGTGCTGAGCGGGCTGTTTCAAACTAATGCCGCCTTAGATCCGTACTGCGAGTCGGACTATCACTGCACGTACCCCCCATTTATCACACTCGGCATCTGCAGCAAGTGTGAAGATGTCACCCAGGATACCAGCCAAACCTGCAAGACTTCGCCACAAACAGCGGCCCTCAATTATCTCGGCTCTGGTTGGGACAATATGCGCACGAACTGCACTTATCAATCACCCAGTGGATTCGATGTGAATCTCGCCGATGTGACGTTGAGTATGAATCCTGGGCGAACTTTGACCTACCTGCAAGCTAAATCCTCGATTGTGCCTAACACGACCATCACGAGCATCGCGGGGATTGAAAGTCCCCTCATTTCGATCTTGAGCTTGGTCGACAGCAACAAAACTTACTATTCCCATCAGAATCATACTCAACCACCAAACAAACCCGATATCACGGAATGTGCAATATATTGGTGTGAACAGGCGTTCACAACGGCAAACACTCGCCAAGCATACCAACCCAGTATTACTCAGCCTCTAATTCCCATCGACCCTGTGGTCACGGAAGGCTCAGCCATTCGACACGACCAGCCATATCTGACTGCACCGTCAGGATTGTCCACAATCTCTGGAGATTCTTCTTATCCAATCAATCATACGACCTATACCACCTTGACCTCCGATCTATCCACTATCCTCACGTCGGATTCGGACTCTTCCACGGTCTTCGCAATACAGAATCTTGTGACGAGAAACATCACGGATATTCTCTCATCTCTTGCCACTAGTATGACCGATGTCATTCGTTCCGACCCAGACACGAGCATCTCTATTCCCGGCAAGGCATACTACTCCCAAAATTTCATCCATGTCCGATGGCCGTGGATTATTCTTCCCGTCTTCGTCGGTGTGATGTCGACGGTATTTCTCGTCATTACTGCAATTTCGAGCCGAAAAAGGGTGCTCTGGAAGTCCTCCGTGTTGCCTTTGCTTATTGGCCGGCTTGAAGTGCAGCCGTGCCATGCTTTATCAGCTGTGGATCGTGTAGACGAGCTGAGCAGCAAGTCTAAAAGAGTTCGAGTCTTTTTGGAGAATGATCCGAGACTGACATTTGTGGAAGACACGAGTGCAAAGGAATGATTGCAAGCTTGGCAATTATTGGAAAGACCGCCTTTGAGACATTGACAACTTCGAGGCTCACCCCTCTATCTATTCTGCTTAGAATTGCAGAACCCTCGTCCCATTATCTGTGGTCGGTGAATATTTAGCTAGAGCTACCAGAAACAAGCTCACAGTAAGATGGCCAGTACATGTTTTGTGCGGCTTGCGAAAAATGGTGTATTACTTCGAAATGAATGACTAGTCTAGGAACCTGCCTATGGGTTTGCGCAGTGGTGGCCGCAAAGGTTGTTTGCTTGCGTTTTGCGCCTGGCGGCAAAGCTCGTGCCCGAAAGCTCCGTAGCTCCTATAGTATATCTCCTCTGGTAATTAAACTTCTAAGCAGTCCGTAATAGTCCTGCTGGCAAGACTGGATACTGGTACTGTCCTTTCAAGCTCGTCTACAGCGGGATGCGTACGGACTACATTCGTGTTATGGTGGGACAGGTCACTACAATCCTGTAGTCCTCCGGATGATCTACGATGGGGTGCATGGACAAAAGACGTTCCCACTTCGGCATAATTTTGGATAGTAATAGGGTTGAGTTTATAACATCAGAAACCACACAGCAGCGCCGACCGCTAGAGCACTTATCCCAGGGTCTTTCCCAATGCGAAGACCACCCGAGTTCTTCGCCGAGTTCTTCGCCGCCCCAGGAACAGCGTCCTTGCCTGATGTGATCTCGACAATGTCATCCGGAGCGTCACCCCATGCAAGGTTCGCCAATGAGACCTCGTCGTTCTCAAGATCAAAAACCGCATAAACCTGGCTGATGAAATTGGAGCCCAGAACAATGCTCCCCTCAAATTGGAGGTCTTTGTTTTCACAGATCGTGAAATAGCACGTCTCCTGGTTGGGATTCCACCCATATTTTGCCACAGTATCGCTTTCTTGGCTAACAAATGACATCAGGTAGAACTGGAATTCTAGTTTTCCGAATTTGAACTCTATTGTCGAGTTCTCGCTCACCGCGCTGCAAGAAAAATTGACCTGACCCAAGTGGTCCGGAACGGAGGTGTTGCCGATCTGGGCATTCAGGGCCTGGGCCACAGACTTGGGCACATAGGTCATTCCAACCGCAGTGTCAAATACAGCGTCCAGTGGAAATTCCTTCGACGATGTGGATGTTCCGTTGATCGAGATGTCATCCATATTGATACGGAGAGCCTTTGTTTGGGTTGATCCGTTGACAATAGGGAAGGTGTAGAGAGATCCGTTGTATCTGGCCTTGTTGACGCCGCCGAACAGAGCTGTCTGGCCCCAAAGGCTGAAAGCTGGAGAGTTAATGGTTCCGGCGTCGGCCAATGCCTGGGTCAAGGAGGTGGAAGATGCATTTCCGTATCCAAGGCTCAAGGTATCTGCATAGGCATTAGCAGTTTATTCTCAGTCGGTCAGATAGCTCGTTCGTACTGGCAGTGATGATGCGATTCGTGATGATGCCCATCTTCATAGTGTTCAGTGTGACACCACCAATTGTCAAAACATCGGTCACAAAGTCCCCTTCGGTCATGACACCGGAATCATTGTATGCGAATCTTTCGTCGAGCTTCTTGACAGTGGTTGAGGCAGTCTCGTTGAAGCCTCCGTATCCACCACAGAGGGACTGGTTCGTATAAAGCTCGCAATCGGAGTCGTCCACGCTCTCAAGCCAACAGCCGTTTCCCCAGGTCTCAAAGTAAGTTAGGAAATGCTGGGCCGGGGTACCGAAAGTAACATTGGCGACGTAGGAGATGTACTGGAAAGCAAAGTCAGCCTGCAAGTCGATTCAATTCCCCGCGCTGAACCTACATCGACTCGTTCGTTGTCAAGGTCAACATTGACCGATTTCGATCGCTTGGAAAGTTCAGGGGAAGAGTCGCGTATCATTGGCACCGCAAGAACCGCCGGGCTGTCTCTCTTCTCCAGAATCAGTGCATTAGTCACGGCTGCACTAGCCAAGCCTATGAGGCAGGCTAACACAGTGCGCATTATGATGGCGCGAGGCGAAGTCCAGATCAAAAAGCGTGGGCCCGAAGTTGAAGACAAAAAAATAGAGGGAGGAAGAAAGAAAGAAAAAAGCGACAAGGAGGTTCCGTGAAAAGAAGTGGAAGACTCCGGGATGTTGGTTGATGAAAGCTCTTGGAAGTGCGCGAAGCTATGACTGGCTGGATTTGAATCGGTAATGCAAACCAAAGGTAAAAAGAGGAATGAACATGCGACCATCATTTACATACAGACAGACCAACCTTTTCACCTCGGCGAACGAACGAACTATCGTTAGGGGGTACTTCTGGGGAATGCGGCCACCTTGGAACATGCTGAGTAAGCATACATAAATTGCCTAACTACAGTACATCCAAGGCGGCAACGTATCTCACCGCCTTCTACGACTGAATTTGATATGTCCCTATTCCCGTGGCCACGGAGCCAGACTGACTACTTCAATCTCTCGAATCAAGAATGGGGCTTTAAAGGAGAGAATAGAGTAGGACATATTTACTCTCGACACTTGAATTCTTGTATCGGCTCACCGACGGCCAAAGTATTTCCGACATTCTCATCACGTGATGCCCTTAATACTGGCAGAATAGACATACCAAGCGTGTGCCAGATGGTCTCAATACCCATCCGTAGTGAGGCCGGCGACGGGGTACTAAAAGGGCCTAGTAAGGGCTCTTAGCGCCGAAGAACGTTACATGAGGCTGAAAGCCCCCCCCCCCCCCCACCATGTCCATCCGCGGACATTTCGCCGGCTATTTCACCGGCTAAATTCTCACATCATATGGAAACGTGAAAAGAGGTTGGCAAGTCTGAGTGGGAAGTCTGAGAGAAGTGGAGAGTATACCGCCCTTTGACCATAGAAGTGATCAACAAGCTGGAAATGTACGATCCTCCAAAAAATGTGCAAGCTGTATCCCGCGAGAGGCAAAGTGACTTGTGTATTTTGGCCCCCGGTTTTCTATTTGGTTGCATCACCTTGGCGGGATCCACACCGCGTTGGACTCATTAGAGAAATCGCGATGCTAGAAGCGAATAGATCGGGTAGCTGAGCAGCCGAAGTCCTCCTCTCCAGCTAACAGGTCCTTCAGCCATTAATGGCTCGAATTATCAAATTCTGGTAGCCTTATACAGTATGTGGAAGACTATGAAAAATCACCACTTCGACTCATCCCTGATTATCGATCCGGATGTATTTCGGTGGACCATCCAGGCTGTATATCGCTCGTCACCATCAAATTCATCCTCTACCAGCGCTACAGCAACTGTGATCTGCTTTTCTCACTATATCAACGCGATGAAGCTCGGGCCAACAAGCGCCCATGAGTATATCGAACAGTGCTGTTTGAAAAGCGACATAAGTAGATCGCTTTACATGCCGTTTCTGGGTAAAACCAACTTGCATTGAGGGGTTGCAAGCTTTGATCACGATGTTCCTCCTGGCTCCCCTCTCCGGAGATCCAGAATGACTGTCCAGGGACTCCATTGATCATTGATGGTGTTATAGATGCTTGTACTGATCCTATATCAATGGAAAAAAAAGACGAGTCAAAATGTGGGACCATGCTGAAATTGGAGGGGAAGTTACTCGAAACTGAAGCACTGAAATCCCTCGAGTGTGATCTCGTGTCCGTGTCACTTGTCTGCGTCAAGGACATTTTGCTTTAATGTGGTAACCTTTGACCCAGAAAGGGCATGGTATTCTTCTTGCATCGTCTTGCTCAGCCAAATTCGCCTTTAGGCCATTCTAGCAGATCGGGAACGACCTGCTACACTGGTGATAATCAAGAGTCGATGACTCCCCAAGCCGCTCCGGACCATGATGAATTTGCCGAAATAGTAGAGGTAAATGATACTGGGTCTCTAAAGTGATAATAATTGAGAACAATCTGATGATCTAGCACTTGCAATTGTGTCAAACCACTAGAACTGAACATTTAAGCCCGATAATACATGCATATACGTCACCAAAATTCTTCTTGAAGGTCTAACATAACAAATGATGCCCCAAATCGCTACCAGTACCCGCTATTCCTTGGTCTGCCAACGATGTACTTAGTGTTCCATCTTGCAAAAGAAACCCATGGGTGTCCGGGATCTGTATTTTGGAAGATAATATCCAGAAAGAAAAGTAGTGGTAAGGAACATGGATGGTTGTGAGTACCGATTATTTCGGATACTCCTTGGTGGAGAAGATATTCATCCAGTGTGTAATGGCTTCGCTGCGGAAATCGTCCTTCTGAACCCGGCAAAGCTCGGTTGCGTTGACATCAAACACAATCGTTTCCGGATTGCTCAGTTTGTATTTGGGCCATGGCACGGTTCCATTGACTGATCGCGAAATTATTAGTGCGAGGAGTGGCAAGGAAATACGGAATCAAACTTACGTGGAACGTTGTTGGGACTAAGAGTGTCGATGAAACTGATCAGCATACTCGTCATCAAATAAATGAGTGGCTCGAAAGTCTTCTTCTGATCGGCCTGATCGGTGGGGCTGAGCGACTTGGACAGTGTGACGTTGTGGAAGAAGAATGCGATATCGTCCTGCTCCTGCGCACCTTGCTCCCACCACTTAGCATGGAACAAAACATCGTAGACATACGCATAGGCGTCGACCCCATGCCGAGCCCACTATGAAACTTAGTGTCAGTATCGTGAATTATCAATACTGTGAACAGCGACCAGAGAAGCCGTCAGATCAAGGGCCGTGTTGAACGAAAGACTTACCGCTTCACTAGCTAGTCGACGGCCAGCCTGCATAACTTTGTCTCCGTTGTATGCGCTGGATCGTTTCCATTGAAGTCCCAACCCAGTGTTACTGCTCGGTTGTCCATTCAGAGTTGATGGGATGCCCTGGGCTGGATCATCGGGATAGAGGCGTGCGATGGCCTGCGCAGTCTGTTTGTCTGTTTGCTTATGCCGTCGTACTTAACCATGTCTAGGAACTCGCTCGTTGTGTTGATGTTTTTTACACCGTAATAGTTCCAAGTTCCTTCATCTTGGGTGGTGCCGAGCATCAGCGGAACCTTGACAAATTTGCCGGCCTTTAAAGCGGTTGAGCCAAGCTCGCGGAGGAAGTCACCATCGACTACCGGGTTAGGGCGGTTCAATGTGGTAAGATCACTGCTGAAGACAGATGAAAGGGTCTTGGTATCCACTCCACGAAGGCACTCAAGGGAATCGGTGTGTGCAGTTGGTGGCGTTCAAGAACTCGTTATAGAGAGGCTGCCACTCGTCCGCTGTGACTGATGGCCACATTAGTGTCGGACTACCACTCTGCGCAACGGCGGCACGGAAAAGCCCATCGTCTCGGCCGCCGTACGCGAGGAGCTGTAGACCGACACTGTATGCTCCAGCCTCTTGACCCCAGATAGTAACCTTAGTAGGGTTACCTCCGAAAGCCTCGATGTTGTCTTGAATCCAGCGCAGAGCCAAGCGCTGATCCTTCAGACCAAGGTTTGCGACACCTTCCTTGGCAACCTCAGTTTCGTAAAGGAAACCCCAATAGCTCAAGCGGTAATTTAATGTGACACCGATGAACTCCTGCTCGTTCTAGACTGCAACCTGGAGAAGCGATGTCATGTTGTATTGAGGATCACGGCCCGAGCCATGCTTGAAGAGGCCTCCATGGATATAAACGGCAACCGGGAGGCGCTTGGTGCTCGACACATTTGAAGGGCTGTAGATATTAAGAATCAGACAGTCCTCGGAAACATACTCCCCTAGGACAATCTGCATAGGTCCATACCCGTAAAACATGTACCCGAACTAGGTGGCATTCTTTGGCCCGGTCCATGTAGTGTCCAATGACTGGGGATCACGGAAGCGCAGATCGCCTACCGGAGGCTTCGCGTATGGGATACCTTGGAAGTAGTCTTGGTGCCATTTCAGAGCATGGAATATTCACTTATGTTAGCGACTGATCTCTGAGATGAGAAGATGGTATAGAATGTGAATAACACCAAAAAAGGTTAATCCTGTCCGCTTGCTGGTAGGAAATACCCCCCAAACACCGAGAACCTCGCGAACCGAAACAGTGAATTAACGTCAATCAAGCAAATAGCAGACATACCACCATAATAAGTACCGTTTCTGGTCTTCGCCACGGCAACATCGTCGCGCGTACTGACTATCAAGGCAGACGCCAGGCCCACTTGAGTAAGGAGACCAAGGCTCAGAGCGTACAGAGGGTACATCTTGAAGGAGATACTCATGTGAAGAGTCATCCCAGAGGATGAAGTTCTTGAAGTATATATGGATGTTGTTAGTATGGCGGTGACTCGTGTCCTCTGGAATTGACTGCCGATCCGAAATCCCTTTCTAGACGCAAAGGGCGCACCCAATGGTCAACATGGGGCATGGTTACCGACATGACGCGTGTAATAGAAACTCCAAAGAAGTTTATGATAGCTATATTCCCTAACTGGATATTTTCGGAAAACATCCCGGCACTTTTTCCGTCCCTCTAGGCCCCGCATCACCCACCATACGCGTGGCTGTGGCTTAGGCTTATTTAGCACAAGAAGAAGGTTTGTCAACCCCATATTTCTAGAGTATAACTAACTTCAACAATTCGACTTTGATAAATGACGAGAAAAGAAGATGTGATACGTTTGCGTCTCAGGGGCCAAACAAGACTATACTCACTATCTAGTTAAACTTGAAAGTCAGGTAGAAATGAAATTTCCGTGCCTTGACAAGTCCTAGCTCATCCATGCAGAAGTTCAATAGTGTGTTGGAGCTTCCTCGAGGCACAAATTTCCAGAACTTGCCCGGAGTTGTCATCCAAAGGGGCTTCGATTGTCCGTGAAACGCTTCTATATTACGAGTGAGGATTAGTAAATGCCCTCAGCCTCAATAAGTCCCACTTGGTTGCATTAGCCTGGGTTAAACAGATTAATATGACATTGAGTTGACAGTGGCCAAGATAGGCCAAGAATCTATCGTCAATTGAAACATCAATGGTAGGGAATTAGTGGGGTATTCGTGGGACCGCAAATCACGGAGGCGGGTCCCTGTACTAATTGCTGTTCTCCACTTTCCTTTCATGACCCCAGGAATGGACTTCCACGACCAGATAAACAAAGCAAATTTTGGCGTTCAGTTTCTTCGGAAACTTAACACGGCTTCGAAAAGGGGTTGCGGGGTCGAACAAGGACTACCGTCGCTGATCGAAGGAAGGACTCGAATTATTTGCGTCGGTGTCAAGGAAGGCCCACGTCGGTTATCTGCTATATCGCTGGAGCCTTGTGTCGTTGAATGAAGGTAGTGACCAATCAGAAGCATGACTGCTTCTTCACGAAACCACGAAACCGGGGAACTAAGCTGCAGTCTTACCACACTGGGCAGCGTGTAATCCGCTTAGTCAGTATATACTTCACCCATTTCACCGGAAGAATTTGTGGGGATATCGGCCGCGTGGTCTTCTGTTCTGTAGCTTATTCTAGAGTTGAAATAAATATTCAAGCTCCGAGCCCCCACTAAGCTTCACAAAACTCTCGTCGTCTAATCAGGTGATGATGGCTATGCATCTGGTTAGGTATATACAACGAAATGATTAACACGGCACCTGTTATCGGCAGTATTTACTTATGCCTAGCAAAAGACCCATTATTGTACCATAGGAATGATGGAGAGTAACCCCACCTTTTGATCCACTGGTCCGTAAGTATCAGTTCACACTATATCTTTATGGTTTGAATTCTCGCACTCGTTCTTTATGTGCAGTTTCTGTGAATTCTGCGATAACCGCAAAGACATTGTCTGATACCATAACTTCCTGGTGCGGGTGTTAGTATAGCATAACGTTTGCGGAACCACGATGTTGTTTCTCTCTATGAACGCGGTCCTGCTAGAACTTGCTATCACGTCCGTGGTCTGCGCAACGCCTTTCCGGGAATCTGTTTCCAAGCAGACTCCTAAGGATTTTGCCATCCCGAACACCTGTACGACTATCAACCACCGAAAGTCGGTACTCATAGCCCGAATCATCTATGGGCTCAGGCGTCCTGTTGGATAAGAACACTGATCTTTTTCTCCAAGTGGAATGCCCTTACTGTTAAAGAGCGACACGAGTACATCGAAGCAGAGCTTTGCCTCATGCATCACCCTCCAGTCACTGGATTAGTAGAGAACGCGACAAATGTCTGGGATGAGATTGCCAACATTCATATCTCACAGAGAAATGACATTCGTAAGTTCGTTGCCTTGTTGTTCTTTTCTCAACGAGGGAGTGGCTTTTCTTCCTCCACGATAACCAACATCATCGTCGCTGCATCCAGGATCTTTTCATCCTTTCAGGGATTCTTGTAACAAAGCTGACTATTTACGTGGTAGATTATGTGGGTCAATTCCTTCCATGGCATCGGTACTCCGTTCGGATGCACGAGTTAGCCCTACAGAAGCTTTGTAACTACAGAGGTGCCCATCCGTACTGGGACGAGCTCACCGACTATACCAACGGAAACGTCTCCCAGTCGCCCATATTTGATCCGATTACTGGATTTGGAGGCAATGGTACCGGTTATGATGGATGCGTTGTTAATGGGCCATTCGGAAAAATTAAACTGCATATGAGCCTCCACCACGCGCGAGGCAACGAATTCTGCTTGTCCCGGAACTTGGATCAGAGCAGCTTCGCGGAGGGGATCGCCACGAACGTTGAGCATTGCTTTGGGTTCGCAAATTATACTGATTCCTGGTAATGAATTCTATTGTGGCGAACACCACGGTTGGCGAGATTATGCAACTGAATGGATCTGTCTTCTGTGCACAGTATGTCATGGCGGAGGACGCGGTCATTTACAACACAAGTGTTCACACAGAGGGTCATTATGTGTCGGTTTTCTAGAGAAAGTCAATTACCACTTTATGCAAGGAAACAGAGCTTAGCCGCCAAGGAGACTCTGGTGATGGTTAACGTTTACTCTCGTTATAGATCATTACTTTGAGAAAATTTGACCATTAGTCCACTACAAGGTTTTAATTTGCAATTGTACGCCTTTGGAATTTACCCTTTCCCTCCTTCGAAGGTATGTTGAATAAGGCAATGCTAGAGACTCTAGATCAACTAAATACCTTGAGCCATAATATTGCCATTATGTCATCTTCGCAGCCTCTCAGTTCACTATTGTTTTTACAGGAATTTGACAACAATCTGGCGAGTCATTTCCACTGTCTCCTCGATCCGATTCAGGAACGGTGCACAATGACTGGATGCAAGCTCCTTGACGATCCACGGCTTCTGGGTGGCGGCTATCATACCGAATTGCGCCTCCCTTGGCACAGCACGATCCTCGGTGGTGACTATAAACGCCAAGTGCCCCCGGAAGGCCTCGTCTGCCCAGGCTGGATGAGGCTGAGGGGAAGTGAATGGTAGGGTTGCGTGTGGTTTGAGATTTGCGACCAGGGACTGGGCCTGGGCCAGATCGACATCTGCAGCGAAGTTATTGATCGGATCATCTGCAACATTGAGATTCGCCGAGGGCTGTGAAGTCAGCATCAGCTAGATATCCCTGTAGATATTATGGAGAAGGAACAGGTCCCCCTACTCGATCAAGCAAGATCCAGGGGGGTAGATTTCCGCCCTGGAGACCGGCACAGCTGGAACCTTCAGGCACAATGAAGGCCCCCAAGAATAGCAATCCAATGACGCCGCCGACTTTCCCCTCTTGCGCCCGCTGAGACTTGGATAGCCCGGTAGCTGCAGCGGCGCCAGGCATGCCGGCGTATGAGTGTAGAAAGAGCATGACGTCTTGTCCATCCTCTTCCACGAAAGAACGAAGGACCACGGCGATACCTTCGGTGTCAGTGTGGCAATCGGTTGTTGACGGGTCCGAGGGGTTTAACGAGGGGTAAGCTGCATAGCGAACATTGTAGCCAGCAACCATAAGCGCTTGAAGGAATGGCTCGTAGAAAGCCCTGGCAATCCAGGCTCCAGGAACGAAAAGAATGGTTGTCATTGTTATAGTGCTTGCTGATCATATGTTTGAGATAACGACGGATATTGTACAATAGCTGCTGGCTGGATCTCCCGCTAAGACACGGTGTCTTTCGGACAGTGCATGTCTTTCGCTCTTTTTCGCAGCTCAACGAGCCTCTCATTTCCGCCTTGCTGCAGCCTAAATGCATTCATATTATGCCGCAGCCTTGGTCGAGCATAGCCCCAATGACCCTCAGGCCACAGCCACTCCGATTGAACCATCCATGGCGATCAGGGTGCGCAGGGCCGAGCACTGTGATTGAACACTACCAACTGGCAAAATCCTAAGTGCAAAGGTGGGCCGAGGTGGGCAGATGAGCCTATCGAACCTATCTACAGTATTCGAAGTCAATTACTGCATACCCAGTCTATCTCGTGGGTTTTTCTGGCCACCAAGAATCTTGCCCCCCCCCGGATCGGCAGAGATCTCGATGACTCCCTTAATAGTAACCTTATTGAGAGGACCATCTTCGGGCACTCGTCTATAGCAGTATGGAGCTAGGTAAAATGGCGCTGTGCTTGCTGTCTCGACAGGGATTAAATGTTGTTACCCCTGGCGGCCAGCAGTCAGCCATGTAAATATATCTACTCTACACACATGCCTAACACCAGATGGTTTCAAGGGTTCTGGCAAGCAGTTCTAACCATCGAGATCAAATCGTAGTGCTGAGAGGTTTAAGATTCAAGACTGGTAGACATGCCCTTCATGAATCGAAGGGGCTGGAAAACTGTGAAAGGTATTCAGAGCGCAGCGCATCAAACCCCCGACAAATGAGGCTCCTTTGTGAATACAAGCTTAGGCATTAATTTTATGTCCAGACCGATGCTAACATCTACGTATGCTGGAGCTTAACATTTTGTGATATTTGTAGATTTGCCAGAACGTTGTCCTGAAGGGTCTCTCGCTTTTTGTTACTGTATGGATTTATGGATTCAAGGTTGTGTGATTTGCCCTTACATCAATTACCCCTCTGCAAAATTCCAAAGAATGGTACTGTTGTGAGTGTGGCATGTGGATAAGGGGTTGCAAAATAACACCTCATATGTCTTGGCCCATTGAAGCACAATATTTCCAGTTTCCATCGCGGTTTAGATGGTCATGATGTCCAGAATGACGGACCCTAGGCAATCACCCAGCTTTCTCTCAGTCGTATACGTTCATCATCTCTGGATCAAACTTGTCCCTTTTGCCACCCACGATCTTGTGTCTCCTGAGTCTTCATAGTCCCTGGAAGTTTACCTCGTCTCCCCCAATGCAAAAATCAGGGTTTGGTGCATCCTTGCTTTTAGGTGTAGGCAGCTAGTGCGTGGGGCAGAAAGCGGCGCCTGCCTATTCAGCCCCGTGAAGTGACCAAGGACAATGGATCGTATCTCCGCACCACTACAGTCCATCGGAAGTCACTTCCCACTGTCAACGCCCTTCGCCAATGCCAAGCAGCTCTCATAGGCTAGACTTGGCACTGCAACCTCAGTCCTCTCGTTGCCAAGTGCCGTCGGGGATCCGCCTGCAGACTTCGTCTTGGATTCGAGCCGGTCCTATGAGTTGCTTTCTTCCTCGCCAAGAACAGCCCGGTTCTTGGCATGTTTCCCGAGGCAATTGAAATCACGCCTCATTAGAATTGATCATTGCGTGCTGTGCATAGACGCAGAACCCCGACCGGTGAACATATATAAGGACCTTTATCATGCTACATGTTCTTGACGCAACACTCATTCGTGAATCATTTGAAAATGAAGTGGCTTTACGTGTTATACCATATCTCTGTGGTCTTAGCTGGCCGGGGAAAGCCCCTTGTTTCACCGGTGTGTAGGCATGGTATACCTCCGTTATCATCACCGGGTAACTGACTTTGCAGGATGAACTCCCCGCGAAAATTCGCCTGGAAGACTTGCTGAAGGGGACTCAACACCTTGAGGACATTGCTTATTCGTACCCCGAGCGTAACCGCGTCTTTGGCAGTGCGCCGCATAATGCTACGGTTGACTTCCTCTATCATGAGCTGGAGAAGACTGGCTATTATCATGTGTGGAAGCAGCCACAGGTGCACACATGGACCAAGGCGACCTCCTCGCTGACATTCGATGGCAAGTCCATTGAAGTGGCTGCAATGACATACAGCCCCAGTGTTGATGTTACTGCAGAACTTAGAGTGGTCTCCAACCTTGGGTGTACGGCAGCGGATTACCCAAACGACTTGGCTGGGAAGATCGCCCTGATCAAGCGTGGAGACTGTCCATTTACTGAGAAGTCGGTGCTCGCCCATGCAGCCAATGCAGCTGCTGTAATTGTTTACAATAACGCTCCGGGATCTCTCAGTGGAACTTTGGGTGGAGTGACTCCTGATCATGGATCCTTTGTCGCTATTGCGGGGATATCTGATACTGATGGCGAATCCCTTCTCACTACCACAGGCAATGGCGCCGTGACCGTATCTCTTCTGATCGACAGCAAGATTGAGAATCGCACGACGTTCAATGTGATTGCAGAGACAAAGGGGGTGATCACAATAATGTGGTGGCATTGGGAGGTCACACCGACTCGGTCGAAGCTGGACCGGGCATCAATGATGATGGCTCTGGAATTATCGCCAATCTTGTAGTTGCCCGAGCCTTGACACGCTTCTCTGTCAAAAATGCCGTCAGGTTCTGTTTCTGGACGGCGGAAGAGTTTGGGTTGTTGGGTAGCGAATTCTACACCTCCAACCTCAACTCCGAAGAACTTGCAAAGATCAGACTTTACCTCAACTTTGACATGATCGCCTCGCCCAATTATGCGCTCATGATTTATGATGGAGATGGGAACGCCTTCAACCAGACTGGACCGGCCGGTTCTGCTCAGATCGAGGCTCTGTTTGAGAATTATTTCAAGTCCAAGAATCTACCATACATCCCAACCGCCTTCGATGGTCGATCTGACTATGATGGGTTCATCTCTCGCGGAATCCCTGCGGGTGGGCTTTTCACTGGCGCTGAAGGTGTCAAGACCGATGCTGAGGCCAAACTATTTGGCGGACAAGCAAACGTACCCTATGATGCCAATTATCATGCTGCTGGAGATAACATGACCAATCTCAACCATGAGGCATTCATAATCAACGCGCAGGCTACAGCCTTCGCTGTGGCAACATACGCCAACAGCCTTGCTTCAATACCTCCCCACAATGCAACAGTCACTCGACGAGAAGTGACAAGACGCGCACCTCGGTCGCATGCACACACTAGAAACTCGGGATGCTTCCACTTTCGAGTTGAAGTCTAATGTTCGATCCCTTGCAGACTGGTTGATATCTGCTTTGATTGGGGGTGAATCAGTGGGGGCCCAATGATCAATGGCAATTAAAAGGGTCCTCGTGTTATCCCTCGAAGTCAATCTGGATTATCGTATCGCCTCATATAATCAAATGGATCACTCTGAGTTCCCAGTTTACAGAGAACCACATATGTAGAGTAGAGTAGTGCTTCCAGTGGGGAGTAATCGTATTTTGATATTGATCACATGACTAGCATGTAAGCTCCCTTTTGGGGTTAGCGCCGATCTCTCCACCTCTCCACCGCCCCCTGAGATGAGATCAGTTGACCTGGCTCACATTCGCATTAATTGGTGCACCTTGTGCCTATTTACTTTGTTTCCAGCGTGTGGTTTATCATCCAAGTCTTCTGCGGCCTTTCATCGAGTGTTGTTGCGCAGTGGCCCGTTTCTAGCCCAATTTGGCATCGCCTGACTCGAACCCGATGGCTATCCTGGATCCACCGCCTATTCGCTGCCGAATTGGAGACTTACGGTTGACATACGATGGATTGCTTCCTTTGATTGGAACTTTTCTCTGTGTTGCTGCGTTGACCTATCTGATCTCGACTATTCAAGGTGCCATCACAGTTCGCAACAAACGCCATGGAAGCCGACCACCAAAACTTCCGTATGCGACTCCACTGCTTGGCCATCTTCCTGAGTTTTTAAAAGACACAATGAAATTTCTAGCGAGGGCTACGTACGTTTAATGTCACCGTAGAGGTTTCCAAGGAATCCGTGCTAATCCGTGTGATCAGAGCTAAATATGGGCCGTCCACTCCAGTTCGGATACAGCTTCTTAACCGATACATGACCCTGCTGAAGGGTGCTGAGGCCGTCACTTCCCTTTTCAAAAGCTCAAGGGACTTGAGCAGTGAGCACTGGCTCGTGCAGGTCTTGGTCAATGCCTTTGGCGTGGAGGTCACCGATGCGCCCTTCTATTTGGCCGACGACACGGGGATTGCCAATCATCCCGATCCCAGAAGTAACATGAAGAACCCAGAGCATCGCATCTTCCATTTGGTCTTTAAATCAGTTCATAGTGGCTTGAGCGGAGTGAGCCTTGAGGAGATGGAGAGACAGCTTGTGCGAAACTTGTCCTCCCAGATTCATCACACAGACATCAAATCAGACTCTTGGACTCAAATATCTGATCTGTACGGCTCATTGATTCGCACTGTCGCTTTCAAAGCATCCGTCGTGTCACTCTGCGGGCCGCATGTTTTCGAACGCATCCCGACATTTGATGCCGATTTCTGGACATTTGATAGCGCCCTCCCGAATTTGTTTAAGGAAATTCCACGATGGCTGGCACCGGCGTCGTATGCGGCGAGGGACAAGATGAAAAAACATCTACAAGAGTGGCAGTCCTTTGCCCACGAGCATTACGATGTTTGTCAGGGCCAACAAGACCAGAGGGAATGGGAGGAATTTTTCGGGTCTAGGTTGATGAGGACGAGACATGAATTCTTCCAAAAGATGCCATTGAGCAAGGAGACCATCGCGGCGGATGATCTTGGATTAGTGTGGGCGTATGCATTTCTTCTTCCGCTTTCTCTTACTCGAGAACTTGAGCTGATCTATGAACAGAGCGACAGCAAATACCGTTCCTGCGATTGGATGGATGCTGCTGGAGGTTCTCCAGCGTCCGGAACTTTTACAGAGAGTTCGTGACGATATTGCCCACTACGTCTCCTTGGACCCATCCGACCCTACACAGATGGTCGTCGATATCCCCAATCTCTGCAGTCGGCCCCTCCTGCAATCAATATACGCCGAGGTCTTGCGTCTCCGCTCTGGCACCGTCATAAATCGAGTCCCGACATCTAACGACTTCCACATTAGAGGGTGGCATTTCAAGAAAGGCGAACAGATCATTGTATCCACCTACGATGCCGCGCGCGACCAATTCGTCTGGAACCAAGGCACCATTGACGACCCACACCCTGTGAATGAATTCTGGCCAGAGCGGTTCATTCGATACCCGGATAACCCCAATAGCGGCCCAGTTCTACAAAAGATTACACAGGAACAGGCAGAGAAAACGCAAGACCCGATGATCTCAGAACCCACCTTCTCCCTCGACGGCACGGCTGGATCTTGGGTCCCCTACGGAGGAGGTACACGAATGTGTCCCGGGCGCCACTTCGCGAAAAAGGAGATGATTGTAACGATGGCAATTTTCTTGTCGGCATTCGATATTGAGCTCCTGCTTGATAAGGATTGTGAAATTCAACCCGATTTGAAGTACTTCATGTTCGGTGTGATGCATCCAGAGGGGAAAATACCCGCCAGGATTCGGAGAAGAAGTTTCCAATGATGACCAGATGAAGATTCATGCTTGCTTCTTAATAGCACCAATGTGGAGACTTCGGTTGAGAAATTGGAGTATCGTATTTACTCAATCCCCCCATCTTACCCGGGCTTCTTTACTATAAATCCCCCCTCTCGGGTGCGACTATATTTAGGCGTATAAACAAATGAAATTGAACATAGGCACCGAGCTAATATCCGCGTGTTGAACCTCCTAAAGACCGCCTGGTGTTAGATTGACAACGCGACAAGAACTTCAATCTATACACAAAATGCCTATCCGTAAACAATAGTTAGGTTTCCAGGACGGAATGCTGTGCAACCGGCGATAAAGTTACACTATAGACGGTTCCGACTAGTGGCATAGATCGGGGGCCCTATTACGATGACTCGTACTCTAAACATTCGAAGCTCCCTGTTATGGTATTGACCCCCGTGAGGCTATTCACACTTTTTAGCCTAAGGCTACCTAGGAGGTTAGCTATAACGTACTAGTTCGGTGATCTCTTACTCCCCTTCTACTGCTATTTCGTCGGAAGAGAGTTGCCTACTAACCGATATATTTCTTATATGGGCTAATACGGTTACCTAGTTACCCCTCCTTCTATTGATAGGGAATATATATAAGATCAGCCTAGGGCAAAAGAAGATAGGGCTCCCTAAGAAACAGTCTCTATTCCAATCTAACTTAGTACTCATCCTCTCCTACCTAGTTAACAGGCTTACTACTCTGCAAGTAGTTCACATCATAACAATACTAAACTATTTCTTATTTAAAATTAAGGCAGTCGAATCAGATTAGTACTACTATAGAGAGGGGTCTTAGACACCGAGATATATCCTACTCTAGTACCCGTTATACGCTAATCTAAGGAAGACCTTCCTTAACAAGATTAGGTCGACTGATCTTGGAGGCTCGACCGACTACGATATAATTATATCGCACTCGTAGGCTACCCGCTACGGTAGCCGAATTTATGTTACAAATAGGTCTACTTAGGTAGTTCCGGCACGTCGAAATCGAGCCGGAACCACCGGAGGGCGACGAAAACAACGAGCTAGGATAGACTGGCAGGTGTAGGTGGTGAAGACGATAGGTAGGAGGAACGCTAAACCCACGGCTGACCGAGAGGTCGTGGACGAATATATCCAATACCAGCGAACGCCACGAATCGAGACGGAGCAGGAGGATAGGGATGCTAAAGGAAGGCGGAGATGGAGATGCAGAGGAAGTAGTAGGCTATTGTGAGGGCGAATTGAGAGATATATCGTGGGATTGGGGGCATTGCAGGCGTTTTGGTACTGTTTTCGGGCTGATTTTATATGGCGATACGCCGATTTCCTATGTATTTACTGTTTCATGTGCTTTGGCTGGCGTTCGGAATACTCTTGCTTCCGCCGGAGGAAGCGCCTGCATAGCCATTACGCCACTAGCTACATCAGGTCAATAGAGTATTGATTGATTGATTGATCGTAGATATCCGTGCCTTTCTGCCCACTATTGTTAAGGAGGTCTAGGCGTAAAATTAGGCCGATTTCACTAACCGCTATAGGATAGGCATACTATGGGTATACAAGTCTAGTGACCGAGTCATAGCAAGGAACAGTTTGTTTACCTCAAGCTCAAGCGCAGGAATAACTATATTATATGACATGTCTGATCACTCTAGAGCGTGGGAGCTGAACTGGCAATTTCATATGACTTGACGTAGCTTGACTGACAGATTTGTTTATTGTATCCTCTGAGGCGGTTCATAAATATTTGGGGTAGTCGCATTCACCGTGCCATTCCAACAGTATTGGTTGAAACAATCCACACACGAACTTGGTACCGACGTATTAGTTCGATGTAAGCTGCGACTAATGATCGCGCAACCCATGCAAATGCCCCATTCTGTCGAGTTTCCCATGGTAGCCACGTTGTATCCATTCAGTACCAGCTTGTCCCGTTCAGTGTCGTTAAATTCAAGTGTCAACGTCGAGATGTTCGACATGTAGGTATATGGGTAATTTGGAATGTAGATGATCAAAGGAGCTGGAGGCTTCCCTGTACTATTAGATGGATCGCAGCCAAAAAAGGTGGGCCGCCCATTCAACCCTAGGTTGATAAAGGTGTTTTGATCTGGAACGGAGGGAAACGCAGTCCCATTCGCAATTTTTGAAGAGTTACTGTTGCGCTGATATGTTGCCACCATGCTAGTCCCGTTGGGCCACCGTGTCGGTGTGTCTGCCGAGCTGTCAATGGCGAAAATAACGTCGACCTTGCGATTGGCTTGTAGGAGCGGGTAAAAGGGAATATTTTGCAGATCCTCGCCCCCGTCGACAAGGATAAGAGCTTTTGCTTGAGCATTCCGATTGCTCGCTTTATTGAAACCGAAGAATGGATTGGGCTCATATACTGACACGTCGTTTGACGAGTCATTGAGGCTTTGTAGAAGTGAGGTAGTGAGGCTCTTCAACGTACGTTGAATATCGGTGTTGTTGATTTGAAGCAGGGCTTGATTAAACAAAGAGGAAGATGTGCCCATGATGAACCCCACATTATCAAACCCAGATATGCAAACATCCTTTGATAACTTGCCATTTGTGAAATTCGACCCCAGAACTTTGAGTGGCATAAAGCCGTATGTTGTTGGGTCCCATGTACCCAATTCCCATGGGTTGAACTCGTAGACCGATGAATTTAATGCTGGTCGATATTTAATAATAGCTAAGTCAGCAAAGATTACACAGAATATGTCCGTAGAAAACAGTGGGCAAGTATCCTTACTAAGATTCTGCTCTGAAGGCGCTCGTTCAAGCGCGATAATAATCGGCATTGGCACATTTCCATCATGAAATTCAGCCGTTGAAGCGATAGATGACCACGTATATGCAGGCCCACCATCAGTAGCATTAACCAATTGGTAGGACAGCCCGCGACCCCTAGCCAGTGAGTCATCAATATTCATCTCTCATACTTGGCCCGGGGACAAATCGCCAGACTCCCAGTCAACAGCCGGGGGCGGGACATTGCCAAAGATGTGAAGGAACTTGAGTGGGAAATGAGTAATCTCGTACCAGTAATCAGTAATTGAAACAGGGAATCCAGCCTCATCTTTCCCATCTACAGTTTGTCGGAGTTGCCGAAAGTAGCCTGCATCACCTGTAGGTCCGCTTAAGATTGATTGATCAAATTCCCAAACACCACTGGCATTAGAATTCAGCAGTGTAGTCACGGTAGTAAAATTGTTCGTATAAATTGATCCGACCAGCCAGGAGCCACCGCTAAGCCCAGAGATATACGTACTTGATTGCACCAATCCACCTAGATGGCCTGGCGCAGTCGAGTTACTCGTGCGCTCATCGAATGCAGCAAATGCCCCAGCTCCGTTGAGTAATGCTCGGTAGCCGCCTCCTGAGAACGAGATCCCGATATTGGGTAGAGATGAGGCCTGAGTGTTTGCAAAATATTGGGTAGCATTGAAGTTCGGAATTTTCATTCGGGTCAGAAAGGTGTGCATCGCCTTCAACCTTTTGTCCTGGCGCTTCTGTAACCAATTCATTTCGTCCTCGCTAATATTTACCGCAATTCGCACGGTTGGATTAGGCGACGAGCATTGTACGTCTTCTGGTGTATATCCATTAGGCGCATTTGGTAAGGCTCTGTGAATCAGAGTGCCGGTAGAAGTGTCCAGTGATGACTTGCGGAATTGCGTCTGGCCAGAAGCGAAGCAGACAACGAAGAGGAGAGAAATGCGAATCTCCCAGTTCAACATGATGCAGGTAGATCCTCTTATCTCAAGGGAAGATGGAAATGAAAATTAAGATGAAGGTTGTTAACATTCGCTACACGAATTTAGACGAATTTAGCTGAATTGAGTGCCTCTGTATGTGTTGCTTGATGATCCTAATTATAGGCGTTGGCACGACTTGGAAGACCTGATTTGAGTTTGGAATCTCACGAGGATAAAGAATTAAGGGACGATGCCAGTTTTAGTATTATACTTATCAAAATTGAGGACGGGGAATACAATGATGGCCTTGTTGCGATGCTTCTAGCGAAACAACCAGGTGGCGGAAGTCGTCGCCATCACGACTTACCCGTACCGAAGTAATCAAAAGAATGAAACGGAGAGCTCGACCAGTCCACGGAGCCAAAAACCATGTAGTTGACGCAGAGAGTTGAATTCGCCACTAGAGCTGATTGATGAGCTTAACGCCACTGCATCACGATGATCAGAGCTCGTGAAGCTCATTGATCAACTCCCAACCGTAATTGATCGCTTGCGGGGATTGCGGGCGCACCCACAACCGAAAGCGGTGGGTGGGCAGTAAGGCACGGAACATCGGGAATGATTGCAAAGCAAGTCAAAAAAAGTAGATGTCATAATGACGAAAGCGGCCCGGCTCAAACTCTTTGCTATATACTGGCTAAGGTCACAGCTTATAATTCGTGCTAGAAAACATTCAATCTAATTTCTCAAAAGATTTATCGTATTCAAGATCCTCAATTTTGAATATTCGGCGAACCTCCAGTATGCCCAAAGCATATTTCGACCGTGACCCTATAACTCTACAAGAGGGAAGCCATGTCGGTGCTCAGATCGGTGGGAAAATGATTGAACCCGATGAAATGGAACTTGTTACTGGAGAAGTTGAACGGCTCATCATTTATAAAACTCCAAATTCCACTGTTGAGCTCAAGTGCACGCAGGATGTTCGTTTCTTGCCTGGGGAACAGGTTATCTTACAGCAGCTAGGTAAGCCCTGCAGGATAACTAGTTAGATGAGTGAACTATTATTAACTAGTACCACAGATCCTGTTAGCTACGCTGCTATAGGCATGAAAAGCGGAAAGGAAGTTGAGTTTAAAGAGTGAAACAGTTCATGTCGTGCTTTTAATGATTTTCCATTCTGTTCTTGCTACGGTCAGAATTAATAAAAAAATTGGCTCCGTGTCGGGGACTTCAGTCATTGAAATGTTGTTAACGTAAGTCACGGCCGAACGGATCACCAGGTGTAAAATCTCCCAACACTACATACCTACCACATTCAACCGCTTACCATGCCACCAATTCGCTCTCAATCCTCGCAGAAATTGGCCAATCAAGAGGGCAAGATCTTATTAGCCCTTAATAGTATTAAAAATGGCCGCATCAAATCTCTACGCATTGGTTCATAACATCGAGGCCGTGACGTATCTAAGGATTCTTTCTGAAGGCCTAAGAGGAACTGGGTCACGGAATGGAGACAATGATTCATCCTCGTGTTGGGTTGTGACTATAGAGGAAAGCATCGATCCTGAGGGGCGCCCAAATATCGACTGCTGGCTCTGGTCCGCTTCGATATCGGGTGCTACGGCAGCGACCTCGGGGGCGTTTCTGGCATTTTCCCTCCCGGCTCCGAACAACAGCGTCATACTACTGCTGACCAAGCTAGTCAGCCTGTCGCTGCCGGTGCCATCTGGCATAGAGAAATTTCCTCGTGATATCATATAAGGAGGATCATAATATCAAGAAGTCGAATAGCTGTGCGGCGAGATTTGCTAATTGCTACTGCCCGGTCTTGATGACTTGGAATTTGATAGAGTTCTTGCACGGCGCACCCGCCTTGGTAGTTCCGTAGCAGATTCGAGCCTCAGTAGAGAGACTAACACCCATCTCATTCGCAAAACGATTCAAATCTTGGGAATAAGACATGACTTAGTGAGAGTCGGGAACCTCCCGTTATAAAAGAAAGCGCCCCTTCCGTAGCAGGCCTTGATCATCTTGAAGTAAATGAAGGCAAGCATTCTTGCAGGTCATGCTTCGCCACAAGTCACTTGCATGCTTCTGGTCGTCTTAGAAGAGCTCCTAGGATATCCTGAGCTCCCTGAAGCTCACAAGCATGGTCCACAGGGTAAACACTGTCTCTAGAACATGAAATTGGCGCTCAGGAGTTGTCTATTGAGAATTGAAGTCCCGAGAAGTTGTGTCTAGTATAAAAGTCAAATAACCCTCCTAGAAAAGCTGTGACATATTCGTCTCATCCACAAACTTGCCATCTTCTGCAAACTTCTCGTAGTTTACAGGAGCTTATCTTTCACAATGGTCTGTTCAATATTGCTACTAGAAAGTCTCGATTCGCTATTGATAGCATTAGCTAATATCCTACAGGCAACCCTCCAAAGCCTACCAACCCATATTTTCATGCTTGTTGTCACTCAGCTAAATGTTCGTGACGTGGTCTGCAAATCATGATGGAATCTTTACTGTATTAAAAAGGATGTTGGCAAATAGACTGCCAAAAACGGCCGCAGCCGACGCTATTTCGGCCGTTAATTTGCCAGCCTTTCCACCTAGCCTTTCCACCAACTCCTTTGGACACTTGCATCCATATACCACCAATTCATGTAAGGTGAACATTATTGACCAGTAACCTGCTTAATAGGTAGGATGGCAGCTATGTAAAAGTCGAACAAAAGGTCTGGAACCTTGTGGATATTATCGATGACAAACCTAACAATTGCTGGCAGCGAAAATGGACTTGACATATTCCGATAATAAATGGCGGTTATCATGAAATGGAGAGAAAGGGAGCAAGTGACGGCGATTTTCAGTCAAAGAATAGATACGTGATTTTAGTTTCTCGGGTGTGAAGTGGCATGAATGATTGTAATATTGCCTACTTTTTTTAGTACATTGATGCCCACTTCGCGAGGCATAAAGTAAGGCATTCTCCGGCGCTTCCGACATCACATGATAAACTTATATCATCATTACGTCCGTTTTACAGAACGGAGAATCATCCATTATTATCTTTAAAATAGTTGAAAAACAATTCATTATCCTAATGTTGCGGCTCTATTCCACATGAGATATACATGATGGAGTCTCCAAATTTGGGATCTATGTGGAAGAAAATTCAAGCGAAGCTGGGACTGAATATCCCCATCGTGCTGTTGATGTTCAAGTATGCTTTTCCCAGAGATTCGTTTCCCACCACTGATGAGGTCCCTCTTCATTCCATATAGTCCAATTCTAAACTGACGGGTATGGACTACAGAGGCGCGATTGCACCGACAATTGGACTCTCAATGTACATCCACTCTCTCCAGGGAGGCTAGTAAATTGCATTAACATTCTGCAGATATCAGAGCGATGCTGTCGCACGACAATTTTCTACCATTGGCTATCTCATCCCCATAATGTCGATTCTCACGATTCCAGTCGCTCCACGAGCCCGATTCTTCCAAAATCTTATAGTGGCCACGGTATGGACCTGTAATTCACGAATGATATGGTCTGTCTGTGTTAACTTTCTTTTTGTACGCTAGCTTTCGGTTGGTTTCGCAGTCGCAGTGTCTTTCTTATCAATGTGGTGTGCCGTCCGGGCTCGCGCAAATACCACCCATATACCCCGGGGAACCAACACTGCTGGTCCAGTTGCTGGTGCTTCTGTAAGCCCGTATAACGCCGCTGCAAGCGTTAACATGGCAATCTGGTTGTCATTCGAAGTGTGGCTGGCAAATACGTATGTTTGTTGGTCAAATTTCCTGTTATAAGCTCTCAAGATTGACGGATGGAGTAGATTCCGTGCTTTTCGACCGCAATACTTCATTCCCTCGATAATATTTTCCATTTTTATCCAGGTAACAGCGACCTATGGAACTCAGTTCGAAACGATGGATGAAGCTGGATCATTAAGTAAGATTTCCCCATCTGCAATCGTAGCCGTATATAATTGCTAACTGCCAGATTCTTCTCCAGTCAAACACTTGGTGGGATCATTTTTTGCGGGATTTGGACTATCGGCAGCAGTCAATGTGTTAATTATTCCACTCACATCTCGAAAGCTTGTCAGTATGCACATGGTGGTCAATTTCGAAGCGATCCAGAGAACACTGGATGCCCAACGTGAATTTGCGAAATCCTTATCCTTGCGTGACTGGCGTTTTGTCCATGGTAACCCAGATGTCTCCCAGCAGGAGCATACACTTTCATGGGCAGAAGCAGACACCCTGAAAAATGCAACCATGGAAGCTGCCAGAACCCTTGGAAGGATAATATCGGAATTGCGCTATGCCAAACGCGAGGTCGGTTGGGATTACCTAGGACCCAAAGAGCTAGCGAACATTACTCGCATATTGAAGAAGGTATTGGCCTCAATGCTATGGATGGAGTCACTTGTCGAAGCCTCCAGACGTATCCCTCGTTTAGTGAGCGAGATGGAGAGTATCTCTCGTGAAGAGGAAGAGCAGAAGTGGTGTTGGGTATTTGAGCAAAGGCTCCGCCCCACTGAGCAACTTATCCAAGCCATGAACGAAGGTCTCGACCACTCCATGCACATTCTTCGCCTCGGCAAAGCGCAGGCGGTATCTCAACCGGACATTGAAGCTAATAGAGATCATGCGAGGTCACACTTGGAAGAGATGATTGAACGTTTCCTTCAAGGAAGGCAGGATCCATTAGGGACCTGGCTCTCATGGACAGGCATGGATCAATCTTCTGAAATACCTACGGGGGAAATTCTCAGCAGCGTGAACGGTACCGATTTCAGCTCTACTTTCTCCTTGATGTAGGCTTTTCCTAGCCCCTGCGTTGAAAATGCATACCCTGACTTTATTATAGATGGAATCTTCGCTCATTTCGACTGCGAGAAGAATCCTAGACCTGGTCAAATACGCGGATTTTAAGGTAGACGATGGCACCATGAATAAAAAGGGACTGGTGCTACCAACATGGAAGCAGATGAAAAAATGGTTCTGGGCCTCATTGTCTAGGGAGGACCAAGAATTGGATTATTACCAGTACAGCAGAAGATCCGGAACTGTCAGGATATACCTGGACGATGTCATACAGACTGGTAGAGATCCAGAACACCTTCTCCCCCAAAGCACGTGGGAGAAGATTGGTGATAACTTCCGGAAGGGCTTTCACTTCTTTGGTTCGCCTGAGTCTGTGTTTGGCTTCCGAGTAGCCGTGGCTACCATGGCTGTTTCACTCGTTGCATTTCTCAGAAACTCGCAACACTTCTACATCCAGCAACGTCTCATCTGGGGTTCGATAATGATTGCAATTAGCATGGCATCGACCGTTGGGTCAGCTATGTATGGTCAATCAATGCGGCTCCTTGGGACATCTATTGGAATGGTGTTGTCGTATATTGACTGGTACATAGTCGACCAACAGCCAGCAGGTGTCCTTGTCTTCGTTGGGATCACAATGTTTTTGTCCCACTACCCATTAATTAGGTTTCCCACTCATGCTGTGCCGCCTATAATCGAAATGGTCACAGTTATGTTAATTGTGGGCTATGCACTTCAAGTGAAGAAAGTGGGGGTCATCTTCTCCGAGTCCAACGGGCAAGCATACCACGCTCTATACGTACTGTCACCTTATCGACTCGCTACTGTTGTTGGTGGAATCGGGGTTGCTTTTCTTTTCACATATTTTCCCTCTGCAGCCACAGTCAAAAACTGTTTCCGACGAGATCTTGCATCTTTTCTGTATCTTCTCGCACATTACTACAGCTCTGTGTACACGACGAACTCTTTATTAATTCAAGGTTTGGCTGGAGATCATAGCGACAAGAAGAGTCTCGGGAGAGTCCTTGAAAAAGCTCGCACTCGTGTACTTGCCAAGGAAGTCGTTCTCCTACAGGGAATGGAACAGCACAAGTGGTTCTTTCCCTGGGAACCTACTACTGGGGGGAAATTCCCCAGGGGTGCCTACGATAAATTGGCCGAGCATGCGCGAAAGTAAGTCCGTTCCTTATCCGTTCCAATTGTTCCAAACACTGATATATTGTATCCCTAGCGTACTTCAATTCTCGGCAACATTAATCGAAATTGCGGACTCATTCCATCTCGCCGGACCAATATCCTCAGAACCGTGGGTAGAAGACACTAGACGGCTCATAACTTCCTTGGACTTAAGGTCCCATGAAGTGACATCTCTTCTCGCGACACTATCAGGTGCCATCAAAACCGGGAACCCATTGCCTCTTTATCTTAAGGCGCCCAAAATTCGTCTGCCTACCGAGCTGCTTGCTGCTGCTGCTCCCGACGCGAGCATTCTTAGTGTAGAAAATTTCAGCCAGCCGGCGTTTTCAGCCATTGCTTCCATGGAGATTACCATGATGGCCCTGGAAGACGAACTATCTCAACTATTATCCGAGACGAAGCATCTTGTGGGAGAGTTGAACTTGTTGACAGACATTGTCCGCCGCAAAGACTTGCCTGCTAATGTGGATTCAATAATGGCAATGGAAAAAAGAGATTGACTTCTGGTATCTTCACTAATATGGCAAAATATATATTCACAAAGCTTGCAATATATAGCCGATATTTAGAAAAAAAGGAGATAGTGCTGCACGAAGTAAATATGTTCACCGACAATTGTCCTGATGTTGCTGTTGAAAAGAGATGGGTTACTATTTAGACATTAGTTGGGATCGACTACAACCGACAGCTTGGACTGGTCAGAACATCGGTTTGAGCCCTGATCTAGTACTATTGAAGACTTATGTTCGAGAAGGTGCCTAGGCAAGAGGGTCTGGGTTAGATGAATTATTTTTTGATGGGGGATGTTAAGGCTAGTTCCTACGGGTAAGCTATACTACTGTCAGCCAGCCTTCCTTCGCCTACACTACTGCCTTAGCAATCTAGCAGCCTAGGGCTATAGGCCTATATACTAAGAACCCTGATAACTAGCTAACTAGCTAAGTTATTCGAATTAGGTCATCTCTATTAGCTAGAGCTACTATCTAGTTTAAGGGCTAGTAGATAGGAATTAGATTCGCAATCTTTATAAGTATCACCAGTATTGACCAAAGTATATTCTTTGGAATTTTTTACCTATTGACTAATCAATTTTGCTGTAGCAAGGTAGCGTAAGTCTTGACAATTAGATTAATACTACTATCTACCTAGTAGGCTTACTACTCGCTAAGTTATTAGGGAATTCAATTTTTTGGACTTGGAGATTTTGAATATATGTCAGATATATGGCAAGATGCAAGATGCCTAAGCCGTCAGGCAGTATATCAAGCCAGATTCATGTCCTATACCAAGGCCAGAACGATGTTCTGAATCTCTATAAGCTTTATGCTATTATATCATCATTATCCAATCGGATAATCAGGCATGAACAGACGCATCATAGTCATGCAATCTACATCATTATTACGATTAAATTACATCGTACAATCAAGCAATTGCAAATCAAACGGCTACTGCATGAAATCACTATATATCTAGATCTATCTACATAATATCATCATATACATCTAGATCTATCTATATAAGATCACTATATATCTAGAATACATCTAGATCTATCTGGATTGATCATATGCAAGAAACAAGTTTAATAAGTTTGCATAAAATATTGATTATAAATATGCCCTGTTTTCTCTACCAAGATCTCATCATAATCATATTTAATACATCAAGCAAGAACAAGACGATTTAATATAATCAACCAAGCTTCAGTCCTACTTTACTTTTCTCTTATCTCATCTTGATCTGTTCTAAGCCGAATTGAACTTATCCTTTCCTATTCAATCAAGAGGAAGAAAGATCAATCGATCTTATTCAATCATCATCAACCTTCTTCCTTTTTACCTACCTGCGCAGCAGATCGCTTGCTCACACCTATAGGCCCAGATTGCCATTTTGAATCCTGCCTGCTTACTAAGCATTCTTCCTGGTTCTAATTACCGCGGAAGAAATCCCCATCTTGCTTACCGCTAGGAAAACCCTATCTTGTTTACCCCTAGATTCTGATCCTCAACGATCGTGTCAACATTGCCCGACTAGACAGAAGAATGTTCAACACTCCAAAATGACCTCGAATGTTCTTGATTTCCTCATGTGATATTTGCTATGTTCCTCATGTTATAAATTGCACTCTGTTTCCTAGTTAGAATGAACAAGTTTGACATCTTTTTTATCTCAAGTAGAATCACCGGGCATAGTAGACCATCTGAAACAACCTTCCACTGCTTGATTCTTCTGTCTGATCAGCCGCTTGTGTTCTATCCTGATTAGTCAGTCTTCCATAATCGTGGTACTAGGATTAGTGCGCACGATTGATCTTCATTACGGTTTTATGCACCAGACGCATTTTCCAACACAGTCTGTCAACATATATATGCATATATGCATGTGTATATTCCCCATATTGGCAATGTAGCTGTCCGGCATACCAATTATTGAATGTCCTACTCGGATAAAAAAGCAATGAGAATCCCAACATTCAGATTCCCATCAAGTCTCTCTTACTATATTCCGGATGTTCTTGATTTCTTTATGTGTTGCTTCCTGTGTACCTCATGTTATAAATATTACTCTATTTCCTAGATAATAAAAACAAATTTGACATCTCTTTGATCACGGTCACTCTTCCATAATTGTGGTACTATGATTAGTACGCATAATCTTTACATTACGGTCTTATGCACCAGACGCATAGCTGACATCCTCTTTTTTTAAAAGAAGTTGTAGAGAGGCGGAGAATTAGCGGATCATGGTGTAGAGACGGATCTATACAGTTGGCATTTCTATTTAACCTACTATACAGCAGACCTTCCCTATGACTGAGGCAGCTATATGAACGCGCTAAAGTCTCTTAATTGTACATAGAACTAGCGATAGTTAGTTAGAGACACCCAGGGCTCACCCCCTGGCGGCCTTGCCCCGATTAGGGATAGTGGAAAACGTGCAAGTCACGGGCACGGCCGTAAAATACACAAACACACACACACACTCTCTCTCCCGTTAATCGCCCTCGTAAAACTGCCGTCACTATATAGGTCGCCAGCTCATTTGCATAAATAGGTGGGCAATAAAATCCTTCTGAGCAAATTGGTGAAAGGCTTGAATCGATATTCCAAGTGTTTTCCGTTATTGCCCATAGTAAGTTGGTGCACAACGTGGTGGTCTACAAGCAGGAAACTAGTATGCTGTTTCAGTTAAAATCGCCCTCTCTGCAACACAAAATATATTAACGTAATTCCCGCTTACCCTGGCCACCCGCTTACCCTGGCCACCTACCCCTAGTAGAAAATCTCAGAGTCGATTATCTCAACCAAAATCCATTGAATTCACTAATAAGAACTATTCTTACATCGATTGATCCTGTGGCCAATTTCCCCACACCCACTACACCTAGGCGGGGCCCTGGTAGGTGGTGGATTTGCCTGACTAGGTAATTCGCCCTGCACATGCGATACTACCCCATCAGCTTCTACCGGCTGGTTCAGCTGTTCCACGAGCTGTAGGCCCTCCTCGACTGTTAAACCCTCTTCGCAGGGTATATGCTTATGCGACCGATTGCGCTTCTTAACGATTTTCTCATTGGCTGCGCGTAGATTCGCATTATCCTGCGAAAGTAATGCGGCGCTATGTAAGGATAGATAGCTACCCTTAATAAGCTGATTTATCATGCTATTGATTGGGCTCGGAGGGCTATTTGACCGCCGGTGTAGTAGATCCTTGAGTACTGAAACTTGCTTTTGTAGCTGGACGACGGTTCTAGGCGTTTTTGGTGTGAATTGGCTAGATCTGCTGCTTGGCCGGCTGCTTAGTGGCGAAGGGGTTCGTAGAGAGATATTAAGCTTATTTAGCACTCTCTCTGCATTCAATGGTACTAAACCACTAGCTGCGAAGCTATTTTGAATAGTAGGATTGACTGATTGAAAGGCTTCTAGCCGTGCACGTTGGTAGTCTTCCAAGAAATCGAATTTATCGATATGGTTATATCCTCTACGCGCAAGATCGCTTACGAAGCGACCGTACGCGCGCTTTAGCACCGTAAAACAGCCAACATCTAGTGGCTGTAGTAGATGGGATGAATGTGCAGGCATACAAAGAGGTATAATATCGTTTTCTGTTCATAACCGGTCGAATTGAGGCGTAAGGTGGCTACCATGACCATCAAGAATTAATAGCCGAAACCGGCCTCGTACGCGCGAATTCGTGCGTGGGATAAAGTGCTTTTCTAGCCAGCGTAGGCCAATCTCATCGGTAGTCCAGCTATTATTAGATATTTCAAATCGCCAATCGCGTGGTAGGTTATCAAACCAACCAGCAATAGCTACTTTGCCTTTAAAAATCACACATGGCGGTAGTGAATAGCCATCTGCACAGATAGCTTCGATAGCAGTAACCCATTCACGATTCCCTGGCTGTAGGATAGATCGCCGACCGTAGTATTCAGCTCTCGTAACTACCTTCTGCGCTGAAATAAGGCCCATTGCGAATCCTGTCTCATCAAAGTTGTAGATATCCTCCGCTTGTATACCGTTCTCGTCGATAACGCGCTGTACGGTCGTAAACCACTCTCGTAGCGATTTTGGATCTTCGTTTAGTGCGCGCTGGTAGTCATATCGCCTAGAGAAGCGTGTTCGAATCTCATCGCGTCGATTTATGAAGGATGATGACCAATTCTTGCCAACCGTCGGCGGAGGATAGCTACCACGCGCAGCTAGTAGGATATTAGCCATTTCGGCTACAGTAGCTGGCCTAGGCGCTGCTCCACGCGAATCCATAGAGATAATCCAATCAACAAGCGAATCCTCTTCTAATTGTGTGAGTTTATGGCGTGGGTGGCGTCTCTCTGCCATAGAAACAACACCATGAGCGCGTGTTTGTAGTGTAGCGCGTGGTATTGCGTATAGCCTTGCTGCTTCGCGTATAGATTTAACGCGCCCATCTTTGATATCATTAAGGGCTAATAAGATCTTGCCCTCCTGATTGGCCGATTTCTGCCGAGATTCAGAGCGAATTGGTGGCATGGTAGATGGTTGAATTAGGTAGGTTGGTAGGAAGACGCGATTTTGGATGGGGTGGCCAGGGTAAGCGGGTGGCCAGGGTAAGCGGGAATTACGTTACAAGGAAGTAATATGGTTAGGTAATTCCGAGAGCCAGTAAGCCAGGTTTTGACCCCCTCAACGTGAATTGAGAGAACAGGACGATGACCAAACAAGCTGCTGTGACATAGCTGACGTGGTCTGCCAAATGTTGTAGTAGATGCGAACACATCAGGTCAATGATTGGTTTCCCAAGGAGGTTACTAAATATGCTGTCATCAACAGACCGAAGAGGGTCCCTTGTGAAAGGGGGCCATATGCTGTAGGATATCTCTGGAGTTTCAAATCAAACCGAGAATTTTGGTTTCTTTGGGTGTAACTGGTACGACACTGTGTGATCCGGCTTGAGAATCGAAGATTCGACTGCGATGAGAATTTGTGCTGAACTCATGGCGTGGGTGCTGACCTAGCCGCCGGATTCTGTCCGCTTCCGTGTGTTTGACCATCATTACTGAATGCGGGTGGGTTCGCTATTGAGCCCCACTTGCCGGAAGCTGACGGGAGCGGACAGGAGCGGACAGGAGCGGACATGTCCGCCTTTAGGTCCATTTGAGCTTATACTTGCGGCTTTTAGAGAGTACAAGTGCAGCATTGCAACACCCCAGACTATGCAGCAGCTGATGCTGGGGTTTCTTTGAAGGCAAAAGAGAACGGAATCCACGGAAAGTCGGCATAGACAACATCGTTCGGAATTTATATTTAAATCAGATCGAGCGCCTGTTGAATTAATTTCTATCCTTCATCTCTCAGTCACTTCTATCGGTTGGCTCGGAAGGTCGTTTTCTTCTTAATTTCCAGAACCAGCGCAAGATGCTCTCCAAGCAAAATATCCTTCCATCTGAGGCAATCCTCGAGAGATATGGCACTCGTTTAGCAGGCAAGACAATTTTTATCACCGGTGTCTCAAAGGACTCCATTGCAGGTGAACTTGCACTGCAGCTGAGCAGTGTGAACCCTGCCTTGCTGATCTTGTCTGCGAGGTCGGAGTCTCGTGTCCAGCCCATTGTCGAGAAGATCAAGGCCAGGAACCCTAATGTGGCTACTCGATTCCTAAAGATGGATCTCGGCGATCTAAAGGATATCCACAGAGCGGTGCACAGTTTGGACGATGTCCCGAAAATCGACCACATTGCTGCTGTCGCAGGTATTATGATGCCCCCGTATGGAACTACTGCAGATGGAGTTGAGTCTCAGTTTGGCGTCAACTACTTGGCAAACTTTTTGCTCGTCAAATTGTTGCTACCCAAAGTTGAAGCCGCTGGACCACATTCCTCAATCATCATCGTTGCAAGCTCAGCGGTGCGAAGTGGAATAATCAATTTCGACGATATCGGCTACAGTGTCAGTACTACATTTTGTTCCTCTTCCCGAATCCAAGGCTAATGGCCCATAACAGGACGGCAAAACGTACGATACTCTGGCTGCGTACGGCCAGTCCAATGTTGCTCGAGTTATGTTTGTAAAGAGACTAGCCCAGAAGTTGAGTGCGAAGAGGATCCGGGTCTATAGCATCGACCCTGGGGGTATGTCATTATCACCGAGTCCGCAATTTGCGACTATTATAATTTATGCTAACGCTTTAAAATGAATTCAAGCCGTTCAATCAGGATTGCAGCGCCATGTTACCCCTGAAATGGGAACCTTTATTGAACAAAGTTATGCCTCCGGTCAAGGTATGTGTTGAACCTAAATCACTAACGGCAAATGCAGTCATTTGTGCTGACCTTTTTCTTTTTTAGCCCTGCGCGACGTTGATGGAAAGGAATACAAAATGCCGCCTTGGACAAGCAGCTCTGAAGGAGCGGCAACCATCATCACGGGCATGATTGATCCGACCATTGAGACATCAAATGGCTCCTTCCTGCACAACAATGCCGTCGCAGATGAGGAGTTGCATTCGCATGTTGTCACTCAAAGTAACTGGGTCAGACTGTGGGGTTTGAGTGAGAATCTGATTGGGGGGAAGTTCACTATTTGAAAAATAACAGATGTTGCACATATGTTCCATAGCCGGGGCTGTACTTGTCCGCCGACGGGCGAGGCTCCCAGAGCCCTACATAAAGGAGCTCAGGCCCCCTCCCCACTCCCCCCAATAAAAAACGTAACGAGCGAGATACCTGGGAAGTTATACCCAGCCTCAGTCGCCTCAGATGGCTACCTGGACGCCATAGGAGTTTGCTTGGAAGCCCTGTGGCTGCGCCTGCCGAGTAGGGTTGTCGAGCAGCGCGTGGTACTAGTAGACGTCGAGCCCGAGGGAATTCCGGGTGTAGAAGTCTTCTACTAGGTAGATAAACCGGCAGCATATGATTTCATTGCTACTCCTATGGCTACCACCACTACCACTACCGCGTAGGCCACCAACATGACCACCGGGGAGCACCAGCCTGGCCCGACAAGCCATAGGTCCTCGCCTTCTCTACTAGATTCTGCTCCAGGACCACAAGAAGCACGGTAATAATGGGCATCTGGTTAGTCACCAGTGCCGCAGAGAGGCGAAATAAGGTCGATCTCCCACCAACGGGAGGTAATATCAGGAAGAGACAGGGCACCGTGGAGAGGAACAGGTGGCATAGAGCCTCCCGCTGTTGAGAGCAGCAGAACTGGAGCGTCTGGTAGCTAGGAATTCCTAGTCCTCGACAGGTCCCATGAGAATCTCAAAAAGTCCCGCCCACTCCCACGGAGCAAATTCCCATGGGCCTAGGGGGTGGCCACCCACTTTCTGCCTGAATTTTCATAATTCTAACATCGACATAGAGGACATTCTGCACGAGCCTGTGCAGATCGGGTATTCCCAGAAGTATGATATTCTTGACTGGATTGAGAACCTCTACCAGGAGTCTTGCGGATTTGAAATAGGGACGTTCAATGTATCTTTGCCATTAAGCGTACTAAAGAAGCAGACGGATAAATGACCGGGTTTGGCCAAGGGTTATATCTCCGATATCATTTCTGTGATTCATATTTTCACTCAAAAGGCGTTGAAGGTATCTTGCGGGGATGAACGAGTCAGTCATAAGATCTTGTCGTTTTTGATGGACAATCTCATCGCCAAATATGAGCAAGCTCTTTATATGGCAGATTTTCTCCTCCGCATCTAAAGGGAAGGGACCCTGATGACTCTAAATCATTTCCTCAATAGTAACTCGCAAAAATGGCCAGTCCCCAATACAAAAGGCACTTTATATGTCACTAACGATCACCTAAATCGTCAGGGGTGCATTTATTGCGCCGTCAAAGAGAATTCGTTGTCCGATTGCTCGCATGGAGAAGTTGTTTGAGTCTCTGATATCACTCAGTTTCAACATATGTATAACATGACGCACACTGTTCAAGACATACTTGATATTTTGAAATTTCTACTGTGCAATGATAAGGAAGAATTTGCTAGCTGCTCACCAAACTATTTAAGAAAAGATCGAAATATAGCGAGAATAGCACGCCGGATGGCCGGTTTGCGTTCACAGCCAGACGTTCCGGTCTTTACCGCATCTGGTTAGTATGTTGTCAGCATCCGCGATGGACTTATTTTCACGGACCTAAGCATCGGACTTAACAAGCACTAAGTATATATAAACGAGTCGTTGACTGAATGCTGTCCAATTTACTCTTAAAATCACTTGACCGCTAAGTAGCCATCAGCCTCCAAAATGCATCTCATTCTCACTGGTGCAACCGGCCTAGTCGGCTCTGCCGTGCTTGACTCCATGCTCAGAAATAGCACAATCTCCAAAATCTCGGTCCTAAGCCGGAGACCTGTGCAAATGGCAGAAGATGCGAAAGATCCGCGAGTGCACGTCATCATCCACAAAAATTTCGAATCTTATCAGCCAGAACTACTCGATCAATTGAGAGATGCGGACGGATGTGTTTGGGCTCTGGGAACAAGCCAAAACAACGTGAACAAAGAGTATTACAAAGCCCTCTCTTTCTCCAGTGCGCGGTGTGTTTCAGCTCTGACAGTCAAAAGGCAATACGTCAAGATAACTAGGGACTATGCCCTGGCGGCCGCCGATGCATTTTCCACTCTTAAGCCCTCGGACCTTCCCTTCCGCTTCATCCATGTGTCCGGCGAAGGAGCCACACAGGACCCAGGGAGATTGTCACCGATCTTTGCGAGAGTGAAGGGCGAAACTGAGTCACTTCTGGGCAAGTTATCTGAGAAAAATCCAAGTACATTCCGCGCAGATAGCGTGAGGCCTGCGTTTATCGATCCAGAGATTCACGATGCTATCAAGCCGTATATTCCTTCCAACAATGGAATCCTGCAAAGAATAGGAATGGTCTTCATTGGCCCCGGTATAAAGTACCTTTACAGATCTTGGCATTCTCCCACGAATCATCTTGGCCCATTTTTGACTGAAATGGCGATGGGACGAATGGATGAGAAGTTGAAGGGCTCAGGGGTTTTCAAACTCGGCGGTGGCTGGGTTATTGAGAACAAAGGTATGCGGAGAATGCTAGGATTGTGATCATCAGGGGAGCATGGATTATGGATGACGGGCGTCATGTATAATATGAATAGACTAATTTACTCTTCTGTTCGTTTTCACCTTCGTTTCTAGCTCATTCTACTAGTCTGGAAAGGAATCCATACAAAGTAACTACTGTAGATCCCGGACGGAGCTATTCTCTGGCAGTACACAGGGTGGAGGATCGCTAACGGATCTTTGCCCCGGTCAAATCTTGGTTGTCCACGATAAGTGGGCTGTGAGCCCTCCGCCAATGGGCCCTCATTGTTTCAGTCGCGCGAGCTGTATATTGACAGTTTCGACTGGGCACCAGTAACCGCGATAGACCGGTAATTCGGGGATCGGTCGGGAGGTGGTGTTGCGGACAGGAATGGCAACTGGCGAACGGACGTTGTTTGTTTGCCCCTTATGCAATAGAGGCATGGATTACCGTTTTAGGAAGTTTGCTAACGGATGGAGGCCTGAGGCCAACATAGCCTATAAAAGGCTCCTCCGCTACTATTCTCATCTTCCCCCTCTCTAGATTTGATTCCTTCGTTGGACGTACCGAAATCGATGCTTTTTGGCTCCTTTTTGATTGACTCGTAACAGGTGGGGGGATAAAAGGCGGGATAAAAGACTCGTTAATAGTCTCGGCATGGTTTGCCGCCCGCTATACGCCTGCACGGGCAGATGGATATCGTCTATGCTTTACGGCTAATGGGAAATGATACTTATGGTATCCACTACATGTTGACAGGTTCTACGGACCCAGAACCGATAAGTAGTGTTATAAGTGAAGAATTTCCCAACGGAGCATGGCATTGTTAATGCAAGAGTGAAGAAAAACTGTCTCTACTTAGAAGAGAAGATAAGAGTCGGGTAAAATAATATTCCAGAGAGAGTAAAGAAACTTAGGGGTTTGCTTGTCATAGCGATGGGCCATTTAGAATATGTATGTACGAGTTGCATTGGCAGCGGCCTTCGGCCGCTGCTACGGGATGTACTCAGAAGAATGTAACGGAAGGGAAATATTTATGAATTCATAAATTTATTAGACAGGGAGGAACGGTCAGGTGTCAACGTTGTGGAGGCTAACTAATATATCCTACCCAGGGCCTCCACCTCTCCTGCTGTAGTTCAACATTTCCAAATCACATAAACATTTCAGGTCGTCCCATGCACCACCATCCTATCACAACAACCTCGGATAACCCAATATGGAAATAAGAGGCAGAAAGCGTGAGAAAAGGTTTCTGTTCGATCCCAGTCTTGTAATAGAGTGGAAATTGTAGTCTTAAGTGCAAGAGAAGAGGGACTAGCTTATATCAAAATTGACACAGCATTCCACTCTGGGCTCAACACCTCGTAGGAGATGGTTCCACAATCATCAGTCGCTTGTGCATAACTCTTGAATTCTCTTTCGCTATCAGCGAGCGCTGTATAAAAATTTCCGGTCGCTTGTGCGATGGCTTTGTCCTTCTCTGAGGTCTTGTTGCGATACACTCGAAATTTCGAAGCAGCGTAGATGATCAGGCTTTCTTTATTACCTGGTTTGAAGCTGAGTAGGTATGGTATATGCGAAGAAAGAAGCCATTCTCGGGTGTGATTCATGGGCAGCGCCTTGACAAGGTGATTCTCCGTGTAGCCGAGCAGGTCGTGTAGAGAGGATGGAGGCTCGGTGTAGAGGCAGGGAGGTTTGTTGACGACAAAGGACTGGTAGTAGTTTTGTAGATAATTGACAGCCGTATGCTGGGGAGATGCGATGTGAATACACATAGTTACACAATCAACCAGCTCCTCGAAGGTGCTGATGGTCGGGAAGGATGGCAAATCGGCACCACTGGGACTCCGCATCTCTGCAGACCAGGCCTGAATGTATTCGTCACGCAGGATGTCTTGGTCAGCGCCAGGCCCGGGATAGTCTAGAGCAAGCATGTCTTGCACGTAGCTCCTGATCTTGTGCCACATGCTATGAATGCATCTAGCGTATGCATAGTTGTGATACTTCGGACGGTCGAGTTGCTCCGGTGGGAACCCACGATGGCTGAGATCTGTCGGTATGTAGCGTTTCTTGAAGTCAAAGTCCTTGTAAGCGTGCCGGATAAATGAAGAGGCTTCATCCGCCTCAAACCCAATTAAGTCGACAATGACATGGGGAACGAGAGTGTTCCGGGCAGCTGCATTGAGTGCCAGGGTCTTCTGCCAGTGTGGGTAGAGCAACTTCATCACAGGATGGTTCGGGTCGAGCTGTCGGTGAGAGGCAACGATAATGGCCTCTTCAATTAAATGAGTGTTGGTGAGGTGCACGGTGACCTCATGCCGAAGCCAGTCGCTACATTGCACGCAGGTCTTGGCTATACCAAACCAACAAGTTAGCGCATAGCTAAAAGCCGTGATTGGTCGGGTGGCGTACCATATCTCCAGGCCCAGTCATGAGCCTCGTCGGTTATCTTCTGGTTTTGGGCCTGCTTTTTGCTTCCCGACCGGACATCCTTCCGCTTGATCAATTCCCGGTTGTAGATTGTCACAGATTTCTCAGCACTGCCCCGCCAGTCGATGACGATAGCTAGCGGGTAAAGCTGACCTTTATCATCAAGATAAAAGAGACACACAGCTGCGCAACCATATCGATAGCTTTTATTCTTCTTATCCTTCTCCTCTGGTTCGTCAAACTCACATTTGATGATGGCAGTTGGGTCCAGTCCAGCAGCATCGCGAAAGTAGCTGTAATCCTGCATGTACAAAGACTCCTGGCAGCTTTCACGGAGATCCGCAATGGTCGTTTTAGCCGCCGCGTCATCTGGGCCTTCTGCGGCTTCAATAAAATGCTCTATCCAACGATCTGAAGCCAGTTCAATTGTTGTAGGGTTCGTCCCTGTAAACTGCTGCTGGGCAAATCGCGCGTCGCTGTACCAATCTGACAAATCGCCCATGTTGGGAAGATTGAATATATCTCTCCGGAACCATGCTCTGCGAGCCTCCCTGTTATATCTTTCCACATCTTCAAGCCTTTCCCCGGCGTCGGGTCTGCCCATAGAGCCAAAATAAGCGGATGCGGTTGTCTCCGCAGTTTCTCTTATGAATCTATTTGGTACCACGCTAGGTAAGAGCGAGCTTAGCTGAAGGAGGCGCATCTTATTGAAAAGATAAGACGGCTGGAGTGTTGATTTATGGTCGCCTTTGTCCTTCGCTGCAGCTGGCGCATTGCCGGCAAGGTTAAGATGTGGCGGGTAGCCGTCTGAGCCATTGGTGAAGGCAAAGAACTTGCGTTTCTGGTCCCTGGTCAGAGGCGACGGAACCAAGGGCTCGAAGTTGGCTGTATCCATGAAGGATACAAAACTGCCGAGCATATTAGCCACCTCCGATGACCGGAAAAGGTCGAAAGCAAATACCGCTGTTCTATAAGATCGTAGATCTTGGTAAGCGCCAGCTGAGTCCCCCTGTATGTTCCTTCCTCAATCGGAGACGCCCCTTGTTCATAGGCTTTCCGATGTAGATTCTCAGGGTTTTGCTCAAATGTCTTTTTCTCGGCATCGCTCAAGGGTTCAAGCCTCCCCGGCAAATGGTCAGTATTCGCCAATTCATTGATGAATACACCATTGTCAATTTCATTGACAGGAAGCTTTTCAGGGTCCCTGGGCCAGTCTCCCTGAACGTCGGTATGGCCAAGCACGACAACAGGAGTGAGTAGGGTAGCGTTTTGTGCCATAACTGCTGGAAGGGTGTCGTATTGATTGATGAACTAATGTCGAACTTAAGCTAGCTGCTAGGCTTCCAGAAATTAGTAAGCCTATATAGGATGATTCAGTGTACAGGACTGAGAGCATTTCAAATATGTCGCCATCCTCAAAGAATGGTAGATTCATCAGTCATACTACTGACTAGTGATGTCATGACAGTAATCGAGAACCAAGGTCAAGGTTCACGTAGCATACTACGTTGCGGCAGCACCTTCAAATTTATCTATAATGTTAAACGTAATGAGCCCCTCCAGCTACTGTGAATATGTGTGGATTACTGCTTCTCGGATACCGTTAGGAGCTAGGCCGAGAGATCCAGAGTAGCCCCCGTTTGGAACCGAAAATGTTCTACACTAAAGTAGAAGTCCCGCGTCGCTGTGGAGATGAGGTTCCGAGTAAAGGAAGGATTGAATGCAACTCAACGCGTGGCGTTAGGAGTTAGTGACTCGTGCTATTTCCTTGCCAATGTTAGACCTAGCCAAAACCCGCAATTCTGCCGGTTAGTCAAGATTAGCCAATCCTCACCAGCCCGCCAGATTGCTAAGGCTACTAATATAGCCTTAGGAAGGCTAGCCGAAAGCGGTATAAATTACCCGTAGGAACTGGCCTTGGCATCCCCCATCAAAAAATATTTCACGTAACCCAGGCCCTATAGGGTAACCCCCTTCTAGCTAGAAATCTTTTAATATTTTTTGATAGATAGCTAGATTAGGCTATCTTATTAAAGATTTAAAAGACCCGATCGGAGAATTCCACTTTTTAGGGTACTTAATGGGGGGTTGCAATATTTAAACCTTAAATTCGTGTAACCCCCCTTGCCAAGACTTTTTAACTAAGATTTCCCCCCCCCCCCCCCCCAAACCCCCCCCTTCTCCCTGACATGGCCCGACTATGTTTAGGATTCGTACGAAGTTCGTAAAATGATTATTTGCATTCGCCCCGACCCTAGCTGTTACTGCCAACCTTTCTCGCCGGGTGTGGAGCCTTGACCGATGAGGATTGGGACATATCTGATGGAGCACTATAGGTTCACCGGAAACACCACATTCCTCCAGGAGACTGCTTGGCCAAATCTGCAGAGCGCAACTGCGTTCTACTACTGCTATACCTTCATGTGGAATGGATACTACACAACGGGCCCGTCGTTGTCTCCTGAGAATCAGTTCATTGTCCTAAAGAATGAACCTACGGCAGACCATGTAGAAGGAATCGATATTTCTCCAACTATGGACAATTCACTCCTCTACCAGCTATTCAATGATGTTATCGAGGCTTGTCACATCCTTGGGCTGACCTCAAGCGATTGTACTAACGCCCAGACATATCTGGCCAAAATCAAACCGCCTGAGACTGGCTCTTACGGGAAGGTTGCTCATATTTTTTATGTGAAAGAATTAGAAATCGGAGTTCAGATTTTCAGGTTTTGAATTGATTTTGAACAGCTACTCCAGGGCAGAATAAATAGAGGCTGTGCCTCTAAGCAAACATCATGTGAATTCGCCTTAGCGGGGGATAACGTAATTCCTAGTTAAGTAACTAATCGTTCTTGGCCAAGACTGAACGGGCCGTCCCTAGAATTGTCAGATCCAAGGCCAGCAGCCAAGCTCCTCCCAATACTGTAAAAGCACGCATTCACAGTACAGCCGTTTTTGAAATCACCATGACCAATACACACTTCATAACTAGTTCTTTTCTGGACCCACTACTAGGGTCTTAGCGCGGATTATTTGTTGAACAGGCTGCGTTAATGAGAGGCGCAGTAGTTATTACAGTACTCCAAATAGCATACATAAGTGTGACTGTTGTCGGGTTTGCGTGTTTGCTGCTTAGTGCGGGGTCGAACAGCGCCTCTTTCAGGCCCACTTTTGGCTCTTTTCGCAAGGCTTTGTTGTGAAGGGAGCCATACACAGCCCACCGTGAATGAGCCTCGCCGACTATTCGAGGCTGAGCCGGATTTAAAGATCTCTGCTTCTGTCATTGAGTATTCATCCAACTGGCCATTTCCTCTTCTGCCTCAGAACTTCGACCCAGCAATATTTTACCCTCCATCCTTCCAGTCTTCCACAATTAAATAGAGATCCTTGGAGCGGTTGCAGCTTCTGACCAACTAGTCGGGACATTTACGTCCCTCTACAAGGAACTGAGCGAAGCGTACCGAGTAATACGTCACGCGAAAAGGGAAGTCCAGGAGGTAAAGAGACGTACCAGAACGATGAAGAGGCTTTGGAGTATCTTTGGAGAGACAATGAAGGATGTCTCCAACATCGAAGAGTTCTCTGTTGACTTTGAAAGGTATAGGAAGTTTGACAGAGGTCTTAATAAACACGCACACAATATTATCGACAGAATAGAGAGCATTCTCGATACTTCTGCATCCTCTCTACACAACGAGAAGACTTTCGGCCAGGACAGACTTTTGAACGAGATAGACATGGTTTGTTCGGAGGAAAGAGGAGTTACGTTTGCTCTATGTGGACATGAAACTTCTCACCAGATACATGAGGACTTTTATCAACCTAGTCTTGCTGCAGATTGCTCTAAAGCAGTACGAGCTTGACAAGTCTGCTGCGACCAAAGCTCAAGTGTACGCCTGCACATACCATAAGAAAGACAGGCAAGCTAATATAGCCTTCCAGGGACTCGCTAAGCCGCGCGTTGAAAGACGAACTCAGGGGCATCAAACGCACCCAGCAGGCCCATCTATATACTCGCAGCAAAATGCAGGAAAGAGAAAAGGATGACTTCCTCCTCGAAGTTCGGAAAATTGTCAGGCGGGAACTGGTGAAGACCTCGGGATCAAATGCTGAGGATGATTCATACTCTGATTCAAGCTCTGATTCAAGCTCTGATTCATCTTCTGGCTGGAATCCTGGTCCAAGCTCTGGTCCAAACCCTGGTCCAGGCCACTCTCCAACTTATGCTCCTGGTCTTGTTCGCGTCCTGCTACGAGTACTATTCCAGGATCTAGTTCAAACACTGATCCAAGCTCTGGATCATCTCCGCCCCCGCCTCCTCGGTCGATTTTCCCGTCCACCCAGTCACGACATCCCAGAAGGCGTAACACCGGCCAAGGCAGTCTTCAAGTCCCTATAGGAGACGTTCAACCAACATCCAGCTCGCCTGCACAGACTGCGGCCTCGCTCAACAGTCCGCGGTATGCAGATTTACATGGCGCCTCTACAGATTCAGCATCCTTGGACTCGAGTATCGAGGCAGCACGGTCCACAGCGCAGCCAGATCCTGCCCGTCCTGCTGCATCTCATAAGTCAGGGGATGAAATAGTGCACATGTCAGATCATGAAAGTAAAGCCCGAGATTGGCCGAACATGACCGATGATGGCCTTGCGCATCGAACCACTAAACAGGGGGCGTCTCCCATCAACAGAGCTGACGGAAACAATCCAGGCTCTGCAGCACACACTTCTCAAGCGCGATTAACAAACCGCGCCTCGGGAGACGAGCTACCCCTTCAGATCCACACAATAGGGACCCAGGATAGGTCATCACCCAAGAAAACGAGCGACGAGTCTTTAACAATCCCATCAATCTTACGAGAGAGCAGGCGATATGGAAAACGTCAGAATAACAGGAGCCTGGCCCCGGTTTAGGTTTCGGTGTCTACGATACCGTATCCCGGAAACTTTGAGGGACATCTCAGCTAAGCAGAAACTATAGTTAAAGGGGCATTATCTGCATCAGATTTCTTGTCATTACGCATCGCCCCCATAGGCCACTCAGATACTTACACCTTGTATTGCCTCTTCATCCCGTTTCATTTAGTCTTATAACAATGACACCCGTGCGTAAGAAGCGGTAATTGTGAAGGGCTGTAGTAGAATTAATTCAATCGTACTAGGCCAACATGCTGTTTACAAAAAGCTTAGAGAAAAGAAGAGAAAAGGACAGATGTATCGGCGCATAGTACATTGGCGCCAGCTCCGACGAGAAGGCTCGAAACTGTGATAATCAAGTTAAATATCATTATATTTCCCGTGTTCCATACGTTTTGATGTTTTAACTGACCTTGCTCATGACTCTCGTCCGCGTTCATCGACCACGGCGTTTGTCCCAACTGTCTTTTGCGTCAACAGGCTTACCAAGAAGCAGCTGAACGACTTCAATAGAAGTTCAAAAAGCTGCCCGATGCAGAGGCACGGCAAATCTTAGATCTCTCACGTTGACATTTGCTCCGCTGTCAAGGAGCTCCTTCACGGCTTCTGTTTGACTGAGCTCAATATCGAGGAAAAGGGACGTGACGCTGAAAATTGATTCATCTTCGTTCTCAATGTTCAGAAGTCCATCCTGCACAAGTCGCCTAATTTATTCAGATTCGCTCATTATTACAGCTGTCAGGAACTTGAGATAAGCCTTGGTATTGGTAGCGCCCTGAGACTGGTCTATCTTCGACTGTCCACAGTAGTTGATCAGTCGATCTTTCCTACAGAGAGGGAGGTTGTTTGTCATGGGCCCAGAGAAGTCCCGCAGTCAGGAAGCTCAGTGCAAGACACAGGCAATACATGACTGGGGCAAATCCTTCAAAAAGTCCGATGCAGTCAATATCGTAAAGGTTGGGCTGACCGCATCTAAGAGACAAACTTCCTAGCTGCCTCTGGTTCGTCACTTTCGGCGATATATAGCAATGCGGAGTGGCCCTCCGGCGTGACGAAATTTATAGATGCCCAAGGTTCATTCCCAAATCTTTTGAAGTATCAACTGGGTTGGACCATTCCGATATGTACATATCATAAAGAAAAAGAGGTTTGGTCAACGAAGATCTATCCGCTTCTATGGTCCAAAAATTACACATCTCAGTGGTGATGATGGCGAGACTCTTTGTGTCTTCGCAAATGATCAGCGTGCGGCGCAGCCGTGACCATTGGTTCCTTTTCTTGATTGGCCATGAGCTCCAACCTCTCCATCATGTCCTCAAGACTGCGCGTTGCATGGTCTAGATAACCCGTTCCATCGTCCGTAAAGAGCGGGATTGGATTCTTCAGGGACTCGTCGGAGACTCGCACACCTATCAGTTGTTAGCACCATTCAACGTTTTTTATAATCCTATTGGCAGGTCACTTACTCTCAACCACCCAGGTGCTGGGATCATCGGGATCCTGGGCCCTCTTGAACAAAGTCGTCTGCGGCGCGAATGTAACGTCACATCCATACGCAGAGCGCTCCTGAATACCAAGCAGCGGATTGAATTTTAGCCCGAGCAAGCACACCGCGTTGCTATCACCCGTCAGAAATAAGTCTGGGTTTCCCCAGAGGTTCAGCCCGCCTAGGATATAAGCCATGTCCCACGGCGAGGAGCTAATCTCGCCCCCGTACGCCAGATCATGGCCGTTGTGCATGCCGGACGAAAGATTGATTCTGAACTTGCGTGGTTGACCGGGCCAGGCTGTGACAGTATCGTATCGATTCCAGATTAATTCAGTGCCGGTTCTCTCTATAAGTTGATTAGTTTGCGGTGATCGCTATTCAGTGAAGAGAGTAGAGTGCAGACCGTGTCGTGAATGCGAGAAATCAAACTGTTGATTACGCCTTGGTACTGTTGTTGATGGGCACTGACACATGCGACTTCCTATACAGTTCATAATTAGAATTCTCAAGCGATGAGAAATATCGATTAGGAAATTACTTACCGCACCATAGCCTCCTTCCTCAGACCTGGATGAGTTATTTGTTAGCAGTGTTCCAAAATACCATGTCTCAACATGACGTACGCATTGACTATCGTACACGGTTAGCAATATTCTTCAGACTAGATTTGGTTAGCCACTCACAAGGAAACTCATCACACGAGATACTTTCGTCAAAGCCCTGCATTATCTTATAATCGGTCGGTGCTGGAACGATAACACGCGCACCATTGATCGTCTGTGTGCTTTGCCAGTTGTACATCGACTGTACCTCGGTTGGCCACAAGGCAGTTTTTTTTCTCGACGCACTCCTTGGCTTTAGCTTTGCATGCGACCGCTCGATTGGGACTTGGCTGTTCATTATCCGACTGGTAGGTAAGTTCCATTCCGTTTCCTTTAATCAGGCCAGGGTTCTTCTGGAGATAGTTCCGAATGTTATCGCAGATCCCTGTGTATTGAGCATTAGGGTTTTAATCGTTCAATCATCCAAGCAGAGGGAGTGGGATACACAAAAACGCAGGACAGGGGACACAGACCAATGAAAGACGCTGAGGCAAAGTATGCCAGCGTGTCCTGATTCCGGTTCTCGACAGAGCTTGTACCAAACAGATCGCAGTTGTAGAAGAGAGCAGGCAGGTTGTAGCACTGTGGTGCACGCTTGGTGGTTGCTGTGCCCGAGCCGGCTCCGTCGCTGTTCAATGTACAGGAGGAGTTGCCCGCACCCACAATTGTTGAGCATTCCACCAGTCCACCAAAACAGCCAGCACCGCTGCCGTTAGGAACGAGACTCTCCACGCTGTCCCGCTTGCCAAGAGGGCTGTCGTTCGAGTATGTGATGCAAGTGTTGTCCGCCAAGACAATCGGGTCATCAGGGGAGGCCACCTCATATGAATTGCCCCAGTAGGCAAGATCATTGAGGAATCTGTTTTGGTAAGTCAAAGTTGGATAGAAACAGAGAAGCGAAAAAACTCACGAGCCGTCAGCAGAAACAAAGAAAGAGTACAGATAATCAGCCCAATAGCAGAATCCCGCAGACGGGGTGCCGTCGTAAGAAACAGATGCAGATGCATTGACGCCCAATGAAACAGTGTTTTCCACGCCAGCAGTCACATATCCAGACATAAGGTCTCCGCCCAGTACAGAGATACCAAATTTGACTTGCGGAGTGAGTGTTACTACAATCATGTTAGCATCTCTGCACAGGTGAAGTGGCATAGACAAACGCACAAGCCATATTGCCCTCTGCCGTTAGAGAGGCATCGAAGATAGGTTCAACACTGAAAGTCTGAGGATCGTTGCCATCGATGTCCTTGGGCATTACAGTCGCGTCTGAGCCGCCGCCGTCCTGAGGGAAGTACACTTCGGCACGGGGCCACGATGCGACCACGCCAGCATTCAGCTCTCCAGAGATACTAAGTGACGCATCCATTTTGCCAGTCAGCTCAAGCTCTGGTCCAATACTGATTAGACCTTTGGTGGAGAGACCGGGGAATGTAATGCCGCTGATAATTGATTGTGTTCCGGTAGTTGACTGCCAGACAGCCTCCCCGCGAAGGGTTAAGAGAATCTGCAATCATCAATCAGTAAGATCAGGCAGAAGTAAGTGTAGGTGGAAGGGCCATACCGCTGCTTTAGGCGCAACTGAGAAGTAACCATAAGCGGCAATCAAAGAAGGGGATGGGAGAATAGCGCCCTCAAAGTAATATCCATACTGGGAATTGAGGCCCAAATGGATGTTGGCGTCAAGATCCACGGTAGCGGTGATATTGAGATCAGGACAATGACCCTCAGCGTGGAAGAGCTTGATGGTTTCGTCGTATTCCATCGGAAGGGACCCTTGATCATCCTTTACAATTGTAGTCATCTTGGACAACCAATTACTAAAACTACTAAACCAGCGCTTGCGCTTGCTGGATGGGGTGTCGGTGATATGCTTCCTGTATAGATATCAGCATTGCAGCGAATCGAAGCAGAATGAAACAAACGTACCAGTATTCAAGGAGATTAGTGTAATCAACTCGGAAATTAACATCTCCCTGTCTCTCCGGCGATACAGCGGCCAAGTTGTAGTCAACAGTCAACTCGTACGTATCGGTGCTTGAGCGTGGTAAGACATTAGAACGAGCGGATTTGCCAGCAGAGCCCATCGCAACAAGGCTAATAACCCGTGCAAATAGACCGGCTCCGATGTCCTTAGGCATCTTCACGATCGTGTTGTTTGCACCACCTTCGAAAATCGACATACAACCACTGGTACCGTTGATGAAAGAAGAGGAGCACTGGATATGATAAACCTCGATCTTATTATCGAAAGTATCATCGCGGTATTCAAACATGCTTCGCCGTTCGTGCATCTTCAGAGACCGGTTGTTCCTGGTCTACGAGGAAGGTCTATTTATCGACAAGAGACTCGTTATATACTTGCGGATCGCTATCGATCATGACAAATACAAATAGATCTATGCTTTTATCATCGGTTACTGGGTAATCATTAGCGATGAACAGAAAAGCTCTATAGAATGTGATATGATCGTACTATCATCGTTTGATGTCTTCTTAACATCATAATAGTACATCACATGATCTTTATCAGGATACTCAAAGAGATCTACTAGATCCACAGGCCGATATTAGGAGGCAGAAGGGGGATCGCAGCAAAACGAGTTGTAAGGCGCGTGTCCTACTCTATTACTATATTCCTAATAATTGTTATTGTTGATTAACAAATCAACTTCTGTACGCCGAGTAATAAGCACCTTATCGCTCGGACAGGTATCGCAAAAATGCTAGTCATAGTTTTTGTATGTGTCTGGGGTCGTTAGTTTTAGTATATTCCACGTACTATAGAAAAGGATAGATCGTACCTGAAGAAGGGTAATAGAAACTATAGAGGTCTAAACACGTAGTTCCTGTATCGGGGCTTAGGTCTATAGAAGGAGGTGTTAGAGAAGGCGAAAGGTATATAGAACAAGAGGGTGAATCTCACTAGATCCTCTAGTTGTGCTTCCCTACTCGTTTATTATCTAGTTAGTAGGGCAGGATTCTGCGTATCTACTCTAATAGTACTGATTTAGCAGACGGTTAGTATTACAATAAAGTGATCTCTAGTTGATCACGTATTATATAATTCTAGTCCGATTATTGTATATGTCTGCTACTAGCTTATACTTATTATCGCTACAGGTGCTACTAGTCCTAGTACACAGGCTAAATTCATTTCCTCCCTCCTAAGTGCAGCCCTCGGGTATAGCATTAGTCGGGCAGCAAATCATACGATACTAGGTATTGCCGTCTATCTCACTACTAGAGTAACACTGCTTGCTATCGGGATTCTAAAGCGCACTACCGTTACTAGACGCAGAGTGAATATAGTCTAGGACACTATACCCTGTTTTGTATTACCTAGTGTTCACGTCCACGCAGTCGCTGATATAATATTTAGTACCCGTGTATGCTAACAGGTTATAGATAAGTGATTTCTTCTAGGAATCCGATAGCACGCCGCCGTCGAGAAGATCGTTCCTATTAACAGCCTATCTAAGAAGACTAGAAAGAGCCTGCTAATTATAAGTATCCTGATTAACTACCCAGATCATAACGCCTCCTAGGTAGACTAAATTCGCGTAATCAACCTTCTACTAAAAGGTTTGCGCATTATCAAATAAGATCCATTAGTCGCCGTTCTAGATAAGATAGTTGACGGCTGCTTCTTCGTTCTAGATAAGCTTAGAGCCCTACTTATTAACGATCTATGTGATTTCTAGTGTTCGTTAGCAACAAATAGAAAATTACTTATATACCTTAAGCAGGACGTGACAAACCTTTGTAAGATAGAATTCTAGAGCTATTAGAACAAGGTCCCGTAACGCCGCTTTCTGCAAATAGATAGCCAGGGTCTGTGTAGGAGAGTTTAGATAGGGTAAACGAACGGCTATAGAAGCCTATACCTATTACGACCTACGAGGGGTCCACTCCAGCCCGCTAGAGCAGATCGAGTAATTGTTTGATTTCCGTTAGGTTAGTGTGTGAGCTAATCACCTTTCCGATATATCTATACTAAGTTAGTGATATATGAATACATAATAGAAATCATAAGCGAGGGAAGACTAACGGGTCATTGCTATCCCAGACACTATGTAGGTTATAAGCCATTAGATTAGCCTAGTTAGCGCCACCGTCAAGCATTGCGGGGATGTCGAAATGTTGCATATACCAATAACTAGTTAGAATAGTGAAGGTAATCCCGTAGGCTTGACTAGACGCATCAAATGTCTCTCTCAACTGGTTAATTAGCAAAACATAGTTGAGAGTATCCGCGTCTTTACCCCCTCGGTCCGACGCCGCGGGATACTCCTAGTCTAAATCAACACCGTCAAAGCTATACTGTTGCAAGGTTTGAAGAACTGTCTTAGCAAAAGCCCGTCGTTTATCCCAGGAGGAAGCTATATCAGACTAGTATAATTGCGTGTTTCCCGGGTTACTAAAAGCCCAGCCGCCGATCGACATGTAGTAGTTTAGTTGAGGATTGTTTTGCTTAAGGGCGATGAATTCTTCGATCAGCGAGTCGATATTATTTGTCCTATCGTCTATGAAATATATATTAAACGAGCTATTATCGCCGATATTTGGGCGAAATATTGCGAACGCGTAGTTAATATATGTCAATCCGCTAACAGACATTTCGCTTGGACGCCACGTATTACAGGGTCTTCCGCTTGACCAGGACTTATAGTATCTAACAACCCGATTAAGGACATTATCAGAGCTGCACGAGGGGATAGTAGGATTTCCGCAGTTGTCGCCTTAACAGCCGTTACCATAGAAGTCAGTTCCTGTTCCGTAGAACCCCTATTACGAGCAGCAAACCTAAGATATCAGTTAACACTCCTAAAAGAGGGTACTATGGTCTCAACTCATATTCAACGGGCAGCTAACGGTGGGATCTTTAGCATCTTTTCTATACTAGGCAGTGGTATCGTAGTTGCTAACATAATCGGTTTAACAAAATAACCTATAACCACAGATCTAGATATTTTAGTAAGCGATATAAAGGTTCTAGGATATAATAAAAGTAGGCTCACGCCTTAGTTATCTTTCTATTAGCAACACGCTCTATTCACGTAGGGGCTAGTTGTGTTGCAGTAGATCGTCTGCGCTTTAATAACAGAACCTAATAGTACGGCTAGGAGGAAAACCCTCCAGAGCCGGCTAATTCTGGTAATACTTATTGCTACCTTACTAATATAAGTAAAGTAAACATAACGAACGGTTTATTATGCCCGAGGAGCCTAGGCTATGTGTAGAATTTATTCTAGAGCTAAGGACAAGTATAGACGAAGTGGGTAACCTGTCGGCAAATCTCTCCGGTTAGTAGACGAGAGACTTAGAAGTTCGGTTATATCCGGTTATTCACTTAACCCTATCCTAATATATAAACGGAAATTAATATACTAGGATGTTAGGATGTTTCAGGAAGGGTATTTTTGAACTTTATAAGTAGCAATTCACAAGTGAATCCGTGATTAAAGTATTCCACAAAAGGCAAAGTAAGAGCGATAACACTACGAAAGTACTTTAGAGAACTTAACTCGATAGTGATCGATACGAGGAGAAAGTGAATCGACTCTATAATAGAGTTTCGTTCCTAGCGAAAGTGGATTAAATGACTAAAAGTACAAGCTAGTATCAGCCTAGCTATCGCTAGTTAAGCGGGGGCGAAATAAGAAACACAACGACGAAGTGAAGTTATGTAGTAAATAAACGGTACATACAATACTATTAGTACGGAGAAAAGATATAATAGAGTTATAGATTCCTAGTCGGATATTTGCCTATCTACCACTAATAACTATCGAGCTTAACAGAAACTAACAAGTAGTTATGGGAGGCCCGAAGAACTTATAGCTACTTGGAGTTCTATACGCTCTTGGGGTTACTGCCGCTATTAGCAATAGTACTTTGACTATCTACTAAAGCTCGGACTTAGTTAACACCACCGTATCTGCTGCTTGTTAGCAAGCGCTTACCTCCAATATGACCTGCTTTCGTAGTTTGCCTACCGCGATTACTAGGGTAACCTCGTAATCGTCGGATGCGCTATCTATGATCTACGACGACTCTTATATAACCTCGCTGAACAACTAGATATCATCTATCAATAGTAGCTATGGCGCTATAGCTTAGTACAATATTACTAGCACGGTATAACCGGCAAGCTCGGCAGGACAGGAGCTGCTCTAGAAATAGTCCGCGATATATATCGAAGACCCCTCGGGCAATTTCTGTAATCTAGTAATTTAGAGCGCGGTATCTAATAGTGACTAGACCGTGCTCTACAGCGCTTGTCTCTTGGACTATTTGACGATAGTTGTCAACTCTCTATAGGGATAGGAGGTTATAGACCCGGTTGCTGTGGAGAGTCGGATTCAGAGCTGCTTAGCGACTGCTTTATACTCGGTCACGTATATAGCTACGACAACCTTAACTTCAGGAACCGTATTATTATCGCCTACTTTCAATATTCGATGCAACACGACTAACCCAGAGACAACTATATACACGGCAACGGGTAATGAGATATAAGTCAATATCTCTGCTGCGAAGAATATATCTACTCTGGTATTAGCGGTATTGAACGGGTTAGATAGTGCGTGCAAGTACCTCACTGCTAGCTAGCTCTTGTGTCTACCGAGTATCTACTAGATATATTAGGTTAGAGTAAATGATTCCTGTGCCTCGATAACGGGGAACCTTACTCGTTCGGTTTCAACAACGATATTCCAGTCCTGGAACCCTATAATCAACTACTAGTGCTCTAATCTGAACACTATGGTTGGTTAATATCTCTGTATTAGGTATGTTTCTCTGTATAGATAATTCCCTTTATTTGTAGTGGAAAGATGCTTACTCTCACAGTCCCCCTAGTACTACCTCTATTCCTGATAATTTCCCACTTCTTCTAGCGACAACAGCTGTGTATAATAACTCCTTAGTCTACTAATTACGGGGGATGTTTCTTATAACTAACCCCCCCCCCCCTCCCCCCCCCCTCCCCCTAGGCCTGTCCCTACTAATGCTGTGACTATATCTAACACTAACTATGGCTATTAGTATACTATCTAATCTAATGATACCTGCCAAAGCGTTACTTCGACATTCGGTATTTCTAAGGATGATTTTTCTTGAACCCGTAGCTTAGAGCAACGTGCTCCTCTCTTTAGCTTGGTAATAGCTATATATGTCTCTTAGTAGTATATATGGAAGAGATCGTGCTGACCTTTTAGTGTGTGTAACTAGTAGGAAGTATTCAATTATATCTAGGCTACAACAGTAGTATAAGTTCCTACACTACCCTGGCTTTAACTATTAACCCTAACGCAACTTTAATAGTAAACCGTACTACTACGTATATATACCCTCTCTTATCTTGACTTTAGATTTACGCCTTATACTAATGACCTTATAGCTACTTCTTTTACTCGTTTCCTCCTCTGATAACTACTACATCGGCCTATAACAACACGGCCTAGACTCTTACCTAGAACTACACTCTTTGTGCATAGGCAATAGCGTATTACAATATCACGGCGGAGACCGAGTGGACAGACGATATATACGACGATACTGATTAGTTCTCTAAGTACTAGCGCGTGTGTCTCGTCGATCCGGAAAACTTACCGATATCTGTATTTAATACGAGTATCGTTCTAAGCACAGGTTCCCTATCTAGGTCTACCTTAAATTCCGCTTCTATAGGGGCAACCCCTACCCCGAGTCCTACGGCTTCCTTAATATCTACGGCAACGTCGACTTTGATAGGTAGGGTCTCGCTAAATAGCCTCTGTGGCTCGGCTAATAACGGATAGACCTGCGCGGGCTCGATATTTAGGAACTACTGTAGTATTTACAGCGATTGGTAACTTAGCTCCTTTTTCTACTTACTCTACCTACTCTTTAACCCTCTCTTATGACTGACTAATTACGCTTTCTCCCGTCTTAGTAGCTTAACAAGCGATTACTGTGGTAGTAATTGTGATCCGAACTATAGTGACTGCTCTACCTCCGGTTCTAGCACCGTAGCGTCGACATCTTCCTCGACTAGTGCGATACCGTCGGCAACGTCGGGTTCTAACGTTTCGCCTAATAGACTCTGCGGCGCTAGTAATAGTGGCTACACCTGCCTCGGATCTTAGTTCGGCGATTGCTGCAGCTAGTATGGGCACTAGTAAGACTTAGCCCTGAGATCTATACGTCTAACGATACGTATCGAAACATGGTAGGCTAACAAGATCGAAAAGTAGATCGACTAGCGCGTACTATGCTTCGGGTAGCTGTTACCTCAACTATAGTAGCTGCTCCCCGTAGTTACAATATCGAAATATTATGTATGTAGTATAGTCAGGTCGATAGGAGAAATCAGTGTTTCTCGGGTACAATAGTTGTGAAGGGGAGAGACGGATAGAGAAGTAGATCGTTGATTAGAGGGTTTTCGCGGTGAGTAGGAAGGGCAAAAATGTTAATAATAATTCCAGGGATCGACATCGAGCGGATAAGGTTATATAAATATAGTAAATACTACTAATATCGGGTCCGTACTCCGTACGATACTGCTGGTCCTTAGATATAGGAAATTAGAATAGTGAATAGTAAGTAGTTCGTCCACCGGGTAGTTAACCCTCGCTCGTTAGTAGAGCTTTTGTCTCTCAAAACCCTACTACTACATAGTAACCCTTATACGTACCCTCCTTATCGTTTTTAGACCCTACGTGCAAGATCTTACAGTAACACAGCAAAAGTATTTAGAACACAAGCCCTATACCTGATTATATAATATTTTGCCTATCGCAAAACATCAGCCAATAATCTTTGTTTTAATAAATACAACCAAATAATCAGCTAGTAGTCCCTAGTAGAGCATAGGATACGTAGGTACGTAATGAATAAGTAATTGAAGTAATATTACGTTGTGGGAAACTTTCTATGGTCTCCTACTACGTGCTTTTGGTAGGCGGTAAAAATCTACTGTAGGCGGTCAGTGAAGTGGGGCTGGGGGTGTTCCAAATACTTTTGCTGTGACACTGTACTAGTAACTAACTAACTAACTAGTTACCTAGAGTGTGATTTATCTACAAGCTCAACAATGATTCATGTAC